TTTGGCACTTGGAAATGGACAGAAAGCAGTGTGGGATTGGCCCCTTTACCTAACATATGAACTAAATGAATAAATTGAGAGCCAAAAGGGTAAACAACTAATTGGCAGTGCTTGGTCCCTTAACTTCTGAAGCTTCCAAATTTCCACCCTCAACTTCGCACTGAGTCACTTAAGTCCTTCAACCTTTGCAATTGCTGAAGCAACAAAATGGTTACCAAAAACTTATAGTGACGAATTGGCTATTATATTTTGGTCGCAAATGCTGTCATGGCTAGGCCATGCTACTTCGAAATAATGGGTGTTTCTGGACAACATTCATTCTGGCCAGAAATTGCAGGCTTGGACAAGAGAGTTAGCCATTATTAATTAATGGGAAATAGGAAGAAATATTATATTTTGTTATACCCATAAATAATATTTCTTTTTCTGTATGTTTTGAAGATATACTGATAGAACAGCTTGCAGATGATCTTGGATTCAGTTGTTCCCTCCCCCTAATGAACAAATATATAGTCAAGAGTACCAAATCAAATAATGGTTGTGGGTCCCTTTCCATATTATAGGATGTATTTGTTGTCCCTATTAGTAATAATTTAATCATTTCATCAATTTATTGTCGACCTTAAATACTAAGGCATAACGTATTGTGAATGTTATCATCTTTGTATTATCAGTGTTAAGCAATTCTTATGTTATATCATAAGAGACTTAGAGAAACAATTCATACATTCGTACAATTACCCAATAGGCTAATGTATATGAAATAGGCTAGCAAGATGTATATGAATAGTTTGTGTAACTTGGTCTTGGTGTGCTAGGTGTTCTGCTACAAAATAAATGAAACTTTTTAATGAAAATCTAGTGTCAAAGAAACACTGTGACGTAGATGTGGGTTGAGTGTGTGTACATAGTCGGCCTAGTGGCTTGACTAGAGTGCAACCAATGTTCAGTGTCTGAATGACTACTCTCCCAAACCGCATCCCCAACACTTTTTTGTTATCATAAAAAAAAAACTTTACCAACTCGACTCTGGTTATGATTCCACCTCCAAACTTCATAATGTTAACGAATTGATCTCTTTCATCTGTGACAATCCCGCCGACAAAAATTGTATTTGTAGGCGGGTATTCAAGAAACCATCTAGCTTTAATTATTGAGATCCCAATTATTTTGTTTCCCTCCCTCTAATGGATCTTCAGTATCCAGAATGTTGGGAGATGGAGTGGATGGATTGCAATTTGTGCATATATTATTATATGAAGAATTCAATGAGTATCATTATGATCATATGAGGGCCACTCTAAGTATGTAAATTGTAATGCATAATACATTTTCTATATGAGCTTAAAATCTTAGTAATATTGGAACTAATCGATCAAAAACTCCAATCATGTATAATTTAACTTATATAAAATGCAAGAAAATATGAGGAAAGAAGGGGAATTCTGAATTGACCATGAATGGTACCATGCATTCATTCGTGTCCTGTTTTTGCCTTATCTCACTCAACCACCAGCTATTCATATCCATATTTATGGATAATGTATTTTTCCCTCTCAATGAAGATCAAATGGAAGGAAGAAAAGAAAAAAAACAATGCACTTAGCTAGATTCTAGAGAACATCAAATGAAGAGATATCCCATCAAAATTGAATACCGGTTGTCTTTGTTATCAAATTTGAGAGGGGAGAAAAAGCAGAAAACTATATAACAAGACAGATGTATTAATGAAGGGTGGACCATAATTTGTACCACAACACAATCCTGCCCATATCATATGTACTATGGAAAATTGGAAAAGACAGCATCTTAATTATAAGAAAAGATGGAAAACAAAACGAAAATGACAAAAAAAAAAAACAAGACGAGACTTATTAGCATTAATTACGTGTTGTCGATATTCAAGGTTCGTGGTTGGAGTTTGTTATAAGTTAGCGTTCTGTTAGATACTACTGAAGGGATTCAAACATAAACCCTCCACATTTAAAACTAACGGTTTTACCACGAGACCAAACTCTTATTCGTCAACATTAATTATCAATAAAATTGGACTGAGGATTGAGACCGAACCCTTGTTGTGCATTAAGGAACAAATTATGGGTCAACCAACAAGTTGTGGCTCGGTTAAACCCTTCCTCAGATCATGATATCGATCAGTTGAGTCAAGCAAGAACTATAAAAGTTAGATAATCAATTCCCTCACATCACTTTCCAAACCTAACTAACTAAACTACGTTCATCCAAAAGTGCATGTAGCTATGACCATTCATGGAAATGATTTGGTTGGCCGGCGGTCGAATTTTCCCGGTTTCACATTCTTGACCATACCCGACTTGGGAGACAAGTTAATAATAAACATATAAAGTCTTAATTAAGGTGGTCCCACTAATTAGTACTATAATCTCCAATTCTCCATTATTAATCTCCTCTTTTTTCCCTCTTACTTAGCACAAGTTGCATGCATGATTCCTCTTTGGGCAGTTACTTGGTCGTTAGTAATAGTCATGGCTATTTCCTTATTATTATGGTCGTTAGTTCAATAATTTGAATACTTTTCAAATGGTTTTGTAGGACTGAAAGAGGAATTTCTCTTGTTTGTGGTCAAGGAGGAATAATATATAAAATACAAAAAAAAAAAAATTATGGACATGTAACGTAATTACAAGTACACGAGTTTTTATTAAAGTAGAGGATCCTCTACTTTACACCAATTGGTCACGATGAGTTCGATTCGTATAGAGGCTACAATAATCATCCTTTGATCCGACTCATTTGGTGTGATAAGCACAAATTAACTACATGTATAATGTCGATGATTAATAGTTGGAATTAGAAAAGGAGAATTTTATGGTTATGATACAACATCTCGGTTGGGTCAATTGGTTAGATTAATATTAGTGTTATTTATTCTTATGAATTATTATTGTGTTAATGTGGCTAGTGTAGGTTTGGCCGCCAAGTTTGGCTAGCCGAGTAGATTAGGGTGTTTGATCATTCTTAATTTGTTAGAGTGTTGGGATTAGTCGGCTAGGGTTTAGTAGTTGGCCTATATACTTGTAACATGAATAATAAATTCATAATAAACCAAAACAAGCTCTAAATAACGTTTCACACTTGAAGCAATAACTTCTCTTGACAAATTAGATGCAAATGTTTTGGGAAAGTTTTCATAATGGACGGATATATTTGCTATAATAATGACAGCAAAGGGAATGGACCAGTGAACATGAATAGGTAACGTAATTTGTTGGTCTTTTTCTAACGATCCTAGGCAATATATAGCTAGGAGGCGTCTACTTGCGTATGAATAAATTTGAACGTGGAAGGCATTAATTATGTACCTGAACTACACACGTAATGTGTCCGCGTGTGACTGATTGAGACGCAATATACGTAATGGTAATTAGGTGAATGGCTATAATTTAACTAGAATTAAATCGGTTAATGCATTCCCACCACCACTAATCATCAAACTAAGTGTTCGTGGAATTGAGCATGTCATTCAAGTTATCACACTTGTTCTAGTTGTTCGTTTAATTTTTCCTTTCGTCAAGCACATCTATCATAATCTAGAATGTCAAATTCACAGAAAATTAGAGATCAAGTGGAGTTTTTACCAGATTGAGGCAATCGGGGAAGATCACAGTACACACGTAAACGTTAAGATATCAAATGCAACGCTTTCGTGCTACCAAGATCTCATGAACCGGTGTATAGTATCTACTTAACTAATAACAGACGTGGTCGATCGGCTGCATGCTACATTTTATTGCTATCCATGCATATGCATATGAGACATGACCTATTGATTAGCAAAATTGACACAAAATTTAATTAAATGAATTGTTTCGCGTGACAAAAATCTATATAGTATAGTACAAGATTGTTCTGTCAATCTACCAAGTTCGGTTCTCTGTGGACTAGCTGGAAACCTGGAATCTTTGGGGGAAGCCGGCTGATGTTTGGTTTGTTTATCTTGCAATGCAAGTAGTCATTATTGAATTCCAGATAGAACATTTATGATATGGTCAGACGATTCTCCAATTTCTTTGATTGAAGCATATAACAATGTTAATTATAACTTTCAACGAAAAGCTATAATTAATTAAGCATATTCACAATATGCTTCTTGACGGTTCTCGTAGAATGTCAATACATAGAGAACGAAGAAGAATATCGCTAACTCATGAAGAGAAATTAACAGACAGACAAACCGATCTATGTGGTGTTTCTGAAATATCATAACTAATCCACGAAAGAACTTGAACTCTTCGAGGCTCAAGCTACCTATCTTATTCACTGAATTGTTATCAGCTATAGCAGCACATAGTCATAATTTTCTCGCGAACTAGCAAGCCCCTATTTCGGAGGAAACCGTGTAAATTATATGTGCTTTTTTTCCCCGCTCGTCGCCTCATATTTTATTTTCGTCCAAATCATCAGCGCGCACACATCCAAAATTATATACCAACTAAACTAGACCTGATATGATTCAAATATGCGACATCAGCTATATCTTTGAAGATTGGATCTAATAATTACTAGTTAACTCAATCTTTCAATTCAAAAACGAGTGTAAGAGGACACGTGATTGAGTCATAAAACCTAAAACTATAATCAAGATTGTGAGTTTGATTTTATGTATTTCAACGATAATGAGATGATATACTTTTTTACTTGATTATTAGTTTCTCATATAACTTGCAATCTCAGTTTAATCCGATTTTTATACATACATAAACTTATACACAATTAAGATTTGGTATCGGTGATTACGATCATCGGCCAAATTCTCCACAGCTAGCGTCGTAGAATAAAGGTTGATGATGTCGTCTGCATGAAACTGTTGTGATTAGCGACTGCCATTTTTATATAAACCATTATTATAGAAGCTAGAAGGCTGAAGAACAAATAGATAGATATGAAATTAATATGATAAGAGAACCACGTTATTCCACATGTGATCATATATATAAAGAACTTATAAGCTATAACATATGCAATGACGCATACCGTTGAAACAAAATATACTTCCTGTCATATTAAAATGTCTTAACCCCTTTTTTAAGTTGGGTAGTTAACCGGATCAGATTGATAAGATACGGTAGAAATATGTGCACCAATTATGTTAAATGTATTAGCAATATGAGAAATTGTTTTTACATGCTATCCAATATTGGTTGTATGTGACAACAATTGAGCTCATATAGGTCCATGAGTGATTGTATTACATTTATTTACGGAAAATAGCCTTTTCTTAATGAGAGGAATACTCATAAGAAATTGTGGAACTTGGAGATTTTCTATTATGGATCCTTCAACCTCGTCAATTGGATGAACTTCTTTTCAAAATAATTCGATCCTAAAACGATGAAGTCTACAAATCTTGTATGTCTACACTAGATTATAACCCCGTCAATGCAAAGTTGGACAAATATGAAAAAATATAATTCATGCAACTCAAAAGTACAATCTTACACAATATTTTTTTTTTTTTTTTTTAGGAATCACTAAAGATGTGTGATTTAGCAAGAGTACTAGTGAAAAAAATAGCTTTGGCAAAGAGTAGATACCATAACGGGCCGCCACATGACAGAAAGGCAAACTCTAAACCAACAGAGGACGGCAGCTAGGCCCATTCTGTGCTCTAGTGGGCTTTGAGTTTCGGCCTTGGGCCCACTTGCAGCTTTCGAACTATTTCGAAGGAACTTCTCCTCCTCCCATTTCTTTATTTTATTATTTTCCATGTGCCCCGACCGGTAAACATCGGGGCTCCGACGGAAGCGAGAATCGGGTCCTATAAATCAACCAGGCGCCCACAATTGTATTTCCTTTAGCCCTAGCGCGAAACAGCCAGTCCCTTCCATTCCATCGACACAATTTTTGCGGTTTTTTCAAAGCTCGCCTTCTTCTGCGTCCGAATCTCCGCGTTTCTGCTCTCCTGCTTAGTCTCCGTCTCCGTTACCTGCATTCTGAGGTAAGTTCGAAGCAATTGACTTTCTACTGAGAGGCTTGTATGGATTGGAGCGGACTCTCGTAGCGTTTCTGCTGCCTTCGTTTCTTATTTCTGAGCTGATGCGCCTTATACCGGTCGACTTTCACTGTACACCTCAGTGGCAGAAAGTTGTTCAATGTGGGATAGAGACTGGTGTATGATGCAGTGTTAGCTAGGTTATGCTGTAAAAGAGAGCTAAAATGGAGATTAGGGTTTGCCTGTGTAGTGAATTTTTTTTTTTGTTTGAAACTGGAATTCAGTGAATATTTGGTTATTTAGGTTGCTTCGGCAAAATTAAAGCTGAAGAGTAGAAGTTATCAACCTACAGTAGTATTTCATGGGCTTCCTATTGTCGAAGAATTGTGGTTCACACAGTAAGTTGAGTTATATTATGTACAGGAGTAGGCAATCGTAAGGTTCTAGTAATTCCTTGCTGATTCTATATCGTTCTTCATCTCACATGCAATTGCCTTTTCAACAAGCTTTCCTAACTGTTGTTAATTTGGTATTGCTTGAGTTTCAGAATCTCAAGCTGTTGTTAATGACTTCGCGAATCGTGTGTTCTGATGCTTTACAGTTGTTGACGGTTCATGTGCGAGGTCTCCTGCTGAATTGGGGAGTTAAAGAAAATGGACTTTGATGAGTATGACTACTTGGAGAAGACTGTTGAAAACCCTGAGCCTGAAATGGTGAAGGAAACTGCTAATGGAAGTGAGACGGTCAAATCTGGAGAGAAGGATCGTAGTCGGGGTTCGAAGCACAAAAGTGACGAGAGGGAGGATGGTGGTGATGATGAAAACCATCGCTCAAAGCGATCAAAATCAAGAGATGATACACGTGACAATGATCGTCACAGAGAAAGAGGTTCGTCCCAACACCGATCTGGATCTAGAGATAGAGAGAAGGACCGCCACCGGAGTAGTCGTGAAAGCAGAGATAAGGAGAAAGGCAGGGATAGGGAGGAACACAATGGGAAGGATAGAGACCGAGAACGTGAGAGGGATCGAGATCGTGACAGGAAGGAACGTGACAGGGAGAGGGAGAAAGAGAGTGAAAAGGAGCGATCGCATCGAAGTGGGAGTCGATCAGAAAGAGAGAAGAGTAAGGACAGGGAGCATAGAGAAAGAGAAAGGGATCGAGGTGATTTTAAAGAACGTGAAAGAGAACCTAGGTAACTTTTGTTTTATGTTCTTGAAACATACTTAATGATTTTCTTCTTGGCATTGGATTCTCTATTATAAATTTATACTACATTATAATCATATTCACTGGTTTGTGAGTAAGTGCACCTACCCCCTTCGTTTCTAGGCCTGCTACCTTAGTTGTGAACTTATTAGTCCCTTGGGGTTTCCCCAGGCAAGCTGTTAGTCAGTGGGGTGCCTTTTAGAATGGAAATATCTGCATTGCGCAACTTGATTTTGTACATTATTAGTTATCATCGTTGAAGTTTAAATTAACTCCTTTCTGTAGTTTTATGAGAATGAGAACCAACATCTCCCTAGCATATGCCCTTTAGTATTTTTTTGAATTGCCTCATTACCTTCTGATTATGGCTACAGCCCTCTGTGTGTACAAATCATGGGACCTGCGCCTATTTCTTGGCCCAGCTAGATGATATATTGATGTGATCATGGTCCGTGTCAGGGTTTTGTTTCTTTGTCTTAGGTGTTCTGGGTAATATGTTTGTCTCTACATCCCATTATATAAAACAACTACGTTTGTCTCTACATCTCTCAGTAGCAACTCTCCTGTTTCTTGTGCTCTAAAGTGCTATGAAAATTCTGAATATTGAACACTAGATTCTGGGAATCGCAGATATGCTAGAGCACTTCAGATGGTCTTCTTGGCAATTGGGCCAGGCACAGGAAGTCAGGGCATGGGTTTTAAATGTCTCTCCTAGACTGTCTCGAAAGATAAATAAGCTTGTTTTGCAAGAGTGAGAGTTATTGGATGTTTCTACCAGGGTGATGATGCCATGTAATGTTTTCCATTATCATCCTTGTGGAAACTGAGATGCTTAATTACATTTGTTCTGTTGCAGAAATGCTGGTGAGGGAGTGATGGGCTTTGCTTAAGGCAAACAATTCATCTTCTGATGCTTGTGGAAATTCAGTGTTGACTGGGCTGCAAAAATGGCCTAAAATTTTCATGTGCAATATAGATAACATAGAAAGAATCAAGCTTTTAGAATTTTGTTGTTATAGGCTGTAGATGCCTAACAGTCTGGCATGTGTCTGTTCCCTTCTCATGGTTTTGTGCTGCTGGATGCACCTTGCACTTGCTCTGGTCTCATCTTTTTTCTGTCATCATTTATTCGGTTGCTAATCCCCTTTAAAACTTGATAATCCATTTAAATGCATGGAAATGTTTTCAACTATTTTCGTGCTGGTGGTGTCGAGAGTCTTAGATTTCATTTTTTTTATTTCCTTTTTACAGTTGTGTTTGATCTCAATTTAATGCACACAGGATTTGTATTCGAACTGTTAGTTTTGTTTACTACCCTCTTTGTGCCTATCCGGACAGTATTGAGGTGCTTTTTTTGTTAATCTCATATCTCTACTACTTTGGATACAAGTTATTAACAGTTTTCAAACCAATGCAATTAGGTCCTTTCGTATGACAATTTGCCATTGATACAACTTGATGGTGCTCTGTCCCTATAAGATTATGTTATTATAGAAGGTACAAATTTATTTATCCATCACTAGATGTTGCACTTTGTAATGACTGCTTGATCCAAGATTACCGATTCGTTTCCAGGTGGTTGTCACTAGATTGTCAAGGGGCATATCTGGTAGCAATTGCCAGTTCAGTCATGTTTTCTTCTCTCCATCTGCTATCATCTCTTGGAATTGACATTTGATGCAGTGAATAATTCTTCACCCGTCTCCATTTACGAGCTGTTTCCTCAGTAACAAAAATGAGATTTGGGGTCACAATTTGCTGGCTGTTGGTTTATTTTGCTAACAACCTGGTACCTTTGTTGATGTTTGTGCCTAACCTGTTAACATATTTTTCTTGCAGAAGGAAGAAGGAAGATGGTACTGAGCCGGAGGCTGACCCTGAGCGGGATCAGAGGACTGTATTTGCTTATCAGGTGAAAGTTTTGTTCTCCTGTTAGTTATTTTATTCCATTATTACTCTCTTTTCTATTATTCTTTATTGTTCCCTTTCTGCTCTGAGCTTAATGTTTACATCACTATATTTTTGGCAGATATGTTTAAAGGCTGATGAAAGAGATGTCTATGAGTTCTTTTCAAGGGCTGGAAAGGTTAGTGTTGGTACCTCAGCTTTTCTTTTCAAGCTGTTGATCTCCATTTTCTTTTAGAAGTTACATTTTGCATTCTGCTTTTTCAATCATGCTGACTGCCGGTGCAGGTACGAGATGTTCGACTCATCATGGATCGGAATTCAAGGCGGTCTAAGGGAGTCGGGTAATTCTCATTGACTTGCTGTTTAATCTTCTCTCCATCGATCTTTTTTGGATTGGGAATTCCTAATCTTTCTCCTCCTTTCAGGTACATTGAATTCTATGATGTGATGTCAGTTCCTATGGCAATTGCACTGTCCGGCCAGCCTCTTCGTGGCGTACCTGTGATGGTGAAGCCCTCTGAAGCTGAAAAGAATCTTGTTCAGTCGACCACAGCTGCTGTTGTCGGACCAGGTGGAGGGATAGGTCCTTATTCAGGAGGGGCTAGAAGGTTATATGTTGGCAACCTCCACTTCAACATAACAGAAGATCAACTTCGTCAGGTTAAGGCTTGCTTCTGTTGGTGTGCATTAATATTTCTTCTTCTTTGATAGTCTACATATTTAGAATTGCGGGATCAGTTGCTGCTTTTTTGGAGTTCCAATGTTATATTATTAAGTGGAAGTTCTCATTTGGGTATCTAAGTATTAGATGCGAGCATATGTTGCTTTTTTGCTCCTGTGTTGTGGGTATCTATTTCCACTTTTAATCCCATTTCTTTGCTTTTTTCAGGTTTTTGAACCATTTGGTGCTGTAGAGTTGGTTCAACTGCCTGTTGATGAAACTGGACATTGCAAAGGCTTTGGTTTTGTTCAGGTGACTATACAAGACTTGTGTAATTTGATTGAGACATAGCAATAAAAAGCCATTCCATAAACATTCAATATATTTAGTATTAAATGAAAAGATAACCTACCTGCTATTTTGAGGAGGTTGTTTACTTCCTATGGAGAAGCCATAGGGTAATAAACTGATTTGGTTCACAGTCCATGCTAATTATTTTTATGCAACTCTCAGTTTGCACGTCTTGAAGATGCTAGAAATGCCCTTAATTTGAACGGACAAGTGGAGATTGCTGGTCGGCCTATAAAGGTTCGATTTCTCTAGTTCTCTCTCTTTCCGTAATGGCTGTTGATGTCTTTGATTCTCTTATAGCTGTTTTTTTTTTTGTCGTGTTTTACCCTGCTTTTATTCTCAGGTGTCATCTGTCACTGATCAAACTGGTCAAGAGGGTGGGACGAATGCTGCTGATTTTGATGATGATGAAGGCGGTGGTTTGGTTAGTAATCCTTTGTCTCAAACAGAATATCGGTTGTGTTGGTCCAATGCCCTTTATTTATTTAGTTCAGAAACATATCTGAAAATAAATGCTGCTTTTATTTTTTCAGGCACTAAATGCACGTTCTCGTGCAATGTTGATGCAAAAGTTAGATCGCAGTGGCACTGCTGCAAGGTTTGTATTCAGTTGATCTCTCTATTTATTTTCTTTCTGGATGTGGATGGTGTTGCTGACATGGCTTTCTATGTATTACAGCATTGGTGGGAATCCGGCCATTGGTACTGGGATGACATTACCTGCTGCACCCGCATTGGGGCCTGGTGTGGTCCCTCAGACTGTTGCATCTCTTCTACCAAATGGGCTACCTGGTGCGGGTCTACAAATCCCTGGTGCTGTGATTCCTACAATTGATACGATTGGTGTTCCGAGTGAATGTTTATTACTGAAGAATATGTTTGATCCCCAATCAGAGGTTAGTTTTCTCTGATAGTTTCTGGAAGAGTGTCATAATCTTTTGCTGGTTTCATATTGAATCAATATTATCGATTAATGGGTTTCTTAAACTTTGCAGACGGAACCAGACTTTGATTTAGATATCAAAGAAGATGTTCAAGAGGAATGCTCGAAGTTTGGAACCTTGAAGCACATCTTTGTGGACAAGTGAGTTACAACCTTTTCAACCTGTGGTGCTAAGATTGGGAATTTATTTCAACAACAGTAATTTTAAGGACATCTGGGATTCATGTATCAAGGAATTTTTTTTTTGACAAACAGGAATACCATGGGATTCGTGTATCTACGATTTGATAACACGCAGGCTGCAATGAATGCACAGCGCGCACTCCATGGAAGGTGGTTTGCTGGGAAGATGATCACTGCAACATACATGGTGTGCATATAAACGATCCATCCCCTTTGCCCCGTTTCCCTTTTTTCTTCGCCTAACTTAGTTTCCTGATCCATCCGTTGTAAATGCAGGTGCCTCAGATGTACCAACAGAAGTTCCCCGACAGCAACAGTTAGGATGATGGATCTTAGTCTAGATTGTGGAACACCAGCAGATAGCTTGAAGCTCATGGGTTCAATCTTAATGGTAACTGACCGACAGAACCCGGCAATGATATTTGCCCCAATATGGGAGGGAATGCAGGATGGGTTGCTTAGTGTTCTGTTTTTGAGTTTTGGGGGAGGGTTGATGGTTTTCGGATTTATTATAGGAAATTGCTGCATAGTGAGATGATATGAAGCAATAGCTGTCCTACTGCAACCAATGATTGTTTTATGTTGTAGGATTTGTTGTGTATTTTGAGTTACTATAATCCATCATGTGTAATCTATATGTTTGGGTATATTTTTGGCACTGTCAGGTCCTAAAAATCTAAACCAATCTCATGAGTTGCGAACTTCCGTTTTGTAATGTAAAAAACGATTATTACAAAACCAAATCATCTTTCTCTTCTGCGAATTTGTCTTCTCTCTATAGCCAAAGTTTCATTCAATGCTTTTGTACATTAAATAATCGTATTATATTTCCTGTTTTGTATATGCATGCATTTACATTGTTCCTGATAAGGATCTTTGTGGATAATTATTGGACCTTCGATGATGCAATTCAGTAGCGCAGCAAGTTTGTCCCTTCTATGACTGTAAGAACAGATTTCGCCAAACGAGAACTTTCCCAATATTTGTGAAATCGTATCATATACTCGTGAGAGCGCCAACTGTGTTGGTGAAGATTCGGTGTAGTTACACAAGAGACTGTGTTCTACACCAGCTTCACTCAGCTTGATATGGTCTGCACTCTGCATCTTTGCCGGTTGAACCCAGCTGGGTTCGATTTACACAATTTTGGCTTTTTCATCAGCACAGTGGCTTGTGTAACCCATGCCGCCACTGTCGTCACAGCTTTGATCACCATTGTCTCGAAAAATTTCCTACTCTTACACACTCTTGTTTTTTTGTTGAAAAGGAAGCATAGAGGGAAAGTGGGAAACCCAACTGAGCCCTCAGCCCATCACTTTGCCTTGTATATATACTCAGTGGACGCTAAGGATTCATCACCTCCCTCCCAAGACTCACCATTCATACTTCACAGTCCCAGTTTCTGCTCACTCAACAGTTCCCGTTAGTACTCCTTTATTGCTTGCTTTTATCAATGGCTGCAGTTCTTCAAGAAGACGTAGTCATAGTTGGAGCTGGTATAGCCGGACTGGCCACATCCTTGGCTCTTCACAGGTACCCCCAGCCGCAAGCTTCATCTCGACTTGGTTTCAAATTGAATCTTTAAGCAGAAGTAAGACTTCAAACTTGTTTCTTCGCAGGGTCGGGATCAAAAGCTTGGTGTTGGAATCAGCATCGAGCTTGAGGGCTACTGGGTTTGCTCTGTCGACATGGGACAACGCTTGGAGAGCTCTGGACGCGCTTGGGCTGGGCGAAGCTCTTCGCCAGCAACACCAGCTGCTTGATGGGTAAACCCCTGTAGAAAATGGTTGTCAGTTTTCCAGAGTTGTTTCAAGTAGTGTTGAATTTGACAAGAATGTTGTTCGACGAATTACCACAGGGTGGTGGCTTATTCCACAGCTACAGGACGCAGCAGTGCGGAGATACCTTTCTCGGGACATGAAATTCGGTGTGTGCAGAGGAAGCTACTGCTTGAAGCCATGGATAAGGCCCTTCCGGATGGTACTATCAGGTACTCATCCAATGTGGTATCCGTGGAGGATTCGGATTCTGAATCAGGCTGCTTGTTCAAGCTTCTGCATCTTTCTGATGGTGCTGTGATCAAAACCAAGGTAGTCAAGAAATCAAGAGATGAAAGAAATGATTGGCCGCTTTTTATATTAGAATCAATCCACAAACTTACCTCTGGAACTGAACTGAACTGAACTACTCTTTTTCCCCTGTCAATTGAAGGTGTTGATTGGTTGCGATGGAGTGAATTCCAGGGTGGCAAAGTGGCTAGGATTCAACGAGGCATCATTCGCGGGAAGAACAGGAGTTAGAGGTATTGCAACATATCCAGAAGGCCATGATTTCAGCTCTAAGTTCCGCATGTTTGTTGGGAAAGGCTTCCGTGCTGGTTGTATCCCTTGTGATGACAAAACCATGTACTGGTTCTTCACTTGGACACCCACAGCACAAGGTAAATGACGAAACGTTACAGCTATAAAAGCCTCTAATACCATATCAAGAACTAGTTTGTCCTGGTAACTCAAGAAAAGTCCCGAAAGTTCAATCTTATATCGTTCTCTTTTGTGACTTGCAGAGAAGGATCTCCATGATAACCCTGCTAAGCTGAAGGAATTCATACTAACCAAACTCCAGAATGCACCTGGTGTAAAGGAAGTTGTGCAGAAGACTGAGGTAGACAGAATCCTATCATCCCCTTTACGATTCAGGCGGCCATGGCAGATTCTGATGGGGAACATAAGCAGAGGCAATGCTTGTATTGCTGGGGATGCACTGCATCCCATGACTCCTGATCTCGGCCAAGGTGGCTGCTCCGCCTTGGAAGATGGTGTGATTCTTGGCAGGTGCCTTGCTGAAGCCCTGAAGAAAGATTCTGCTGGCTTGGGAAGCAAGGAAGAGTACGAGAGGATTGTGGCTGGGTTGAAGAAGTATGCCAAAGAGAGGAGGTGGAGAAGCTTTGATCTCATCACCACTTCTTATCTTGTGGGTTTTGTGCAGCAAAGTGAAGGAAAGATTGGAACTTTTGTTAGAGATCATGTGTTGGCTAAGTTCTTATCTGGGTTGTTGCTGAAGAGAGCTGAGTTTGACTGTGGGAAGCTCATCAGCATGTAGCAAGTCTTCTTCCACATAGTATTTCCCCCACTTTTCATAATGCTTATGAGTTTGCCATTTTCTTTTTGGTTATTTCGATATTGATGCTTATGAGTTTTAAGATGATGTTATTTCATACGAGAATGTAACATGTTTTCTTTGTGGAAAATAATGTTTTAAGTATGATCCACATATATCATAGGCGTTTCGTGTGTTTTCGTTAAGAAATGGTAACATGATAACTTAATTTTTGGGTATAATTTCAAGAAAAAAGTAACAAATTCGTATTCAATACAATACCTATCGATTCGTATAATATCAAATTATTCAACCTGTCGTCTCATTCAAAAATGAGCATTTGAAAAATTCTGTCTAGCACATGTGACAAAGCAATGATGGTCTGAATCCGTACCTCTGCTACTGTCCCAGCTTTAATCATCCTTGTCTGCATCGTACACTACATTGTGTATGCATATACTCCTTCTACGTCAAGGTTCCATCATCTCACTCCCAAAATATCGTCACTCACTGTTCACTTCCCGACTGTTATCCGCTTGCTTTCAACAATGGCGGCCGTGTTGCAACAAGAGGAAGTAGTGATAGTTGGAGCTGGGATAGCTGGACTAGCAACATCTTTAGCTCTTCACAGGTAAGCACCCCAATCCCAGAGCTTCCTCGTTAGATATGTAAACTTTTGAGCACTGGGTAACTTGAAATTAGCTCTGCTTTGCAGGCTTGGAATCAGAAGCCTGGTGCTGGAGTCAGCACCGAGCTTGAGGGTTACTGGGTTTGCTCTGGCGACATGGACGAATGCTTGGAGAGCTCTGGATGCTCTTGGGTTAGGAGACGCTCTTCGCCAGCAACATCAGCGGATTTATGGGTAGTTACTTTTTTTTTTATTGAAAAATGGGGTTTTGCAGAACCTTTTCAGGCTTTTTTCTTCTTCTAAAATTGATACATGGATGGTGTTTGAGGAAATGCCAGAGTGGTGCATGCTTCCACGATTACAGAACAGACGAGCGCAGAGGTGCCTTTCTCTGGTAATGGACATGAAGCTCGATGTGTGCAGAGGAAGCTGTTGCTTGAAGCCATGGTGAATGAGCTTCCCGATGGCACTATCAGGTACTCATCAAATGTGGTTTCCATGGAGGATTCTGAGTTGGATTCTGGGTGCTTAGTCAAGTCGCTGCATCTTTCTGATGGCACCGTTATTAAAACAAAGGTAAGCAAGAGATGGGAAAAAAAAGGATGGGAAACTTTTGTATAGTGGATTCAGTAGTCCATTATACATCTGGAACTAAATTGATTCATTATTGGAAGGTGTTGATCGGCTGCGATGGAGTGAATTCCATGGTGGCGAAGTGGCTGGGATTCAGCAATGCAGCATTCACTGGAAGATCAGCAGTTAGAAGCATGTCAATATTCCCACAAGGCCACGAATTCGGCTCAAAGTTCCTTCTGTTTGTTGGGAAGGGCTTTCGAGTTGGTTGTCTTCCTTGTGATGACAAAACCTTGCACTGGTTCTTCACTTGGACACCCTCTACCCAAGGTATGCTTCATTCTTTCTGGTGTATGTTATGATTAAAATTACAACTCCAGCATGAGAACTTCTTACTACCAAGTCCACTGATATCGCACCCAGAACGAATTTTCTCATCTTATGTCATTCGTTTACGTATACCTGTCTTGTAATCTGCAGAGAAGGATCTCCTAGATAACCCTGCTAAGCTGAAGGAATTTGTACTAAGCAAACTCCAGAACACACCTGATATGAAGAAATTCGTTGAGAACACTGAGACAGACGAAATCATGTCATCCCCATTACGGTACAGGCGGCCATGGGAGGTTCTGATAGGAAACATAAGCAAAGGCAATGTCTGTGTTGCAGGGGATGCCCTGCATCCCATGACTCCTGATATCGGCCAAGGCGGCTGCTCCGCCTTGGAAGATGGTGTCACGCTTGGCAGGTGCCTTGCTGAAGCCTTGAAGAAGAATTCTTCTGCCATGGGAAGTGAAGAGATAGGCAAGGAAGAGTCTGCAATGATTGAGGCTGGGTTGAGTAAGTATGCCAAAGAAAGGAGATGGAGGAGCTTTGAGCTCATTGCCACATCTTACTTGGTGGGTCGTGTGCAGCAAAGTGAAGGAAAGATTGGGACTTTTCTGAGAGATCATCTGTTGGCTAAGTTTCTTGCTGGGTTGCTGCTGAAGAGAACTGAATTTGACTGTGGGAAGCTCATCAGCTACTAGCAGAGTGTGTTTTTTATTATGTTTTTCTTTTGGTTATCTTTCGACATTAGTGTATTGTGTATTTAATGTTTTAAGACGAGATGTTTTAAGATTATGTTATATCATAAGAGATAAGAGAGAGTGTAATGTGGTCTTTTAATGAAAAATAATGTTTCATGTACGATCTACATGTTTTATACGAGATCGTTGTGTTTGCGTTAGAAACGGTAGCATGACAATTTTAAACAATCGAGTTCAATACAATATCAAAATAGGTCATTGATTCATTTATATCAATAATCCAATGAGTCAACCTGTTATCAATCCTTGATCCATTTTTATTTGCAGTATTGACCACAAAACATATGGATTTATGTTCACAAAATAAGCATCTGATAGATTCTCAGTAGCACATGTGACAAATCACTAACAGTACAACAAAGCAAAACGCCGGATGGTCGGAATCGATGCCTCGGCTATCGTCACAGCTTTAGTCATCCTTCTTGTCTGCATCATACACTTACTTTGTGTATATATAAACTCCTCCTACGTCAAGGATCAATCATCTCACTCCCGAAAATATCATCACCCACTGTCCACTTCCTAATTGTTATCCGCTTGCTTTGATGCTTTCAACAATGGCGGCCGTGTTGCAACAAGAGGAAGTAGTGATAGTTGGAGCTGGGATAGCTGGACTAGCAACATCTGTAGCTCTTCACAGGTAACCACCCCAATCCCAAAGCTTTCTCGATCGATATGTAACTTTTAAGTACTGGGTAACTTCAATTTTCAATTCTGCTGTGCAGGCTCGGAATCAGAAGCCTGGTACTGGAGTCAGCACCAAGCTTGAGGGTTACTGGGTTTGCTCTGGCGACATGGACGAATGCTTGGAAAGCTCTGGATGCTCTTGGGTTAGGGGACGCTCTTCGCCAGCAACATAAGCTGATTGATGGGTAGGGTAGTTACAGCATTTCGAGATTTTGATAGAATATTGGGTTTCTGCAGAAGCTTTTCAGGCTTTTTCTTTTGAACTGATGCATGGATGGTGTATTGGTGTTTGATGAAATGGCAGAGTGGTGCTTGCTTCCACGATTACAGAACAGACCAGCGCAGAGGTGCCTTTCTCTGGTAACGGACATGAAGCTCGATGTGTGCAGAGGAAGCTGTTGCTTGAAGCCATGGAGAAGGAGCTTCCGGAGGGCACTATCAGGTACTCATCAAATGTTGTTTCCATGGAAGATTCGGGATCGGATTCTGGGTGCTTAGTGAAGTCACTGCATCTTTCTGATGGTACCGTTATCAAAACTAAGGTAAGCAAGAGATGGGGAACTTTTGTATAGTGGAATCAGTAGTTAATTATACCTCTGAAGCTAAATTGATTCATATATGGAAGGTGTTGATCGGCTGTGATGGAGTGAATTCCATGGTGGCTAAGTGGCTAGGATTCAGCAAGGCAGCATTCACTGGAAGATCAGCAGTTAGAAGCGTTGCAATATTTCCACAAGGCCATGAATTCGTCTCTAAGTTCCTTCTGTTTGTTGGGAAGGGCTTTCGAGCTGGTTGTATTGCTTGTGATGACAAAACCTTGTACTGGTTCTTCACTTGGACACCCTCTACCCAAGGTATGCTTAAAATTAGAATTCCAACCTTAGAAATTTCGACTTCCAAAGTCGCTGATATCGTATCGAGAACGAATTCCTCATCTTATGTCATTGTTTATGTATACTCATCTTGTAATCTGCAGAGAAGGATCTCCAAGATAACCCGGCTAAGTTGAAGGAATTTGTACTAAGCAAACTCCAGAACACACCTGACATGAAGAAAGTCGTGGAGAACACTGAGACAGAAAGAATCATGTCCTCCCCATTACGATACAGGCGGCCATGGGAGGTTCTGATGGGGAACATAAGCAAAGGCAATGTCTGTGTTGCAGGGGATGCCCTGCATCCAATGACTCCTGATATCGGCCAAGGCGGCTGCTCTGCCTTGGAAGATGGTGTCACACTTGGCAGGTGCCTTGCTGAAGCCTTGAAGAAGCATTCTTCTGGCATGGGAAGTGCAGAGATAGACAAGGAAGAGTCTAAAAGGATTGAGGCTGCATTGAGTAAATATGCGAAAGAAAGGAGATGGAGGAGCTTTGAGCTCATTGCCACATCTTACTTAGTGGGTCGTGTGCAGCAAAGTGAAGGAAAGATTGGGACTTTTGTGAGAGATCATGTGCTGGCTAAGTTTCTTGCAGGGTTGTTGCTGAAGAGAGCTGAATTTGACTGTGGAAAGCTCAGCAGCTACTAGCAGAGTGTGTTTTGTAGTAGATTTTCTCTTTGGTTTTGAGGGAAGATGTGAAATCCAAGGGTAAAATTGAAAGGTAAAATATGTATTTCATTACATACTACTGATACTAGCATACAAAGTATATATCTTGATGCATATTTAATGTGAGATCTAATATGTAACCCATTTGGCTGAAAGAAAGACCAAAAAAAAAAAAACAAAAATATACATGTATGTTTGGCCTCAGTCTACACCATAAAGTTGGGGTCTTTCTGGTTGCAATGTTGAAAGCTGGAGTTATCGCCGTAAAAGGTTTTGATAAACTCATAAAACATTGGCGCGATATCAAGACCCTTGTGCTTGCTGTCATCAATGGTGACAGGTTTCCCAGAAGAAGATGTAGTGATTGTAGGAGCTGGTATAGCAGGACTAGCAACATCCTTGGCTCTTCACAGGTATGAGGTATCTACAGTGATTGAACTTGGACTTAGTAAATATGCCAAGAAGAGGCGGTGGAGAAGCTTTCAGCTCATACCTACTGGTTATTTGGTGGATCGCCTGCAACAAAGCCAGAGGAAGATCACAACGGTTTCGCGTACTGGCCAAGTTTCTTGCTGGGTTACTGTTGTAAAATAGCTGAATTCGACTGTGGGACTCTCACTAGCAGATAGCAATCCTACACCCCACTTTGTCTTGTACACAGCTTGTATGATAAAATAATGTCTGATGAACGTGTACGATTCACAGCCACACTCCATTTTCCTTTGGTCAACCCTCTGCTTCTTCTTTTCTTTCTTTCCAAGGGAAAAAGAAGAACTTTCAACGTTGAGATTCATTGAAGGAACCACCAGAGCTGTTTTCAGTTATTTCAAGGTCTTTATAATAAGATCCGCCATTGCCTTCCCCCCTTTTTCACCCAACGTACACAATTGCAAAGAGAAAGGCGGAGGTTACGTGGGGGAGAAGAAACGAAAGAGACTCTGTTTACTGTCCAGTTTTTTCAGATCAGGAAAAAGATCGCCGGTGTGTGTTTTTGTTTTTGTTTTTTAACTTTCCTTTCCTTTCCATTTAAGCATTTCATCATGATGCCGTATTGATGTCATCAAAAGTGACGATGTTTGATTCTCTATCAGCTTTTTTATATACTCCGTGCTCGACAAGGATTCCTCATCCCAATACCAAAATCATCATCCATTGACTATTGTCACCGCCTGTATGCTTTAACGGTTCCCTTTTCTGAACTGCCTCTACTGCCAGGAACAGAAGTATTCAAAGGACCGTTCTGCTTGCTCTCTGATCAATGGCGGCCGTGTTGCAAGAAGAAAAGGTAGTGATTGTTGGAGCTGGTATAGCTGGGCTAGCAACATCCTTGGCTCTGCACAGGTACTTCAACAAGTGATAAGCTTGGTATACTTACCGATTAATTGGTCTGTAAGATTGTAAACAAGTAACTTGAGGATTTGCTTGCAGGCTTGGAATCAAAAGCCTGGTGCTGGAATCAGCAGCGAGCTTGAGGATTACTGGGTTTGCGCTGGGAACGTGGACTAACGCCTGGAGAGCTCTGGACGCTCTTGGTTTGGGAGATATTCTTCGTCAACAACACCGGCTGCTTGATGGGTAACCCTGGCCTTGAGAAATTTTCATTTTGTTTTCGTAAAGTTTTGATTTTTTCGATATGCTGTGCTGCCATGAGTTGGAGCAAGCTGATTGAACATAAGGTGTTCGATGAAATGTCAGAGTGGTTGCTGCTTCCACGATTACAGGAAAGACCACAGCTGAAATGTCTTTTGCTGGTACCGGACATGAGATTCGGTGTGTGCAGAGGAAACTGTTGCTTGAAGCCATGGAAAGGGAGCTCCCAAATGGTACTATAAGGTACTCCTCCAAAGTGACGACTATGGAGGAATCGAAGTCGGGCTATTCCAAGCTGCTGCATCTTGATGATGGTACCATCATCAAAACCAAGGTAATCAGAAGAGAAAAGATTACAACTTTAGTCCTGGCAGAATCAGTTCGTATCTGAACCCCTTTTGATTTGTCAACATAAGGTGTTGATTGGCTGTGATGGAGTGAATTCCGTAGTGGCAAAGTGGATAGGATTGAACGAGGCAGTAACTTCATGCAGATTAGCAATTAGAGGTACTGCAACGTTCCCAGAAGGCCATGGCTTTGCCTCCAAGCTCTTCATGTTTGCTGGAAATGGCTTTCGAGCTGGCTGTCTCCCTTGCAATGATAAAACCATATACTGGTTCTTCTCCTGGACACCCTCTATCCAAGGTAATGTTATCAATCATGAAAGTATGTGAAAAGCCTTCACTGTTCCATGTCTAAGAAGTGTACTCTCTCTTGTAGAAAAGGAACTCCAATATAACCCTTCTAAGTTGAAGGAGTATGTGCTGAGCAAACTTCACAATGCACCCAACCTGAAGAAAGTCGTGGAGAAAACCGAATTAGATTGCGTTTTGTCATCTCCTTTGCGCTACAGAAGCCCATGGGAGTTTGTGTGGAAGAGCTTAACCAAAGGTGGCGTCTGTGTTGCTGGGGACGCCCTGCATCCCATGACGCCTGATCTTGGGCAAGGTGGCTGTGCTGCCTTGGAAGATAGTGTCACTCTTGGCAGGTGCCTTGCAGAGGCCTTAAACAAGAACTCTAACGTGGAGAACAACGAATCAGACGACGAGGAAGAGTGCAGAAGGATTGAGCTCGGGCTGAGTAATTATGCCAAGGAGAGAAGATGGAGAAGCTTTCAGTTCATCACTGCAGCTTATTTGGCTGGCCGTCTGCAACAGAGCCAAGGGACGATTACAACGTTTCTGAGAGATCGTGTCTTGGCTAACTTTCTTGCTGGGTTGCTGTTGAAAATTGCTGCATTCGACTGTGGGAAGCTTACTAGCAAATAGCCATAGTTCTTTCTTCACATTGTTGTAAGGAGGCAGAATCTTGTATCGAAAGCAAAATTCCAAACCCACACCTCCATTCTCGCCGGCTTCGATCTTGGAGTGCGGTGGTGATTGGATTTATCGAAAATTTCAGAACTTTCTCAGCTTGCATAGCCCCTTCCGTCCTAGCTTTGCTTTCATTATCCGCATGACAAACTTTTCAGGACTTCTCTCAAGTTCATCATCGAAATTTACATATTGGTCCAATGTCTTTATGTCACTTAGATCCATAAATCCAATCACCAATTCATTTGATTCAAATTCATGAATCTTACAATCCACTAATTCAATCCATGAATCCAAACCATACTTCACCTCTACTAGCGGGTCATATGCAACTTGGTGATAGTAAGATCACAAAATTTGTTAGAGATCATGCATTGGCCCAGTTTCTTGCTTGGTTTTAGTTGAAGATGACAGAATACGGATGCGGGAAGCCCACTAGCAATACCTGACTTGATTTGTAGTCTCTTCTCGTTAAAATTTTCTAAATTTTGTGAACCAATTTGCTTATAATTTGAATGTAGTGGATTCATCAAGAATCTGATTGATTGGACAATTAGATTAATTTGTAACCCAATAAATTGAGCTTGTTATCCTTCCTGAAATCTGATTATGCTTAATCAAATCTTCTAGTTTGACATGATCAAAATTAGCTGACTATAACTCGTTTAACCTATAATTGTAGACTCGCAATAATTTTGATCATTTATCTTTTCTTTTGCCCTCAAAGATCACGGCCCATTTATCGTTATCCTTTTCTTGATTAAAGTTTTTTCGGGCCCATATTCTACCAAACCAGCTAAGCCCAGTTTCAGCCCACGAGTGCTACTCCTATTCCTAGCCGTCTACATGAACTGAGGTGCGACACCGTTTCATGCTCCCCCACCGCATTATAGAAACCGGCGAGATTACTCCGTCCATCGTTTCTCCTTTCCTCTCTCGCATTCGCAGAATCGCAGTATCTTGACTTGAAGCGAACGAAACCTAGCGAAAGGAAAGCTTTGTTTTCTGTTCGTCGGAAGCAATTATCGGCAAAGATGAGTACCGCGCCAGCTCAAGATGTCGAGATGAAGGAGACTCCGGCTCCGGTGGCAGCTCCGTCCAATTCAGCTACCTCCGCCGCGCCTTCGGCTCTCCAACGTGAGTTCTCATTACTGATTTTGGTTGGATTGTAATTTGGGGATGTAGATTTGGGGGTTTATGTTATGCTGTGTTTGGTTTTCCTTCCAGATTTGAAGGAGATTGCTTCGTTGATTGAGACTGGGGCGTATGCTCGTGAAGTTCGGAGGATTGCGCGGGCCATCAGGCTGACTATGGCACTGAGGCGGAAATTGAAGACCTCGGTGGTCTCGGCTTTCCTCAACTTTGCACTCACTCCTGGATCAGAGCCGCATGCGCGTCTGTCATCTTATCTCCCCAAGGTGATTTTATTACACTTCGTGTGAGTTCTTCGTGTTGGTGATAGTCCAACTAGTGGCTTAACTATGCATTACCTTTGAATTGGTTTGATGGGTAGGGAAGAAACCTTTTGCTTTATACTTTTGCTTACACATATCACTTACCACATTATCGAACCTATTGCGAAGGGTAGTGAAACCGCCTGCAAGATCTTTTAGTGGTAATTACTAAGTAGTGTTACTGCGGATGAAACTTTATTAGGCAATCTTATTGAGATTGATTGATTCTAGACTTATAGTTCCATGATAAAGTCTGGCCCCCTACCTTTTGAGGGGGATTAGCCTTAGGTAGCAGTTTCTTTGTTGGTGAATTGTGGAACCTTAGCTGGTAGTTTTATCTTGGGTTGCAGGAGGATGACCATGAAATGGAGGTTGATACTGCAACCTCGGTAGTGCAAGCTTCTGTGAAGCACTCCCTTCCCGAGCTGGAGATATTTTCTTACTTGCTGGTCTTGATATTTCTGATTGATCAAAAGAAATACAGTGAGGTAATTCATCGTATATGTGATTTCAGAATTAGAGCCCATTTCATTCAGCTGCTATTACTGATCTACTTGTCACATGCTTTCATGTTTTAGGCTAAAGCTTGTTCATCAGCAAGCATTGCAAGGCTTAAGAACATTAACAGAAGGACTGTTGATGTCTTAGCATCGAGGCTTTATTTCTACTACTCGCTCAGTTATGAGCACACTGGTGACCTTGCTGAAATAAGAGGGTGAGTTGTATATTCTTTTGCAATGTCAATTGGCGGCGTTAACATCTGGGCTTCTTCTGTTTTTTATTGTATTTATTTTATAGATTTCCTTGGGTTTTGCCTGACTTGCTTCTTTTCTTTTTTGGCAGTAACCTGCTTGCACTTCACCAGATCGCAACTTTGCGCCATGATGAGCTGGGTCAGGTACATTTTCCAAGGACATGAATGGTTTTTTTCTCCCTTTCAGATTCCTGATTCATGTCCTTACGAAATAACCTTATTATGCAGGAGACACTTCTCAATCTGCTGCTACGCAATTACCTCCACTACAATCTGTATGATCAAGCAGAGAAGCTAAGGTCCAAGGCACCCCGATTTGAAGCCCATTCAAATCAGCAGGCAAGGAATTCTCTATAATTTATCAACTTCTAACTTCTGTCTGTGATATTGGGGTTTCGATTGCATGTATTACCAGGTGCCTTTTGGTTTTGCCTTTGAATTTTTTAATGTCCAACTCTATTCCACATATTACAACATAACATCCATGAGGTCTGGAGGCAATATCAACAAAGTCCAGGTCATATTAAAACTTGGATAGGCTTAATTCAGATAGAAGGACTCTTGATACTTCTAATCTTTACGTAACCAGTGATACTCAAGGCCTCAGCCTTCTTCTCAGTAAGTGCAATCATCGAACTAGACTCCCAGTAAGTGATGAAATCAGTGGAAGCCGTCTAACTGTGTTGCTGAGTTGGTAAAGTAACATAATGAGTAGGAGTCATTACACAGAGATTTGCTTGATAGAAATGTCTAGAATGCATCTACTAGTATGGTCTTCATGTCATAAAACTTTTTTATTTATATACTTCTATGATCTTTCATTGATTAAAGTAGTGAATTATGTCTAATGAAATTTTGTTGCAACATGAGTGAACAAGAACTCCAGTACGTTATTTCATGATAGAGATGTCACAACTCACAAATGTGGGTATCTTCGTGCTCATTCTACCCTTCTCACTTCAGCTCTTCTTCTCTATGGCAGTTTTGCAGGTACCTGTTTTACCTGGGAAAGATTAGGACGATTCAGTTGGAATACACAGATGCTAAGGAGTCCCTCCTACAAGCTGCTCGGAAAGCCCCCATTGCAGCCCTTGGCTTCCGTATCCAATGCACTAAATGGGCTGTCATTGTCAGATTGCTGCTAGGAGAAATCCCCGAAAGGACTGTCTTTATGCAGAAAGGCATGGAGACAGCTCTGAGGCCTTACTTTGAGTTGACAAATGTAAGTATCTTTCTTATCTGAAATCAAGTTCTTGATTGATATGCATTACAGTGAAAACAAGATAACTAATGAGGGTCACTATTATGATTCCCAATCTCACAGGCTGTCAGAATAGGTGACTTGGAGCTCTTCAAATCTGTGGCTGAGAAGTTCTCAGCGACATTCAGCGTGGATAGGACCCACAACCTGATCGTCAGGCTGCGCCACAACGTCATCAGAACTGGGCTCAGGAACATCAGCATCTCCTACTCTCGTATTTCGTTGGCCGACGTCGCCAAGAAGCTGAGACTCGACTCCCCAAACCCCGTTGCTGATGCAGAAAGCATTGTCTCCAAAGCAATCCGAGATGGCGCGATCGACGCGACAATTGATCATGCCAAGGGGTGGATGGTGTCTAAGGAGACTGGGGACATTTACTCGACGAATGAGCCACAGATGGCATTCAACTCGAGGATTGCCTTCTGCCTCAACATGCACAACGAAGCTGTCCGTGCACTCCGCTTCCCTCCCAACTCCCACAAGGAGAAGGAGATTGCTGAGAAGAGGAGGGAGAGACAGCAGCAAGAGCAGGAGCTTGCCAAGCACATCGCGGAAGAAGATGATGATGAGTTTTAAGAGTTTGGAGGGAGCTTAGTCCATTTTCTCAGTTCCATTTGTGTTCTGCTAGACATTGTTTACTTGTACTAGTAGGTGGTTTCACCTTCTGCATATTTATAGACCATCTCTTTGGCAAGATTTTCAGATTTCAAGCATTCTACTGTGTTCCAGTTAGCAAATCAGTGAGATGTTTACTTGAACTAGTAGGTGCACAGTATCACCTGCTTTTTTGGATTTGGTTCCAGGATGCCAAAGGTTAGAAAGAATGTAAACCTTCACCATATCATTTAACAACTATATCTTTGTTACAAAACTTCTGAATTCAACCATGGTTGGAACAAAAAAAGGAGCAAGATCACATTGTCAACAGGTTTCACCAAAGATTACTGAATATGCAATCAAGTTGAGCTCAGCCCAAATGACTTGACAATGTTGCTAACTCTTTCTGCAAAAGTCCTTGATGTGATCTTTTTACCCGGTACGTGAAAGGGGTTTGAGACGGCGTCAACATATGCAGCATGGAACCTCCGGAAAAACTGCAACGCGATATCATTGAACAATCTAAAGTGAGAAGTTGTGACAAGTCATACGTAGCCAGAGGCCACAGGGGTAGATAGTAGATTAATCAGATTAATCATCGTCTTACGTCTTACGAATAATGCAGCAAGCTAGATACTCAATTATAGCATATCTATATACTCAAGGAACATGAACAAGGGATTCTAGTTCCTCTGCATTGCAACAATTCCAGGCTAGGGGGAGCAGAAATGCAAGTGCCAAAGCTTGAAGACGATGTTCTCACATGGAAAATCTAGACGCTTTTCGAGACAACAGGGAGAGGTTATCAGCTTAAGCAAACAAAATCCCTCACCAGAGCAGAATCAACCTTTTTGCAGATTAAACCCCAATACCTCAGCTATATAACTTCACAATCTTAGTAACATCAAAGGAATAGTATCGTCCCAAGATAATGCCATTCACAGCAGAACTACAGAGGTAAAAATCTGTATGACCACCAGCTTACTCCTAAAACCATCCTAGCAAGTCTATGTTCAAATTTCCATATGCCAAATTTGCAGGACAAGAGATCAACACAGGAAAGCAGAGAGAACGCCCAAAATCCAATCTTTAGAGAAGAGTATTGGCAATACTTACATTTCTCACATCCACGTCTCTGACGTCTAAATCCGTTGTTACCAAGATGAACTTCACCTTCGTGTTAGTCAGATATCCATACCTAAAACACCAAAGCAACATTCAATAAGCAAAATTTCCAAGCTCTCCTAATTCGAATTATCCAGAAAAACAGGATGCTTACACTTTGTAATTCTCAGTCGGATACAGCAATCCCAGAAACGTTTCGTTCAGAGTTGGCCCGGATTTCTTCGGATTATTCACTGGTTCGGTTACAGGTTCCAGATTAGGGGAAATGAAATTCCACATCGAAATTGAAGAAAAAGAAACAAACCGCTAGATCAGGATCGGGATTCCGGCGGCATTTACCTCGCTCATCGACAACGTCGAGGGAGCAGTGAACGATGTGATGGAGCTTCAACGCGTCGTCCGCCTCCGTGAAGCTCTGAATGTACAGCGGATTGTTCTGGTCGGCGAAATGAGGAAAACAAAACGTCGTCAGATTCCGGCGAATGGGAAATCCGTGATTAAGCAAGTGTAAAGAACGGAAAAGACTGACGCACCTGATGCCCGACGACGGCGACGCAGACGATCATCTCCGCCGATTGAGATCGGTTTATTCTGAGTCGCTGCCGAGTTTTGGTTTTCAGTTGGGAGTGTGAACTGAGGATGCTCTCCGATCAGAAATTTTGGGACGTATTGAGTCGAGAGAAGGAATGTTGATGTGGTGCGGGCAAGCGTAGCGAATCTACCGAGTACCCGCGTGCTTTTTTACTTTAGAACATTTCTATAGTAAAAAGGGGGGGAAAGAGAAATATGAGGTTAATTTCCACTTTTTATCCAATATATAAATTTTAATTTTTGGGCTAACAATCATTTATCGAACAAAAAGAGAGATAACTTTATAAAATTTTTAATCATGATATTATCATATATGAATATGATATTCTTATTCCAGCAGAGTGCGGCGACAAAGGGAGTTGTTAGGGATGAAGCATATCGGTTCTTGAGTGCATTTACGACAAATTTAGGGGGAGGATCGATAACACAAGCAGAGATGATATGGATACTACAGGGATTGCAGTATGCATGGACCCTAGGTGTTCGAAAGCTTGTACTGGAGACAGATTCTCGGGTTGTAGTGGAGTTGGTGCACTTGGTGCCGCCTTTCTAGTCCTCACATCCAGCTGACAATGCAAACTAGCGAATGATAGAGAGGGACTCGGTGGTTCGAGTGGAGCACGTGTTACAGGAAGGAAACATCATTGCGAACCTCCTAGCGTCGACTGGTCATACAATGCCTTTTAGGTGTCCATTTGATCTCGATTCCGGGAGCTATGTTACAGCATTGGTTGATGTATAACTTGACAGAGAGCCAAACTTCCCGTTTTACCTCTTGAGTTAGGACCGAGCATTCTTTTGCGCCCGTTTCATAAATAAAAAAAATGTATATATAGTGCATCAAAATTATTCTGACATTTTGGTTTTTTCAAGGCACCATCAAAGTAGTTCTTCTAGGTTTAGAATAACCAAATATTCTACCTTCTTCATCAAATTATGTACCATGAAAGAAACAAATTTCCTTGGAAAATACGGTTAGGGTTTTTGTATTCCTTGTCCTCCTATATACTCCTCCCAATCCCTTTGCTTAAACTCCATCTCCATATATTATATACCAAGTAAGTACCTTTCCTGCTCCTTAATCCATCCGAATTTCTCATTTAACAATCATACTTAAGTAGTAATTTTTAGTACTAAACACAAAGTTATTTATTTGGTCAAATTGATAAAACTTTTCCTCATTGGGTAATCGAATCCAACGGCCAGGATCAGCTCACCAGTAAAAGCGCTGAAATCGAGCTCATCCACCCTACGGGTGAAAAAAACAAAAAAAGATCACAAATAAAATAATCGGCCAAATACCACGGATTAGGAAATTACAATGCCGCCCCCCAAAACACCGCTTCTCTCACCACCACCATTTTTATGATTCTTCGCCTCCTTCCGCCTTTCACCCTTTTTTTTTCATTTGCTCTCAGCAATCGGAATTTGTAGTCCGACGACGACGCGAGAGTCGGCCGGTGGCTGCGTTTCAGAACGTGTGATATATAGAGAGCAGGAAAATCAGCTCGTAATCGCGAGGAACCGGGAATCAAGCTCCGGTTTATTGTGTTTTATTTTATCTAGTCTTCCACAACCTTTTGCTCCATTTACCGCCATCGGTTTATCGCAGACGATAAGGTAATGCGTTGTTTTTGTTGCTTGGCGATTGAGGGTTTGATCGGTTGAGCTGGTTTCTTGGGTCAATCAAGAGTTGGGTTGATGGTGGGGTTGTTTCTATTTGTTGAGCTGGTATATGCTGGAAGAATGGGGTGGAATCTGCTTTGTGTTTATTGGATTTATCGTGTTGTGCGTTGCTTTTTGATTTTGTGGATGTTGGTTTTTTAGGATGGCATTGGTAGTGCTTGTCTGGGGTTCTCGTTAGCTTGGTGGAATGTCGATTTTGAATATAGTGTTTGAGGTTATTGTTAGTGATTCTCAGTTGAAATCTATTGGCATGCATTGTTTGATTGTTTCGATTTGAATCCGTAAGTTCCTTTCATTTTCTGTTTAGAGTTGGAAGAGTTGTGGAGCGTCCATATCTCGGGTTATGCTTGATTACAACTAAGCTTTGAATTGGATTTCTGGGGTCAGCATCTTATGTGAATTTGGCCTAAAGGGTATGTATTGGAGGAGCTTTAGTACATATTAATGATATTAGACGGACACGTTAATGAGCAGGGCTTTCTCAGATAAAGGCGAAGTCTTTAGCTCTGAATGACTACTTTTTCTTGATAGAAATGTCCTACTGCTCTCAACATATTTTGTATTTTGTTTTCAGATGGGAAGCAAACAAATTGATAATGTTACCCATGTTACCGATTCGAACTCCATTGTCGACAGCAATGCCGTAAATGATAGTGTCGACAACAATGCCGTAAATGACAGTGTTCCTACTAGTGAAAGCGAGAGCACTCAAGTTCACAAATATTCTGAGTCTGTCAGGACCTTGCACAATGTGGCTTACATTTATAGACAAGATGTGGTAAAGCACAAGGAAACTGGTTTAATAGGGATAGTAGATGAGGTGGCTGGTGACTCTGATTCAGACAGTAGCATCACTGATGATGACGATGACGATGCTGACGAAGATGATGGTCTTGATGAGGATGATGATGCTGACGGTGATGGTCAAGATGATACTGCTGATGGCTGTACCAACAATGACAATGAGAATAGTGACCAGAAGAAAACCGGAGGAAACCGTAAAAAAGGAGCACTTCAGGCTGATCAGGTTCGAGTACTTTGGATGCACGAAATGGAACAAGTGCAAAGCATTAATGATGTAAAAGTCATCGATCGGGGTTTCTTGCATGGTGATTATGTTGCTTCTGCTTCAGACCCAACCGGGCAAGTAGGAGTTGTGGTGGATATCAACGTCTCTGTTGATTTGTTAGCTCCTGATGGTTCAGTAGTGAACAATGTATCATCCAAAGGCTTGAAGCGGGTGAGGGAGTTTGTCGTAGGAGATTATGTAGTACTTGGCCCTTGGCTCGGACGAGTTGATGATGTCATGGACAATGTGACTGTTTTAGTGGATGATGGTTCGGTCTGCAAAGTACTGGGTGCTGAACCACTCCGTCTCGAACCTATTTCCAAGAGTTTCTTCGATGAAGATGATCATTTTCCTTACTACCCTGGGCAGCGTGTGAGAGCAAGCTCATCCTCGGTATTCAAGCATTCCCGATGGTTATATGGTTTGTTTAAGCCTAATAGATTAGAAGGAACTGTTACCAAAGTCACAGCAGGATCAGTATTCATTTATTGGATAGCTTCTGCTGGCTATGGTCCAGATTCTTCAACAGCTCCTGCTGAAGAGCAGAACCCTAAAAATCTAAAACTGTTGTCTTGCTTTGCTCATGCCAATTGGCAAGTAGGAGATTGGTGTCTTGTCCCCCCAACTGTTCTAAAATCATCCTCCATTACTACGGACACTGAATTATCCAATTCAGGACTCTGTGATTCGGTGAAAGATAAATTGGTTTCTAGTCAACTAGGAAAAGATTGTGAGGGTGAAGAGGTTCGGCTAGAGGAATTGGATGAGAATAAGGAAGCCATGAGCATTGATGCAGAGGTGCCTCCTACTGGCGATAGTGCAGCTAAAACTGGAACTAACAAAGAGTTTCAGGAATCAAACTCCTGCAGTAATTCTGCATCTGTTTCAAAGGAGCCAGTGCATGAAACTTGGCCACTTCACCGCAAGAAGATACGTAAGGTTGTTGTCAGGAGGGAAAAGAAGCATCGATTGAAGGAAGAGAAGTTCGAAAGAGCATTTCTTATTTTCAATACAAAGACAAGTGTTGATGTTGCTTGGCAGGATGGAAGTTTGGAGCATGGAATGGATTCCACCAAATTAATTCCTATCGATAGTCCTGGCGATCATGAATTTCTCTCTGAACAGTATGTAGTGGAGAAGGCATCTGATGATACTGAAGATAATAATTCTTCTGAAGTAAGGCGAGTTGGAGTGGTGAAGAGTGTTAATGCGAAGGAACGAACAGCTCTTGTGAGGTGGTTAAAACCAGTTGTTAGGGCTGAAGATCCTCGTGAGTTTGATAAGGAGGAAATCGTGAGTGTTTACGAGCTCGAGGGGCATGGTGATTATGATTATTCTTATGGAGATGTTGTTGTGAGATTGTCTCCAGTTTCTACTCAAACTATCTTTGATCGGCAACCCTCCCCTCACAAGCCAAAGCAGCAAAATTTGATGGATGATGATGCTTCGAATCCCGCAGAAGATGAAGAGAAATCAGAGTTGGTGATACCTGGGGAGGAAGCTAGTAGCATGGACTGCTACTCAGATCTCTCTTGGGTTGGGAATATAACTGGTCTTCACAATGGAGATATTGAGGTGACATGGGCTGATGGAATGGTCTCTACGGTAAGCTTGCCACCTTCTTGATCTGCTTAATATGTCTCTTTTTTTTTCTGGTGCTTGTTAATTAACCCATCGTTTTATCATTAGGTTGGACCTCAAGCTGTTTTTGTGGTTGGCCGTGATGATGATGATGAGTCTGTTGCTGTTGGTAGTGAAGTGAGTGATGATGGTGCTAGTTGGGAAACAGTTAATGATGATGAAGATGATGACGGGATGGATGCCCTTGAGAATTTTGAAGAGGTTCCTTCTGTTTCACAGCACTGCTGTTATTGATAGTTAACAAGTGTGGATTAATTTAAGCTTAACTTAAATGGCTCATATTGATAATGTAACCTGTAATTGCTGGGGCATTACTGTCCTTGACTAAGTGAGGTGACCTTTTTTGTTTCAGGAAGAACGTTTGCAAAATGCAACCAACATAAACTCTGATGTGGACGAGAACATGGAGAATAGCAATGCCGTGAGAAGTCCAGCAGTTTCACTGTCCTTGGCAGCATTTGGATTTGTTACGAGATTGGCTACTGGAATATTTTCACGTGGGCGGAAAAGTTCTGATTCAGAGCTACTGGAGAACAGAAACGAATCTGAATCTCAGGGATTGATCTCCATTGCTGAAGATAGAAATTCCAGTGACACTTCTGGTTCTGTGAAGTCTAATGTCATTGATCCTAAAAGTCCGCATGGGGAAGAAGAAGTAAATGGGGTCATGGAAGTTGCTGCACCACCACAACCTTTTGGCAATACGAAGGTTGAGAACACGAATATGTCATTAAGACATATTGAGGAGGATGCAAGCAAGTTCAAACGATTTGACACGGCAAAAGATCCTTCTGACCATTATTACGTGGGATCAGTTGGACAGGTATAACCATGGGTACATAATAGTAATCCATACGTTGAATGGTGTCCTAAGTAAGCACCAAAATATGTTATATGTGGTTAAAAACGGTTTATAATGCAGTTAATGAGGTTTGTTTTACAAAACTTGCAGTCTAGCAATAGCCGGAAATGGTTAAAGAAGGTACAGCAAGATTGGAACATTCTTCAGAACAACCTTCCAGGTAAGCTTTTGTGTTAGGTTCATGATTGCATAAATCAACTATGTCCTAATCTTGCTTTAAAACTTTTGCGACAGATACTATTTTTGTACGAGTATATGAAGATCGAATGGATCTTTTGAGGGCAGTAATAGTTGGTGCATATGGAACCCCTTACCAAGACGGTTTGTTCTTTTTCGATTTCCACCTTCCACCAGAGTACCCTGATGTTCCACCGGTATAAAAAGCTCACTTTTTCTTTTACACCCTCTTCTCGATTTCAATAGACCAACCTGTGTTTGTATATTGATGGATTGGTAAATGACTTGTGTTCGGTCGTGCAGTCAGCATACTATCATTCTGGTGGTTTGAGAATAAACCCAAATCTTTATGAAGAGGGCAAGGTGTGCCTTAGTCTTTTGAATACTTGGACTGGCAGAGGAAATGAAGTTTGGGATCCGAATTCTTCTAGTATCTTGCAAGTCCTCGTTTCGCTTCAAGGGCTGGTGTTGAATTCTCGGCCTTATTTCAATGAAGCTGGATATGACAAGCAAGTTGGAACTGCTGAAGGAGAAAAGAATTCACTTTCCTACAATGAGAACACGTTCTTACTGAACTGCAAATCCATGATGTATCTTATCCGAAGGCCTCCAAAGGTAACAATTGCCTAGACCATTTTTGTGGCATTGGTCTTTGATTTGATTTATATTATTGTTCCTGATTCTACTGCAACAATGTTCCAATTTCAGGATTTTGAGGAGCTTGTGAAGCTGCATTTCAGGAATCGTGGTCAGTACATTCTCAAGGCATGTGATGCATACATGAAAGGGAGTCTGATTGGGTCTCTTAAGATGGATGCATCTATAAGCCACGATGCCAGTTCCAATTCGAGCTCAGTTGGTTTCAAGATAATGCTTACTAAGATTGTCCCCAGACTATATTCATCACTAAGCGAAATTGGAGCTGATTGTGAAGAGTACAAGCATTTGCTGCAGTTATAGCAGGCTGCTAGGAGCATGATCTGATTTACTTGTCGTCGATCTTCCTTCCAACATTTGTGGAAACCAAAGTCGAAACGAAAAAGAGGGGAGAAGGGTTTTCTTTGTCTCTGAACTCAATGGCTGTGCTTTCAAAACGGCCGATAACTTGTAAATTCAGATTAGCTTTTCTGGATGAAAAAGCCTCTGATAGTTTTAGCTTTAACTGTGTTTCTTCTTTGTCATCTAACATGACTGGATAGGAACATTTCTATTTTATACATTTTGTTTCATTCCTTCTCTATTCGAATTGGGAATATTGCTGCTTGACTGCATGGTTTGAAGTCTCTTCTCTGGGAACTTGAAGACTAAAAGGACTTTGGGTTCTTTGTTATGGTATTGTAGTTGAAGGGAAAAGTATTCCCTCGCCACTTGAAATGTAATCTAGGGATCTAGGAAATGAGAGTCAGGAACAAGTTATTCCTTTGTACCATTACTGTATTCATAGAAAAGGCTCAAAATGATAGTAATTTTCTCCTCTTGATAGTGTCTTCCCTTTGCTAATAACCAATTCATGGCAGCAAAGAACTTTCTGGAAATTTTGTCAACTGCAAATTCGACAGATTTGCTTATCTAGAAACCATGAAGGCAGAAGCTAAGCCCTTTGCCGCAGAGCACCACAGACTGAGAACAGAACCCGCAGAATGGAAATGCAATTTGTTACATACTCTATAGAGAGATTTCTGCAGGTTTTCGGGGTTTTCCCGGCTAGCATTTTTAAGACGAGTGAAAATACAGAGGCTAAAACAAACTAAAGAACAGTTGCAGTTCTACAGATGAGGGCAAATACGACTGATCCCAGAAGGCGATAACAATGCGCCCATAGTAGACTCATATGGAATGAACAGACAGTGTATAAGTAGCTGATGATCTAGTCTGGGTGCTGCGTACTCGCAGAAGGCATGCTCATGTAAATAGCATATGATCTCCAGTTATCAAACAATACCGGCAGCTTCCTTGATATCAGAAGTAGGCAACTTTAGTGCATTGCCAATCATAAAAGCTTCAAATTTACATAATGAACCATGATCATCACCAACTGTGCGATTCAGGATCATCTAACGAATCGCTCTGCAGACTGCAAGTAACCACTCATTTGCATCCATCCATTCTGCGAACCAAACCTACGCCTAGTTCAATAAGTATGTATAGGCTTACGCTTTTAGCAGACAATTCTAGGACCCAATGCATTCAGTTCAGCACATCGATCAATACTTAAAACTTCAAAGAACAGCCTATATATTCATGTACTATGTCTGTTCATGAACTCCTAGGGGAGGAAGGCAAATCAATTGGATCATATAACAAGAATAAAGCAGGAAGGATTAAAGACGGAAAGCTAGAATCTTTCACTATTATTCTGAACAACAAAGTATGCACAGCAAAACCACATATGGATAATTGCTACTGTCGCAAATTCTGAAACCACTACTCAAAGAACCATAATCAATAATTCCCCTTTCATCTCTTGTGTTCTAAAAAGCTACCCAAAATCACTCAGAAGCAAAACGAATTGAATATAATAGAAAAGAAGTACAATTTGAAGCTCATACAGTACTGTTCTTGATCATTCCTCTCCTGGCCAAAGCCCTCGCAACGGGAGGCGTCAGCGCGAGGGTGATCGGGACCCGAATCGGGAACAGCGCCTTGTTGAACAGCAAAGCCAGAGCGAGCGCGCCACCGCTCGAAGCAGCGAGCTCCGCCACCCGACTCCTCCCCTTCGTCTCCTCCTGGCCACTCACCACCACCGTCGTCGATTCCGCCGGCGCCCGATGCGCCTCCGATTCGATACCGCCGCCGCTGGGCCGAGGAGCTTGCTGCTCCTGGATTTGCTCGGCGGTGGGGGATTCTTTGCTCGACAGCCCCGGGAGATGGAGCTTGTCGAAGACCGACTCGACGTCGACGTTGTTCCTGACGGCGACGTAGAGCCCCGTGATGGAAGCGGCGGAGACGGAGAAGTGAACCCCTAGTGCTACTTTCCCGTACTTCTTCAGTAGCTCTCTGAATCGACCGCCCGCCATGGAATTCCCCTTTCCCGTCTGCTTGGGAAGAGAGAATCGAATGAAAAAGCAAGGGTTTTTGGTAGGGCTTTTCACTCCGAGCAAATGTAATTGAAGTCGAAATTGGAGAAACGTTTATAAAAGTACAGTTGAGAAACGTTTTCCGATTCCCGGCAAAGAAAGTAAGAAAGGTGAGAACTTGGACGAAGGGTCAAGAAAAACTCCTTAAACGACGGCGCCTTGGCGAAGCACAAGTTCCCCTGTGATATTCGACCCATCCGCAATTCCGACAGTCCAATTTCAGAGAGTTGCAGACTTTCATCAGTAAAGAAAACAACTTATAGTCAACTTGAAGATGAATGAGATGATGGAATGAGCATGAATCCAAGGCCTTCCAGGCATTAGGTGCCATGAATCCGAATCCGCTAGACCTCAAGCTATCAGCTGATTCCAACACCAAGCTTCTTATCCCCATCCTGCAGCAATTTTGCTTCATAAGATCATACAGAAATCCCAACAGAACTACCAGGATTTTGAACTGTGGGGAACAGCTAATTTAGTTACCTGTGAAGTGATAAAGCTGTATAGCAAGATCAGCAAGCCCAGCTCCCACAGTCACAATTCCTTCTTCCATGCTTCAGATTTTCTTTAGTCTAGACAAACAATGAGTGCCTTAGCCTTTAAAGTTGGAGCAGGTTGCAATGGTGGAGAAAGGGAATGACATGGTTAAGAAATGGGTAATGGTGTTGATGACAGAAACAAATTCATTACTTTTTTTTAACTTAAACGGCCTACATTAATTTATAGTATCCTGTATATTCTTATTTAGATTATATTCAAACGAATCCTCATTAATATTCAATTAATATTATGAGCTCACATGTCAAATGAACTTAATTGTTTTGGACATTTTTACCTACGTTTTTTTATACTTCAAATGTGATTTTTATTCAATTTTCAATTAGATTATACCAAATTATTGATTCTAGTCCAATGAGAATGAATATCATGCAGTTCACAAAGAGGTTTGAGTAGACGTTGTTGTGGATACATTATACTCAGGTGTTAGATCAAAATAATCTCAATCGATCTATCAAACCAATCAAATCATCCATAGTTCGGCCTTTTGAATAAGAAAAGAGTTCCACGACAACAAGAAACAACGAAAAGATTATGTTGTGATAAACATTTTCATTCAAAATTAGGCAGAAAACATACCTAATCAAATCATCTACATTCAAGAGTTTCAGAATACGAAAGGAATTATAAGATCTAACCGGAAAAAGTGGATTACAAAGTCTTACTCTAGAATATCATAACTAAAGAATTTTTATGAAGAATAAGTAATACCTTGTTTTAGGGAGATAAGTTCATATCCATTTTTTTAATTCGATTATTTTCCAGGTTTGCTTAGCAAAGAACGAATCTTGGATGCATTAGCTAAAAGAGAAATTTTGCAAGGTTGGCAAATTGATCGATAGCCTGGCAAAAGAACTAATGAACACACATAATTAACCTTCCCTGACCCATAAATCGGAGAAGAGGATAACACTTACAAACTAGTTGAATCAAAATGAAAGAAAAATAGTTGTCTTAATCTGCCACAAACTATTTATCTAAATTTAATTGACATTCAAACCTCTATGATTATTTCTAAATATGGGAAACCCTACACAATTTATTTTTGGTTCTAAGGATAGTTTTCCCCAAACTAGTCGGACTTTATTTGATTACGAATGAGAGATTGATCACTAACTCCATCCAATCTTCTTATCTTCACAAAAATTCCAACTCTTTAATGCTTCGTTTTGGTTTGAACTGTGTATAAGAACGAACTTAATTTAATTGCTCATTTTTAGTCGGGTCTTTGTTACACTCGTTTCAAACTAATTGAACTTGATTTTGTCGGAAATCAGTAACTTCGTCCAAAACAAGTTTAAATTGGCAACCATCAACGAAAACATCAACAATAAAAACTTAAATACGCCGGCGGCCGTCGTTTCCAATTGATGAGTTGGTTGGGCCGACGCATATATAGTACAATATATGTAGTGTTATACCATGATAAGTCATCAACAAATTTAGAGGAAGAGGTTACATTTACACATGATTTCTTTTGGTTGTGCTCTTTGAATAGCAAACAGTTCAAACTCCAACATGTAACAACGTGCTCACACGTAATGGAGGTCGTTGGATCGAATAGTGGACTAATCTTCACAATTGTTTGTGAAAGATTGAGCGCTCGATCCAACGACTTTCTTCTGTAATCGTATTCCGAAAGATGAACGGTAAGCATCATAATCGAGTTGACCTTATCTATCATGACATGTAATTTACTAATCGAAGAAAAGTCAATTATTGAGAGACAAGTTTGCAGTGGGTAGCATGGAGGTTACTGGATATGAATTGTGGCCTACAAAGTACAAACTTAGGCGATACAGTCCAAGCAAAAGGACGATAACATAGGACCTACAAATTGACTACCATCAGCAATGTGCACTAGCTACAGTCCACTAATCAACAAATTAATTTACAAATTACAGGGAAGAGAACCATTTCAGCCTCCCAATCCCCCAACCCAACAAAACAAAAGCTTCATTCAACCATTTCCATGGCTGCCACACCACTCTTTCTTATACTCCTCCTCTTCAATTTCCCACCCGGTTCCCATACCCAAACCCAAAACGCCACCGCATCACCACGACCACAACTCACAGAAGCTACAATCGACACCATCCAACTCGCTTTCAAGCACAGCACCCTCACTTCCAAGCAACTGGTTCAATTCTACATCGACCGGATCCACGAGCACAACCACCTCCTCCGAGCCGTCATTGAGGTGAACCCCGACGCTCTCTCTCTGGCCGAGATGGCAGACAGAGAGCGTCGGGCCAGGGTCCCCGGCTCAGGAGCCGGGCTACATGGCATCCCTGTCCTGCTCAAGGACAACATCGCAACTAAAGACAAGCTGAACACAACAGCCGGCTCTTTCGCACTCCTTGGCTCGAGCGTCCCCCGAGACGCCGGCGTAGCCAAGAAGTTGAGGGCAGCTGGCGCTGTCATATTGGGGAAAGCTAGTCTGAGTGAATGGTCCAATTTCAGATCCAGCTCTGCCCCTAACGGGTTCTGTGGCAGAACCGGCACTGGAAAGGTAGAAATGAAAAATAAAGTTCCTAACTTTGGAATTAAACTCGAGTTATTCGGATTAACTAACGCAGTTTTTTTTCCGTTGTTAGAATCCTTATGTTCTTTCAGCTGATCCATGTGGATCAAGCAGCGGGCCGGGGATATCAGTGGCAGCTAACTTGGTAACCGTGGCAATAGGTTCAGAAACTGATGGCTCCATCTTGTGTCCTTCAAGTGCTAACTCAGTGGTTGGAATCAAGCCAACAGTTGGTCTCACGAGCAGGGCAGGGGTCATACCAATTTCCCCTAGGCAGGACTCAATTGGGTACTGATTTCATCACTATCATTTGCTTCCTTCTTAAAGTTACATTACTTGTTTCTCCTTTCCCCTAACACTGTTAGTCAAAACTGCAGGCCAATGTGTAGGACAGTAGCAGATGCTGTCTACGTTCTGGACGCGATTGCAGGGTTCGATCCCAACGACGACCCTGCAACCAGAGCCGCCGCGAGGTACATCCCTCGCGGCGGCGGCTACAAGCAGTTTCTCAAGCCGGACGGCTTGAGAGAGAAGCGGCTGGGGGTGGTCAGGAATCCGTTCTTCCAGTTTGGTGGTGATGAGGTTGTGGCAGCTGTATTTAAGAACCATCTGCAGACCCTAAGGTACCAAAACAATCAAACATATAACATAATCTAAAAAGTCCCTATGGTGTAATGAACATTGTTATATAATATGTTTGTTGTAACATTTTCAGAAAGGAAGGTGCGGTTCTGGTAGACCCTGTGGAGATTAGCAACATCACAGAGATATTGAGCTCCTCTTATGAAATGGATGCACTACTGGCGGAGTTCAAACCAGCCTTGAACTCGTACCTAAAACACTTGGTGTCATCCAAGGTTCGAACCCTAGCTGATGTCATTGCCTTCAACAACAAGTTCCCCAAACTAGTAAGAGCCTCATTCCTTCAATTCACCCAATTCAATTCAGATCAGCACACATTTCTTATCGTTAAGTGACTCGGCATTCTTTTTGTCTGTTTGGGGGCAGGAGAAGACCAGAGAATATGGGCAAGACATCCTGGAGACGTCGCAAAGGTTGAACGAGACGAATCGAAAGGCGGTGAGAGAAGCACTGTTCAAACTGAAGCAATTTTCTGAGAATGGGATTGAGAAGGTGATGAAGGAGCAGAAACTGGACGCCTTGGTGGCGGGTAGTTCGAGTTTCAGCGTAGTTCTTGCCATTGGAGGATTCCCAGGGATGAGTGTCCCAGCTGGGTATGACGGCGGAGGAGTGCCCTTGGGGATTTTCTTTGGTGGGCTAATGGGCTCAGAGCCCAAGCTTATTGAAATCGGGTATGGGTTCGAGCAAGCTACAAAGGTTAGGAAGCCACCTTCTTTCAAACCTTGAGAACAGAGGCGTTTCCCATAACTTGGCCCAGGCCCAGGCCCAACTCTCTTTATTACCTCTTGACATTTAGTTGCAATAATCGGAAATTTTATTCCATGAATGATACAAATTATTTTTTTACTCGAATAGAAGAGCTCTTATTAGTTGACTAAATAAAAAAAGACCTTAATAGAGTTAATACTATCCACTCAAATCAAGCTCCATTGACCTTTCCATTTTATACAGCTTTTATTTTCGTTTTGTAATATACAATGAATTCAACTCTTCAAGAGTCCTTTATCATTAGAGATATTAATTTCGAATTGACCCGTTTTATTCGACATGTTTGACTTCTTAAGGTTGATAACATATGCTCGTATTCGAGCAGCGGAGTAATCTCCTTGATTTGACACGCCTCATTTCGAGAATCGTTTTTGTCTAAATAATATGTATATTTACTAAAATTACCTAAAGTTGTACTTATACTACCTCATATTTTTAGCGACAATAAAGTTGAACGTATGCGCGAGAACCTCAACTTCTCGCGAGCAATTTAACTACATTTATATATTATAAATTATCCTATGTCTATGTGGTCCCGCCAACCCCCAATCCTGCACCCTACGATAAATTATCCGATTTTAACTCAACATATCACGAAACATATATGGATATCGAGATATCCACCCTTATATGATGAAATATTCCAATTTGTACTTTTCCGTGCGAAATGAAATATAACCAAAAATGAGTTTTCCAAATGTGGCAGTGGGATTAAAGAAAAACCCATCATGGTCGTACAATACAATTATGGACCTTTCTTATAGGCCACGACCCCAAGAGAAATAGTGCTTTAGATAACACAAGTGGTCGAGTGGTGGACTTAGTAAAGGTTAACCACTAATCCTCCCTATAAATCTCGTAGGTGAATCCTTTCCTGCTTACTCCTCTCCCCACCTTAATCCATATTAGCCTTGAGCTAAATCTCTGCCTCGCTCCCAAAAAAAAAATGCCAAGACTAATTTTAGCCATCCTGATAATTTCCATGGCGGCTACAACCCCACCAGCCCAAGCCCAACCCCCAACCAACTGGGCCAAAAGGCTGAACCCCGGCGGCGGGCCCGAATCCATCACCAACCTCCGGTTCTACTTCCACGACATCCCGAGCGGGCAGAACCCGAGCGCGGTCCAGATCGTCAAGCCGGCGACAGCCGGAACATCCAACAACAGCTTCTTCGGCATGGTCATGATGACCGACGACGCGCTGACCGTTGCCGCCGACGCGGGCTCCAAGCTCGTGGGCCGGGCCCAGGGGATGTACACCTTCGCCAGCCAGAGTGACCTCACAGTGCTGATGGCCATGAGCTTCGGGTTCACGGACGGGCCTTACAACGGCAGCTCCCTCGTCGTCGTGGGCCGGAACCCGATTCTGGAGACGGACCGGGAGCTGCCCGTTCTGGGCGGCACGGGCCGGTTCAGGATGGCACGTGGCTACGCTCTTGTGAAAACGGTGTCGGCTGATGCCAATGGAAATGTTGTTGTGTACTACAATGTTACGGTTTATGCTCCGGCTTCCGGTGACGATGAATAATACTCCTGGTTTTTGTGGTGGCTATTAGTGTGAACTTTTTCGTCTTTTTATGTCGTTTAAGTAGTAGTACTAATAAACATCGTGCGTTGTGGGTCTTGAGTAGCTGAGTTCAATCTTTGACAATAATCACTTCTGCGTTACTTTTTTTATGTCCGCTGATAAAGTTAAAAGTCTGAATCTAACTAAACACAGGTATTGTCGAGTTGCTACAAAGAAAATTATAAACATTGAAAGTCTAGTAGTTGCCCATACCTATTAAAAAATATCGAATTCGAATTTTATCCATCCAATTAAGTCGAATTGGGACAGGTACCTTAATATATGCATGAAATAATTTTCCATTCGAAGCCGGCTACCTTAATATGCATTCCCAGCCGGCCAGGCGGCTACCGTTTTTTTATAACCGGCCTGTATAAGCCGGCTACCTTCACCTTTCTATTTTCCTTAAATTTTATTTCCTATTTTGTCATTTATGATGACTTAAGAATCACTAATGACTAAAGATAATAATTTCGATCTAGACTTATTTTATTTGCCATATTTGAATTTTTGGGCCAATAATAATATCCTTCTTGTAAGCAGAGAGACGAGTATTATTCTTAACTTGACACATCCCACTTAGACTCATTCTTTTCTAAATTACTTATAAATTTATTTTTGTACCTCATATTTTAGTAATAATAAAATTATAGACAGACATGAGTCTCAACTCCTCAAAAAATTGTACTATACTTATTATATTATAATATATATTGGGTTAATTGCATGGTTGGTCACTGATATTACAAAAAGCGTTCATGTCTGGTCACTCTAAATATTTAAATCCATTTTTGGTCTCTAACTTTACAAAAACCGTTCATTTATGGTCACTCTCCGTTAGCTGCCGTCCAACGCCGTTAACGGCGTCCGTTAAGTGATGACGTGGCTGACGGATTTGCCTAATCAGCACTTTTTAACCCCAAAATTGACTGACACGACCCGCCACGTCATTTAAACCCTCCATGTTAGCTAAACCTAACCAAACCAGACCAGACCGCTAACTAAAATAAAACTGACCCGACCCACCAATTAATCTACCCACCTTTGACTAAAACCCTAATCGAAGACAAATACATCCGCCTCCATCCCGCGCCGCCTTCCTACCTTCCGTTTTTCTTCCTCTCCAACTCTGATCGCGAATTCGCCGGCGACGAAGGAGGAAAAGAAAAGAAACAGATTAATATCTTGAAATGCCCAAGCATGCACAACGAGAATAGCTAAACTTTTCTGGTAAATGCATGCTGGCTTCTGATGAGTTCAAACAAAGTCGATTGTGAAGACAAACGAAAGATACATGAAGCAACCAAGATAGCTTACCTAGGCCGAATGACATCTGTTCCCGAGATAACAATAGACGAAGCTCGACCATGGTATGCAATCGGAAGGTGGAATTCGCAATCAGAGTTGGAGAGGAAGAAAAACGGAAGGGAGGAAGGTATTTGCGAGATGGAGGCGGATGGATTTGTCTTCGATTAGTGTTTTAGTCAAAGGTGGGTAGATTAATTGGTGGTTCAGGTCAGTTTTGTTTTAGTTAGCGGGTCTAGTCTGGTTTGGTTAGAGGTTTGGTTAGGTTTAGCTGACATGGAGGGTTTAAATGACGTGGCGGGTCGGGTCAGTCAATTTTGGGGTTAAAAAGTGCTAATTAGGCAAATCCGTCAGCCACGTCATCACTTAACGGACGCCGTTAACGGCGTTGGACGGCAGCTAACGGAGAGTGACCATAAATGAACGGTTTTTGTAAAGTTAGTGACCAAAAATGGATTTAAATATTTAGAGTGATCAAACATGAACTCTTTTTGTAATCTCAGTGACCAACCATGCAATTAACCCAATATATATTTGAAATAACATTTCCATGCAGATCAAATTAATTACCCCCAACATACACCCTACATTAAATTACCCAATCTGAACCGACATACCATCAAACAAGTATGAGTATCGTCATATCTCCCGAACCCCTACCCGTGAGTCATATGCTATAAAAAATAAATACCAAATACTAAAAATGAGATTACCCAATGTGGCATTAAAGAAACCCCAACCTGGCAGTAAAATACAATTATGGTGCTGTAGACAACAGAAGTGGTCGAAGTGGCTGACGTAAAGAACTAAAATGTTGACCACTGACTGAACTGAACCTCCCTATAAATCTCCTAACTCAATCCTGCCTTTCCTCCCACCTTAAATCCAAGATATTAGCCTACCTCCTTTTTTTCCACAATGTCGAGACTAATAGGTCTGGCCATCCTCCTGGTCACCATTTCCATGTCGGTTCCAACCCCATTATCCGCCCACGACCAACCACCGGTCAGCTGGGCCAAACGGCTCGACTCGGGAACCGGCCCGGACACCGTAACCAACCTCCAGTTCTACTTCCACGACATCCCCAGCGGCAGCAACCCGACCGCCGTCGAGGTCGTCAAGCCGGTCGCCACCGCGTCCCACTCCAACCCCTTCTTCGGCGAAGTCGTCATCGTCGACGACCCGCTGACGTTAACCGCCGACGTGGGCTCGAAGCTGGTGGGCCGGGCCCAAGGGATGTACACGGCCTCCAGCCAGAACGAGCCCGCGATCAGCATGTCCATGAGCTTCGGGTTCGTTGACGGGCCCTACGACGGCAGCTCCCTGATCGTCATGGGCAAGAACATGTACATGAGCCCGGCCCGGGAGGTTCCCGTCGTCGGCGGCACGGGGCTGTTCAGGATGGCGCGTGGATACGCGGTGGTGAAGTCGGTCACGCTGAACTCCACCAGCGGAGTTGCTGTTGTGAGTTATAACGTTACGGTGTATACTCCGGCTGCCGGTGCATATTGACAAGTCTAGCTAGTCGGCTGCGACTCCGATGACGACTAAAGCGTTGAATTCTTCTTCTTCTTCCACCACGATGATGGCTGTGGTTGCAGCTGCCGCATTCCTTTAATTTTGTTTTGTTACTCACTTATGAGGGATGTTATGTTTTTAAGTGGTTGTTAGTTTTCGTGATTTGGAACTAATATGGGATGGATGTTAATGTTGTCGTTTCTATATTGTTTTATCAATTGGGATGTTTTGTTTTTTAAGTCTTGTTTTGGTTTGTGTTTTTTCTTCTTTGTTAATCCTAATATCAAAATAAGAGAGTAATTGATAAACAATTGCTTCTTCCTTGTACTCTTAGAGCATCCATATTAGAATTGCATTTGGAATTATATTATGACGTGGCATTAATGTAATTGCATTGATGTAGAGGACAATTGCATCTTTGCAAACTTGCATATAATGCAATTATGGAATGCAAGCCACTTCATATTTTTTATTATTAAATCATTCATTAATTTTATTATTTGAGTGTTTGCGTTTTAATAAATTAAATTAAAAAAATTAGTTGCAATTGCAAGTCAATTGCATTGATGTGGTGCAATGAAAGTAAGATGAGTTGGATTGCAAAAAAAATGAAGTAACAATAAAAAACACAAATGCAACTGTACCAATGGAGATGCCCTTATTAACTTACTCGTTCTTACAAGTAAGGAAAAGAGATGGAGAGACCATTACCCACAATGATACACGGCGGCGGATCCAGAACAGGTTAGCAGCACTGGGCCGCATTTAAAAAGCGGTGGAGAGGGCTAGGCCGTAACCCTATAAACATTGAAATATATACCCAAAATCGAAAATTTACAAGTACTATACGAGCTTTGGATCCGGGGAGGACTGGGTCGTGACCCTGGTGCGGTCCCCCTAGATCCGCCACTGATGATACAACAAGATTCAATTCTGATATCGGTCGGTCGCTGAACTCATCGCCTTCAATAACAGTAGAGCTATACCACTGTAGCCAATTCACACCTATGTTACTACTTACTAGGACACGAAGCCCTACTTTTTCGACAGTAATAAAAAAACGTAATCGTATCTGAGCTATTACAAACGTTTTTTATTCGCGTATAATTGTACACATTTTACCCCTCATTTTTTGATAGTTTGACATTGCATTCCGTCGTCCCTCGACATATTTTACGCTAGGTTGTTCTTGTTTTGTCATATTTCGAGTCCTAGCACGTGTAGAAAGGTCGATGACGAGATTCAGGACGATTGGAGTCGAAACGGGCCAAAAAGTGAAGAAAACATATGTAATGATAAGATTAAATCATTTTGTCAAAAAAAAAAAATTAAATCATTTTTGGGTTCACTTTGAGTTAGAATGCATGTATTATCTTTTTGTTAGACCCACCTATAATCACTCAAAATGAATGATTATAAATCTCTACCAAAAGGTGAGATTGTTAACAATGGATTGTCTACTCTACTTTTTATTTCATTATTGCTTCTCCAAACAAAGTATTTTGCTAATACATGCATTGAAACAATGTATCAAATAATAATCCACAAATTGAACAAATACACTTATTTGGAGAATCTCAACCTCCAAACATGCCGTTAAAATTCACAGGCAGCTCGATGGAGGAAAATGAGAGGGTGGTCACTGCATGAATGGCACTGGGTTGTCGTAGCCCAACGTGGCATTAAAGAAAAAAAAGCCCAACCAACCCGGTATTAGAATACTATAATGGGCCTTCCACAAGGGCCAGGCCCCAAGTAGCATAGATAATAAAAAATAAAATAGATAACCCCACTACCTACCCACTCATCCTCCCTATAAATCTCCTAATTAAACTAACCCTTCCTTAATCACTATTAGGTATTAGCCTAAAACCTCCATTTCTTCCTTCCCTCCTCCCTCTTTTCCAAAATGTACAGACTAATAGGTTTGACCATCCTGCTCACCATCGCCATGGCCGTCACAACCCCATTCGCCCAAGCCCAACAACCATCGGTCAGCTGGGCCAAACGGCTCGACTCGGGAACCGGCCCGGACACCGTAACCAACCTCCAGTTCTACTTCCACGACACCCCCAGCGGCAGCAACCCGACCGCCGTCCAGGTCGTCAAGCCCGTGGCCACCGCGTCCGACTCCAACTCCTTCTTCGGCGCCGTCGTGATGGTCGACGACCCGCTGACGGAGACATCCGACGCGGGCTCGATGCTCGTGGGCCGGGCCCAAGGGATGTACACCTTCTCGAGCCAGAACGAGTCCGCGATCATCATGTCCATGAGCTTGGGCTTCACGGACGGGCCTTACAACGGCAGCTCACTGAGCGTGATGGGTAAAAACATGGTCATGAACCCGACCCGGGAGCTTCCCGTGCTGGGCGGCACGGGGATGTTCAGGATGGCGCGTGGGTATGCGGTGTTGAAGACGGTGACGTTTAACACCACGAGCGGAGATGCTGTTGTGAATTATAACGTTACGGTGTATACTCCGGCTACCGGTGAAAATGGACAAGCCTCGTCGGCGTTGAGTTCTTCTTCTTCTTCCCCGAGGATGATGATGCGTGGGAGGTGGTGGATGGTTGGCGCTGCGATTGCAGCGGCCGCATTTCTTTGATTTGTTTTAACACTCACTTATGAGAAATTATGATTTTCACATTATTATAATTCTGTTGTTGGCTTCAATATTTGAACATAATGTGTGATGATTTTATCATCTATACATATTATTAATTATTGGATGAAAAAGTATATATTGAACTCTTTGGTCTAATAAAAAAAAAAAAAATTATGTGTAGGATTATTGCAAGTTAATAAATATGTACTCCAATTATTTTCTCTTTGTTGTCTTTATTTTATAATGCGTTTATTTGTGTTTAGTAGATAGAATATAAACTACATGGACTTAAATTTACATTAGAAGGCTGTTTGTGATGTATTTTCTTTTTCTTTTAATGTGTTGCACGACAGGGTGATTACTAACCACTACGTAATTAAAGCATCATTCTTTTTAAGGAGAAGAAAAATATTGTCCAATGATGAACATGAGGAGCACCACTTTCATTCAGCCTTCCGAATGTAATATTATTTTGTTCTTGATACGGATTTAGTATCTAATTTTGGTATTTAATGTTGATATCAGTAGCTAATCCGTCATCACAAGTAATCGTACAAAGTGGCAAATGATTGTATACAAAGTAAATTTCTAGTCCGTAATGTTGTTTATATGTAATCGTTGATGCTTGCTGCCTACCAAAGTACCAAACACAATTGTGCGGGTCGGGTATCTCAATACTCATGCCCTGTCCCATGCTAGTGTGAGGCGGGACAGATAAAACCCATGTGAGTACAAGGTGGGGTGGGTTGACCCACCCTTAAATGTTATTTTAAAAAAATACATGTAAAGTTTACTTTTTACGATTAAAATGAAGAGGAAAACACTTTATAAATGAAATATAGTTATAATAGAATGTGTAATTGAGACTAACAAGTTAACAGATCGAGTCTAACTAGTTGAAGAAATGTCAAAATATGAGAAATTTGTATAGATATCGTGAAATATTGAGCTAGAATGAGCCAAGAACGGAATGAAGCGGGACAAGTCAAATCGGAAGTAGATACTCATGACCCGTCCCACACTACTGCGAGTTGGGTAATACCCGTCCTATCGCGGATCAGCACAGGTAGTACCGACGGAACAAGTTCAAATTGCCATTATTCAACATATTTTAATGTAGGGTATTGTAATTTATATTCAAAAAGAAAAGAAGGGGTGGGCCAAATGTCGCAGTAAAGTAAAGCCCAACTTTGTAGAATACTATTATGGGCATTTCTTGTTTCTGTGCAGTCCAGCAAACTGTTATGACTTGCTAACAAACAGAACCTGTCATTTCAAGAAAAATGTCAAGATTAGGTACGATCTTTCTCATGTTCATTTCAATGGCGGTCTCAACCAACATCACCAACATCCAGTTAAACGACCTCACCGGCGGGAAAACAAGATGGCGGTTCAGAGCGTCGAGCCGGTCTCCTCCGTAACATCCTCCAAGCTCCAGCAGCTTCTTCGGGTCGGTAATTACGATGGCCGACGATGCGCTGACCGTGAGCTCCGGAATTGCTGTTGTGCATTATCATGTCACGGCGGTCCATGCACCGGCTTCCAATCCCACCGCACCAAAATCTCCGTCCGGTGGCCGCAGCGGTGGAGCGACTCCGGCGGCCACTAACGCGTTAAGTTCCTCTACTTCTTCTTCCTCGACGAGATGGTGCGTGGGAGGTCGAGCGTGATAATATGAAAAGTACAATATTAAACTCTTTGGTCTAAAGAGGCAATTAGATAGATTTTCTAATATATCCAGAATTTTTACGGTGGTTTTTAAGTCTGGTGAACGTTTTTTTTTTTTGCTTCTTTATATGTTGAACACTTTGTATGATAATCTTACAATTATTGTTGTTGCAAGTTAATAAATATATCCTTCAAAAACTTTTTTTTTTTGGAAAGAGACTACATTTTCTATACTTTACTATTACAACTTGACAAATGAACATTTTACCAAATTCGTTGTAAAAATGAACGTTATAGAAGAGGATAAATCACTCAAACCACACACCATTCTATTTAATCTCAATCTATAATTACGTGGCCAAATATAAGCCATTTTCAGTATTTGTTTATATATTTATTTAATAATAAATAGAACACAAATTACATGTAATTCTTCTATAATAGTTTACATTTGGAAAGGCTGTTCTGTGGTATTTTTCCTTTCTCTCAGGTGTTTGCACGTACGACAGGGGAACCACTAACTACTGGTTATGTAATATTATTTTGTTCCTTTTCAGAAAGGAAACTCCTCAGAGTCCCTGTTTTATTTTAGCTAACTACCTGTAAAGTCCAAGGAGGAGAACTCTAACAATAATGTCGATTATTGAATGGGGAAAAAAATGGAGTATCAATCATCACTCACTGTGCAAGTGACAGAAGAAGAAGAAGAAGAAAAATGAATCCCAAGATCAAGCCATCAGTTTGTTCAAGGGAATCTAGAAAGGAAACTCCTCAAGAACTCTCTCAGTCAGTAGGCCCAATCATTTTCTCAGGTACCACAAGGGTATCAAACTCCTCACTTGTCAGGACTCCGAGTTTCAGAGCCGCTTCCTGCAGGGCAGACAAATAAGTCTTTTAAGGCATGATCTTTGTAGTTGAGATTCGATATGCAACGAGGGCTAATAAGAAACCGGAGAAAACTATTTTGATGACTGAGTGATCACCTTCAAGGTACTTCCTTCCTTGTGGGCAAGCTTGGCAACTGCAGCAGCATTGTCGTAACCAATTTTCTGCGAATATGGAAGGTTTACCACCGCACATGTCAGGATCAAGCGCGAAACAGCAGTTGGTGTGTGGATGTCAAAAATGTTAAAGGTAAGGAGCTTACAGGATTCAATGATGTAACCAGCATTAGTGACTGAAATCCCATGGAAAATTCACACAGAAAGGGGATTCATTAGTAACAGGATCGATCAAATTAGGAGTGAATTCATACATTTTACTTAACGACACTTGGATGCTTAGATAACTAACCTCGTGCAACAACTTTGAGATACGCTCCTTATTTGCTTGAATTCCCCTCACACAGTTCTTTTCAAAAGAAGCAGATGCATCCCCAAGCAGTCTTGCAGACTTTTGACAATGAATAAAAAACCGGATCAGTTCTTATAGCACAAAATAGCATAATAAACAACAAAGAAGGCTTAATGGTTCTATTGCGTTTGATTGAAAATTCTAAGTACAATATCATAACACACATTTTCATTTGAGACCTAGAATGGAAAGCAGCAACACAAACCAAGAATGGAAAGCAAACAAAAGATAGAAAAAGTCAGCTCAAAAGTCACATAGCTACAACTGAGGGATCTGAAGATGTATGGTTGAACTGAAATTCCTCAGGACCTTTCCCATAGGATTGCATTCAAAAAGCATGAATTCATCCCACTAATTCTCATGTCAATAATTCCAGATTTTCAGCGTGAAACTTTCTTGTTAAGAGAGACTCAGAAATAAAATTGAAATAATACAAATTACTTCTCCATGAGACATCAGTTGAAAGTAGAGAGTCAATGCTTAAAAATAACAATTTGCAGTACGGAACCAGATAAGTTGGAGCGTTGTTTAAAAGAAAGAATGTAAGGTAATTATAACATACATGTAGGAGGCAACTTGCAATCATTGGCTTGAATACATTTAACTCAAAGTGACCATTTGATCCACCCACGGTTATGGCCACGTTATTCCCCATAACCTGCAAAATCAAAAGAGAAACCATGAGCGTAAGTTGTGAAAGCCCTGGAAGTTGCTTTGAGGCCAATCCCACCTTAGAGACAATCAGAAAACTGCAGGAATTACATGACTACTAGTAACTGGAAAACTAGTTCTTCAGTGACAATATTATTTAAAACAGCTGAAGAATCAAAACTTACCTGAGCACAGACCATTGTAAGTGCCTCACACTGAGTGGGATTAACCTTCCCCTGGAAATACAAAATTTATACCTTAGTAAGAAGAATAGCCTAAGGGCATGACAAGAAGCAAGTGACAGCGAGAAGATGCTTCAAAGACATTAAATAATCATAATACCGGCATAATGCTGCTGCCAGGCTCATTTTCTGGAAGAATGAGCTCACCCAGACCACATCTTGGACCACTGATTAAAGGGAACAAACCAATATCAATCACAAAACTAAGAAACAAGGTTGGGAAAGTTGGAGATAGGCACTACTGGTAATATACCCACCTTCCTAACAATCTTATGTCATTGGCAATCTTCATCAAAGAAGTAGCAATTGTGTTCAGAGCTCCACTACATTCAATAAAAGCATCATGTGCGGCCTGACAAACATGACGTCTTTTAAGCACAAAATATTGCTTTTTTCCATCTCAAGACAACTTGCGTATACAAAAGGAAATAGGAGAAAATAAATATACAACTGCAGCAAAATAACAAACCAACCAGAGCTTCAAACTTGTTTTCTGCAGTGACAAATGGTAGGTTTGTCTCCTCGGCTACTGCTCTGGCAATCTTCACGTCAAACCTACATGCATGTTACAAATAGTACTTATCAAGGAAATTTTGCAGCACGCACAAGCAGTTAAGATATGTATGCACACGTCTCATGTCCATACTGCAGTAAGGCCATTTTTAAGAAGGAATAAGCCATATAATCTGAAAAACATTAAAGACAAATGAGGAAAGCTAGCATTTTCCCTGGTCGACTATCGAGAAGTACGCAATGCTGGATATCATGGACATGCATGAATTTCCTCTGCGACCCCGAAATTGCATCACAAGCAAGCAAAGGAGCGACAACAGTCTACTGAAATTACATCCCCAAATGATGCTTGCAACTGGAAAATTAATTATATCTTTAAAACAGAGTATGATAAGAACACAACACGAGATAGACCTTAACTTTTTTTTTTTTTTGTTCCTTGCCTTGGCAAAGCAACTGGAAAATAGAGCTTACCCTTTCTTAGTGTTCAATCCAGTCCCCACTGCTGTTCCCCCTTGTGCTAGCTGCCATGCATCCAAGTTAGCATTCTCATTGCAAAATTGGAAGTAGAAACGAAAATTGTATAATTCCTCTATCCAACCTGATATATTCGAGGTAGAGTGCAGGAGACACGATCAATTCCATACTTCACCTGGAAACAACGCATAACCAATAAGATATGATTATTTGAGACAGAGATGGGGTTGAGGTAGGGGTTGGCGGTAACAAAGACATGAAACATAATGGATAGAAAGATCTCACCTGAGTGGTATAGCCGCTAAACTCTTGGCCAAGTGTCAGAGGTGTTGCATCTTGAGTATGAGTCCGGCCAATTTTAACAATATCCTTAAATTCAGTAGACTGATGACAGAAACTCGTAAACAAGTGAGCAAAATATGAGTATTAGTCAAGAACTCTTGTTAAACAACTAATTTCATTTTGTGCAAACATAACAACTTGAAAAAAAATACACTTAGAAATTAGAACATAGGCAGCTGCAAAAGTCTGTGAGAGACTGAGAGCCAACTAAGTCTACAATGGACAACAAATTGCAACATGGATTTAAACCGGGCTAATCAGCTACGATTAAATTAATATCGTCACTGTTCGTTGATATCATAAGGTAATAATACATGGAAAAAAGAAGTCGAGAAATGTTTAGGCATCAGATGCTGAAACGAGTATCAGCAGCCTTGAGCTACTCCCAAAAGTTGTCTAAATTACATACACATGCAAATGAAGAAACCTTAAATTTGTGAGTTTAGAAGCTGAAACTGGATGCAAGAACAAATAAAATATATTCAACAATTGCTTTCAGTAGTGCAGTCACCTTTGAATGAAGGGTTGAGTGCAAAGTATTCAATTTTGGAATTAATCTCGAGTTTATTTCCATTCCGGCAGCAATATGCATCACCTGCAAAAATGAAAAACAAGAAACAGAAGAGAAATATTAAAACCTCACGAAGGAATGTACATTTTCACTTAGTTCGCATGTTATCCAACAGGAGAAGTATCTGAATATGTAAATTCTAGTGTTTACCGTTGGAAAAGTGTCATTAGAAGATTGGGATCTATTGACGTGGTCATTTGGGTGAACATACTTTTCACCACGCTTATGGCCGAGGATCTCAGCAGCTCGATTGGCAATAACCTGGAAGTTTGTTTGTGAGCACCAACAACTAACACACAACATAAGGAAAATAAAGTAGAAACTACTTAATAACAAGCTGCTCTAGTAAATCAACTACACCAATGGAGCAACCTATGTTTATTATTTTAACATGGTCTGCAACATTCTAAGCCGTTTTCTCCTCTTTTCTGCGCTCGAGATTTAGGATGAACATAAGGGGTCATGACTCATTCGCAATGAAGACCATAACATGGCTATGATCTGACACTCAAAGATCACCCTATGACAGATATTTTACTCAACAACACAACTGAGAAAAAATTCTTGCGCGTTTTCTGCATTATTTGAAGACTAGACAACAAGAGAATTGAGTTCTCAACTTTGAAGTTTGAACCTTCAAGGCAATGTTCATTCGACAATATATATATATATATATATATATAGTGCCTTCTACGGTACCCTAGGTGAAATCCGGGGTACTGCATACCTTGAGTATGAAAACGCTATCTAGACCTCGAATTAGAATGATTTTTGCGCATGATACTATACCCTAACCCTTGATGAGTGAACCCTAGGTCCTAATTATCTAAATCATAAACTATAAACCCTAAGATAGTGCATTACTTTTTTTGCCTATATTTGGACGAATCATAACCGTCGATTATTGTTTCTAATTAAATTGATCTTGGGGTATAAGATTTAGAGAATTAAGACCTAGATTTTGATCTTTATGGGTTAGAGTATAGTATAATGTCTGAAAGACCAGTCAATTCAAGTTCTAGATAGCGTTTTCTTACTTAAGGTATGCGGTACCCTGGATTTCACCCGGGGTACCGTAGAACTCCCCATATATATATATATATATATATATATATATATATATATATATATATATGGTGGCTACTTCGGTGCACTCGCTTTTTTGGGTGCATTCAGTGCACCCACCTCTAAAAGTGGTCATAATACACCAAATTTTGAAATTTAATGGGTAGCATTAGTCTCATATGATGATAGAACACAAAATCACAACTAATCAACCCATTACCCTAACCTATTAACATTCATTTTGAATCTAAACCCAAAATCCCAAATTGTAAACCCTAACTCTAAATTCCTAAACCCTGAATCATTCAAATTAAAGTGAATCTTGAATGATTTTTGTACAAATTCATGTGGTTCTTGTTCATCATACTACAAGGGATGATTGACATCGTTTTCACATGAATCGTCTGCTCAGAATGACGATTATGAGGCGGGTGCATTGAATGCACCCAAAAAAGTGAGTGCATCGAAGACATAACCATATATATATATATATATATATATGGGGAGTTCTACGGTACCCCGAGTGAAATCCAGGGTATATATATATATATATCGAAAGGACAACTGGTTCTCATAGAAAACCAAACCAGATCACGGGCTCATTTACTAGACTTTATAATAGAACTGTATTTTAATTACAAAATCCTAATGCTAAGATTTCAAAAATAGTCAAACCAACCATGACACAATGACATCCTACAGAGTCCACATGTGTAAACCGGGAGTACAACAAAACAAATTGCCTTCAACAAATTTCTTTGAGAAAAGATAGCTCAATAGTAGTTCACAGCAAGGCCTATTTGCAAGGAGAAAAGGAATGAGATCGTGCTCCACTCTCCTGAAAAGGTTTAGCACTTATTTCTCCCTTAAACTAACCATGAAAGATAAAATTGGAAAATGACGTTAAATTATGAATGTCAATGTTTCTTGACTATGCTGTATTTCCAGTATGCCACTATGAACCAGTTTAGGTGTCTTATTTTCTCCTCTCCATCGTCAACAAAGCACCAACCATAATACTGACCTCATTAGCATTCATGTTACTTTGAGTCCCACTGCCAGTCTGCCACACAACAAGAGGGAAATGATCATTAAGCTTTCCATCAGCAACCTCTTGAGCAGCTTGCATGATGGCCTTACCAATTGCTGGATCAAGGCCATACTCCATGTTCACCTGCAATAAGCAATCATCTTAGCTATAACAAGTACAATTCCAAAACCTGATCCCATGTTCTAATAAAGCAAAGCTAAAGATACTGGCAAAAGCTCTTGCACCTCTATTTGATATTCAAAGTCTGAAGAAGGTTAGCTGTTAGGTGAAACATAAAAATAAGTTAACCTTGGCAGCACATTTCTTGAGGATGCCAAAAGCACGGACTATTGGCTCTGGCATTCTCTCTCGCTCACCACCAATATCGAAATTCTGCAATGATCTCTGAGTTTGTGCACCCCACAGCCTACCCATAATACACAGAATCAGTGAACGTCCAGCAACCATTACAAGCATAATATCAGAGACGCTATAAAGGACATGGAAAGAAGGCATTGGAAAAGGGGAAATGAGAACTAACTTATCAGACGGAACTTGAATTGGTCCAAAAGTGTCTCGCTCTTCCCTGAAGGAAGTTGAATATGATCTCCATAGAGTAGCACAACGGACCACTGATGGAGATGACTCACCAAGTTGTGAAGTGATCCACCCAAGTGACCGGCGCCGAGCAACTACATAGGCTGCCATTATCGATGATTGACTTCACCTCAAGCAAGCCACCTGGGTATACAAGAGAAATAAACATTTCAAGGGAATAAGACAACCCAATTTCAACAAAACTAAGATGGAATTGGATCTCATGACTAAGCAATCCCTTAGTCACTTGACTAAGCTAATCTTGCCCCATCCTTTCCTTTTTCATCTGAAGAGGGTTCATGGTAACTTTGCCCCTTTTGTGAACATTCATTCAGAGGACAGTAGGAAAGCCAAAGATCAAATAACTTATTATTGCTACACCAGTAGGCTAAGTGCAGAATTCTAAGATCACCGAACTAGAGATTTCAAATTCCTTCCACAAGTTACATACACATTTACACATGATGCTGCCATATACCCCAAAGTTCACAATTATCATATTTTAAGTTGTTTTCACCATAAACTCGATATATAAAGAAACCAAACATCAACCGAGTTTAAAGAAACGCCCAGCAATTAAACCCAGACAGTTCGCTGCTGAACATAATCACCAAACATGAAACTTGTATATGTCTCGGCAAATAGAACTTAGTAAAGCAAGCTAAACCAAAACCACGTATGTAAGAGGGTGCTATACGAATTTGTTTCAGGCAAAGAAAGGTGATAAAACGAATACGCAGAAATGGAAGCAGTTTATATGAGCAAGATGAAAACAACGGAGCTAAAGAGCGCTGGACTCAAGTAGAATCCCTAGCAGAGCTTGCACCTCCCACACGAAGATGATCAATCTTAATGGGAGAACAAGGCCTTCGATGTTCTAACAGAAGTCCACAAGTGACTGACATTCTGAGTACTCCAACAAATGGAACGTAAGGGAAACTAAGAGTAGAACCCAAGAAGGGAGATAGAAATACAACTTAACTTCCTCCCACCGAAAAGAACTTATATCACCCCGGGCAGGCCTTACAGAGCATTGAAAGTTTGAAACAGAGACAAGTTGCAGCTTTGCCAAGCGAAGCACTACATAAGCAAACCAGGAAATCAAAACACTTCTCTTCAACAGAAAGAAATCCCAGTAATTGTTCACCATGGCCAACAACGTACATCAGAAACAGGGAACATCTCGCAACATTAATCAGAAACAAGCCGCCTTCATCAGATCACAGCTACCAACATCACATTACAGGGAGAAAAAAAGCTAGAAACCAAGGGGGCATTAGAACGCCTTATTAACACCAGAAACTTAGAAACATTCATCAAACATCCCTCGTTAAACCTTCCAACACCCTTCCAACACATCAAACAAGCAGACCATACCTAATTTCTTGACACCGGCAGCGTTTGAAGCAAGAGTTGCAGCGAGGAGAGCAGCGAAGTTAGGTTTCCTGCGGCAAGCTACAGTTCAGCGAAAAGGAAAGAGGCAAAGGCGGCGACCCTCGTCGGCCGACGGGATGTTTTCTACGAGGAGGGTTTCGGCTTTCGGGGAGGTGGAATTTTTATTCTATTCTCTCCTTTGTTTTTCATTGGTTTCTTCCGTTTCGCTTTCTTATTGGCACGCTCTCCTAGAAAAGTTGACGATGCATATTGGGAATTTTCTAAATATAATATAGACTATAACTTTTTTTCCAAGTTGACCAAAAATTCCAAATTGCTCAATAGTCCGGTTTGTTTATTGGTTGTAGCCTACTAGTGCCTCGAAATCGCGTGCCAACCCAACAATTTTGGTCATATTATCTTAGATTATATCATTGCCTAGGATGAAAATCGGTAGGATATCGGTATTACAATACTAAAAAGCGAAATCGAATACTGTATTACACTTTAAAATCAAACTCAATTTTAATCTCTAAATAATTTTGGTATCTCAAAGGTAGAAATCTAAAGGGTTATCCCTAGCTGGAAAGGAAGTGATGATCAAATCTGCTGGATCCGCTCTCCCCGTATACACAATGCTATCTTTCAGACTTCCTTCTACTTCTTGTGACTGGTTAAATAGCCAACTGGCAAAGTTTTGGTGGGCAGGTCAGGATAAGGAAAAAGGGAAGTATTGGATCTCTTGACCAGCTATTTATGTAAGCAAGTTTCGAGGGGGTTTGGGTTTTCGTGACTTCAATCTCTTTAACATAGCTATGCTGGTCAAACAAGCCTGGAAAATTTTGCAGCAACCTCATTCAACATTAGCCCGAGTTTACAAGGCTAGGTATCATCAGCATACGGAGTTCCTCTCTGCGGCTGTGGGTAGTCGTCCGTCTTGGGCATGGCAAGGTATGTTACAAGGACGAGAGTTGCTCCGCAAAGGTCTTCGATGGCAGGTGGGATGCGGAACGGCGATCAACATCCTTCTCGACAGCTGGTTGCCTTCTTCTCCCCCCTCTGCCCCCTCACTACTTCCAGGTGTTGTTCTCGCCAATCCTTTTGTAGCTTCTTTAATTCACCCCTTGACCCGATCTTGGAATGTAGAGTTGATCAAAGGTACATTCCAGCAGGAGAGTGTGAAATGGATCCTTTCAATTCCTCTTCCCGCTAACCCCCTTCCTGATAGACTGATTTGGCACTTTTCGGAATCCGGTTTATACATTGTCAAGTCCGGCTATCATCTTCTTTCTTCTGAGCGAGATGATATGTCTCCTAGCCTCCTACCCCAACTTAATTCCAAGTTATGGAAGTGCCTTTGGAGCTTGCCTCTCCCTCCGAAATTGAAATTCTTCCCGTGGAGAGTTGTTCGTGGTTTCCTTCCTCTTTGTACAATACTCCAAGATAAGTCCCTGTGCCCCTCGCGCACCTGTCTTGTATGTTCAGCCGCTGATGAGACCGTTACTCATTGTTTTCTTGATAGCAGGATTGCAAGGGAGGTGTGGATGCTTGCTGGCAAGAGCCCATTTGCGACATGAACTGAGCCTCATTCCTACTGAATTCTTGTGGCCTCGTCCCTTCTTCTCTATGCAGTTATCCATGGATCAAATTGCCGAGACGGTGTTCATTTCCTGGCGGCTATGGAAGGGGAGATATTGGTCAATTTATGACCATATTCAATACCTCCCTCCAGCTATTTTTCGTCAATTCCGGTCCCAAGCGGCGGAACGGCAATTGGCCACTAACTCACCCCCAACAGCAGCATCCGACCCAGCGACGTTCTGCTGCCACCATCTCGCACTCCGTCAAGTCCATTAGGTGGATTGCTCATGCGGTTCGATGGAGCTACCAGGAAGAATGAATGTGGCAGCATTGGTTTTGTGGGTATCTCATCGGGAGATTCATTAGTCTGTGCTTGTGGTAAAAAGTATCCAGGTTTGGATGAACCCTTCCTCCTTGAATTATTAGCTCTTAGAGATGCTATGAATTGGTGTTTAAGTCATGGTTTTAATGCCGTTTGCTTTTGTGGAGATTCACAATTGGTTATCCGCCAAGTTTCCTCAGGTTCATTTCAACATGGCAGAGGAGGGGCGATTCTGGAAGAGATTCTCTTGCTGAAGTCTGCTTTCACCTTTGTTTAGTTTGTTTTTGCTCCTCGTACTACTAACAGGGCTGCCCATTGCATTGCATCGGCAGATCACCACTTGGTTGACTGTCGCTTTTTACTTTCAAACTTATTGTAATTAGCTATCGATCTACTATCTATCTATGGCGCAAAAAAAAAAAAAAAGTAAAACCCAACCACTTTGTAGAATACTAATGTAATCCTTCTTGTTTCTCTTGCAGCCCAGCAACTGTTGTGACTTGCCAACAAACAAAACCAGCCAAACAAACCACATCCTTCCTCCCTACCTTTCAACTGTTTTTACACCTACATTGCCATTGCAAGGAAAAATGTCAAGACTAGGTAGGAGTAGGGCCATCCTCATGTTCATTTACATGGCGCGTATCAACGTCCATTGGCCCAACCGTCATTAAACGTCACTATATGGTTAACAAATAGGATCATCGAGATTTGAATGGAATACTTCACAATCATAAAATGCTGATAATGCCATGGTTCATGGCGGTGTAGCAACTCCAGCCGGCAGCCGCAACTAACAGTCTAACACGTTGAGTTCTTCTTCTTCATCTTTCCATAGACGTGTTCCTCACTTAAACCCTAGAGCTGGAAACCGTTCGTGGCATGCCAAGTAAAATAAGGACATAAATCTATCAGGCAGTCCAATAAATATTCTCTGCAGATCTCACTAACGAAATAAAAGTGATACCACCGGCCGCCACGTTGAACTACTTAGTTTGATTAAAATATAACATAATCTCCTAACGGAAATCTCACAAATTTCTACCAAAAAAAGAGATCTGCAAAATTAATTAAGAGCTTGAGGAGTTGGCCAAACGTGGCTGGGCACCAATTAAAACTAGTCAACTTGATAGGCACACCAGTTATTTGCCTTCCACGTGTTTCTTGCCTATATACCGACGTGATAATTTGACAAATAATCAACTAGGCAATTTCGATTCTCATTACTATACACCATGAATTCTTACTAATAGAATGATTTGTGGAATTACAAGAGTTGGTTTCATCGAGTTACTCGTTCGAAAATTTTATAAAGAGATTGCGAAGAAACTAATATAATTTTTATATTCAGTAAAATTCTACATAAAATTAAACTAGTCCTATTCATAAATCCAGTTAAAATGCTTGTTAATAATCCGACCCTCTACGCTTTCCAGCATTACGTATCACTCGTTCCACGAAATTCGAATCGATTTCAACTAAACCATAAATAGATGTGTCTACCTCTACTCTCTAGTCTCTACCCATCCCACTACAAGAGAAAAAAAAAATTCAATGACAGGAGGAAAGGTGAGTCAGCATGAGGTTCCTTTTACGTTTCTTGTTCAGCTCACCGACCCTTTTGACTTCCCACCACCTAAACGAACCTTCCATTGCCAAAACCCAAACCCTCAAATCTCCTATATAAAAACCATTCCTTCATCTCCCTTGCTCCATTATCAAAAAGCTGATAAGCCCCATTTCTCGAGAGAGAGCAAAATGTCGAGTACATATTGGACCATCTTGTTCATTTCCTTCACGGTAGCCACGTCCTCGTGGGCCCAACCGGCCACCACCGGCGGCGGCCCAGACACCGTCACGAACCTCCAGTTCTACTTCCACGACATCGTCAGCGGGAGGAACCCGACCGCGGTTCAGATCATCAAGGCACCTTCCGGCTCGTCCGGGTTCGGCCAGGTCAACGTGGCGGACGACCCGCTGACCGTGGGCCCCGACGCGGGCTCCAAGGCCGTGGGCCGGGCCCAGGGGCTGTACGGGGTGGCGAGCCAGAGCATGACCGACATGGCGCTGCTGATGGTCCTGAGCTACGGGTTCACGGACGGCCCGTACAAGGGCAGCTCGCTCAGCATCATGGGCCGGAACCCGGCTATGAGCCCGACCCGGGAGCTGCCCGTGTTGGGCGGGACGGGGGTTTTCCGGATGGCGCGAGGATACGCGCTCATGAAGACGGTGTCGTTTAATGCCGCGGGAGATGCCGTTGTGCATTATAACGTCACGGTGTATACGCCGGCTTCCAACGGGAATAATGGGCCGACTTCGCCGAGCTCCACCGCTGCAGGCGGCGGAGGGAGCACGAGGACTTCTTCTTCTTCTTCGTCGCCGGCGACGATGGCCGGTAGACAGGGGTGGCTCGTTAGCTTTGTTGTGGCTTGTGCCGCTTTCATTTGTTTTATTCTATAGTTCTCTGTAGTATGGGAATGAGATTACTATTGTGCTCATTAGGAGATTAGCTGACTCAATCATTTGTAATACTATTGGAAGATGTTTTTTTTTTTTTTACATTAATTAATACCATTGAAGATCTTTCTTTTCCTTAGACAGATAATTAAGAGCATTATTTACTACACGGTAAAGTGAGTGTTAGTGTTTTGAGTTACAAATTGAACTTGTGTCGTAACATTAGTTAATCGTATAAGTTCAGTTTGTGCTATATAAATAAATATGTATCTTTACATTATGATACAAATTTAGATTGTGAATCTGTACAGAAAGATATAGGTATGACGCAATCGAATAGCAGATATCAATTTTTGCATTCTTGTAGATTTGCAATCAAACTTACATTACAAAATGGAACTATCGTGACATGATATTTTGTTCAACCCGTATGTCCATAACGAAAAATTCATGACTTTAATGAGAAGATAATATAAATAAAACGAGTATATAAGTTAAACGGGATTTAACTTGAGTATCTAGAGGGACATTCGTTATACCACTTTCAAAAATTTATTCAATACACGATTGCATACTATAATTTTGAACCACGTATGAAACGAAAATTATAACTTTCTGTTTAACTATACGTACTTCATCATTGTCTATATCAACATATTGAGATATATTCCAAGCATGCTCCACTACTCTAATAAATAAGAGAATTTAATTTTGCTCAATCCATATTATATATGTGGTCTCTGTCGACCCTGTTACTTTGATTCATGGAACCAGCTGGCTGGATTTCTTTTCTTGCCAACTTATGCATTCTTCTTTTGCAAATGGGTGTCACTACCGAATCCCACGAATGAAACATAGTATTGCAGTAGTTGTGACATTGAACTCAACTAATCAAATACAGTTCAACCAAAAAGAAAAATAGAACTCGAATATAGTGCTACAACAAACCGAACCCCAACCAAAAATTATATGATCTGGAGAATCAATCATGGAACTGAGAGATGGGGAAGTTGGCCTAACGTGGGTGGAAAATAACGCCTACCTCTCTGTCTACCAAATAGTTGAATGATAGGAGGATTTTCTTCTAAGACCGTCCAAAGTAATGGTGAAAAGGAGAAAAAGTGAAGAATTGAAGCTCAAATGGAGAGGCAAACAAGGGTAAAACAGTGGAATTGGAAAACATAGGCCCCGTTTAGTATCGATTTGTTGTTGTGGTTGCAGTGGTGTTGTGTAAACAGATGTACAACCACAACAGTAAAAAAAAATAGAAAACACAAACCTGTTTAGTTGATAATATGAAAAATAATAAAAGCAGACTACAAGAAACAAAAACACGTTCAGTTACTACTATTAGAACTAAAAACCAGAAAAGAGAGGAGGCGGCGATGGGGGAAAGGATTCGCAGTCGGCGGCGGGGAATCTAGAGGAGGTGGCGGGAGGAAAGGGAGGCGACGAGAATCGAGAGGAGGAGGCAACAGGGGAAAAGGCTGGCGGTGGGGGGAAAGGATTCGAAGTTGGTAGCGGGGAAAGGGAGACGACGGGAATTGAGAGGAGGAGGCAGCAGGGGTTGTGAGGTCGGGCGACAGGGTAAAGGGAGGCGGCTTCGTCGGCGGCGAGGGGGGAGATGGACGATATCGACGACCTGGGTCTCGAGAGGAAGAAGTTGAGAGAGGGAGGGAGCTGTTGGGCGACGGGTTTGGGAGAAGATGAGGGTAGGGTTGGCCGACTAGGGTTTGAAGGTGGGTTTGTGAGTTAAAAAAAAGAGAATTTTTTTGCTTTAGGTGGGATTCGAATTGAGGGTTGTTTTAATGAAAACAAACGGGAATCCCGTGTAAAACATGTAGAAGAATCAAATCCAAAACAATAAATTGTTGTTTCTCAAATTTGGCCCCTGTTGTGCAAATATGATTCACAACAAAAAATAAAAACCAAACTAAACATGTATTTTTTTTCTTCGTTTCTCCAATCTTGAAAAACACAACAGAAAACAAAAACATGCCACAAACCGTGGGCCATAGCTCAGAAGTGGATGTTGGCATGTTGCTATGATTTGAAAACATATTATATGTTGTCCATTTGAAAACAGATTATAAGCCATGATGTATATACTTATACAATTTATTGTTTTTGGTCTACTATGTAACTTTTTTTTCTTCTTTTTTTCAGGTTGGATTAGAATTAGATCGTCTGGTCTACTTTGTGTGTTCTTTTGCATTGTCCATTTTCCCGATCCATTCTAACAACGGACAGAAGAGAGAAATGAGCACAAAAATTGAAAGAACAAACAACATACATCACTTTTCAATTTGAATGAATAATTATAAAAAAAATCCATTTTCTACTAATAATTTGACTTGATGAAGATAGTTTGACATTCATCCGACCTTATACATATATGTTTTTATTTATTTATTTCAAGCGGTGGCAGGATATCTAGTGAGAAATCGTGACATAGCCCTTTGTTGTTTAGTTGAGCAACTCCTCTGACTTCCCAGAAGTCCTCCACACAGCCAAAAAGGGGGCAAAAACCTAACCTTACCTTCCTATAAATCACACCTTCAACCCATCCTCACCATCACAAAAACAAGAATCAAAACACCAAACAAAATGGGAAGTAGTACTCGAACATGTTTGGCTTTCATGTTCGTCATCTCCCTATCCATGTCCAGTTTCTGGGCCCAGTCGCCCACCGTCAACTGGGCCCGAAGACTGGACTCGAGCAACGGGCCCGAGACCATCACCAACGTCCAGTTCTACTTCCACGACATCCTCAGCGGGAGCAACCCGACCGCCGAGCGGGTGGTCCAACCGGCCTCGGGTTCCTCCCCGACGACCCTCTTCGGAGCCGTCGTGATGGCCGACGACCCGCTGACCGAGACGGCCGACGCGAGCTCCAAGGTCATCGGACGGGCGCAGGGGATGTACGCCGCCGCGGGGCAGAGCGAAATCTCGCTGCTGATGGCAATGAGCTACGGGTTCACGGACGGGCCGTACAACGGCAGCTCCCTCAGCATCATGGGCAAGAACCCGGCCATGGACCCGACCCGGGAGCTGCCCGTTTTGGGCGGCACGGGGCTCTTCAGGATGGCGCGTGGCTACGCGGAGATGAAGACGGTGTCGGTCAACGCCGGGGGAGATGCCGTGGTACATTATAACGTCACGGTCTACGCTCCGGCTTCAAACGGTCAATGAGCAAGCTGAGTAATTCTAGTTATTATTACTCGCCGGCGGCGAGCGTGCGGGGAAGGAGTAGTAACTCGTCGGATTTGTTCATTGTCGCTTATATGCTTTTTTTAGTTCCTAATTTATGTTTGTGTCTAATTCCATGTAGTACGTCTGAGTCATGGAATGGGATCGAACTCTTTGTTTAATTATAACCACTCCGTTTAAAAGTGATTAGGTGTCGAGCAGCCGTATATACATAATGGAAAACGGGAAATTTGAGGGTTTTATTATTAATTTATTATATTTAGGTGTCGGGTTAATCCAGAGTTTGGGTTCATCGAGTGGGCTTTTGGAGTGATGGCCTTTTCCCACATTGTTAATGGGTTGGGGACGTCGGCCCATGATCTGTTTTTCAATTTTTCTTGATTAAATATTGAAAACATTGCTTTATCAGTTTAATCTGGCCGGGTAGCTTTATTTCCACGTTGTGCCGACTCGCCCATTCACGCGGCGCCAAAATGACCAATAAGCCCTTATACCCGCCTTCACACCGCCAGCAGAATTGGGAATATAAATGTCATTACGCTCCACTGTCCCTTCTTTTCCCTCTTACAATTTTAAACCCAAAACAGGAAGCAGGAACGAGAAGAAAGGAAAGAGAGCAAAAAGAGAAGAAGAAGCTGGGCGACGAAGCGAAAAAGCATCGTTAGCTAGTTCGCCGGCGGCAAGCATTAACACGGGAGGGGAAGATGTTTAAAATATTTAAGGGACGGGAGAACTCCGGCGACGGTTCGCCGCAATCCCCAATGGTTTCTTCCTCGCCGTCGATGTCGCAGCAGTCTCCGGTAACGGGGCCAGCGAGGCCGATACGCCTCGTCTACTGCGACGAGAAGGGGAAGTTCAGGATGGACCCGGAAGCAGTTGCCACGCTGCAGCTCGTCAAAGGCCCGATTGGCGTGGTGTCCGTTTGTGGCCGCGCTCGGCAGGGGAAGAGCTTCATCTTGAATCAGGTTAGTTCGTCCGGTCGAACTCTCGAATGTTTGCTAATTGGAAGCGGAATGCTGCGGGTTCTGGGTTCTGCAGCGGATGGATTTTTTTTTTCTTTCGAAATGGTGTTTTGTCGTAGTTTGGGAAGAGAAATTGTTGCTAGCTGTGGCACTTGCGCGCGTGTTTTGTATTCTAGGGTTTACGAATATGTTATGCATTTTTTGTTGTATGCAAAAAATTTGATTTGTTGGACTTGTACTTTGAAACATTGTAGCTAAGTAGCTGCCAGAATGATAATTATGGATTCCCAATCTTATATAGGCAGCAAGGGTTTGAGACTTACATAAGAACAGTGAAACAGCGTTTCAAACAATCCCCTGATCGCTTATCTAGTTTTGAACTGGTCTAGATACATGTTCCCTCAAGCACGTGTCTTATGTCATTATGTACTTGGTGCTGCCAACCTAACTACTTGTCTGTAATCTCTAGCGACCTTGTATCACACTGTCTAGGAATACTGGGAAATCGCTTGTCAGTTAGATTCGTATGGAATTCAATATAATCAAATCTACTGATGGGTAATGCATGATTGGGTTATTGGTTTTTTTTAACCAATGTAATGCAGTGTAATGTAACGATCAAGATTTGATTCCAACGTTTGTTACGAGTATCTGTTCTAATATCTTGTCTTGCTTCTGTTTTTTATGTAGCTCCTTGGGAGGAGTAGTGGATTTCAAGTAGCTTCAACTCATCGGCCATGTACTAAAGGGCTCTGGTTGTGGAGTGCTCCCTTAAAGAGAACTGCTCTCGATGGGACTGAGTATAATCTATTACTCCTAGATAGTGAAGGAATTGATGCTTATGACCAAACAGTAAGTTTCCTTGTCTTTAACTTGAAGAATATCTATGGTTGTCAATTGATCTGCTGTATGCAGCATGTCTCACAAATCTGAATTAGTTCCTTACCCTTCTCTTTAACTTCACTCCCTTCTGATGATCATCTGAATGATGCTTTCTTTATGCTGTTTATGATATGCATAACTTTTTTGGTATTGTTGGCAGGGAACATACAGTACTCAGATATTCTCGTTGGCTGTACTCTTATCTAGCATGTTCATCTATAATCAGGTGGGGGCATCTCTATACTGGGCCTTCTGTTCTTTGATATGGTTTGTTGTTATACTGTCTAGTGGCTAGAATATGTATTCACTTCTGACGGTTCATTCGCTTCTTTGTCTGATTCTATGTAGATGGGTGGCATAGATGAAGCTGCACTTGATCGTCTCTCTCTTGTCACTCAAATGACAAAACACATTCGCGTGAGAGCTTCTGGTGGAAAAACTACTGCTTCAGAGATTGGACAATTTTCCCCAATATTCGTTTGGCTGCTAAGGGTAATTGTGTTTAATGTGTTTGGTCTCTGACTAAATATGTATTCAGATATATTCCTGTCTGGTGACTAGTTTCATCCATAATTTCTGTTTAACTGCAGGATTTCTATCTTGATCTAGCAGAGGATAATCGGAAAATAACTCCACGTGATTACTTGGAGCTTGCTCTGAGGCCTGTTCAGGGCAGTAAGAAAGATATAGGCGCTAAAAATGAGGTAATTATCAAGTTAGCTCAGTTTTTTACATATCATAGTACCACATTTTCCCCATAACTTTAATCAATATATCATGTTGTGATAAGCTGCAGATTTGTAAGGCCATCTTCCACAGATATGTGCATCTTGCGTGATAGCTTACTATATCTTTGAAAATACTTCTAACTCCTTATCATTTGTGATGATCATGGCCAACAGATTCGGGATGCCATTCGAGCCTTGTTCCCAGATAGGGAATGCTTCACACTTGTGAGGCCGCTGAACAATGAAACTGATCTCCAACGCATGGATCAAATTTCGGTCAGTTGGAATGGTCTTTCATGCATGTTCTTGCCCTCTTGCCTGCTTTGGATGTATAGTTCCTCTTTCTAACGCGTCGTATGTAAAATTGTTTTGTATGCCTTGCAGTTGGAAAGGTTAAGGCCTGAATTTAGATCTGGGCTGGATGCGTTAACCAAGTTTGTTTTCGAGAAAACAAGGCCCAAGCAAGTTGGGGCTACTGTGATGACGGGGCCTATACTTGTTGGTGTGACAGAATCTTATTTGGAGGCCTTGAATAATGGTGCAGTTCCTACAATAGCATCTTCATGGCAGGTTGGTTTCTCATCTCCAGTGTATTTTGGAGGTTAATGTTAGTGCATCTGCTCCGGGCTTATTTTTTATAAGTGAGATCAGGCTGTGCCTCTACCATATATGCCCCTTAGTATGTGGTTTTATGACAAGCTATTGTGATTTCAGAGCGTCGAAGAAGCTGAGTGTCGAAGAGCATATGATACGGCAACAGAAACCTATATGTCCTCCTTTGACCGTTCAAAGCCACCTGAGGAAGTAAGTAAGAACATTGCTCTTCAATTTTTTTATACCTTTGTTCTTTTTTCTAATTCCACTACCTGCAGGGTTCTTTGAGAGAAGCCCATGAAGTAGCGGTGCAGAAGTCTTTGGCTGTGTTCAATGGTGCTGCTGTAGGGATTGGGACTGTTCGAAAGAAATATGAAGAGCTTCTTCAGAAATTCTTCAGAAAGGCATTTGAGGTAATGGAGCTTTCTAACTCACAGACTACTGATTGACTTTGGTGCTTGATCCTTCTTTGATGAATACTGGAGACAAGATGATAGGCTTCTGCAAATTGATCAATGGCGTTGTGTAGTAAACCAGCATCTTACCTTTTGCATCAAATGACTTTCATGTCAGGATTATAAGAGGAATGCATTCATGGAGGCAGACATGCGTTGTTCAAGTACCATCCAGAGCATGGAAAAGAGGCTGAGGGCAGCTTGTCATTCTTCTGATGCGAATTTAGATAAAGTTGTGAAGGTATGCATTTTTTCAAATTGATTATCCGACTGTTATATCTGTCCCATGATTTGATTATTCGGTTTACTGATGTTATAATGTTGTTTAGGTTCTCGATGTTCTCCTCTCTGAATACGAGGCATCATGTCATGGCCCTGGAAAATGGCAGAAGTTGGCCGTATTCCTTCAACAAAGGTTGGTCCTTTTCTGTTCCTTTCTCTGCCTTTCTTGCTAATTCAGTTAGATAGACATACTTCATTTGAACAATTTCTTGCAACACTTTGCAGTTTGGAAGGGCCGATACATGACCTTGCAAAAAGGCTTGTTGATCAAATGGGCACAGAGAGGACTTCCCTCATGCTGAAATGTCGTTCAATTGAGGACAAGATGGCATTGCTGAACAAACAACTGGAAGCTAGCGAGGGTCATAAATCTGAGTATATGAGGCGCTATAATGAAGCCATCAGTGAAAAGAAGCAGCTTGCTGATGATTATTCAAAGCGGATATCTGACATGCAGAGCGGCCGCAGCTCACTCGAAGAAAGGTGTTCTAGCTTAAGAAAGGCGTTGGAATCTGCCAAGGAAGAGACATCAGAATGGAGAAGAAAGCACGAATTGGTTATGTCTAAGCATAAATCAGTTGAGGATCAAATAAACTCTGAAGTTGCAGTTCTGAAATCAAGAAGCAGTGCTGCAGAAGCAAGAATGGCTGCTGCTCATGAACAGATGAGATCAGCTCAAGAAGAGGCTGCTGAGTGGAAACGGAAATATGACATCACAGTACGAGAAACCAAAGCTGCTCTGGAGAAAGCTGCTTTGGTTCAAGAACGGTCAAGTAAAGACACTCAGTTGAGAGAAGATGCTCTGAGGGAAGAGTTTTCAGGTGTTCTTGCTGACAAGGTATACTAGCTAGCCAAAATTATATGTAGCCTTGTACTGAGAAATACATTTTATCATGTTCTTTTTCTTCTTATCATGAGTAAATTAAAGTCTTTGCTAATTCATGCAGGATGAGGAAATAAAGGAGAAGAATTCAAAGATAGAATATGCCGAGCAGCGCATAACAACGTTGAACTTGGAATTAAAGGTATGCTCTTTGGTTCACAGATAGTTTGGCAAGACTCTCAAAATGAAACAATTTTGAACTAACCACTATTTTTCCAGCTTTGTCTCTCTATAAAGGTAATAGGGTATGTTCGCTTATCTAACTTTTAAAACAACTATTCTCCCTAAGTGCAATAAATAATTAGAATCTGAAAGCTACCTCACAAATAAGAGTTTATTTCCAGAAAATTACCATTTGGAATAAAAATCTTTGTTCAAAGTTATATCCATTTCTCAAAATAGACCCTTATCTTTTCTGGTAAACAAAGTATCTACCCTGATATCATTTCCTTTTTTACTATGGAAAAGATTTCATATCTCATCCGCATACCAATTTTTTCTTCACTTCCTCTAGAACTTAAAAAAAAGTCGCATGTTCTATAAGCATAAGCTGAAGCAAAGACAGACATAGTACCACACAGATTCACCATATGAAATAAACTGACGTGAAATGTTTGTTTACATGTGAAACTTTGAATAATTTTTCAATCTTTCTGCTAGCTCTGTTCTATAATTTATAGGCACAATATGTTGACTCGAAATCTGTTATTTGGCAGGCTGCAGAGTCAAGGATAGAGAGTTACGATGCAGAAGTCTCATCGCTCAAACTTGAAATCAAGACATTGGCTGAAAGACTAGAGTCTGCAATGGCCAATGCCCAATCTTATGAAAAAGAAGCTAGGATGTTGGAACAAGAGAAGATACACATAGAGCAAAGGTACCGTTCTGAGTTTGAGAGGTTTGCGGAAGTCCAAGAAAGGTGCACTCGGGCTGAAACAGAATCCAAGAGGGCAGTTGAAGTTGCTGACAGAGCACGGACTGATGCAGTCAATGCACAAAGGGAGAAGAACGAGTTCCAGAAACTGGCAATGGAGAGGCTGGCTCAAATTGAGAGGGCCCAAAGGCAGATCGAGAATTTGGAGAGAGAAAGAGCCGATTTGACAAAAGAACTCGATACTGTTCGTGATTCGGAGATGAAGGCCCTATCTACAGTTTCACAGCTAGAGGGGAGAGTCGACGAGCGGGAGAGAGAAATCGAGGTCTTGCTGAAGTCGAACAATGAAGAAAGATCAACTAACGTTAAAGCCCTTAAAGGTCTTCTTGAAGATGAAAGGAAAGCCCACAGTGCTGCTAACAAGAGGGCGGAAGAGCTCTCTCTTCAGTTGGAAGAGGCACGGGCAGAACTCGACTCGCTCCAACAGGAGCTGACTTCAGTTCGGTTGAACGAATCAGCACTTGATGGTAAGCTGAAGGCGGTTTCTCATGGCAAGCGCGGTAGAAACGAGGATGTGGAAATGGGGTCGGTTCAAGACATGGGAGGGACCGGTAGAAGAGCGAGTAAGAGGGCCAGGAGCACCACCAGTCCCATGAAGTATAGTACACCACCTCCCACAGCAGCAGAAGATGGTGGTTCGGTTTTCATGGGGGAAGAGGAAGATGATACCCAGAGTCAGCAGTCTGGTCAAGAGAACTACTTGAAGTTCACCATTCAGAAACTGAAGGCCGAACTCACAAAGCACAATTTTGGTGCGCAGCTACTTCAGTTGAAGAATCCTAACAAGAAGGATATCGTTGCTTTGTACGAGAAGTGCGTGCTGCAGAAGTCTTGATCGTCCCAGTTGAGTTCTTGAGTTGTTTTCTTGTATATGAAATGCTTTGTTTAGGGTGGAGTTGGTTTAGTCTGTACGAGAAGAGAAGTGTGTGCTTAGGGAGGGTACGGAATTAGAGTTCAATTCATTGATCTCTAATTATGGTTTGAGTGAGATGTGCATTGTGATGGGGTTTTGAGTGTGTTTACTTGAATATTTTGATTTTGCAGCAGTTTGGGCAGATTTAGATTTAGACTTCGATTGTCTAGCACGGCCATCTTGGTTTGCTCAATTTGTTGGCCTCGTATCTGGATTCTGGAGTGGTTCGGATACTAGTTACTATTTAACTCGGTTTGACCGAACTGATGACTGAGTATATATAGCCTATAGGTGCTGATTTTGGGTCAAAGATGAAACCTACTGCTCAGTGGTCACTATTTTATTCCTACGTTTGGCCCGGCTTTTAGAAGTGCTTTTCGAGTTCAAAAGCTGAAGCAGGGCCAAACACCTGTAAAAGTTCGGTTTTTGAAAAGCCGAAAAGCCCTTTTGTATAACATAAAAGCAGAAGCTCCGATTTGGAGCTTCCGCGAAAAGCTATTTTGAAAATACAAGATTATACTTACCATATTTTAATTTTATTTTAGAAAATATAATTTTCCTTCATTTATATCATTTTAAAAATAAAATAAATTATAAAATCATATTATTTAATATAAAAAAAATCTAACAAGATCAATTTTGACTACTTTTTATTGTTTATAATTTTTATTTATATTTTATATAATAAGTCTTTTATAGTCATTTTACACAACTTCTTATATTAAAAAACACTTCTAATAGTTTTACAGCCAAATACTCAACTGCTTTTTTTTAAAGTACTTATCTAAAAGTTCTAACAAAAAACTGCTTTTGCAAAAGCTACGGCACGACCATTGTAAAAAAGTTCACACGTTAAATTGACGATTTCTAAATGATGAGGGCACGTAGTGTCCACTTTTCTCGTATTCCTTTTTTTTTTACCTTCCTTCCTTGCAAGAATCGCAAAAGAGAGAAGGGGTTTGAACTTTGAACGTCACATGCTCTTTAGGTTAGAATCTTACAAGCAAGTGTCGGTGTAAGTGTAATTATTATCGGAGAGTACGTTATATATTTGATCAAGTAGTTCAATAATCTCCCTATCATGTGATACAAAAAAAAAAAAAAAAATTCAACTAAAGACAAATACTTAGTATAACCCCCTTGATGAGGTTGGTGAAGTCACTTAAGTTGGTAACATGACTCGGATTCGACTGCACAGCGATGGATCGTTTGGTACTCGGTAAAATAGTAATTCTTATCTTCTTTCTCCTTTTCTTAACGTTGTTATCGGGCTAGCCTCGCCGACTTGTTGTTTTTGGTCTTCGTTCCATTAGCAACAGAAGAATAATGGTGGTTGTGGTTCTTCCTACTTGCGACTTAAATGTAATGTGACATCCTTCTTTTCATGTTAGATCCTAGCCTTAGATTCATTAAGCTCTTCAGTTCAAAAATGTTTTGTTGCTATCCAAAATTGATTTCAAACCTTCACTTGACTTCAAGAAAATTAATCATATTCTTCGTCTATATGTTATACTATATGATAATTGATAATATGACACATTTTTAACAAATGTTTTAGGTCATTAACCATGCTACTTTTTGTAATTGTCCTAGGGAAAAAAGTGTTGTTGGTTGTTTGCGCTTTTGGATCTGTTTTTTTGGGTCACTTTTCCTGCTCACAAAATTTCAAATCCTAATATTACATCGTTAATTAAAAATATTAATAGATAATACACACATCGCAAATTCTTCGAGTTCAACCTCCAACATGATAATTCCTCCATCTATGGAAACATGTATACAAATCACATGGGAAAACCAAAGGAAAATTAGCTAACTTACACCCCAAACCAAAAGAATAAGGTAGAACAAATATGTTGCATATACAATTAATAAGTTGCTTTTGAAAAGCTTTTTGAAGCTTTACATATGAGTGGAATTTATTCCAAGCAAGAATATTGCTTATTATTATATAATAATATTGCAAAATTACAACCCTACCCATGCCCATGCCACCTTGCTCTATGATCAAGAAACCCTATTCTTTTCCTTTCCCAAATAATCACTATACTATACGTACAGTATAATTTAACCAAGCAGAAGAATAAAGCCAAAGGTACCAAATGTTTCTTCTATAACCTACACAAGTTAATGAAATATACTATGGACAAAATCAAAAGCTTCCACCAGAACCTGGCTGTTATACCTATCTCTCCCTGTACTTCAATTACCCTTTTCGATCCCACCAAGGAAAAGGAAAATCCCACAGGGATTCTGAAATCCTCCTCCTTTTTCACCCTTGCCAACAGATTCTCAAATACCCACATACCTAACAGTTTATACCCCACAAAATACCCACCAAACAAAACCCCAACTCCTGTCCTTAACTCCTACTCTACCCCCAACAACAAAGAAAAAAGCTGTTCAAGTGATCTCTTCTCTGTCTCATTCTCACCTCATTTCCTTTGAAGCTTTCCTTTGCTTGTATCACCAGCAAGTCGAATATAGGAAGACCCATCACCTTGATGAACCACCAAATTTGGAATCAACTGAGGTGGGCTTTCTCTGTTAATGTGGCTCCCCTGATGATCACTGATACTATTCTCATGATCATAACCCATGAAAGTTGGGCTGTAGTAATCAACTAGTGTACTACTACTAGTAATTGCTGTTGCTGTTACTGTATTAGCACCGGTACTGATAATCATATTTCTGTTACCTTCAACGTTACTGTTACCACTTGGATGATTCCTGTCAAAGGAATCCTTGATGGAGCTGGATCCAACCCCACCACCACCACATTGTCGAGGCTGTGTTTGGTAGAACACTTTTGACACGACCAGCTCTCCATCTTTCTCCTCTTCATTGTTGCCGAGGTGGTATTGGTGCATTACCCAGTTGGTCTTCTCTGGCTTCCTTTGCCTGCCGTAGTTGGTGTAGAGTACTAGTATCTTCTTGAATCCTTTGGTCGCGCCGCCGACGAGAACAGGCCTGGTTTTGCCTGTCTTGTGCCATCTGGTCTCGCTCCCGTCTTCTTCCGTGTGCACCTTCCTCCGCTTCCTTGTCCCCGTCGTGTACGCCTTGGATGGCCTGTGGAAGAAGTGCCGGATTTGGCCATCATTTGAGACTCCTGCACGTTCATCATACAAACCCAATTCCTGTCCATGAGTTAGCAATGATAGTAGTAGAAAGCTTGTTGTACAATGTCATTTAGTTCGTTTGCATATCAAATCAAGATCAGAACGCACTAATAATGTTTCTAAAATGGACGGGGATGTATCAATTCGACCGGTTTAAGAAGTTATTGAGATGAAGTGTTTATATAACACAATGAAAATATCAATTGGAATACATTGACATGATATGGCTCTAAATATCTAGATTTAAAATGTGGAGTAGATACATGAATATACATGGAGGCACTAATAATTTTTCTATAAGGGACATGATGTACCAAGAATGAATTCGATCCAAATCCCAAATCCGACAAGTTAGAGATGAATTGGTAAGAATACGACGACAATAAATTAACATAACCATAGCTCTAAATATCTAGATTAAAATGTAGAGTAAATACATGAATACACATGGAGACACACCAAAATACAAGTCAATCATTAATGGGGGGAATTAAATTAAGGGATGGAAAACTTGGTTGAAAATCACTGAAGGGTTATTTTCAATCTTTGATGTCCGTTTGTGGGTTTCTTGTAGGTGAAGAAAATGAGACACCCCACCAATTAGGGAGGCAAAACTCTTGATAACATTAGCTAAAATGTATTAAAGGGGAATTTAAATGTTTCCACTGTAACAGTTGTAGCCTACCTAGTAGTTACTTGTACCATCCCACACCCAACAAAAAAAAAATACAAAAAAAGTTGGTTAAGGGAATGTAATCACGTCATTAACCCCATTACGCCACTCCATGTGCCTCCCCAATCCCATCCCTATCTTTTCTGGACATTTTCACAAACACCATTCGTGCATGGACTATTTTCAGAGGTTCGCAACAAGACTAGAAATGGAAAATTGATGAGAATCAAAAGTAGTGGAGAAGTAGAAATTCATAAACAAACCTGGTAGCTTCTCAGGATGTGTGTAGCAGATCCCGTTCTCGCCGTCGATGGTGGGGATGAACTCGTCGATGAGCGGGTGGATTTTGCGGGAATCGGACATAACTTTCGCCTCCAAATGTCCCAATATCTCTTGGTCAGTCGGATCAAACTTCATCCCCGCCGGCAGCCCCGGCAGATCCTGGATCCCGCCGCCGCCGCCGCCCTGTGAATTTCAAAAAACCACCGGCCAAAAGTAATCACTACATGAAATTCATCAGAGATCTCGAATTGAATTACAGCAAAGCTGGCTAGCAGAACTGCTCCCATAAGGAATTAAATTAAACCTACGTACCGGATCCTGGAAGGACGATTCCATGTCGTGGCCGCACGACGGGCACTTGTTCCCGCCAAATTCGTTGCCTAACCGAACAATTACGCCGTCGGCGGCGCCGGCGGGAGGAAAGGCTCTTTCAGCTTGCTCCTCTGCTGCTGCTACTGCTGCCGCGAGTGCAGACGACGGATTATCGTTGCACCATGTCATTTTCTCTCTCTAGCTTGGATCGATCTGTAAATAAGTATACTCTAACAAGAATTCGTAGCTATACAGTATGCTCTCCCAGTACTGTATTCACACATTGATCGAACTCGCTGCTGCTCCCTTTTTACTGTTCGGTTGCCGGAGAAAATCGACAGAGAAAATGGCTGAAGAGAGAGAGAGAGAGAGAGCGACGGAAAGCAAAAACGGCCAGGAAAGAGAGAGGGAAAGGGAAGAAGAAAAGGAGGGAGGAAGGAAGGAGATTAATACGTCGAAGCAAATTAAAAATTTGAAAAAGAAAAGATAAAATCTGTGGCTTTCGCGGCACGTTTTGTGTGTTTTTGTGAGGGTTTAAGACAGGACCCGTACAGATTCGACCCGACCCGATTTTCCGCTTACGAAATTTTTGTCTGTTTCTCTGTGTGAAGGGGACGGGAACCTGCTGGTTTGGGATTAGGGTTTTTAAGGATGGGTGATTAGATACTAATTAAGGTTATGGTGGTGATTAGGAGGGGAAAGGGCAGGGTTGGGCGGGCTGATTTTGGGTTAGCTTGTTTGATTAGCTCGCTATGCCCACAGAAAAGAGAGAAGCAGCAGCAAGGGAAGGGGATAGAAATCCTCCATTCTCCCGCTATAAGAAGACACGCAAAGGAGAAAAGAAAAAGAAAAAAAATAAAGAAAGGGAAAATGGATGGGGGATTGCTTGGACGTCAAGTTTAGTTATCGTCATGTGTACCTGACTGTATCGTAGGGTAATATCGAGTCGGATTATTTTTTTTTCCTCTTATTTCTGTCATCGAACTCTTATACATAAACTTTTGTTATATATATCAGTTCGATCTTGTAAATACAGTACAACTTGATTGGGTCATGGGTCCTTTGATTTGGATGAGGCCTTGTCAAGCAAGGCACCGCAAAAATAACCCTCTCCCCACGAGAGAAACCTTCTCCTCGAAGCTTTTCATCATTTCCACTAGACATTGACGTACACATTAGGGTTTCAAAAAAGCAGAAGAGGAAGAAAATAACAAACTTCCCATTTTGGACTCTTTATAGAAATACGAAGCACTTACTAGCTATATTGTCATCATTTCTGCTTGGCCTTTTGTCCTCCGTCTATCTTCTAGTTTAAACACAAAAAATTAAACCACATTGACTCTCATTCTCTGGGAGTGGAAAATTTCGCATTCTCATTCCCATCTTTGCGGACTTCGGATAATCATGAGTAAAACTCTACGTTACAGGTACCAAACAACACTCAACCTAAAATTTATAACATTAAACTGATAGCACATCATTTGTTGGAGCTTAAACGTACATCGTATACGTGTAAGTGTTGTCGTATTTTGGAATATCGATGCACGATAAGGGATAGATTTACATTTGATTGAGTGTACGTGGTTCTATGAGGGTGAGTTTGACTACGAGGATAGAGGGTGGACAGACGGGGAACCAAAACCATCGCCATCACATCTCCGCTAATTTCTTGCCGAATATTCCACATACCCATTGTCCATCCAATCTTAGGATTGCACTCATATACTGCATCGAGAAAGGTTGGATACCCACGATTACATACGGAATTGTCATCGTCCTTGATAGTGAAGGATGATTAGTATAATTTCTTGGCAGTTTGGAGAAGTTGTGGTCGTTGTCCTTGGGACTTCTGAAGAACTACCATTCTCTGTTTCCTTTTCCCGGAAGCAGTATTATCCAGTTGTGAAGCAAATGTGAAAACGATCAAAGATGAAATATGACTCTTGTTTAGCCTATATTATTGCTGTTGTTAGCAAAACCTCAGCATTCAATTTCCATAGCTTGGCCTTGCCAAGGAATTCATTTCAAAAGAAGAAGAATAAATGAGCTGATTATGTACATTTAAGGACAGAATTCATGGCTAACCCTAATCCCAACCCCCCAACTAAAGGAAGGAATCAGCATAACTGGGTTTCTGTGTGAAAGACAAGCCAGTTTCTTCTGGCAGAAAAGGAACTTCCGCTGTAACTAAGTAACAGGACATTGCTGCTGCCCTTACTGGAACACCGGGAGGTCAATCCTCGGTCTTTCTCCAATGGCTGCATTTGCTTCAACGGCGGGGACAAGGGTACTCGATCCAGTTTCGTTTGCCATCTTTAGGAAATAGGTGTGCCTGCATCGCACAAAACACCTAAGAAACAAAAACCACACTGGAGAAAAAACCCAGGAAAGAAGATAAACATACCATCGTGTATCTCCAGTGAGCTCAGGATGGAAGGCAGTTCCCAATATATTCCCCTGCTTCACTGCTACAATGACTTTCTTCTCAGGGACAGCATTTTCCTGCACAGCTCCAAACACCACATTCAGATGCAGACCATAGCTCAATAGAAGTGGGTTGATGTATGTAATGACAGGTTTGCCGTTTGCCAATATCACACTAATACAGGTAGCCTAATCCAGATGACATTTCGCAGTCAAAGAAACCTAGCCTAGTTTCAGGAGAATAGAGAATTCAAGGAGCTCAAAACATTTAGACCTAAAGTGGCAGTAAAAGGTACGATCGGGAAAATTGTTTCATACATGCTTCAGAAGTTAGCTTTTGTCATTCTGCTATCAGCAAATGTAAGAACATGTTACCTACCTCTTGGATTTGAACACCGGAACTGGAATACAATACGTTAGCAGATGGGACTGGATACTCAGCCAATACTTCGACTCCTGGTCCGACTTCAAGTACAGCGGGAGCACGAATGAACACACCTCGAAATGTTTCGGGCCCACCTTCCTGGCTCACAATTTTTGGGACCGCAAGCTCTGCCTCGAAGCTTTGAATCTGAAAAGAAGAAGCGTTGTCAAATTAATTTCCTGGTCCTCAAAGAAGAGGTGAATCCATTTGCAGTAAGATATCACTCAAATTATCTCTTCCAAGGTGGACAACGATACAACACTTCTCATTGGTTCATGTCCAACATCCCAAGCGTGCATAGCAGCCCGATCATTTCCACATATAAAGGTTTATTAAGGTGTGAAGCCACAAGTTCGATAAACTTCCAACATTACCTGACTGCCAAAGTAGTTTCTATTGACAGTGCAATCGAGGCCACCAACTAGCTCCTGACCTCCAAGTTTCTGTCCTGAAAACAAAGCATGCCATTTACTACGACTCGAAGCCAAATTTCTCCAGGGATACAATGAAAAGACCAGCATATGAATGAATCCAGTTTCCACTGTGGAATTCAAGACAGGGCATAAGAGAGATGAATGAAAACACACCGACGGCTTTGTCTGCCAAGAAGATAAGACCTGCACATGTCCCCCACACTGGCTTCCCCATTTTCACAAACTCGCGCAAAGCAGGAAACTGAAACACAACAAGAACAAGAGCTCAACAAGAGGCTAAGTGAACTAGAGGAACATTTGCAGCTAGAGAGAAAAGGGGATCACAATAGACTAAGAGGCCTATTCAATACTAGAAATTGAGTGCGTGAAGCTGATCTCCATGAAAACTAAAATTAACGACTGTCACTCTTCAAGCATCAGAAAGGAAATGAACAATCACAGCCTATTTAACCAAACCATGTAAAGCTTCAATTTTTCAAAACAAAATCGACTGTAAAACACCTACCACCGTGCTTTTCCAAGTCCAGGAAACCGTCAAGGTACACACAACAGATAGATAAAAGAAAACGCCAACCAAGTTCACGAGTTGGGACAGAGGCGGTAGCAGAAACTTTACCATGTTGTGGTACTCGGCAAGCTTGGCCATGGTGGTGCTTTCCCCACCTGGAATTATGAGAGAGCTGACGCTCTCAAGCTGCTCTGGCTTCCTAATCTCCACACCCTTGACTCCCAATCGGACGAGAGCTGCCCAAACAGCACAGCAAATATAACTAACTATTCATAGAGCCCACATCGAAACCCAAATGATGTTTGTGAAGAGGTAAGAGATGAGAAGAACGGTACCGGAAATGTGTTCGTTAAAAGAACCCTGTAAGGCGAGGACACCGACCGCCATTCCTCCTGGGGAAGAAGAACTCGTCTGGGCAGCAGCGCCGCGCGGGAGGGAATTGGAGCCGGGAAACAAGCGCTTGTTGTGGAGGAATTGGGTCCTTCCGCCTTTTTGTGGTGGGAGTAGTTTTGTTTGGACTAGCAGTCTCGTATCTCTCTACGATGCAACTTTTGATTGGTGGGCCGACCTTTTAGCCCAAACATTTGATGGGCTTAAATTAGCCTGCCGGGCGTATTATCCGTTTAAGTCCAATCAATTTCAGGCCCGCCAGAATGATTCAAAGGCGGCGCCGACGACGGAATTTTGCCAGCAAGAGACAAGATTCAAACTCCGAACGCCACACGGAAACTCGATGGCGATGCTCAACTCAAGAGATTAACGTCTCCTCTGTTTCTCTTTCAGACCCTTGATTTTCTCCTTTCTTTTACTGTATATATCATTGACTTTAGATTCATACTAATCCAGCCAAGAAAAATCGCACGGATTTATCAAAGTGTCCCAACGGGGAAATAATAAGTGGAGTGGATTTTACGTGAAGAACTGGCAAGCTAGGAAGAAGCTAGGGTTGGTCAAACCAAAATCATGATATTTTATTTACAAAATGCAATTTGGATATAGTATTTGATCAGTAGCTCGTCGATAGAGAGAGTCCGATGCTTGGTGGATAGATCATATCTCTTCACTCGAAAGATTTTACCGAGGTGAAAAAAAAAATTATGGTAAAAAATGTTTAAATGTCATTTGAAAATAGTCAGTATATTTTGAGTGTCCACTTTGCTTTAATATCGACTACGAATATTACAAAAAATGAGATTTAGAAAAAACAAGATTGAAATCTACAAATTTATTGACATACATATTTTATATATATGCCTGAAATCTACATTCAATCACTAATACAAGTTTTACCACAAATAAAAATAAACCTTAATAAAAGGAAGCCAATTTACTTCAATGATGAAGCAATCACTAGCTAATCATGAAGACAAAACAAATTGACAACCTTAAGAATAATCTATGGCTACAGGATTGAAAAAACAATCTTGGTCCCTCCCAAAAACAAAAACCCCATAGATTTAGCCGCCGCCCAAGAATAATTCCACCGCCCCACCAAACTATTCATCATTTTCTTCCATTCCCATTCATAATTCTCCCTCCATTCTAATTTCCATCCTCACCTTTTCTATACAAATTTAATACACAAAGAATCTGCCTAATAATACTACGATCAAAAGAAACAACACGACGATGATTGATGGATTGACTGAATGACACCATAAAAAAACGATCAATCGAACCCGAACCTGTCGTGATCTAGCTCGAGACAGTTGAGAATGGCGGCCACCTGAACCATCGTCGGCCGACTCATCCTACAGTTACCAACACAAGCCGACGCGACCTTCCCCAACCTGACGATCATCTTCATATCGCTCGGCGCGACCAATCTTGGATCCAAAACTTCGCCGAATCTCATCTCCTTCAACAACGGCACCGCCCATTTCACCAGCAGCCCTTCCTCCGACTTCCTCCCGGTCAGAAGCTCCAACAAAACCACCCCGAACCCATAAACGTCGCTCTCCTTCGAAGCTCCCCTGTTCCAGTACTCCGCATCGACATAACCCACAATCCCTCTCCTCCTCCCATTGAACCGGATCCCGTAATCGCACACCTTGGCCCTGAATCTCTCGTCAATCAACACCTTCGACGGCTTCACGCAGCCGTGAATCGTCCCGCCGGGCGCCGACATCCGCTCGTGTAAATACTCGATTCCTCTGGCTACGCCGGCGGCGATTGTCAGTCGCCGGCGCCAGTCGAGGAGCGAGGCTCCGTCGGGGGATTCGTGCAGGAGGTGATTCAGATTCTGAATTCCGATGAACTCCATGACGACGATTCTTTCTCCGGGGGCTTGGGAGAATCCGAGGACAGGGGCGATGTTTGGGTGGTGGGCGGAGGACAGGGTTTTGATTACAGAGGAGAATTCGAATCCGCCGGCGTTGAGTAGGACGAGGGATGGGTGAATTCTCTTGACGGCGACGAGGTCGTCGTCGCCGGGGAATACGGCGGCGTAGACGGTGCCGGAGGATCCTTGGCCGATGATTCGAAGTGGGTTGAATCCGTCGGTGGCGGCGTCGATGTCGGAGAGTTGGTATGCTCTGGCTTTTGCGGCGGCGGGGGAGGAATCTTCGAGTTCGGGTTCGGTTTCAGGGGATGGGTTTTTGCGGCAGGAGAGTAAGAGGGCGATGTTGAGGAAGATGATGATGATGGCGAGAAGGGAGAGGAAGAAATTGTAGGCGATTTCCTCGGCTGTGTTCATAGTTTCCTGTTTGTTTTCGGGGTTGCGGTGGTTTGGGGGGTCAATTTGGAGTTCTAGTTGGTGTCGCCATGGTTGAAGAAGGAGTTTCGAGGAAGGAAGGAAGGAAAGTAAAGGAGGTTTAGGATTGTTTTATGTGTGTTATATATACGGCTGTATCATTTAGTAGTCAAGCTGAATTGGAAAGTGGGTGTTGAAGAACAATCTTTTTGATGGGGAGCGGTTACGGTGCTAATTGTACAATAGTTAGCACCGTCCTAATTAAGGGAAAAACTACTACTAGTTTGAATTAGTAGTGATTTAGCTTAGATGTTGTATTGATTTTATAATAATCCGTAATGATTTCGTTATTTTTAGTAGCGTTTTTTGCTAGTTATCACGGTGCTAACCCTTATAAGGGTTAGCATCTAATCTCATCCCTTTGGATGGCGTATTAGATAGGGAAGACTTTGAAATTTTGGTTTGGTGAGATTAGTTATGAATTTCTATGACTTTTGGTTGTGTTTTGCTGACGGTTGGCAGCCATCTTTATTTGGGTTTGTCCTTTGTTTATGATGCAATCCTAAGTGGATTAGGAATAACACATCGTTAAGTTTATTGTGTTAGGGCTGCGGTCTGTACTTTCTAGGTCATAGGTGGATTATCTGGTTTATTCAAGATCAATAAGATAAGCAACATCATTTTCCCATATAAACAATTGGGTAGATGTTTGTAATTGATCGGGACAACGGACAATTTATATTCTTTACAACACAAATTTAGATATTGGTATCGGATTTGTAGAGTAGATGATCGAGATGTTGGGTTGATTTGATGACGTGTTTGGAATTTGGAGTATTAGCCTACGCATGACGACGTAAGTTACCTTGTCGTATGCGTTGTGAGATACGCTATATAGACAATGAATTATCCTACCCTCTAATCGGTGAATCAAATATTCATATTTGCCTAAAGTACATCGAATTACTTCTAATAAGAGTGAATGCATAAGCATACTATACGTCATAACGTATGCTAGCAGGATAAATTTAAGGGTATTGTTATCGTTTATCCTTAGTAAGAAAACAGTATCTAGACCTTAAGTGAGATGAGTGCATGACATGAAACTATACCCCAACCACTAACGAGTAAACTTGAACCCTAATTCTCTAATTCTAGCGTTATCAGCACACCGACTCAGCTCTTTTAACTCATGTTCGACCTAGTCGGATGGAGTAAGACATTTCGTGATAAAAACTTATTAAGTTTTGTCATCATACATGGCTACATTGCAACAACACATAGACATGACTGATTGACTTGTGAGTCTGTGATTGTTTTGTGGCGGATAGCTCTGGCAAAGCTGAAAGCTAAAGCAGAGACGACGGCATTTTTTGAGTTAGTTATAACAACCGAAAGGTCATCAAAGAAAAAGGCAGCAGTTCTTGGAATGTAGTAGTAGTGTTCATAAACCAACCTGGAAAGCTACCTGAAAGATCACACACAGCTTGGAGCAAGAATTCTTTGGGTTTGTTTTTTCAAAATTGGTCAGCTTCTCTTTAGATGTTTGAGTGGGCTTCAGTCGCTCCCTTTTGCACGCTTTTCTTTGTCCCCCCTTTCCATCATTCTTTACGTTTTAAATTTTCTACAAGTTTTAAGGTGGTAAGATTGTTTGTGTTTTAACGTTGGTTGCGGAGTCAGAAATTCCTCTAAATTATGTTTTCCATTCAATTTCAAAGTTTCAGCCATTGCAGCACTAGGAGACAGGACTCAGGAGTATAGAAGGGAAAAAAAAGAAAAAAAACTTGGGGTGCTAAATTGAGACTGAAGCTTTGGGTCGACCAAGTGTTTAGAATGGGCCTTGGCCCATAAAAAAGTTTGAACTCGTGGTGGTTTTTGTTCGAGAAGTCCAGCTAATATTTAGCTCGGAATCTGAATTTGGAGGCCCAATTGTCATGTTTAGGTTCCCAAAAGAAGAGAGGTGGCGTTAGAGTAGTGATGGGACGGGTACCTCAATTCCCATGCCCCGTCCTACGCTACTATGGTCGGGCGGGTAAAACCCGCGAGGGTACAGGGCGGGGCGGGTCGACCCACTCTTACATGTTGTTCAAAAAAAATACAAGTAAATTTTACTTTTTACAATAAAACGTAGGGAAAAATACTTTAAGAATGAAAAATATTGATAATAGAATGGATAATTGAGCTTAACAAGTTGAAAGATCGACTCTAACTAGTTGAAGAAAAGTCAAAATAGGAGAAATATGTATAAATATTGTAAGAAATTGAGATAAAATTAGTCTAGAACAGGGCGGGGCGGGTTGAAAGTAGATACCCATACTCCGCCCCACGCTACTACGGGTCGGGTAATACCCGTCCATCACTGATTAGGGGGTAATACCCGCGGGGCGGGTTGAAATTGCATCACTAATTAGGAGTGAGTGGGGTTCATGTTACTCCACGCAGTCGCTCCATTTCCTTTTCCATGTGGCCATCGATCTCAGGAGACCGTCGAAAGTGAGGTTTTTGGGTGCTTATTTACAACGTGAGGAGAGAAAGCGAGAGGAGGGAAGGGGTGAGACTTAGCCTGAGAGAGACAACAAGTAGACCGCCCCCGGCCAATAATATCTTATCACAATTTAAGTTGAGAACCTTGATTGAATTCAGTAGCAACTTATCAAGATTTGATTGCTATGTGCATTATGATAGATTAATCTCTTGTAGCTTCTTTGATTTGATTAGTGTATGTCAATATTTCGGGTATATCAATTTTTAATTACCCAATCTTTTTATGTACGGACTTTAATGAACTTGCTTTTCGTGGATGCTTACCGTAAGGTAGTATAAGGTCACGCTGGCTGAATATATAAAGTTGGTGAAGAGGAAGCCTATGGAATCTACTGGTTGAGTAGTCATACTTCCGTCAAAAAAGTCTAACCTAAATCACTCCATTAACCCCGTAAAAAGAATATAAAAAAAAACTCAATGGGCATGCACTAGTGACTAGGGTTGTTAATGAGCCGAACTGAGCCGAGCTTTGTCATAGTTTGGGCTCGGCTCGTTAATATATTTCCAGGCTCGAGCTCGGCTCGTGTTTGTCACAAGCTTTAATATACAAGCTCAAGCTCGGCTCGTTTATGAAAATGAAAGCTCGAGCTCGACTCGTCAAATAAGTTTAACGAGCCCAAAATCGAGTTCAGCTCATAAAATGTCCACGATAGATCAAAATTGACTTAGAACTGAGCACAAAATTACATTCAAACCTGTAGCAAAGTCTATCAAAGTAAAACACAATATTTATCCCAATTTCAATACATAAAATACATGAATTCTAATCCTTTTTTTTATGCCAAACCATCAAATGAGATTGTTCGCGAGCTTTCGAGCTGAACATGGTATGGCTCAAGTTCGGCTCGTTTAGTTAACGATTTTGTTCGCGAGCCGGCTCGATTAAGACGAATCGAGTGTCGAACGAGTTTTCCTCGAGTCGGACACCGAGCCGTTCATAAGCGGTTTGGTTCATTAGCAGCCCTACTAGTGACTAGTGAATTCATTGAAATTTAACACTTATTTATCTTCGTCATTGTTTGTTGATATTAAATTTAACGTCTAATATTTATTGTATCTATTTCACTATGCTGTCAATACAAGAGCACTGACAACAGAGATGCCATTTTTTTTTTATCGAAATCATACCTACCATGGCTGTTAGGAAAACACAGACAAGCAAGTGTTATAATAATAAACGTAAATAATAATTAAAATGACTGCGTTAATTTATAATAACTTGTCAACTCGTATTGCGAACAACAAATAACCATGTGTAGATGAAAATAGACAACGGAATGGGTATAAACTATAAAGACTACCTTGATTTTTTGAAAGGAGGCCACTTAAGCAAATAACACCCTTTTAGATTCATGAATGTTGTCATTGTTAGAAGTTACGATGTTGATGGCAACCGATTCATCTGGGCCAAGAGTAAACTAACAGAGAAGAGTGAGACAAGCGTGGGCCTATCTAGAGAAGGCCCTTTCACCCACTTTAAAAGTTCCAAGATATTCAGGACCAGCCCGTTCCCCCCCTGGCCCACTCTCATTAATGGACTCAATGGCCCACTCATGCCCCGCGTAAATAAATTCCAGCAGCAGGCAGCCGACTCAACCACAGGCCACACACCAGTACTACAGTACCTACTTGCTATTTCATTTTCATTTCACCCTGCTGCTCATGGCATCCTCCAACCTTCCTCTCTTCTCCGGTTACTTCCCGGTGACAGCGCCACGAGCCCGATCCTCTGTCGGATTGTCTGGGGAGGCGCGACTTACTCGCGCTAGATTGGCTGGTCTCGACAAGTCGAGCTATCGACAATTCGACACGTCGGCTTAGTCCTTCTACGTTACCGCTCCATTTTCTAGCGTTCGTTAGGCGATACGACTTGCTCACGCCAAAAGAGAGATCAATATTTTCTTTGACATAAATCATACATTACAAGCTACAACCTAGAAATTAACCCTTCTGTATCCCACCACCAATAGGGTAAAAAGAAAAAAATCTGCAGCCATGGTGGGTTCTTGAATCTCAACTCTTTTTTAACTTGAACACTGTAGAACTCAAACTTCCACATTACAACTCACCACCACTGTACAGAATCCACCCACATAGAATCACTCACTTTCCCCCAAACCAAACCCACAGTGCAAAAAAAAAAAAAAAAAACTATGGCTCTCAATCAAACTCTCCCCCCCAGTAAATCATCTCTTCCCAAAATCATGCTACACTCCCTTGATCCGAGGCGTCCTCGTAGTAGTACGGCGTCAGCTTGCCATCTTTCTTCCCCGCGGTCTTCGACTGAGCTTCTCCCCCGATCTCCTGCAGCTGCTTCACGATCCTCCTCATCGAGGGCCGGTTGATGGGTAGATGGCTCGTGCAGAGTATCCCAATGTTGAGAACTCTGCATATTTCCTCCCTGAAACACGAATCCAGTTTCGAGTCCAGAACTTGGTCGACCCCTTTCTGGTCGATCGTGGTTCGTACCCACTTCGCCAGGTCTTTCTCCCCGAACTCGGGGTCCACAGGTAGCCTCCCGGTCACCAGCTCTAGGACCACGACCCCGAAGCTGTATATGTCGCTCTTCTCGTTCACCCTCAATGTGTAAGCATACTCTAAAATACACAGAGCATTCAAAAGTAAGAACACAGTAGCACAAATTAGAATGCATAAATGGTAAAAATGTAATGTGGGGATCAAAGACTTTACCAACCTGGAGCAATGTAGCCACAGGAACCTGCAATGACAGACATAGACTTGGGTTTGCCCATGGGGGAATCCACAACCTTGGCCACTCCGAAATCGGCCACTCTGGCTCCGAACTCACTATCGAGCAAAATGTTGTTGGACTTGACATCTCTGTGAACAATCGGCGGCACACAATCGTGATGCAAGTACGAAATGCCCTCCGCCGCGTCCAGGATGATCCTAAACCTCGTCGGCCAGTCCAGCAACCCTCGCTTGCTGCTGTGCAGCAGGTCCCCCAAGCTGCCATTCGGCATGTACTCGTAAACTAGAAGTTTGCAGTCTCTAGTGACGCAACAGCACCATAACTTCACTATGTTCTTATGCCGAATCTTGCCCAACGTCTTCACTTCCGCGTCGAACCCATCATCGTCCTTGTTATCACTCTCCCCTTTCTCCACATCACCGACAATTCCCTTCTTGGCTCCACCGCCCCAGAGCTTCTTCACGGCAACTGCCTCGCCATTGCTGAGCACAACCTTGTAGACCCTACCCGAAGACCCGCTCCCAATCACGTTGTCGTCGTCGAGCGCGTCGAGGATCTCGTACTCGCTGAATCCGAGCTTGTGGAACGACATTAGAGTCCATTTCGATTTGTCGATTGAACGGCCGCCGGTGGGGGAAGATTTGATGTTCCTGTACTTGAAGTAGAACCAGACGACTCCGACGAGGAAGACGACTACGGCGAGGATGAACATAGACCTGAGCAGCCAGGCGTAATCCTGGGTTTTCCTCCCGCCGCCGTGTTTCCCCTGGCACAACCCGGCAATGTCGCCGCATAATCCGGGGTTCCCTAAGAAACTGTTCTTGTAACTTTCTTTCGCGTAGAGCGGCGGAATCTCGCCGGAGAGCTTGTTGTTCGAGAAATTGAGCTGGTTGAGCTTCAAGTTCTGGAGATTGGATGGGATTTCGCCGGAGAGCTGGTTGCCGGACAAATCGAGATAGTTGAGAACAGAGAGCTTACCTATTGAGTCCGGGATATCGCCGGAGAACTGGTTTCTGGCAAGATTCAACTCGTTCAGCTTCTTCCATGAATCAATCCCAGCTGGGAGCTCGCCGGAGAGAAGATTGTCGTGGAGATCCAAAGTTCCCAATTGTTTCAGATTCATCACGCTTCCGGGAAGCGGACCAGTGAACCGATTCTCACTGGCGGAGAACTCAACCAGACTCCCGACCCAACCGATTTCCTCCGGGATTGAACCGTTGAACCCGTTCTTATCCAGAATCAGCATCGACAAATTCGTTGCGCTGGCGATGGTCTTCGCGATTTGACCGGAGAACGAGTTGCTGACGAGATCGACGAGATAAACTCGGGGCAGGCCCCAGAACCCGGCGGGTATTTCGCCGGATAATTTGTTGTTGCCCAATCGGATTCGGGTCAAGCTGCGGCACTGGGTCAAACTCGCCGGGATTTGACCCGACAGCGAATTGTATATCGCCAATAGCTCTTCGAGCTCCCCTTTCTCGCACAGTGTTGCCGGGAGTGAGCCGGTGAACTGATTATTCGACAGGTCCAGCCATCTCAACGGCGAGTTTTTCCCGAGATTTTGAGGCAAATCGCCGGTTAATTTGTTGCCGAACAGCCGGAGCTCGTACAAATTTGGGGAAAAAGAAATGCTCGCCGGTAAGTTACCTTCGAATCCGTTCTCGTAGAGATTGAGACTCTCCAACGGCAACCGACACAAATCTTCCGGAATCGAACCGGTCAGCCGGTTCATCGAAGCGTCGAGGAGCCGCAGCGCCGTCATATTTCCCATCCCCGCCGGCAGCTCCCCACTCAACGAGTTGTTGTAGAGCTCCATCTGTACCAAATCGCTCAACCCGGCGAGCGAATTCGGAATCCCGCCGACTAAATCATTAATCGCCAGGTCCAAATCGGTCAGCTTCTTCAACCGGCCGAGAGAGGAAGGAATTTCCCCGACCAAATTACATTCCGTCATCCAGAGTATCTCCAAATCAGTCAAGTTCCCGAACTCCGGCGGGATCCGACCTGGGGAAAACGGGTTGTATGACAGATTCAGCATCTTCAGAGTAGAAACGTTCCCCAAAAAGGGTGGGACGATTCCGTCGAGGAGATTATACACGACGGAGAAAACCTCGAGCTTCTGGAACCTCCCGTAGGAAGGCGGAATCGAACCGGAGAAGTTGTTACCGGTGAGGTCGAGGTACTGGAGATTGGGGATTTCCGGTAAGGTTTCAGGGAGCTTGCCGGTGAGGAGATTCTGGGCGAGATCGAGGTGGGTAAGGGACCGGCAGGAGGAAATGTCGAGGGGCAGAGTGTCGTTGATGGAGTTGTTGTAGAAGGAGATGGAAGTGAGGTTGCGGAGGCGGCAGAGGACGGAAGGGAAAGGGCCGGCGAGGTTGGAGTCGGAGAGGTCGACGGAGGTGACGGAGCGGGTTGTCGGGTCGCATCCGACCCGGGGCCAGGAGCAAGGGTTGTCATCGCGGTCGGACCAGGAGGCGAGATTGGAGTCTGGGTCGGAGAGGGAGAGCTTGAGCTGGTAGAGATAAAGGCCTTCCTGGTTCAGAGAAAAGGAGAAGGAAGGGAAGAAGAAGAGGAGGAAGACGAAGAGAAGCATTTTGCTGGGGCGGTGGCCGGAGAGAGGGGTTTTTGGATTTTGGAGTAGTTGAGGAGTTACTACTGAGTACTGAGTCACGCCATTGGAGAGGTGGGGGAAGAAGAAGAGAATGAGAAATGGTGTGCTGGTGGTGGAGGTGGCGGTGGTTCAAATATGAGAAGGGAAAGGGAGAGTGACAGTTGGGGAGATTTATAATTATCTTTCATTGTTGTAATTACCAGAGAGAGAGAGAGAGAGAGTGATGAATGAATTTATTGCTATCATGGTGTCAACTCCATGCTCCACAGTCCAAGACAAAGAAGGTGAAGAAGACGAAGAAAAGAAGAAGCAAAATCCATTCCGGATTAACGATGTTGATTAGTGTTTTCTAGGTTTGTTTTTCACACCTATCGTTTTTTGGGAATGTAAATGTAGAACGATTCATGAACAAGATCTAACTATTTTTCACATACGCATTATCTTCGTGATCGTCTGATTTAATTGTCGGGTGTTTGTTAACATGTTTTACGATCATCTATTCACTTGATCATACTATTTTGTTGTTGTGTAAAATTAACACAAACAAAACTTTCCAACGACATGCGATAGGATACTAGTAACGGAAGATACTCCACAACTTTTTGACAACAAGTTGTATATAATGTTATGTACTAGTAAAGGAAATTGGATTTAGAATCAATATAAGTAATTATTTTCACTCCAAATCAGGTGACAAGTGGAATACATTACACATTGTTTTTTCATGACTACATTATGCGTCTGCCAGGTGTGTTGCCGCTCTGTAAGCAGATGGCTTATGTTGTTTTGTGACATGTAACTATACACGACAAAATTTTATTAAGACAAACGGTGGGGAAAAAACGACAAAATTTCGCCAGCAGTATCTTTTATAATACAGAGAGAAGTGAGCATTTTTAGAGCTTAATTGTACGCCCCATATATGAATAGGATTCCAAATGCTTAATTGTAAGAGTAGCTTGCCTCTTGTGGTTGAGGTCCATGGGATAAGTCTTCAAGTATGATTTAAAAAAACATACAGAGACATGCCACCATATCAAGTTAGGGTAAATTGCTAGATCGACTATTTACGAATCCTTTTTATATCATATATTATCCTTCTTCATAATCTTATAATGATCTTCTTCATTCTCGGTATTGTAATTCCTTCTTAAACGAATGTGTTAAGCGGAAAGGAGAGATGATCAACATCTCTACTAACATGAACACGAACAATCATCTTTCGATATTCTTCTTACTAACATACACCGTCAATACTTTGATTTATAGCTCTTCTGGGATGAAATACATGCAAAAGCTTTCTTTTTTCACCAAAATAAACAAACTAAAAAACACTAGTATAACATTTAATAAATTTTCTATAAATATTTTGTAAATTATACATTGTTGTTGTTAACCAAGAAAATGAGTGATGGGGCATGCTTTAGTTTGTTTTTCAATGGATGGGGATCATCATCAACTCATGACCCATGACTCTTGACTGTAATATAATATGAAGTTATTCAGTTTTAGTTAGAGCATATATATATATAGTTAAATAGCTTTCTGTTAATTGATCTATGTTGATCAAAAGGCTTAGTAATATATAACAAAAAATAAACCTCTTAATGACATGATTAGGGGTGCTATGGCCTAGGGACCCCCTTTTTTCTTTGTTAGCTTTCGATAATTAGAAAGGGATTAAGGAGATTATTAGAAGGAATTAAGCAATGGAAAGTGGCAGTAGTAGTACTGTAGTTATTGTGCTGCTGGATAATGAATGGATTGGCAGCTGCCTGCGACAACTGTCGAGCATATCTATCAAAGAGATGTTTACTTTGGCTTTTGATTTCTTCTCTTTTTGGTTTTGAGCCGTGAAAGATAGATACAGAGAGCTGTCGGTTTATCATGGTTTTAATCAAACGGCATAATTTGGAGTTTTCCCTCATTATTTTAATTCTTTCTGGGCTTCATTATTTTAGGAGTGATTACCCATTACCCTAAAAAAATTCAAAAACTAAAAAAACCTACAAAAACTCATGTTTACCACATCTGGTACAAATAAAGATTGTCCGATTCATATAAGAAGTGGTAAGATACAAAATTGTTGTGGAGTCTAGTTGGACCGATCAATCGTCCAACATCCGAAATTGTCATCATACCAGTTTGAGAACAGATCTCTGAATTTTTTTCTTTGTATAAGCTCTTAGCGGCAAGCGACTCTTGATCCATTCTCGAATCACACCTCTCCAAACATTATGTGTTACGTCAAATTAGGGATGGCAACAAAATCCGAACTCACGGGTACCCACCCGACCCAACCCAGTCAACGCGGATAAAACCCGTGTTGACGGGTTTTGGGTCGGTTTCGAGTTTAAACCCGTTACACTATTCACCGGGTCGGGTTAGGTTTGGGTTTAGGTAAACCCGCTCCATGGGTACCCGCCCACACACATATAATTACTTTTCCGGTATATTTAATATTCTAAATAATATATCTTCCTTAAACAACTAATATCTATATGTTTGTGGAGACATGTATAATTTGTTCTTTCTAATTGTTTAGAATGAAGTTGATATTATGAAGTGAAGAGTGAAGAAACTTAGCTGACGAGGAAGAAACTTTCAATTAATCTTATTGTTTATATATGTTTATCTTTAATTTTGAATAATTTGTATTGATCATTTGCGCTTTGCTTGTATGCTCTAGATTGGTTGGGTTTGAGTTTGAGTTTTTCAAACCCATGAACCCGCGGATACACAGCGGGTTGGGTTTGAGTTTTTCAAACCCAACGGGTTTTACTCCGGATTTTTTTGGCGGATAAACCCATGGATTTGCGTTTGGGTTTGACAAAACCCGATCCAACCCGACTCATTGCCATCCCTACATAGAATCAATGAAGCATCCGGGTTAACCGTGACCCAATCCTTGCAATACCGGTGCATTGTGATTCAATTTGCAGGCAACTATATATTGGGATTTTTTGTTGTTGTGTGGTAAGATGGTAAAAGGAACACAAGAAGAACGTTTGATGAGAAGATTGATTGGCATGTCGTCGGCTGGTCTGGCGCAGCGGCATGCGTTTGCTGCTTTGCTTGTCTGTCTGTCTGTGTGGGCTTTCGGCCAACCACTTTTTACCCTTTTGGAACTTCACGCGAGGGCAGTCAGTTGATCGAGCAGCATGCATGTTGTTATGTTAATGAGAAAACGAATCAACAACCTTCATTCTTTTCCAAGGAATCGTTTCAAGCAAAATAGAATTTTGATGATTCTCGTTTTTAGCTTTGCTGCTTTGATTTTTTTCTTATTTTTTTTCCCAATAAGAAAAAGGTATATTTGACATGAACCATAATTAAAACGATCATAAGTCATAACCATACATGTCTGAACACTGCAATTCATGAAGTTTGAGATCCACTGTTGTTTGACAATTCCTTGACCAGACAGCCAACTTTAGCAGCTCAATGAAGGCGGCTTTGAATTCATGTTGTCTCTTGCGATATAGAGTGAAATGAGACGCAGAGGCAGCTTCTTGAATTCATTGATTCGTGAATTCATGATGCATTTTTGGTGGTGGTTTTTGTTGTTGGGCTACGTAGTCATTATTTTACAAGGTATCATTTAGATCAAACCAAAAAGGAATCGTAGCTGTTACTTGTGTATAGCATGGACCGACACAAATTCCTCATTCCATTTACTTTTAATTACTACATCAAAACGTTTGGTTCTTGTTGTAATAACAATCATTGAAAGTTACCAAAGCTGAAAAACCATGGATACATTTGTAATTCTTGGTGGGATGCTCGTAAAACTCCATTATTTCAATAGACAACCTAACGATCTACTCATAAATAAAACTAACGATTTATACACATTTTCATGTTTTTTTGCGTGTATTTTCGTGTCATAATATTAAAATAATCTCGAGCCGAATGTGTAACTATGATTAATGTATTCAAAATCTGTCATGTAACGTATAATTCAAGCATCGAACGACTTCGCATTTTTTTCTTCACGCAAATTTATGAGCTACATATTTGCAAGAAGCAAAACAACTATTGATTTTAAAAGAAACATAGAGATCATCATTGGTAATAATTTTCTGTATGTTAATTACTAGTTTCTGAATGACAGGGGGGCTAGAATTGAAAATTGCAACAACCTATTGGAATTTAATTTAACTCGTGTATTCTTTGATGAAGGGGATCGAGAGAGTAACAACCTATTACTTTTCAATGTTTAATTTCCATATACGATCAAACATTTCATAACCTAGAATCAGATCGTACATTATGAACTACACGTAAAATCCACCAACAACTATTGTCTATATATTTTCATTTAGTAGAATCACGAGCTTATAGGGAGTCGAGTTTTTTTTTTTTTTTTTTTTTTACTCTGTCATGAAAGATCTTTTAGTGTTGTGGTATATGATTTACGATTGAACCTCTCCCAACAACTCGAGTTATTGGGATCAACGGATTCTTGACATGGTATCAGAGCTTTCTGTGACCGAGAGGTCTTGTGTTCGATTCCCGGTGACCCCATTTGTTAAGCACATGGTATTCTTGTCTTCAGACCTGTGCAAACTTCAAGCCCTTGTGAGTGGCTTTCGTTTGAGGGGGCGTGTTAGTGTTGTGGTATATGATCCACGATTTAACCTCTCCCAACAACTCGAGTTATTAGGATCAACTAGTTCTTGACAAGATCGACATTTTATAACCTAGAACCAGAAAGCGCATTCTGAACTACAACGTAGGTAACACTCATTAATTGCTATGTATTTTTCCTTCGTCACTAACACATGGTAGATCAGTTTCATCTCCACATCAGGTACTTCTTCCCACCACTTGATTCTAGCAGATAAAATGGGGAGAGGAGAGAGTTAAAAAGAACAGAGGGAGGAAGGGGAAGTGAGGATTGCGTTTACGTGGAGCCCCATGCACAGTGAATTATTAGAAGACCAAGGAAGGAAGGGAATAACCGAATAAGACGAAGGAAGGAAGGAAGGAAAGGAAAGAGGATTCGCGCTTTCGCCTAGCCTAGTTATCACCAACTCAACGCAAGAGTCAAACTCAAACAGTTCTTCTGATGAAACGGAAAGTGGTGGAAAATGAAAGGGTGGCAGAGTCATCACTCACATATCACATCGTTCCAAAAGGCAAAAGATTTCTTCTACTGTGTGAGTTATCTTTCGTTTCAGATTGGGCTTCCCAGCTAGCTCAACAGTTCGCATGCTTCATATTTCTCGCTAAAATTACCTGACGGCTTCCGGGGGAGGATTCCCAGATTCCTTGTGTCCTCCATCGATCTTTCCACTGCTGTTTTTCCACCTGCTCCTTATGACCGCAATACCTCTCTCTCTCTCTCTCTCTCTCTCTTTCGATTTACACATTGGTCTGGCATTTAGCTCCCTCCATTGCTCAATGCTCACCACCAAAAAAGATAAGGAAATCAAATGGGCTGTTACCTAAACGATCACTAAACCCTAGTTACTGTACTAATTAATTCGTAACTAGTATAACTACGTAAGTCATCGAACTTCAATTCTCCATAATGTATGTATCAAATTGGGTGTCAAAAGCCAAATCCACGAGAACATGGCCCCACGAGGGCGCGCGCACACAATCCTCTGATTCGCAACACGAGAATTATCTCTGTTACCGTCGGATGGATGGACACGACGGCGTTTGTAGATAAAATATCACCACGCGCGTCCAATCCAACAATATTAGAGCGTCCAAACACGTGATCCGATTGTTGAGTGTCCCGTGAACACGTTCTTGTGGGGGCACCATAACCGGGTTTAATCTATACAACAATAACTATACTGTAGTGCGCGGGAAAAAAGGAAAGGATAGAAATTTGGAAACCGGGAAATGGGAAAGACTGGAGTCAGTAGTGATGGCAATGGGGCAGGTCGCGGGGCGGGTCGACCCACTCTTACATGTTGTTTGAATAAAATACACGCAAATTTTACATTTTACGATAAAATGAAGGGGGAAAACAATTTATGAATGAAAAATGGTGATAATAAAATGAGTAATTGAGTCTAACAAGTTGAAAGATCGACTCTAACTAGTTGAAGAAAAGTCAAAATAGGATAAATATGCATGGATACCGTCAGAAATTGAGACGAGTTCAGGTCGAGTAATACCCACGAGACGCGAGTTCAAAATGCCATTACTACTGGAGGGTCGGATAATACCCGCCCTATCACAAATCATGTCGGGTAATACTCACGAGAGAAGCGAGTTCAAAATGCCATCACTACTCGGAGTGGTAGGGTCGAAAGATGCATCCACACGATTTGGCAGAAAGGGCAAGGGATGGTTGCAGTTGCAGGTAGGCATTGAATGGTCACTTTCATTGCTGTTACTACCCACCACCACCACCTCTGCCTCTCTTCTCAGTTCTCAGTCCTACGGCTAAAATCGCCTCGACTTCCTATCGTCCCACTGTTCCCACCTCCCTTTTCAAATATATACAAAAATTTCCCCAACAAAGGGAAAAAATAACAAGATCTGAAATCTCCCCGACACTTGTACACTGTACAAATGCCCTCCCTGGCCGGGTTGGGTAAAAGTCTTAAATATTGTTAGCTTCCAGATCATACTTTCATTTCATAGCAGTAGTAGAACAGTAGCATAGCAGATGGACATTAATTTGCTTTGCTTGCATTTGCATGCAGCTGCTGCCAATGGCTGTTGTTGTTGTTTTATGATTCATGAGTAGTACCAATCGTAACCAACCCAAGTTTGGTAACATTTGTTGCCATGGGATTCCTCCAAAATCAACGGGTAGTTCATTATGTTAGTAAGTATTTAGTACTGTTAGTGTTGTGGTATATGATTCACGATTGAAACTCTCCCAACAACTCGAGTTATCGGGAGCAACTGGTTCTTGACATGGTATCAGAGCCTTCTGTGACCGAGAGGTCTTGTGTTCCATTCCCGGTGACCCCCATTTGTTAAGCACATGGTATTCTTGTCTTCGTACCTGTGCAAACTTCAAGCCCTTGTGAGTGGCTTTCGTTTGAGGGGGCGTGTTAGTGTTGTGGTATATGATCCACGATTGAACCTCTCCCAACAACTCGAGTCAGGCCCGGCCCAGGCCCTGTGCTGGTCAGACCCACAGCACAGGGCCTCATAATTTTAAGGGCCTCGTATGATTCATTTAAATGGCATGGGCCCAAGTTATTAATTCGTTGATATGGCCAGAAAATTACATGTGGGCCTAAGTTAAAAGAAATAGTTATTAACTCGTTTATATGGGCCATGTAAGGATTTATGGGCCAAATTTAAAAGAAAATGAATTAGTTATTTTTTCAGTGGGTCCAAATTAAAAAGAAATTAAATGGATTTGTTGATTTTTAATGGACCTAATTTAAAAGAAAGTGAATAGAGTAGTTGGTCTTTTAATAGGTCATATTTGTTCTAATTTATTGTGACAAAATCATGCATAGTGCAGCCAAGAGCCACGGAAAAGAGGCTTTAATCATTTTTTAAATGTATGTATTTATTATTATTTAACAATTTTTATTTTTAATAAATTTACAACGAAAAAATTTTAGGACCACATTTTAAAATTTTGAACAGGGCCTCGAAATATTATGGACCGGCCCTGACTCGAGTTATTGGGAACAACTAGTTCTTGAAAAGTACTTCTCGAGACAGAGGTTCAAGTGTTGATGGTGGGAGAGTTGGGACAGGTGAAAGTGAGTTCAGATATTACAGGGCTGCATGCAGTAAAAAAAAAAAAAGGAATTAACTCACTTAGGTGAAGTAGGTGGCGATGAAGACAATTAATTAATTTTACCATGCAAGGAAAGGATCAAAGGAAACTAGGAAAGTATCGGTTTCATTATTCGATCTCCATATTTATTACAGTAGGTGATAGTAGCAGTAGTGGATGAGTTTAATTTCCATTTTGATTCTTCGAGAGCACCTAACCATTTTCAAAAAGTTGGCTCCCTGCATGCAAAATCAATCACGTCATGCAATACTCTAAATCGATGTACGTACGCTGGCTGGCTAGGGTGAAAGAGGATTATCAAGTGCAGTTGTTAGTAAACGGTATATAATCCACGATTGAACCTCTTCCAACAGTTTGAGTTATTGGGATCAACTGGTTCCTGACATGGTATCGGAGCCTTTTGTGACCGTGAGGTATTCTGTTCGATTATCGGTGACCCCATCTGTTTCTGTTAAGCACACGGTGTCCGAACAATTTAAAAAAAAAAGTAATTTTCATTTTGTGGGATCGGGATGTGTATTCGAATCGTAATGATTATGGTATCTTAGTATGAAAATGAAATATATTTTTTGAAAAATTTATAATTCTGTGCTAATTTGTCTAAACCATATGGTGTTGGCATGGTGCGACTTTATGGAGCATAGAATATATTAATTTCGTATGGCCGAGGTGGATCACTCATCAATCTCACCCAAAATCGGCCCACCAATGGTATAATCGGGCCGCAGGTGGGAGTTGCTTCCAATCAGACCACCAGATTCTGAGTCGATATATGGGTCTATCAGTCAAAACCGCTAACCCATCCATTTCGTTACCCTAAACTCATGTATCATCACAATCTTTCTCTGCATATCTTCGGTCCTCCATCAAATTCGTTCTTCCTCTACTTAAAACCATCTAGTTGATTGAGCACAAAATATTGTTCATCCTATTTGAAAAATAGGTATAACAATGATTACAACATTCATAAGTTGACATCCTGTTGCCACTACTTCATCAATACAATTTGACATTTGCATATATATATATATTGCTTAGAGTGGAAACCAAAGTAATTAGCCACTTCCTTCAAGCTTGTCTTGGATCCCACCCATTGTACTTCGATCTTCTTCTTTCCTTGCAAAATACATGTTTTCATCTCTCTTTGCTTTTTGGTCGAGAAATGGATGCAGCGTGACGTGGTAGAAATCTTCAAGTGAAAAATCATGACTAATTAGGTTAAAATTCATCATTTTTTCCACCCTCCTCTCCAGTAGACAAAACATGCATTTCCCATAATTTGCTTACAACGCAATGATGAAATGCTCCACAAAGGGCACCACCTCAATTTCATATCCCTCCAGCCGAATCTGTGCTTTTACCGAAGCAATTGGCATTTGGCAATCATCAAACAGATTAAAAAAAATTTGCTTGATGTTATATTCTTGTATTAACACTTTTCCTTTTTGCATCCATTGTGGGTGGTTTACCAAAAGCTAAAACTTGTGCAAGGTTCGAGTTTTTAGTGAAAGTGAAATTTATTTTTAATTCCTCGTCAATTGTCATGCAACTTATCAATATGTGACGCACAGTGTACACATTGATTCCTGCTATTTGGCCATCGTTATATGGTTTTTTGTCGATTACTACTCAATGATGAATGTTAGCAATGATCGTACATATAGTCAAGGTGATTTTGTTGCGGATTATGAAACCATTAAGTTCTCTAATCCACAATGGTATATATATGCTATCAAAATATATTTCGTCGAATCAGTGTAATTGAATCCTGTAATATATAACTATGCTAGCCATGACGATTAAACCCCATGACGGCAAAAATTAAAATTAAAAAAACATAATCATTGAAATGTGTATTTGAATTTTGGTTGTTTTTTTCCTAAAAAGATTTTAGCTAATCTTATCATACTGATAATTCCAAAATTCTGCACACTCAGTGCTCATGTACGTACGCGGTGACTTCACATGGCTATGTTGAGCGAAATAATTCAACTGATCAATATTTTATTATGGTAGGGCACCTTTGACGTGGCTTTATGGATCAATTGCTAAAAAAAGTCCATTGTTGGAGCGAAACAAATTGATACAGTTTGGATTGCATCCAATGAGATTATACTTCAGCGAATATTTTTAGTATTATTAGCGTTTTTGTTATTTTTAATCTTGTATCTAGTGATAATAAGTTAATCGAGAATCTACTCGATCATATTTCACATATGTTCGAACTTTTCTACTCGTAAGGTCAAGACTAGTGCCTTTTTTGAAGTGTTATATAGAAAAGTATTGCATATGAGGGACTCGGCACTTGGTTACTTTCAGCATGAAAAAAGAAGAAGATAAAGATACACCCACATTAAACCCAAATGGTGGGAATCTTTGCTTCTAAACAAACCAATTTCTTCCAAGTCATGATATGATTACTTGAGGCTGGTCATGGCTATAATGGTTTGGTCTTAAAGATGCAAAAGCAAATAGCCAAGCCGGTTTCACACAACTCACATATACACACATATATATAATGCAACTCCAAACCCAATTTCTAACCGGTCCAACCCATCCACCCAATTATACTAATGCAACATGCCAAAAATCAAAACCCCTTCTTTCCAAATCTCCAATAATCTCCATCTCTCTCTAACCTCTATCTTCCTTTGCCACACTCTTCAATCTTGAAAAGCAATAGGAGCAAATATACATGGAACCCACATCAAAGATTTGTGGGTCCAAAATCGAATTAATTATACACACTTTGATCCTTAATTAATTAGCAAACTTTGAGGCAATTGGGTTTGTGGGTTATGGATGCACTATGTATATAAAGTAATCCATGTGGGGAAAAGGAGATAAAAGGGTTTACAAAGCCTAAAACCATGATGAGATTAAAGCAATAGTTAGATGGAAAAAGGGCAAATTTGGGTTATGGGAGGCTCTAATCATCATCATTGTCCTCTTATGCCCTTCATTTCTCTACCCTTTTTTGGAGTGTGAAAGGTGGAAAAGGGCTCGCCTTTGTTGTTGTAGTTTTATGGGGCATTATTTTTGGGATTGGTTACATATAAATATTCACTTACCTATTCTTTTTGTGAATGATTAGTGGGAGTAGCTCCCAATCCATCTTTTGTTAAGAAAGATGGCGAAAGGTTGTTTTCAATCTTCATTTCATTCCTATTGGTGATGGGTTTTCGTTAACTATATATTATTAGAACTTTTGAGGGATCTCAAATGAAAAAGAAGCTAGCTTGACAAATTTTGATTGCTAAAAGGAAGGAGAATATAAGGAATTGACTAAGCTGTATAATGTGTATATTCCTTTTAGTCATTTGTGGTGTTATGTGGAGAAAAGCCAACCACTTTTAGGCAGCCAATTACAACCAAACACGTTTAAAGAAATTGGAGATGTTGAAGTATGAGCAAAATTTGGTAATTGGTTCAGTTTATCGGGATGGTTATTGAATATTTCGAACTGTTTTCGCAGATTAATTAGATGCATTCCCATGATAATGAATTGTTTTAAAATTTAATCACGGATTACTTGCATGGATGAGTGATTTAGTTTCATGTTTGTAGGGGGTTCAGAAACAATCGGGTGCATGGATTCCCTTACTATTTAAACGGGCAAATAAATCGACCTCAAAATGGCATTCGATCACCAGCTTGACTTGACCACCCCTAGATAAAGTTTATTGTTAAAAAACAATTGCATTAAAATGAGAAAGAAATAATCTACAAGTCACTTACATATATAATTATAATATGCTAATTAAATTCAATTATCAGCCATTCACGAGCTAATTATTACGTGATCAAGTATGAAGGGATGACAGTGTAATCATTAAACAGCAGAGCCAATCAAGTACTGCAAACCTTTCTTCTTTTCCCTGTGATTTTGAACAACTAGGATTTTGGAGTAAGAACATGTTATGACAGGAGGTGCAAGGGAAGAAAAAAAAAACAATGGAGAAAGAAATAGAGTGACGAGATTGTTAAAACTAGTGTATTGATTATGGAACATTTCTTAATTGAATTAGATCGACTGTGTGATTATGAGTTATTGAAATTTGAAAACATGCATGAATGATGTACACGTATATATGGACATGTGTGACAAGTTTTACATATATATGGACATGTGTGACAAGTTGTACGATTTAGAAACCTGTTCGGATAACTAATTTCTCTCGAAACTCTAATTCCACATAGATCTAATAATTTCATTTGAGTGATCACAATTCTACACTCGTCGTGATTCATCGAATCGCAACCTTTCGAGTTACTACCGAGTCACTCACTTAACCAACCATTGCATGAGAGCTTTCTAGTGAATCACCCACCTAAACTCTAATAGACAAAACAACCTAATTCTTTCAGAACTAAAACTGAGTCACCAATTCAATTCATCACCTGGTCAGCTAGCTAGCATTAATTCTACGGCGAGGTTTTGGATAAGTACACTTGGCAATAAGGAATATAATCAAAAGTCAGTACTGTCAAAGCCGAACCGAGCCGGCCGGCCGGACCGCCAAAGCCGCCACCCGCCCGTAAAACCGGCTCGGATCAGCTATTTAACCGTCACGGTTTTATACAGCGGCCGGCGAGCGGCTGAAGCGGTTAACCGCTTGAGCCGCTCGAGCCGGTCGCGCGGTTCGGCCGTTTTATTTACCCTAAAAAAAAATAGAAAAGGCCAATCGTGGAATCGGCCGTCAACACCTCTTGTCCCGGCATCGGCGCTTCCCGACGGCATCGCCATCCCCAGTCGCCATCGCATCGCCATCGCCAGTCCTTGTTGTAGCAAGCAGCTCCCCGCTCCCGGCGCTTCCATCCCATCGCCACCGTCGCAAGCAGCTCCTCGCTAAGCTGCCATGTCTCACCAGAGGCTTGGATTGAATCCGAGCCATTTCGCGGATTGGGACGAGGAAGAGCATTTACGGTTTAAGAAAGGATGAGGTGATGGATTTTTGAGGAATTGCAAAAGGCTATAGTGGCTGAAAAATGAAAATAGGTGCAGCGGTGGGAGAGGAGGAAGGAGAGAGGGAGGGGGGATGGGGAAGCGGAAGGAAGGAGAGTGATGGGCGGGGAAGCGGCGTTGTCGCTTAGGATTAGGTTAGGGTTTTTTTTTTAGTTGTTGTATATATATGTTGTGTATAATTATTAAATGGTACCTGTAATTATCATTTTTACTCATTAAATCATTGAATTATTACTTTATGTGTGTTCTACTATGATATTATATTGTTTATAATGTACCGGTTCTCAAACGATTTTTAAACGGTCTAATGCCGGCTGAACCACTAATGACCGAGCCGTTCACGTTACCGGGTCATACTCCGACTCGGCTTTGACAGCATTGATCAAAACCATGGAACCTTCAAGGCAGGATTGGTAATTCACTTTAAATTATTACTTAGGGGTAGTTTGGTTTTGGTGATTGTTTGGTTGAGATAGTTACACGAGTACATGCATTGTCGGTGATTGTTTGGTTGAGATAGTTACACGAATACATGCATTGTCCACAATGCATCGTTTTTCTGAATTTTCTGCACAAACAATACATGCATTGTTTGCTTGATGTGACACAAACTATCACTCAAAATGAGTGATAGTTAAATCTCAAGTTTTTGGTGAGATTGTTTGATTGAGATTGCTGTGTGCTTTTTTCTTCCAACTATGTCCCTACCTTTTTATGTGTTTTGTTTTTTTGTATTACAAACAACGGATAAAAGTGACATTTCACCCAAAAAGTAAGATAACTTATTTAAATAACACAATAACTATCACATAAACTATGCAAACTACAATACACCGATTTTCTTATATACATGTATATTATTATGTATGCGACAATGCATCTGTTTAATTATCACCAAAACCAAACAACCCTTTAACTAAGCCAGGTTCTGATTAATGATTGATAATCTGTGTCTAGCTATTGTGCTTAATCAGGGGACATCAAGAACCAAATCAAAGAGTAGGTTGTTGGGGCTAGTACTGGTAGTAGTAGACCTAGCTAGCTAGGCCTGGCCTAGTTAACTATAGCAATAAGAGATGTATTGAAATGAAGCTTCCTGTCGTCGAAGGAAAACCTGGCCAAGTTTTTTTTGGCAACTCTGGAAACCGGCCAGAAGCTTTGGAACCCACTTGGCAGAATAGCATAGGACCCGTGACCTGGTTTTATCATAATAATTTCATTACATAAGAGCACAAAGAGGTAGAGTTCTGCCTAGCAAATGGTTATGTTCATCTTGTCACCTCTTTTGTCTCGAAAGGGTACATTCAATATCTACAAGCCTAGTAGGGCATCCCACTAAGGGCATAGTGCAAAGTTGTGAATGTAATGCTAGTAGATAGCTAGCTAGGTAGCTTATATGGTTGGGCATATTTGTAGTTGGGCAAATTTGGGGGGCTAGCTATCCATAGGTTTGGAAGGGATGGGGTTTCACGTGCTTTTATTCGGTTAAATTTCATAAAACAGTCACCAGAATTCTGGGTTGTTCACGAAACGGTTGTCGAAATTTGATCTTTAAGAAAGTTGGTGTTTTTATCAAAATTGTAATAACTAACACATGCAGAAGTAACCGCTTGTGATAGATGGTTGTTGGACGACTTACAAGCACTGGGCATTGGTTATGTATCGCAATATGATTACGACATCAAAAGAGTTTTAACTTCATTAACAATCAGCGATGAACAACAGAAAGAACTTGCTACATATAGGCCATGGTGCATAGCAATCAGCTTGTTAATTGGGCTGGAATTTCTTTTTACCCATTTGTTTTCTCTCAATGAATGCTCCAACTAATATAGCAAAAGGGTTGACTTGTGATTTGTGACGACTCCTACAAAACAGTAAAAAGACTAAAAAGGGAAGGCAGAAAGTATAGAGAGGCTAAAGAGCACATCAAGGAATTTTCATGATTCATTTGGTTTCCATGGCCACTAACACAAAGCTTGAGGGTAGTGTATAGTCAATAGTGTACACAACCAACTAAAAGAGAAGAACACAAAAAGGAAAACCCAATTGAGAACCAATGTTTTCATGCAGTGAATTATTAGGGTTTTGAAAAAACAAAACATAAGATGAAAAAAAGGGAAGCCTCATAGGAATGGACAAAAGAACATGATAGGTGTTGAAGCACCACAGAAATACATAAAAAAACCAAATCAACATGCTTGTTTGTGCACATGAAATATATCTACTGCACATCCACCCACATATCTTTCCTCCTTTGCTTGTTTGGAAAGGCTGTTCTTTTTCACTTTTCACTGTCTTTGGTTTTTCAAGATTTCAATGTAAATCATGATTGGGTAAATTGAAGGGAAAAAAAAAGAGAAAAGAGAAGCAAATTGTTTTCTTATATATTGTGGATGATGAAAGATATCATCAGTTGATTGGTCATATTATCCAATTACGAGTTTGGTAGGACAAGGATGTGAACTTTAACTGATGAATGGCTATATAATTGGATAATATGACCAATCATACCAATTGACGAAGACGATTAAGTGTACTTTTTATAAATTTATACATAAATCACTCTATCTTTCGTTCATAATATATCGGAGTTCCGAGAGCGCTCCTTAGTATCATGCAAAATCCAATGGTGTGATATACGATTAGTTACAAGCATAAAGTTTGTACACTTGTTACCCTCCCAGTAAATCAGGAAGATCATAACCTCAAATTCTCTACTAAACAGCACCCATAAAATGATGGATAATTCCTCCACACTGATAATCGCTCTTGTCGGTACTCTAAACAACTGTACTGCACAATAATGAACTCAAACTTGCATGTACCCGGAATCTAAACCTATGCGTATTCCTCAATTCCTTTACCGAAATACATTAATCGAGTCCAATTCGATCTTATATGAACCGTACAAATTGGCATCCATCCACTCCATAGACAATCAATACTCAATTCCGTTCAAACACTTTCCCATGTTCCAAGCATTGCCGCCACTCCCTCATGTCGACTCGTGCCTCAGCTTTTGATTTGTGTGGGTAACTATTATTGTTTCTGCAATTAATCTTCACAAAAAATCTTTAGCACTATGGTTGGCTAGAGAAACACACATGAATTAATTATATTATTATAATTAGCGACAATAGATAGAAGGGATAAGCTATTAATAAAACAATTAGAAAGCTTTATTTTAGCGGGATATATTAATTTGAGTTAATTAATTCAGATACGTAATGAACTTGCTTAGCAGGTTCCTCATGTCACCAATTTTGGACAGTATTTTTTGCCTATTTGGCCCTATCTAATATAAACTAATTAATAAGCCAATTAAGATAGTTTTCCACTTAATGATGAATGGTAAACAGCAGGTATCCTTACAGAGATTATAATATTAGGGTTTCTCAGTATTTTAATTGGCCCCTTCATTTGGTGACATATACCTAAACACTTGGACCTTAATTTTCTCTATTTTTAAATCCTACTGATTTAACAACAATGGACAAATATCTGCGCTAATCATCAAGAAAATAAATAATTAGACAAATCTCTGAGCTAATCAAGTAAGCTTTAAATTTAATTATTAGTCCACTATGCTACATTCTCTGCATATGGAATCTTCAACTAGCCATGGCCTCAGGTTGTTGTGTCCAATATATTTGTTGGTGTTGTTTCAATTGCAGGTACAAAATGACCTTTTAAATATGAAAGAAAACCAATAAATATATAACTTACAGGTTGTTATGGGTGAGTAACTTTCTTGAGGTGCAAATATTTCATAATTAGTATACTCAGATCTTACCGACGCTTCATATTTTCATTAACAGTATCATATTAACTACAACATGATATCATCTCATGTAAACGCAATACGTCGATTCTGACTAAATATATATATGTCAATTCTGGATTAGTGTACAACTACAATAATCTGGCATGTTTGCCATCTAAATTTGACTCCTGGTCTTTCAAATTGTCTCTTATGTAGTCCTAGGACTTCTTCTAATTTTTTTTTTTCACAGTCTACTAGAGAAATCAGGAGATTAAATATAGATTTTACTCAGGATAAAAACAAGCACTTAAAAACATCATCACATGGCCCATTAATGGATAGATTTTGTTTGTTAATGGCAGCCAAGCCGAAGTGTCCATAGCAACCGTCAAAACCTTTCACAATAGTTAATTTCCAACATCGGACATTTCCCCCACAGCACCAATTACTTAATTATTGTCGTAATCAAGGTGATTAATTATATTGTTATATTAAAAATATAAAAATCCATATATTATCTTCAAGTGTGGTCTCCAAAAATATATAACACAAAGTTCTATAATAGGGTTTTCTGTTTTCATCTTCATCTGCAGTCCAACCAAGGCAGGCTGTCCCTTTCAGATTACCCATAAGCTAATCAATTAATTTAATTTAATACTTTCTAAACCTTCCAGAAACCGAACAGTTTAGTAATTAGTACCATAAAAAAACTCTATTGTGCTTTTATTATTTTGTTTTTTTGTCATTTTTTCAACGTTAATAAGAGAGGGGTTTTGGTCTCTTTCAGACTGATTTTCAAAGATGGAATATTATTTTATGCCACTCCCATCCATTTTTTTTTCTTCTCCTTTTCTTGTTGTTATACTTTCATTTGGGGGAAAAAGCATTTTGAATGATCAGTTAGGGTTTGGTTTATAGTGGGCTTCCGAATTCCCCCTGGATTGTTTTCGACAAGACTATACGGTGGACTTGATATGTTTTTGAGCCGACAAGAGAAGAAAAACAAAGGGGTGTACTTCTCATATGCATCCAATTGCAAAGCATGGTAAAGAGTTCTCCTACAAAGAATAATAGCGCGGAACTCGACTAATGATGAGTTTGAAGTTTACACATATCATCGTATCGTGTGTATATACTCAGTGGACGCTAAAGGATTCCAACACAAAACTTGTGTTGTTCGTTCTGAACTCCGATAATATGTAACAACCAGTATTATGATGCACCAAGATTTTATATAGTGTATTTCATGCATCCTTTTTGTACGTTACTTTCCACCGACTTTTTATTGAAAGAATAACGGGCTAGAAAACCCAGCGGTGGTCAAATGTTGATAAGAAGTGGGCCGTTGCAGCCCAAAAGAGAACTAAGAGCCGGGCCGGACATGATTGCTTAAGCCCAGTTTCAGGATGAGCAACAGAAAGGATTCATCACGAAACCCACGCAGCCCAACGGATGCAATTGCGTTGCATGGCTGACATCTATGAAGAAAGTTGTGTAACCCATCAGAAATTTGCCCATCATACAAGCTTTCTAGTGACACAAAAAGTGCCGAAAAATGTCGCTGAGTAGTGGCGTAGCCAGACATCGAGTCCATTGGGGTCCTTAAAATTTTACTAACATAAATGCTTGTGTACCTAATGAATTTTGAGTTAACCGGGGTCCTTGGTGAGCTAACATTATTGAGAGTATGAGGTCCTAAAATTGAATTATCGTACTAAAACCCATGTATTTAAAGAGTTTTGTTGTCCAATTATTTGCCAAGTGGGGTCCTAGGACCCCTCTCCTCCTTACCTCCCTCCGCCACTGTCGCTGAGAATCATAATCGAATCAAGATTCAATCAAATTCGTCCAAACTAATTTCAAACTTGATCAGTCTTTTTATCTGTTTGCAAGATAATTCGTAAAATCGAGAATACAACAAGAGTACTGAATTTGAGAATCAAAATTTAAGCGTTTTACACTTCAACCTAATCATAAATTGAATGCGAGCAAGTTGATACAATACGAACTGAATTGAATGTTATATCATTTTCCCTTCACAAATCTCTTTTACCCGCCAGAAAATCTGTTACTGCATCATTAAAAAAGATGAAAACCAAGACGTAAGCTGTTCCCCACGCATGTTCTTCTACAATATGACACAAACACTCTTAAAGACTAAACCTTTCTGACATCAGGTTGGTTTTGCTTTAACGAACAAATCAAGCATTCTCAATTCACCCAAAAGTACGGACCAAGCTCCCAAGTTCAGTTCAAGTTGGTTCCTTGCAAGTCATCTCAAACCTCTCATAACGTCACCGGCCTTTTCCCATCCCTTTCCCTGCACTCAAAAACCTGGCCAAACTCTGCATTATAAACCCACCACTACAGACTGTCAAACCAAATAACTTTGAGGCCATCAGGTATTAGAGAAATGGAGATCAAGGTAGAAGAGAAAGAGCCAACCTCCATCTCGAGCTGCAACGACAGCAGCGACTCCGATTCAGAGCACCATCCTCTCCTCGAAACTCGAGAGCCCTGCGAGGATGGCGCGGGAACCAAGACTCTGGTCCAGAGAGCCATAACCCAGACGTTCCAGAGCACGGCTCATCTAGCCAACCTTCTCCCGACGGGGACGGTGCTTGCTTTCCAGCTGCTCTCCCCCATATTCTCCAACCAAGGCAGCTGCGATCCGGTCACCAGGTCCATGACAGCGGGGCTCGTGGGGCTCTGCGGATTGTCCTGCATTCTGTCCAGCTTCACGGACAGCTTCAGGGACAAGGATGGGAAGGTGTGCTATGGATTCGCCACGGTGAAAGGGTTGTGGGTTATCGACGGATCATCGAGCCTCCCTCCTGATGCTGCGGCGAAGTATAAGCTCAAGTGTATAGATTTCGTGCACGGGGTGATGTCGTTGCTCGTTTTTGCTGCGATTGCTCTGTTTGATGAGAATGTTGTGGGTTGCTTTTACCCGGAGCCGTCGAAGGAGTGCCGGGAGGTGCTCACTGCGCTGCCCGTTGGGTTTGGGGTGGTCTGTAGTATGTTGTTTGTTGTGTTTCCGACGGAGCGCCATGGAATTGGGTTCCCTCTATCTGCCAACTGAGAAACTGTGGCATGGCTGTATAACCTGTGAAAATGATGAGATAACTTCGTTTCGTTAAAACTCATTCATATGTATGTATCAATGAATTACAGTTTGTTAATTCACAACCAGAAAGAAAGCAAGTTTCGCACTCTATCCATTTCGAGTTAACTACAGTTTTTACGTAAGCAGAAAGTAAAAGTAGCATGCTTTGAGAAACGATTCCATGCAAGTGAAGGGATGACAACAAAATTGACGTGTAACAGAGAACTAGTTTTTCTAACAAACTCGCCTAACTTTTACACTAGCCAGCAGTTGTGATGTCACGGGTTTATAAGATGCACAAAATGATTTCATACCTCGACATGGGAAGTTACCAAATGGCACATTCAAATTCAATGAGCATTGTGAACAAAACGAAGTATCGGCCTTCCACAGTGACATCATCATGAGTAGCAGCAAGGATTGACGAATCAAGCACCTTAGCATTTTCTTTTCTCCACTGTCAAGAATCAATTAGTCTCAGTAAGCCAAGGTATAGGAAGAAAATACAAGAATCAATCTTTTATCAGTCCTTCGCACATTCACTTGAAAGAAAGTCAAATACATGGACCTAAAGTTTGGGCACTCTCAATCAACGACTGCAAAAACATGGTCGAGAATGAAGTCATCGTACACTATTGACAATCATATGTGGAGCTAACAGCATGGAACTCCACCCAAACACCTCAGGAGTTTATTAACAGAAGAACTCCCCACGTTTCCTCTTCATCAGCAAGGTTGCTCTAATACTAGCTTAATCACTTCACATGAACAACGTGATGTAATCGGAATAGGCACCCAAAAACCGAAAAAACTTGTCAAACTAATTCTTTTACAGCTATAAATCATCTGTCATACCAAATTCAGGTAGTAACTAATTTCCCCTAATCAAAATATCTATTTCCCACGAAGTAACCCTCATCTCCACATGCCTAATGGCTTTTCCCTTAACATAAGTTCCACTTCTGCAGCTCGTATGCCTATAAAGAGGTGTTACCATGATCCAGAGAGACCACCAATCTAAAGTTTTCACTTCCGAGGAGTATAGCCAAAGGAAAGAGCTCTCAAAGTAAAAAAAAAATGACAACGAACTTTCCCTCTTTTGACAATGAATCTGCTCCAGACACGATGCAGAAAACATTAACTCACAAAGTCATAAGCAAGGCATGTCAGGCAACACACGACCTGGCGAGGCACTTACCAACAGGGACACTTCTCGCATTCCAACTTCTGTCGCCCATCGTCACAGGAGAAGGTAACTGTGACTCAAGTGGACTGTACTTGACCACCGTTCTTGTAGCGGTCTGTGGGTTGTCGTGTTTTCTCCTGTGCTTTACTGATACCTTCAGGGACAAGAGTGGTAAGGTTTGTCATGGGATCGTCACTTTCAGGGGCATTTGGGTCATTGACACTCCAGCAAACATCCCACCAGGATTCGCAGAGAGGTACAGAATGCAGTTGATGGATTTTGTGCATGGCTTCCTTTCTGTGCTTGTGTTTATGGTGGTTGTGCTATTTGATAAGAACACAGTGACGTGCTTCTGCCCAGCCCCCTCGGATCAAATCCAGAAGCTGCTCATAGCATTGCCAATTTTAATTAGTGGTATCTGCAGTGCCTTGTTTGCAGTTTTTCCCACCAAACGACATGGGATTGGATATCCCCTCTCTGATATGTGATATAACAATAAATCTTCCACTTAGAAGTTATCCATCAAATATCTGTAGTAATATTCCTGTCTTACCTCTCGTTGGAGGATATATCAAGCATGGCATGTCACCTGCAAGTTAATCACTATATTAGCAATATAAAGTTGACTTTGTGTGGATTTATTGATCAAGCATGGTAATATAATGCACATAATATAGTTTCACAGGAATAGTGGGGAAGGCACATATATGCATTACTTGACTATGAACCAACCAACAATTAGAAAATGGCGAGCAGTAATACAATAACTGGTAAGGAAAATGCGAGGACAACACCACACAATCATTCTGGAGTAGGTAAAACGGACAAAAAGAAATTGATTTAGAGTCAGAATGATAGAAATGTGAGGAAAACCTTGTACTGCCCAGGAACTGTACCTCCTTGCAATGGGTGCTTGAAATCTTACAGAGCCGTTATGTACTAAGCCATACTTGATTGCAATTCAACTAAAGCAATGACATGTTTATAGTTGACGAAAGGTCTACATGGAAGTTGTACAACAACACAGATCGAGATCCTGGATCAAAGCTAATCATAACAATAAACCATCTGATCATTCAATACCGATTCAAAAGCTGCACGTGCCTTTCTTTGATCCCAGAATTCACCCACCATTTTGTTCCATACCCCTTCATCAGGAGCACAACCATCAGTTGCCATATCATCTACAATGCGATCTGCTTTTTGCAAATCTCCTTTCTCACAGCAAAACTTCACAAGCTCGTGGGAAGTCTCAACTTCAACCGATATCCCTCTGGTCCTCATACTTAAGTACAACCTAAATGCTCGATTTAGGTCACCCTCTGCACAAAGGCCTTTCACTACCATATTATTTATCTTAATGTGAAGGCTCCACGTAAGTCGGCTTGGTGTTATTCGTCCAAGGACCATCTCATCAAGGAAGTTTGCAGCCTCCTGAAACCTTTTCAAACCACATAACTCAGTGATAACCTTCCCATAAAGTCCTGCATCTGGTTTCAAGTCCTGAAGCTTCATTCTGTCAAGAATCGCCACAGCCTCTAAAACCTTCCCTTCCTTGCAAAGCCCAGAAATCAATGTGGTATAAGTTATCGTATTAGGCTTAACACGTTTCATAACCATCAAGTGCAGTAACTCCATGGCTTGCTTTGATCTGCCATTCTTACAAAGACCATCCATTAGAGAACTGTAGCTAAACACATTTGGCTCAACACCATTGGTCTTCATCTTCTCAAACAATCCCATGCCCTCGTCTACCTTCTCAGACTGACACAAACCCTTTATCAAACAAGTATAGGTAACAACAGAAGGTGAGCAACCCTTTCCCTCCATCTCGTGGAACAATTCCTTCGATTCAGATATCCGATCAAACCTACATAACCCGTTAATCATTGTGCCATAATTATACAAATCCGGAACACAACCGCGACCGGTCATCTCACGGAATATCTTCACAGCAGCGTCGACGGTATCAATGTTCTTGCAAAGAGCTTTAATCAAAATGTTGAGTGTAACTAAGCTAGGTGGAATGCCCATTTCCCTCATATGCTGATAAAAGCTAATAGCCTGCTTCACCCGGCCCTCGTCGGCGAGTACCGAGACTCCGAGAGCACAGTGACGAAGGACCTGTCCGTCGGTTGGCAATCAAATCCGTCCATCGCACGGAAAACCCTGATGGTTTCCTCTGGCCTGTGAACCCGACCATATGCCATGCATATAGCCAGGAAAATGTCTTCCGTGATTCGACACTTCTCCACCTTCATTCTGCTCAGCATCTCCTCGGCCGGCCTGAATTGATTCGCGGAGAGTAACTTGGAGATCATGATGTGAAACGTGGAGCGGTCGTGCTTGTACCCATTGCTGTACTCGGCGGTGGCGGAGTCGAATATCCGCAGGGCCTTCTGCACGTCCTTCTCGGCTCGTAGCAGCCGCTCGACTTGCGAAGTAGTGATTTTGTTCGACCATTTAAACAGAGTCCTCGCGGCCATACCCGATTTCTCCTGGGAAGCGACTTTTATCGAGCAGGTGGTCTGCAATCGCCAAATGTCAAGAAATTCAACCGCGGTGATGCAGAGGTATCTATGCCCAGCGGCAATGCACGACCACAAATCAGTTCGTGGGATTCTGACGATCGGCAAAAAATTCTGTTGCAATCTCTCAGGGTGTGTAGGGGAACCTGTGCGACAGAAGTGTGACGACGGCGCTCTTTCTGCTGCGGCAACTGTTCACTCGTTTTGTAGATTACTACTGCGACGCCGCGAGAGAGCAGGGCAGACAGAGAGTGAAAAGGGAGGAGGGAATTTCGTTTCAGTCAGACGGGCCAAAAGTCCAAAGATTCAGGCCCATTATATTATAAGGCTGACTAATTGGAATTCCATCCAGCTTGAGTTTCCATAACGTAACGTATTTTCCCCTCGTTTTTATTTTCCATCCGGGGATTTGTATTGTGAGGATCTATAACTATCTATAACAACTATTGTGGTGTCGTTTAGTCGGGACAGTCGAGAGCCACAGAAAACAACAGTCTCATCATCGTCATATAGAGAGAGCTTTTGCTCAGCAGGTATTGGAGAAATGCAGATCAAGGTAGAAGAGAACGGGAAAACCTCCATCTCGAGCTGCAACAACGACGGCAGCAGCAGCAGCTCCGAATCCGATTCAGTGCACCACCCACTCCTCGAAACACAAGAGCCCTGCGACGAGGATGCGGCAACCAAGACTCCGGTCCAGAGAGCCATAGCTCAGACGTTCCAGAGCACGGCTCATTTAGCCAACATTCTCCCGACAGGGACGGTGCTCGCGTTCCAGCTGCTCTCCCCCATATTCTCCAACCAAGGCAGCTGCGACCCGGTCACGAGGTCCATGACGGCGGGGCTCGTGGGGATCTGCGGCTTGTCCTGCATTCTGTCCAGCTTCACGGATAGCTTCAGGGACAAGGATGGGAAGGTGTGCTATGGGTTCGCCACGGTGAACGGGTTGTGGGTTATCGACGGATCGTCGAGCCTCCCTCCTGATGCTGCGGCGAAGTATAAGCTCAAGTTTATAGATTTCGTGCACGGGGTGATGTCGTTGCTCGTGTTTGCTGCGACTGCTCTGTTTGATGACAATGTGGTGGGTTGCTTTTACCCGGAGCCGTCGAAGGAGTGCCTGGAGGTGCTCACTGCGCTGCCCGTTGGGTTTGGGGTGGTCTGTAGTATGTTGTTTGTTGTGTTTCCGACGGCCCGCCATGGAATTGGGTTCCCTCTCTCCGCAAACTGAGAAACTGTGGCATGGCTGTATAACCTGTGAAAAATGATGAGATAACTTTGTTTCGTAAATTCATTCATGTATGTTATGTATAAAAAATCAATGAATCAACCGCAGTTTGTTAGCTCTCGAGCAGAGAGAAAGCAAGTTCCACGCTTTCTCCATTTCGAGTTAACTACAGTTTTTACGTAAGCAGAAAGTAACAGTAGCATGCTTTGAGAAACGATTCCATGCAAGGGAAGGGATGATGCCAAACTTGACGTGTAACAGAGAACTCGTTTTTCTAACAAACCTGCCTAACTTTTACACTAACCAGCACTTGCGATGTCACGGGATTATAAGCTGGACAAAATGAATTCATACCTCGACCATGGAAAGTTGCCAAATGGCATCTTCAACTTCAATGAGAAATATGAACAAAACGAAGTATCAGCCTTCCACAGGGATATCACCATGAGTAGCAGCAAGGATGGGCGAATCAAGCACCCCTCGCATTTTCTTTTCTTCGCTGTCAAAAATCAATTCGTCTTAGTAAGCCAAGGTGTCGGAAGGGAATACAAGAATCAATATTTAATCAGTCCTTAGCACATTCTCTTGAAAGAAAGTCAATCCCATGGACCAAAAGTTTGGGAACTCTCAATCAACGACTGCAAAACCATGGTCGAGAATGAAGTCATCCTACACTACCACGATGAGCGATAAGTAATAGCACGTTAGGGGTCTCCTGCCTAAACTGGAAACAATAGGGATGAGTTCATACACTATTGACGAGCATATGTGGAGCTAACAAAATTAAACTCCACGCAAAGACCCCAGGAGTTTGTTAACAGAAGAACTCCCCACGTTTCCTCTTCATCCGCAAGGTTGCTCTAAAACTAGCTTAAACTCTTCCCATGAACAACGTAAAGTAATTGGAATAGGCACCCAAAACCCGAAAAAACTTCTTTTACAGGTAAAATTAATCAGTCATACCAAATTATGATCACAGAATTCAGGTAGTAACTAATTTCCCCTAATCAAAATGTCTATTTCTTATGAAGTCACCCTCATCTCCACATGCTAATGACTTTTCCCTTTACTAAAGTTCCACTTCTGCAGCTCATATGCCTATGAAGAGGTGCTACCATGAGCCAGAGAGAGAACCAATCTAAAGTTTTCACTTACGAGGAGTATAGATGAAGGGAAGAGCTCTTATAGTAAAACAATGACAACGAACTTCCCCTCTTACGACAATGCATCTGCTCCAAAGTCTCTGCAGAAAACATTGACTCACAAAGTCATAAGCAAGGCATTTCAGACAACACATGGCCTGGCAAGGCACTTACCAACAGGGACAGTTCTTGCATTCCAACTTCTGTCGCCCATCGTCACAGGAGAAGGTAACTGTGACTCCAGTGGAATGTAATTGACCGCCATTCTTGTGGCAGTCTGTGGGTTGTCATGTTTTCTGCTGTGTTTTACTGACAGCTTCAGTGACAAGAGTGGTAAGGTTTGTCATGGGATCGTCACTTTCAGGGGCATTTGGATCATTGACACTCCGGCAAACATCCCACCGGGATTCGTGGAGAGGTACAGAATGCAGTTGATGGATTTTGAGCATTGCTTCCTTTCTGTGCTTGTGTTTGTGGTGGTTGTGCTATTTGATAAGAACACGGTGACGTGCTTCTTCCCAGCACCCTCATCTCAAATCCAGAAGCTGCTCATAGCATTGCCGATTTTAATTCATGGTATCTGCAGTGCCTTGTTTGCAGTATTCCCTACCAAACAACATGGGATTGGATATCCCCTCTCTGATATATGGTATAAAAATAAGTCTTCCACATAGAAGTTATCCATCAAATATTTGTAGTACTATTCTTGTTTTAGCTCTCTTTAGAGGATATATCAAACATAGCATGCCACCTGCAAGTTAATCACTATATTAGCAATATAAAGTTGACGACTTTGTGTTCATTTATTGACCAAGGAGACCATGGTATATAATGCACCTAATATAGTTTCACAAGCGTAGTGGGGAAGGCACATATATGCATTACTAGACTATGCATCAAACAAGCATAAGAAAATGGCGAGCACCGAGCAGTAGTACAATTACTGGTAAGGAAAATGCGAGGACAACAGCACACAATCATTCTGGAGTAGGTAAAACGAACAAAAAGAAATTGATTTAGAGTAAGGATAATAGAAGTGTGAGGAAAACCTTGTACTGCCCAGGAACTGTACCTCCTTGCAATGGGTGCTTGAGAAGGTGTAGAACAACACAGATCAAGACCCTGGATCAAAGCTAATCATAACAATAAACCATCTGATCATTCAATACCGACTCAAAAGCTGCACGTGCCTTTCTCTGATCCCAGAATCTACCCACCAGTGTGTTCCACAACCCTTCATCAGGAGCACAACCATCAGTTGCCATATCATCTGCAATGCGATCGGCTTTTTGCAAATCTCCTTTCTCACAGCAAAACTTGACAAGCTCGTGAGAAGTCTCAACTTCAACTGATATTCCTCTGGTCCTCATACTTAAGTACAACCTAAATGCTCGATTTAGGTCACCATCTGCACAAAGGCCTTTCACTACCATATTATTTATCTTAATGTGAAGGCTCCAGGTAAGTCGGCTTGGTGTTATTCGTCCAAGGACCATCTCATCAAGGAAGTTTGCAGCCTCCTGAAACCTTTTCAAACCACATAACTCAGTGATAACCTTCCCATAAAGTCCTGCATCTGGTTTCAACTCCTGAAGCTTCATTCTGTCAAGAATCGCCACAGCTTCTAAAACCTTCCCTTCCTTGCAGAGCCCAGTAATCAATGTGGTATAAGTTATCGTATTAGGCTTAACACGTTTCCTAACCATCAAGTGCAGTAACTCCAAGGCTTGCTTTGATCTGCCATTCTTACAAAGACCATCCATTAGAGAACTGTAGGTAAACACATTTGGCTCAACATTATTGGTCTTCATCCTCTCAAACAATCCCATGGCCTCGTCTACCTTCTCAGACTGACACAAACCCCTTATCAAACAAGTATAGGTGACAACAGAAGGTGAGCAACCTTTTTCCTCCATCTCTTGGAACAATTCCTTTGCTTCAGGTATCCGATCAAACCTACATAACCCATTAATCATTGTGCCATAAGTATACAAATCAGGAACACAACCACGACCCGGCATCTCACGGAATATCTTCACAGCAGCGTCTACGGTATCAATGTTCTTGCAAAGAGCTTTAATCAAAATGTTGAGTGTAACTAAACTAGGTGGAATGCCCATTTCCCTCATATACTGATAAAAGCTAATGGCCTGCTTCACCCGGCCCTCGTCGACGAGGACCGAGAGCACAGTGACGAAGGACCTCTCCGTCGGCTTGCAATCAAATCCGTCCATCGCACGGAAAACCCTGATGGCTTCCTCTGGCCTGTGAACCCGACCATATGCTATGCAAATAGACAGAAAAATGTCTTCCGTGATTCGACACTTCTCCACCTTCATTCTGTTCAGCATCTCCTCCGCCGGCTTGAATTGATTCGCGGAGAGTAACTTGGAGATCATGATGTGAAACGTGGAGCGGTCGTGCTTGTACCCATTGCTGTACTCGGCGGTGGCGGAGTCGAATACCCGCAGGGCCTTCTGGACGTCCTTCTCTGCTCGTATCAGTTGCTCGACTTGTGATGTAGTGATTTTGTTCGACCATTTAAACAGTGCCTTCGCCGCCATCGAGTGTTGCCAATCCGTTTCCGCTGGGTTGCGCCTTTTATCGAGCAGGTGGTCTGCAATCCCTAAATGTCAACAAATTTCACCGCAGGAATGCTATTTCCAGCCACGACGCGTGAACACAAATCGATCCATGGGTTCTGAGAATCGGAGAATGACTCAATTGCAATCTCTCCTGGTGTGGCTGCGACGCCTGTGCGAAAGCAGTGTGACGACGGCGCTCCTTTCTCCTTTCTTGGTGTCAAACAGTTTTCCCCTTGTTTTGCAGATCGACTCCCGCCGCCACCGGGCAGGGCAGGCTGAAGGAGAGGATGGAATTTCATTCCTCTCAGAAGGCCCCCGGGGAAACAGGCCCATTACATTATCAGGCCCAGTGAGTAATGGAGAGAGCACTTGAGAAATAGCCCATCTGGCTTGAGTTTCCAAAGGCCCAAGTTCATGATCCCATTTAACTCGAAAGTCGAAACTAATGATCTTTGGTGACCGACGTCGGAAGAAGCAACCAAGCGTCACAAGAAAGTCGATAAGGGAATCATGGGCGAGAAAGAAGAAACAACAGCCTATTAGCAGTGGACTGGACGTGCCGTTGATTATGGGCCTCTCCCTCGAGATAAGGAATGGGCCCACCACAAACCCCTATCCTCCTCGTAATCCTCTTTCCTTATTTCACCAACCAACCATATGCTGACAAATGTACACGTGTTACCCTCTTACACCTCCCTCCAAAAATATAAAGAAAATAACAAATACAACAAAAACAAAATATCGCCACCCCGTTTCCCCAAAATTCTGTTCAGGTACTCCCCGTTCCAGTCCAGGCTCCAGTGCCCCCACTTCGGTTGTATTAGTATTCCTTCCACATTACGTCAAAGACGTTATTGGTCACATCTTCAGTTGGTCCCAATAACTCGAGTTGTTGGGAGTAGGTTCTGTTGGATCTTATACCACTCTCTAACACCTCTGCTGATAGTAACGAAGATTGCGATGATGTTCAATGGTTAGTTGTTTGAGTTAGAATGACCATGGCCTACAAAACCTCATTATAAGGATGATGAACCCTCGCTAGTTTAATATACGACTTGCCATTGTGGGGGAAAAAAGGTGAAAACCGAAACTTTCCAGCCGTTGATATTCTGATGGAGATGCAAAATGGTACCATAGTTACCATGGTCCGCGACGCATCTGATAGCAACCGAATTGAGAAGGGAACAAAATGATCCACAATCAACCGATCGTCTAGCTCCACAGTCGAGAGCCACAGAAAAAAAAAAAAAACAGTCTCATCATCGTCATAAGAGAGAGAGCTTTTGCTCTGCAGTGTCACATTTCCCCCTCCCTCTGCAGTCCTCCAGTCACGGCCATGGAGTCGCGAGTCCTCTCACGCGCTGCCGCTCTCCCCCAGCTCCGGAGGCTCCCGCGGGAGAGCGGCGGCTCCTCCTCCTCGTCCAGCTTCCTCTCGATGAAGCCGATCAGCGGCGGCGTCGGCGCCGAAGGCGCCGCCGCCAACCTCATATGCGGGAGGCAACTCCGCCCGTTCCTCCTCCTCGAGGCCAAGCGCGAGACCGCCGTGAAACCCGTTCTCGCCGCCGCCTCCTCGTCTCCGGCCGAAGGAAGCGATTCCGCCGGGTGAGTGAGGTCCGTTCCCAAAAAAAAAAGGAAAAAGAATTTCCCGGTGTATCGGGTCAACCCGGTTCCATCTCGGGCTGACTCGCTTGCTCTCTCTCCCTTTTTTGTCCGCAGGGCCAAGGTTGGCTTCCTCGAGAAGTACCCGTTCCTCATCACCGGGTTCTTCTTCTTCATGTGGTACGTACGGTTCCTGACCCGACCCGACTCACCGCTCCATCGTGTTTCCTTTTTACTGATTTGATTTAAATCATCATAATAATTATTAATTCCCTTTATTTAGGTACTTCTTGAATGTCATTTTCAACATCATGAACAAGAAGATCTACAATTACTTCCCCTACCCATAGTAAGCTTTCCCTCTCTTATTACACCCTTAATTAACTCCTCATTCGGTAATTAACTTTTAATTAAACGGGCAACTGTTGGTACTTAATTACTTAACTATTCGTTGTTTTTAACGGCGTAGCTTCGTGTCGGTAATCCATTTGGCGGTGGGAGTTGTGTACTGTCTGATCAGCTGGGCCGTGGGCCTTCCAAAGCGCGCGGTGAGTCCAACTTCTTTCCGGCCCATTACAATATCCGGATCGTATTTTGTTTCTCTGTTCTCATTGTTTTGTTTGATGGCAGCCAATAGACGGAAACTTGTTGAAGCTGCTGATTCCAGTTGCGGTGTGCCATGCTCTAGGACATGTGACCAGCAACGTCTCCTTCGCAGCCGTTGCAGTCTCCTTCACCCACACCATCAAAGGTAATCGTAGCGAAATTCGACTCGAATTCGTAACTTCGAAACACAGTACTTGATACTTTCGTAACCGTGGTTTTATGAATGTTGGTTGGTTATATGCACAGCTCTCGAGCCATTCTTCAATGCGGCTGCTTCGCAGTTCATCCTCGGGCAGTCGATCCCCATATCGCTGTGGCTGTCTCTTGCCCCTGTCGTACTCGGTACGAGAAATCTCCGATGCTAGTAGCTATTTTCTTCAGTGTTTCGTACTTTGTGATTGATGAAAACGACTATGATGATTTGTTTGGCTTGAATGTGAAGGTGTGTCGATGGCGTCGCTGACCGAGCTTTCGTTCAACTGGCTGGGTTTCATCAGCGCCATGATCTCCAACATTTCCTTCACCTACAGAAGCCTTTACTCCAAGAAGGCTATGGTAAAATTTGGTTAGAAAATTACATTTGCTTATAGTAAAAAACACGATCTCCAACATTTCCTTCACCTGCAGACGGATATGGACAGCACTAATGTGTATGCGTACATCTCGATCATTGCTCTAATCGTTTGCATTCCGCCAGCCATTTTCGTGAGTAAAACGGGATGAATTTGGCAGTACTGCTTCTCTTTGGTTTCGTCTTTGACCCGGATTCAGAATTCTTCCCATTCTTTGCTCTCTGTTTTTGGGTTTTGCAGGTTGAGGGACCTCAGCTAATGAAGTACGGGTTCAATGATGCGATCGCCAAAGTTGGGATGACCAAATTCGTCACAGACCTGTTCTGGGTTGGACTGTTCTATCACCTCTACAATCAGGTACGTAGGAGACTTGGAACGCAAGTTATATAGAATGAAACTGGAGTTCCTCTTCCTCTCCCCTGAAAATTTCCCCTGTTTTTTCTTGTATGGTTTTTTGCAGTTGGCCACTAATACTCTGGAGAGGGTTGCACCGCTGACACATGCTGTTGGCAATGTGCTGAAGCGTGTGTTTGTCATCGGCTTCTCGATCATTATATTTGGTAAGTAAACACAGCTGCTCGTGGAGTTTTCTTGTGGGGTTTTGGTTTTGATATGGTCTTGTTTTTACATGTATTCTGAAACTTGTTTGTGGTTGTGTGTGGATGGAAGGTAACAAAATCTCGACACAAACTGGGATCGGAACATGCATCGCCATTGCTGGAGTGGCGATCTACTCGTTGCTCAAGGCCAAGATTGAGGAGGAGAAACGGGTGAGTTTCGGTTTTTTCAAAGCCTTCAAATTTGTATACCTCTGAGATGGATCAAAACTACAATGTTGTCTAACGCGACCTCTCGAACGAAAATACGTGAAGTGAGTTGAAGTTTGTTGAGATTTATCGTACATAAGTATGACATTGATGTTAGCAGTAACTAGGACGAGATCGAATTATCTTCATTCCAATGTTTCATCCATTCCCTAACCAATTTCCTCGTCTGTTTTTTTTTAGCAAAAGAAAGCCACATAAGGAAGAAAGGAGCTATGGCGTGTGGGAGGAAACCTGATCATCGGCTTGTAAAGTCTTTCAAATATATTATGCTACTATATTATTCTTGTGATCAAGAAGCTCTTTTTTTTCCCTTCTGTTTTCTCTACTTCCTAGTCGTTTTTTTTTTTTTTTTACCTCCTGCATTATTGTTCTTTGATTCCGAGTAACGATGTTTTGCAAATTTGCAAACCTCTCAAGTTCTTGTTGACTTGAAATAATGTTACTTTCCTTTGTACCTCTCTGTTTAAGAGAGCGTATCCACATATATATCATGTGACTCATGCCCTAAAAACTTGAGCAAAGCCATTTTTTTTTTTGAAACATGTAATGTATTCACATAGATGCATATTTGATTGTGCCTTTGATATGCTCAACTTGCTAGCTCATCATTCTGTATGTGTAACAAGATTGAAATTTTCGAGAGATATGAGTTTCACATCTGTGCCATGTTTTATTTTTTGGTATTTTAATTATTGTGTCATTAGATAACGTGAATTGTTAATATGTAAATTCCTGAATTAACACTTACAATTGTAGTATATATATTTTTTTTGCAATGTACCATTTATACATTTTGACTTTGCGAAGAGATTTTTTTTGTAAAACTGTGAACAATATGTGACGACGAGCAACGATTCATTACATCATATCTAATTGCATCAAACCAAATATACTTTGAATTGATTTCGATTACACAAATCTTTCTTGAAAATAAAAGAAAACATTAGTACTTTTAATCCGATTTTAATTCGCATTATACTATTTGGCAAAACCTATCACACACGGGTTGGATGATGTACTCACCCCATATACCTATCTATCCATGTGCTTGCTGGCTAGAACAATTGAGTGTCCATTATCATTAGGCCCAACCCAACAGAGAGAATCGAGCCCAGCCCACAAAAGGAAGGCGGGAACCGAATTTCGGGAGGGAGCAGGCCCCCCGCCATTTGCGTCCGACACAAACCTGAAAACTCAACTTTCTGGTCTCACCTCAAGATCTCACGTTAACGGCTTCATCTGCTCCTTCTTCGCAAGCAACCAAAGAATCCAGGCCATTCACAGCACAGCACAAACAAGCAAGCAACCTCGTCGACAACGTTAACCAAGACAAAAAAAAAACATAAACGCAAAGTAATAACAGTTTGGTCGAGATCAAAGCAACCTACGATTGCCACGCAGAACCAAAATAAAATAAAAAAGTGGAAGAAAAAAGGAACAAAGAACAGTCGTAGCGTAGATAAGAAAGAACAATTGGAACGCAGGGGGGAAAATCATAAAAAGGAACCCTTTTAGTTCGATTGAGATTTGAGCCTACTCATTAAAAACATAAGATTAAAATTTATAAAAAAAAATGAAAGACAAAAATTTAAAGTTGTTGAATTTTATTATAGTGATGGATTGGAGAAGAAGAATTATAACGCTGCTGCCTTCTTCGTTGCAATCTCTCTCGAATTATTTGTTTTTATCGTGGTTTATTGATTTATTTTTGTTGGTATTTGGTATAGTTATTCACTCTTATTATTCTTGTTCCTGTTGGGATTATTATTAATTACCTTTCTTTTCTTCCTTTCTTTTTCGCGGATCTTCTTCTTCCAATCCCCAATTCTTATTCAGTCGGTTTGTTGTTTGAGGCATTCCAATTCCCATGTCGGCTGCTGTTAATAATCCCTTCTTGTTCTCCAGCGTCGGGCGGTATCTCTTGAGAGTTTCGTATGATTGAGAAAAGGCTAATCGTGTAATCCCAGTATTTCTTCCCTTTTACCCTTTGGTCTCTCGGTGTTTCCTTGATCTGGGAAACCCTAATTCGCCGATTTTTTGTCGAATTGGTTCGGGATGGATTCGAATTCTGACGGGGAAGATGAGCAGCAGCAGCACCACCGGAAGCCCAACAACAAGGGCTCCGGCGGGGAGGGGCAGGGCAAGCCGAAGCGTCAGATGAAGACGCCTTTCCAACTCGAAACCCTCGAGAAAGCTTATGCCTGTTCGTAGTCTCACCACTCTTCGTTGTGTTTATGAATTCAGTTCATTGTTTTGAGTTGGTTCTTTTGGGCTGTGGTTTTGATCTCGATCCCCTTTGTTTGCAATTGGGTGCCCGTGAGAATATGATTTGTGATTGTTGGTGGAAGAATCTGAACAGTAGAACGTGGTTGTTGAACTGTACAAGGCATGTTAAACTTTAGGTGGCCTGGGGTGTGTGTTTGATTATGAGCTCTTCAGTTTGATTCTGTTGATTCAATACATTGTGAATGTGATGCTTCATATTTTTGGACTTTGGTTTTTATGTGGTAGTGTTGGATATTAGCTCATTGAAGCTAGTTGCTTTTGTTTCGTGCAGCGGAAAAATACCCAACTGAGGCGACGAGGGTGGAGTTGTCTGAGAAATTAGGCCTGACGGACAGGCAATTGCAGATGTGGTTTTGCCATAGGAGGTTGAAAGACAGAAAAGAGGAGAAGACAGAAGAAAGAAAGGACGTCACCCCTGCAAAGAAACCACGAAAAGCTCCACCTCCATTGCCCGACTCACCTGTCGAGGAACTCAAGCGTGCAGTTTCTGATCCTGGGAGTGACTATGGGTCTGGCTCAGGTTCTGGTTCCAGCCCGTATATGGATTCAAGGAAAATGGTTGTGTCTGATGTGCCATTGAGGAGGGGGTACTTCGAACCATCTCCTCAGTCAGCAATGGAGCGTAGAGCTATTGCATGCGTGGAGGCACAATTGGGGGAGCCTCTGAGGGAGGATGGTCCTATTCTAGGAGTCGAGTTTGATCCATTGCCACCTGATGCCTTTGGAGCCCCAATTGGTATGCTTCTTAATTGACTCGATATCGTTCATATTTTATTAATGATTCACAAAACTTAGCTGCATTACAATGCCCATTCGCTCTGATATTTGGTTCCGACTTGTAGGATGAGCTCATTCACTTGAATTAAAAGTTACTGATTTGCTGATTTCTTTGCTTATCTCGAGTTCATGAATGTATCACAAGCACTCATATATTCAGTGTATTCCATATGTGGCGATTCTCGTATTTCCTAACTGATCTCAAATTCATTGCTTACACATTGTCCACATTGTTCTGCTTTCATATTGGCATTGTGTTCTTCTGTGTAGCGGCTGTGGTGGAACAGCAGAAGCGGTACCCTTATGATGGAAAGATGCTTCAAAAGCGTGAGGGGAAATCAAAAAAGGTATTTTCCACAATTCCTCCTTTGAATTTGTGCTTATGTACAGTTTATTTTGCTTGCACATATATGTATCTTGTTTTCTTTTACTGGTTTCTCTCTGTCTTGTTATAACACTTATGAGACAGGGTGGATGATGCATTCTCATCATAGTTTGAAGCTGCGGATTTATGATATCTACTAAAGTCCATGCATTTTGTTGTCATCCTGGTCCAGATTATGCTAGTTCCTTTTGTTGTAGGTTTATGTAATTGGAACAGCATGGATTATAGTGAAGTCACTAAATTTTGTATGATTGAAGAATTTGTCATAAGCAGGGCATTCTTTCTTCGATCGATTCAGATAACTAGCTGAGCTGTGCCAGAACTAGCAAGTGACTTGTCTTTAGGAGTCGCATTCTTGCTATCTTAGCCGTAGTTCTCACTTAAGATTATTTTTGTTACCTCGTAAATTATTGCTTTCGGTGCTGAACGTTCCCAGAATGTCACAACAATACCTCATGATGGTCATATTAGACACTCATAAGGAGTACTAAGTGTCATAGATTTGTGTAATTTGTCACTTCAAACTTTTTTTTGGCTCTGTTGCATTACATCTGCTTCATTTCAAGTTAAATTATGGAAATCCTGGCCTTTTATGGTCTAATGTAATCATTTCTTGCTTGACAGATAGTAACTGTGTGCAAACAGTTTTCTGTTGCCAGTCCTTACCAACTTGAATTGCCATTTCAGGCCTCTTCAAGGCCTCTTCATGAGTATCAGTTTGTCCAGGATCAGCCCAGCATAAGAACTGACACATATGGACAAGTTGCCCAGCATTCTTACCATGATCTGCCAGCTGATACTCTTAGGGGAAGAACTTCACCATTTGTACGTGGAGATGAACATTTGCCCAGGGTTCATGGTGTCCAAACTCCAGTTTCACGTGTACGTCTCTTATCTCCACAGGAAAACAAGGGTCATCTTCCATCAACTCATTGGGATGATGATTATCTTTTGAGATCAGAACCTTTCCCAAACCATAGAATAAAAGCTGAGTCTACCAGTCACCATATGGCAGCACCAGAAAGTACACACATGTTCCATGATACCGATATCTTCCAGAGTGAATCAGATCTGTGTACAGAGAAGAAACGCAAAATAAAGGTTTGTTACTGACATTTTTTTTGTCTCGGTTACTGTTTCCTGCTATGCATCTGTACTTATCTTTAATGGACTGTGTCAGAGTGAAGATGCTAGACTTTCCAGGGAAGCTGAGGTGAATGAGATTCGAATGCGCAAAGAGCTTGAGAAACAAGAAATTATGAGACGCAAGGTAATGGTTTAGTTTTTAATAAGCTGTACCGCTCTTGAGATCCAGGCAAGGAAATTTCATTCCGATGTAATGACATTTTCAATTTATTTTCCATGCAAAATAGAACGAAGAGCAAACTAAGAAAGAAAAGGAGAGGCAAGACCGTGAAAGAAAGAAGGAGGAAGAGAGGTTAATGCGCGAAAGACAACGCGAGGAGGAGAAGTCACTGCGAGAACAAAAACGCGAGCTGGAAAGGAGGGAGAAGATGCTGCAAAAAGAGAATTTAAGGGTTCGTAGGTTATCTGCATGCTGATATGATATTTTGGTTCACTTTTTTTTAATGTGTATTACCCGGCTCTCTTTTTTCTTAATTATCATTGGTCTGTTTGTCTATTAACTTAACAAGTATATATGCTGTTAGGCTGAGAAGCAGAGGCAGAAAGAAGAGCTAAGGAAAGAGAGAGAGGAAGTTAGACGTAAAGCTGCTATTGAGAAAGCAACTGCACGGAGGATTGCCAAAGAGTCTTTGGATCTTATTGAGGATGAACAGTTGGAGCTCATGGAATTGGCTGCTGCAAGCAAAGGGTTACCCTCAGTAGTTCACCTAGACTATGATACGTTGCAAAACCTTGATGCATTCAGAGGTATTCCAAGAGCAAGTGTGTGGTTGAATTTGTCGAAAGTCTTACATCCGTATTTTGGCACTTTGTGCAGCAAGAAATAATGATTTTCATGTTTTGTTTCTGCTTCATTCGCACCATGAAAATTAGTTATCATTACAGAGCTTGTTATTGCATACTTTACTAGTCATAATGAAAAGAATATGCCTCCTACTGATGTTATTACACTTTTGTCTCGTTTATTTCTGATGTACCATTTTGACGTGCTCTTTGGTTCTGACCTATCATAACTTGATTTCCTTCTCTAGATTCTTTATGTACATTCCCATCAGAGTCGATACAGTTGAAAAAGCCATTCAGCTTTCTGCCTTGGGTAGATTCAGAAGATAATGTTGGAAACCTTCTGATGGTACGTATCACAAATATTATACTTTGTTATTTGCTTGGTGATCTTTACTCATTAGATAGTGCTCAAGATTATCTTAGTTTAGTTGTTTACTTATTTAATTTAATATATTTAACAAGGATTTAGGCTTGCCTCCATGTTGGAGAATGGTCACTACTGTCACTAGAGGTCCTTTTTTCAATGACTCTCTGCTCTTATCCTGACATCTGACCTCAAACGTATTTTTCAGGTCTGGAGGTTCTGCATTACTTTTGCTGATGTCCTGGGGTTATGGCCATTTACCCTTAACGAATTTATTCAAGCATTTCATGACCACGTGAGTTGCTAATGATTTCTAATGTTTTTCTTGTCTTTCTCCTCACTGTGAAGTCTCAACCTCTCTTGTCCTCTCTTTCTTATTTTATATTGGCACTTTATGTTACAGGATTCAAGATTGCTGGGTGAGATACATGTTGCTCTTATGAAATTAATCATCAAAGACATAGAAGATGTTGCAAGGACGCCAACCGGATTGGGGACAAACCAGTATTCTGTAGCTAATCCTGAAGGTGGACACCCGCAGATTGTTGAAGGGGTAAAATCTCATATATATTTCTTTCTTTGGTATAATGAGGTCTGAAATTCATGTATTGATCCTGGATATGGCTGTGTGTTCTTTGTAGGCATACATGTGGGGCTTTGACATACGCAAGTGGCAGCAACTATTGAATCCATTGTCATGGCCTGAAATATTTCGGCAATTGGCTTTATCTGCAGGATTTGGCCCACAGGTGAAGAAAACAAATGCAGCATGGCCACACGCGAAGGACGAGGTTTGGCTTTGATGTTATTAAAAATAATACTTTCTTGGCACAATATAGAATTTTCGATAACTAGCCTTGAAAATGTTGGAGCTTTCATATTCAGTAGGTTCTGTGTGGAAAATAACTGATTCATGTGATAGAGATCATCTTTTCTGGATGGGAGAATTGAGACAAGAAAACAAAGCTGTGCAATTTGTTCAACTGATTACCAAGTTAGGCAGGTTGGATATAATGAATTATGGGAAGTTCAAGCAACTTGAATCTGAGAAAATTCGTGGTAGCTTAGGGCAATCTATTATGGTTCTGCTGCTCTGGTTTTGGTTGTTATGAACTGATTTGCTACTGTGAGATTCAAGATTCAAAGTTTGATCGAAGAATATCTTCATTCACAGATCAAAGGTTGTGAAGAAACAGTTTCAACATTACGTAATGGATTGGCAGCTGAAAATGCTTTTGCCTTGATGCGAGAGAAGGGTTTATTAAATCCACGGAAATCTAGGCACAGACTTACACCTGGCACTGTCAAGTTCGCTGCTTTTCATGTCCTTTCACTTGAAGGAAGTGAGGGACTAAATGTCCTAGAACTTGCAGATAAGATTCAGGTGAGTTTCTCTATTGTAGTCGCCTTCTACAGTTTATGTGCACCTGTACTGAAATTTTTCCTGTGCTACAGAAATCTGGGCTTCGGGACCTTTCAACAAGCAGAACTCCTGAGGCATCCATATCTGTTGCTTTAACAAGGGATCAGAAGCTTTTTGAAAGGGTCGCTCCTTCCACATATTGTGTGCGGTCCCCTTACAGAAAGGATCCTGCAGATGGCGAGGAGATAATTGCCACAGCCAGAAAGAAAATCCAAGTATTTGAAAACGGGTTCTTAGGCAGAGAAGAAGACCCTGATGAGGTTGCTGATGAAGTTGATAGAGATGATGACTCTGAGGTTGAAGTTGATGAGGATCCTGAAGTCGATGATCTGCCTATTACTACATTGAGCCCTACCAGACATGTCGAGCAAGCCAGCGGAGTCGTCAACACTCTCTTGGGGAGTGAGATTGATGATGAACAAGAAAATGCTTTGTTGGAAATTGGAAATGATACTTATACACGTGCTGGGTCTCCTTCATTATTCTTGAAAACTGAATCCGAAAATGAACTTTCACCATTCCCTCTCAATAATGGTTCCAGAGACTTGAGTACTGCTGGGACCACCATGGACCAATCTCTTATCAGAGAAGATGTCTTGGTTGGTAGTAATACAAAGGAAGAGAATCCTGAGATTGATGAAAGCAAGTCTGGTGAATCATGGGTACAAGGACTTACAGAGGGAGAATATTCTCATCTTTCAGTTGAAGAGCGTCTGAATGCCCTTTTTGTTCTTGTTGGCATTGCGAATGAGGGTAACATCATACGTGCTGTTCTTGAGGTCAATACTTTTATCTTTCTTTTACTGGTCATAATGGGTTCGTTTTAGTTTTTTAAGTAAATTATTTTTCAGGTTTTAGTAGAAGTGATTTTTTTTTATACAAGATTTTGTTTTGTGATAGAAATGAGTGTTTTTTTTTTTGGGATATGACTTTCATGAATACAATTTCAAGCGTGAGTGATTTTTTATCCAACTACTTTGTGGCTTGTGCGACTTATGGTGAATAGTTGTATTAAAAAGTTAGGTTGGTAAAGTGACTTTTCTTTCATCCAAAAGAAACACCCCCAAATAACTCGGATCATTCATTGCCAGAATTTGGTTTGCTTGTTTTGTACTCGCTTCATTTGTCTTCTCCTTTGTCTTTGTTTGTACAAGGATTATATTGACCTGGATGTCCTTTGCAGGACCGTTTGGAAGCTGCAAATGCTCTTAAAAAGCAGATGTGGGCTGAGGCACAATTAGACAAGAGTCGTTTGAGGGAAGATGTTATATGGATGCTGGACTTGCTATCAGGTAAATTTGAAGGCCAAGTTAGTGGGTGTGCAACTGACAGCATCATCCAAAGTCCACTCCATCAAGCTGATGGCTTTAAGGAGGCTTCTCAAAGCATGGTAGAAGAACAGAAGTCACTGCTTGCTTCTGAGAATGAACTGAATGACAATGTTCATGCCACAGACAGAAATATGGCAGTTCAGGATCCCTCCAATATAGATCACATCCCAACTCAACAGTCTGGATCTAGTTCCAAAAGGTTCAGATCGCAACTGAAAGCTTATACGGCCCACATAGCTGAAGAGACCTATATATATAGGTCATTGCCACTCGGTCAAGATCGCAGACGTAATCGTTATTGGCTGTTTGTTGCTTCTGCTTCTCGGAGCGATCCTTGTTCTGGCGTGATCTTTGTGGAACTACTAAGTGGGAAATGGAGGGTTATTGATTCTGAAAAGGTAAATGCTCTACTTCCCATATCCTATGTGGATATTTAATTATCCATTGTATATATACTTCATCTAATTATGATGAGAATGTTTCTGATTCAATTTTCTTGTAGGAATTTGATGACATTTTGTCATCCTTGGATAGTCGTGGGATTAGGGAATCCCATTTGCGTATAATGATGCAGAAGATCGAAATGTCATTTAAAGACACTGTGAGGAAGAGCTTGTCACCCGACAATGTTGCACGTCCAATCATGGAAAACGAAGCTTCTGAAAGAGACTCCAGTCCTAATGGCTCACTCGGTATTGATAGCCCTAGCAGTTTGGTTTGTGGTTCAAACTCTGATACACAGGATGTTTTTTCGTCCTTCCGAATTGAGCTTGGGAGAAATGAAAGAGAGAATAAGGGTGCATTGCGAAGGTATGAGGATTTGCAGATATGGACATGGAAAGAGTGCCTCAGTTCAACGGTGTCATGTGCAATGAAACATGGCAAGAAAAGGTCTAGACAACTGTTGGATGCCTGTGATCTTTGTCTGGACTCATACTTATTTGAAGACCACCACTGTCTTTCTTGCCACCAGACATTTGACAGTGGCAACAGGATGTTTAGCTTTGAAGAGCATGGAACTATATGCAATGGGCGAAGGAAGCTGGACTCAAAGGATACCCATGCAAGTAATTCATCCTTGCCGTTGGGAATCAGACTGCTCAGGGCTCTGTTAGCTACAGTTGAGGTGAATTGATTTTTAATTTTGTAGACTTGCTGCTTTTCTTAAGCTGAAACAGGAAGAAGCACGTTATTCTATTTTCTATAGGTCCCTATTTGCTAAGTAGCTCAAATGTTATATGTCATTAATGGCAGGCATCTGTCCCAGCTGAAGCTCTCGAACCATTTTGGACCGAGAGCTGTAGAAAGACTTGGAGCAAGAAGTTGGCAAAATCGTCTTCAATAGAAGGACTTCTGCAGGTTTTTAATATAATTCAATTTCAGAAAATGTCATGGATCATTCATTACTCATAGTGTTGTAGTATGATATGTCGATCCAACTTATTCATATATGAATCTTATTCAGCGTTCTAATGTTGCAGATGCTGACAGTGTTCGAGAGTGCTATAAAACCGGACTTCTTGTTGCCTAATTACGAGTCTACAAAAGAATTGCTTGGGACACCTAGAGCATTCTATGATAAATCCGATCTTAGCTCAGTTCCTGTACTTCCTTGGATACCCAAAACCATGGCAGCCGTGGCGCTGAGGCTTTTCGAACTCGATGCTTCTATTGTTTATGTAAAACAGGAGAAGGCCGTGCCTTCCGACTACAACAACCCTGCAAACGCAGTAATGGTAAGTTATTCCCCCTACTGTTTTCGTTTGGTAGAGGAAGAGAGGTACATGAATCAAATATATTAACTTGTCTTCATGGTAATACGTACAGAAGCTTCATTCAGGGTACTCTCCATTGAAGAACAAAGCTGTTGAACTCCCAGAACGGAAAGAAGACTACTTCAATGGAGAAGTCGCCATCAACCCAAGAAGCAATAAGCGTAACATTGCTAAACCTCGACGAAGGAACCATGATCAAGGACGTAGGCCCAAAGTGCAGAGAAAAACACCTAATCAGACAGCAAAGAGAACTAGTTCGAAGCCGGTGAGCAACTTCAACCAAGGTGTAGGAGGGTCGAGACAACAGCATGGACGTGAGGTGAACATTCAAGGGACAAGTCGGGGTCCACGAACAGTCCGGAAGAGGAGAGTGGAGAACGTGATTACTGGAGACCAACTACTGCTCGGCGGTGTGTCCGGGAGTAGGGTCCCGCCGCCTCCCAAGTCTGGCAGGTACGGTGGAAGTTATGAGATTGAGGATGACAGGATGGAAGTCGATGACGCGAGTGATGATGACAGCAACAACAACAATAGTGATGCCAGCAGCTCCGAAGAGTCTGATGATGACCATCCGGTGGAGGAGTATGAGCACGGAGGTTGGACCAACCGAGGGTTTGATGATGCAGGCCCCTCCAATGGTTGGAAAGATGACCTGATGGAAGATCGCAGCCCCAATAGTGACGATGAAGATCCCAGGCCCACCATGCCTGGTAGTGATGGAACGAGTGACGACGAAGAAGATCGAGATGGAGATACTTATGGTGATGATGAGGATCCTGGGCGTGGAAATGGGAACTCCTTTGAATATGCTTCAGGGGAGGAAAATGGGAATGGGATTGAAGACAATGATGTGCCAGTGTATCGCGATTCTGGGGATGTAGGGATGAGTGACGGGTCGGATGAAGAGCAAGTGGACGACGATGATAAGGTTGTGGAGAGGAACGTTGTTGAAGAAGGAGGTACTAGCGATTCAGATAGCTCAGATTCTGAGGATTACAGCAGCGATTGAGTGAATTGGTGAGAAAATTTTGCCCCTTTCTTGAGGCTGCATTATAGTTTTTTCCAGGTTGCAGCTGTGATGAAAATGATAATCTCAAGCGGCTCAAATATGGCATACAACAATGTAGAGAGAGTAATAGGTTTTTACTAGATTTAGGTTTTTGCCCATTTGGTAATCAATTGCTGTTAGTTTGTACTCTATTCCATTATTGATTGGAAAATGGCAATCGTCTTTTTTGATACATGTGATATTCCCAGTTTATAGGTCCTTTTCTTAACGCTGAAAAAATTCACTCGTTTAATACAAAAGGTGTATACACAAACAACATACAAAACCAGCTGCGTAACTAATATGACGAACCCAACAGCCTCTTGATTCCAGATTTCTGATCAGCATTCAACCTCGCCGGGAACTTGATATTGAACTTGATCCTCAGGTTACCCCTCCTCGACGGCTCTTTCGGAAGTGGCATTCCTTCTCCGCGGACAACTTCCTCGTAGTCCGGGTGGACGACATTGTTGATCGGAATGCTGAGTGTTCTACCATCTAGAGTTGTCAGGTTGATCGTGCAGCCTGTTAAGGCCTCCGCCAGCGGGATCTTCTTCGTCACCACCAGATCATTCCCATCCCTGGTGAAAGTGCTGTGTGGCTTCTCGTCGATTATGAAGATGAGATCCGACGGAATCAAGTTTGGTTGCTCATTTCCCTTCTCAGGGAAAGTGATCTTCGTCCCCTTCTTCCATCCTGGCTTGATGTCAATCGTCAGGATTTCCTCCACAGGCAGTGTCTTCCTGAAACAGTTTTTATCGTTAAATTCAATCAATCCAAATTCCACCTAAATTTACTCAGAAAATGATCAAGAGCCCAGAATTTCGCAACCAATTCTGATTAACGGGTGACCTTTCAATCCTACTACTTACCCACTAGCATCGGCGATTTCTCTAGAGATCTTCATCTTCTTAGTAGTCCCTTTGTACAGTTCCTCGAGGCTGCAGGGCAAAGCCCTCTCAATCGGAGCCGCTTTCCGAGGACCACCCGCATTCATCGCCGTCCGGTCGCCACCGAATGAACCGAAAATGTCGTCGCCGCCGAACATCCCGCCGCCGAACGACCTGGAGCTCGTCCTCATCCCGGCGGGACCACCACCACCACCGGACGAGAATCCAAAGAATTCGGCAAAAATGTCGTCGGCGCTTCTCGGGTTGAACCGGAATGACGTCGGCCCACCTCCGGAGGAGAAGAACGTCGCCCCTCCTCCTCCGCCGACACCGGAACCGTCCGGCGGCGGCGGGACCTGGCCTTTCAGCCCTTCTTCCCCGTACTGGTCGTAGATAGCTCTCTTCTGAGGATCGCTCAGTACCTTTAAAATCCCGCCACCATAAATAAACAAACATAAACCTCTATTCAGCAGATCATGGCCGCCGAAAACAGAGCAAATTAATCAGAGTAGTTTCAGAAATTGCTCTTTACCTCATAAGCTTCTGAGATCTCTTTGAATTTCGCTTCCGCTTGCTTCTTGTTGGTCGGGTTCTTGTCCGGGTGCCATTTCATGGCGAGTTTTCTGTAAGCTTTCTTCAGATCATCGTCGGTGGCTGTTCTGCTGACTTGCAGAAGGCTGTAATAGTCGACTCCCATGGCTGTTTTTTTGTTTCTTCCTCTGCGAATTTGATTTACCAGAATTCGATTGATCAACAAGAAGAACAGGGGGAGAGAGGGAGAAATATAAGGTGGAAAGAAGGAAGAGCAGAGGATTTCTCTGGAAAGTTGGAGCAGAGAGACTAGAAAGGTAGGGAAGTTTCCGGAGAGAATTAGGATTTGTTCCTTTGTAACTCTAGCCTGGCCCAGCATACTAACAAACCTGATTTCAAATTTGGGCCGAAGCCCATGAATCAGGAAACTCATAAAACCCTGAAAGCCCAGTTGTCCACTTCCCACAGACGCGCCATTTCTCCGGCAGGCGGCCAATCGTCTCCGGTGATTTTGAGTTCCCGCGAGCTCGTCTTTCTTCCTCTTCTACTCCTTCGGTCTTAGCTCCAGATCCTTCGACAATGGCGGTAGCAGCTGCTTATCTTTTTCTGTTTGCTTCCATTCTGGCATCTCTCTTAGCTGGTACCTCTCAAGCTCAACCAGTCGCCGAGCACAGCAGCAGCTTGATCGGTCAATTGCACGAAGCCAAGCTCAAGCTCGCGCGATTAGGTGAGTCTTGTAGTAGTAGCAATTTTTTTTCTATCGAAAATGCAAGAGCTAAGCCCTATGTTAGCTGAGCGTCGATGAATTTTGAACATCTCGTTGATCTGCAGAATCTGATTTCGAGCAAATCGCCCGCGATGTGGAAGCTAGAGACCGTGGACTTGAGGAGAGCGGTAAACAGATCGAGGAGATGGAGAAGAAGCTCGTTGATCTTCAGGCTGCTCACACGAAGCTCAAGGTTAGTTAGTTGCAGAACCAGCTCATTAACAGTCGTGGATTCCTTTATCTCTGTAGCTTAGCATTTCCGGATTTTCCTTTTTAAGGCTCTAATGGCGTTTTTTGGGTTCATTCCGCATTCTAGGATGAACTATCAGCTGGAGATGGAACCATTATTGCGCTGGAGAAAGAGGTAAGGTACATCTCGTTGATCTGCAGAATCTGATTCCCTTTGTCAATGTGTTCAATCTGGTGATTTCGTCCATTCAAGTTTCATTCATCTGTTTGTGGCTTGATTAATGACTAGATACGGGATCTATGGGATACGTTGAGGAAGAACAACTTCGATATCCATGTCTTGAAATTGAAAGCTGAAGAATATGATACGTTTCTGGATACACTTACTTCACATGTTGAGAAGGTCGAGCATTCTTACTCACTAATCGTCTTTCTGATTGCCAGGAGCATTTTTATGGCCTTCTCTCCTTTCTGTAATGCTGGTGTTGCTGGTTTTCTTTTGTGGGTTGCCTGCCAGGCAGAAAATATCGTTGCAGAACGGTGGATCCTGATTCAGCAGTTTGAGCAGGCTCTTCAGCTCCTCGATGTGCGTCTTATCTCACTCTAGTCACTCCCACTACGTGTATTGAAGATTGTGAATTGAGTTCTTATCCCATGGCTTTACTCATTTGTGTCCGACAGATGAAGGTAATGAAAGCTCGGAAGCAAAGGTATTCAAGATGCACATTCTTGAAGGTAGGTACTTCTCTAGTCCAACTTTCCCATTTTGCTCCTTATGTTATAAATCTGAAGCTTTTGTACTGCCACATCTACTATTTCGGTATATTTTAACCAAAGATTGTTGATGATATATTTGGAAATTGCAGTACATAAATGACCTGAATGGAAAGCATATTTCGAAAGCAATTCAAACTTCAAAGCGATTTGGTGAAGAATCTGGCTTCAGTTCCTACATATCCTCCTCTCTCGAGCAGCTGAAGAGACTCTACTCAACAGTCCAAGAGTTTCACTTTGAGGTTTGCATACTTCATTCAATATTCACAGAAATAATCAAACCTGTCAAGCTCTTATTACAAGTTAACCCTTCATTTTGATTGCAGCTGCAGAGTTTAGTGAGGCAAATAATGGAAGACTATGAGTTTACCGAGTCTATGGCCAATGACGAGGTAGTGTTCTTCGTGGTAAGCTCCTGGTTTGGAAACTTGGTACAAATTGCATGTTCCCATTTCTGCAACTGCTGATGATGGCAACTGGTGGCAAAATTGCAGGCTTCTGCTTTGCTCGTGTTCCCGGTATTAAGTGCATGGGTACTCCTATCGTCTCACCTACTGTAGAGTCTGGTAAGGACTAAAACTACCTCGTACACTTTAGGAGAGAACTCAGACTTTCGGGCTAACTTCGTCGTGTCGATGTTCTAGTTCTAGGGTAAAACTTGTGTAGATCCTTCTGTGCAAAGTCTGCCTGCGGCTTCTGAATTTAGGAGCTTGCAAAAAGTTCATGTAGTACTCTAGTACTATTGAGTATGAGGATCACTGCCTCGTCTGATGGAACTTAGGAAGCAAGTCATCAGTTGTGTCAAACTGTAAATGAATTCTGTCTCTCTGTGGCCAGGAAAGTGGTTAGTTAAAAGCAGGTAACGAAGAATGAATCGTCGTCGTGTTTTGGGGATTTTCTCCGGTTGCTATACACTTCTATTGGGCTGGGCTTGACTCGTGTGTGGTGTGTGGGGTAATGTTGCTCAGTAATCATTGGCATTGCTTCACGGTAGTGTAAAGGCCCATTGAAATTTGCAAGCTCCAAAGTCCAAATGCTAAATAACAATATTCAGATGTATTATGTTGAAGGTTAAAATGCATGAATTCATGAAAAAAGAACACATTTATTTGTATTGTAAGTATTTCCAAAAAAAAATTCAAGTATACCCAACTACCTACTGATAACTTTAATGGCTAAAATTATGTGTAAAAATGCGTTGTAGTTCTAGTTTATATAAGTTTATCAATTAAATATTTTGAACTAAATTTTCAAATTCAACACTTAGAGGTACCATACTTTTAGACCATGTATACCCATCTATGTAGGAAACAATAAAGGCTACTAATTTTACTTGATGTGCTGATAAATACAGAAGAGACTTCTCGAATCATGTTTAAAGCGCATCTCAAAGCAATACCTCAGTCGATTTTAAGGACAAGTATTCCATAGCAACCCTTGTCTGCTCTGCTCATATGAATTTGTTTAACATTCTAGTTAGGGGTGTCCATTCGGGTTCGGTTTTGGATTCGGTTTTGCTTATCGGTTTTTCGGGTTCCGTCTAAAATCCTCCAATGAATAGAACTCAACACGTATTCTTAGGCGTTCGGGTTTTTGGGTTTCGGTTTTGCTTTAACCGAACCCGAATCCGATAAGGAATTTTTGGGTTTCGGGTAACCGGAACCCGCAAGTCCTTATCGGGTTCGGGTTCGGTTTTAATGGTTTTCTGTTTTGGAATTTTGGATTTTTTCGGGTTTCGGTTCGGGTAACCGAACCCGACCCGAACCGACACCCCTAATTCTAGTATTCTAACACCAAGCTAAGCGTCCAATACTATAAAGTTGGATCCACGTCACCATCAATCATGAAAACGAGGGACAATTAAACAAACAAGCAAAAGAAAGTTTCTTTTTTATTAATGTTTCCTGACGAGCTCAATTCCAGGCGTCAATCTTCTCTAATTAAACAACAAACCCCTAACACAATAGTCAAAGTTAGTAGGCTCTTTGAAACAACTTCTAGAGGTCACCGGGTCAACACATGATCTATTCCGGTATCGTACTTACCAGCATTTTAATCACGTAAACCATCTATCGTCGAAATGGTCGTTATAGTCTACACATACAGTAAGAGTTTGTACCAATGATTACAACGCGGTCAAATTATCTATAGGCGGCATATTAACGTACCATGTAACCCGATTAAATTATGGTTCTTCCCATTGAAATCATGGTTCCACACTAGTAACTTCTTCTCTCTACTTTAAGCTGTTCTTCTCTTCCTCCCGTTTTTCTTTTGCCTTTTTCTTTCTCAATTTGGATCTCTGGTTTTGTCATACCAAACGACTTTGTGGCTTTGTCCCACCTTCCTTCCATCATGAATTGGCAATCACTAGCTAGGACGTGTAATCGGCACCAAATCGAAAGTTCTCTTCCGCTAGTCACGGAAAAGCCAGACCGCGCCTAAACCCAAGAAGAAAAAAAGCACACTCGAAACAAAAGCAAAAGAGCAGCTAAAGATATAGAGGAAAAAGAAAAAGGAGCTTCTTAATCTAATTGGAGTATTTGGTCAAAGGATACAAAGAACAATCGTTGACAAAAAAGGCTCGACCACCTATGAGAAAAAGAGAAAATAAACTAATTACTTTTTTTTTTTATGGATATGAATGTTAATTATAGTCCTTCGATAAAGTTACTTCATGAAAGAAAACATAAAATTATATTAATTATTATTTCGGACTTAAATCGATTGCTAATATGAGGTTGTTGAAATTCCAATGTAAAAGCTCTTGATCATCACATACTCTAATATCATGTTAAAAATCCAACCGGTTTCAATAATTTTAAATTGGTATACGAGATTATCCTTCTCCGGAACCAGAAACTCGATTAGGATTAGCATAGGGTTGGTTTCGTTAGTCTATAACCGGTTTCAGCATGAGCGAAGCCATGTATGTTGTGAGGAATTTGTAATAAATTTGAGAATCAAAATAGTTGTCATTCACGCTTCAAGTTTACTCTTCCTTCCTCCTTTATGTTCTTTTGGTTCGCGACCAATGTCCCACATATAAAATGGAGCAAAACATTTACTGAAGGCAGCAGCTTCTTTCATCTTTTGCCGGCTTTTTTCCCCATTGAATGATGATAGCATTTGCTTTCTCCCACTATCACCATGTCGATGAAGGAAGACATGCAAAGCAAAAGTACTGCAATGAATCCCATTCCCTTCCCCTAAACCCGGCTGTCCCTTGTACTATAATCTCCAAAAACCAAAACAAGCCGCAACCGGAATCGGTCGGGGAGCACAAATTCGATATGTATGTCAAAATAGTTGGTCTTAATAACTCGAGAAATAGCGAGCGGCCGGTTATAGGACATCCTGCCCCTAAATTTCAAGAGCGATTGGGTAGGTTGTTCATCTGCCCTCAGGCGCAAGCAAGTTTAATGTCCAACAATGATAGCTGCAAAGAAGGACCATATTATCGTTGTGACGGGGTAAATGATATTAACAAGAGCCACCACAAACCAGCAACTTGAAAAGTACCCTTCAAACCCTAAATCCCGCTCATTGCACGAACAAACAATTTGTGTAAATGTACTATGGGGGGGAATTATGAATTGGGAGGTGGGATTGGTGGGTGGGTATGGACCAAACTACCGGTGTACAAAAATGGCAAAACAAAGCCGAATTAATAAGAGGGCAGAGCGTGGCCGTGTGGGAAGCGAGAAGAATAAATGATCTGGTCTTTAGCGACGAGTTGAGAAGAGTGGTGGGGAAAGATAAGGAGTGGGAAGTACTATTATAATAAGTGCCATAATGTTGGGTTTTTGTGGTCTTGCATGCTTTGCTACAATTGCTAGCTCTTCTTTGCTCCCCACCCACCGCTGTCTCCGCATAATTACCCCGCACTCGACGCCTTTCTTTCTTTCTCCCTTTTCTTCTTCCCATATTCTAATCTAATGTACATATACGGATATACCTATATGGGTTGACTCATGGTAGGTCATTGGGTGTGGGAAGGTCGATGGATGTTCGGCCGGGTTTTTTCGATAAACGTGGTTGGATTCGATCGAATGATAAGATATATCGAGTTAGGATATCAACGTGATCAAATATTTACTTTAAAACGAGAAGATAATCGAGAAATTCGATGGGACGTTTTAAAAAAAAAATGTGCACGTCGAATCGAAAGAAAGACGTAACCATCTGATCGACCCTTTCCGATCGATGCATAGATAATGTAGTTCAATATCTATCCATTTGAATTTGGTTTATGGAATGTGCATACGCTTAATCGAAAAAGGACGACTTGACTCTGAGTGACGATGGATCTTGTCGAAGCATGAATCGTGTTGTGGATGATCAATAAGACTAGCAAGATGGGATGAAAACTACGTTGTATGTTATCCTTAACATCTATGAAATGTCTGCATGATTTAACTTTAAATTAAACATTACCAATAACAATTAGTACCCATCTCTACATTTTATTGATCTACTGGTCGTTTGGTAAGCACGTAATGTAGAATTCATGTATTTGAAGAATTCATGTATATTGTAGGTTGAATTGTGAGAACTTGTGTAATATCAGAATGCATTGTTTGGGTTGCATGAGTTTATGGTAGAACCCACATAATTTGGCATGAAATCTCAAATACTTATGGTAAACCCAAAGCATTTGAGATATCATGGTCACATGAATTCTAGAATTACATGGTGCACCAATATAATGATATCTGTCCAAAAATGAAGAAAAAAATAGTGAAATCTCAGATATCTTGTAATATGGAAGATAACCCAATCTTGAATCAACCCATGTACAATGGGATATCATATACTCTAAAAATTGATTATAATCATAACTAGCATTCCCATTTATTTGAGCCTATCTTACGGCACCAAATCCACAATCACCCGAATTTCTGTATTTTTATACCTAGGGTTTGAAAAAGGGACTGCTGTTTTTGTCCTCCCACTATGGGAATATTTTTCCTTATTTATTCAAAAGAGCATAAGCAATTAATTGTAGTAAGATCTTTCTTAACCTTTTTCTTCTTTCTTTTTGTTACCGTGTTTGAAAAAGAATCAAGATTAATTAGGAATAAACGTGACCCAAAGATCATAATGGTGGACCTTCTGTGCCAACATTTTCTATTTTTCTTTCATCTTCCGGGGAATCATTTGTACTCATTGCCACCATTCCATTTACCACCTTCTATCTTATTTGAATAACTAAAATTACAGAATACTATCCTTAAGAAGGAGAGGATCACTTGCGCTACAACATATGTAACAAGAAAAATACTCCTCCGCAAAATATAACTAATGGCATAAGTCAGTAAATCATCCTTTTACGCCAACACATTCTAACAAAAACACAAACATAAACACAAAGACTTGTTCATCACTCGGGAAAACTACAAAAAAGAAAGTCAAAATACCATTTTCAATCAATTTCATACCATAAGGAAACTAATAACATACAAATGGAAACTGAAAATCCCAGAATTCAAGTCTAAAAACACAAGAAAAAGGGAAAATTCCAAATTCCCGGCCACAAAAAATCCGACTACTTTTCCCATATATAAACCCTACCTTTCCTCCTTCTCCCTTCATCACTTGCCCACTATACACACTCTTCTTCTTCACTCTCTCTTTCCCTCTGCTCCAATGGCTTCCTCCTCTCCTACCCTCGCCGTCGCTCTCTTCCTCTTCCTCCTCGCCCTCTTCTCCACCGCCGCCCACGGCCGTGAGAGCCACTTCTTCAGCAAAGTGGCCCCCACCACCACCGTCACCATTTCTCCCGACTCCAAAGCCACTCTCGCCGCCGGTTCCAACAACGGCCAGCAGCAGTACAAACAAGATCAACAGCAGCAGCCTTCCTTCGTCCAGGAAACCGACAACACCGGCTACGGCATCTACGGCCACCAAACCCCCGAAGAAACGACGTCGTTTGACCAGACCGCCGCCTCCACCACCAAGCTCACCTCTTCCCCGACCACCAACTACAACAACGGCCAGACCAATAGTGACGAGACTTTTCGTAACGGATACAACAACGTAGATCCTAACGCCTTCAACAACGGCCAGGAAGAAACGACGGCGTCGTTTGACCAGACCGCCACCACCACCAGGCTCACCTCCACCCCGACCAACAGCTACCTCCCCTACAACGCCCAGACCAATAGCGACGAGACTTTCCGCAACGACAACAACAACGACGAGAAGTACTACAACAACAACGACAGGTACTACGGCCAGAGCGGGTACAACGGCGACAACAACAACGACGACGACGATGAGGATTTCGGAGAGACTACGAGCTTGCAACAGCAGGATAACACCGGTTACAAAACGACCGTGGCTAATTCCGCCGTCGCTAAAGGGTACAACTACAATAGCAACGGCAACGGTGTTGCTGAGAGGCAGGGGATGAGCGACACGAGGTTTATGGAAGGAGGGAAGTACTACGTGGAAGTCAACAACCCGAATCAGTACCAGCAAGGGATGATGAGCAGCAGCAGCAGCAGCGATGATTTCAGCTACGGCGACAACAATGTGAAGAATCAGAATGGTTACTTTAGCAACGGGAACAATGGCGACGAGTACGCCAATCCCATGAACAACAGGAACCAGCAGCAGCAGCAAGAGGCAGAGTACTTCCAGGGGAACAACTACCAGAACCAGCAGTACGTACCGTGATTATTAGAGTAATTAATGGGTTCTGGAGGGTTTTAATTAAGTTAATTGAGCTGTTCATTAGCAAGTTTGAGGAGACCAAAGTACCACCAAGTTAGTTACTAAGAAAGAATGAAGCTGAAATGCTGAATACATATAAATATGGAGTTTTTGTTTTGTTGTTTGGATTGTGGTGTATGATCCGCTTGTGTCTTATATTGTGATTTCCCTTCTGTACCATGGAATTAGTATGATTCTGTTTCAAGAATTCGTGTTATTAGTTATGTACGCGATCGGTCGAATCCAACATTTTAAAATTACGACACTATTTTACGCTGTACTACATAACACCAAGCTGCAGAGAGTAATAAGAGGCAGGGGATGAATTTGGTGAAAACCTCAAATTGCCCTGTTTCACAGGCAAACTAACTCTAATCAATTCACTTCACTCGAGTTGTCCTTCTGTAATTATTGTGCTGGAAAATTTGAAAGTGGCCAGCTACATCCAGCTATATGGGTAAAAGAAAGTGACTTGAAATAATCATTGGCACCCGAAATAAGTCTGCTTGTTTAGTGTTTCGACCTTTTTTAAAACATTCTTATCGTTCTTTTGAATGGTTTAACTTCTCGTTCTGTCATGATCCATGTTCAGTTTGAATCCAGTGAGACTAATCACCTGCAACAAAAGTCAAAAACTAGACTTACCTCAAGATTAATATGATCGATTACACATAATATGACTTTGGTGCAATGATCACCAATGAAAAGTGGAAAAGTGAAAGGCTAAAGGTAAAAAAAAAGAAGGGTGGAAACAGAGGCCATGTGCCCCACAATCCATCCCACTTATTATAATCATCATCAACTCCACCAAGGGACTATCATGGAAGTCCAACTTTCTCCAACTCTCTTCAAGAAGTCACAACTCATCTCTATCTTGTTAGGCAACAATGGGGTCCAACAAGTCCTCCAACTTGACCTACCTCACCCATAAACAATCCAAAGATCCTTAAATAGGACAATGACCCTTAACTTGTTAACCTTTTGGCCCATACCTTGAGAGCTAGCTATAGCTACATAGCCATAGCTTACCCTAAAGAGGGAGGAGAGCTTAGGGCTGGCTATTTGGTCCCGGACTGTTTGGTTTTACTCGAAACCGGATCGTATAATCCGGATCGGAACCGGATTGGGACCGGATAGCAAACAATGCAATCTCATATTCGGGCTTAGATTTGAGGTATAAAACCGGATAAAGACCGGATAAGAGACCCCCAACACCTAAAATCAAGATAAAATTGGGACCGGACTGGGTAAAGACCGGACCGGATCAAGACCGGACTGTATCCAATCCAATCTTTGGTCCTTATATTCCCGAAAAAACCGAACTGGGACCGGATCAATTTGGTCCAATTTAACCGGACCGGACCGTAGAGCCACCCCTAGGAGAGCTTGTCCTTTCTAAAGGGTACGTAGTTCCATACATTGGTCCCAAATTGGAAATCTCTCTGAATCAAAGCTTCAATCTTCCAACTGCTATACCTACTAAGTGATGATTGAGGTTGAAATTAAACAGATGGGTTGGATTGAAGGTGACCGATCATGTACAACTTATTTGATGAGGGTGACATTGCCCTTATCCCTAGTTAAGGGTACAACAACTGGAGAGTTGCCCGATCGACATTCCTCTCTGTAGGATTTGATGAGTTGGGGAAAGGGAATAGGGATCAGTATTCAGTAGTGGCAGAGGGGGGAAAGAGTGGGATTTGGGGCAACCACTAATGTATAAGGCCATGTGCTGTCTTCGTTTTCACCATTAATGAAAAACCCAAAACCCCACTTGGGTTTTGGTTGTGGGAAGCACTCTGTTCCTTTCTAGGTTTATCAACACATGTTAAGACCATGCATTACCATTTTGTTTCAATTAGGTATTTGGATATGTTAGTGTGCGAGTTGTATTTGGAAAAGACATGTTTTCTGGGGATTTCGCGCAACCTATGTAATTGCTCATAAAGTTAACAACGTAACAAAGGAACAAGATGGAGAGACTGAAAACCTAGTTCTTGCTTTCTCATTCATCAAATCCGCCTCTTATAGGCTCAGCAAAACGTACAAACAGACAAGCTTCCATGGACATTGTTTGGTAGCTTGGAAGGGAAACCAAGTCTGACTTGGAGTAAAAGAAAGTACAGCTTAAAGAAGAAAGAAAGAAACGGCAGCGCATCGACTGCGTCTTCAGTGAGCAAGGATAAAACGCAGCGGAGCAAGTAGAATTTCTTCTGTGATGGTAAAACGACAGCGCAGCGGCATTGCTTATGTGACGAGGACAAAACGACGATGGATAGCCAAATGACCGTTGAAATTTGATTTCACTCTGTTACAACGAGCGAATTTTGAGGGAAATAACGTGAACACCAGGCTAAGAGGGATTCATGTATATGTATCTTGAACACTCCCTTTGGAGATCACTCTCAACCAGAACACCAGGCTACTAACATAAGCCTCGTATATACAACACCTAACGCCCTCAATACTGGTTAGGAAAGAACCAACGTTCTCTCCCCCGCCATGTCCGTGGTCCAAATCTCTTTCACTCCATCCATCATCCCTCAAACCTCTGCAGTCTCTTCTTGAACAAGAAAACAAAAGAGTATTCTCCACCATCCAAATCCTCTGTTTCGAGATGGCAGTCCTTGTAGGGTAACCCAACACTCCCCTGCCATCTCCAACCAACATAGAATTCCCACAAAAATGTCCACCTTCTGCTGCTCTGCGCTCTTCACCTAATTGCACGACCTGTACATTAACTTATGGAAAAGGAGGAGAACATGTCTGCACCAATTACGGGCCCCCACCCACCCAATCAAAAAAACAGAGGTCGGTTAATGGTCGCTCTCAAAAGCAGAGCTTTGAGAAGCTCACTCTCATTCTCCTACATGCAACGACGTAGCAGGTGGTTTAGTTAGTACACTTCCCCACAAGTCTTTTCCTTGAATGGCGGCAGACAGAGGAGGAAGACTCTTTGTTTTTCTAACCAAATCGTTTTGACTTGAATGAATGCCGGGTGGTAATTAACTATTTAATCATCGTCATTATCCACTCCAGTAAAACAGTAATTGTTTATAAAAAAAAAAGAGGAGGTTATTTTGCAATACCTCATTTGATGCAATTAACCCGACCCGAGTACTGATCCATACCCGGGATGAAGCATTCGTTTGCTTGGAGGAGTGGATTGGAGGTGGAAGAGAGAGAGAGAGAGAGAGAGAGTACCAAAGCTTCGAACCGGAGACCATGTGGTTGTGTGGGCTAACACACAAAGCCACAACGGCCACCAGTAGCTTGGTGATCTAAGATTGCTCAGTAACATTATGACAGGGCACAACAATTTTTTTTTTTTTTTATCTTCTTGGTTTAAAGCCCAAAAGTAGAGGGCTCAAAATAGATATTATATATGGTTTAGATTTGAGAGGCCTGCGCTAATTTTTTTTTGGTATGCCTACCGAATTCAGCTATTTAGATCATTATCTATTAAAAAAAAACGTAGTTGTGATTTTTTTTTTTTTTTTTTACAAAAGGTATTCATATATTGAATCAAAGAGAGTTAATTACATCCTGGAAAACAGCCAGGCCTGAAAATAAAAAAACACAGTTCATAGTCGGAGACAGAGAAAGGGTCTTCCTAGCCACCCTATGGGCTACCCTATTGTTACTCCGACCTATAAACCGCACAGCTAACCCCGGATGCGAGAGAAAATAATGTAAAACTTCTTCTAGAATAGCTCCCACCCGGTTATCACTAGCCTGCCGCGAAATAATCTTGTCAATAATCACTTTGGCATCTCCTTCAAACCTCACCTCCGTGAACCCTAGCCCCAAGCACCAGCCAATCGCCTCCCGAAGGGTTAGTAATTCAATGACCATAGGATCACCAAGGCCAGGAAACTGAATCCCCTAGCCAGAATTACCTCCTGGGATGAGGTCATAAGAACCATACCCCCAGCCGAGGGAGCCCCCTGCCTGGTAGCCCCATCCCAGCGACATATGACCCTAGTTGTGATTGTCAAAGTATATTTGTGATTGTTATATTTAGTAGGTATGAACACAGTTATATATCATAGGTCAGATGTACGCTAATTTTTGTCATGTGATTCGTAAAATTAAAAAAAAATTGATGAAAAAGGAGACACTAATTCATCATAATTTCTAATACACATTCGTAATGCCGAATAGATTAAGAATAGTAATGACTTATGGAGAAAGTTATTGTGATCATATATATCCTTACCGCTAGGTGGATTTAAGTTGGATAACGGCTATTTGTAATGTTCGAGTTCGGAGTTAGTCCAACATGGTCTTTACTCATTCAGAATGTCATTTTAATTCGTGCAGTGTAAGCATGTTGGTAAGTTCACTCATCATCCGGTTTGATGAATTTTTTTAGAGATTTAAAGATAGTGGAATTTGTTACCATCTTCTGATTTGTTCTACTCGAGTTGCGGAGTTGGATTAAACTATCGAGTATACAACAAAAAAAAGGTTATTAATAAGTTCATAATGATATGATTTTTTTTAATTCAGTATATATTAAGTTCGACTTGCATTGAGAAATTCTTGTTCGATTTGATTGAACCCGTAATAGAGAGATAGTACTAGAGCAAAATGAATACCATCGTTTTCATCCCACTGGTTTGTTCTTGGTGCGTAAACTGCAAACTTGTGTGTTCTCAAGGTCGCAGCTATGAAGCACTCTCTGCTCAATGAACTAGAAGCTAGAACCCACTGTGCCTCTCTCTGCTGAACATTGCTTTGCTTCTTAATCTAATTACACCATGGCCTGATGGCCTTCCAAAGTAGGGGAAAGTTAAAAACTATGAAAAGTGGGAAAAGGAAGGTATTTTAGAATACCTCTTTTTGATGGGCTCATGCATGCATCTATCTATCTATCTATATATCCATCCATCTCTGTTATCTGGCAGATACAAACATGAGCCTCAAGCTTGTTGTTGCTGTTGCTTGCTTGTTCAAGGAAGAAGAAGAAGAAGAAGGAGGTACCAGTAATCGAACCCAAGACCAGCTGTACACTGATCAATGAGCTTCACCTGCCGAAACGGCAGGGTCGAGAACTGGTGACCGAACTGACCCGGTCTGCAATTTGTATGTAAGTTTTGAGGTTTGGGTAAGAATAGAATTTGGGCCATAGATGGGCTTTATCACTAGAGACATGGACCTGAATGAGCCTGTTAGCTTTACTGGGCCCTGCCGTCTTTGCCCACCATAGTCTTACTCGGATGAGACTTACCTGAGATTTTTATATTTTGCTGTATTTATTTACCAAGGGAGTTTTTACTGTGGAAGCTTTACCATTTGCTAGTCACCAAATGTATAGTTAATTAGTTACCAGACATAACATAATCGACTCGGAAGGACTAGAAAAAGAGAAACTAACAATGCATTAGTCATCAAAAAGTAAAGGGCAAAATACAGTTCTATAGCCAAAAACTTTCATGTTTGTGTCAATAATAGTCAAATTTGAAGAAATACCACTTTTAACCACATTTTTAAAACTTATTGGACTAATTTAGCCATTTCCGTCAAATACTTTAACACCGTCAACTATTCTGTTAGTGAAATGGATGTTAGACTTATGTGAATGCCATCTAGACGACACATCATGTCCACATCGATCTTACCATGCCACATGGCAGCCATGTCACAATTTAAAGTAATTTTTTATGTTATTTCATTTAATTTTAATGATCTCTTCTCCATCTCCTTCTCCTTTCGGGACAAAAAAATAATAATAATAAGAGGGATCTGTCCCCTTCATCTTCTTCTTCCTACCGTCACAAACCTCCATACCGCCCTGAAAATCCAACCGCCGCCGCCACCCTGAAGATATGACCTCTTTCAGTAATTCAAGTGACCAAAATTGATATCAAATTTTTCTAGTGACTAAACATGACACGATTTAGTAATCTTAGTGACCAAATATGGCATTTACCCTTTTTGGTTGTATTGATTTGTTTTCGCCTGATTTTGAATGAAAAAACATATCAGAGTAGATTGCTCTGTTGCTTCTTGTTGATCCCCAAAATCCTTTCTTATTCTCAACTAGCTAGGGTATCATGGTTATTATTTGACACAAAAAAGAGGAGCAAAAATATTAAATTTAAGAAAGAACATTTTTTGGAACAATTTATTTTTATCTTGGGGACCATAGGATGATTAAAAACTCCACAAAATGGCCAATTAGCTCAATTTATATAATAAATATAATGTATATAAGTGTATTGTCTATAAAAGATAGAAATAACTAATAAAATGTGGTGCGTTATACTTTTTATTTTGTATTTTGTCTTTACTTTTTAATCTTTTTATTGTCAATCACATATTGCCACTAGTTGTTTTCCTATTTTTAGTTGCAAATGGACAAAGAGAGAAGAATCCAACTATTTATTTCTTTATCGGTTTTCTCATCTACATTTTTCCATTGCCTACTATTTTTTTTTTTTTTCCTTTTCTTTTGATTTTTATACCGAGAGTTTGGAGAAGAATCCAAGTTCTTTCACTCTATTTTTTAGATTTTTTTTTCAGTCCCAACAAACTTTTCTGCATCAAGTACCTCTCTCTTATCTTTCACCTTGTTCAACTTCGTGTGTAATCCATCGAACAGTTATGAAAGATATTCTTGTATAGAATGTTCAAATTATGTGTAACATAATACATAGTCATGCTATAAGTAGTTGGGTAACATAATCAAGTATGAGTTTATTATTCTCACCTTTTTTTCATTCCGCATTTCAATTCTTACTCTTTGCAGGATTTATCTTTAACCCACGATCCCTTATTTTTGTATCTTTACCTTTGGGCTTGCCCATTGCATTCTTAATGAACCACAATTGAAAAAAAAAATGATGTTCGGATTGTGATCTTCCGCTAAGGCCACTCTCTTTTCTCGTAGTGTAGGAGGATTAGGGTTTCGGTTTGTCTCATTCTTGGGGGTCATGTGAGACCTGGAAACCAGTTGTTTTTGCCTTAATGAACAAACACCGCGTTCAATGTTTAGCTCTATTCAGGAAAACCCTAATCGTTAACGGAAGCGGATAAGCACTGCCCGTTTTCATTCTGAACAAGGAAACAATCATCAGATTTAAAATTCGGGTTGAACAAGGGGTATAAAAGCTTATTAAAAAAAAGTAGGAAAAAATGCTTCACTTTCACCCCAGGGCCAGTAAAACATTTAGTGACCGTTTGGGTTATAAAATTGGACAAAAATGATCCACCCGACCCATGTACACCCTAACTAGACTGTGCCAATTTTCATAGTGCTTTGTTTATAAAGTTCTTAGTTATTGTGCCACCAAACTCTTCAAATTGTGCTAGAGAATACCGAACAAAGGTGGATCTTGTACGGGGTGGGTATATAGATCGACTATAGAGTTAAGGTGGGTTGTTCTAGATTAATTCGGGACGTCACGTTCAGTAAATTTTTTATTACTATTTGGCGTGACGTGGTGTGTTGACCGGACAAAATTTTTTTAAAAAAAATCGATAGATATAAACAGTATGACTTGATATTCGCTCCAGCACGTTCCGTACAAAAATAATAATTTTGTGATCGTTTTGTAACAAATGCAAAGATGCCTGTGACCGTTTCTGAAAATTACCCATGATCGAATGGTTATTGCTATATAACCACGATTGAGCACCCGGTCGTTCTTTCTTCTCTCCTCTGTCGCCAACAAAACTTAGGGTTTCTTTTCGCTCTTCCCCTCTGCCCCGATCGAGAAGCAATCCAATCGATCAAGATCCTCCAATCCAGCTCGCGCGCTCTTACATAGCTTCCTCTCTTGCATATATATATATATTAACCCTTCCTCGTTCCTTCCATGGCTAGAACCAGGGGAGGCCTCACCCGCCGCAGCACCAAGCCCGAAGGTACTGCTAGTGCCGCTGGTCGCACGAGGCTCGAGTCCTATACCATTCCAACCACCACCTACAGAGGTAGAAAGAAACTCTCGCTAGCTTGTGTCTTTCCATTGATCTTCTTTCTGGAGCTGCATGGTTTTTCTCTCCACGGCGGCCAAGTAACGGCGTAATGTCTGTTACGTTTCCATGTCTCATACGTACCCAGTGGGCGATTGCGTGCTGATTAGTAGACCTAATGCGACTGCGGAGCTCCCGGCGGCCTTGGTTGCCAGAATCGAGGGCATCGATTTCTATTCCGTAAACAAGGTCGATGTCCACGTCAGGCGGTACTACCGCCCTGAGGAGACTTTCGAAGGGGCTCAGAGGTTCCATGGCAGAAAAGAGGTCTTTCTTTCCGACCACTGGCAGGTCGTGAGCGTCCGCGCCATCGAGGGCAAGTGCACTGTTCACTCCTTGGAGGACTACATGAAACTTGGGAATGTTGGTGCCGCGGACTACTTCTGCAGATTCGAGTATGCGCATGAAACTGGAGCCTTCCATCCGAACTATGTTCCTGTGTGAGTTTTTATTTTTCCTCTTTTTTCGGTTTTTATGATTTTCACTACTTAATTAACCCGCGATCGATCTCTTGGTTTGACTTTTGGTCTTTTCCTTCTCTTAAGGTATTGCATATGTGAGATGCCACGCAACCCGGATCTCCCTATGATCCATTGCCGGGAGTGTCGCCACAGGTAAAGTTATACTTCCGTACGTACGTCACGACTACTTTCGGTATTTTTGGCTTTGACTATGGCCTTTTAGGCCAAGGAAGTTTGAGGCAATAACAGGTCTGTGATGCCCTTAGATGTTCTGTGCCGCACGCGCGCTACACTGATGTATTCAACTGAGTCTATAGCCTTGGCCGACAGGCCCGGGTAATCTTTGAAATTTCATCGTGATGGGGATAGATCATTGCAATTGTTGGTCTTCAACGAGGAATTCCTAGTAAGCGCGAGTCATCAGCTCGCGTTGACTACGTCCCTGCCATGTTCACGGGGGGCGAGCATTTCTCAGCCCTGTCCGTTTGATACTGGCGTGTGATTTGTTTTCAAATTACGCGCAGAGAAAATTCAGTATTATGGGTGGTGTAATTTTGGTGGTCTCTATGGGTCTTCATCCTCCTCTCTTAGCCCGCTCTTAATTCAGAACCAGGATTTCGTTCTCTGGTTTTGTGAATTCGTACATACTCCTGTTTTCACGATACTTTTTGTCACCACTTTGTAGGTATCATCTAAAATGTTTGGGAGTGACAATTGAAGAAGCCAATGGATTGAACTATGTTTGCTCTGAATGTTCCTCTCGCAAAGAATGTGTTTCCAGCGTCACCAACAGCTGATGTTAAGGTGAGGTTTCTTTTAACCATCCAGTTTCTGTACCATGTTAGGTGTGCTTCGTGACTTGCTGACATTCTTCTCGTGTGCGTGCTAATTTGTGGCCGCACGTTGATGTTTCCCCAACAACATCTTGTGCTTCTGCATTTCTTATGTTGCTTTCAACTTTGGGATCTTTCCTTGATTTCATCTTTCCTGGACCGTGTGTTCCCATCCACAGCTCTCTCTATACGTGGAGCTCCTATGACATATTCAGCCACTATTTCTCCTTTGCTAATAAATGTTTCGTGAGTGATGCAAATCAGTATGGATATATCTAGATGATATGGCTGAATTTGATGGGTAGGGAACATATTCTGCATTGATGGTTTAGGATATAATCAACAGACGCATGCATGCTTTAAATATATATTCACAGCCAATGCAATTAATTAAAAGCGTCATTCTATGTAAAAGTGGTTTGGTGATCTATAGGAATAATGTCTTATATAATTAGAAATGCCCAGAAAATATCTTGTTCGTTAAGCAGAAACATGGGTGCAGTGGCGGATACATGGGTCTTTAGGGGTGTTCCGGGACACCCCTAAAATTTGGAAAAACGATTATCCAACCCCCAGTAGTAGTTTTGATGGATAAAAAAAAATATAATTGGTAATCCGGGACACCCTTAAATTTTGAAAAACGATTATCCTGTCATCGGTAGTAGTTTGCGTATGATTAAAAATATATAAGTAGTACTCTGTGTTATTCAAACCTAGGTCACTACTATTATTAAATATATTCTCTAGGTTGCAACTCATTTGTTGTCTTATTTTAAAAACTATTTTATAGTAATAACACTATTCTTTATTCCCAATTATTTTCAAAACCTAACGATTAAACTCATTCGAGCTATCCTTAATTTGAATTGATTTTATAGGTATAGTGCAAGAGTTGAAAGAGTCTTTCAAGTTTGAGTTACATCAGGAACAATGTTAGAAATTGAATATGCGATCAGTTCGAGAATTATTGTCTAATATGGTATATTTGCACTAATTAGATATTTTTTATTTATGAATTATTTAATTTAATTTTCAATTAAATTTAATTTTTGGATGAGGACACCCCTATATAAATTTCCTGAATTCGCCACTGCATGGGTGCACTCCTATGAATGTGTAAGACCTGTTTTTTTAGATCAACCGAGTCAAATTGGAATTCATTGTCAACTCATCTAGTAAAACCTTATGTTTTTTTTTTTATGATTTAAAGCGTAAATTTCGACTATACCCGTAAGGAAAAATCTTGATTTTACGTAAAACCTTTTTTTCGTGACCTACAATCGTAAAAGAGTAAACTTTTAAATTTTAAAATGGTATTTTGACTGTATTTCCCACAACGACGCTCTCACATATGCTTTCCCTTCTTATTGTGGACGTTGTTTCATGCATGCATATCTTTGCAAACCTTGGCTCTGGTTATTGTACTTTTTTCAAGGCATGTTGAGTATTGGCTTGTTCCCTTGCATCATGTGATTCATAAGGTGCAGTGCATAGCAACGCGATTATCCTTGCTCATTTATTATGCTCAATTAATAAATATGCACGTCCTAAAACAGCTGATGAGTTAGGCTTTTTAGTAGCTTTTAGCGCTATGAGTAGTAGAGGAAACTCTCGGTTAGTTGGGAAAGAACCATATCCAGTTCTTGTGATCAGTGATAATTGTTTGAAAGCTAACATTGAACTTTCTTTGCAGTCGGAGTCCAGACGGGGGAAGAGATGAAAATGACCAGCTTGATAGAGGGGAAGAAGACTGCTGTTTTGTGCGACACGTGGAGCGGGGCAGAGAAAACTGGGGGTGTGCTATGTGTAAAAGAAGATATTTAGGGTTTAGAATAGAATTTCGGATTGAGATTTGAAAGAACGGAATTGAGGATTCAAAAATTTAGAAGAGGAAATTGGAGGTGTAGAAGAAGAATGGCAGCAATTAGATATGGGTGACAAATTTGAGTCCGAGAGATTAGATTTTTTAGATATAGTTTTCATAATATTTTCCTGGTTGCTTGTGACGTAATACCAGAGTACATATTTTAATATAGGAAATAAATTGAAAAACTCCAATAGACAAATCTCAATTATGTGAAGAATACCAGTCCTTGGTTGAGCCATTTGGTCGTCCGAGAAAAGTTGAAGGAACCAGAAGGTCGGCCTGAGATCACAAACCCAACCCGAAGTATCGGTCAACTTGAGTGTTTCATATCTAAGTTCACATTGTAATTTTGGGAAAACTTATGAAGAGAAATCAATAAACAAACTCTCTAATCCCAAAATTTCCAATTCTCCCTATTTTCTCTACATTCCCTCTTTCTCAATCTCAATCTTCTTTGGTGACCAAACGTGAAATGAGTCGTGAAATTAATGAGGATTAAGATAGAAAAGTAATTCGAGTGGCAAATATGGAATATTTTTGTTATTTAAGTGACCAATCGTATAATTAACCATAAATTTGTAATTTGCCCCACATCGTTCATCTACACAACAATTCGAATTATTTGCTGGTGGATTAATGATAAACCGCTAATTAACCACATACGTGTCCAACATAGTATGAGTGTACACTGCCATGAAATTGCTGCAACATACTCCACTCCAAGATCATCTTTGTTCTTTTCGTTTTGGGCTCTTGGCCCGCCTCAAAACCCCGTATCCTGAACCAATATTTAACCACAATTAGGAGAGCCCAACATTTGAATTCTGAAGCCCGAGGCCCATTACGGCGTTGCAGGCTGCAGGATTTCCCGCGCTTCTCCAACCCTATCTGCATCCATAACTCTGTCCGATTCTCACATCCAGCGGCGCGTTTTCTTATTCTTACAATCCGGCCGTGAACATGACCAGTTCGGATTGGGATCTACCACTGAGCTCACTCCTTCCCCCTTCCGCCTCCAGAAAACGGCGCCGGATACGTCCACAGGGAAACCCTCCTCCGCCTCCCCTGAATCCGTTCAGCAAACTGGTAAACGATCTCCTTGTCGAAATTCTGATTCGCCTCCCAAACCCTAGATTCTCCTGTCGCTGCCGAGTCTATCTGCAAGCGGTGAAGATCCGTCGTCGATGACCCCAGCTTCAATCGCCGTTTCATTTCTCATCACCGGAGTAAGTACCAGCCAGCTTCTCTGTTCCTTCCCTCACACGACCCCCAATCCATCCTCAGCTTTCTCCCCGTGTCCGACGAAGAAGCCCGACCGAAACTGACGGTCTTCGATTGCTTCAAGGACCTGCTTCTGTGCGGGTTTGTCAAATTCAATCGCGAATTGCGCAGGTCCTACTTGATCTGCAATCCGTTTACGAAGCAATGGGTCGCCCTTCCTCTGGCGCCCGAAATCACACTGCGTTATAACTTATCGGCTGCAGGGTTGGTTTGTCGACCCTGTATAGGTAGGAGTAGTTGCAATCTTGTGCAGCTGGAGCAGCTAGGAGATGAACCAGAACCAGAACATGCAGCCTTTGTTTATTCCGAGTATCGTTTCCGCGTGGTGTGTCTTTACCAGCATACTTTGCATCAAGCAGTGCAGGTGTTTTGTTCCGAGACTGGGAGATGGCCGACTGAGTTATATTTCGAGATGTACATGGCATTGCCGCTGGGCAATGTACTCACGTGGAACGAAAAGTTGCGCTGGGTGCAGGTCGACATCCATACGAGGAATGCAGCTCTCTCTGCCTACGATCCTTTTGTCCCTTATAAGCTCCCTGAACCGATGGATGTACCTGCTGAATTGATGAGGAATGTGCGCAGAGGACATGGGGATTTTGCGGTATCGCAGGGTGCTCTGCACATAGTTAAATTCCAGTTTGATTCTCCGACGAAATCGTTGAGTGTTTGGAGATTGGAAGGAGATTGTTGGACCCGACAATTCGAGACGGTGTTGAAGACGACGACGTCATCATTATGGGGTGGCTATAAACTCGAGAGGTGTTTTGTGCTCGATCTGCACCCGGAGAAGCCGGAGATTGTCTTCTTTAAATACCAGATGAACTGAAATTCTCCTGGTTCTATCTTCTTCTGCAATTTGAGGACGGGGATGGGAGAGCCGGAGTTCTTTTCTGCAGCAGAGTTGTATGAAACTGAACCCTGTTGGAGGGCGCTGCAGCCTAGAGTCTCCTGCTGGCCTACTCCGATTCCGAGCTACGAGGAGCTGCGAGGTGTGTACGATGGAAGTTACGATTGTTTTGTTCAGAACAGCGGTGCGGCAACGCTTCCGTCAACGATTGGTAAGTAGTTCGAATTTACTTTTTTTTTCTTCTTCTTCCTAGTCTGCCATTCTCTCGATTTATTTATGTGGCTTGGCTTCTAATAATTTGCATCCCATCTCTCAAGTACGTGAAGAATACCAACCCTTGGTTGAGCAACCTGGTCGTCGGGGAAATGTTGAAGGAACCAGAAGGTCGAGTCGGCCTCACAAACCCAACCCAAAGTACCGGTCAACTTGAATGTTTTGTGTTTAAGTTCACGTTGTATTTTTGGCATGGTCCATGAAACCGTATCGGATATTGTATCGGAAAAGTCAGTGGTATGATATTTTATGATAAAATCGTGGTTTAACCGTAGTTCAACCGTTACATCGTTAAATTCCGCCTACAGGTTTATAGCCTACGATATTGGTATTTCGTGGTTGAACCGTCGTCCGTCGGTACGATAAGATTTCATGGACCATAATTTTTGGAAAAACTTATGAACTAGAAATCAATAAACAAATTCCCCAATTCTTCCTATCTTCTTTGTGTTCCCTCTTTCTCAATCACAATCTTCTTATTCCTCTAGCTCTCGTTCCCTTCTCATTCCCTAGCTAACACCTGCAACAAATTGGTCTTAGAACCTTTATGAACTCATTATAGTTCACAATGGAGGTTGCGCTCCAATACTTTAGGGAGTTCTACTGTAAGCTTACTAGAGACATGACGGCAACAACGACTGCGCGCACGGCTGAAGTAAGGGCAGTTAGGTCTGCCTGTGAGGTGGTTACCGTGCTAACCATTTTAACCAGTAGTATTTAGCTAATTTGGTTTGGTTAATTTCGATAATTGGTTTGGTTTGGTTAAAAAATTTAGCTTGTTTGGTTTAATGGGTTTGGTTTGGTTTCAGGCACTCCTAACCAATCAAACCAAATTAACCAGTTAAGTAATTTGTCATATATCTAATATATATTATATACACATACTTAATACTTTGCATAACCACCACTCAAGAGTCAAATGTAAGATAATTGTATTTGTTACATGTATTTACGTTAAGGGTTAACTACAATTATCTGGATTGTTATGTGTTGTTCATTATATAAATTGCAAATTGATGCACTAACTTAAAAAATTTCTCCCTTAAGGATAATGTGGTGTTATATTGGTTATTTTGGTTAACCAATTAACCAAACCGAATAAATTTTAGTTTGGTTAATTTGGTTGTTGTATTAGTTTGGACGGTTTGGTTATGATATTATATTCCATGGTTAATAGATTTTAGACTTATTTTGTTTGGTTATTACCATGGTAACCATTTGAACACCACTACTCGTTGACCTGGAAATCAGCTCCATCGCAAGTCGCAACCGATGCCTCTTTGTTTTGAAGAGAGAACATGCATGTCAGCGTGAGTTGAAGGTATGCATGTTTAATTTGCATGCATGGGCGATGGTCTTAGTCTCTTTGAGTTAATTAGTCAACTCAGCAGCATGCTGCTCATCTTGGTTCTTTTCTTTTTGGGCTCTTGGCCCGTCTCTAAGTCCCGTCTCCGAACCCAATAGCCACAGCTTGGATAGCCCAATCTTTAAAATTCAAAGCTTGGGCCCATTACGGCCTAGCACACTGCAGTATTCCCGCGCTTCTCCAACCCTATATAGCTCTGTCCGACTCTCACCTCCAGCGGCGCGTCTTCTTTCAATCCGGCAGTGAACATGACAATTTCGGATTGGGATCTGCAGCTGAGCTCACTCCTTCCCCCGATTCCCTCCAGAAAACGGCGCCGGATCCGTCCACGGGGAAACCCTCCTCCACCTCCCCTGAATCCGTTCCGCAAACTGGTAGACGACCTCGTCGTCGAGATTCTGATCCGCCTCCCAAACCCTAGACCCTCCAGCCGCTGCAAAGCCGTCTGCAAGCGGTGGAGATCCCTCATCGCCGAACCCACCTTCAATCGCCGTTTCGTTTCTCATCACCAGAGTAGGTACCGACCAGCATCTCTGTTCCTTCTTCCCGCACACGACCACCAGTCCATCCTCAGCTTTCTCCCGGTGCCTGATGGAGCTCGACCGGATTTGACGGTCTTCGACTGCTTCAAGGACTTGCTTTTGTGCGGGTTTATGAATTTAAGGGGTGAATTGCGCAGATCCTACTTCGTCTGCAATCCGTTTACGAAGCAATGGGTCGCCCTTCCTCTGTCGGCTCAAACAATACTAGCGTATTATCAGTGGCGGACCTAAGGCATGCCAGGGTGTGTCGTCCGACACACCCTCGCTCGAGAATTTTACGAAGGACCTACATATTTTTTGTACAAATTTTTTTACTTCGGGATAGCCGACACACCCTCAATAATTATAGCCGACACACCTTTATTATACTCGAAGAAATAATTATCCAAATGAATCAATCGTAATCATAATCCTTTTTAATTTTGTTTAAAATAACTCATAAAGCATAATCCTATCCTTCCTATTAAAAAAAACACTCTTCGCGCATACAATATACATTACTATCAAGTCGATTTATTCTATGCAGTTATAGATTTGCAGCTGCAAGAATTGAATACTCGATTTGGTGATGTGAACACTCGATTGTTGGACTGCATTTCTTGTTTTAGTCCAGCTAACTCTTTTGCTTCTTTAGATAAAGCAAAGTTGATAAGTTTTACTTAGTTTTATCCCGAGTAGTTTCCATCCAATGTGCTCTCACGACTTCATCAACAATTGGGGGCTACATTTCTCATGTCAAGGAGGATAAGAGCTTTGATGGATTTCGAGGAATCGACGAGCTAGCTAGGAAATTGGTGGAAAGGGGAAATGACACTCTTTATCCTTTAGTTTACTTGCTGTTAAAGTTGGTGTTGACCTTACCTGTGGCAACTGCAAGCTGCGAAAGAGCATTTTCAGCTATGAGATAATCAAGAACGATCTTCGAAATCGGTTGAGTGACCAATTTATGAATGATTGTTTAGTTGTGTATATTGAAAAAGATTTGCTTTGCAGCATAAGTGATGAATGTATTTTAGAAACATTTCAGCAGATGAAAAGTCGTCGCGGTTCGTTGTAAACATGACATTATGAACTTTATGAATTAATTTCTTTTAATTTTTAATTAATTTTTAATTTAATTATTATTTTATTTTATCGGCGACACACCTCTCCGACAATCCTGGGTCCGCCACTGCGTATTATGTATCGGCGGCAGGGTAGTTTGCCAGCCCCGCAGTACTGGTAGTAGGAGTAATTATAATCTTGTGCAGCAGCAGCTAGGAGATGAACCAGAACAAGAACCGCCCTTTGTTTATTCCGAGTATCGTTTCCGCGTGGTATGTCTTTTCTTCCAGCGTGATTTGTGTCGCGAAATGCAGGTGTTTTGTTCCGAGTCTGGGGAATGGTGGGAGATGAATCTTAGGAATGCGGAGTTCGATGGATTGCCATTCACCAATGCGCTCACATGGAATGGGAAGCTGTGTTGGGCGGACTACGACGAACATACGGATAGCGCAGTGCTTTATCGATATGATCCTTTCCGGCCTTATTCACCCGCTGAACCGATGTATGAAAATTCTGGGTTGTGGGGACATTTCTCGGTCTCGCAGGGTGCTCTCCACATGGTTACATTCATGACTGAAGATGCGACGAAATCGTTGAGCGTTTGGAGACGGGAAGGAGACGGTTGGAGAAGGAAACACCAAACGGTGCTGAAGATGAAATCGCCATCGTGGTGGGGCGACTACAAACTCGAGGATTGTTTCGTGCTTGATCTGCACCCGGAGGAGCCGGAAATTGTCTTCTTTGAATACCAGAAATCTCCTCAATGTATCTTCTCCTGCAATTTGAGGAAGGGGACGGGGGAGCCGGAGTTCTTTGCTGCAGCAGAGTTTTGTACGAGTGATCCCGCTTGGAGGGTGCTGCAGCCTAGAGTCTCCTGCTGCTGGCCTACTCCGATTCCGAGGTACGAGGAGCTGCGAGGTTTGTACGATGGAAGCTACGATTGTTGGGTTCAGCACAACGATACGACAACCCTTCTTCCCTCAACAACGATTGGTAAGTAGTTCGAATTCATCCTTTTCCTCAGCCTGCCATTTTCATCGATTTCTTTTATGTGGTGTGGGTTCTGATATTTTGCTTCCCATCTCAATTATGTGAAGAATACCAACCCTTAGTTGAGCAATCTAGTCGTCGGAGGAATGTTGAAGGAACCAGAAGGTCGGGTCGGGCTCACAAACCCAACCCAAAGTACCGGCCGACTTGAGTGCTTCAACTTCAACAATCGGTTTTTTCTTCTCTGTCTCCACACTATGGTTGTCACGCCGGCCGGCCGGCGTGTCACTGGTTGAACCTGGTTCAACCTATACCGGTCATAAAATCGGTATGACACCACCGGTATGACCGTATGATCGATGTACGAATTTCTAAGTAAAATGATCTTATATTAGTGAATTTATTTGATAAAAAAGTAATTTATTTTATGTGTTAAAAAGTTAAATGTTGATGTTATTTGTTGGATTTAAGTACAAATATTTAGGTATTGACGTTAAATGTCGTGCTTAAATATGAGTATTTGTAAATTATTTGTAATATTAATCGGCATGAACCGACACAAACCGGTATGTACCACCGGTCGAAAATTCGCACTTCCTGAGACGATGAGGAACTTCCCCACTTCCCAGTGATTGTGGGAAGGAATCCTTCTGACTTGAGCTTGTTCAAGTTGAAGTGCAGTTGGAAGGACAGGGATTTCGTGGACGCTGCATTTACCTGGAGTTGGGCCGTAACAGTGTGGGCCTAATAGTGGGATCCGCTGGGCTCATTGACCATTCAGGCATTTGGGCTCGAATAAGTCAAAAGTCAATTTCTACCATGAAAATATTCTTTGTTTGTTTTTATCTGTGTCGTTAACAAGGGAAAGTAGCGAGGTAGACGAAATCCATTTTGCAGCTGGAGATGGAATCACAAACTCATTTTTTTAAAACTTTAAAGTATATCTATATATTAAATAAACTAAATATAGATTTCCAAATTTTATCGAACCCCTAAAAATTAAAACCAATTTCTATTGCATGTAATGTCTCGAAATCGAGTTTAAAAACTTGCGTTTTTACGCTTATAGATCACAAAAACATTTCTGTATAGAAACGCGCTTTCGGATTACATTACTCTTTAATACCAATAAAAGAACTAGCCTTCTCGACTTGGCACTTCTTTAGTCCCGTGAGACCCCCCTCCAGTCTAATCGTCCAGTCCTTGGGGAGTTATTACCATTGTGCTAAAATGATGAGAAGTATTCTAAAAAAAAATTGATGAGAAGTAACTAAAGTGAATTTATTACATATACATATCTATTTGCTTATGAAACTTGTATTGACTTTATCGGTGGCAACTGCAAGTGTTGAAACAACTATTTACTTTTCGGTTACACCGGTTCGGACTCGTATAAACGATTAGCTCACTAGTCATTGTTTGATGAGATATATTGAAAAAAAAATTCTTCAACACTATAAACACTGAATGCACAATTTTTTGTAAAACATTTAAACACGTCATGATAATTGGTTATAACTCGTAGTCTCGTACTAGTTATATATTTTATAATTTAAGAAAATCATGTCATTCAAACATAGCAACAGTCCCTGTCAACGGATGTAATGCGAAAAGTATTTCAAGCTTTCTTGCTTCCTCTTGGCTGCGACGAAGAAATTGCCGACGAAGCCACAGATTGCAGCAGTTCGTTCTTGCTGCCTTGTGGCGGTTGTTTGCAATGAAATCCGTGATCCATAATTTTCCATACATATTACCTCCATTCTGGCAATTGGGTTTTGGTTTTGAGAAACAAACAGCCGAAGGAAGGAATGGCCTAATTCGATTGACAAGTCGAAGTCAAAACAAACAGCCGCCATAGACAAAAGTGGAGCAAGTGGTCGCGTCGGACAAAAGAAGAACAGAACAGAGTGAAAGACTGAGGAATCTTCGTCGTCATGGGGGTAAATAACGACTTGGGGGAGTCCGGGGTCGTCTTTCTCCAATCTATATATCCTTTCATTAAAGCCCTTTACAGCCACTCACCAAACCTCTGTTTTCTCTGAGGATTCCGCAGGGGAATGGAACCAATCGCTTCTTCTTCTTCTTCTACCCTGCCGTCTCTTCTTCCGGCACGAGAGTACGAGGTTTTCCTGAGCTTCAGGGGATTGGACGTTCGCAATAATTTCTCCGACCATCTCTACGCCTCTCTGTCGCGTTCTAAAATCCGCGCGTTCAGGGACGAGGAAGAACTCCCCAAAGGGGAAGAGATCTCCCCTTCCCTCATCAGGGCGATCGGCGAATCGAAGATTTACATCCCGATCTTCTCGGAAAACTACGCTTCCAGCAAATGGTGCCTTCAAGAGTTGGCACAAATGGTGGAATGCTGCAAGCGAGAGAAGGGACACCTCTTTCTCCCCATCTTCTACCTCGTGGACCCTCGAGACGTGCGACATCAACAGGGTCCTTACGAGCAGGCGTTCGAGCAACACGCTCAGAAGCATAGCCAGCAGACCGTGCAGGGATGGAAGGAAGCTCTCCAAGTGGTCGGCAAAATGAAAGGATGGCACGTCACGGAATCGAACGGGTAACTTAGAATTTCTTACACCCTGTTCTCTTAGATTATCTGGTAATTAGTACTAATTATACTCTCTTGCTAGTCCTCACGTTAGATTAGTATGATGTATTGATTAAATTAAGAGTAGCTTAGCTCTATAAATCTTTGATTGCATCTTGATGGGTTATCAAATTTTGCTTCCTTTGGGTTTGTGTATTTCGATTTTTTTGAACTCTCCATTGATATCAATCGTGTTTAATTTCCAGACAGGGGTTTGTGATAAACGAGGTCCTCTCCAAAATCGAGTTACATTTCAGAAGGATTTATACGTTAGTGACGGACGAGTTAGTGGGAATTCATACTCATGTGGAAGAAGTGGTGAAGCTGTTGAACTTAGGGTCAAACAACCCAAAAGTCGTTGGCATTCATGGAATGGGTGGTATAGGTAAAACCACGCTATCCAAGGCGGTTTATAACAAGATTTCTGCAGAGTTTGATCGATGTTGTTTTTTAGAAGGGGTAAAGGAAACATTGACAAGAAATGACGGAGTTATATCTTTGCAGAATAAGATTATCTCCGGTATTTTGAGGCAGGATTATCAAGTTGAAAATATGAGTGAGGGTATCAATGTGATAAAGGAGAGAGTTTGTAAGCACAAACTTATTCTTGTTCTTGATGACGTAGATGATAAGTTTGAATTTGATAAAGTTTTAGGAAAATTAAGAGATTTTTCCTTAGAAAGTAGATTTATTTTCACAACAAGAAACAAGAGGGTTTTGGACTTTTTTATTGGATGTAAAATCTATGAGGTCCGAGAAATGAGTCCTCAATATTCTCTTAAACTTTTTAGCAAACATGCTTTTAGGACAGATCATCCTCCGGAGGACGACTCAGTGATAACTCAGGAATTTGTAAAAGTAGCTGCTGGGCTTCCTTTAGCTCTGAAGGTTATGGGATCACTTTTATTTCATAGAGAGAGAAGGTTGTGGGAAGAAAAGCTGAAAGAGTTCAAAGGCATACTCTCTCCTGAAAGTGAAGTGTCGAAGATAATGAAGATAAGTTACGACGAGTTGACTCCCACCGAGAAACAGATCTTTCTCGACATCGCTTGTCTTTTTATCGGATCAAAGAAAGAGGTGCTCTACAACATGTGGAATGCCTGCAGCTTTCATCCAGAGAGTGGAATTAACACTCTCGTCGATAGATCCTTGATGAAACTCGATGAAGACAATCGGTTTTGGATGCATGATCATATCAGAGATCTTGGGAGAGCTATCGTGCAAGAGGAAGACATTCGACATCCACACAGACGCAGCAGAATATGGTGCGAGGAAGATGCGATGATGGACTTGTTGAGAAACAACGAGGCAAGTATATTAATACTCGTCCAAGTGTTGAGCTAGCTGGATATCAAAACATCCAATCCATCCAGATTTACAATATGGATGTAGTAACTAATTACGTTCCTATCATTGCAGGCAAACAATTGGGTAGAGGTTCTTATGGTGGATATGCGGCGGTGGAAAAATGAAGTTCTGACAGAGAACGAGTTCAAGAAACTGCACTGGTTGAGATATCTGGAAGTGCGCAATGGAAGCTTGACGGGCGATTTCAGCAAGATTCTTCCAAATCTTTGCATGCTCCGACTGTACGATTGCGACTTGATTCCCGCCAATCTCAACATGAAGAAACTGGTCGTTCTCGATCTCGAGAGTTGCGGGGTGGAAGACAACTGGAGAGGATGGAAGGAAATGCAGTTGGCACAAAAGCTAGCAGTCATATATCTTCGACATTGCCGGAAGTTGACAAGAGCACCCGACCTGTCGCAATGTGTTAGCCTGGAGTCGATCAACATCGATGGATGTTCCGCGATGAAAGGAGCTCTGCACATCGGCAATTTCAAGAACCTGAAAACCCTGAAGCTCGTCGGGACCCAAATCACCGAGCTGACAGGTGACTTCCGAATGCTTCAGCAACTGGAGGAGATCGACGCTCGTCGTACGGATCTGAGAGAGCTACCCGCCCGAATCGACCGTTTGTCCTCTCTCAAAACTCTGAACCTCGCGTCAGAGGACGAGGTTACGCCTCGCAGTATGAAAGTGGGTAGACTTCCCACAAGTTTGAAGAGGTTATCCATCTCGTCTCGCGGCCAGATTCCGAACCTTCTAGAGCTCAAGGAGTTGGAGTCCTTGAGTTTTTTCCGTTGTCATCATCTTCGGATTCCTGAAGACATTGGGGAGCTGGTCAATTTGAAGGAATTGATTGTATGGAGATCTCCATTGGATGCTCTGTTTCCGCTGAAAGCCCTGCCATCGTCTTTAACCACTTTAGCTGTTGTGGATTGCGGCAAATTGTGGAGACTTCCCAGTCTGGCAAATCTGAACAAATTGACGGCTCTCAATCTCAAACAGTTGGGGGCATGGGAGATTCGCGGGCTGGGAGAGCTGAGAGCGTTGAAGACCATGGAGATCACCGACGCGCCGAATCTGAACAAGCTCGACGGCCTCGAAACTCTGTTCCACCTCACACACTTGAAGCTGGAAGGCTGTGGCAGCCTGGAAAAATTGCCCAGTCTAGCAAACCTGATCAAGCTGCAGAGGCTCGAGATCGTCAATTGCGGACAGCTGAAGGACAAGGTTACAGGGCTGGAGAGATTGGTGTCGCTGGAACACCTGAGCCTCGAAGGTTGCACATCGATTCGAAAGCTGCCGCGTGATATGTCCAAGTTAAGAAAACTCGAGCACTTGAATGTTCGCCGCTGCACGAAATTGATGGAGGCCACAGGGATCGAGGGACTGGAGTCGTTGCGATTGCTGGACATGTCCGGTTGTAGCTCGATAACAAAGTTGGGGGATCTATCGGGGCTCAAGAATTTGGTGGAACTGCACACCAAGGGATGCACAAAGCTGACACTAGTCACGGGGATCGATCGACTGGAGACATTACGAGCACTAAAAATGTCGGGCTGCAGGTCGATCAAGCAGTTGGGGGATCTATCGGGCCTCGAGAATCTGCACACACTGGACATCAGCGGATGCATCGAGCTGACCGAGGTGAAAGGGATCGAGCGGTTGCCATCGCTAGAATATCTATGGATGTCCGATTGCAGGTCGATCAAGGAGCTGGGTAACCTCTCCGGTCTGAAAAAGTTGAGGCAGTTTCACATAGAGGGATGCACGGAGCTGACCGAGGTGAAAGGGCTCGAGCGGTTGCAGTCGTTAGAGTATCTGTGGATGTCGGATTGCAGGTCGATCAAGGAGTTGGGCGATCTTTCTCGTATGAAAAAGCTGAGGGAGTTTGATATCAGGGGATGCACGCAGCTAGCTCAGGTGAAGGGATTGGAAGAGATGAAGTGGCCATGGGACCTGCGAATGGACAAGAGGTTGAAGGTGAAGTATCTGTGGGAAAGATATGGGGAGCAACAGGTGAACCGCTTCGTGAGGTTTGCACATGAGAAACACTTAAGGAGGAGGCACAGTCGCAATGGCGCTCAACCCCTCAGCCCAGGAAAGACTTAGATTTCCTTTCATTCTATAGATTCGTTTTTTGATCAAGTTAAATGATGCTAAGTTTGCTTCATGAATAATCTGTAATTGGGCTGACAATTCTACTAGGAAAGGAATGTACTTTCAGGGTTGAATCTGTAAATTGATGTAGCCATGTAGAAGATTTGTTGTATATGTTCTTGCAAGTGAAGAGCAGAGCAGGTAGCTCAATTAGTTTACACAAATGTTTGGTTACTAGTTTGAAAGTGGCTTGGTGTCAGGGCATATTCTATCACACTCGCTAGAACCAAAGACCGCCAACAAAAAAGCAAAGCAAATACAACAAAACTAGAGAGAGATTCTACCCTCTATTATGTTTCACCTAATACGTTATGATCTCTACTTTAACCACCCACAAGGCACCATTTTCGATGCCGCAAGACCCAATACGTGGATTCAGTCAGTCAGTCAGTCAGTGATTTCTTATACCAATACTGGTTCAATTATGGATGATTTGGTTAATAATAATCTATGATTGGAGGGACATATTGATAAGCTTCTCTTTTCCCTTGAGTAATTAAGTATACTCTGTTTTCAATTAAGAAAAACAGGGGAACTTGATTACTGTTTTGCTCTTGCTTCGGGGTTGATGAATGAATGGACGAGGACGACTCCTGTTTTGGAATTACTGCGGTTAAATTAAATATAAAGAAAAACAGAGATTTGAGAAAGAAGAAGGCGGCAAAAGCTAGTTAAGAAGTATTTAAGGTTGTTGGAATGATGGAAACAAAAAAATGGTTCAGTTTTGACTGGAGAAGGAGAAGACCTAACTAGTTAAGAACTAAAAACCCAACGAAGAAAGATTCTTTCTTCCTACCGTACCAAAGCCCAACCTCAGCATTAGCAAGCAGAAAGAGAGAGACCCATTTGAGAGTTGAGAGAGAGAGATTCTGTGCTCCGTCATCATTTTCTCCTTCTTTCTTCCCCCACGATTTTGTCAGCCAGGTTAAAGTGGGGGAAAAAAAATGTTGAAAAGGGCTTGAATAGATTTTGCTTGAATAGGGAATCTATTGGCGTTTCTTTTGTTATTGTTTGGGGTCCAAATGAATCAATGAAATGAAATGGCTTGATGACGGTGCAGGGGAGGAGGGAGGAGGGAGGAGAAAGAATGGTCATATTCAGGTTCAGAGTCTCAGTCATGGTACAAAGCAGCAGAAGAAGATTAGACTCAAACAGTGAACTTTGCTTCTTCTTCTTCTTCTCTCTCTATACTTGTTGTTTGCTTGCTTCCATGAAAAAAATATAAATTTCTTTCCTTTCTCAGTTCCCTATAGTGCTAGCCATAGCTTCCTCTGGTCTTTGCTTCATCGCAATGGCCACTACTCTGTTTTCTTTTGGGGAGGAGTTCTGTGCTCTGTACCAGTAAATCACTGTACTTTTTGACTCCTCTTTTTACTCACTAGTCCCTACTACTTCCTTCTCACTCAGTAAGTGTCTTTTCTTTATTTGTTTTTATTCCCTTCCTCCACATAAATCCTCCTGCTACAATCTAGCGCCAAAATCCCTCTCTCCTTTTAAAAAAATCCCCATTTAATCTGATACTGTTACAATTTCTTTTTTGTTTTTTTGGGTTTGCTAAACACAAGAACAAGAAGAACAGCAAAAGAACACTACCATCCACCATTTACTTAACTCTCTCTTTCTCGAGCCCCAACCTTCTCTGCTTTCACTACTCCTATCCTATAGGCCTGCTCTCTCTCTTTATGCCTTTGCTTGGAGCTTTCTTCTTCCTTGTTTCTCCTCTGCCATTTTTTATGGTCTCCCTTGTGTCTGGACCCTTCAGCTGTTTGTGGTAATGTCAAACTGAAGAAACCCACATTTACCCAGTTGAGTTCATGAGGTAAACTATCATTTCTCAACTGGGTTTTCCGTTTTTTTTTTTAGTTAGAAGGTGAGAAAGGTAGTGGGGTTGTGTAAAAGATTGGTCTTTTATGAGCAGTAGCTGAACGAAACCACTTCCTTTCTTTGGAACTAGTTTATGATGGTGTAGTGGATCAGAGTAAGAACCCCACACTTTTTTCTTCTTCTATTCTTTCTCACCCTTCTCTTCTTGTTTTCTGCTGATGCAGTTTTAGGTCATTTTTATTGTAGAAGGTTTATGTGTTCAATCAGAGGGCAGAGAGATGAAATGGGTTGGTCTCAAATGCCCCAAAGATTGAAGCTTTCAGCTGAAATCCGTTGTTTTCTGGACAAAGATGGAGATTCTAGCCGTGGAATACCCAGAGAAGATTCTGCATTTTCCTCTCCAGGCCTCTGAAAACCCTTCAACAGCAAACAAAACCTTGTTTTTGCCTACTCCTTTTTCATCCCAAAAGAGGAATAAGCGGATTCTTCCAAAGGAACACAGAAAAAAACCACCTTTTCTCGCTTTACACTTTCCATCTCTCTAAAATAAAGACACAGTAGTGACCTCCCACGCCTGCACAAAAAGCCCAAAGTCCAAAAAGAAGCAGCAACATCTAAGCCATTCAAACCCCAGTTCTTTTAAGTTTCTTTGTTTTAACTTGGGGAAGTGTTGAGAAACCAAAACTACAGACAAACATGGGATGTGTTGCCTCTAGGCTAGAAGAAGAAGAAGAAGTGGTATCCATTTGCAAGGAGAGGAAACGGCAGCTGAAGCTTGCAGTAGAGAAGCGTCAAGCACTAGCAGAAGCTCACTGCAGGTACTGTCAATCTCTCTATGCAGTAGCAGCAGCAATAAAGCTGTTTGTGGCTCGCCATGCTTCCCCAGCTTCACCATTCCTCATTACTTTCCCACCTCATAGCCCATCTGCTCTCCAACCTAAAGAAGACGGGAACAACAACAACAGCAATAACAACATGATAAACAACCCAATGTTTATTGAAGAAAGGCCTTCTGAGTCAACCAATGAAGAGGCCAATGCTTGTGATTCTTGTGATTCATCAACAACTTCCTCGGATTCCAGTGACGAAGAGGAGTGTAAAGCAGATATGACGAGGCAACATCAACAAGAGGAACATCAGAGTTATGGTTACTACTACATGCAAATGCCACCACAGCAGGCTGTGGTTCATGAGTCACCAGGTGGTGATTTTGGGTGGGATTTCTTCAACCCTTTTGATGTGATGAGGCCAGAGGTTATGAGTGGGTACAGGAGGAGTTTGGATGATGATTTGAGGGCGGTGAGGGAGCAAGAAGGGATTCCTGAGCTGGAGGAAGAAGGGAGTATTAGGGAGAATGGAGATGAGCAAAAGTTGTTTGTTGCTGCTGAAGAAGGGAAAGTTGGAGAGGGTTTTGATAATGGGGATTTGGTTAAGTTGCGTGATGAGGGTAATGGGAATGGAGGGTCTGTTGAACAGAAGGGGCATTCAGTTATGGAGTCACCAGAAAAGGGAAGGGAACTGCTGGATGCTTTGAAGGACATTGAGGATCATTTCATTAGAGCTTATGACTCTGGCAAGGATGTTTCCAAGATGCTTGAGGCTAACAAGGTTTACTTGCAGTCTGGGACGGAGGAAATGAAAGGTAGTGTGAAATTTTGTGCTCTTTTTTTGCCTGTGTATCTTGTTGTGTATGTGTTGATCATCCTGCTTTGTCTTGAGCTGTGAAAATCCTAAGAATTTCGTTTCATTTGCAATCTGTTAACTTACAACAAGGAGAGCAATAGTACCAGAAGTTTATATGTTTTTTTAACTAAATTGACCCTGGATTCCCTGCTTACAAGATTTTTTCCTTTCAACTTAGGAATCATTTGTTGTGAAAAGGTCAGACAGCAAGTCAGCACTTCACAACTTGCTTTTCATGTGTCTCGTGTAATTGAACCAGCGAAATCTTTATTCACTTTTATTCATTGGTTATCATTGCCTGAATATGTCTTCTTCTTTATGCCTGGATGCTTTCATGTAACTATTCAGATTAACCTTCCTTGTGGACTAACTCCCATATCTTGTTGCTCCAGAGAATTCAAACAAGATCATCCTAGCTCTACCATGGCACAGGTCAACCTCGTTCAAGCCCTCGTGCAAAAGCCTGGTGGCCTCGAGCTCCAGAAGCACATCAACGTGGACAGAATACACGAATGATCTCTTCGACGGTTGTGGAGGGATGAATGCTGGAAGCCATTCCTCGACGCTTGGAAGGTTGTATGCATGGGAGAAGAAACTCTATGAAGAAGTCAAGGTAAATGACTCTGCTCCTTCATGTTCTGAACTTCCTCAGTGTCATCATATGCTTGACTCTTTCGTATTCCTCTAGGCTGGAGATGCAACAAGAAAACTATACGAGAAGAAATGTTCAAGGCTGAGAAGTCATGATGTTAGAGGCGACGATGAACTCAACATGGACAAAACAAGAGCTGCAATCAAGGACCTTTATGCTCGAATCCTCGTAGCAATCCGCAGTGCTGAATCTATCTCCAACAGAATCGAGAAGCTGAGAGATGAAGAACTGGAACCTCAAATTGTGGAGTTGTTAAAAGGGTAAGTTAGTTTGCAGAACTGAATTAGTACTGTTGCCCTTGTTTCCATTGCTATGTTGTTCACTGGCAGCTTTTCATTTACTCTCTTGCACTGTGCAGACTTACACGCACTTGGAAGATCATGATGGAATCCCATGAAAACCAGAACAAGATTCTTACCCAAGTAAAAACATTTGCATGTCCTTCAGCTGGCAAGTTCAGCAATGACTCCCACCGTCTCGCCACCCTCCAACTCGAGGCCGAGCTTCTCAACTGGCGCGCCTGCTTCACAGACTACGTCACAGCATCGAGATCCTACGTGGCGTGCCTCCACGGCTGGCTCACCAAGTTCCTGGTCCCTGAAGTTGAATTCTACTCCAGAACCAGACGAGTCGGTCAAAGCACACCATCCCTTCCCTCCCAAGCTCCCCTGGGCCCTCCATTGCTCGCCATCTGTCGAAAATGGCTCTCGTCGATGGAGAAGCTGCCAGAAGTCCACGTGTCGTACGCGCTGAAGGCATTCGCCAAAGACGTGAGGGCATTGTGGGTTCAGCAAGGGGAAGAGCAGAAGCAGAAGAGGAAAGTCGAGACCTTGATCAAGATGCTCGACAGGAGGACCGTGTCGTTCCACAGGACTGAGACTCGGCTGCTCGAGACCAAGCTCATCGAGTACAACAATGGCGTGGAAGACAATGCCAATTCGGTGAACCCGTTCGAGCATTTGGCCGAGAGGAAAGACGAGCTAGATTTCTTGCAGAGGAAGGTAGAGACAGAGAGGGAGAAGCATTACAACTACATCCAGGAGACGTCCAGGGTTACCTTGAGCGGGTTTCAGACCGGGTTTTCGAGTGTCTTCGAGGCCTTGTCCGAGTTCTCCAAGGCTTCCATGAACATGTATAACGACCTTGTGGTGAGCAGCTGCAGTCAGAGCAATGGTAAAGTGGAGAATCAACCATGTGTGGAGAGCTCCTCCCATGTTGAAGAAAGTGAGGTCAGGTGACCGAAGAGGTAAAATTCATTTGGGGTTTGGTTAATCTTTTTAGTAGGGTTTGGGTGTTTAGTTGAGGCTGGATTGGTTGTTGTATATTGTATGTAAACTGATCATGTTGTCAAAGCAGCTCGCTGAGGCACATCATGTGTTCGTTTGTGTTCTGTCATTAGAGCTAATGAGAACTTCGATTAGTCCCCATTTATCAGGATTAATGCCTAATGGCTGAATTTAGTTCGGATGATGGATCGTTGAAGAAATTTGCATGAACCTGCCGCCGGCGGCGGCGGCGACATGCGGAGCGAACTCCCTACGTTCACGACTTCGGCTCACAACTCTGAACTCTCCCTCACCATTGAGAACACCTTGGGCCGATAATGGGCCGGTCTGATGGACCGGATCTACACCTACGGCCTGGCCCGCCGGATCCCAACCTTCCAGTTGGCGGCCCAACCCACCACCACCACCGCCCTCCCCGTGAAATTACCATCATCCCGTCTTCTACACCAAAACTCCTCCTCCGTCTACAGTTATAACTTGAATTGAACAAAATATTTTATGAACTATTATGTGGGATAGTTTGATTCATTTTGTTAAAACTTTTGATGATGAATATGTATCTAAAGTTAAATATGTGGTTAGTAATAAATTCTATGATAAATTAGTTCATTATATAGGTCTTTTATGTTAAACAAACATTTGCATGATCGATTCTATAAATGGTTAAACCACATTTTTTTTTGTTAGCATGCGCTTACCCAGGACTTAGGACTATTAGAAAAACAACCTACTCGTGCTTTCAAGAGAATCAAGTGTCTGGAACTAGATACCAGCTGGTATAATGCTAAACCCAGAAGAACAGAGTTTAACTCTCTGATAAAATACATGTTTGATGACTACATTGGAGGGCCTAATGTCGTACTAGATCACCGTACTAATTACACATGTGTCACAAGGTACTTAATTTAATTACTTCTTCTACATATGTTTCTTTATTTATTTCCCCTCCAACCCAGCTTCATTTTAATGCACGAGCTCACATCGATAAATTTCTTATTTTAATTGTGTCAAATTAAAGGATTAAACAATGTATAATTGATCGATTATCAATTAATTTGTTTAGATAAAAAATTCGATTCGACGACTTTCACAATTGCTCACGTTCATTGAAAAATCGAGAAATAAAACTGACTAATCCCAAGGCAAAGGATTGAGAAACTCAAGGCCACAGTGCCACACTATTCTTGTCTTGAACAAGGGCTTCTTTGTTTGAGTTTTAGTAATTCTGTTCAATGTAATTCACATCCATCAACATAACTAATTACTACAGATTCTCTAGTTTTTTTTTTTTTTTTTTTTTACAATGTAGATTCTCTAGTTTCTACCCTAAACCTCTTCAGAAATCCCATAAATTTCTATATACTCTACCCAAATCCACCGTTACCTTGCCATTCCCATGGATGATTAAACGGCAGCCCCATACCCAAAACGCCACCAAACCCTCCACCACCACCATCAAAGCCCTGCAGATTCTCCAGCTGATTCGTCCCTCCATAATCATAGTAATTGTAGCCATAGTTATCTCCAGCTCCTTGCATCTCACATGGCGGCAGCAGTATTCCTTCCTTGGTGTCGAAATTTTGATAACCACCGCCACCATCATCCGCCGCCGCCACCACAACATTCTTCCCTTTATCATCAGCCGATGGCCTGGCCCGCGGTTCGGGGCCAGGAGCAGGAGGTGGGACCGGATTGGGAGGTTGTTCCTCGACTTTTACGTCGAGATTCCCGTAACAAAGTGGTATTATCGTTTGTCTTGATTCTGGAAGTACCAGTTTCGAATCTGTAACAGTAGTTGTTGATGCGTCATTTTCAAAGGAATCCCAATTGATGTAAGATATAATGTCGAATTCTTCCGACTGTCCGAACGAGTCCGGTGCAGGATTCGAACACAAGGCCTCGTCGTCGCGAGCGGAGCAATTAGTAACCGATGGTGGTGGTTGTTGTTGGGGTTGCGCGGGAGGGGGAGGGGTACTAGAACGACGCCGTTTATTTGAATCATCGATTCCCGCCGATTTTTCCTCCTTCTTTCCCGCCAAATAATCAATGTAGAACTGAATGTCCCTCTTCCTTTTCGCGACGGCGGAACTCCTCGCCGCATCCACCACCGCTTTTGCCGACGGCGACCCGTTGTTCCGGAGCAAGCACAGAACCTTGCCGCAGATGTCTTTCTTGCCGGCGGGGTCCTTGCTCAAGCTGAATTCGTGAAGGATCCACTTCCCATTCTCCCCCGATAAATTAGGGTTTCTGTAATTGAACCTCTTCCGAATCCCGGTGACCCAATTCTCCGCCTTTCGCGGCGGCGCGTGACGGAGGACGAGTTTGAACCTGGCTCCGGTATCCTCACCGTGCCAGCTCCCGCCGCTCCTCCCGACCTTCCGCTCGAAGTTCCGGCTGTCGTCTCCGCCGGCCTTCACCTTCTTCCTCAATTCGGCGAAAAAGTAGACGTCGCCGAGCTCGCCGCCGGCGGATTGGAGCCGCCGCCAGACTTCCCACGGCTCCTCGCCGCCGTACAGGTCGTGGCGGCGGACGATCTCGTAGAGGTGCGGCGGAAGTTTCCCCTCGATGTGGTTGTACAGGTAGTATCCGAGCAGCTCTTGGTCGGTGGGCAGGAATTTCGTCCCCGGCGGCAATGGAACTGCCGCCGCCGACGATGACGGTATACCGGCGTTCAAATTCATCACCGTTTTTCCCCCTAATTTTTCACTCTCTTGACTTCCTTCTGTTTCTTTCTTTCTTTCTTTTCCTTCCCGGTCTTGAAATCCTGAAGATGGACGAGACGAGAAGAGGATCTTATTATACTGAGTTTTGCCCGACGGGAGAAGGATTCAGCGGCGGGTAAGGATTCCTGACCGGCCGAGGAGAACTGAAAAGGTTGGTTTGTTTTGAGGCTTGGGCTTAGGGTCTTGGGCCAAAGGCACATAACTGCATCCGCAATTGGGCCTGGAGTTGGACACCAGTGGCCCAAAAGTGAAAGTACGATGGGCTTTCCGCCCGGCCCAGACCGACATCCCTTCTATTTTCTGCTTGTTGGCTCCCCTGCTGATTGCTACCTCGAAGTGGAAGCTCTGCTTTTCTGCAGAAGACGGCTTTTCCAGTCATCGCCGACGGTATAATATCTGCCTGTTTCCGTTCCGGGCGCCACACCTTCAAAGAGAAGTCTTCACGCTTGAAGGATCATTGTTGAACATCATGATTTAAGGTAGTCACCGCTTGCAGCATGGCTTCTGGACGTAAGAGATACATAGCAAACAAAACAAGCCAGTCAGTTGGTCTGAACTTTACATCAATGTTGTAGATATAGAGCTTTTTCGCCACCGTATTTTGGCATCTGATTGGGAAAGTCGCAAATGGATGATGATATCTTTCTGCTAAAGAGATTTTCTGTATTCATAGTATCTATAATATGAGAGCAATCCTTCTTTGTTACAGATAACTTAGACTCAGGCCTGGTGCCAAGTGGGTTAATGCTATGGCATTCTAGGAGGAAGTTAAACTAGAAAATAATAGCAGCACAGAGGGTAATTGCCTACATCATAATGTCCTGGTAAAATTAGAACACGAAAAGTGAACTTGTTTTGATTTGGGTTCAAGAAGAAAAGTGTTACATACACAAGTTTTTGCTTATACAGCCAAACCAAATCTAAACAAATTTCTCTACTGAATCCCATCGCCTACCTTACAGATTTCACTAGGACATCGGCGAAATCGGTGTTCTTTCAAAACCAACCCTACAAAGATCTGTGGGAAATCAAACGGAAACTCTATATCCTCTAAACCTGCACCACCCCAAGAATAAAGTGAACCAGCAGACCACAAAAATGAAAAGGAAAACCCAGGAATCGAAAAACTTGGATGATGTATGATCTCCACAATAAGACTAACAAGGAACATGTGATCCCAAAAGCTTGTGAAGCTACAGTGCCCCTGTACATCGTTTCGGCATATTCCACTCAACGGTTCATCTTCTTTCATCAAACATAAAAAACATTTTTTTGCCCCCAGATGCAACCAGCTCTAACGCAGTAACGCTCTCCCTTGAAGTTTTCAACAGGGGCTGTAGAGTTTGCTGCAAGCTTCAAGTAAAATCATATCATGGCAACCAGCAGTGATTCTTTGCATGGGAAAGAATCTTCATGACCAAGACGAGGTCCATGCTCAAATAATAACTCATGGCTCCAAACGTATTGGACAGCACAAAAATATGATCGTCAATCATTTCTGGTGTTTGAATATCTATACTTGGTACTTGGATAGTTTCTCCTTTACTGGGGGCTCCAAAGCAGACATATATTGGTCCCATGCTCCATTCCTAAGCATCTGCAGTTTTCATCGAACAATTAATGTAAACCCATTTATCTAACAGATACCTCAGCTGACAAAGGCGATGGCTCGAAAGCATGAATTCAATATGTTCATTCAATTCAGGAAAGAACCCTTTCAGAAGTAAACATGAAACAGGAAGTGTAAAAAATGTGTGAATTCAGAGGAAGACTAACCTGTTTGTAACCATGCAACACTTGGCAAACTTCATTGTGTAGATCTTCACTTCTTATTTCCTGTATCCACAGTTATGTTGACATGAGAAGATGTTTATTTCAGAGCAAACATCAGTTTCCGAAATGCAACACTTACATGCCAACTTGCAATTGCTTTGCACATTAAGACAAGTGAACTTAGAGCTCCTGATGGGTTAGCTCTGACCTGGATGTAAAAGGAGAATTACTTTTAAGCAACAAATTCTTGTTTTCCTTCAACAAAGTCGGTCTAGGAAAAAAGAAATCATTAGCAAATGAGACCCCTACCATTGCACATAGACCCCGGAAGGCATCTTCCTTCTCAATATCATCACGTATCCTGCACATATAAAGCCAACAGCTGCTCAGGTTGCAGTGACACAACAGATAACCCCCGGCCAAGAAATTCTAATTCCGAAATCAGCTTGCTTACATAGACAGAGCAATGCACCAAGGTTGCATAAAATGCTCCATGTGGGGGGACACTAACTCAGGACAAACCCAAGCAAGTCTTCCAAGGGTGATTGCAGTATTTTCTACAAGTGATTTGTTTAGCTCCTGGTTTGTCATCAAGGAAAAGCAACTCAGATATATGACATTAGCCAGAACAAACATGTAGTGAGATGAAAATTACCTCAGAGTGTTGTAGAATTGGCACCAGGTACGAGATGACATTGACAACAACAGGGGAGACATCCTTTTGAATCTGCAATTTCAAGGGAAACTATATTAATTAATTATCTTCTTGGGAATAATACATTTCATGGTGCAGTTGGGGAACCTACAGGATACAAAGGGAGAGACATACCTTAACAGCTAACTCTCCAATAGCCCAACAAGCATTATTAGCTACCGAAAGAGTTTCCTTCAGGTTAGGAGTATTCTGCATGGCGGATCTATCAGGTAAATGTACCATTTGCAGAAAGAAAACTGTTTGGTATTGTAGAAGTTTGTTTTACTAACCAACTGTTTAGCTGCAACATCTAGGAACTCTGGTAAACGAGGATGCAAATGAACAGCACATACCTGAGGAATACCATAACAAGGAATACAAAATAAAACAAACCTCAAGTCAGAAAGGAAAAGGTATAATAAAGAACTGCAATCTAGCACCTTTTACCAATAGATTTCCATAATCAAAGCTCCTGAATGACACCCACTAACTTTGCAGGGTAGGTAGAAAGAAATGATCAACTTACTCTTGAAAGGTCTCCAAGAAGAGCAAAGGCACTTTGTCTAACATCAGAAGCATCATCCATACAGCACTGAAGGAGCAGGTCTCTCAAACTACTTTGTGCTACCTGAAGAGGATATAACCAAGAAATTGGATATCAAGATCAGCAGTAAGTTCACATCCATAAAATTTTCAACATTCTCATTCAATGAGTAAATTGTTGAGTAACATAAGAAGGATTTGCTAAAGGAAGAGGATTACCAAACTCTCAATTCCACTACCAAGCCCTTCGGAAAGTCCTGACAGAAGATCCAGCGAGCAGACAATGAACTCCTTATCATAAAGAGCCCCAGCAGAAGATGGATCAACCTGTAATGACATTTCAGGGGGGAAAGGTCGTGTTAAATCACAAGAAACTGCAGAACTTAAATGAAACTCATTCGAAGCTAACCTTTGCCAACTGTTGGGTGTGAATTATCTCTATGCACCTTTGGAACACAGGTTGGGCAAACTGAGCGAATCCTGTACTTAGTGCCTGAAAGAGACAAAAACATGTTATTCTCAGTCTTGACTTCCATTGCCACATTTAGACCAGATTCATACAAAAAGTCACCAGATGAGCATTATGAAAGAGCGCAAGAGCCTCTCCTAGCAATACACTTAGGCGTCCAACATTAAGCTAAGAACATGACTTGATCTGAAAGGTTAAACTCTGCTCCTTTTTTTTATCAACACAGCAAACAAACGAAAACAAATTCTGGTATTCTAGTAGCAAACCAGAGTGGTCCTGCCACTAATAAGCTTAACTGAAAATGTCTTCTAATGATTTACTTACATATCACCCAGATGGACTTTTATCTCCCAATGATCATAGTAAACCTTCTGCTCTTAGCGGGAAGAAGGATACGGGAAGTATGGACACAAAGGCAAATGAAGAAAAAAAGAAGCAAATGAACATGGTGGACTTGGCTCTATATAGATGGATAAAACTCATGCTTGAAATCTGAAGGACCAAGAGGAAGGTCTGATTTTTTATTTTGGGAAGAAACTAATCTTGGTATCCCACTCAAAAAGAGAGTAATAATCTTCATCAATGCTCGAACATAGTAAGATACCTCTTATAGCATGCACAGACAGTGAAAACAGTTATATGATGCAAACGGAAAATTGAAATCCACACCTGTGCTATGGATGTGAAGCATTCTAACAGAGGGAATAGATCTTTGTCTGTATTTGAGAGTTGCTGCCACTTCGCAATTAATGGAGGCATCAAAATTTCAAGGTACTTTGGCTGCAAATTAACAAGGTCTTTGAATGATTAGATAATCAGTTCCTCAACGATCTAAAAAGACGCAGGCAGGTCCGGGAAAAGTCAGCATACTACTATGTTGAACCTCGAAACTACCTGATTGAGCTCTGCTCCAACAGCATCTGCCAGAGTTCCTATAGCATCATACACAATCCTGAGGTTTCTTCTCTGTAAATGCAATATGGATTTAAAAAGTAAATATGTGAACTAGAAAACTAAGTTCAATCTGCAACTTCGAATGATGGGAAGATATGCAAAAGGCCGACCGCCGACCTGATATTTTCCAAAAGCACACATGAGGTGCTGCAGAATGACTTCCAAGCGTGGGGCCAATTCCTCAGCAGCCTCCTGGAATGGTAGAACCATTAACACCTAGATATTGAAGAAAGGACAGCATAACAGAAGATAAATGACCATAACAGAAGAACCTCTTCAAGTGTAGCAAAAGCTGAACAAGCAGCCTCTTGGACCCTCTTGTTATTATCCAACACTCTCCGCAGAATACCCATAAGAACCTTGTCAAATTGTTCATAGCCTTTCTTATGGCCACTCTCCTGAAATCAATGGAAAAAACACCTTACATAAAACAATCCAGATACAACAAGCAAGACCAGAATATGAAGTGAAAAAGCTAGTGAAACAAGTATAACTTCATGGAAAAGAAAGCTCCATAAGTTTAGGGAAAGAAAAGCCGACTGGCCATACCTGGACAATGTATTTGCTGAATCTAGAGAGTGTCCAGCAAGATATACTCCGTATGAGGGGGAAATTATCATCCAGAAGAGGGATCAGAAATTCCACCATCTGCAGGTAAAACATATTATAAACTTTTGGACATGGTATACATTGCAAATAGCATGTGTATAGAAACTACCAAAACTACCTAGATATTCAAAATGAAACAGTATTGCTAAACAAACACAGCAATACCTGAGGCAAATGAGGATAAAGACCATTAATGCAACCCTCAGCCACTGCACCGATAGCCAAAACAGCTGCCTCTCTTTCCTTCCAAAATTCGTCACCAGTCGCAGCTAACTTAGACTACAGAGTACAGATATTATGAAGTCAAAAAATGGCCGTGAGAGTGAAGGCAAACATAACCAGATTACACCAAAAGGATTCTTATAGCCAGTGATCCTAGAAAATCCATGGCAGTCAGACAACCAGAGAACACAGATGATATCACTCCTCAACTTCTTGTTATTCCTACTGAAAAGAAACATAATCTTCATACTTGTGATCTTCAATGAGTGTTGGACCCATGTCGCAATGGGGGAAATAAATCATCCATCTTGATTGCTCTCATGATCAAGATTTAGAGTCAAAGCCTCGGTTGCGATTAAGTGACCCAGTCCCATATTCAGCCATAGTCACTTTGCAGCAGTGCGTTTCACTGAATTTCACTGGAAGCAATCTTATACAAGTGTTTTTCTGGCTCTTCGCAAGGGCATCCAAGTTGTTTGGTTCCATGCTTTTAATCAGAGCAACATAGAAGACTTGCCAGACAATACAAATACAACCACATGCATATCATCCCATTCAAAACCAAATCTCATTCTATCCAAACATATAGTTTCCATGCAGGCAATGTAATCATCGAAAAATAGGGCATGCAAAACTCAATAGAAAATACTCATAATCTCAGGGCATGCAAGATAAGTTCTGCGCTCTAGCAAGACCAACTTGTGCGGAAAAGCAGTAACCATCTTATCAATAAACTATGTGACTAATCAATTAAGTAACAGACTGTTTTTGTTGGCATAGAAACTCTGCAAAAAAAAAAAAAAGTAGAAACACAAAAAATGGACAAAAGATGATACATGAAGGAATGGAGGACTGAGAAGGAAGAAGAAATTTTAGGAAAAGATTACAAAGTGCAGAACAAAGAAAGATTACCTGAACAACAGGCATCATTGTTGGGAGAATTTCATCACCAAACACATTTGACAGAACATCTAGAGCAGCGGCACTACATTTCCTTAGATTCCACACATTGACTATGTCATCATCCTGCATTTGTAACAAAATTGTTATCTATGAGATTTGTGATGGATTTTCTAGCCTTCCTCTGCATGGAGATGACTTAATTGGACACTAGCTACTGAAATGAACAAGCTCGCTAAACCATTCACTTACATCATCTTCTGCATCTTCTGATCCATGAAGTCTTGATGCATGAAAGCGGGGTTTTAGATCCTAAAATGCCAAAAAAACACAACTCAATTTTGACATATTCACTAATTATGAATAAAATATGGCAAACTCGAATATCCAGCAAATTTTCAGTAAAAGACGATTAACCCTGACCTGCTCCCTGTCTGGAAGAGAATCATCCTCCTGGAACAGCAAGTAAAGCAAGACAGTGTCAGTCTTTAATCACAAACAAGTGGTAAGTGACTATAATTAGCTAGAAAGGCAAATATTGACCTCCGCTTCCGCAAGAGACTCATCATCATCAGCATAAACCATGTTTGATAACAAAACCTGCAATTAGGACCAGATTGATTAGGATAACAAGACACATGCAACCCATGCCTCAAACAGAATACATAATGGCTCCACTAAACAAATAATGAACTGAGCAATCAAAGTCAAGAATCACAAGGAGTACCGGAATCAAACGTGGCAAGAATTCTCTTAAGTTCTCAGATGACAACTGAGTATCACAATATGCAGACCTGTCAATGATTGCAAAATCAAGATACAAGCAAAACAAAGGAGAAGGTAGAATGAGCAGGCAAATATTAATAAAACCAAGACCCAGAACACAATAACTCGAACTAGATAAAAGTATTTTTTAGATAGAAAGCTGTATATCCAAAACTAAACACACATAAGCAGAGCTGCAGTTACTACACCATAACATATATATGTCATGTATCCAAGAGCCTCCACCTAAATAAGCAAATGTCAAAAATATATTGCCGTGGAAGTGAGGGATTACCAAAATTCACAAGCTTCAAGAGCCACTTCTTCATCAGCATCCTTGTTGACTTGCAATATGTACTCCATGACTTGCTTTAAATGTGGCTAAAATAAGAGAATAAGGTCATCAATAAAAAAGTTTGAGAAGGAGGTATCATAGAATGGCTAAGCATAACAGGATTCAGAGCAATGTAAAGCGAGGCAGACAAAAGAGTGATGAAATAAACTACTAACACATATTGCAGGGAACAAACCAAAAAACGATGACAACACTATCAGCAAACAAATTATCTAGAAGAGTTTACTTGTCTTAAAATACACACCTCGAGGAATGACGGGCGGACCTCAATCAGCTGAACAAAAGCTGCACAAACCTGTCCAAAGGGATGTAATTAACATAAAGCTAGGAAGCAGAGCACATAACGTACAGCAGAAGCATGTCAAATTGCAGAGGTTACTAACTTAAATAATTTAGAAGTCAAAGTGACTAATTACTCACCAATTTTCGAACTTCCGGAGCAGGGTCATGAGCAAGAACAAACAAGCCCTGGAGATACTGGTGCATGGATGCATATAGAGCCTGCGCCATAAGGAATGATATAGTGTTACTTGTCCATAAGTGCCCAAATGTCCATGACGATTGACAAAATAATACAAAAATATAAGGTATACTTACAGCTGGCATCAACATAATGTATTGATTTACGGAACCCAGGGCCAATTTTCTCAAAGAGGTATGTGGTGACTGGAAAAACTGTTCACACCAGAGCCAGTAATGATTAGGAAGGTGAGTTGCAAAGCAAAAACCATGTAAACCTGAGATAAACTTCATGTTCACGCCCATGACAGGAGAGTAGTGAGGAAACCTGGTACAATCGAGGAAGGAAAATCTGGATGGGACGATCAGGTAAGCCAGGCACATCAGCATCCAGTAGCTGAGGAGCATCTTCACAAATCTGTGACACAACCCCAATTTCATGTTGTAAAACCAATACTATTAAACCAATTCAAACGGCAACTACCATGATCTCCTACTGCCTCTTAACTACGAATTCGAATGCCATAAACAGGCCCAACAACACAAGGCCCGGGCTACAAGCGGTCATGAGGGGTGTAGCTGGGGAAAAGGAGCTGCATGCATAGGTGGATAGATGAATACTACAGAGAATTGGCTTGATTACCGGGATCGACGAATCTACCTATAAGAATTGAATGCTTCAAGAACTTAATGGAAGTAAGCTATTTACGTAATGCACAAGCATACACTCTCGTTCCTATATGACAACAGGTACAGTTTCCAAAAATCTCATTCACCAACTAATGCTACTATTAACTGCCATACCTTAGACAAGGCATCCATCGCACCTTCCATGTGATTCAAGTCATTACTCTCCATGCAAGTAACAAGAGCCTGTAGTAATTCCGGCCATCCCAGTATTCCCCCAAGCTGCACTATTTCAGTAATGATTGTCCCAACAGTTGACCTTATATGCTTATCAGGTGCTCCTAAGCATGGGAGCAACCCTGACCTAATGTATTGTTGACTTTCAGGATTCATGGACTTGTAAGCCTTTCTGAGGTTGTTCTTCAGTAGTAGACCCGCAGCTTGTCGAATTTCCACTGGTGTACCCTGTTCAGGCAAAACCAATATAATAATCAGCTGCCAACATTAGGATGCTGGACAAATTCACGAATTATCCTAAGTCGCGTGAACAAGGCCATTAACCAATGAAGAAGCATCACATCAATAGGAACCATCAATAACATTCCAAGTTACTTGGACAACAGAATTTCTCATAGTGAGACTATCCAGCAAAGCATCACCAGAGTCACTCCCGAACTTTGAAGTCCTAGACCAATAATTCAATTGACTTCACAACCGAACTCAGCAACTACAATTCAAACAAATTCTCAATAGAAACATCAAATTTCAATCCCTGCCAAATCGTCGCACAATCAACCACCCCACAATTCATAGCTTGACACTACACTATCAAACTAAAAAACAAAACAGGAGGACCATAAACCCTCCGCTTGATTGAGAAATAGAAAGAGACGGCTTCCCCAGGGCAAAAGAATCAAATACCTCGGCGCGAGCGAGAATGAAAGCGAGGTAGTTGTTGAAATCGGGGTGCTGGGAGTAATGTTCCAGCTGCTGCCAAATCTGGGACTTATCAGCAGTTGAAGAAGGTGAAATCTGGAGCTCCAATAACGCGCAGATCTCTTTCACACCACCTTCTTGTGGCTGCCAAGAGGTGGTGGAAGCAGCCGTCGCCGTTGCCGTCGCCGCCATTATTTTTTTTCTCCAAATTCCTCGTTCCAACTTTCCCCACAAAGGGTTGTTTCGCGGTACTGGGGAGAGATTGAAAGAAGCAGAAACAGCAGCCGATAGCCCACAAGAGCAGAAAAGTCTTTCAGCTCGCTAATGTCGTCTTCCTTCTTTCCCTCGGCGTATTATATCGTGGCTATATATACCAGAGCGAGAATACAGACTGTATCAATGCAAAGGTTAGAACTTTGAAACGTTTTGGTATGTAAATTGCAAGGAAAGATTAAGGAAGGGACAGGACAAGGGCGTTCGAGGGGTGAGAAGGACTTAGAAGAAAGCAACAAAGTACACGCGCAGAGGCAGAAACCACTTTCTCCTTGGGAATAATTTGGGGTGGGTTTTGCATAAATTTGTAAAAACTAAAAAGCAAAGGTACCCTAGGTTTATCAGGAAATCTGGGTCATGGTAATCATTTGAGGGCTTAGCTTTTGCCTTTTCACGTTTTCAAATTGGGTAATCAAATCCATAATTTTACAGCTAGGGTTTTTGGGTTTGCCACAACCCACAATCTTGTAATTTTGATTTGTGCATTGAACTTAAAGTACTACCTACTCAAATAGGATAGTTAATGTAGAAATATTGGATCCACAAGCAAAACGTAGTGCGATTCGGTCTAGTTCAATTTTGAATTAATGTGATTTCTTTTTTAATGAGAATTCATGTCGATCCAATTCGTATGTTGTTTATCTGATTTGATTCGATTCACTCTCCGTTCGTGTAGACCGAATCGCTCGCCACTGACTCTCTTATATTTTGGTGCGATGAATGTACATTTACATACAATGAGAAAATATGAATAGTGCTTCAAGATTGGCCTAGTATGAATCCTTAGACCAATGTTTACAATATCATGGATGTAAAGTTTCGTGTCTCGCGTTACTTACAAACTAACGATTATGGGATATATATACTTGTTAAGAATATGTTAGGCTCGGCATTTTTTACAATTAAAACTATGTTTTGACAAACCCAAACAAACAAAATTAGGTAGGAGCACTTCTACTATGCTATATAGTATTGGTGCTTTAACGTACAACTTAAAGTTGTACCATAACATTAAATGTATAAGTTTAGGTTGTACCATAAAGTAATTTGTACCATTATGTTATGGTACAACTTTACAACTTGAAGTTGTACCATCACATAAAGGTACAAGTTCAAATTGTACCATAACAGAATTTGTACAAAAAGTATAGGTACAATCTGAAGTTGTACCATAACGTAAATGTACAATGTTAAGTTGTACCATAAAGGCCAAATCTTGTAGCATCAATACTATATAGCATTGTAAAATTTCTCAATTAGGTAGTTGAAACCATATGAGTATTATTATTTATTTGTTGATACAAAATTATGTTAATTTTATCATTTGAGTACAGCAATTGTATTTTCCAAGTCTAAACAAACTCTTTTGTTCTAATCAAACATGCTATTTCGAAGAGATCCACCTCCTCTTACTTCCAAGTGAATAAGAACTCCTCATTCTTAATGTTATCCATAAGCACTAGAATAATATGATTAAGCAAATAATGCCCTTTACTACTATCCTAAATACCACACGAGTAATCCAAAATGTCAAGATGAATTTGAATAATAAACAATTGCATGGGACACACATAAGAATTATTTAAATCATTGTTTCTTAGCTAATCTTGTACCATGATTTGTCTCAAAGTGGCAACTGATCATACACGTTAGGACGAAGGTTCACAACAAAGTGTGTAAAGTAGCTCTTGAAATATATATATATATATATATATATATATATATTTTTAAAAGTCATTTTCAATATGAGCTTGATGATTACATACTCCTAAGTGAAAAAACTATTTCAACTTACAGGATCGAGCACAACCAAGAAAAACTGTGTGCGTACAAATCTGGTTAGAGGTTGTTCAATGTTCATACTCATCTTTATAGATGAAATGCATCAACCCAAAATGGTAACAAAGTTTGAGGAAAGTGACCAGATTGCCATAAGTTCTTGCCTTCAACTTCACATACATAGAAGTAAAACACAGAATGGTAATATTTGCCATTACCAACAAATAAACAAAGCCACCCTAGTTGCTTCTGCACCCCACACCTTTGCACAACAATTCATACTCAAATGAGTGGCCATTCCCCCTTTATCTGCTCCATCTCTCTCCCCTACTAACAGCAATCAACAACAATATAGCTGTGCTCCTGCTCCCCCTTCTGCCCTTTTTACACATTAAAAATTGATGAACTTTTCAACCTTTTTTCACTGCCCATCCATCGACACTCAAATGATAAGAGTACTATTGGCAGAGAGAGTGGGAGTGGGGAGTGAGAGGCTTTAGTGGATGTCCAGGATAGCCTGCCTTCAAAGCCTGCTGCTGTGTGCTCTCTGTAGCTCAATTTGCTTACCATTCTAGCCTAGCAGCAGTAACAACAACATCCACATTCCAACTTTTTTCCTGCACAAGATTCCAAAACCCTTTTTGAGCAACATCCACAGCCTTTCTTTCAAATCCACAGTCCCAATGTTCTTTCACTACTTTAGTACCAAAGCATGACAACTGAAATGGGGGTATGGGAGATTCTTTAAAACTATTCTAGTACATCATGACAAGACTCCTTCAACTCAACAACAACCGAAGCAGAGTTAGAAATACAAAGGGAACTCTAGTGGTGTCAAGTTGAAGGTTTGGTACAACAGCTGCCAGTTAGTTGGTCTCAGACAAGGAGCCACATGCCAATGGAAAAGGAAGACACAGTCATAGCCTTCTCATTGGTTGTCTAATAACAAGAATGTGTAATCCGGATTCTAGGAAAGATATCACTTCTTCTGGAGCTCAGTAATCCGGAAGAGAAAGAAGAATGCCCTGCATAGCAAACGGTTTTACAATCCATCAACAGAGCTCGAGATGGTATGAAAGTTGTAAGTTGTCAGAGGAACTGTCACAGTTAATAAGTAAGCAGAAGAAATGTAGCAGCTCTCTTTATCTCAGATGCCACAATTACATGGAAATGGAAGGCGTCGTTTACAGAACTACTGCACAGCCACATCCACTTGAAGTTATAGATGCTAAAACATTGTTTTTCCCATAGTGTAATTTTGAAAACCTCATCCAGCTATCACAAGTTGAACATATGGAAAATGTCTACAAATATGATTAACTAAGGAAGCCATGTCCCAACCTTTTGAAGCTTTTCGAGAACAGAATCTTCATATGCCTTGTAAGTTGTAACCAGCTCCAACCAAATTAGCCACTCCCTCGAATTTCCGCTGCTTGCTTGCTGATTGCCTGGAGGAAAGTCGTTTGCTTGAGCTGATTGAACTGGTAGCACTAAAACAGGATAGGAGAGATCACCCAAGACTATTCTCGTGGCGCGCGGCAACCTACAGACACAAAGGTAATAGAAATCCAGTTAAGTGATCTCAAAGATCCAGGCTGCATATCAACAAACAGAAAGAACACTAATCACAGAGCAATTACATCGACTCTGCTTTTGGAAAGAGTGACTCTGCTTTTGGAAAGAGTGATATATATGCTATTGGGAGTGGCTGACCTCCGGTTTGTTTTCCTTAAAAGGGAATCATGAAGCTCAAGCGACATGGGGTTCCAGAGAACGACATTGTTCAACAGAGATGAAAAGCAAAAATACCGATTCTGCATTAACAAATCGAATTGGAATTGGAGAATTTCTAAGAAGGTTATCAATGTGGTTGCTGCTGAAAGTCTTCACATTAAAACCGAATTAAAAACATAAGCAACTCGACAAGTTTTTATCAATTTCAATTCGATACACTCTTTGTGTCTCAATAAAAGAAAGAAACTAAAAGAACAAAGACAATATCTAGAATACGCCACACCGTCTTGCGTAATCCTCAGCCAGCCGGTCCGTCGCTTCTTCAATTTCGTCGGGGGACATGTACTTCCGCCACAGGGGATCCGCCCTCCTCCGCTCCGCATCCTTGCGGCGGGCTTCCGCAGCCATCCTCCTCCGCTCCGCCTCCTTGCGGTGGGCTTCCGCCGCCATCCTCCTCCGCTCAGCCTCCTTCCGGTGGGCTTCTTCCCCCATCTGTCTCCTCCGCTCGGCCTCTTCCTCGTCTCGTCGGATCGCTTCCTCGGACCTCTGTTCCTTCCTCCTCTCTCTTTCCTCCCGAGCCCTCTGTTTTGCTTCCTCCTGAGCCAGCCGTTCTTTCTCAGCATTCTCCCGAGCTTCCTTTCGCTTTCTCTCCTCCCGCTTCCTCGCCTGCTCCATCTCCTCCTTCCGACGGGATTCCTCCTTCTTCTTCCTCCTCCTCTGCTTCATCTTCTCCTCCTCTCGCCGCCGGGCTTTTTCCTCCTTACTGTTCCTTTTTCTTCTCCCCTGTTTCTTCTCCCCTGTTTCTTCCTGGTCGGGTTCTTCTTCCTCCAGCTGGTTCCCCTGCCCCTGCAGAAGAAATTGGTACGACGATAGCAGCCTCTGGAACTTCTCTGTGGCGTGCGGATCGTCTGGGTTCTTGTCGGGATGCAATTTCAGGGCTTTGAGCTTGTAGGCTCTGGTGATTTCCTGCTCTGTCGCTCTCTCCCCTGAAGCTAGGCCGAGGACCTTGTAGTGGTCGATTTCTAGGCCCATCATGGCCGGAATTGAATCGCGGAAGCTCTAGCACTAGAACCCTTGATCAGAATTGAAGCTTTTTCCTTTTTCTTTTCACTGTCGTTGTTTCCGATTCGTTCGTTTATTAACTCTGTTTTTATAGGTGAAGCAGCTTTCCTCCCCCTTTCCTTTTCCTTGTGGAATACGGATAACCTTCTCCTACTCGAATTCAGAAAAAAGAAAATTTCAGACTTGAGAGTTAAAAAGTTGGAACGAACACGACGTCGTTCTCTGCCCTTTCATTTAACGATTAATCCCGCGAGTTTCCGGTTTCCACCGCGAAATTGAAAGGGTAAAAAAAAAAACGTTTCTTTTCTACTGGCCTCAGATTCGAAGCTTTCTTTCTTCACTCTACGAGATCTGAGGCTGAATTGAATTCACAACTCGGCAGGAAAAATGGCATCGTAAATTGGAGCTTGATGGTGACTTGACTCCACGGTATCAGAAGATCCGGCGAGTGGGTTTTACGAATGGAGAGCGAGGTGCCTCGGTCGGTGGCTTTTCGCTCGAACCGGAGAGGGGAAAGGAGCAATCAAATCCCTGTTTCCAGAGGTAAAGAAGAAGGAACGAATCGCTCTTAGGTAGTTTCCGTTTGGGAAGGCTATTTCCTTCAATTCGGGAGGAAAAAAGTGTTAGTAACTTTGTTTTCTTGGTGTTTTGGCGGGGACCCAGATGGCCAAGATGGGTTCTTTTCGTCTGGGAAAGTGCCCGTTGAGTATCCGATCAAGTTGGTGTGGAAGAGAGGGTTTGTTCGGCTGGTGTTCGTAGCAGGGATCGTTTGGATGTTGCTCATTCTCGTTGTACTGCTGTTTCATGTATGGTCTTGCCAATCTTCTTACGTTTTCTTTTCAGGTATTCCATCCATTATCTTATTGTCTCATGATGTAGAATCTTTGCTTTGTCTGCTCATTTATATTGGTTGAATGAATGCTCAATGCGACTTAGAAGTGGGTTTTTGGTAGTTTCATATTGGACTGATCATCACTTGATTGTGTTTCTTTCCTTTCCAACTTCACTAGCTGTTTTTCGCAATTCGTATAGTCCAGAGAATCATATAGGAGTGTAGAAACTGTAACTTGACTGCCCATAACGAGTTGCAGCTCTTGTAGCTCTTCTCCAATTGAGGCCTAATGGGTTGTTATTGTGTTGTGTTTTTTATGTGCAGTTATTTGTAACAAAGAAAGCAAGGTATACGGCCTTTTAAACACATGGGGATTTGTACAGCAACTGCATCGTAAGACTAGCAATTGCTCTTCCTTTCCTCTGCACATCTTTCTAAGCCTTTTATGGTTTATGTATTGATGCTGGTCTTCCAAACGTCTAGGTTGCCCAATACCTGTTGTGGATGACCCCAACAAGATAGTTATTCCCGAGGGAAAGACGTCGGACAGTATAATCACCAATCTTTCGTATATTATGGATGATGATGAGCCACTCAGTAATGGATCGTCACCTTTATTTGGAGGACACATAAGTTGGTCAGAAAGAGAGGAGAGTTTCAAAATAAAACCATCAATGAAGGTTAGTGCTGGTGTTGATAATTGTTTAAAGTAGCATGTGTTTTCATACTTTCTAGATGTTATGCATTTAATTTATTCTTGTTTCTGTGTTTTCTCCATTTTAGGTTCATTGTGGCTTCATACGTAAAGGTGGTGCAGAAATGGACCCCAATGACATTGAGTATGTGAAGAAGTGTAGATTCGTTGTCGCTTCTGGAATATTCGACGGTTATGATGTGCCTCACCAGCCCACTAACATAAGCCATCGTTCTAAGGAGCTCTTCTGTTTTCTTATGGCGGTGGATGAGGTGTCTCTCGAGTTCATTCAGGAAAACACCACTGTTAGAACGGACAGTAAAGGCGGCCAATGGGTTGGCATTTGGCGTCTTATCCCATTGAAGAATCCGCCTTATGATGAACCCAGAAGGAATGGCAAAGTCCCCAAAATTTTAACCCACAGATTATTCCCTCAAGCTCAACACAGCATTTGGATTGATGGTAAAATGGAGCTTATTGTTGATCCACTGCAATTACTAGAAAGGTAATTCACCATTCAGTATTTTGTTTCCTATTTAAGAATCCCTGTTTTAGTAAATCCCCCGAGTGAAATCATATTTTGGGTTGCTGTCCGTGATTCGTCTGACAGAAAAAGCTAGTACTTCTTCCACATGTATTCTGGAATTTATTACCTCTCTAATTCAATTACCTTCTCCTATGCTTAGATACTTGTGGAGGGGGAAGAACACGTTTGCTATTGCTCAACATAAGCACCATCGAAATATATACGAAGAAGCCGATGCAAACAAACGGAGGAAACGATATGCTCGTCCGCTTATTGATCTGCACATGAAAATCTACAGATATGAAGGGATAGAACCCTGGAGTCTCAAGTCAGGCACCATCAGTGGTAAGAGACGCTCAAGATCCAATGTTTTGCTGCTATCTTTAGCTATAGAGTCTCTTAAGAAAATTTGTGCTGCTGTTACCTGCATTTAACGAGTTCTCATTCCCTTTTATGGCGCAGATGTGCCTGAAGGAGCAGTGATCATTAGGGAACACACCCCACTGAGCAACCTGTTCAGCTGCTTGTGGTTCAACGAGGTCCACCTGTTCACACCAAGGGACCAGCTGAGCTTTGGGTATGTTGTGCACAAGCTAGGGGTCAAACCATTCAAGCACTTCATGTTTCCGAATTGCGAGTACAACTCGCTGTTTGTGCTGCATCCACACACGAGGGAGCATTCGTCAAAGGTAGAGTGGGTGAAGAGTTTGAGCGAGTTTAAGGGGAAGGGTAGCAGCATGAAGGAGAGTAGAGGTGGTTTAGGCTTGTGGACTCCTTATCCTGGAGATCTTAGTTCCGTTGTTTTGCCCAAAGTTGTACGAACATCGAAAGCAGGGTAAAATTGATACCGAATGCAGGATTCCACCTGCAACATATTCATCTGTTTGCTTTCATGGCTGCTCCATCTATCTTCACTATCAAGTAACTGCTGTAGGGTTCAACTCTTCATGTTTTCTCACAACTAACTTGTTATACAATCATGCCAAATTCCAATCCAATCCAGCTCAACCAAAATCAATTGAGCTTCTAAGTTGTTCTGAAGTTGCCACTGAATACCAAAACATTTCTAATACACTTTAGTATCTAAACTTCTGAATCCCTGCAGTACATTTGCTCTAAACCCCTGTCGAATACATAACTAATTTCGGCATCACACTCTCGTTCAACTTACCATTCATTCCATCCCATGATACGATTCCTTACCCTCAACATTCTCATTTACATAGAACCGAGCAGCAATCCACAAACTCGACCCATTTGCCAAACGTGCATTAAGTTCACTAAAATCATCTACGATGGCAATGCTCCTGCAAACTGGCAACATTACTATCGAAATACGCAGCGAACCAGAAACCAACGCAGAAAGGGAAGAAAAAGGGACTCTGTGCGCTTACAAAAAATGTCCAAAAAGAATCAATTTGGCAGTTCAGCATACACGAGAAAAAAGGGCAGGCAAGAGAAGAGAAGCTGTCTCATGAAAATGGTGCTTTTACTATCTAACAGCCGGCGCCCTGACTCTCTTAAAACTACCGAGAGAAAATAAGTCATGTCCAACAAGCCAGAACTGGGAATCACCAACTAATAGCACAATAAATAAATTACAAAACAAATATATAAACTGGCAGAACAAAGCTTCAGACTCAATATTTGCTTTTATTACTCTTGCTTCTCGGAATATGCTGTCACGGGGCAGTCGTGGTGCTCGACCCAAAAACAAGTCTAGGAATGGAGTTGAGTGGTGGCTCAGTTGGTCGAGTCCCGGCTATAGAATGCGTCCAGAGTTTTGGCGGGTATACGGTGGAGCAGCTCGCGAGGGAAGATGCGGAGCAGCGTCCATGCCAAGTCGAGGGATTGGAAGATGTTGCGGGTGTCGTAAGCTCCTTGGGCAACAAACTTCCTCTCGAACTTGTCCAAGAACTCTAAGTACAGCTGTTTTAGACACGAGATTTTATTAACCTTGTTAGTATGCAAGTGAAGAGTGACGAAATTTTATCGATGGAAACAAGGAGGGGAAGCGAATGCATACCAAATCTTCTGATGAAAGAGCTTCTTCTCCCACCACGGCTTTCATTGCCTGAACATCCTTTCCAATAGCATAATTTGCATACAGCTGGAAAGCGACGAAATTAACTCCGGGTTAGATAAATAGTAACGGAGAGAACAAAAAGGAGTGTTTGATAGAGCATTGGAAGTGTAGAAACCTGATTGGAGACATCAGAGTGGTCGCGACGAGTCATTCCCTCACCAATGGCACTCTGCCACATCAGTCAATGACGCCGTTCAGAATATACACACTAAATATGCCACCAAAATCGTTCTTCATCCAGGATGTAGTCAATAGAGCGAGGACTTACCTTCATCAGACGAGACAAAGATGGAAGAACATTGATTGGAGGATAAATCTGCACAATTCAAACAGATCAAATCTTAATAATGTAGCAGAAAACCTCATTGAGAATCATGTTACCAAGCAAAAATTCAATCATTGTGATTGCATATTCGAAAATTGGTTAAAGAAGGGCTATCGTTGTTAATCCGACAAATAATTGGATGCATAGTTCTATTTCAAGTAAAATTTATCAATATCCTCAAATGATCTAGGACATACAATAACACCTTACCTGTCTGTTATGAAGTTGCCTATCAATGTATATTTGCCCCTCAGTGATATACCCAGTAAGATCAGGAGTAGGATGTGTGATATCTGGTAAGCAAGAGAAATCAAATTTAATGGTCTTTCACATGGAAGTCTGGGGCATTTGCGGACCATTGATTCTCTTGTAAATCTGAGTGAATTATTACCATCATTGGGCATAGTTAAAATTGGAATCTGTGTGATAGACCCAGTGCGTCCTTCAATACGTCCAGCACGCTCGTAGATTGTAGCCAAATCAGTGTACATATACCCAGGATATCCACGTCTTCCAGGCACTTCTTCTCTGGCAGCGGAGACCTGCATCAGATTCAGCAATCTGGCACCATTATTCCATAGGACTCACTATAACATAGCAGTGAAATAATACAGAAGGTACTGAAATAGATTTGTTAAAAATAAGGTCAAAATTTGTAGATGCTAGTCCAAAGGGAAAAGTTCAGATTAAGCAGTCTAGAAGATCATTATTATTATCTCACCTCACGAAGGGCATCAGCATAGGAACTCATATCGGTAAGAATGACAAGAACATGCTTTCCACATTCATATGCCAAATACTCTGCAGTAGTAAGAGCAATACGGGGTGTAATGATACGCTCAATTGTGGGGTCATTTGCCTGTAGAAGAACAAGGAAACAAGATTTCAGCTCAGCCACTATTTAGAGGTCAAACACTACGACCAGAGCACTGTGGTGCAGAAAACAATACCCACAAATAGACTAAACAGTAACATCAGCAGGACTTACCAAGTTAAGGAAAAGTGTAACTCTCTCCATGGACCCATTCTCCTCAAAATCACGTTTGAAAAACTGAGCAGTCTCCATGTTAACACCCATGGCTGCAAATACAATAGCGAAATTGTCGTCTTCTCCACTACCCTGAAATTCAAAGATAGTCGGTCAAGAGCAGCAGGAGCAAATACAACAAGCCACAAAGAGAAGAATGTCATGAACCAGTTGCTCCCAACAACTCGAGTTGTTGGGAGAGGTTCAATCGTGGATCATATACCACAACACTAACACGCCCCCTCAAACGAAAGCCACTCACAAGGGCTTGAAGTTTGCACAGGTTTGAAGACAAGAATACCATGTGCTTAACAAATGGGGGTCACCGGGAATCGAACGCAAGACCTCTCGGTCACAGAAGGCTCTGATACCATGTCATGAACCAGTTGATCCCAATAACTCGAGTTGTTGGGAGAGGTTCAATCGTGGATCATATACCACAACACTAACAAAGAAGTGTACAAGTTATAACATGGAAAGAACGGGCACTCATTGAGCTAAACAAAGGTCATAGCACAACGAGAACCACTAGTATGACAATAAATTAAGAATTCCCTAACGGCTATAGAATATTAGAGTTTCAATCAATGAATATTACATTCCATTTAGAGATATAAGCCAACGCTATGTAGAGCTCCTATAGATAATTACAAAAGAAACAAAACATCATACCATCCTCTTATTTGGAAATAAATGTGCCTCCTACTCATATTTGGAAATCTAGAAAAGCTGATTTTTACCTCAAGAAGATTGTCAGACTTCTCTAACCGCTTAACCAAACCAGCTTGACGACAAATCTGAGCAGCAATTTCATTATGGGGCAAACCAGCAGCAGAAAAAAGAGGAATCTTTTGCCCTCTAGCAATAGAATTCATGACATCAATGGTTGAAATCCCAGTCTGAATCATCTCTTCAGGGTAAGTTCTTTCACTGGGATTAATGGAACTTCCTGTGTGCACAATATATCAAGTGTCAAGAATGAATAGGTGACACTTCATTAAGGACACTTTTCTAGAAAGATAGCTCACCAGAAATATCCAGGTAAGCCTCGGGCAAGATAGGAGGGCCATTATCAATAGGCTTTCCGGAACCATTGAAGATACGGCCAAGCATATCCAAAGAGACAGGAGTTTTCAAAACCTGCAACGAAAGGATGGAGTGGAAGTTAGTATGATTGACCAATAAGGAATTGTCTTGAAACAGTAATAACAACCTAAGCACCCGAACTATATTGCAGAGAACTTGATTTACACATTCAAGAAATGAACAAACCATTACAGTTAACTTCTCTATCTATGAAATGGGCATATAGGTCTCAAGCATCAGCAATTGTCTACAAACTCTACCAAGTAATATGCTGATACAGCTGTAGTCTGTGAGTGTATAACTGATGATCACAAGTCAAAAACCTTAATTTATATGCCTGTCGGTGTCACTTATTTGGCGAAAGCTACAAAAATTAATTGTCATACCTCTCCAGTGAATTGCACAGTTGTGAACTTGTTATCAATCCCAGATGTTCCTTCAAACACCTGGCAATTAAAATAAGAAGAAATTCACTCATTACCATCTTGAACAGCTGAAACCTAATTAAAGTTCCATCTCAAATAACTGAATCAAAAGATTGTACCTGAACAACAGCTTTCTCACCATCGACTTCCAAAACCTGGCCACGTCTGGTTGTCCCATCCCCCAATCTGATATTCACAATCTCTTGGTATTTGGGTCCCTAAAGCAGAAGAGGATACAAACACCGATCAGTAGTCAAACAAAGCTTTGAGGCAGAATCTAAATCAGAAAAGTAAATAATATGGCAACTTATGGAACAGTTACAAGTTAAGAGCTCCATCTACCTTGACTTTTTCCAGAATAACAAGAGGCCCAGCAACTCCAGAGACCGTCCTGTACTCTGCAATTAGTTAAAGCAGCACGAGTAAATCACCAGCAAAAGCAGCACTAACCCAAGTCTCAAGTTTCATTACCAGATCATTATCAATCAGCATACACCTCATTAAACATTATTAGCATCATCACTGGAACTATGATCAGCAATTTGTTTTTTTTTATTTTTTTAAATGAAGAAAATTTAAGCGGAGTTCAAGACAGTACCCATTCCGATCTCCAGCGTTCCCTCCTCCATGTCGAGATTGTTCTGAGCGCCCATTTTCAACCTTCATCACACACAGAAAATCGGAAAACAAGTTAAACAAAAGAACCACAATACATGATCGACGCCACTCTAACCAATCCAGAAAGGTGGAAACAGCTGAAAGCGATCAAAGAGTTCTTTTCCCACCAAGACACTCCAAATCTTCTTCTACATCTCCTCAGCTCACTCAACTCACACACAGACACCTTCAGCAGTTGTTTTCAAGCAAGCCACGGACACAGACCGGTAACACGTCAAACCGACAAACAAAGACGAGGAAATAGAAAGCGCAACCGAAATCGAAATCCCATCCCCATCGAAACAATCAAAGCAAAAAGAGAAGTCCCGCGAACACACTGGCGCAACTGCGATATCTTCCTCGCTCCTAACTCACTCCGCGATCGGAATTCAGCGATGACACATAATTGACGACCCGGAGAGAAACTGAATAACCGAAATCAAAGAGAACGACGAAGAGCTCGCCAATGGCGGGAAGCAACAAAGCGATCCGACGGTGAAAGAGCTCCGAGAGGGAAGGAAAGATCTGGAAAACCGAACTCACCTTTTCGTGATCTGGTAGTACTCGGTAACACGGAGGAAGAGAGAGAGAGAGCAGTGGAGGAGAGGAAGAAGAAGAAGAAGAAGAGAGGATATGCGACGAGATGGAATAAAAAACCGAGAAGTGAGATCTATTGGGAGACCAGACCCAAAAATTAAAACACGATATTTTTATTTCCAATCGGCGAAATTAACTTTTGAAGGCGCCGAAAAGCTTGAGAATAAAAGTTGAGTGACTGAAATTGTAGTTTGCCTGAGTAGGAACAAGACGAGGCGAGTGGAAATGCAGGCAAAACGTAGTCGTTTTCACGGGGGATAACGGGTTTCTTTATGAGGAGACGACAAAGAATAGGCCAGGTGTGGTGGTGCAGATTCGAACACGTGCCAGCCTCTCATTGGATTCTTCTATTTTTGGAACCAATTATTGCACAGCCTGACGGGCCCAACCAGTAAATAAGTTCAGAGATCAGAATTTGGTTGGAACCTGTTGTTTTCTCCATTATGGGCTTGGCCCAATCCAGCGTTGCTCTCTTACAACAATAATCACTTGATCGATATTGAGATTGAATCGGATTAAATCCTATATAATTCAATTTGATTTCAATCTTAAGGGTGCTATTTAAATTGAAATTGAAAATTATGCAATGAGACTAAAGTACTAAACATATCAAATCAATCTTTGATTCGACTTCGAATCCACATTTTCGTATTATTTACTAAGTGTCAGTCCATCCCGATCTCGACCAGACTGGACCATTTCCCATCCAAGCTATTTATAATTATAACAACCAAGACCAGTAATTTAAGTTGGGTCCCATAGCATGTGACAAATGTGGGAAACTTCCTACCTCATTCCTCTCTTTGTGGTCACTATCATGGTGGGTACCCAATGAAAGAAAAATGATCATATAAGTCCAGAACAAGAGGTGAACCCACAAATTCTTGTCCTCCCACGACATTGAGCTCTGAGATCATTGAGCTGCCTGTTGAAGTTGCGTAGAGCTTGAACATGGGCTTCATCTTCTTCAACCGGGATGATCTTGGCAAAGCTTCCTTTTCCAACCAAATCCACAACTCGGTTCGCTGCTTCCAAGCCGCTCACGTAGGCCTTTTTCCTGCGACCAGGATCCATGGCGGTTCACGATCCAGTCCCCGGCCATGAACAGGTTGGGGAAGGATGTGGAGCCTCTCATCATGTGCTTGTATGAACCTGTTTTTTGCAAATGAGTTGAATGTTATAGGGTTGTGGCCGAATTGAGAATTGAAGGTTTAAGGGGATAGCATGGGCTAGTTGTGTACCTGGAAAGAAATGGGTTAATGACTTTGGAGATGTGGAGATGTCCATATCAACCAAGCTGGCATTCTCAATGTCATTGGCACACTTGCCGAGGTTGGAGATGATCCTCTTCGCGATATCATCGTCATTTAATGGTACGAATTCGCTAGCATTGAACTGTGATGTGTGATTATCAGAGAGGGTTACTGAATGCCGCATAATTCATTACTTGCTTGGGAAGGAAGGAAGGAAGAAGGCGAGAAGTGCTTACAAAATCGGCTTGAAGCACTGTATGTGGACAGTCTTTGTATTCATCACGAAGAGCATTCAAGTGAAAGAATGTCCATCCGAATGACTCATCTGTAGCAGAACAAGCGTTGCTTGGATTTGGGATGTTGACCTGCAGGTGTTTACGCGACAAGTTAAGCATGATTAGCAATGTATTTGGCACGAAGGTTTTTACGAACAAACTCTGCTCCAAGATCATACCTTTTTGTCAAGCCAAAGCTTAGCAGTGATCACATCAATGGAAGCCAATTTCAGAACCTTCAAAAACTCGTCCCTTGAACGTAATGCTGCACTACATAAAGCAGCAGAAACTTGTTGCTTATACATATCATATAACATAAATCATACTGCTAAAAAAGGTTCATAAGGAGAAAATTGAAGAATGGACCTGTTCTTAACAAGTTCCTGAACAGTTGAAACTCCGACAGCCAAAACAACAGCATCAGCATAGACAAGCTCGTCACTACTGCAAAACACTGCAGAAATGGAACTGGTTCCTTCATCGAAGACCAAATCTCTCACTTCTCTTCCTTCCATGAACCGGCAGCCTCTAGACCTCAACGAAGCCTTCCACGGATCAAAGATTGTTTCTTTAACTTCCCCGCGACACCATACCACATCAAAATCTTTCTACACATGTCAACTAAGATTCCCACTTAAGCAATACCCAAAAACCAACACAAGTAATGGGCTATTTGAAAATCAAGAACTAATACCAGGTGAGCAATGGAAGTAACTGCAGGTCAAGAACTAATACCTGGTGAGCAATGGAAGTATAGTACAGGATTCCAAGTGCAGCAGCTGCACTGCATTGCTCAGGCGGAGCAAACAGACCAACATGGAGCAATGGATCGAATACTTGGCGGTAGAACCTCTCAGAGCAGCCGAACTGTTTGAAAAGCTCCCTTGCAGTGACTAATCAACCAAGCCCACCTTCTCGATAAGCCCACTTGAACAACCCACTAATCTTCTTAACTGCTGGAAGGAAACCCACATATGGAATTGGGATCTTAGTATCTTACTTGAGTCATATTTCCTCCACGCCATTTCAGTATTGTCAAAGTCAATCACTGCATCAAAATATGTCCCAATAGTTTCAAAGCTTCAGATCGTAATCGGGTCAAGACCATTACAGTCATCTTAGAAGAATTTGGACATCATGTTGTATATACCTGCAGCCATGAGAGGAAGGGAACTCAATCTATCCACCCATGGAAGCTGCTTGAACTGCACAAGACAAATTGTTCCATTCTATTCATTCTTACACTACTGAGTTACGGGATATTATCATATGATCAATCAAAATCCGTACTTGAGTGTAGAGCAAGGTTCCCAATGGAGCTGGAAGCTGCTGAAGATCTTGGAATACAGGAAACTCAACCTGCAAACAACTGAAATCTAAATGACAAGTTCTACAACTCAAAATTGAGAAATGATATAACTTCCAAGCAATAGACGAAACTAAAACGGTTTCTTTTTACCTCCAAGCCTTCGCTGGAGTAAACTGCAGACTTCATCCAGTTGGTGAAGGGCTTGATCCCCAGCTCATCAACCAGACTAAATATGTTCTTGTAAGGATACCAAAACCCTAATCGATATCCAAATTTCAGGAACCAACCACACTAATGATTCTTAAGGGCAATGAGAATTTCCAATGAAATAGGAAGAAATGGAAACAGCTTTGTTACCTTGGATGATACCAGCATTATCAGAACTTCCAAACCCATTCCCATCTTCAAACACAGTAACCTCAAATCCCTAATGGTACAATATCAAAACCAAAGAAACGCCTGTAAAGGTTAAAACTTTAAACCCGATTAGCGTTTCACCATGAGAGTTTAAACTTAGGCAGCTACCCAATAGGGTTAACAATGATCAGAAGCGATTGAACCATGACAGAGTTCACTGACGACATGAAACACAAAGTCGGTCCTTCCATGTGGATACAAACACATTAGCATATCCCTCATGAATTGTGAATGAGTACCACTGGGAACTTCTACTGATCATTTCTTCAAAGGAAGAACATAACTATTCATCAATTCACAAACTCGAGGGAAAAGGAAGAGTGAAGTTGCCTGCCTGGTTGCAGAGGTGGTGAGCAGCACCAAGTCCAGCCCAGCCAGACCCAATCACAGACACCTTCTTCTTTCTCTTCCCTTCTTCCTCTTCCCTACTTCTGCTGCTGCTGTGAGCTTCTGCGGAACCAGTAATGGCGGCATGGCTCCTTCTTCGAGATCGAGATGCTGCAGCCGCTGATTTGGGCCCACCAAGCCCATTACTTGAGTAACTCATACTCCCATATCTTGATGGTGAAGTCGATGATGGGTTGATTAAACCGCCGCAAGGTATTGTTGTAGACCACCACCTGCTGCAGCCCAACATCTTCGCCTCCTCCTCCTTCTGAAAGTAACGGTTTCTTTTTCCTAACGACTTCCCTTTCCTTGTTGTATAAAATATGAAGAAAAGAAAATGAAGAGGGAAATGAAAGTGTTGAGCTTTTTAGGGAGACAGGGGAAAACTGTTTGTAGAATCTGGAGAGGGATGTGGCTTGTTTCTTCACCACTTGAGCAAAATCACAAAAGTATTAGATGGACCAAAATCACAACACTCATATAAACTTTGGTACTAATATCCCGACAATTAGTCATAAACAACGCTTTAAGATTGATAAACTAGTAAGATATTTGAGGAATGCCAACAAAAGAGGGAAGGGTTAGATACCAATTTGCCAACTTCAGGGTGGGGATTGGGAAAGGTTAAAAACAGACGACTTTTAGCTCCCCCATTATGCTTTGCTTGAGCAACCAAGTTTAGTGTCAATCAAGATTATGAAAAGGATGTTAGCATAATGATTGATAAGCGACATTTCCCTTTGTTCCCTTCGGAATGAGGTTTCGTGGAGATGAATGTTATCAAGCAAAATGGTAAAGTCATTATAGGGCCTATCGTTGTTAGATCAATGTCCTATTAACATCGCGTAATTTGTTTTTACTTAGTCCTAGCATCAATAATCAACTTCTACCGATTAGCCTACCTTGATTCTTACGAACTTATTATTCTGTTATTGTTGGGTGTTTTCACTTGGAAAGTTAAACCTTTTGTATCATAAAAGAATTAGCTTTAGTTTTGTGTCCCTCTGAATAGGAACAAAATAAAATTTAGTGACATTTCCACTTCATAACGAACCATAGCAACTCGAGAATTAATAGTCACCAGCTCACTGCAAATTGTTATCTTTCGCATTATCATTACTGCATCGTTACAAACACACAACCACGACCAGATCATTCGACGTCAAGAATCAACATATTGAGAAATGTTCAACTTGGCGGTCTAAAGAGCTACATAAAACTGAGGGAAAGTCATAATAATTCTCGACTTTTGAATCGTAATTAAAAAATAGACATAAATAATAATGTAACAAATACGAAAAACGTTATACTTAACATGACTGTCGAATCTATAAAAATTAAAAGGAGAAGACATCCCATTAAACGGCCATAATTCACCTATCGTTTCCGCTTATCCTACTCCGAGAGGCACCGAAACCTCTCTCTAATCTTTGTCTTCCTTTTACCGTTGCTTTGCGCTTTACTTGGAAGAAATTATTTTCTTTCTCAACTGCTCTCTCTCTCTCTCTCTTTCTCTTCATTCTCAGACTTTCATTTTTGTCCACAAAAAAATAAGGAAAACGTTTCAACTTTCAACTAATGGCTGCCAATCTCTCCCTCCGGCCCAGCCACCACCGCTTCTCCCCCGCCGGTGGCTATTCATCCTTCCTCCGGCCGCCGTCGGCCCCCGTACCTGCCGCTCTGAAGGCAATAAAGTCCTGCCGCAGCCAGCCATGGAGGGGATCGATTTCCCCCGCGGGGGCTCGGCGGCGGATTCTGGCCGCCAGCGCCAGAGCCGACGATTCTGCGCCGTACGGGATGTCGCTGGAGAACGCGCTCAAGCTGCTCGGGGTCGCGGAGGGAGCTTCCTTCGACGACGTCCTTCGCGCCAAAAACTCGATCCTCGCCACTTGCAAAGACGACAAGGACGCAATTGCTCAGGTGAATTTTCGTTCCCCGCGACTAATTTTCCTTTCCATTTCTGGAATTATCGACTGCTTGATCGGAATCGCTGATTTGGAGGTTGTGCTGTGCGTTTTAGCTCTTTGCCGTTACTAATTCTCGCATTGGATCGTTTCTATATGAGTATTCAATGTTGCGGCGAAATTCTCGATTGTTCCGCCACTGGGTTTTGCCCTTTTGGGCTCCGAGATCCTCAATGTGGAGTTATGGCGATTAGACAGCTTCAACCTAAGGGCCTGTTTACTTTCATTTCTGTTTCCTTTTTTGAGAAAACAGAGATGTTGAAAACAGGTGAAAACAACATTTTGTCGTTTCCGAAAACAGTAGGAAGTTGCCACTTTCTGTTTTTATAGTTGGAAACGAATAGAAAACCGAATGAAAAGTAAACAAGTTTTCTCATTTCGGTTGCCAAATTTATCACATGAAAATAGAAAACAGGAAACGAAAATGGAAGTGAACAGGGTGTAGTTCAGCTACCATTGCAGACTGTTTGGGCATGGTGAATTCAGGGCTCTAAATTTGATATGACTTCTGAAAGCTGGATGTAAAGTTCTTTACTTTCCAGTCATTGATGCCATTTTTTTTTATCTCATGAACCGTTGTGAATTGTACTATTGCTCACTGCCCGCTTGCTCTTCCTATTGGGATGATCATAACTGATGTGGGTTTGATCGGTTTCTCTTCTCGTTAGGTTGAAGCTGCATACGACATGATCCTAATGCAAAGCCTGTCTCAACGTCGGGCAGGGAGAGTGGCAAACAGTCGAATTCGTTACGCTGATGTGAAACCCGTGAGCCCTCCAGGAGGAGGGATGGGAGGATCAATGCCCCAATGGCTGCAGACTACAGTCAAGAATGCTCCTGTCTCAGTAGAGGCCCCGCCAACTACCGATTTGGGAATACAAGCCGGTGTCTATGGAGCATTGATGGTTCTAACGTATGCCAATGGTGCTTCCACCTCGTCCCTGGTGCCCTATGCAGCAGCTGATGTCCCCGGGTTGCTCCTGGCCACGAGTTTTGGTGCTTCATTATACTTCATGACCAAGAAGAAGGTGAAACTAGGTAACAAGCCCCCCTCGAAACATCTTATCAATGCGCCTTTTAGCCCTCGCGTTTCCTGCAATCTAATAGCGATGGTGGTTTGTTTCTGTTTTGCAGGTAAGGCGACCGTGATTACATTGGGAGGGCTCGTGGCTGGTGCTGTGGTGGGTTCAGCGGTTGAGAGCTGGCTGCAGGTTGATATTGTCCCGTTTTTGGGACTCCACTCTCCAGCTGCGGTGGTTAGTGAGTTCATTCTGGTCTCTCAATTCTTGGTCTCCCTGTACCTAAGGTGAAAGGAGGGTAAAGAAGAAGGGAGGAAACATCTACAACTGTAACACCTGTAATTACTCAAATTGCATGATCATAGCCAAGCCAAGCCAAGTTTTTTTTGGTTTTCTCCTTGTAGGATGTGTATCATTTGCACCTTTGTATAAATCTGCAATTTAGAATGTAGTTGGGATATACTTTTGTTAAGTTATAAATGGTTATTTCCCCGATAATTCTCTATTTCATAAAAATGTTCAAGATCTTCGAGACATTTTATAGATGATATCTTTGGTTCATATACTCCATCCAAAACTACTCTACACTATTAGATATCAATTTACTACTAATAAATTGCAAATGGTTGTTGATGTCTTTTTGAGAACGGATGGTCAGATTGAATAGATCGCTTGTGTTATTGAGAAAATCAAAACATCAATGCCAAACTTTTAAATAACTTCTCTCCTTAACCTTTCGTATCAACAATTTTATGGTTATAGTTAATGCAAAATACATTTGTATATGATAAAATATTGGATCTAAATGACGAGCATAACCATTCTTTCAATAATGACAAATCTATTTAAGTTAGTTAAGAGTAAATACAATTTATCAGCAAAATTTTCAAATATTAGCCAAACATTTCGAAAATACAAAGTATTAGTCAAACATTAACTCCCAGCTAGTACTTTTGTTAGTAATGATGATTTGGCAACATGATACTGAGTTGAAAGAAACACGCGACAATTAACATGTCAAAATTTTATTATTTTAACTAAGAAAATAGTTACAAAATTATTAACGGTAACATACAAATAGCTAATATTTTGGTGAGTTACAAAATATTTGGCTACTAGTTTATATATATTTTTTTTTTTAATAAGTTGAAAATTTTGGAAGTTTGAATAATAAATTTGTATTTAGTATTTACTTATTATTTATTAATAGTAACTTGTTAAAACCCCACATCTGGGCCGATGTTACACATCGTCCAAGCCCAAATAAAAAGCACCCCGGGAGCCCATATCTATAACCCACCCGATCCACAATAAGGTTTACTTCTTACACTACTTTTTCCCGCCATGGCGCGGCAAATTCCTTGTCCGACCAGGAGACGGGAATCCTTGCTCTCCGATGAATCCTTCCGGCCACGGGAAAGAGCTAAAACTGTATATATACTTCAACACTCCCCTTCCAATCTGTCTTCGACATTCCAATTCCGACAAGAAAGAAAAAAAAGGGCCACAAGCAAGAAACAGAAGAGGAAAGCGCGAACAGAGATCGGAGAATGTCGATGTCTTCGATTCGCGAAAGTGGCGGGCCATCGTCGTCGGCGGCGGCGACACAGATGCCTCCGGGCGTCAAGTTCTCCCCGAAGGAAGGTGAACTTCTGGGTTACTACCTCTACAACCACATCCGCCGCACGCTCCCGCCGGCGCACTACTCTGCGATCCGCCGCCACGACCTCTACGGCGACGACGAGCCGTGGGAGATCTGGCGGCGCCTCCAGTCCTCTGTCGAGGACCCCGGCGACGCATACGCCTTCACCGAGCTGAAGAAGAAGCTGAAGTCCTGCGGCGGCAAGAGCAAGAGGTCCGGCCGGAAGGTCGGCAGGGGCGGCGGGAACTGGCACGGCGAGGACGTCGGTACCAATTTCAGCCTCGTCCGCCGCGCTCGGTCGCCGGTGGAGAAGGAAGAGCGGTGGACCGGGATGCGGAAGAGGTTCATCTACCAAAACCCTAATCCCCAATTCGCCAGCGAGCACAAGAAGTGGATCCTCTACCAGTTCAGTTTGACAAGAGAGGGCTGCAGCGAGGAGGAGAAGGAGGTCGTGTGTATGATCCGCAACAACGGATCCCCAATTGGGAATTCGATTGTGGAGGCGGCGAGAAAGTCCGCTCTCGCCGGCAGGAAGAGGAAGCTCGAGGATTACATCAAGAAAATTTCCTCTAAAGGCGACGTTTCTACTAGCAGCAAAAGAGTGTGCTACCCCAATCCCCTGCCTCCACAACAACAACAACTTCCCCTGCCTCCACAACAACAACAGCAACTTCCCCTGCCTCCTACAGTGGTGGATTGTTTCAATCCTCTGCCTCCCCTGGCGACGAATGTGCTGCCACAGCAACCACAACCAGCCGAAGAAGGAGAAGAAGAAGATTTGGAGACATTGGATGTTATTTCGTGGATCGATTTCGGGGACGGGGAATTCGACTGGGGAGATCAAGGAGGCAGTGGATTTGATCCACAATCTGTGCTGGAGTTTCCACAGGGCAGTAGTGATCATGATGATGAGCATTACCATACTACAGCGACGAAACAAGAAGAAACGAATGAGCCTGTCTATCTACTTCCACCCACATTCCCCATTGCTGATTACTGCTCGCAGCCAGCACCAGCAGCTGGAATTCCAGTGGCTGGAGATGATGGCCAAGTGAAGACAGGACAAGAAGAAACGAATGAGCCTCTCTATCTGCCTCCACACCCTGGTTGTTTCGAGCCAGCAGCTGCAGCCGCCGATCCAGTGGTTGAAGAAGGCGATGCAGGGGAGGGAAAAATGGTGGCTGCTGCTGCAGCAGAAGATGATGCTGCTAATGATTTTGCACCACAGGAGGATAGTGGTAAAGGCATCATGATGGGCGGCGAGGATGACACCAGTCGACACGCTGCAGACTCGGCGATGGTGCAGCCATGGGACGTTACCATGGGAAGAGTGGAGCTGAGTGATCATCTGCTGGTGGATATGCCACCGTTTGAGCAACCACCATGTTTGGTGAATCCGTCGGAAGGTTATGCGAGTTGTGAATGGGAAGCCAACGAATATGTTGATCTATGGGGTTTTGGTCCCATGTACGTGTAGAAGGTGATCATTGTGTAGTTAGTTAGTTAATTATGTAACGAGAAGAAGAGATGATATTGATATTATTGTTTGTTGATGTAGAAAAGCCATAATAGACGTGGTGAATCCACCTAAAACAGGAACAATATGTACAAGGAACCAAAGAATGTATTTGGGATATACTTGTGCTAAGTTATAAATGGTATTGTGTTAGATTTATTAAGCTCTTTTTGATATATAAAAAAAACAATTGAGATTTTCGAGACACTTCGTGGTCATACACGATAGATACACTCATACTCTCAACTAACACATCATAAAAATTGTCTCAACATTTATGTCTACAAAACTACTCTACACTAGCAAATTAAGGTGCACGTAGGTGGGGTGGGTCGGTTTTGGGTCTTCATAGTCAGCAGACTCATATATACCATTTCGAGAATAAAGAATCTGAACCCAATCATAAAAAAAATGCAACATTATGAGTGTGGTTGGCTTCAGACCGGTCATGGTCAAGAAATAATTCGGGTGAAAACAATGTGATACTATTTATTGATATTACTTTGAATTATTGTATAAAAGTTATGATTATTTACATGAGATGTTCATTAAAATAAAAACCCTAGACTATGCAATTTCTCAATTGATAAGAGATTCTTGATCAATCAATGCGAAAAACTAGTCTATTGGATATTGTTGGGGTATTGCAATGGGATGGGCCCAAGTAGAGGCCCAGTATGGCCCAATAGAGGAAAAAAGGGTTTCATCATGAGGTAGGTCCATGGATAAGTCTTTTGGACCAAGTCCAAGCATGAAGTGGGGAGACTGGAGACAAAACTTAGAAGACTACAAAGAAGTACGGGTTATTTATGGTCCCTGCAAGGCGTCTATCATTTGGTCAGAAGACTGCCACGTTGGTCGGGGCGCCTAGTCTGAGGGGAGTACGAAACATTAAATGCTATGCTGACGTGGAGCTGAACTGATCAACTGAAGGATTCCGGTCTGGGGTGGTGAGTATAAATAGTGCTGGTAGGTAGTATTTACACATGTTGGATTCTCTCACTAAAACTAGAGTGAGGACACTTCTCTCTCCAAAGCTGATTCTGACTTGAACGTTGGAAGATTAATGTGTCTAGACGCCCCCCCCCCCCTATGTTTGCATGTGTGTAGGTGAGGCGCCTACGAAGCAACAGGTGGGACCCGATTATTCGAAGGTTCAGACGTCGAAGTATTCGTACTCGAACAGATATGCTATAAAGTTACGACATAAATGTTTTATTGTTTGTATTGTTTGGTACATATCAATATCAAACGAGAGATATGATCTACCAAATTGACATGAGATTAAGTTGATCTATATGCATACAAAAAAAAAGGTAGAATCAAGTCATTGTCATCTCCCAATGGTTTCACCTTCTTTCTTTCCATTTTAACCGATTCCAAAGTTGGCTAATCTCACACAATGAGTCTATATGGTTATTCCATCCCTTGAACCATATAAAAAGAACAGGAATAAACCACAAAGCAACACAAAACAACAAATCAAATTATTGAAAAAATAAAATCAAACACCACTGAACTTTTTAACGGGTGGATTAATTAGTTTACTAAGGCATGTAGGGGCAGGGCAATTCCATAACAAGGTCTTTGATCTTTTTGCTGCAGAGCTCTAATGGGAAACAACAATGTAATGCAGCTGCGGCTGAAGAATGTCCTCATGATGTTGATGATGGTTGATGTTAATATTCATGGCTGCCTGCAATTCAACTCTTGCCCATCTAGCCTTCCTCTTCGCCTCCTCTTGCCTCGAGACGAAATCCTTGTGGCCAATCTCCTGGAGACACTTATCGTAAAGGGTAGGATCCATCTCTTCCAACATCTTCTTCACATTCTCCGTCAGTTGCTTCACGCTGCTGCTCCAGTGCCATTTCATGTTCTTCTTCATCCCTTCCACCACCACTGGGAACACATCTTCGATCGCGGATGTTGCCATCTTCACAAAAATCTCGTTGTTCCACAAGTAGAGAGCTCGCTCTGCGACCTGGAGGTTTCGTGTATTAACACAGAAAGATCAGAAATCAGCATTGCAGAACATGTAATCAAGATATGAGCAATCAAATGTAAATATTCTGAACAGTTTGTACAAGAAATCAAAATAGGGACCGGTTTAATAGAATTCGAAGGTTGGTTCGTGTCTGCATGAGGTTGAATCTCATTGCATAACTGAAGGCAAAAGCCAAACCAGAAACAAGTCCCATTTCCAAGGTTGGTCGTGGCTCTAGGAACGAATTTCAGTAAATCATGGCAACAAGCCTTTTTGATGTCCTGCGAGACATTTTGAAGTTCTATAAAAGAAACCAAAGTAGGCATGGGGAATCCATGAGAAACAGGGACAAACTGTACGAGAAACCAAAGAAGTCATTAGAAGCTTATCTATCTATCCCATGAACCAAATCGTCTCAATAACTTGCGGTCCAAGAACAAAGTTTGTATTGTTTCATTATAGAAACAAATTCACCTACATCCGAGGCATATCATAAAAAACGTGACAGGAAACTTCTCCAGATAGAAAACATGATTGAAATAGTACCTGTGAGTTCCAACTGTTGAGGCATCTTGTGACTTGGGTGCACAATGGCAAAGCCAGCCTTCTATAATGGTCAGGACTAATATTTTCCACCAGCTCTTCCAATTCACTTATAAGCAAGATCTGCTTATGGCAATTGGTAATAGGCCAGTACCTCAGGATCCCTCTAATAACCAACCCACCAAGCATAGGCTCCTTCTGCACAAACTGAGACACACAGTAAGCCAGCTGCCTATGATAAACCATCATCCCTTTAGTCTTGTGCAAAGGAATCAACACCCTCATCAAGAACAACTTATGCTCTTCCTTTAACGGCACTGTGAATCCATTAATGATACTCCCCCATATCTCGAGCAGCTCGCCTATCCCCGAGTGCTTCTCGGCCTCAAAAGCATAGTGTAACAGGACATCGTTCATCGATTTCCTCATGAATGTTCGGTAGAACGTGAACTTTGAATATATCCTGTGGTAAACATTCTTCAAGCTCTCACGCTCTCTCAGGTCCTCAGATTGGAAGAGGTCGAGGAGACTGAGGAGGAACTGGTGATCAATAATGAGACGGCAATGGTGTGATTTGGGCTCCATGCTAATAAGGAGGCGGATGAGGATGTCATATATGGGTTGGAGGTGGGACCAGAGAGGGGAGAGTGAGGACGCGAGGTCCTCACTTTCCTCAGCTGGGGCCGGGTGATGAACATTGTTGTTACATGATGGAGGGAGCGGCCTGAAGAGATTGGCCGAGATCATGGTCACGAGGGAGGTAACAACATGAACTGGAAGCTCCCCTTTGAGCGATTTTATGATAGAGAGAAGCCGGAGGAGCTTGACCCTCTTCGCTTCTTGTGCAGAGGGAGACTCCGAGTCATCATCGACGAAAGTGAAGATGGTGGTAGTGCAGTGGGACACCAGGGATATGATTTCTTCATCTTCTTGCTTGTTGGTTACAAGACCATTGTAACACTCGTTGTTGCTGCTTCCCTTGTTTGATTCCAAGTTGAACAAGTGCTGCAGCGTTGTGGATGATGATCTTTTCCTCCTTGGTGATTCCCTTGGGCTGTTCCTGAAGACGCCCATCGTAGTACTGATGATGAATGGCACCTATAGCAACAAGAGGAAGAAGAATGAGGAGAAATGGAAAGGGCATAAACAAAGGGAAACACTGTGTGGTGTTTTATTCTTTCTTTTTGCTTCTATCCTCTACCTGTTTTTTCCTCTTGTGGATGATTGATCTTTGAGTTGGCCTAGTGAATTCCAACCTGATAGTGATGTTTTTACCTGAAGACAAAGGAAAGACTTGTAAAGTCCGACAAATTCTGGCTTTTTATCCAACTTCCCTAATACGAGAGAAGAACCCAAATAGGACACATTAGAGTATTACCTGGTTGCGGATTTCATTTGGTAGATGACAAATGTTTCTGCCTGAAACATGTGTCGGAAGCTGGCGTGGTATGAAGAACAACAACTCATCATAGAGAAAGAAAAAAACCCAAAAAGACGAGAGACTGAAAATAATTCTTCCATATCCAAAGTCTAATGCAAACAAGGATATCAACGCACAGTGTATAATCAAACAGTAAATAGATTACCAAAAATTTCACAGAGCTGGCATTTAGTACAAACAGAGGAACAGCTGACTAAACTAACTAGAACTACACAGTGCATCACTGCTCTTCCTTTTCCTTCTTCTACTAGTTAAACAAAGGAAGACACATGGCAAAGTTGAGTACTTTAGTACCACTAAACAGAAGTCAAGGAAGAATGGATGTCTACAAGTTCAGAACTCTTGGAGAACTTCAGCCAGTGATTCCTCTCAGCATACTGCAAACAAGGATGCATACCGAGCCCAACAACAATAGCCGCCGCGCTAATTGCCATAACTTTCAAAGGAGCAATCACCATAACCACCACCAGCAATAGGCCTGGAAGAATACACATCACAACAGCTCCACCAGTCCCGAGAGGGATCTTGAAAGGCCTCATTGCTCCCGGGTAATCAATCCTCAGCTTAATGAACGCAACAAACTCCATGATCATCCCAAAACAGTACAAGAAGTTCTCTGCTGCAACAATCTCCTGAAAGCTCATCCATGAGAGCAGCACAACCCCTGATGCAGAGAACAGTATCCCGATCGAAGGGGTCCCGTATCTAGACCTCTTGCTGAAGAACTCGGGAAGCATTCCTCTTTCCGCCATCCCCAGGAGCTGGAATGAGTCGCTGCTCATTTCGGCCATGAACATCCCCATGTTCGATACTGCAGAAGCTGCTTGAACCCAGTACATTAGCCACACGCCACCCAGAACCTTGGCTATCTCCGAGAAGTAACCATCGGTCCAGCGATCCTGATCAACGGGTAGTGCACCAGTTCCCACTAATAACGGGATCAAGTAGCTGAAAATGGTTAGGATAAGTGCATAGAAGAGCGACTTGGGTAGGGTTTTACCAGGGTTTTCGACTTCTCCTGCTAGAGTACTAATCGAGTCCCAGTAGTTGAGGTTCCAGAAGAGAGTATTCAAGTACAATGTCCAGTTAACTTTGCCGAAGTCGACCACCAGCCACCTCGAAGGCTCGAGCTTAGGAAATGCAATCACTCCCATGAGGAGGAATGGGAGAAGTGAGATCACTCCCAGCAATATAGCTGCCCATCCTACTATGGTTAGTCCCCTATAGTTCAAGAGTGTGAGCATAACCGTTAATACAAGAACCGCCACCATTCTTATGAAGCCGTCTTCTAGCGCTGGGATTGCAGGTTTCAGGTAGTCGAGAAACAGGACAGGGTATAGTGCATTGTCGATTACACCACTCAGCCATTTCATCCAGCCTTGTTGAAAACCCCAGAAAGGGCCGAGAGCTGAGGAGACCCAGACCACGTAGCCACCATTCTCAGGGAACATTGTGCTGAGCTCTGCTGTTATTAGGGCCTCCGGGATGCTCCATACCAATGGGAAGACGAGAAACCCGAGGATAGCTAAGAGTGGTCCGGCAGCATTGACACTGTCTTCGACTCCAAAGGGTCCACCAGAGACTTCATAGAAAATGAGGAACACAAGTGGGAGGATTGAGACTTTGCGGTAGTTATTCAGCTTGGGGGAAGGCGGAGAACCGATTGGTGAATAGTCGGCAGCATTGTTGGCGTCCATGATGGTGGATGGAGTTTGCAATTGGAAAGAGTTCCTTTGCTTCTGCATGTGAAGTATCAAGCAAAGAGTAAAGGTTCTGATAACTGAAAGTGAAAGACTGAATCGTTTAATGCTCCCTTAACAAAAGAATCCACTGAGCATCGATCGGGCAGTAGTAGGTCCGTTAAAGTACTTTTCTTTCTAAGCCTTGCATTCCTAAAGGGGGAAACTACATCAGCATGAACACATCAGGACTCAGGAGCATCTGGCACTCGTTTACCCTAGCCAACGAGGTTCAGCATCAGTAAACAGAAGACCTAATTACTGAACAGCAATTCAAAAGCCAGGACAGTTCACAGTTCACACATTAACCAAACATCCAAAACACAGAGAATATACAAAGACCCAGAAGACCTAATCTGGGTCTTCAATCTCACAGACCATTTTTAAAAAAATCTCACCTTTGTTCAATGAACAGACGAATCAGAGAAAACCCACAACCGGCCTCGCGTCAGAATCGAGAAATCAGAGATTTCAAAGCAAAGAGTACAAGGCACACAACTGATTGAGATTGTCAAGACATGGCTGATAGCTTATGGAGAAAAAGGGCCAACAACCCTACTAACCATACGAGAAAAAAAGATGTGGCGGAGACCAAATCCCGATGGTGTCAGCAGCGGCGTAGTGGAAGTCGAGGGTCTTGGCCGGTCTGCATGAGTTGGACTCAGACACCACGCGTCGAGCGGGAAACCAGGTCCGTTACATCACCGGAAAACGGCGCCGCTTGAGAAGAAGAAGTCCAGTGGAGCATTTGCCGGCACACGGATTGGAGATGAAGAAGAAGAAGAGGAGGGATTTGGCATCTGGGTTTTGGGTCTCCGATTTGGGACAGAGATTTCGAAATTGTGATCGGAGATTTGAGACTGTAAAAAGGAGGTAAAAAAAGGGAAAAGGAAATTTTGTTTCTGCCCCGTTGATGGGCTCTGAGAAGAAGTAAGAATTTCGCGGGTACCACAAAACCCGCCAGTTCCCCCGCGCAACCGCTTGCCAAAACGACATCGTGGCAGCTGCATTCACTCAAACAGTAACTACCCGGTAAACTCAGGTGTGTAGTGTAAATAATGATGTATACCTGTAATGTAAATAATGATTAATAAAAAATAAACTTCGTGTAAAAGGGGAATTATATAGACATTTATATGAAATTCACTAGATCTTGATAAATCATCAATGAGTCAGTCTAATACCATGATATCACTAATTAGAAGATGTGTTGTTTGAGTACTAACATGAATTAAATTAATAAATCTCTCAATGAATCTATGAAACAGTAAAACATAAATAAGAAGAACATTGTCCGTGACAATGCAACTTTGGTGATATAAATATCAAATACACAGGTTGTGGCAGGGTTTGGCACACGGAGGTTGTGTGTTCGAGCTACTGCTCTCTCGACGGGATGGGCGTTTTCTCCGTGATACCTTGATCCGGTTTCATACGCGAAAAGGGGTAGTCAACACCGTGGTTTGGCCCCCATTGCAAACATCACTGAAGATGGTGACCGTGGAGAGAGTATGCCACGTTATAAAAAAAATGTCAAATGCACTTAAAAGAAATTTTGAATATTGATTCATTCTTTCGAAAACATCGCGTATTGAATTATTGACGATAATTCACTTTGTAAGCTATCAAGCTAAACTCTTATTAACAACCATTAACTTATTTTCCTAGAAATTATAATGTTGGGAAATTGAAAACAAAGAGTTCGAATCCAAATCGATATCTAATTTCTTAATCCTTGTGAAAATCCGAAATCAAATTTCTAAACCGAAAAGGATCATACAATGATTCCCCACATAAAAAAAAGAAGGAAAATCAGACCTTAACCAACTAACAAATTATTCAATTCCTTTTCGTACGCACACCAAACCATCAATCCTCCACCACAGGAGGCGACGATGGACGAGAGCCTCTTCCTCGTCGACCAATCCAATCCATGTCCCGTCGGCCTCGGCCCCCGCAAATCGTCCGCCGCCGCCGCAGCCGCCGTGTTCTCCAGCTTCACCATCGAGATGATCGAGCTGGACCAGTCGTCGAAGGCGTACACCAGCATCAAGAACCTGCTGCGGACCACGTCGATGCTGTCGCCGCTCTGCTGCAGCTCCAGCTGGGAAGACATCCCGCTCAAGGACCCGCTCGTCAAGCAGGCCGCCTGGGCCTACCTGCAGCCGATGGCGTCAACGGCGGGGGAGGACTGCGGCGGCGGGGGGTTTTTCGGGATTTTCCGGCGGGGCATGGATAATAGATCCCCGGTGGAGTGCGGCTGCCTCGCGTGGCTGAACGAAATCGTCGTGAAAGGATTTCTCGAATTGCTGTCGGGGAAGAAGAGAATTGAGTGTTTGCCGGATGACGACGAGGAAGAGAACGAGAACTTCGCCGGCCGGGGAGACTACGACGACGGCGAGAAGGCTGACTGAATTGAAAAAGAAAGAGAAGAGTTTCGTTTTTTTCACGAGTCTATTTCGTTTGACTGGTCGACACTTGATAGTGGCACAATTGTAATATACAAAGTGGATTCCTTTTTCTTACTTACTTAGGGATTGAGTAATTTGAAGGAGTTAGCTTTAGATCAGTGATTTGGTAGAGTTATAATTGAATGAATCATCAACGTAATCGTGTGAAAAAATAAGTTATGTACGAACAGTAATTGAAAAGATTTCACAAAAGAATAGAGAACATACACGTGAACCAGAATTATGCACAACAAGAACAACAATCGACTTTAGAAGGAAACTCCTTACCAGTAATCCTCGCATGAACAAACTCCACCATTGAAATGGTGGAAAACTTTGCCATCTCCCACCACAATCTCCCTATTACAAGCCCTGGAGATCTTCTTCGCCAACCGATGGCAATCCTTGCAGATTCTCGTGTTCTGCCTGACCACAACAGGCTTCCCAACTGCCGTCGACACCAAGCCTAAGCAGATCGCCAGCCTGACTGCGTGTCCCTCCGGCGAGCCCCTTCTCCTCTTGATCAAATCGGCCGGTCGGAACTTCATGGTCATGTTCATATTCATTCGATCTCCTGTTTGCTTCAGTATCACGTCAAGTACTTCACTGATCATGTTCGCCTCTCGGTGGGACACGTCATGGTGAACGAACCTTTCGCTCTTGCCTCTAATGTCAACGCTGCAACTTGCAGTCGTTTTCGCTAACCCCTTCTCCTTCATCAAGGATTTGATCCTGTTCACGTCTTCCCACCTCCCGGCTTCTGCGTACATGTTCGAGAGCAAGACGTAGCAGCCCGTGTTGTCGTGTTCGAGGGAGGAGATCTTGCTGGCGGCAAGTTCGGCGGATGCTATGTCGTTGTTGTTTCTGCTTGCTGAGAGGAATGAGCCCCAGATTCTTGCTGTGGGTGGCAGGGGCATCTGCTCGATGAACTCCCTGGCTGCGTCGAGATTTCCCGAGCGTCCTAGGAGATCTATCATGCAGCCGTAATGCTCGATTCCAGGGTCGATGTTGTACTCGGATTTCATCGCGTTGAAGTACTCCCACCCTTGTTCAACGAGGCCAGAGATGCTGCAAGAGTACAGCAGCGAGACGAAACTGCCATGATCTGGTTCAATACCGGTTTCCCTCATTTGGGAAAACGTGGCAATGGCAGTTTCACCAAATCCGTGTATACCGTAAGCCAAGATCATAGTGTTCCATGATACCAGATTCTTACACGGCATTCGATCGAAGATCCTTCTTGCGGTGTCAAGGTCGCCGCATTTTGCATAAGCGTGAATGAGAGCATTGGAGATGACGGTGTTTGAGCCGAACTTGGCAGCAAGAGCATGGATCTGCTTACACTCGTTTACCATAGCTAGCTCTGCGTAGGAAGGAAGGATGCTAGCAATAGTGATTGCATCCGGTTTAAGGTGGTGGTTCTGCTTTAACCACATGTCCTGAAACAGTTGGAGAGCTTCTTCGTGCTTTTCATTGTGTACATAAGCAGCAATCATGGTGTTCCATGATACCAAATTCTTCTCACTGATTACACTGAAAAGACGTTCAGCCGATCTCACTGCTGCACATTTTCCATAAGCATCGACCAGGGAAGTTTCCAAGACTACCTGAGGGAGAAGAAGCTTCCTGAAGGCATACCCATGGATGGACTTGCACTCCTTCAGAGATCCTAGTTGTGAACAAGACGGGAGAACGTTTATCAAGGAAATAGCATCTGGAACCATGTGTTGATCCTCTTGCATTAGTCTCAAACAAGCAAATGACTCTGCAGATTTGCCACTTACAACATAGCCATTAATCAGGGCATTCCAGACTGCAACATTTTTCAATGGGATAAGGTGGAACACCATCTCTGCAGAGCCAACTTCACCGCATTTACCATACATATCTATAAGAGATGTTCCCACCATGACATCCAAATCAATCCCGTTCTTAATCACTTGGCAATGAATTTCCTTCCCAGATTTAAAACAGCTTTCCATTGAACATGCACCAAGAGCACTGATCACCCCGAACCTATCCGGTTTTCCCCCCGAACCAACCATTTCTCGAAACCAACCCAACGAGCTGAACCCATCTCCAGCCGACAGATACCCAGCAACCATAGAGTTCCAAGAAACCAGGTCCCTCTGAGGCATTTCCTCAAACACCTTCTCCGCTAACTCAGGACACCCAACCGAGAAATACATCTCCACAAGAAAATTGCAAACGTAGATGTCGGAATCCAACCCGACTTTAATCACCCTGGCGTGAACTCGCTGCCCTTCGGTTAACCACATCAACTCTCCACACGCTTTGATCACAAACGGGAAGGTGAAGTAGTCCATTCCAATCCCTTCCCGCTCCATCCTACGGTAGAAATCGACGGCTTCCGAGAACAACCCATTCCTAGCAAGTCCTCTGATGATGACGTTCCAAATGAAGGTGTCTGAGTGGTTCATTTTCTCGAACAGCTGGAGCGCGGCGTCCATGGAACAACCAGAATCAGCTAATGCCAAGAGGGAACGAGTGACAGCGGGGCTGTTTGGCTTGATGGAAGGTCTAGAAGGGTGACGCCGGGAATTCCTTGCACGCTCGGGGAACTTGACTGACTTTGGTTCCTCGAGTTGTTTAGCTGAATCGTCGATTGGTTTGAGAGACGAGCTGCAGCAGTAGCGGGGAAGAACAGTTGCCGCCATTTTTTTCCAACTCTCGAACGACCTAATTCTGATTGGATAAACGGTAAATCTATTATGATGTGTTTGGCGGGCGGATCGTTCGCACCCGCGGGTCAGCAATTCGGGTCGCTACCACTCAGCAGGCCGGGGTTAAAATTCAACCGGTCTAGGCCCATTTAACCAAAGGCCAAGGGCTTTCATGGGCCTGCTCGGAAACGTCAAGCAACGGGCCTCTTCCTTACCCGAACTCGTCCTTGTTATCGCGTTGACCACCAACGTCATCAATTCTTAGGGTTGATCATTGACGATATTAAACAAACATTCCAACTGAAAATTCCCCACAAAGGTTCTCTTTCTCGAAGTCAAAGCCTCACCGGCAGGCCGGTAGCTCGCCGCCGCCGGGAAAGTCTGTAAAGCAAACAAAAGAAAAAGGAAAAGAAAACGAAACGGAATAAATATGTCGGCGCAATATCGACACGTACAAAATAATAATAATAGTAATAATACTACTGAAGCTGCTTCTTCCGCCGGCGCCGGCGGTTCGGGAACGTCGAAATCGCCATTGTTATTAGCCCCTCACAAGCCTTCAGGTATTTTCTTTGTACTCCGAATTCCGATCTATTTCGGCGTAACAGTACTTTCTGCAAGTTGTAACGCTGACAAATGAATCTTCATTAGGTTTACTTTCAATTAAGAGATATTATCGCATTTGGTACTGTTCATTGTATTATTATATATACTAGAATTGTAATGTTTTGATGTACTCATCATTTTCTGATTAGTTTACTTCATTGAACAGTCTTCTTATGGAATGTAACTATTATTCTCGATAATTTTAAGTAAGAGGTACATACGCCCGCCAAGTGTATGACGATTTGACACAATGAAAAACGTGTTAAAAATTAAAATGCATTAAAAAAATGTTGTTTTGCATCGATTTCTATAATGACTTTTGCATTGTCTTTTTGTGAATGTGGAATCTTGGTTGTGTAGGTTTGTTGCTCCAAGATACAGACTGCAACGTTGTGAATTCCAATTCTAACCGTAGCAAAGGCAATAACCATTCATTTGGTCGTCATGGTGCTACAACGAGTGTAAAGTCACCTAGTGGTGATCCGCTTTTCAACATTGCTCCATCTCCCAACAACAAGATGAAGTCTCCGCCATTGGTCTCACTGGAGGAGGAGCCGTGCCAGCTGAACGGAGTTGGAGAAGACTACGTTGAATTCAACTACACCAACAATCGATTACCCTCCTCGTCATCACAATCAGCATTGACAATTGATGCCGTGATTGGGAAGAAGTACCCTGTTTACGCCAGGGACATATCAAGAGGGGAAGAGAAGGTCAAAATCCCACTAGTGAACGAATTCAGTAGCAACATCCACCCCTTGAAGCTGCCCAACATTCTGTACATCAGCACCAACATGGTCCACAAGGATGCTCACATCGACTTCTCGCTGGCTCGCTTGTCCGACGACAACTGCTGCTCTAGCTGCGTCGGGGACTGCCTGTCGTCGGACTTGCCATGTGGGTGTGCTGCAGAGACGGGAGGCGAGTTTGCTTACACGCCTGGTGGGGTGCTAAAGGGGGAGTTCTTGGAGAAGTGTGTGATGATGAATAAGGAGCCTCAGAGGAAGCATTACTACTACTGTGAGGTTTGTCCATTGGTGAATGACTTGAGCCAGAAGGGGAAGAAGAAGGTGAAGGCTTGTAGAGGGCATTTGACTAGGAAGTTCATCAAGGAGTGTTGGAGCAAGTGTGGCTGCAGCAAGAGGTGTGGGAACAGAGTTGTCCAGAAAGGGATTCAAGTCCCTCTGCAGGTACGAGATCTTGTTGACTCTAGTTATATATCAAGGCATGGATGGTTTCTTTTCAAGTGATATTAGAATATTTGGGAAGCAAAAGATCTCGTTCTTGTGTTCGAATTAGCTTAACATTAACAACTAATTAATGATAGTAGTGGGTTTTTACAAACTCTCAATAGAGTACTTCAAACTTTTGATAAGAAATTAAAGGGTTTTAAAATTCATTGGCATGAATTATCTGTCACATGTTTACGTGAGGAGAGTATATTAAATCATTGTGTCTGCGTAACCAACGTGTTTCGTATTCGAATCACAATACTATAGGTTAACAGTTAATTTAAAATACATTTCCACAAATTTCAAGGCCAACAAGTTGACTTTGACATGGGATTACCATCCCTAAACTCTTAATAGCCACTTTAGTTATTGAGATTAATCACTTTCGGTCTCGGTAACTTTGTTAATGAACTTATGATATGTGGCCTATGCAAATATTTGCAGGTGTTTGCTACCTCTGAAGGGAAAGGATGGGGAGTAAGATCTGTGACTGCCCTGAAGAAAGGCACCTTCATCTGTGAGTACATTGGGGAGATAGTGACAAACCAGGAGCTGTATGAGAGGAACAAGGAGAGGGCTGCCAAGAAAGAAGAGCACACATATCCGGTGCTGTTGGATGCTGATTGGGGATCTGAGAGGATACTGAAAGATGAAGAAGCTCTTTGCTTGGATGCCACTGAGTTTGGCAATGTCGGCAGGTTTATCAACCACAGGTTAGAGGCAGACAGAAGTTTATTTGTTGCTATGGCGGTTTCTTCCCTCATGAAACTGTTAAATGTACACGTCAATTATCATGGTGTTCCAATGGTGATTGATGCAGATGTGGGGATTCCAACTTGATTGAGATTCCAGTGGAGGTGGAGTCACCAGATCATCACTATTATCACGTAAGTTGAATCAGTATTCTGCCTTAGTTGGTCTTAGGTGTTAACAATGTCAAGAAGGTTAGTCGTTCAAATACTTTAGTTGTGTGGTTCAACCAATGCTTAGTCAATACACTGATGTTGACTCGCATGCTAAATATGTTCAAGTTTAGCATTTGCATTAAGTTAAAAATGATGAATGTGTGATGGAAAATCAGCTGGAAATGAGAGTACTGAGAATCAGATTCATACACAAAATGAGCTTCCAATGCTTGTGATATCTGAACCGATCCAAAATGTGTTGATTAGATATGTCTGTACTGCTCCAATAACAAATCGAAATGAAAGTTATAACTAAAGGATTAGAGTTGGATAGACTACAAATACACTCTTCTCTTCTCCAATTGATGTTGCCTATGTGCATGTTGATACAGGTTGCATTTTTCACGGTCAGAGATGTGGAGGCAATGGAAGAGTTAACATGGGTAATTACTCAACACCAATTACATATTGACTTGTTTCTTCCTTCAGGAGTAATGTTTGATGTGAATTGATTAGGGTTTTGGTGGGTTTTTTGCAGGATTATGGGATCGAGTTTGATGACATATACCATCCTATCAAGGCATTCAAGTGCAAATGTGGAAGCAAATATTGTCGGAACAAGCAAAAGATCCAACGATAAACTCTAAACATAGATATGATTTATAAGAAATTCTTCGTTTCAAACTAGTAGCATGGAGATAAAAACATTTGATGACACATTGATGAAAAGGTGCCCATTGGAGTTATTATTTACTTTGTAGATTTATTGATTCTTTGGAATAAACCATTACTTTATGCTTCCCAAACTAAACCCCATAGGCACTAATATAAATTTAATCAATTTTTTAATCCAGTACTATCTATCACTAATAACAAATTACTTTTCTGAGTGTTAGTGAAAATATTCAACATATTTCAAAGTTTAGTATTGAGTGGACGGGAAACACAAAGCTCCAAAAAGCAAGTAAATAGTAATCTTAAAGATAATTACAGTGAACCTTTTTAGTCATATTACATTACACTAAATTACATACCAATTGACGGGCTTGACGCCATCTCCAAACTGTCTACTAAATTTCAGTTTATGGTGAGCCACAAAGATTTCCAATTTCGAAACCAGTCATCAAAAACTAAACGAACATGAATTCCTCCCATAAACATCTTCCCCTTGAAAAAAAAAAACCTTTAACAACAATACAACAATTGACTGGGGAAGAAGAAAAAAAACAAGCCTGCCTCAGTCATTGGAAACACCATCCATCAGATATAAGATGGTGGCCTCATGATAGGAAGAAGTCTTATTACAATGCTTAATTGCTTATAATATGAATAGAGTTGAAATATTGCTTCCTGTTAAAATTCTGTCCTATAATGTACTGCAAAAGGTGAACATGTTTGATGTCAACACTATCAAACACATCCATCACCTTTCCCCTCAGTTACTGCTGCTCACAGCTCTTCGGGAATGCTATGAAGGGCCGGAATCCATGACCGGGGCGACGAAGCCTTGCAACCCTTTCCTCCATTCCCTCTCATTGCCTGCTTTCTCCTCAAAAGACTCAACCTTTTCTCCACATTGGACACATTGGAGGAAGACAGGCGTGGCAGTGGCGAAGAGGACGATGGCAATTTGCTAGCCTGCTTCTGCACCCCATCTCCCAAAAGCTCCAACATCTGCTTCAAGTCTTGCTTCTTGACCAGCACCTTCATCCTCACAACTCCTGGTCCACCACCTCCTTCCTGGCAAACGACAGCAGGGCCTCCACTGTTGGCTCTGGCAATAGATTCCAGCAGCTGCTGGTGGTTGCTCCTGCTGCTGTTCTTGTGGTTTCTGCCGCCTTTCATCGACCGAAGAAGCTCTCTTTTCGGGGATCCCATCCTCCCTTCACCTGCAACAACATGATTGCCTCTCAGCTCCATTCTTGGTGGGTGTTTGTTTTTTTTCTTGCTTTTCTTGATCACCTTAACTTCTGTTGGAAAATCAAATTGAATCAGTCATATTTATACGGAGAGGTAGGCTGATGAATCTCAACAAACTCAGAAAAAATAAAGTTAAAAAAGGGTTCAGTTGGGGCATCCTGAGAATCCAGGCAAGCAAATAATTGGCAGAGTTTTGACTTTAGATGGACAGATCACGTTAGCAGGAGAGGTGCTAAGCTTATTATGAAATGAAAACACTGGTTCTTAGTCGGTTAGTTCAATCATACAAGGTAGATAGGGAAATGGTGTTCAAAATGAACAAGCAATCCCTCACATGCAGAGCCTAATGTTGCGGGGGCAGACGCGGCTAATAATAATATGGTGGTTGAGATAGAGAGAAGTCGATGAGTTCTCAACTTTGTTAGTTGAAAATTTATGTCAATGGGGTTGAGCTGTTTTCTAGCCTGTCATTCTAATCATTCCAGTTTTCTTCCTGCTAATCATAACTCTTTAACTTCCACAGTCCCCATTATTGGATTGGTTTCTCTCATCATTGGAAGGCATTATTCCTCTTGCTTCTAAGGGACCTTGATCATAAAATGTAATGAAGAGACTCATATCAGGCTCAGAGATTAAAGAAACAGAAAAAAGAAAGGAAGAGACTGGATGTCAATTAGGCCTCTAAAATCATTGGCTTCCCAAGCCATTTCTGAGGTTCCAAAAGTCAGCAATATTATTACATTAGCTTTCAGGGGAATTTCAGCACACAACTTATGGTATCTACACATATATCATACTGGTACAAGATAAGGATCTAGGGCTCATTCAATCATCAGAGCAACAAGGCCCATTTTGGGTCCATCCTAATAGAAAGGCCAGATGACCAAACTTCATAAAAAATAAAGGAGGATATGTACAAAAGAAAGGAAAGAGAGTGAATACATACCAATGCAAAGAAGCTAAACTAACAGGGTGTCTAGCCTTGTTGGTCCCATCGTCTCTCAATCACATCATTGGTTGTTCAATCCCTGTTCATGAGAATGTCGTTCACTTAGTAGCAAGCTGTTAATCACTTCCTACAACTACCTATTCCATGCTGAATTAATCACTGTTGTCGATGGTGTACGTGATGGTCTTCGAAAAAAGAAACCATCCCTACCACAAAAAAAGGTATTATCAATTTTTACAATTCGATTCTTACCAGTACACCTTAGTAATCCTTCAGATAAAGGAACAAAGAAGTTTAAAACCACAAAGAGGTTCACAGTTGCCTCCATAGCCCTCTCTTTCATCATGGCTCACAGTTCCTGCACCACAGGAGTTGGAACACATTTCTGCCTGTCAGGGATGAAGACAAAGAAGATAATAAAGAAATCATACTTCTAATTAAAATAGATCAGAGGTTCCATCACAAGCTCACATCTGATATTTTACAACCCTTTCAGATCACAGCTAATAACCTCACGTTCTCCTGGATCTCCAAAAGTTCCCAATAGAATATCTCATAAAAAGTTCACAACTTTAACTTTACTTTCCTCCTTAATGCGACTTCCCTTTTGCTAAAAAGAAAAGCAGGGTTCTTTTAGCATCTGCAAGTGCATATACCAGACGCAACCGAGCAGAAATGGTGGAAAAGTTGCAGTAGTCATATAAAGTGGGCTAAAATGAAAAGAAACAGCAAAGGTTGGATGATGATGCAAAAGACAGCTGAACTTTTACTAAAGTGTAAACATAAAAGGGCCACTTCACAAGGCAAGAGCTTACATACAGAACTGTGGCATGTGACCATTTCAGCTCAAACTACTTCATAAACAAACAAATTGACCCAACACACGCTGTCGTTTAGGAAGTATAGAAAAATCAAGTTTCATATAACCGATGGAATATGGAACAGAAGTAAAGACAGAAGAACCCAACATTATTGTAATCCCTGAAATTGAATGGATCCACTAACTTTGTATACTTTGAGATCCACAAAGAATACAATATTCTGCAACATAACAACATGTCACGTGATAACAAAAGATCTTTGTATAATCTTCTTTCCTTTTCTTCACAATATCAAGCTCAGTGTACAGGTCCACTTCCAGGGGCTAACAGCTAAGCTACATACAAGTGAAAGGGTTCAATAATATGCATAAGATGCCACAAACTAGTTAATCTGTCATAAACACAGTTCATAAATACTTGATGAAAGAAACTTATTATCTGCCTCTGTCGACATCCGGATCCAACTCACATCCTAGGCAATTTGTGCCCAACAACAATCTTGGGCATCAAATGCAACAACAGTATCCATGCACATTAAAGTCTATCGCAGTTATACTGAATCATAAATGATCCCAAGGTTGTTCTGTCCACATCATACCTCTTGCTCTCGTTAATATCAGAATATGCCCACCATGAAAACAGATGACTAATTCCTTGTGCTGTTGGCAATCTCCTTACAGCTGGGGAGTGATTGCACGAAAGCCATAAATGACTGTCCACGGGGTTGTGTTTTGTTTATACACAAAGGTTGAGGCTTTCTAAGTCTTCCTTTGTATACTTTGATTTTAGGCCTGACCAGCAGCCAACCAAGTAGGACCACAAATGAATCTGAAAAAAGAGCCCACCATACAGCTATTGGGATCACATGCCATGGATTCAAGACAACAACTGAACACATCAGCTATATTCCAGCATCAATTTCAGCTGTAATCCACCAAGCTTGCAGATGGCCATACACAGACATTCAACCCGTTAAATCAAAGGCAAATAGATAATAATAATAAAATGCAGGAAAATGTATGGAATATATGCTGCCTTCATAAATGCAGCAGAACCATCAAAGTCCGCGGAGAGGAACGAGGTAATGAAGAGGGATTAATGCACAGAACAGCAGAGACTTGTTGAGCTTTGAGGAACTTGAACAGATGGTTAAGAGTAGGTAATTTCTCTCACAAACTATCCTTCCTTCATGTTCTACAAAATAGAGTAAGATAAATACAAACCCTATTTCAAGCCTGCTTGCCCATAACCAAAACACAACTGGTAGTCGCCCCCACTGCATTATACTAAAAGAGGTAACAAAGAAAGAGAAGCTAGTGAAACTAAATACACCAAAGACAGAGCAGTTGCTATCTGCCAACTAACACCAACAGCAAACAACAATAGAGACAAAAGTACCACAGCTAAAACCCAATAAGGCTTCAAAAGCTAAAACTAATATCTTGAAAATAGACAAAAGGAAGAAACAAAAGTTGTCAAATTATCACCAGGACCCCAAAACACATCTAATTTTGCATTGCAACAGCAGCAACCTCCATCCATGATCAAACCAAGCCAAACCCAAACCAGAGGGAAGAATCAGACCACCACCCTTTCGATTTTTTTTTCATTCAAGCCTCTGGCTTTTTGCAGACAATCATATGCATAGGAGTGAAGATACCAGTCTCTCCACCTCTAGTCAAGTAATCTGCAGTGTGGAACAGCATCTCATGAACATCCACCACACCTTTGGGGGCAATCCCTATCCAAGACAGCACAGTAACCAAAATGTGGTTCCTCCAGTAAGCAATTCTCCCCATCTTCAACCTCGACCACCACGGCCCTGCCGGCGGCCTCGCCAAATCCTTCTCCTGCACCACCTCAAACCCAACTTTCATCGCCGTCTCCGCGATATCATTGTACCTCCTAAGGCCTGGAAGCGCATCCCCTCTCTCAATCCCTTCAATTATCTCCACATGAACAGGATCCTCCGATTTGTACAAATCGGTGGTCACCCATTCGTACGAAACATACATCGATCCAGGCTTCAAAACCCTAAAAATCTCAGAATATACCTCTTCCAGCTTGGGGGCATGGCAGGTCGCCTCAATCGAGTACGCCCCATCGAAGCTCGCATCCTCAAACGGCATCTTCAAGAAATTGCCGCAGACAACCTCGCAAAGCGAATCAAGCCCGGCCTTTCTGTTGTGGTCGCGAGCCCTTTTCACCTGATACTCGTTGATCGTGATCCCGACAACTTTCGCGCCGGAATGCGCCGCAATCGCGCGCATTGGGCCGCCGACTCCGCACCCGGCGTCGAGGATTCGGCTCCCGGGCTTGACTTTGAGCTGATCGACGGCGAATTCCTCGTGGAGGCGGGTGGTGTCGCGGTGGGATTTCCCCGGCAAGGAAGGCGAGAAGTGGAACGATTGGCCCCAACCCCATTCGTAGATGTCGGTGACGAGATTGTAGAAGGTGTCTACAAAGGCGGGGACTTTCTCGGCGGTTTCGATTTGGGAAGGGGTGCGGAAGAAGGACCAGTACTGCTGGTACTTGTCCTGGACTTTCTCGGCGGAGATCGAGCCGCCGGAGAGCTGGGCGGCGTGCTTGCCCTTCTGCTCGGCGGAGCCCAGGAGGCAGACGAACCAGTAGAGGCCGCCGAGGAGGCAGATTGAGAGGGAGAGAAGGATCGTGAAAGTTTCCATTGCAGGGAAATGGAAGGGAAGGCAGGGGAAGAAGGGGAAAGGGGTTTTTTGAGAGAGTGTGAAGAGAGCGCAGCAGGAGAGTGTGCGGCAGTGCGGGAGTGTGGACAGTGGCGATTCCTTTTTATTGATGGTTTTTAAACGGCAGATTTAACTTTCTGGGGTTCCTTTATTTTTAATTTAATTAGGGTTTTCTTATGGCTGGCTGCCAGTTTTCAGGTTCCTTTATTTATTTATTAAAAAAAAAAAACATGCATAAATATCATTTGAGATTTATCGCTAGTCCAAAATCAAATTGAATTTGGATTGAATCAAATAAAGAAAAGATGTGTCCAACATTTAATCAAAAACAACTTCTAACGAGGGACAAGTTCGATCACCATTGCAATAATCGTTGGAGTTGTCTTACCAACTAAAACATAAACATTGAATTGGTGAGTCACTATCTCTTACTTATACGCATGACTAAAAAGTGTGCAGAATGTTAATTAAATAGGAGTTTGGAAATTTTCATAGAGTTGCCTCGCCTGCCTGTATTAACTAATAGGGAAACTAAAAAGATATGAATAATCTCTATGACATTCATAGTCAGATAAGGTAAACCAAACATCTGAATAATCTCTTCACCAAACATCTACCTACTAACAAATACCAAATAATTAGATGCTCATCAAGTCCTACATCTTTTTTTTACGACTCTACGAAATCGACGTGACAAGTAATCCGCTACAAAGTGCCCCGAATAGAAGAGCAAGGCCAAAAACCCCCATCAACCTTGTACATCTGAAAACTCCTTGGCCACATAAATTGTTACATTGCAACACAAACCACACTTACATGGGAAGGAGAGGACAGCCAAACCCAAATTTGCATCCCATTTGTTTGTTTCTGCCTTCTGGCATTATAATTATTATTATTTGCCTATATTTTGTTATTTTATTATTTTATGGACTGATTTTTTTGCTGGTTGTCTTTTGGGATCTGCCACGTCAGTTTCCCAGAGACAGAAGAACACATACAAGAGAGACAAGTGGAGTTTCCGTTAGAATGGGTCAGATATCAGATTTGTCCAAAGCCAAAGAACTTAACACTTAACAGGTTAGGTGAGTCAAGTCTGAGTAGCTGACCGAGTGAGATTATTACTGTTGCTCCTTCGGTGGGCTTGGGCCACAGAACTAGAATGGGCTTGGCTGGGGGCTCCTTTCAACTTCAGCTTCCCTGATTGGGCTGCACCCGCGAATTAATATATGGGCCTGAAAGGAACAGCTAAGTACGACGCGCTGGCCCAGAATGGCTTGGTGGAGTGGTGGTCCAGGTCCAACATACTTGGTCGGTAACCGAAAGGGGCCCTAAGTTTGTTTGTATTTGTAGTTGGCACTTTGCACTGCGCGTGCTAAAACGACATTTTGGTGTGTTGTTAGTTTTTGAAAAGACTCGTTTCACTGCATCATCTTCTGGGTTGCTTTGCTATAACGACATTTTGGACAAAAGCGAAAAATTCAGTAGGTGGAAGTCAAGGCTCCTGCTCCCATCAATTCACACTTAAGACTGTGGCTTGGTCTTGCGTGAAGTTAATCTCTAGGTGTAAAATCGAGGTTTCTATGTTACGTAGCGTAAATAGAGGAGCCTAGTAACTTGCAAAAGGGAGCGAAGCGGTGTGGTATTATCAGGATTCAGGATCATACCAGTTTGGACCTCTTTGGCCCTTAGGTGGGGGATCACTTGGCAGTTTGGACCTCTTTGACTCTTAGTGCTTTGTTCTCCGTGCCCATGCTGCCCGGTGGGCTTTGCGGGCTTCTTCTCCTGGCCCATTGCCTTGGGTTACTTTCTAACTGGATGGGCTCTTTCTTGGGCTTTCTTTTGGCCCCTTTAGTAATACCCCCAACAATTGCCCCCCCCCCCCGGTTAGGTGCTCATGGTTTTTTGCCTGAGCGCCTAACTTATCCCTCGGTCGGGGCGCTTCTTACGAGTCCCTTGCTCTCAAGGGGCGCCGGTTGCCCCTTTAAGCATAGCTTATTGACACCCGGGCCCTCGTAGTCGTTCAATGTTTGCCTTGCGCCCGGGCGCCCGCTCGTGTGGATGGGGGCTCTTAGGTTCATGCCCCCCCCTCTCGAAAGGCGCCCTACGCGCTGATTGCTCTTGGGCGCCCTCTTTGTGATTCTGACATGGGTCGTGCCATGGTAGGGACGCCTGATCAGGGCGCCTGGGTGCCCCCCTCACGGGCTGGACTTTGGGCCTCTATTTTAGAATATTCTTTTTAAATTCCAATTTCAAATTTTGAAAGTCAAAATTTGAAATTCAAAGCAAGGGGAGCTCAAAGGACCGCCCGTGACTTGGTGACACGTGTCAGTTGGCGCGATATTCGATACGCGCCCTTCATCCCTTTAAATACCCTCGCCTCCCTTCTATTTGTCATTTTCCTCGTTTCGCTCTCTCTCTTCATCTTTGCTCTGCCTTCTCTCTAGATTTTGCTCGAAGCTCTCCGTCGTCGGCCTTCTCGTCCTCCCTTCGCAATCAAATGGTCTCTCCTCAAGACCGAACTTCCGATGCGGGCGCCTCCCCCAATCGATCCTCCAATGAGGGCGCCTCCCCCAATCGCTCCCCCGACGCGGGCGCCACACCTGCTCTTCCTTTACACTCTGGTGCAGGCGCCTCCAACCGTCCCTCTGCTTCTGGTAAGTGCCCTGTCATGGACTCCTAACTGTTCTTGTAGGTTTTGGGCGTAAGTGAGATTCTTACTTCGACTCGGAATTGTACGTCTGGTTCGTTCTTGGTTTGGAGAGGGCGCCTGAGTCTGCAGGAGGAGCGAGCGCCTCCACCTTGGGTTACGTGCCAGCCGATGGCTCTTATAAGATCACCACTTGGGACAAGATATTTCCCCCTGATCATCTGCCAACTGATACCACCGGCCTTTCGTTTGAGGAGGCTGGCCCGGAGCATCAATCGACTGTGACCCTGGCGCGAGTTCATGAGTTGATGACTGGTCATAAACCCTAAACAAATATTGAAATGGGAAACCCATTATTAGCCCCTTCATCCAAACCCCCAAGTTTTATTTCTTGACCACCCACTCTAAATTTTATTTAAATCATCGGGGAAAAAACATACAACAAACCAAACGATCTATTGAGATTCGTTATTTCAAACTTCAGTGAGATTGATAAAAAAAACCAAAAACTTATATAGCAAGTAATCTATTAGTAACCCTACCATTCAAGTGATCTTTGTAATTGACCTCTCAATTAGTTGTAAAACAACTTTTTCTTTTCTGGATTCTAAATGTCCCAATCCTTGATCAATACACAGCACTCAGCAGCGCATTTAAGTGTAACATCAATACTCTCTTTTTATCATCACCCCTCCACTTAGTCGATTAAGCAATAAGGTCAACTTGACAATACAAACAACCTTTGAAGCAACGTATTATCATATCATCATATGTCGTTTATGAATTGAATTATCATTGGCTTCTCCATCATCACCGCCCTCGATCTTTTACTTTTTATCCAAAATAACATGTCGATATGACATCACTGCAGTATTTTCTAATCTAGCAAAAAAAAATTTATTAAATTAGACCGATCAGTACTATTTAGAACATGAAACGATAAAAATTTGGGCCATCCACAAACTAAAATATGGAGACTCAACTAGAGCTCAAGGCAGACGGAAAGAGAGCCCAAGTCAAAGAACAAAAATTTCTAGCATCGTCATCCAAGGCTTGGACCAAAATGTAAAATTTGAAAAGTTTTGGTACTAAAATGTCATAATGAAAAATTTTAGGTACCAAAATGTAAAATATAAAAAACATAGATACCAAATTATAATTTGTCATTTGGATCCATGGATTGATCTATCAATCCGCCAATCCAATTGGATTTGAATCAAATGGATTGGACTTAAATGGATTGAATTAGGTGGATAAAACAAAAATCCGATGAAAATGAGATATCTTGCCGGCCCACTAATGTGCAAATGCTTAATTTGTAGATATTTCCTAGTGATATTTCAAACAAATGGGGAAAAAAGAAAAGAAAAAGATCGAAGAGACCTAGAACCAACTAATTCTTCCACCACACCACTCTCTACCCTCTTTCTTTTGTCTCCCCTTCCTAAGCGATAAACAAAGCTCCAAAAGCAAAACCCTACCACCACAAATAATATAAAGTATTTACAAACACACACGCTTTGATCTTTGAAGAACACTCTATAATATTGCTTTTTCTATACATAATAACAAACACACACGCTTCCAAGCTTTCCCTCGATCTCCAAGATTCTTCTTTCCTTCACTTCGTATAGCTAAGATATATTATATAGATGGAGGAGCTGGCGGAGCTGGGCCACCTGTTCATGACGGTGTTCCTGTCGACGCTGTCGGCGATCATGGTGGTTCCGGCGATCACCGACGTCACCATGGAGGCGCTCTGCCCCGGCGTCGACGAGTGCTCCCTCGCCATCTACCTCTCCGGTTTCCAGCAAGCTGTACGTATGTAACTATGTATATATATATGCGCGTTTAATTCGTTACTACTTAGTGTTGGTTGCTAAAAATGAAGTAATTGGTTTCGGTCGCTAAAAAGTTTTGATCCGCCCGGCCGGAGAATGTTCTCCCGTGGAGATGGTAGTTTATTGTAAAAAATTTTAACACCTTAATTATTTAAAGATCAAATGAACCGTTTTTTGGATTAATAGGATAGGGAGATGCAGAATGAACCGTAAGCAGGATTACGGGTACTACCGATTGATAATATCGTAATTAACTAATGATTAATATAATTAACCTCCCTGACTGAAACAACTAGGCAACCCACTTTGGGAGTTTGGGTAAATTATAGTTTTGGTTTCATGGGGGACATAGAAGCTATCAATAAAAGATGACGATGACGACAACAAGCAGGAAAACGACGTCGAAGAGTAAGAAAAAAGAAAGCAAAAGGTGTTGTTGTATATTTCAATTTCACATATATTCTTTAGCATTTTGTTTCGTCGCGCTAACTATACCCTATCCAAAACAACTATTGCTGAGACGAATTTGATGAATCGAAGTATGCCGTGCGTCTTAACATTCATTCATTCTTTGTTTCTTTAATTTTTTTGTGATATTTGTTTTCTATTTATTTAACATCAATCGTAGTAATTTTGAAATGAGACATTTGGTCAAGTAGTAAAATCAAGGGTGATGTGTCTGTTGTCAGTGACGGAGCAGCTATGTATATCTCACGTTGACAGAATGAGAAGTTATCAACTCAGGTCGCTCAAAATCACAATAAATTTTTACTTCTAATTTGCTTACTATAAATTCTGGCTCGACCGTTGTTTGTCGTTGCAGGTGATAGGAGTGGGGACGGTGGTGATGATGCCAGTAATTGGGAATTTGTCGGACAGATACGGGCGCAAAGCTTTGCTCACGTTCCCCATCACCATCTCCATCATTCCTCTCGGTACAACTCTCTCCAAAACCCTAATTTGTTATTTCTTTTGTTTTGTTTCGTCGACATACATTCATTTTTCATTTGTTTGTTTGGTAACGTCGACATTCGTTCATTCTTCTACACTTGTCCTCTTGCCTCCAATCGGTTGAACCGAAGAGATCCTAACTTGAACTACCAAAAGTTAAAAATGGGGCCAAAGGAAGAGAGAGACATTCTTGTTTGTTCCTCATATCATCAATAATTCAAAGATATCCAAATCTAGCTTCCAAAATCCAAACCATACCGACATCAACATCAGGATGGTTTATTTCTTTAGCTTGGGTTGTGTGCAAAGGTTTCGGCTCGGCTCGTACCGGACCGAATTGGTATTTGGATCGGTTTAAATAGGTTCAATATGATACGTAAGAAAAAAAAGAGATTAAACCGATCTTTGAGCCTGATTAAATAGGTCAAAATCTTCCTTTACTATTGGACCGGTCGGACCGGATTGTTGCTCAACTCTACCTGCCTGCTATAAGGGTCATCCCTTGATTTGGCCCAAAGGTAATAAACAAAAATCTACAATTGAAAGCCCATAAGGAAAAAGGCTGAAACTAAGCTCGGCGGAAGCCCATATAAATATATAGGGCCCATTATTATCATAATAAAAGTAGACAAAAAGCCCAATAAGGAAATGAAGAGAGATTTGCTTTTGTCTTTCTTTCCTTTTTGCCTTTTGGGTGTAATCTTAATATTTTGCTGTTTTGCAGCAACACTGGCATATAGCAGATCAACAGAGTTCTTCTATGCCTACTACATTCTCAGGACACTCACTGCCATGCTCTCTGAAGGCAGCACCAATTGCCTTGCTCTTGCCTATGTGGTAAGCTAATTTCCTCCCAAATAATCAAACACTGATTCATCATTTCCCAAGTCTTAAAATTAATCACCATTGACATGGTTTTGCAGGCAGACAACATCTCAGAATCCAAAAGGACATCAGCATTTGGGATCCTAGCCGGTGTTGGCTCGGCTGCTTTCGTCTTTGGGACCTTAGCTGCTCGCTTCCTCTCCACCGCGCTAGCGTTCCAGGTTGCTGCAGTCCTGTCCATGGCTGCAGCTGTGTACATGAGAGTCTTTCTCAAGGACAAGCTGTCTGAAACAGGACACCTCTTAGCACAGCCAATCTTGAAGCAAATAGTCTCGAACGACGATGAGGTTGGTGACGGTGATAGCTGTGTTCTTACCAACAAGGTGGCATTCAAGGCATTTCCATCCGTTGGTGACCTTATTTCCTTGCTTAGGACCAGGTTGAACACCTTCTGATTTGGTTCTCTTAGTTCCATCTATGGCTTATTCTGCAAGGTTGTGACTTGTGTGTTTTGGGACTACAGTGTGACATTTTCGCAGGCAGCAATTGTCACATTCTTCAACAGTCTTGCTGAAGGTGGACTCCAAGCAGCGATGATGGTAATTGTAACTAACAACATTGCCTAATCAGATTGTGTTAACCAGAATTTTGTCAGATGAATGACGATTCTTCAATGACCATGTTTTTGCAGTACTATTTGAAGGCGCGATTTCAGTTCAGCAAGAACCAGTATGCTGATCTAATGCTGATTGTGGGTCTTGCAGGAATGCTGTCTCAAGTTAGTATACATTACTAATTAACTAATGTTCCTTAACTACTTTTCTCCCTTTTTTTTTTTTTTATCTCTTTGCCTCACCATTGCATCTTACCTTTTGTAATGGTGATAACAGCTTGTTCTGATGCCATTGTTGGCACCTTTCATAGCAGAACAGAAGCTGCTTTCACTTGGACTGTTGGTAGGCTGTGCAAATGTATGAAACCACCTTACATGTTGCTTTTTCATTTCATAACATTCATGAATGAACAGACCACTTGTTCCACTAATTCTGATATGCTGTGATTATCTATCTACCTGCAGACCGTTGTTCTGAGTGTCGCGTGGTCAGACTGGGTGAGAATCAATCAAACAGACCCTTTAGTTTATTCTTTTTCAATTCCATTCATCAAAAAAATTTGGCCATCTGTTACCAATTTCTTATCTTGACTTGCTATGCATTCAGGTTCCATATGCAACAGCAGTATTCGCTGTAGTTGCAGTTCTTGTAACTCCTTGTGTAAGTCCTTCCTACCTTCCCTTCCCCATCTTCCTCTCAATCTCCTTCTGCAGCCAGATGGTGCATTCCAATCTTGCTTCTCATGTTTTTCGCAGCTTCGTAGCATCGCGTCGAAGCAAGTTGGACCGAGTGAACAGGGGAAGGCTCAGGGTTGCCTTTCAGGGATAGGTTCCATTGGCAGCATCATATCTCCATTGCTCTTTAGCCCTTTGACAGCTATGTTCCTTTCTGAACATCCACCATTTGACTTCCCTGGATTCAGCATTCTGTGCATCGGATTCATGACGGTAAATTCATACATACTATATGGCTAACAAGTAACATCAATCCGATTTCTAGCTTAACTAACTGCTCATCCATTCTCATCGATTGGTTGATTTGGTGGAAATCCTACCATGTTTTTTTGCAGATGATTGCCTTCATTCAGAGTCTAATGATAACTGCAGATCATCATCAGATCCCAACTCACAAGATCGACTGTAGTGACCGCATGGAGGCCTCTAGTTGTGATCACTTGAGATAGTAGTAGTAGTTCTACAGAGAAAAATGCACAAAATGGAAACAGAACAAAAGGGTGGCCCCTGTAAGCATCAAAGCAAAAACTAGTAGCTAAGATAATGATCCATCAGTTAGTTTCATATGTAGACACCTTGTAAAATTGTTATGGCATATACATATATATGGTAAACCCTAATGTATAGTATCCTATATGGTGTATTTCAAACAACTTCAAACTATCAGAATGGGGGTTTGCGTTTAAAGAATTAGGTGTTCATCCTGAGCCAGGATCGAACTCTCCATGAGATTCTTAGTTGTATTACTTATAGCTTCCTTGTTCGTAGACAAAGCTGATTCGGAATTGTCTTTCATTTCAAGGCATAACTTGTATCCATGTGCTTCATATTCGCTTAGAGTTCGCTCCAAGAACCGGCTGATGTTGAAGAATCAGCGGATGAGTTGTGGTTAGGGGTGAAATGCCACTCGAACCCAGAGCTAGCTGGTTCTCCCCGAAATGCGTTGAGGCGCAGCAGTTGTAGACTTCACCAACCAGAAATTCGGGTATAGTATTCATGATCTGGGTAGCATCATCTCACTAGGAGTTTTGTATACTTCATGAGTATATATTGCTCAATTCCTTCTTACACCTAACTAAACCCCGGATTGATTTAATTGGGGGAAATTCCAAATGATGTTCTTTTTTAGTGTGTTTTCCTGAAACCTGACAAGGAGGCTAGAGAATTTGATAATATTTTAAATATATCCACCAAGCATAATCGACTATGTGCGACAACTATGTCCTAGACAAAATTGCTTCAACACTTGGGAGATTTATATCCTCCAAGCATATAAATGCACCTTTGATTCCAAATCTTGTTTATTCTCATTTTTACAAGTAGTGTTTCGAATAAACTTTGTTATTTGACATTATTAAAAAAAAATTACTTCATTGCAAGAAATGGGATAGGATTTTGAGGGTGGTGCGATTGAATTTTTTTCCGAATCATATAAAGTTATGATAAAACATATGAGAAAACACTTTATGAATGAAAAATAGTGATCATAGAATCAATAATTGAGTCTAACTAATTGAAAGATCGACTCTAACTAGTTGAGGAAAAGTCAAAATAGAAGAAATGTGAATAGATACTATAATAAATTGAGATAGAATAGTCAGGATGGGGGTGGGACAGGGTGTGACGGAGGTAGATACCCCATATCCCGTCTCACGCTACTGCGGGTTGGATAATACCCACCTCATTGCATATTAGAACAAATAATATTCGATTGGTGGGTTCAAATTGCCATCACTAATTTCGAGATGCCTTAAGGTACAACATCTTTCCTCTCTACCTTCCCTAGTTGTTGATACACCCATAAATTGTCAATTTGGGCAATTGCACGAGCACGATATACCCGTTACATCAATACAATTTTATTTTTATAGATACATGAAATCAATTTCATTATCGTTACAACTTGCAAATGATAGGGACTTATAATATATTTCTATTTCTAGTACAAATCAGTGATCGTGAGTCATGGATCACTAGTGCAGAAAATAAGGTTAAATATTTTTCTCTAAAGGTGTACGAGGTTTTTTTTTTTTTTTTGAAAATTCATATTTTGAAATCGTCTCTACTCTCTATATATAACTAATAAGTTAGGAAAATAACATTTAAATATTTAAGATGTATTATTATTATTATGTGGTTTATTCATGAGCTTTATCTAGACACAAATAATCATACATATAGAGGCAAATTGTATATCAAGTGTGTTTCTAGAAACAACTATTATTATATGTATATTGTTATGACTGTGCGGGTTTAACCTAAAGTGGATAATATCATACTAATTAAGCTATTCGGTTTTGACATATATCAATATTCAATAATTTAGTTTCTATATACCGATTTTCTTATAATCACATGGAACTGAGATAAGTTTTCAGTTTCGATTCGGTTTTTATGCGAATACTCCAGGGTAAAATCATTCTTGGTTAATAGTTCCACGGTTGAGATGCTAAAGAACAGACTTTTTACTCTGTTCTCGCCCCAGTTTTCCACATGTGTTTCCTGACTACTTTTTTCTGAGCCGGCTGCTTGGTTAAGGATTACTCAGAGTAATGTATGAATTATCTCCTATTTCGTCAAAATCACGATTCTACGATAGGAAGCGTTTTGGTGACCTAGAACTGTAGATTTTGACTATATTTGTAAGTGAAAAGCGTGATTCAATGTAGAAGCGTTTTTGGGGACATATACAAATGTAAAAGTGTAAGCTTTTACGGTTTATATCGCGATTTTGACTACATATTTACATCATATTATTCTAATATTAATAATTAAAATTGATAATTTGATGACTAAGACCACGTTTAGCGAGAGAGGGGTGACTGATTAGTTGGTTGGCACACATAAAATCTAGTGTTCGATTCACCCATCAATTAGTTAGTGCATAACATTCTTGAATAGTATCGAGGGTTGCGAATTTTGCCTGACGAGACGACGACATCACTAAATGTAGAGTCTTTTTTTTTTTGACAAAAGATAATCATATATTGATAATGAAAACGATAGTTACATCCTGGAAACCAGCCAGGCCTGGAAATTAAAAGCACGACTCATAGTCGGATACAAGGCGAGGGCTTTTCTAGCCACCAAATGGGCTACCCTATTTCTATGCCGACCTACAAAACGGACACTGAACCCAGGGCTACTGTCAAAGATCTTTATCACCTCATCCAAAATAGCACCCAACCTGCTGTCTCTTGAATCCCTCCTCCTGATTTTGTCAATGACAACCTTAGCATCTCCCTCAAACCTAACCGAGGCTAAACCTTGACCCAAGCACCAGAGAAGAGCCTCACGTAGCGCAATCAACTCCACAGTCGCAGGATCATCAATGGCTGGAAACTGGACACCGGCAACCCTGAGGACGGCACTAGAGGCAGTCATAAGCACCATGCCACCCGCCGAATGCGAACCCCTCCTCGTGGCACCGTCCCAAGTACAGACAAACGCAGCAGAGCCCACCATCCCAGGGCCTTGTTCCACTACTACCGGGGTCGGGAATCTGTCTTCAACCGGGAGGCGCGCCCATTCCTCCACTTGCTGGGTAAATTGGCGTAAAAGCGCCGGAAGACTAAATTGCTTTCCTTCAAAAACAACCCAGTTTCGGGCCTTCCATATCCGCCAAAGTACCGCAAAAATGGCCATCCACAGCGACGGCTGAGAAACCAAGGCCAGCAACTTTTTAAGGAACAGAGGAAAGGTATGCCGTGGAAGGCCATCCCCTAGATGTTCCAACCCCGCCGCCCCCCATAGGGCACGCGCGACCGGACAATCCAAAAAAAGATGCTCCAAAGTTTCTGGGCCTCCCCAACAGACCGGACAACGGGGCAGGACCGGGATATGGTGACTAATAAGCGCCTCAGTAGTCGGCAAAATTCGATTGAAGATCTGCCAAGCAAAAACCTTCAGCTTAGGCGGGATATTAGCCTCCCGCAGCCGAATCCAACTAGCCCTATCCATCCAATCTACAGAAGCCCTCCCACTCCCTCTCCTTTTCTCCAATGAGACAGCAGATGGTAAGCCGATTTGACCGAGAATACCCCATCCGCTGTTCCATACCAAATGAGCTTATCCTCAACATTGTCTCGCGGGAGCGGGATAGCCTTGATTAGACGGCACGTCACGGGGTCAAACCACTGCAATAGCTTTTGGTCACACCAACGTCCCTCCCCTTGACAAATAAGCTCGGCCACCAGAGGGTCACCACCAGCCGGCAATACCTGCGGATTGTAACAAATGGGCTGAAACTGAAATTCCGGGACCCAAGTAGAATGGAGCATAGATGCTGAGCGCCCATTCCCAACCTGCCATCTCAATCCCATCTCTAGGAGCTGGCGACTAAACAGGATACTCTGCCAACCCCAGGAAGGCCTAGACCTAGCTTTCGCTGTTAGGAAATGGCCATTAGGGAAGTATTTACCCCGATACACTTGGGCCAGCAAGGAATTCGGTTCACTGATGATACGCCACCCAATTTTAGCCAAGAGTGCCTGATTAAAAAGCTCAAAACGGCGGAACCCCATACCCCCCTCATGCTTACTCCTGCACATGTCCCGCCACGACATCCACCGCACCCTCGAATGCCCTTCATTCTCACCCCACCAGAAACGGGCCACATGCCTGTCTAAAAGGCGGCACAGGGACAAAGGGAGCTTGAAACAGGACATCACGTGCAGCGGCAGAGCCAGGGCAATGGATTTAATAAGCGTTTCTTTAGCTGCCCACGAAAGAGTCCTCTGTTTCCATCCCTGGAGACGTTCCAACAATTTGGCTTCCACATAACGGAATGTCTCCATCTTCGATCTGGCCACCAAAGACGGGAGACCCAGATACTTATCATGGACGCCAACTGCCCCCACCCCCAGCACTGCTGCCAAGAATTCTTGGTCTTGTTGCACTATATTCCTACTGAAGCACACTGCCGATTTGGCCAGATTAACCCTTTGGCCACTCAATTCCTCATATTCATTGAGGACTTCAATAAGGTTCTCACACTCCTGGAGGTTACCTCGCAGAAACAGATACGAGTCATCGGCAAAAAATAAATGTGACAATCTGGGCGCCCGTGGAGCCACTTTGATCCCAACCAACTTTTTGTCCGCTATCGCCCTCTGGAGAAGCGCCGCAAACCCTTCAGTACACAGCACAAAAAGGAGAGGCGACAACGGATCCCCTTGGCGCAACCCCCTAGAAGGGGAAAAGTATCCCGACGGAGTACCATTCATCATAACTGAGAAAGAAGCAGAGATGAGGCATTCCTTAATCCATCCTACCCAGGTAGAGCTAAAACCCATCTTAACCAAAACTTCAAGGAGAAAGGGCCATTCGACTCTATCATAGGCCTTTTCCATGTCAACCTTCAGGGCCATGAACCCTTTTTTCCCTTGTGTTTTGGTTTTCAAATAATGCATGAGCTCATGCCCGAGTAAGATATTATCCACTATCTGACGCTCTCTGATAAAGCCATTCTGACCTTCTGAAACCACCTGAGGAAGAATCACGGACAAGCGTTCTGCCAAAATCTTGGTTATAATTTTGTACACGAATTGGCATAAGCTTATGGGACGCAACTGCTTCATTGTTTCCACAGAATCCACTTTAGGGATTAATGTGAGCCAGGTGTGGTTGAAACTGCGTAGCAACCGCCCAGAGGTGAAGAAAGAACAGACTGCTTCAACTACCGAAGGTCCCACAATATCCCAGAAGGCCTTAAAAATTTTTCCAGTGAAACCGTCTGACCCCGGGGCTTGTTTTGAACCCATGGCAAACACAGTTCTTCGGACCTCATCCGGGAGAACAGTAGCCGTTAGAGCTTCATTCATGATCGGGGTCACACTTTGGGCAATAGGCAAACTATGAATACGTCTATGCATATCCTGAACCTGGTTTTCGGACGTGAAGAGGGTACTGTAATATTTAGTAGCAATATCCGCTTTCCCTTTCTCATCCGTCACCCATTGGCCATCATCATCCCGAAGCCCACTCACAAAATTCTTTTTCCGACGGGTCCTCGTCACCGTATGAAAATACGATGAATTTTTGTCCCCCCTTTGTAACCAACGGACTCGGGATTTTTGCTGCCAGTATTCCTCCTCCGCCTCCCATTGTCTACCTAACTCAAGCTCAAGAGTTCGGACCTCATCCCAATTAATGGGATGGGTTTGCTTGAGGCGGTCAATTTCTGCCTGCAGAGTCCTAATATTTCTTAACGAATTGGTCGTTCCTGCTCTGCTCCAATCATACAACAAATGACAAAGGTTCTTGAGCCTCTCCCAAAGACGAAACATGGGAGTTCCCTGAACCTCTTCCTTCCAGACATAGGTCACCATGGCTCTTACTTCCGGATTATCGGCCCAACGCGCATCAAACCTGAAAAGGGGCCGATTATTGCGGACGTAAGGCTTATCGGAAAGCAAGAGTGCCCGGTGATCCGACCCCTGATCCGTAAAGTGTTTCACTAGAGTATCAGGGAAACGGTCCAGCCAGGACTGGGAGCAAAGAGCTCTGTCTAAGCGCTCCCGAATACAAGCTGCCCCCATTCGCTTATTTGTCCATGTGAAAGTATCCCCTGATACCCTGGATCAATGAGGCCCATGTCATGGATAAAATCACGTAAGCTAATTGTATTAAGGGGTTCTTTGTAGAGTCTATCAAGGGGTTCTTTGTATTAAGGGGAAAAAAAAAACTATTTTTAAACTTGAGGGGTATAATATGTACTATTGTGTTCGTGAGTACGCTATAAGCCGATATATATTATCGTACAGTTGTGGTTAAGAAGAGACGAAATAATTAGAGAATTTGAAGTTGCGTGAAAGGAAGAGCAAAGGGTCCACTTATTATTTATTGGTACGCTTAATCTAATAATTAAGAAGAGGTGATCCCCAAATATGACGTGAGAACTTTGGACTAATTAAGGTTCAATTGACATCGCAAAGATTCCATGGGCTAAGCTAAGATCTTCACCTGCTTCTTCTAGCTACCCCATCAATCAAAACAATTCAATTTTCACCTTATTGATGTTCGAATAAAAGATTTTTTTTTCTCACGTAATGATAATATTATGTTATATTAATTAACCTGATTAATCAATTAATTAAGCTGATTAAAGTTTCATTTAATTAATTTGATTTTTGTATCAATTTGATCGATTTAGTTAAGATACAGTGTTTTATGGATTACATTGGACCTAATAGTAAAATCCCTCGTCATAAAAGAGCAAAAATATTTTCAGAATCACCAATAGCTTGTCTCGAATGAAAATGACTCAGTGCTTGCCCTACGTACTAAAGATATTGAAATCTTAAGGAATGATAAATATATTGTAGAAAACTTGGGGTCGCATTCATATTACATATGTTCACATTCATATTAGAAAACAATAATTTAGATGCTGCCATCTGGGCAGTTGGTGTAATTCTATTATATGTTCATTAACTTATTGTTTTTGTTTTAGTGTATGATTTAATTGAATTATATGTTCATTAACTTAGTCTTATTGTTTTAGTTTATGATTGAACTTAAAATTGGAAATGGGTACGATATTGGTATCTCGATATCAAAAAGTTGAAATCTTAAATATAGAATAATGTTTTAAAATCAATTTTGAAATAAATTTGATAAACCAATCCCAAAATATTTCGGTGCGGTATTGAAATTTCTGAATACCAAATTAATTATCTTCGTAGTTAACAATTTAATATATGAATAAACAAACACAATCCAAAGCAGGTTTATATAGTGTAGGCTTGTATGTTTAATTTCATGATTGAAAATCTTGGGATGTTGTGATGAGAAAAGGCTAATGAAATAAATAAAAAACTAATCAAAGTCTCAATTGAATGGATTCCGTCGGACTATCTATCTATTGAATGAATTCGTCACAGATTCTCATTTTAATCTATTTAAGAGACTAAATAAAGGGTCCTGATTTTGTCCAGAGTTAGGGAAGGGAGAAGGAGAAATGAGGAAATGATGATATCTCAACTTCTTGATAATGTTTGATTTGATGGAAAATGCTAAATGAAGATCCTATTTTTTAAATATATAATTAAAACACAATACTTCATAAAAGTAATTAGCATTATGCATAAGACCCTGAAATATGAACAAAGCTCTAGCTAGTACGGTATCCCGTAAACTAACAGACTAGTTATTCTGCTAACTTGAAGATTTGTTAGTATATACTAACTAATATCCAAAATGTATGAACTAATATCCAAGTTTGTTAAGTATCTAGATAGTACAGAGTATAGACTAGTATTCTAAACATCACAAACTAGTATCCGGATAGCAGAACCCTTATGAGTATCCATATTGAATACTAGTTGGTTGATTGTGGATACCAACTAATATCCACAATCAACCAACTAGTATTCAATATGGATACTCATAAGGGTTATCTGGATACTCTTATGTGTTATCTTGGATACTAATTATGTTCTGTTTGGATACTATTTTGTAGGGCTGGCTATTTGGTCCCGGACTGTTTGGTTTTACTCGAAACCGGACCGTATAACCCGGACCGGGACCGGACTGGGACCGGATAGCAAACAATGCAATATCATATTCGGGCTTAGATTTGAGGTAAAAAAACCAGATAAAGACCGGATAAGAGACCCCAACACCTAAAATCAAGATAAAATTGGGACCGGACTGGATCAAGACCGGATTGTATCCAATCCAATCTTTGGTCCTTATATTCCCGAAAAGACCGGACTGGGACCGGATCAATTTGGTCCATTTTAACCGGACCGGACCGTATAGCCACCCTTACTATTATGTGTTGTCTAGATATTAGTTTGTGAATTTGGGATAACATTTGATTCATGATGGATATTAGTTAGCAAACTTTAAATACTAGTCCGTGCCCTCTAGATACTTTAGTACTTGGATATTAATTCATATATTTTGGATATCAGTTAGTATCTACTAACAAATCTTCAAGTTAGCAGATTAACTTTCCCCCTTAAACGGCCATCAATATATATATATATATATATATATATATATATATATGGTTATGAGAGGTAAAATAAGAAGAAAATAGAACCTTAGTGATTACCCACTCTTAATTTTTTTAAATCTCGACCATTAGATCCTGCACTTGATTAGCAATAACTCATAATGTCATTCCTCCATTGAACAAGGCTGGCCAACAACGGTGGTGTAGCCAGAATTTTATTCAAGAGGTGCATTGAAATAATTTTTTAGCAATAACTCATAATGTCATTGCCATCTCATTTTTTATATTATGAAATTATTTTAAAAATACATAATTGTCCAAACTATTACAATTTTTCTCTTAATGTTATCCCACCAAATAATCATTCACATTTTTTCACTCGATTCGAACGCTGGTCAACTCATTTCATTGCAGAAAATTTTATATCAACATTTGTATTGAAAAAATGTAGTATCAAACTTAACTTAGTTTCACAGGCAAATATATTGGCGGGAACACATTTTATCTTCAGACTATCGTTATCATAAAAAAAAAATTAATTATTTTCTCTAATAATCAGCACCCTATTATCCATTTTGATAAACTAGATTGTATTTATGTAGAAATTAATAGGTAAAATTAATTAATATAATTGAATGCAATGGGATTGTAAATAATTGAAAATTAACATTGAGCTTTGGATTTCAAATTTTATTATTATCGTATAAATACTTTGTGTGTTTCGAGGGTGCCATGGAACACCCTCCTCCACCTTTGGCTACGGCCTTGGCCAACAGGGTGTGCCGGGAGATCCTCCGACACAACGCCCTCCATCATCGTAGATTCGTATTTCTATTAGTTGATACATTCCTATATTATACGATGAACTTATTGTTCAAAATTGAGTGATTATTGTTATGGTAATGCTAGGGATGATAATTTCGACCTGACTCGATTTACCCGACCCTGGCATTGAAATATTAGTGTAGCTCGCATAAGATGGGTCTATAAATACCGCATTCTTGGTTAAGCTTTTAGATACACAACACAGCACACATCGATCAATATTATCATCAACACCAAGCATCTCATTTCTTATCAACATAGCCATGGCTGCTTCCTTGTCCACTTTCACCATGATCGCCGCCGTCCCTCCGACTCCCACCACTGGCCGGAACATTACTCCTCTTGCCAGCTTAGCCCGCCCAGCCCATAGTTATCTCTCCAAGTCACCCAATCTGATGATGATCTCCGGCCGCAAATCCACCGCCGTTCCTTTTGCCGTCTCCACCAACAAGGCCGAGGCGACCGGCGGCGGGGATTTCGCCCTTGCTCCCCCACTAGTTGCCTTCGGCAAGCAGGCTGATCAGGCCGCCGACTCCACCGGCGGCGGGGAAATCATCCTTTTGCTCCCACTGCTGCTTCTCTTCGGCAAGCAGGCTGATGTTAGTATTGAGTAGTAATATGGCATACTACGAGTATTGTCAGCTGCCTGTCTGCTTGCAGTTTGTTTAATTTCGTCTGTCTGTTCTCGTGTCGTTTTTCCTCAAAGTTATTTTTCATGCATATGTACTAAGTAATAAGAAGTCAAAAAGCATGCGAGCCGTCGCCGGACGCCGGCAGTACTCCCTGCTGCCGGGCATGCATGTGACTGTAATTTAAATATTTGTGTGTGGTTGTATTTGTATCTGGCTTTCTGTTGCTATTGTAAGAAAATAAAATAAGCAAAAGTTATGTGTGTTTATCTTTTAAGGATAATTTCACTAGGAAGTTCAAACTACTCAAAAATTATCATTTGTGTTTTAAATTATTCAATATAACAAATCTGGTCCAAACTATATGCATTTTGTGTCATTTATGGCCTAAACTATTTAATATGAAAAATCTGACCCAAACCATATAGAAGCTGACGACATTTTCTATGATCTACTAACGGTCAACGTCGGTCAACATTAACAAAAAAATAGTCTAGGCCAGATTTGTTATATTAAATAGTTTAACCCACAAATGACACTTTTTGAATAATTTGAAATTCCTAGTGAAATGAGCCCTTTTATCTTTACAATGGCATCAATTACTATGTCTTTGGCAAGAAGGCAAACACGTACGAGTGGTGATTCGGACATTACAGGCCTCGAAGTTAAAAAAATAATTGGATTTGTTCCTAAAATAATTGGATTTACAATGGCATCAATTACTATGTCCAGAAACCAGTTTGATTATCTTAAGATTACGTCGTCCACCAATGCTCCATATTTACGGAATATTAATTGGGACAAAGAGGGCCCACCTATCTTTATGAATTTGTTCCGGCACTAGATCCACAAGCATAGATAGCAATTTTTACCTAAATCATTCTAACTGGTTTGTTGATGCATTGACCGAAAATTTCTTTGTTTAATGATAATTTGATGTTATATTGGTTTATTTGAATAATCAATTAATCAAAATGATTAAATTTTTTCTTTTTAATTTTGTAGTTGTATTATTTAGACGGTTTGTTTATGATATTGTATTTCATGGTTAGTAGAATTTACGCTTATTGGTTTGGTAATTACCATGATAACACTACAACAAAAACTAGCTTTTGCAACAAAAAAGTTTATAACCAAATTAAAATTGGTTGTGAAAAGGTTACTTTACACCACCAATTATATTTTGGTAGCTAAAACTTTAACAAATTGGTTGTCTATTAAAATCAATGTATTGATAACCAAATAAAACATGAGGAGACCAAATAATTTGGTAGCAAAATAAATTTTATGATTTCCAACCAAATAAATTTGGTAGCAAAATTATTTTTATTTTCAACCAAGTAATTTTGGTAGCAAAATCATCTTTAGTTTTTCCAACTAAATAATTTGGTTACAGATGCAATAAAAAGTTTCCAGCAACTAATTTATTTGGTTGTGATTATATTGATGTTACAAAAATAATTAGGTGCTATATTTTACTATCATTAAAATTTGGAACTGATGAGTAACAGGCTCCGGATCTCCCCTTACTTCCTACCTTCTCCCTCCTAAGTCCTACCGAATTCTGCCAACCGAGAACCCAACTTCTTCTTCTTCTCCTTAATTCCCCAGATTCCCTCTTTGCTACTCTGAATTCGTCGATAGCAAGTAAAATCGATCCCCAAAAATAAATTTTGGGCGGCGTGTTAGGCGACCGGCCGAAAAAAAATTTGCGGCCGAGGCGCCGTCGGGCCGAAAGAATTTTTCGGCCGGGCGTGTTTTTCGCCGGAAAACTGGAAAACTTGCCGGAAAAGTAAACTTACTTGTTTTTCGACGATTGAGGGCGATGGGAGGTTGGCCGGTGACGGAGGCACTGGGCTCGTCAACAGAAGTTTTTTTTGGAATGAGTCAAATGTCAAATGTCAATGGATGCGTGTACGCAGTTTATGTCGAGGATAGGCTTTCCCGATGATTTTCCGGCGACTTTTCCGGCGAGCGTCGAATTTTTCTGATTCAATACGTTCTCTGAAAGTTGGATATGTTGTAGATTGTGAAACTCTTTAACCAAAGATGTATATATATTTGCGGCAAATAGCAAGCCCTCCAAATAAAAGCACACTCATGCAAACTAATTGCAGAAAATGACTGCCCTTTTCGATTGCCTTCCACACCTTGACAATGGTGAATTATGATGATGACAAAGTTCGAAACTGACGAGTTAATTATAGTGTAAAAAGGACGATGATTGCACATTAATTCAATCTTAATTTGTCTGAATTTTGATTGGTCAAACTCGACAATCAACGCGAGAAATCGCTCTGTTGTAAAAGGTTATAATGAGGGGCTAACATGTTCCGATGGTTATTGACTTTTACCAGCAAAAACTAGAACGAGAGGAGGTTTCCCGTAGTTTGCGAGGGTTTTCTCAACTTAAATAATAATAATAATAATAATAATAATAATAATAATATTAATATTAATATTATGACAACACACAGCCATTCAGAAAGAACCACAAATTAATTTGAAGGAAACACATCTTGACTTAATGACTTATTTTATGGTATTCCCATTATCATGGGAATCACTTTTAGAAATCACAAAGAGGACAAACGAAAAATCGACTAATTAAGAGGGGAAGATACGACATAATTTCATGTTAATTACTCTGTCTTGGAAAGCAGAGCAGGCTCAGGCAGGTTTCAGCCTTGTCCACGGCTTCGGCTTTCCTCCCGAACACCGGAAAACCAGTAACCCAGCCGGCGGCGCCGCCACCGGATGAGTCCACGGCCTCAGCCGAAGAAATAAATTAAAATAGGATAAAGGAAGTTGTCGCCATTTCCACTGGTCGGATCAACGGCTTCAGCTGCCTTGTTGCACAAGATAGGAGGAAGAAGGAAGTTGTCGCCATTTCCGTTGGTCGGATCAACGGCTTCATCTGCCTTGTTGCACAAGATAGGCGGAAGAAGGAAGTTGCGTCTACCGGTCGAACCAACGGTTCCACCCGAGAGCGGAAAAGGGAAGGCGGTGGCGGCGGCGGATAGGGTTTCGACCTCCAAGTAATAATTTGACGTGTCACTGCGGCGAGAGACAATCTTGGGTGGCTGCGGGAAAGTAGCACGGTGGCCGCCTAAGCCGGCAACGGTGGTTCTCCGGCCAGTGGTGGGAGTGGGAGGGAAGGTGGTCATGGTGAAAGTGGAGAAGGAAGCCATTGTTGTTGTAGTGAACAATAAGTCAATACCTATATTTCTCTGCGTAGTTTGGTGTGTGTGTCTAATATAATTAAGCTCTCCCAATGCGGTATTTAAAGGCACTGATCACTAGCTGGCTATTGGGCGGATTCTATAAGGGCTGGCTATTTGGTCCGGGTTTTTTTGGTTTTACCCAAAATCGGACCGTATAACTTGGACCGAGATCGGATCGGGACCAGATAGTAAACAATCCAATCCAATTTTTGGGTTTAGATTTCAGGTAAAAAACCGTTCGGGACCGGATCGAAACTGGATAAAGACCGGATAAGAAAACTTAAGGGTAGTTTGCATAAACGGTCAGAAACCTTTGCACTTAGTACAAAACTTAACCAACTCCTCACCCTTTCAGGCCTTAGGCCACCCCACAAACTCAATATAAAATCAAGACCGAATTGAGACCGGACCGGGTCAAGATCGGACTGTGTCCAATCCAATCTTTGGTCCTTATATTTTCAAAAAGACCGGACTGGACCGGATCAATTTGGGCCAATTTAACCGGACCGGAGCGTATAACCACCCCTAGATTCTATAGTGTCGTGCCGGTACTAGTGCCGCCTGCTTTTCAGGGCCGGCTCGTGTTTTTCGGAGGCCCTGTTAGAAAATTAAAAATGTGGTTCTAAATATTTATTCTTACGAATTTATTATAAAATAATTAATAAATAATATTCACAAACTGATTACACAAAGAATAATATCGTTTATTAAAAAAAAAAACAAAGAATAATATCGTCTGTCATTGTCTAAAAAAAATCACTGAATCCTTTGCGGGCCGGCATACTGTACGGTCGATCGGCTATAGATGCTACTCCGCAAGTACCTGCAAACAAAAAAGAGCCACCTTTTTTACATTAGTTAGTGGTGATGATAATAAACCAAGTCGGAAGGAACAAAAACTAGGCCGGCGAGATGCTGCTACTGGAGGGAGAATCCAACAAATACATTTGGCAACAAAATTTGTCTAATTGTGTGCTTAGTCGGTTAGAAATAGGAACTGTAATAGGTCACCTTGTTGCATTGAATATATATATATATATATATACTTGAGATCAGCGGCGGATCCAGAACACAGAAGTGTACTGGACCGTATTTTATTAGAAAATTAGAATAGTAAAAAAATATAATGATTATAATTTTTTTACAATGTAAATCGTACACGACGGTATTTTAATTTAGCGAATGCATTAATAATGGAGTCCACATCCATACCAATAGTATACACTGTTTCAAATAAAATACTTGAGCAATCGACTAGAAATCCATCGCTCATTTTGTTGTGCAAATCAATTTTCATATGTTTCGTTGTTGAAAAGGTTCTATTCGTATTAGTTGTTGAAACGAGCATCATCAACACTAGACAAATCAATCTACTAATCAATTTGCATTGTGTTCCATTCCTATATCCACCAGCTGCTCTAGTAAATTTTCCAAGGTAACAAACCTCATATATGTTTAGTCTTTTTCGTTTTAAACTTTTTGAATTTTTAGGTTTCATTGTTTTTTTAGACGAATAACCTTTGGGTTAGAATTTATAAGCTAAATTTAGAGTAGTGATTTTGAATATGTTCATCTTAATTATTTTTCTAATTATACCCAATCTTATTTTAAAATAACAACGACCCGAATATCTAAAATCGAAAAATTCATAAGGCCTATAATAACTATGGATCCAGAGGAGGGCTGGGCCGGGGCCCGAGGTGGCCACCCTCTGGATCCGCCACTGCTTGAGGTTGAGGCCCAAAATTTGTTATGTGCTCCAATTTGTTACAGAGGTAAAGTATTTTATGGCAAAACCGTGGTTAAATCGTAGTTCAATCGTTAGTATGGTTAAATACCGCCTATTAATTTAGCTTCTGATGCTATTATTTTGTGGTTGAACCGCCGATACGGTACGGTTTCGACTTTCGAAAATCGTGATTTTGCACCGATGTTCAGGGCTTGGGATCTGGCATGGTCCATGGTCAGGTCATGATAGGCCAGAAACTCGATAAGATCCAGCTTAATCCATAACAATGTTGGGCTGAGTAATGAAAGCCAAAATTAACTGACGCAGACGATCATCCAACACGTAGGGATGAAATCATGCATGCATGGCACGGTAATTCCCTTTCAAAGGATTACTTCATTTCATAAAAGTAAAAAAAAAAAAAAAAGAGTAAAATTTTTGTATCCAAAAGTAATTAATCAGAGAATTAATTCCGGAAATACAAAAATAATTAATTAAGTAGCCAAAATTCAATTCCGGAACGTGTCGCGTAGCTATCATTTTTTTTTTCGCACACATTTTTCGCAAAACCACCAACCAATTCATCCAATAAAGCTAAGTGGGAAGGATACTTATAAATCACTTTGCACTGTCCTTCTTTGGTCCGGTCTGTTACATTAATTTCACACAAACAAATTCTTCCCCTACCTTTATTACTTAATTATCTTACAATGATTTTGATCATAACAATAATTGTATGTCTCAGCATAGTGCGCACTCTTCTGATTGGTTGCGTGTTGTTCCTATTGTTTGGTTGGGGCAGACTATGAACGGGAGGACATATCGTAGTGTGCTTAGTTATCGACTGGGTATCCAGTTGTTTTTTTATGTCTAAGCCATGTCCTGCTTGTCCACGTGTCTTTCCTGGTGATGTCTTTGGGGATCATTAGCACAACCTCGTTCGTGACACTTTATTGGAAATCTGTTACATGTCTGAGATTTCCGCCGGTAGGGAGGTTGATATCGGTTTGGTTGATGAGCATGGCAGACCCCCTCGTCCTGCGAATTTGCTGCTTTATTCCTGGGATAGGGGGTGAGATGTGTGTATCGATTTGACTGGGTCTTCACCCAGTGGCGGAGCCAGAAAATTTATATAAAAGCACACTCATGCAAACTAATTGCAGAAAATGACTGCCCTTTTCGATTGCCTTCCACACCTTGACAATGGTGAATTATGATGATGACAAAGTTCGAAACTGACGAGTTAATTATAGTGTAATAAGGACGATGATTGCACATTAATTCAATCTTAATTTGTCTGAATTTTGATTGGTCAAACTCGACAATCAACGCGAGAAATCGCTCTGTTGTAAAAGGTTATAATGAGGGGCTAACATGTTCCGATGGTTATTGACTTTTACCAGCAAAAACTAGAACGAGAGGAGGTTTCCCGTAGTTTGCGAGGGTTTTCTCGACTTAAATAATAATAATAATAATAATAATAATAATAATAATAATAATAATAATAATAATATTATGACAACACACAGCCATTCAGAAAGAACCACAAATTAATTTGAAGGAAACACATCTTGACTTAATGACTTATTTTATGGTATTCCCATTATCATGGGAATCACTTTTAGAAATCACAAAGAGGACAAACGAAAAATCGACTAATTAAGAGGGGAAGATACGACATAATTTCATGTTAATTACTCTGTCTTGGAAAGCAGAGCAGGCTCAGGCAGGTTTCAGCCTTGTCCACGGCTTCGGCTTTCCTCCCGAACACCGGAAAACCAGTAACCCAGCCGGCGGCGCCGCCACCGGATGAGTCCACGGCCTCAGCCGAAGAAATAAATTAAAATAGGATAAAGGAAGTTGTCGCCATTTCCACTGGTCGGATCAACGGCTTCAGCTGCCTTGTTGCACAAGATAGGAGGAAGAAGGAAGTTGTCGCCATTTCCGTTGGTCGGATCAACGGCTTCATCTGCCTTGTTGCACAAGATAGGCGGAAGAAGGAAGTTGCGTCTACCGGTCGAACCAACGGTTCCACCCGAGAGCGGAAAAGGGAAGGCGGGGGCGGCGGCGGATAGGGTTTCGACCTCCAAGTAATAATTTGACGTGTCACTGCGGCGAGAGACAATCTTGGGTGGCTGCGGGAAAGTAGCACGGTGGCCGCCTAAGCCGGCAACGGTGGTTCTCCGGCCAGTGGTGGGAGTGGGAGGGAAGGTGGTCATGGTGAAAGTGGACAAGGAAGCCATTGTTGTAGTGACAAAGAACAATAACTATATTTCTCTGCGTTGTTTGGTGTGTGTGTGTCTAATATAATTAAGCTCTCCCAATGCGGTATTTATAGACACGGATCACTAGCTGGCTATTGGGCGGATTCTATTAGGGCTGGCTATTTGGTCCGGGTTTTTTTGGTTTTATCCGAAATCGGACCGTATAACCTGGACCCAGATCGGACCGGGACCGGATAGTAAACAATCCATTCTAATTTTTGGGTTTAGATTTCAGGTAAAAAACCGTTTGGGACCGGATCGAAAATGGATAAAAAACGGATAAGAAAACTTAAGGGTAATTTGCATATATAAACGGTCACAAACCTTTGCAATTAGTACAAAACTTAAACCAACTCCTCACCCTTTCAGGCCTTAGGCCACTCAAATCTCCACAAACTCAATATAAAATCAAGATCGAATTGGGACCGGACCGGGTCAAGACTGGATCGGATCAAGACCGGAATGTGTCCAACCCAATCTTTGATCCTTATATTTTCAAAAAGACCGGACTGGACCGGATCAATTTGGGCCAATTTAGCCGGACCGGACCGTATAACCACCCCTAAATTCTATAGTGTCGTGCCGGTACTAGTGCCGCCTGCTTTTCAGGGCCGGCTCGTGTTTTTCATAAGCCCTGTTAGAAAATTAAAAATGTGGTCCCAAAGTTTTATTCTTACGAATTTATTATAAAATAAATATTAATAAATACATAAATTCACAAAATGATTACACAAAGATAATATCCTTTGCGCCTTGCGGGCCGGCATACTGTACGGTCGATCGGCTATAGATGCTACTCCGCAAGTACCTGCAAACAAAAAAGAGCCAGCCACCTTTTGACATTAGTTAGTGGTGATAATAAACCAAGTCGGAAGGAACAAAAAAAGTAGGCCGGCGAAATGCTGCTTCCGTGCTACGTACTGGAGGGAGAACCCAACAATTACACTTGGCAACAAAATTTGTCTAATTGTGTGCTTAGTCGGTTAGAAATAGGAACTGTAATAGGTCATCTTGTTGGATTGAATATATATATATTTGAGGTTGAGGCCCAAAATTTGTTATGTGCTACAATTTGTTACAGGGGTAAGGTATTTTATGGCACAACCTCGTTCGTGACACTTTATTGGAAATCTGTTACTTGTCTGAGATTTTCGCTGGTAGGGAGGTTGATATCGGTTTGGTTGATGGGCATGGAAGACCCCTTCGTCCTGCGGATTTGCTGCTTTATTCCTGGGATAGGGGGCGAGATGTGTGTATCAATTTGTCTGGGTCTTCATCCAGTGGCGGAGCCAGGAAATTTATATCGGGGTGTCCTCTTTAAAAAATTAAATAAATAATTAAATAATTTTAAATTAGAAAATATATAACTAATACAAGTTACAACAAAAGTCTACGGCATGTTACAAAATATAGTCAGTGTCTGGACGACTCAACCAATATCTCCATCTTACTATACAATCATTCACAAACTTATCATTTAATCAATTTCGAAACTTGTTCTTAAAGTTTCCCAAAACTAAATATGTTATTTCAACACCTGCAGTTGCAATCGGTAAAATCAATTACTTTGAGAAGCAAGTAAACCAATGGATATGATAGAATGGAGGGAATAAGGATAACCCGTAATCAGGTTCAATTGTTAGATTTTCAAAATAATTGGGAGAATGAATATCATATTTACTATTAAACTAGTGTTTAAAATACAAGAACAAATGAGTTGTGGTCTAATGAAAAATATGTTTACTAATAATCTTAGTATCCTAATTTAACTCACCTAGTCTACCACTTATATCGTTTATCCACACGAAAACTACTACCGGGGGTTGGATAATTGTTATCCCAAAAATTAGGAGTGTCTCGGGACACCCCCAATACCCCATGGCTCTGCCCCTGTCTTCACCTCTGACTCAGTCTGGGATGACTGGTTTTGTGCCTGGCCGAGTTGTTTCTGACGCTGTTCAGCGAAAGTGTGCCAAGTAGCGGAATTTGTGCATGACGGTTGGTTACGGTTTCCTGCCCTTTTCTTTTTCTTCGCCGAGAGAGTTGGATACGGATGTCGTTGCTTTGCTCAAGCGGATCCAGAAATTCTCCGTATCGCAGGGGTTCTGGCAGCCGCTTACATTTTTACTAGACTTAACTTTGCTATAGTTAAGGGGGAGTGAGGGCCCAAATTATATCTGGACTACCCACTAGATTTTTTGAGAACTTTATTTGTTATGCTTCCGCTTTATACTATTAATAATCTTTAGTAATAAACAATTTGGAAAACCAACAAGAAAATGAAAAGCAAGCGAAGTACTGGAAGGAGGATAGATATATTAGAAATAATGCTCCAAGCCTCTCCAACCGGCGTGAAAAAAATTAATAATAATAATAATAATACAACAGAAAGCCATTCAGACAGACAACCACAAATTAATTAAAGGAAAGACAGCTCCACTTACTTATTTTATGTTATTCCCATTAAGGAAATAACTTTAGAGAAAACATAAACAGGAAGAAAAACGCAGACATCGACTGATTAAGACTTTTGTGCCTGTCTGTCTTGGCAAGGCAAGCTCTCAGGTTTCAGCCTTGTCCACGGCCTCAGCCTTTCTTGCCGAAGAGAAAGTAAGAAAAAGGATTAAGGAAGTTGTCGCCATTTCCATTGGTCGGATCAACGGTTTCAGCTGCCTTGTTGCACAAGATAGGAAGAAAGAAGTAGTTGTCGTTATTTCCGTTGGTCGGATCAACAGTAGTTTCAGCCTTCTTGCCGAAGAGAAAGTAAAGAAAAGGATTAAAGAAGTTGTCGCCATTTCCATTGGTCGGATCAACGGCTTCAGCTGCCTTGTTGCCCAAGATAGGAAGAAAGGAGTAGTTGTCGTTATTTCCGTTGGTCGGATCAACAGTCGTTTCAGCCTCCTTGCCGAAGCCTGGCGGAAGAAGGAAGTTCCGGCTACCGGTCGAACCAAAGGTTCCACCCGAAAGCGGAGAAGGGAAGGCGGCGGCGGCGGCGGATGGGGTTTCGACCTCCAAGTAATAATTTGACGTGTCACTGCGGCGGGAGACGATCTTGGGTGGCTGCGGGAAAGTAGCACGGTCGCCGCCGAAGCCGGCAACGGTGGTTCTCCGGCCAGTGGTGGGAGTGGGAGGGAAGGTGGTAATGGTGAAAGTGGACAAGGAAGCCATTGTTGTAGTAGTGAACAATAAGTCAATAACTATATTTCTCTGCGTTGTTTGGTCTCTGTGTGTGTGTCTAATTAAGCTCTCCCCAAGCGGTATTTATAGACACGAGTTATATGCCGTTATTACCTGGCATAATAAGATTTATTAATACGGAACTTCTCTCAACAATTCGAGTATTTGGGAAAAAACTTATTCTCAATATGGTATCGAAGTTTTATATGAACGAGAGGTCTTCTGTTCGAATCCAGACGACCCCCCATTTTTATACTTGGTATGCGGGACTGGACCAACTTTTTTTGCTTTTGCCGGTTAAACCACCACCCCAACCGCACCCATCCAACTCAACCTGAAGAAGAATGTGAGTGTGTAGCGTTTCATAATAATCATACCAACATATAATATTTCACGAATATTTTTCATGTTTCTCCAAATTCACATTTTTGTGCTCTAATGCAAGAGCGCGCGAACTGCACAATCAAATATTTTGTAGATTAGAAATATACTAGAAATCTGTTACTAGAATTAGTTATGATCAAGGTTGTCGCCCAATTTAAACTGTTGACTCGTTCAAGCATATGAGTTAAGTGTTAATTAACGAATTGGATCAACTAGCTAGGTATAGCCAATGACGGTGTTATATTTATCCATTCATTTATTGAAAATAAATTGCAGTTATTAATAGTTTTTCTTAAAACTTTATTCTTCCTTTTGAAAATGATGCTTTAATTCTTGATATCTTCCCTCTTTATTTTTCCTTTTGTTTTTACTTGTTAGTTTTCTTTCCTTATTTGCATTGTTGGATCTCATATTGGATAATTAGTTGGCCGTCGTTCTTGCTAGCTAACAAGCTAGGTAATAGACGATGTCTTTATTAAGTAAAGCCCGCCTGTTTTTTTCTTTCTGTCTTTATTAAGTAAAGCCAGCCTTAATCTCGAAATTAAACGGCAAAACTGAGCTATATGGACATATCCTATTATGAACTTTGTCTTTGTTTGATGTGACTTTGATTCAAATTAAGATGAGATATCCTTTTTAAGGCCATATTTGGCATGCCTATTTTTACTTATGTCCTTGTTATGCAGCCGGCCGGATCTCGAATAGTCTATTACCTAGCTTGTTAGCTAGCAAGAACGACGGCCAACTAATTATCCAATATGAGATCCAACAATGGAAATAAGGAAAGAAAACTAAAGAGGGAAAATATCAAGAATTAAAGCATCATTTTTAAAAGGAAGAAAAAAGTTTAAAAGAAAACTATTAATGAACACTTAACTCATATGCTTGAACGAGTCAACAATTTAAATTGGGTGACAACCTTGATCATAACTAATTATAGTAACAAATTTTTAGTATATTTCTAATCTACAAAATATTTGATTGTGGAGTTCACGTTCTTGCATTAGAGCAAATATTTAAGCTGCATCGCCCTAAATGCCCACCTGCCATTAAATGAGAATAACTATGTATAGTTGGTCGCTGGGCCAACGGTACGTGCTGACAAAATTTCATCATTAACATTCAGTTTCCGTAAAATCATACGAAATTAAACATTTCAAATAATTGGAAAAGTCTAGGATACACAGAGAGTAAATATGTATGTTGTATTTAAATTAGATTCCGATCAATGGGTCGTACACCATACTAATGAGATTAGATAGGGGATGAGTTAGGGTGATTATTACTTTTTTAGTAGCCACCGTGGCTACCAAAATCTACACCTTTCATTAGCTTTATTTTATCTTATTTTTAAATTGACGATCAAGATTAGATTAAGGATAGTTTTGGAAACAAAAATTATATCACATCTGATTACTATCCTTAACAAAATTAATTTTTATATATATATTTTATCAAAACCCTAATACAAGCCTATTCTCCATCCCTCTCACGTGCCACCTCCCTCCCTCTCCTTGCTAGGTTACGCCGCCATCCCCGTCACCTCTGCCCTTGCCTCCACCGCTAAGATCGGCCAACCTCTCTCTCTCGACTCCCACCTTCCTCCCTCTCCCTGCCGGGCTACGCCGTTGTCCTTGCCGTGTCTGGCCGTTGTACTCACCGCTAAAATCGGCCAAACTGGAGGCCAAGTACTCTCTCTCTCTCTCTCTCTCTCTCTCTCTCTCTCTCTCTCTCTCTCTCTCTCTCTCTCTCTCTCGGGATGGCTGGAAAGGCTACTCTGCCGACGTCATAATCAGAAGAAGAAAGCCCAAATGGAATGGTACTCTTTCAATTGCTTTGGTATAGTTTTGTTTTGGTACTGTTTTATTTATTTTGTTTTATGAAATGATATAATTTTATTTTTGTCGCATTGGTATTGATTAAATCTGCAATGGTATTGATTTTTTGTGAAGTGGTATATATTTGTATTGGTAGATTGTTTATATTGGTAGTTTTTGTGTAATGGTATAAATTTATTTTTGCAATGGTATTGATATTTTTCAAAGTGGTAGTGGTTATCTAATAGATTGGTAGTGATTTCGTGTTTTTTTTTCTTTTGCAGAAATATTGAGAAAAATAAGGAAAGGGGATCTGGGTGGAAATTATGGAAGTGAGAGAAAGAGAGAAAATTGTAATTAATAGATTCTTGTAACTACCTATAATGTAATTTATTAAAAAAATTAATTAATACACTTTATTTATCATACCCAATTTACCCTTAGTAACCACGGTGATTACTACTTTTGTAGTAATCACCGTAACCCCTCATGACTACCGTTCAAGGAGCTGGAAAAATGACACCCCCATTAATTATAGGCTTTTAAGGTAATAAATCTGTGTTGCATTTAATTATCTGTCTGAATTAAAAATCCATATCAATTACTTTCCTTTTTTCAGTGCAGTGGTAGTTGTATCAGTACAATGATATCAGTGTACAGTTGCAATGGTAGTTGTATCAGCTCAACTACTATGTACTACTTCTCGTGTGGTACTAGAATTTTTAATTTACTGCCCGCCTACTCTTTTTTTTTGTTCTAATATAGATTTCAATCGCTTCGAATGCAACAAGAAAAATTATGGTGATAATTCATTATATATTTTTTAATGCACATTTTAAAATGATTCCCGACAATTACGCAGAACGACTTTGTTTTGCAGTATTTTACTTCAAAATCCTCATTCAAATAACTCATTTGCTCCATTATTGTGATGTAGATTCAAGAAAGCGTTGAACATAAGACGAGCGTTGTGCCTAGCATCTAGCTCGTTTAGGCATCGCTGAAGCGTGCCTAGGAGTTGGAAGAAAAATACCATTTTGTATCAAATGATTAATAAATAGAATTTTTACAACACTTCTATACTTTAGTCTAAATGATTAATAACTTAGTTAACACATAACAATAACGAGAACATAGCTAAGGGAGTGGAGGCTCAGATTATATCTCGACTACCCACTAAATTTTTTTAGACCTTTGTTTGTTATGCTTCCGCTTTATACTATTAATAATGTTTAGTAATAAACAATTTGGAAAACCAACAAGAAAATGAAAACAAAGCAAAATACTAGAAGGTGGATAGATATATTAGAAATAATGCTCCAACCGGCGTGCATTTTCCGGAAAAATAATAATAATGATACAACAGAAAGTCATTCAGACAGACAACAACAAATTTAATTGAAGGAAACACGGCTCCACTTACATATTTTATGTTATTCCTCTTTTGGAAATAACTTTTTAGAAAACACAAACAGGAAAACAAACGCAGATCAACAGAAAGTCTCTCAGGTTTCAGCCTTGTCCACGGCTTCGGCTTTCCTCCCGAACACCGGAAAACCAGTAACACAGCCGGCGGCGCCACCACCGGACGAGTCCACGGCCTCAGCCGAAGAGAAACATAGTAATAAGAGGAAAAAAGAAGTTGTCGCCATTTCCACTGGTCGGATCAACGGCTTCAGCTGCCTTGTTGCACAAGATAGGAGGAAGAAGGAAGTTGTCGCCATTTCCGTTGGTCGGATCAACGGCTTCATCTGCCTTGTTGCACAAGATAGGCGGAAGAAGGAAGTTGCGTCTACCGGTCGAACCAACGGTTCCACCCGAGAGCGGAAAAGGGAAGGCGGGGGCGGCGGCGGATAGGGTTTCGACCTCCAAGTAATAATTTGACGTGTCACTGCGGCGAGAGACGATCTTGGGTGGCTGCGGGAAAGTAGCACGGTGGCCGCCTAAGCCGGCAACGGTGGTTCTCCGGCCAGTGGTGGGAGTGGGGGGGAAGGTGGTCATGGTGAAAGTGGACAAGGAAGCCATTGTTGTAGTGACAAAGAACAATAACTATATTTCTCTGCGTTGTTTGGTGTGTGTGTGTCTAATATAATTAAGCTCTCCCAAAGCGGTATTTAAAGACACTGATCACTAGGTCGTTGAATGAATTGCTGTTAACACGAGTTATATGCTGTTATTACCTGGCATAATAAGATTTATTAATAATATTCAACTTCTCGATCATATTGGATAATTAGTTAGCCGTCGTTCTTGCTAGCTAACAAGCTAGGTAATAGACTATTCGAGATCCGGCCGGCTGCATAACAAGGACATAAGTAAAAATAGGAATGCCTTAAAAAGGAATTCTCATCTTAATTTGAATCAAAGTCACATCAAACAAAGACAAAGTTCATAATAGGATATGCCCATATATCTCAGTTTTGCCGTTTAATTTCGAGATTAAGGCTTGCTTTACATAATAAAGACAGAAAGAAAAAACAGGCCGGCTTTACTTAATAAAGACATCGTCTATTACCTAGCTTGTTAGCTAGCAAGAACGACGGCCAACTAATTATCCAATATGAGATCCAACAATTAATGGAAATAAGGAAAGAAAACTATAGAGGGAAGATATCAATAATTAAAGCATCATTTTCAAAAGGAAGAAAAAAGTTTTAAGAAAAACTATTAATAAGTGCAATTTATTTTCAATAAATGAATGGATAAATATAACACCGTCATTGGCTATACCTAGCTAGTTGATCCAATTCGTTAATTAACACTTAACTCATATGCTTGAACGAGTCAACAGTTTAAATTGGGTGACAACTTTGGTCATAACTAATTATAGTAACAAATTTTTAGTATATTTCTAATCTACAAAATATTTGATTGTGGAGTTGACGTTCTTGCATTAGAGCACATATTTAAGCTGCATCGCCCTAAATGCCCACCTACCATTAAATGATAACAACTATGTATAGTTGGTCGCTGGGCCAACAGTACGCGCTGACAAAATTTCATCATTAACATTCAGTTTCCTTAAAATCATACGAAATTAAACATTTCAAATAATTGGAAAAGTCTAGGTTACACAGAGAGTAAATATGTATGTTGTATTTGAATTAGATTCCGATCAACGGGCCGTACACCATACTAATGAGATTAGATAGCATGACTATCGTTCAAGGAGCTGGAAAAATGACACCCCCATTAATTATAGGCTTTTAAGGTAATAAATCTGTGTTGCATTTAATTATCTGTCTGAATTAAAAATCCATATCAATTACTTTCCTTTTTTCAGTGCAATGGTAGGCTTGACTTTGATCCCGACTACGATGTTATTGACCACGCTAAAGTCTGGATCCGGTTACCTCGTCTGCCAATGGGATATTTCGACTTAGAGATTCTGAATGATATTGGCAGTCGAGTGGGGAAGGTGATCAAGATTGATTACAACACTCTCCACTGCACTAGAGGAAATTATGCTAGACTTTGTGTGGAAATCGACCTAAACAAGAGGTTGGTTCCTAAGTATCGCCTCAAGAGAAGGGTTAGACGGATTGAATACGAAGGTTTACACTTGGTGTGCTTCGCTTGTGGCCGATACAGCCATACTCAAGAGACCTGTGCCAAATCGTTTGAAGAGGGGAAGAGCTTGGGGGATTTCTCAACGAAAACTAACCCAATGTTCAATTTCAAGGAGATTGCTGTAATCAGGCCGGAAGTACTAGAGGATTATGGACCATGAATGATAGCTACGAGGAACAAACGCCATAAACAGACACAGAAGCAGATACAGCAGAACAGGGATCATTCCCAGACAGCGGCGCCAGAGATTTCTTCACCGGCGGCATCTCAACGGTCGAATGGTTCTCGATTTGCTGCTCTGGATACAGATGCGGCGGAAATTACGGCGGAGGATGTGAACATAGATACTGAAAATCAGGTAATTACGGACAGTCGAAAAGAGAAGTTTTGTAATGGAGTCATGGCAGGGAGCAACGGCCCGGAAAAGTCTACGATGGGAGAGAAAGCGGCGGAGAAAGGAAAGAAGAATCAAAAGGAAGAAAAGGATAGTGGAAGAAAGGAAAGAACGGATCTAAGGAAGAAGTTGTCTCCCAAGACCCCTGATCCAACATCTGGGCCGAAAGAGCAAAAAAAAAAGGCCCAGGGGAACAATGGGCCAACTCCAAAAATTCTATCTCGTAGCCCAGTGAAAGTTCCCAACAGTGTGAATATTGGCGGAAGACAAAGTGGGATCCAACCGAGTAAGGTAAATCAAAAAATCACCCCGGCCCAGAAGAACCCAGAGCGAGCTCGGGATCGGGAGAAAGCGCCACTTTCTCAGAACAGCACAGAGATAACGCCGAAGGCAGGGCTCCCACCGGAGAAGAAGGGATCGGACCCTCCTGGCGACAACGAGAAGGAAGCCCGGGATGGTGAATCCGCCCCAAACAACACTGATTCGGAGTCGAATCAGACAAAAAGATCGATTGATCAAAGAAAATCATAGGGAATGGGGTCTACGATGGCCTCCCCTGTCGCTGGAGATATGGAGGTGGACGGTCACCGCTAATCTCAGTCAGCGTTCCGTCAGGGAAGTTTTACACTACCTCTACTCTTTGATTTTTAATGTTTAAGGTCTTTAGTTGGAATTGTCGAGGTGCGAAGCACCATAATTTCCTCTCCTCGTTCAAAGATTATGTGTGTGTCCATCGTCCCAATGTAGTGTTCATCGTTGAGCCGCGGATCAGCGGCAAAGACGCGCTGGATGTGATAGCTACTATGGGCTATGACCTCTTTGAGTTAGTTGATGATGTTCGTTTCTCTGGAGGAATTTGGGTTCTCTGGAACTCATCTGACATTACTGTTGATGTTGTGAACCGTAACCCTCAATTTCTCCATTTTCGTTGCACAGATAAAGACCAGATCTCAGTTCTCATGACAGCAGTCTATGCGAAGCCTAACAATTATGATCGGCGTCCCCTGTGGAATGCTCTCCGTAGAATGGAAGCTCAGATAACTAGCCCCTGGCTCTTGGTGGGGGATATCAATTCGGTGACTAGCCCCTTAGAAAGACAAGGAGGAGCTAAATTCAATCCCAACTAAGTCTCTGAGTTCAACGATTGCATCACCGATTGTGGCCTTATTGATGTAGGCTTTGAGGGACCTAAATTCACCTGGTCAAATGGTAGACTCTCTCAACGGCTTGATAGAGCTCTCTGCAACCAGGAGTGGTTTAGGCAATTCCCAGACACCTCTAATTAGCACCTGCATAAACTTCGTTCTGATCACCGGCCGATTCTAATCGCAAGTGCGAAAGAGACAGCAAGCCCTTACCAGGTGAGACCTTTCCGTTTTCTGGCCCCGTGGCTTGCTCACAAAGACTTTTTCACTACACTTGACGCCTGTTGGACCCGGCGAAGGGATGTTCTGCTCTCTGTGCAGAAACTACAGGATACTCTGCGCGTTTGGAATAAGGAAGTGTTCGGGAATATCTTCGCCAGGAAGAAAAGACTCTCCAGAAAGCTAACTAGATTGGAGCAATATAATGATCAGTCGCTGTCGGAGGCATCGCTACAATAGGAAGTTGCAGTGAGGGAGGAGCTGGAACAAACGCTTTGGGAAGAGGAGATGCTTTGGATGCAGAAGTCGAGGACCAATTGGATTACCAAGGGCGACCGTAACACACTTTTCTTCCACAATGCCACAATCAGTCGAAGAAGAAGAAATAAAATCACTAAGTTGTAGGATGACAACGGGAACTGGATCGAGGATGATGACGTGCTTAAGAACATGGCTCGAGAGTTCGATAGCAAACTCTTCACTGAAGAAGATATCTCCTCCAACGATATTCCAGCAAATTTCAAAACCTTGCAAGCAGAGGAAATGAGAAGATTGGTCTCAATCCCCACCCCTGCGGAAATCAAGCAAACCTTAGGAGATATGAGAGGACTCAAGGCCTCGGGGAAGGATGGTTTTCATGCTATTTTTTTGTAAAAAAGTGTTGGAATAGAGTTGGTGTTGATTTATATGATCATGCGGTGGCTTTTTTCAGGTCGCCACAAAGGATTGAGAGTTGCAATGAGACTGTCATCACCTTGCTGCCCAAAGTGGAACTTCCCAAATCAATAGCAGAGTTTTGACCTATAGGACTCTGCAACGTCACTTACAAGGTGGTAGCAAAATGCTTGGCTAATCGGCTCCAGAAACTCATGCCGGACCTGGTGGAAGCTAGCCAGACTAGTTTTGTACCCAAACGACATATTACGGATAATATCATCATCCTGCAAGAAGTGATTCATTCCATGTCGCTAAAGAAGGGTGATAAAGGTCTTATGGCTCTAAAAATAGACCTGGCGAAGGCTTATGACAGAATTAGCTGGTCTTTTCTCGAGAAGACCCTTTGTGCTGCAAGGCTCCCTCAAGATTTTATTGCCTTAGTTATGGCTTGCATCTCAACTCCAAGTTTTCAAGTTATGTGGAATGGGGGCCTAACCGACAGCTTCAAATCCTCGAGGGGTCTAAGACAAGGATGTCCTCTTTCTCCCTATCTATTTACCCTCTGTATTGAGCGCTTAAATCATTGTATTCAGGAAGCCATTGGGTCGGGGGCGTGGAAACCCATCTCACTTGGCCAAGGTGGAACCCCTTTAACCCATTTATTTTTTGCAGATGACCTGGTCCTCTTCGCAGAAGCAACCACAAATCAGGGAGAAGCGATTTTGCATTGTCTGGAGCTGTTCTGCTCAGCCTCAGGAGAGCAAGTTAGCAAGCAAAAGTCTTGTGTATTTTTCTCGAAGAATACCAAGGACTCGACCAAAAAGAGAATCAACGACATGTTGGGAATGAAGCCGACTAACAATCTAGGTAGTTACCTCGGTGTCCCGGTGATCCATGGTCGTGTGACAAAGGACACGTACAAGTACATTCTTGAGAATATTGACAAAAGGATAAGCGGAGGGAAAGCAAGGAATCTGTCGCTAGCAGGGAGAGTCACGTTAGCTATGTCGGTGCTAAACGCCCTTCCCAACTACACGATGCAGACAGCGGTTATACCGGTTTCGGTTTGTGACCTCATTGACAAAAAAATTCGAGCTTTTGTGTGGGGAGCGGAGCAAGGGAAGTCTCATCTTGTAACTTGGGAGACGATATGCAAGCCGAAGGAAGAAGGAGGACTGGGACTCCGTTCTGCTCGTGCACTGAATCTAGCTTATCTTATGAAACTTGTTTGGCTGTTTCTTAATGATGAGTCTGCTTTGTGGGTTAAAGTTTTACAGGGGAAATACTTCAAGAAAGCCCTGATGGGAGGATTAGTCATGAAGAAAAGTCGGTCGTCGCGCCTATGGAAAGCAATGATGGAAGTGTGGCCGGCTGTGAAACAGAGCCTGATTTGGGACGTTCGGAGTGGTCACAACGTGAACTTCTGGACCAGTCCTTGGCTGTCGGATGGGATGATTCTGACTGATCATGTGCATAGTGATGGAGCGGGGATCCGTTGGGAAGCCTCAGTTACGGAGCTTACAACGGAAACAGGTGAGTGGGACTGGACTGTTTTACAACCACATCTGCCTAATGAACTCCTCAACCTTATTGCAGGTACTGATACTCCTGACCCGGAGCTTGGAGAGGACATCACGACCTGGGGACCGGAGGTAGATGGGCGCTTCAGGCTCAAATCAGCATATAAGGTTGTTGTCGAGTGGCTACAGAATGAAGAGGAGGATGGTGCAAATCCAACAAGTCCACCGAAATGGAAGGAGATTTGGAAGTGGAAGGGGCCGAACAGAATTGTACACTTCCTATGGCTCGTTGCTCATGATCGGCTACTGACTAACGTGGAAAGGAAAAGGAGGAAGCTTACCACAGATGATAGGTGTTGCTTTTGCAATGCAGGCCCAGAAAACGCGGAGCATGTCGTCAAAAACTGTCCAAGAGCGAAACAGGTATGGAACATTTTGGGTATAAAGGACGACTACCTTACTGTGGCTTTCCCGTTTGCAGATTGGTTGGTGAAAAGGCTGCATTCAGAGAAGGATGGCTTGCTTTTCGGAATGACAGCTTGGTATCTATGGAAGCAGAGGAACGAATCCATATTCCAACACAAGACGTTCGATGCTGAAGTCCTCGCCCAACGAATAAAAAGCTGGACTAAGATCGTGGAACAAGCCCAGGAAAGTGATAGGCTCACAAATGATGAATCAACACCGAAAGAAGTCACCAGTTTGGCATGGGAACCACCGCCGGCAGGATGGGTCAGCCTTCAATCGGACGACTCTGTTCGACAGCCTGGTGCTTTGGCGGCGACTGGAGGTCTGATTCGAGATCACTTGGGAAGATGTCTGGTTGCTTTCTCAGGGAATCTTGGAGCATGTACCATTACTAGAGCAGAGATAAAGGGGGTAATAGAAGGACTTAACCGAGCTTGGGACTATGGCTACAGAAAAGTAATGGTGGGAATTGACTCGACAGCTGCGCTCCACCTGCTCACCACCACTGATCAAGAGGACCAAAGGTATCTCATTCTCATCAAACAATTCCAGAGGCTCTTGAATCGGAATTGGGAAGTGAAAATCTCTCATGTCTATAGGGAATGCAACAAGGCGGCTGACTATCTTGCTAATCGTGGCCATGAGCTTAGTTTAGAAGTTCATTATTTTAGTATTTCGGATTCGGGCCTCTCGTTTTGGGTCCTGTATGATTGTATGGGCATCGCCCAAACCAGATTAATTTAATGTGCCAGGCAGGGGTGCCCTTTTAACACCCCATTTTTCTACTAAAAAAGAAATAATAATAATAATAATAATAATAATAATAATAATAATAATAATAATAATAATAATAATACAACACAAAGCCATTCAGACAGACAACCACAAATTAATTAAAGGAAAGACAGCTCCACTTACTTATTTTATGTTATTCCCATTAAGGAAATAACTTTAGAGAAAACATAAACAGGAAGAAAAACGCAGATATCGACTGATTAAGACTTTTGTGCCTGTCTGTCTTGGCAAAGCAAGCTCTCAGGTTTCAGCCTTGTCCACGGCCTCAGCCTTTCTTGCCGAAGAGAAAGTAAGAAAAAGGATTAAGGAAGTTGTCGCCATTTCCATTGGTCGGATCAACGGTTTCAGCTGCCTTGTTGCACAAGATAGGAAGAAAGAAGTAGTTGTCGTTATTTCCGTTGGTCGGATCAACAGTAGTTTCAGCCTTCTTGCCGAAGAGAAAGTAAAGAAAAGGATTAAAGAAGTTGTCGCCATTTCCATTGGTCGGATCAACGGCTTCAGCTGCCTTGTTGCCCAAGATAGGAAGAAAGGAGTAGTTGTCGTTATTTCCGTTGGTCGGATCAACAGTCGTTTCAGCCTCCTTGCCGAAGCCTGGCGGAAGAAGGAGGTTGCGGCTACCGGTCGAACCAAAGGTTCCACCCGAGAGCGGAAAAGGGAAGGCGGTGGCGGCGGCGGATAGGGTTTCGACCTCCAAGTAATAATTTGACGTGTCACTGCGGCGGGAGACGATCTTGGGTGGCTGCGGGAAAGTAGCACGGTCGCCGCCGAAGCCGGCAACGGTGGTTCTCCGGTCAGTGGTGGGAGTGGGAGGGAAGGTGGTCATGGTGAAAGTGGACAAGGAAGCCATTGTTGTAGTAGTGAACAATAAGTCAATGACTATATTTCTCTACGTAGTTTGGTGTGTGTGTGTCTAATTAAGCTCTCCCAAAGCGGTATTTATAGACACGAGTTATATGCCGTTATTACCTGGCATAATAAGATTTATTAATACGGAACTTCTCTCAACAATTCGAGTATTCGGGAAAAAACTGATTCTCAACATGGTATCGAAGTCTTATATGAACGAGAGGTCTTCTGTTCGAATCCAGACGACCCCCCATTTTTATACTTGGTATGCGGGCGCGGACCAACTTTTTTGCTTTTGCCGGTTAAACCACCACCCAACCGCACCCATCCAACTCAACTTGAAGAAGAATGTGAGTGTGTAGCGATTCATAATAATCATACCAACATATAATATTTCACGAATGTTTTTCAAGTTCCTCCAAAATCACATTTTTGTGCTCTAATGCAAGAGCGCGCGAACTGCACAATCAAATATTTTGTAGATTAGAAATATACTAGAAATCTGTTACTATAATTAGTTATGACCAATGTTGTCGCGCAATTTAAACTGTTGACTCGTTCAAGCATATGACGGTGTTATATTTATCCATCCATTTATTGAAAATAACTTGCACTTATGAATAGTTTTTCTTAAAACTTTATTCTTCCTTTTGAAAATGATGCTTTAATTCTTGATATCTTCCCTCTTTATTTTTCTTTGTTTTTCCTTTTGTTTTTACTTGTTAGTTTTCTTTCCTTATTTCCATTTTTGGATCTCATATTGGATAATTAGTTGGCCGTCGTTCTTGCTAGCTAACAAGCTAGGTAATAGACGATGTCTTTATTAAGTAAAGCCGGCCTGTTTTTTTCTTTCTGTCTTTATTAAGTAAAAACGGCAAAACTGAGCTATATGGGCATATCCTATTATGAACTTTGTCTTTGTTTGATTTGACTTTGATTCAAATTAAGAATTTAAGATGAGATATCCTTTTTAAGGCCATATGGGCATGCCTATTTTTACTTATGTCCTTGTTATATATGCAGCCGGCCGGATCTCGAATAGTCTATTACCTAGCTTGTTAGCTAGCAAGAACGACGGACAACTAATTATCCAATATGAGATCCAACAATGGAAATAAGGAAAGAAAACTAAAGAGGGAAAAATGAGATTAGATAGCATGACTACCGATTCAAGGAGTTGGAAAAATGACACCCCATTAATTATAGGCTTTTAAAATAATAAATCTGTGTTGCATTTAATTATCTGTCTGAATTAAAAATCCATATCAATTACTTTCCTTTTTTCTGTGCAATGGTAGTTGTATCAGTACAATGATATTAGTGTACAGTTACAATGGTAGTTGTATCAGCTCAACTACTACGTACTACTTCTCTTGTGGTACTAGAATTTTTAATTTACTGCCCGCCTACTCTTTTATTTTTTTGTTCTAATATAGATTTCAATCGCTTCGAATGCAACAAGAAAACTTATGGTGATAATTCATTATATATTTTTTAATGCACATTTTAAAATGATTCCCGACAATTACGCAGAACGACTTTGTTTTGCAGTATTTTACTTCAAATTCCTCATTCAATTAACTCATATGCTCCATTATTGTGATGTAGATTCAAGAAAGCGTTAAACATAAGACGAGTGTTGTGCCTAGCGTCTAGTTCGTTTAGGCGTCGCTTAAGCGTGCCTAGGAGTTGGAAGAAAAATACCATTTTGTATCAAATGATTAATAAATAGAATTTTTACAACATTTCCGCACTTCAGTCTAAATGATTAATAACTTAGTTAACACATAACAATAAAATAGCTCACAATATCATAGGATCATAGATCAATAGTTAATAAAGTTCTTGATCTACTAAAAATATTGAGCAAGATTGAGTTTTCAAATGATGCTTTCTCTTTTTGATGTTGACTGTCTAACTCTGCCTAAATATGAATAGAGACACCTAGAGATTACCTTACTCTACCAGGACACTTTGGATTACTAACTTGTTATGATACCTCAAAGACGAAGATGTTTGGTATTGCATAGCGACTAAGAAGGCATAAGCGTAAGTCTAAACATGCCTTTTTGAACCATGATCGTGACACAAACATTCGTTTACCCGATGTCAAAGGTAGTCAAGGGATCGACCTTCCCATTCTATCTCCAAAGTTCATCATAATCATCATCAATTACAACGCAACCCTCAAGTTTGAAAAGAAAATGCATAAACAATGTACATATTTTTATGTGTTATAAACAAGCAACTCAACGACCAACAATCGCAAATGAATTTACAGCACAACCGAATATTATACATTACAAGATACAATTACATATATGCAAAACTGTGGTATATGAATCAAAAAATTTCCCAAAAAAAAAAAAAGAAGAAGAAAAAAGAGAGCCTCCTAATTTAACTAACGTTGTAGGGCAGAGGAGGGAGAGGAGGGATTTGGCGGATGTTGACGTCGAGCGGGTAGAGCCGGTACTGAATGTCGAGCTCTTTGAAGATCTTGACGATCTCCTCCACCAGCAACGCTCGCCGGGAAAACTTCTCCCCCATGTCCTGGTGGTTGATCCGGTGCCGGAACCACACCGCCATCTTCACCGCGTTCAGCCCGTCCACGTCCTTGGTTATCACCATCGGGCTCGGGTACCAGTGCTCCTTCTTCCCCTCGATGTAGCTGCATCCACACAGAGAGAGAGAATCGTATAAGATACATAATTTAGTTGTCGATCTAACTGACTGACTGACTCGTACTATCAAGTATCACCTACGCGTGTAGAGCTGTCAGTTCGGTTCGATCAAACGAACTGAAAACTGTTGAAAAACCCAAAAAAATATCGATACGGACTGTTTCCCTGCAACATCGAAACCGAACCAGTATCGATGCGGACTGTGTTTCCCCAACTGTTGAACTCCTCCTAATAACTCGCGAGTTGTTGTGATCAACTAGTTCTTGACATAGTATTAGAGCCTTCAGTAACCAAGAGGTATTCTTCTATTCGAGTCCTAATTACCTTTATTAGTTAAGCACATGGTATTCATACCTATGCAAAGTTCAAACTCTTATATACGGTGGCTTTTCGTTTGAGGGGTGTGCGTGAAAGTAAGTGGTATATGATCCATAATTGAATCTCTCCCGACAACTCTAGTTATTGGAATCAACTGGTTCTTGACAAGAACAAGTTTCGGTTTTGGTTTCTTATCGATTTTCGGTTTAAAACCCGAAACCGTCATAAACACAAACCGATTTTTGCGATGATAAATCAAACATGAACCCAATTTCCCACCGGTACCAACGAGGAGCATTGCGTACCTGATGATTTTCTGTTTCATCGTGGCGATCTTGTCGGCCGGAGTGGCGACATGGACGAGGAACTCAATCCCGTCGCCCATATCGGGGCTCCGGTAATAGTTGCCGATGCACTTTGTGGCCAGCGTACTATTATGGTACACCACCTTTTGGTTGTCCGATCTCAGGAAAACCGTCGTCAATATGTTCATCTCCTCCACCACCAACTGCCCACACGATACGACGTCGCCTCAACGAATCAGCAAAAAACCATGCACATGCATGCATGCAACGTACGTACGTAACCACAAACAAGAAAGCTAGCTAGGGTTTTACTTTACCTGGACGCCGTTGGCGTCGATCTCGCAGCGGTCGCCGACGTCGTACGGGTGGACGATGAATAGGAAGATGATGGACTCGAAGAGTGTCTTGGCGGTGTTGCCGAAGATGAAGGAGACGACGACGATCTGGGAGCCCATGAGGACGAAGAAGCTGCTGGGCGCGATGCCGAGGAGGAGCAAGGAGATGATGAGGATGATGATGGCGACGATGACGTTGACCATGTGGTGGAGCTTGTTCACCGCCGTCTTGGTGTCGTTTAGGGTTAGAGCTAAGGCCCTCCTTTCCCTGAAGGCATTCACCTATACACATCATGACTCGATTGAATCAACCGCTTCCCCAAGTACTCCCAACTCTAATTAATTAGCATGCCAAAAAAATCATTTCTCAACGTGTTTAGTTAGGGTTTAGTAAATAGTATGATTGTAAAATGATACGGGAAGGTTATACCGGAAAAATTAGAAGTATGGTATATTTTTGTCCTGAAATCATGATTCAATCGTTTCGTACCACTAAAAACCATCTATTGGTTCAAACTCCGATATTATATAGTAGGGTTTTTTCCGGTCGGATCACTGGTACGATACGGTTTCATAAATACTTGGTAAAGAGTGGGTGCTATTTGTTTAGTGGAGGCCATGAGTAAATACAACTGCATTAATCAACAATGTATAGTTCCATGGACCGGTTTCCTGAGGATTGTGAAACCGTATCGAAGATGATACCGCAAAAGTCAATGCTACGATATTTTGTACCGAACTCGTGGTTCAGTCGTTTCATATACCACTAGAACCGACTACCAGTTTGGTGCCTAATATTTCCCAGTCCGACCAGGCCGGTGATAGGGTATGGATTCTAACGCGTTGTAATTTCCAACATGTTTTGTTCAGTTATTGTAAAACTCGTACTGACAGTTGTACTAGAATATTTCATGTTTCAACCGCTTTTTAATCATACTGTCATTCAATCGTTTCATAACGGTACAATCCAATGTCAACTTGGGTACTCTAATAGACGATTTTTCTGATCATATCTCTCCGGTACAATTTAGCCTACACCGATTTTGTCAAGAAGACAACCATGCAAAAGCTATAGCAGCATATGTCATCATGTGAGTCTAGAAAAAAAAAAAAAACTTACCACCCAATTCTTGAGAGAAGACTTGCAAATTCTACAAGTCTCCGATGCTCCTTCAAAGAAACTCATCGTCTTCAGCGCTTCCTCTTCTCTCATAAACCGCATCAGATCCTCGAGATAAATGTACCTATATATACCATCGACCCCAAAACCCAACAACATCAGCAACCCCCCCCCCCCCCCCCCCCCCCCCCCCCAAAAAAAAAAAACACTCCCTTCTTGACTGAATTCACAACAATATTGGAGAGTACCTTGAATTCGGACCAGCCACATTGTAGAAGATCTTCCTCGCGGCAGCTTTGGCCTCGTACTCGCTCTTGATCTTCCTCGACTCGTCCTCGAGCTCGTGGTTGGCTCCGTGGAGGATCTGCTCGTCGAGCGTCGACAAGGAGCCGTGCCTCACGATGTTGATCAGCCGCTTCATGTTCCATGCAGACACGTTCTTGGTGTTGAGCTGGTGCAGGTGATCAATGGTGATGGTGTTGGATTCGTCCCCAACCGCCTTCTTCTCCACGGTCGAAGAGTTGGTCCTCCCTTTGAAGCTCCTCCCGATCATCTTCCCACTCCCGACCACCTACAATAAAAAAAAAAAAAAAAAAGCTCAAATTCACGTCATCATGAAATCCAATCATTAACCCACTAAAACCCTAACTTCATGTTTAGTATCATTTTTTGGGTTTTTGTTTTCACATATGAAAAGTAGAGGCTCAAAACATGTTTAGTTCTGTTTCCATCCGATTGTTATGAAAACCTGACGTCCTGTTTAGCATTGTTTCCGGTCTCTCGTTTTCGACTTGCATATGAAAAAAACATGTTTAGTTCGATTTTTATTCCTTGTGACAAACTGGAGTTGACAACACAGCACAAATTAGTTGAAATAATGAAATGACTTTAAGCAGTTTCGGAAAAGCTGTTTCTTATGCAATCCTATCATTTGTTTTAATAGATTCCATTGTATATGATCAAATCTCATTAAACTCAGTACAATAAACTTGCTTTGTAAGTATTTTTCCCTCTTCGTGTTCATATAACTCATCCACCGAAACCTTATTACCAACGTATCTTTTCCTTCGTCAATTTTCTCATACCTTATCATGTCTCACTATTCCTCACGTTATATTTCATACTTTTTTATAAGAGCCACTCAATGAAGTAATCAAAAACACAGAAAATCCACAAACTTAATTCCGTAATTTCTCAGAATCACCAACTAAAACGTGTTTTTTTGTTTTTCATTTTTTCACGTTATACTTTTTATCGTCTCAACAGAACTGCAACCACCACAACAACAAAACCGAAAACTGTTCAACCACGTACATACCTTCCCCGCCGCACTGGAAAACACGGTCTCCCTCAGCTCCGGCGGAACATTCGCCCCGGCGCTCTGCAGCTTCGCCACCTCCGCCGCCGTCCTCTCGATCTCATCCCTCGTCCTCAGCTGCTCGATCAGCGGCGGGCCCGACAGCGTCTCGATCACGTACTGATTGAACAACGCCTCCTGAATCCGATCGAAATAAGTACTCACGTGAAAAGACGACGCCAACACCTTCACCAGCAAGATCTTCAGCAACCAAATGAAATTCGCCACAAGACAGCAAATCAAAACTTTCGTCAAATACTTCAACGCCTTCACCCTCCCTCTCGCCTCCTGCTCCACCCTCTTGTCAAACAGCAACAACCACGCCAGCAACACAAGCCCTAGCCACAGACAATTCTGCACCCCGTTTTTCAACCCGTACACAAAATAGAGAACTCTTTTACGTAGGAGGAAGTTTCTCTCCACGAAGTAGACGATAATTCGAATCCCCCAGCCGGAGACGAGACGGCCGCAGATTAGAACGAGGAGGAGGACTTCCCATTTCCATAGGGTTAGATGGGCGAGGCGTTTTCTCTTGAAGGAAGGGACGGCGAGGGTGTAGATTAGACCGGCGACGATGGCGATGAGGACGAGCCACTGGAAGATGATGGAGAGGTTGAGTTTTGTTTTCTTGAAATCTTCGGGGAGGTCCTCGAGCTCGAGGTCGTCGTCGTCCTCGTCTTCCGCTCCGGTCCGAGACATAAGACCGGAGCGGTAGAGCTGGCCCGACTTCGCGATGATTTCGGACATCCGCTCCATCTCGTCCTCCGGCGGGTCAAGCAGACGGGACTTGGTTTTCATCCGGGAGAGCGTGCTGGCCTGCTTCCGGAAGGACCGGTTCGACGTGCAGCGGACGACCTCGTCCCCGTCTCCGCCGCCGCGGGACGGAGACGGGGCGGGGTTCTGGTGGTGCCGCCACCGGAGCGACTGGTCTGTCGTGCCGGTGGCGGCAGCTGCGGCCGCCGCCGCCGCGTCGGCGTACGCAGCGCTGGAGACGGAGGGGTCGAACGAGACGCGGATCGAGGAGCGGCGGCTCATCGGTGAGCCGCCGGCGGGGGCGTGGATGACCGGCGCCTGGCGCCGGTCATCCACGGCCTTGAGCTCGTCCATTTCGAGGTCCATGTCGAGGGAGATCTCGCCGGGTTTCTGCTGGGAGAGGAACTGGTGGATGAGGCGGGTGGGAGGGTCTTCATCGGCGGCCTGGCTGGAGAAGCCGAAGCTGGCTTCCCTTTGCATGTGGTTGGGATCATCTGCGGGAACAACACCGCCGGCGTTGTTATCGACGTCGACGGTGCTGTAATCCTTCCTGCGGGTGCTAGGAGAATTCATGTTGTTGTTGTTGCTGTTGGTGCTGTGGTTGATGATTTCGTCGGGGGAGAGGATGGGGAGGTGCTCGTGGGATGCGGTGGAGGAGGAGGAGGATTTGCCGCCTATGCCGGCGGAGAGGCGACGGACGTGCTTGTAGGAAGGGTGGGATTTGAAGGATTTTCTGAGCGTGTCCATTTGTTGGAGGAGGAAGGTGTGATCGGAGAGATTGTATCTCAAAATGGGTGATTTTGAGACAAATCTCTATCCCATGGTGGTGATGATCGATGGATCGATCAATGCACCGTTTTGTTTTGTTTTGTGTTTGTCTTGTTGTTTGATTTGTGTTTTTTTGTTCTTTGTTGGTGTTTGTTTATTGTGAGATTGGGATTAAGGGGGTGTGATTAGGGTTTGTGGGGAGATTTTGGGGAGATATGGAAGGTGGGATGAGGATCATGATCGATGTCGTCAATGGCATCATCTTCGTTAATGATAGTTTCGGTTTTTGGAAGGGAGGGGGTTGGTTTGGACTTTTGGGGTGTACAAGGAGAAACAAATGGCATGGGGAACGCGAGAAAATGGCCTAACATGGCATGTGAGTCAAAAGAAATTGCATGGTTACATGAATTTTGGACGTTAGCGATGCGGTCGAGTACAAATCGGACCATATATACGGCTTACTTTTCGAATCGAGAGGTTGGCGTACTTACCATATCAAATGCTATGCGATCTAGAGCATATCAAATGCTTTTGCACTAAACTCTAACACGTATGCACAAATTTGATACACTAAATTCAAGTAAATATCATATATACAAAATAAGAGCATTCCAACTTCTACTGAAAACGTCATACACATAAACATAATGTCATAGGAACACATGATCTTCTCCACTCTCTTTGCGGAATGTGATTTGTATATGAAGGATAGAACAATAGTCACAAATTTAGGGTTAAACTTGGGGAGTAGAAAGAGTGATTAAGTGAGTTGCTAAAATTAATTGAAAAGTGGATTAGATCCACATTTTGGAGTATGATAAACCACAAGTCTTAACCATACCAATAGATCAAAAAATTTCATAATTGATAATACCAATAGGTCATAAACTACTCAACAATTTACGTTCAGTACCAAACTGTAAATTCGGTTTGGTGCATAAATTTTCCAACTATAATCTGATCACATTTTTCTAGTCTACTCACTGGGTGGATTTATTTACAGTCATTCCATGTCACAGGCCCAAAGAAGTTGAGCCCGTTCGATAAAACCAGCCAAGAGCCCATAACAATGAAACGGAAAAGCCTGAGTCCAGATCCAGGCCCGGTTGTTTGTTTCTTCTTTCGGAGGGGCATAGATGTCCGAAAGCAAGAACAATCCGATGTTCAGAATATAAGTAGGGGCATTCAGCGCAAAATGCAATGGAGAATCGGCAACCAAAACCGAAAAGGCCAAAACAGTGAATAATTTAACCCTGCGGCCTGCACCACGTTTTTTTTCTTCTTTTCTTCCGGCTGTGGAAATCCCATGCTCAAATATTCTCTTTCCTCTTTTCACCTTTGGTATGATCAATGGTGGCCTCTTCTTAGGGCGGAGAGGAACCCTCCGTGGGACTTCTCCTTCCGCCCATCACCCAAGTCATCCCCAACCTGTTTTTTTGTGCACGAGCAAGTTATTGTATATTAATCAATCTGGATTTGCATGCAGTATGTTTACGTAGAAACGAAACGAAAAGAAAACATGCTGGATCGAAGGATATGGATTTTACTACCTCTTTGGCTATCTGTTGCAGGTTCTCTATGATTTCGGAGAAGTCGGGTCTCAGTGCTGGATCCTGCTGCCAGCATTTCTCGAGGAGATCCGCGAGCTTCGGGTTACTGTGCTTGGGAATCGTAGGCCGTAAGCCCTGTAAAAGCAAGAAACGATGTGCATTCAATGAATTGGAAGTTTGGAAGCAGAACATTTTTTGCTTGTGGCGTAGGGAAACAAGATTGGGTACCTTCTGGACCACGCCAACTGCTGCCTGAAGCGGTGTCAAGTACTCGTATGGAAGCTGGGATACCAGAAAGAAGAAAACCAGATTGAGGTTGGCGGTGACTTTGTTTGAAACCCAAAAAGAAAGAAAGATGGTTAGGAATGGAGGATATATATACCTTTCCGGTCAATAGCTCCCATAGTACGATGGCGAAACTGAAGACGTCGGCCTTGTGATCATATGGCTTGTGCTCGATGACCTTCAATGTAAAACAAAAATGGCGTGAGGGTGTGTAAGGATGAGCCACCGAGTGGGGGCACAGTAAGAGATATCACGCTCTTTCTATTTGTTTTTGAAGGAGCACCTCAGGAGCCATCCATCTGTAGGTCCCGGTTTCAGCTGTCATGACACCAGATTGAGTTTTCACCCTGGCGACCCCGAAATCTGCAACCTTCACCACCTGCATATCAAAGAATCAAAGAGATTTACTATCAAGCGTAGCAACATTTCAGTCCGGGAATGAGTGGAAATTGCTATAAGCTATTAACCACTGATCCAAACCTGATGCCTGTAAACAATAACAGCTAATCCAAACCTAATGCATGATGCCTATTTTACAACAATAACCTGACTAGTTTTTGGCTCCAACCTCTAAGCATCTTTTGTGGTCAATTAGACATTTTAACCGATCCACTCCACTCATGTTAGCAGCTAGCAAGCAGCAGAGAATAAGGAACGGGGCTGCTATGGGGTCAGCATTGCTTTGAGGTTACGAGACAGGGTTCACGGGATCAATCAGATGAAAGCATGGTTCAAGTAGAGCGGAAATTGGTTCAAGTCTTGAATACCTATAGAGCGATGGAAGACCCTTACCTCATTTTCATCCATGAGAAGATTTGCAGCCTTCAGATCTCTGTGAATTATGTTGTTTTGGTGCAAGTAGTTCATTCCTTTGGAAATATCTATTGCTACTTTAAGTAAGGAGGGAAGCTTGAAAACTCCCTTGTGTTTATGTAGGTAATCATACACGCTGCCGCCAGACATGAATTCTATAGGCACAAAGAGCAGGAAAGGAGAACAAAGAAAGACAATTCATTAAATGGCAATGAATTATCACAACTTAAAAATACTAAAATTGAATATCAGGAGGATAGTATTGATAAGGGAGATACAAGCTTACCTGTTACTATACACAAACTTGGTGGTTTGGTGCATGCACCAATGAATTGTACAACATTCTTATGCCGAACTTTCCTACAAGTCCAAAGCACCTTCAAGTTAGAAATGTATCGTCCTAGCACATAAAAGCTCCCTAATGGCTAGAGTTTAAAGGGAACCAGGAGAGAAAAAAAGAAGTATTGCTGACCTCATTATGTAGACTTCCTGGGCAAACTCTCTCTGCATATCCGTATTTACTCGCTCAGCCTTCAGTACTTTGATAGCTACTTCTTGGCTACAGTAAGTACCTTTGTACCTAGACCAAATATGCTGTTAGATGATTTCACAGTTAAAAGAATCAGGATACATTTCAAATGTAAGGAACTCACAAGTCCCCATATGATCCAGATGCCACCATGTTGTCAAATTTTAGTTGTTTAAGATCAATTTCCCAGACATCAATCCCGTCGTTGGGTATGGTCACGCAATCAGGATCACATATGACACTAATTTGCTCAAGTTTCTTTGTAGAAGGTAGTGAGTGATGGTTTGACCAAGTCTGATTCTGCATTCAATTTCAAGTTGATTAGTGCTTGCTACCAAGCCAAATTAGAAATATTGATAGGGCATGTTTAAAAGTGTAATTTGGCATTTTCTGAGACGGAACATTGAGATAGTAAAGAGGTCAATAGTATTTGAACTGCATTATTCAGAAGTTCATTAAAGATAACAGAAACCGTAGATATCTTGATCCATAACGAAATCAAATAAATTTTGAGTTTATGAATTACCTCAATTTTGTAAGCTTCCTTTAACAAAGCGGTTCTAAGCTGCTCCGTTTCCTGAAAAGGTCCAAAACCAATGCCTGTCAGTAGCATGGTGTGAATTTTCAAACAAGCTCAGTAACAGACTCAATGAGTGGGGAAGAGCTGCACTAAGAGCAAATTAAAGAAGTTAGTACCTCATACGGCCAACCATCAACAACAAAGACATCCAATGAGTAACCATCAACTGTTGAAAATGCATGTGCTTCTTGAATGTTCAATCCAGCATCAGCAAGCATGGAAGTCAACTGCAAGTTTCACAAATTCGGTGAAGACCAAAGATCACATAGATCTTACGAAATCTGAAAAAGTATACAGCTTTCAGTTCAGGATGCACGCTGATATACCTGACTTAAAAGTTTTGGCTTGTCCTCAGCTGAAAACGTAATTTCATGCATGTGCCTGTCAGAATGGCAATTACAATATGAGACTTTAAGCAATGGATAAGGGAAGACATGCAGAACCATACATATATGCATTGTTATCTTTCAAGAATACAGTGTCAATGAACTGCAGCACCAAGATAAATCAATGATATATTCACCAATCATCATCATTTATTACCTTCTCGGAAATTGCAAGCTATGAAAGCAACTCCTACGGACACAATAACGTTTTACCCCCCCCCCCCCCCCCGACTCCACTCTCCTAACTCTTTTTCTTGTTTTGTTTTTAAATCTCCTAACTCCATGGCACTACAAGTTCGACGAATATCTCACATACGTGTTGCTAAATGCGAGGGCCAGTAGAAATGAGAATCTAAGATTCCAAATGGTAGATCAAGTCAATGAAAAATTACCGAGAGAACTGTGAATTGGCATGTACAGAATGATCACTATCCTGACCTTCAGAATCATTTCCTTCAAGTGCAAGTGCTTCAAGATTATGAGATGAACCAAATGCAGGAGGTGGGTGCGTACTGAGCAATGAAAACCAACTGATTTTATCAGCATTATTGATGACATATGCTAAGAGGAAACTGGTGAGAAGAAAAAAAGGAAGCATGAAACCACACTCATGCATTCAGCATCTGATGCAATCAACATACCTCTGTCGACTGCTTTGGGCAGATTCCTCCCCATTAGATCCTGGATAGTTAGAATCATCAGTCCACTTACCATCGGGACTAGGAGAAACCTGCATAGGAGTTAAGTTGGTTCATAACAAACTCAAAAAAGTTTTACAGACAGTAACAGTCATGCCATTTGGTCGATGCCAACAAAGAAATTCGGGGGTTGATTCTGGAAAATTTGGAAGAGGGGGAAACTGAAACTGCGAGCTATGAAGTTGAGATATGCATGAAATCCCTTTACATCATTTCCGCTATGAAGATCTGCCCAATGAAGCGGTCAACAACTGACAAACAATGATAGCTTCATTTTTGCACATATGATAAAGAATCCACAGACAGCTAAGCGGTGACATAAGGTTTGTTCATTTACAATTCAGCAGAACCCAGTTTCAAATTCAATCTTCGAAGCCGATAAATAAAAAGTCAAGATGCCAGTTATTTGGCATGCAGTTCATGAGTCATGACGACTTTAACAACATGGGGAACTATTTCACGGGCCGCATAGAAAAGATGATTCTGACATTAGAAAAGAAGAAGCATACACGGAAAAAAGTTTTCACAGTTCTAGGGGTGGTCCCAGATAATACAGCTGTGAACTCTCCCAAAAATCTAGACGCACCATGTTGCAATGCGATAAGCTACGTTGGCTTTGGAAGGGAATGGAATAAGACAGCCACATTCACACCCAAACAAACTGTAGCTTCCAAAAACTAAAAGGAGACAATAACAGGCATTAACAAATATCATCACAGCATCCATGTGAACCAACCACGATCCACCAGCACCAAAATGAACAGATTTGGAGGAAGAAGACAGCACAGTTAAAAGAACAAAAGCAAAAAGAAGCAAGCACCCCAATTCTGAGTCTGGCAATGCAAGGCAGCAAAAGGTATTCCAATTGAATAAGAATCACGCAATGCATACATCATCTGACTGAACTCGCACCTGTACTAGCCGGACTTCGATCACCGGCCGATTAGCCGGATCGTGAGCCAAATGCAGTAGTCTCTTGTGCATTAGAACATCCTCAGCTCTTTCCACATTTACATCCAATGCATATCTGTTATGAGAATCAAGATTTCTGGTTATGATAAAGTACTAATCAGGACTCACTCCATCAACTTGATCTCCACAAGAACAGGCCGAGAAATGCACAACTTCAAACAGTAACAAACAATCGATTCAGCTTCTCTTTTACCCCATCCTCTACAATTACAATCCAAGAGCTCAGAATATTCACTCACTAGCAGACAGATTCCACATCGCAATCCACCGCCAGAATATACAGAACCACACAACACCACCAGGAAAAAAAAAAAACAAAATCATGAAAGTAAAGAAGGAAAAAAAAAAGGGGAGAAAAACGTTTTCCGTACCGAACGGGGAGGCGGCTGAAGTGAGACCAGAGCTCGTCGTCGAAGCCGTCACGACCGGCCTCTTCATTGTCCGATTCCTTCAGCCGACGGAGAACCTCATTGTACACCTCCAGCTTCTGCCTCTGCTGCCTCCCCTGCGGCGGCGGAGACGCCGACGAGGACCTCCCTTCCTGCACTGCTCGGCTCCCACAGCTCTCGCTCTTCTCCTCTGTCGTCGTCGCCGCCGTCATCATCTCCACCATTGATAGAGACGAGCGCGCGGCAGCCAGCGACGGAGGTGGATTTCAGCGAGTTATAAAAATAAAAATAAAAAAACAAAAATCCGAGTCTCTCGAACACTTCCAACGAAACGGAGGCAGGCCGCCGGCGGGAGAATCGGGAGCTACTGTTACTGGTGGCGATTGTGGTGGCTGTGGGGTTTATATGGAAGAAGAAGAAGAGAACGAGACGACGGAGATTTGGCGAGAGAATCCTCTCTTTTTTTCCTTTTCTTTTTTTTCTTTACTTTGTAGAGAAAAGAAATAGAAAATCTGTATTTAAAGGATTGGAATGTTGAAACGGGAGCCTAAAATGCGCATAAAAATGGCGCCGACGTGGATCTCTAACTACAGGGGCGAGTATCGGGGTTTTGTTACGCTACGGTTGAGGCAGGTGGTGGCGTTCGTGGACCTTCAGGGGGTTGTTACTTGTTAGCCGTTGGATGGTAAGATCGGGATGAAATCTTGTTAATAACGTTGTGATTAACTGATTAATTAAAAACTGATTAATTAATTGATTAACTTCCCCCTCAGAATCAGTGAGGGGATTGCCCAAGTCCCAAACTCTCTCTCTCTCTCTCTCCTGGCTGCCCGAAAGGAAAGGAACAAAGTGGCATATTCCTTGCTGGTGCCACATGTTTTGGATAAGCTTTGTGCCTGTCTGGCGCTGACCGGAAAAGACCGGGCTGCCCGGATTCGATTAGTTTAGCTAATTGACTGCTAAGATTAATTGAATTAGTTTGTATTTGGTAACGGAGAAACGAAGAACTTGGTTAAGGGTAAATTTAAGAAGTAGTGTCCAAAAAAAAGCTAACTAATAAGTAAAGAGATATATAGAAACAAAGGGAAATTTCTAGTAATGTTTTTTAATGCTTGTAGGTGTAGTGGTTGCCTTTAACTCTCTATCAAGTAAACAAAAATGACCGAAAATAAGGGATGTTTGAAATATGAGTATTAGGTCAAATTTTTAGGAAACAAGTAGGATTGATTATGACAATGGATAGGAGATATGTTTTTTTTTAAATAAAGGTACTTGATTAAATGGATATAAAATCATGTAGCGCATTTTTTGTTTGTTTGTAGAAGCGATTCAAATATATCGATGTATGTGGTTGATTATTTGGATCGTCTATTTTGATTTCCCCCAGTGTTTTTTTCTCAACAATACACTCCTAAAACTTCCCATTGAATTTTTTTTCTTCAAACAAATCATTACACATGAATCACATGCAACTTGTCGTATCTTTCGAAATTTATTGAAAACAGAACCACACGGCCTACTTAAGTGTGGGTTTATGTGGTATGTCAAAAGAACGATCTTACTCTCATAATAATGGCGAGGTAAACATGAATGCAAAAATATACAAGGAATATATTTCTATCTATTACTACCTTTACGACGCATTTTCTGTATTGTTCCAATTTTATCGGACACTCGAAGATACCTGCATTATGATGCATTCTAAATCTAGCACAACAGACTTAAGTGTACAACAGCTCCGATAAGGTTTCCCCCACAACCGATATGGTACAAACAAATTATCTTCAATATTTATACCTTGTAACCATACAATCATTTATTCCAAAGTTACATATTCAAAGTGGTAACCCAACACGCGCCGTTAATATCATATGACACAGTGTCGGTTGTTTTTTTACGGACAAGTTTTAGCATCTTTTCTTAAGTTTATTCCATATTCCATCACCATTCAGTCAGACCCTCTTTTACAGATATACTAATCACCTATAAAGAAAGAAATTATATCACATCGAATCACGTACATCGATTTTATATTATCTTTATACACAAGAGTCCACTGTTGTAATACCGATATTATATTACAGGTTTGTCTACCTACCCGGTAGATTTGAAAGTATTCACACATGACTTATAGCTAGCTAGCTAGCCTCCCAATAATACTTTGATAACCATAAACTAATTACTACTATTAGGGTATATGCCAAGCTTATTCCTTTATACCTCCCCACCATCTAGGTTACTACTAAACTTATATTAATAGTACCTTTAACCCATGCATGGGGAAAAGAATATAACATACCAATGTTTAATCAATTGACTGAGCTAAGGAAACCCTAAAGAGAATAGAAGAGAAATAGTTCAATGGTTATCCACGTTTGGTTAAGGAAAGAAACTCGATCGAACTTGTCTTCCTTCACTCCTTGCACATATATATTGTCTGAAAAATGCAACCACCGCCATCGCCACCGCCAAGTTGATTACAAAACTTGCATGGAGTGGAAACACGTGCCGGCGGAGAAGCTACCCACAGGGTTGGTTCAGTTCGGACTGGTCCAAATCGGTTTGGTCCGGTGCTTGCACCGGATTCGCTAAGAATAAACCGGGACACGGGCCGACCGAGATGGCCACGTGGGAGGAGGAGGGTGGGCCGGGGATCGCCGAGAAGCTGACGTGGAATAAGCGGCTGTTCGAGGCAGCGAGAGGACGGTTGAATTGATACGATTTGATTAATTTGCTGCGGCGAGTGGTCGTCGCCGATCGAGTCGTTGTTATTTTATAAACTATAATAATATCGGATGGCGCAGTGGCAGGAAGATAAACTTGTTTAACATTTTGCAATTAATTAGTACTATGAATAGATCGTAAGTACTATATATTATTATATATAATCAGAATTAGGGTTAATTATTGTGAAACCAAAGCCTTCTGCCCCGCCGGCGGCCGCGTAAACTTGTTCCGTTGGATGTCACCGTTTTAGTAAGCAGTGGCTGCAGGGAGGTGTGATAACGATAATAATGAAAATCACGAACGTACCAGCACGGGCGGCTACTCTTTATCTGTATGACAGCTTGTGCGCAGAGAATACAGCCAAGGGATTGATTTTATAGGATAGTGAGTAGAAATGCGTCCAGATACATTAGAGCTAAGTTCGCATGATTAGGGTTGTGAATGAGTCGACTCGAGTTCGAACTTTACCTAGACTTTAACCGCGTTAAAAAAAACAGATTATATTAAATTAGTTGAATATGAGCTCGTGACGATGAGCATTAAAAATTAGGGTTATCTTAAGTTTGGATTGATTGTGCAAAATTGTTTCTGTGCTATACATATATGTTAATGTTATGTGTATACATTATACAATATCAAGTTATTAGCTTGCAACCCGACAAGTTGAACTAATAACCCAATGTATGTCTCAAGTTCGACTCATTAATAAACAAGTTTGTTTGTATGTTGGCTCGTTAAATAAGCATCCGAGTATCGAACATAGTCTTTTTAAAATCGTAGTTTTAGTTTCTTGTTGGGTTTAGGGTGTTTTTTTTTATAGTATTAAACGTAGCATGGAGTACTTAGTTAGTAAAATACGGTACGGGAAAGTTACGTATAATATACGGACGGGTATTTTACTTCGTCTCTATGCTAATGTTACGTTTAATAGTACGTTGATTGTCATAAATATAGAAAATTAATTATTTTAAAAATAAATAAATATATTAATAATAGTAAAGTTAATAATTGAATTCATTAAATACGGATATTAAACGTATTATACGGGTTTTATACGTGTTTAATACGGGAGCCATCAAATGAACGGACAAAAATGAAACTGCTTGACAATATTACGGATACGGAAGTTTTAAACGGATAAAGTACGTACGGGTACATATACGTGTATTAAACGGAGTATTTACTAACTATGTGGAGTAGTAATGTCAATTGATCATTCTTAATTAATGTTATCCAACCACGTGGAAACGTGCAGCACTGATCGCCCTTTTCTTTAATCTCGTCCTTAATTATTAATCCAAATATAGAAAAACCAGACCACCCAGCTCTCCCCAGGCAACCACCTCCACCAGGTCGATCGGCGGATCCGGCCAGTGAGCCGGTACTAAGACCCACGGGCTGACCGGAAGAGCCGGACGCGGGCCCGACCGTGATTGATGCCGTGGACGGTTCATACGCACCGGCCGGACCAGTTCGGTCTTCGGTGCATGATTTACGATGACGAGTTCATTATTATGGCCATTTTAGTCTTTTCTGCGTGACGTTGATTCATTCTATAACCTTCATAAAAAAAGGTTATCCTATAATCTATGTTTAGGTCCCCGTGTTAGTAACATAATAACGTTAGTTAGGAAAATTCATAATCCGACCTGAATTCGGTCCATATTCAATCACCCGTGATCCCAGAGTGATTAATCTTTGAATTAACAAAATTATAATAATTTAACAAAATAATATCGGACTAATGTACTTGATCGAACACGTTGGCCAGATTCATTATCATTAGGTATATATGATAGTCGAGTTAACAAATAATATAGGAGATCATTAGTCCACGCATGCGCATGTTCCAAATGGTACCAACCGTGTGCTTATATATACACACACGTCACATTTCACAAATGCCAGGAGTCAGAAATCCGAACGAGAAGGATCTAAAAAATTATGGTCGAGAAATTTCGATTGTGGTAGCTCAACCTGGATTGAAGGGTGCCAATGCTCTGGCATATGCACGGTTTCTCAAATTCGTTGCAAGTTTTAATTCAGGGGTATTTTTAATTCACCCCTAACTACGATGTAGCTTTGCAAATTGTATATCATCTCCTGCCAATCACCCCTAACCACGATTTCTCAAATATATTGTTAGCAAAATGGTGGTTTAGCAGAGCACTATTTGGTTGTTTACAACTTCAAGCAACGACGGTAATGAAAGATTAGTCATGGTGAATAACCTGAGTGATAACAACAATATGATTTGTTGATTCTTCAAGCTCCACGTTGATGTAATTTAACGACAGGATAAGATGTGCTCACCTTTTGCTTTGTTTTCTGGTTCTCTCTTTCCCGTGCACACTTACAACGTGACCTGTCCAATTCTCACAAGATTCTTCCCTCTCCAGGAATCTGCAGAATCTTTCTACCCCCACTCACTGTTCTGAGAGTTTTGTTGCTTTCACCCACCACTTGAAGCAACGACCTGTCCAAGTTACTATCGTTCTGCAGGGATGATAGTAACTTGGGAACATATTGGTCAAAACTTGAAGACAGATGTTCAGATAGAAATGAAGACTCTCAGAGAATGTAGCTTCATCCAGAGGGATTCAAATCCTTCTCTATACTTTCTCCAAGACTGATGAACAACACCATGGAAGAAACCCAGATTTGTGAAAGTTTAAATATGATCCTAAAACAAGCCTCAAGAACTGCAGCAGAACAACAACAAACAGCTATGGGAACAGCAGGTACTGGCAGGCAGAATTCCTAACTGCAGAGGTTCCACGCGTATGAAGTATGAACAAGTCTACAACAGACCACATGAGAAGAAATATACAACACAAGTGAAAAGACATGCTGTCAAGGCTTTTACCCTAGCATCATATCATCTTCATCTTCCAGCATGTGAAGAACGTGCTCACCGCCTTCTCCAATGAGCCACCCTCCAATCCCATCGACTTCGTCGAACTCTTGTGCATAACTGCCGTCCACGTTATCCCACTGCTCTGGCCCGATCTCCTCGCCATGACACGTCACTCGCAGGAAAGGTCTGTTCCTGGCTAGAGCATCTATAATATCTCTGTTCACACTCCCTGCAATTCCCAACCATCTCAGCCTTGGAAAGTATGGATTCTTCAACCACTTGTATGCCAGCTGCGTAATGCCACCACAGTTGTAGATATCCAACAGCCGCAAACAGTTACCATGTCGCTGGTCGTCATCCACCTGCATCGACGCCAGTGCCATCACAGATGTATCGCCGATGAGAGGGCACTGTCTAATACGAAGCTCCGAGACGGGAACCCGACTCCTTGCTAGAGACAGAATCCCTTCGTCGGAGAGACTGGGGATGTTCGAAAGATCTAGCTCCTGCAGCTCTAGATTCGATGCATCTTTGAAGAGAACCGAGATGGCTCTATCAGTGAGCCTCTTGCATCCTCTCAAGGACAATGAAGTCAGAGACTTGATGACTCTTTCCCTGAGAGAAGACAATCCGAAGTCACTTATATCCATACCATCCAACCTCAAGGTTTTCAACTCGGGAAGAGTACCGATAGCTTTGAGGGCTTCATCACCGAGGCTCTTGCATTCACGCAAGTCAAGTACTTTGATCTGCACGTTGGAGACCAAGTTCCCAATTGCGTGATTCGTGAGAAGGTAACACCATCTCAAGCTGACATGAATCAGAGAGAGGGAAGTAGCTGAGATGTCATGGAACACGAGATCTGTCAAGTGTGTCCCATGACAGACTTTGAGCTTGTATAGTCTGGAGCATGAATGGAGGATTGTTTTGAACCCGGAATCCGTGACACGACAGAAGCCTCCAAGTGATATGCTTTCCAAGTTTGCACACTTATCGGCCATCATGAGTAACCCAAGATCGTTGACCCTTCGGAAGTATGTGATGAGGTACTGCTGACTTCGGATTAGAGACAAATGTTTCAGCTTGCCGTGCTGATTGACAAGCTCGAGGCCAAGGTTGGTGAGATCAGTTACGATTGTTGGTTCCATGAAGGGTGCGTCTCGGAGGTCGAGGTGGGTTAAGGACAATAGGCCACTTGATATTGTTCCAACCATAGTGTCTGTGATGGAGTCCACTGAAAGGATAAGTTTCTGAATCCCAGGGAGAATGGATGGCTGAAGTGAGTTTGAAGATTTGGGAGCTAGATTTGGGGCAAGCAGTTCAGTTACCATGACCGAGGACACATAGCCAATCTCCAGACATTCGAGTTTCTGAGATGCCGACGCCCAAATCGGGGCAAAATCATGACCAGAGATTAATGAGACATCAAACATCAACACGAGTGCCTGCGAAACAGTAGAGAATATCAGTATCTGAGGTAAACTTGCATAACAATATTCACATAACAAGATCAAACAACAACAGACCAACCATGGTAGAAGTTATGTATTCAGATCAGGGAGAAAATAAGCTAACATACAATATGTATGGAGGGTAATACCACGACAGTATTGAGTATTCATCATAAAGATTGCTTGCAGTCAATTTTGAACTTGGCAATGACGTGCATTACAGATGAGAATTTGATATCTAGGAGAATCAGACCCAGTTTTTAAAAAAATTGAATACAGTTAACCAAATAGGTGAGACCAAACAAATCAGGGAAGTCATTATATAGAACCAATTTCGAGCATTCGACTAACTATGTTCAATGAAGCTTTCATTAACAAACTTCACAGCTAAGCCTTACTTCCAACTGCTTGCAACAACTGAGTAAGTCCCCCAAATCAGATATATGAATGGCTCTGCTTCTTTTTTCGGCCACTGAACCCAAGTAGAGACACCTGAATGAAAGTCAAATGCAAGTCTAAAACGCCGATATGAAATGAATAGAACATCACAGCAACCCATTAACCATAGATTGAAGCAAGTCAGCTAATTCTACCGACACATTTGAACCGCCATTCGATCTTTACCTCAAATCTGCACAGTTCGAAGCAATTCCACAAAGCAATTTCCCAGTAAAATCAGAGCAGTTGTGCACATACAACTCCTGCAAGGCAGGCTGAGCTAATAAACTGATGGCCGAATCATCCAGCCGCTCGCAATCAAGTTTCAAGCTTCTAAGATAAGGGTTTGGTGGCAATAAACGCCTCAATAAATCAATGGAAAGCGCAATCTCCTGCAAAAGGAAAAAAATAAATTCATGTTACTTCCCAGTTTAGCAACAAACAGATCTTGCATTCTTGCTAGTTGCTACTTCCCGATACCCAAACCAATTCATTAATCGAATTGAGAAAATGCCAAGACACGGAAATAGTTTCAAGAGTCAAACTTTAGAGGAAAAGTTCCAATCTTTTCTCAGAAACCAAACACGGACCTACATGGGTAATCGAAATCGCTATACAGACACAATCAATAAGCTCTTACCAGAAGGTGGAAGCTGGGGATGAAAGCGAATATTTGAGAAGCGGAAGCTCTGAACGCTCTGCAAGTGGAAGCGGCAGAGCAGATGGAACCCACGTCGAGCTTTGACATTATCGAGCAGACAAGAGCCTCTGGCAGACGATCCAGCCGCTTTCCTTCTCCTTCTCCTCCTTCTGCTTCTCCTTTTCCACCTCCGCTTCCTTCGCCGGCCGACATCATCGGAGTTTAGGTTTGACTAACGACGATTTCGTCGAGAGGTTATCGACGACGAGAGTGTAGATCCCTTTGATCCGAAAATTAAGGCAATCGCTGTAAAGTGGCGGGTTGAAATGAATATGGGTAAATTTGGTACCCACGCGATGCAACAATTTCCAATTTGATCACAAAAATTTAGTTCTGGCCAACTTAGATCCCTGAAATTCTTGTTTTCCAGGTGGAAGGGGAATCCCTATTAATTCAATTTTCACTTGAGGAGTTGAGCCACTCATTTTTACCAAATCCTCTCGCATAGAAATCAAATTGAACCCCACATAAGACAAGAAATATATATTTAATCCATCTCTTTTTCATTTTATTTACTGGGCGAACAACTTAACTTATTCGTCGTGTTTGAAAAGCACAATCTTAGTAATTAACACGACATCATCCTCAAATTATCACCAATCTAATTTCTTACAATCCACAGTTTCAGAATTCCCACAAGTCACAACCTCAATAACAACGTTAGTCATTGACAGCTTGTTCCTCGATTTGTGTGCTTGTCGCCCGGGTGGTTCGGTAGCAATCATTTAGGGCTGCAAATGTAGTGGGAAGACAAATAGATGATTGTTATAAGATAAAGGAAAATGGGTTACTGTTTCTGTTGTCTTGTAATCGGTTACGGATTTTGTGCCGCCCCATGTTGCTAGCATATTTTTGTTTCACATTTTGTAGCGAAGTCTGTTAGCTAGGACTGCAAATGAGTCGAATTTTACCCCAACTTGAAAGTCTGAATCAGTCACCCATTTTCTTTTATCTTATAACAATCATCTATTTGTCTTCCCACTACATTCAGCACAAACATGGCAGAACAAAAATTTTTTTGCTAGTGACTTAATTTATCCGACCCATGGTCACAAAATCCTAATCCTCTTAGGAGAACGCAAAAGTGCAAACCGCAATCTATAAATTAAGCTCGCTAATCTCAAAACCTCTTGCTCTCGTTGCAAAATTAAAAGCTCTTGCATCCTCTTCCGCCATGGGCATGGCGGCCGACGAGAAGTACTGCAGCAAGGGCTGGGATCTGCGGCTGTTTTGCTTCGGCTCCGACGGACGTCTTCTCCGTTGCGACACCAGGAAACGGAAGAAGGCTTTAAACCCTCCTCCGTCAACTATAAGCAAGCTCCAAGACGATCTCATGGTGAAAATTCTGTCCCGCCTTCCGGACGCTGGATCCGCCTTCCGTTGCAGAACCGTCTGCAGGCGGTGGCGCCTACCGTGGAAGCTGCAAGTGGTTGGTTCAGAGCATCGAATCAACTCGGGCCCGAAAAACTGCTGGTAAGCTGTTTCTTGGTGTGTATTTCTCTGGTTTTCTTTCTACTTAGTGTGGTCTCCGATCCTATGTCTCTCTTCTATTTTGTGTTCATGGCCGGTTGAATCACTGACGACCAACAAGTAGAATGTCAGTCGGTTGAGGGCGTCGAACAACTGGATCGATCAAGGAAGCACAACAGATCAGAGCCATCACCGCAGTCCCTCGAGAGTCCGGTTAAGAAGCAGAAGATGGTGACAGACAGGAGCGATCAATTGGTTGATGTTGTTCTTGCACTCCAGGCTATACCAGAGTTGGATGATCAACTGATGTTGGATGCCTGCGATCTTTTCGAAGTCGATGGCGAGAAAGCAGCAGTTTTCTTAGCATTGGATGGTAGAATCAGAAAGAAAGTGGCTGCTAAGGAAACTTCTTCCAAATGATTCTGTATGAAGGGGATGTAATTTCAAGAATAGCAAACAATTACTTTAACCCCCATCGTTGGGTTTTCACTCTCTAGAAAACAGAGGCTCCCCTGTTTCTCCTCTGTTCCAACAGAGTATTTCATTATCCGAAGAATATTAATGGCTAACCCGCCGGGGGTTCATCTCCGAGTTACGACACAGTTTTTTCTTACTAGTTTACATGATTCATATCATATTTATCTTGATTCACCGCCATTAAATTTATCTAATTTTTAGTGACTTTGGATGTAATTTATCCGACTAATAGCCACAAAATCCTAATCCGATTAGGAGTAGTGTAGCCTCGGTTTATAAATTAATGATGATAAGGGCATTGCTAGTCCTAATCTCTTTCTCTTCCGACGTTCGCAATATAGCTTTTGCATCCTCTTCCGCCACGGGTATGGCGGCCGACGAGAACTGCAGCGAGGGTGGGGATCTGCAGCTGAGCTTCGGCTCCGATGGACGTCTACGAAGATTCCGTTCAAAGGCTTTAGGCCCTCCTCCGTCAACTATAAGCAAGCTCCAGGACGATCTCCTGATGGAAATTCTAGCCCGCCTTCCGGACGCTAGGTCGGCCTTCCGATGCAGACCCGTCTGCAGGCGGTGGCGCTCACTCGTCTCAAATCCCGACTTCAGGCGCCGCTTCCTTTCCCATCACCAGAGCGAATCAGGTAATGATCACGACCGCGGCATCGTGTTGTCGTCTGAGGACGCTCAATCCGTAATGAACTTCCTCCCCGTGCCTGACGACATACGGCCCCCCTGCTTCTCGATTCTCAGTTCGTGCAACGATTTGGTTCTGTGCGGATTCCATACGTCGAACGAGCGCGCCAAAAACCGCGAAAAGTTCAGCAGTCTGCTCTTCGTCTGTAATCCGTTTACAAAGCAATGGATCGCCCTTCCTGTACCGCCAAACAGGCCGGTCCCAGCTCAGCGTGAACCTTCACCGATTGTGAGTTTGGTCTGTGGGTCTGGTAGCGACCAAGGTCGAGCCTTTGTTGATCGGTTTCGGGTCGTGCGTTTCGCTACATGGTCTTCCACCCCAAAGATGGACTTGTTCTGTTCGGAGTCTGGGGAATGGACGGAAATAGAACTTGGTCTGGTGCATCCCAACTTCGATTTGAGACCAATGGCATGGAAGGCTCAGATGGCTTGGTGCGATGGCAAGCTGTATTGGGTGAATTCGAGTGGGTACGAAATTGTTGCATGGGATCCTTTCAGCCCAAAAACACCTCCAAAGTCTATTGCTGCTCCTCGTGTACCCCGTATACCCGCCCGGGTTTGTGCCTCGCAAGGTGCTTTGCACTTTGTTGCACTTCAGCATATTTGTACTCCTGTAGCGAAAACGAATCTGTTGATGGTTCAGATATGGAGGGAAGAACACAGTGCCATAACATGGAGGAAACCAGCCACAGTCACAGTGTGCTTGAATTCGTGCCAGTTTGTAGGATCCAGCCGTGAGGACTACATTCGTCTGGAACGGTGTGACATACGTGGTTTACATCCAAGTAACCCCGATATCGTCTTCTTAGAGTTTTCCCATGGAAAGCGGCAGACATTTCGTACTGTGTTCACGTTGAATGCCAGGACGAGGGAGCTGGCGTTCTTCGCCGATCGAATGACCGATACGGAGGACTGGAGGGTGTTCAACCCGAGGTTCGCCTGTTGGCCTAGTCCGATTCCGAATTATGAGAAACTACAGGGCGCCTACCGTGGAAGTTGCAAGTGGTTGGTTCAGAGCATCGAATCAACTCGTGCCCAGAAAACTGCCGGTAAGCTGTGTGTCTTGTTGCGTATTTCTCTAATTTTCTTTCTACTTAGTGTGGTCTCTGATCCTATGTCTCTCTTCTGGTTTGTGTTCCTGGCTGGTTGAATCACCTTCGACCAAAAAGTAGAATGTCAGTCGGTTGAGGGCGTCAAACAACAGGATCGATCAAGGAAGCACAACAGATCAGACCCATCACCACAGCCCCTCGGGAATCCGGTTAAGAAGAAGAAGAAGAAGATGGTGAAAGACAGGAGCGATCAATTGGCTGATGTTGTTCATGCACTCCAGGCTACACCAGATATAGATGATCAACTGATGTTGGATGCCTGTGATCTTTTCGAAGACGATGGCGAGAAAGCAGCAGTGTTCTTAGCGTTGGATGGCAGAATCAGAAAGAAGTGGCTGCTAAGGAAGCTTCGTCCAAATGACTCTCTATGAAGAGGGATGTGATTTACCTATCGTAACAATTTGCTTTTTTTCAATCCTTTGCATTCTGCAGTAAATCACTCTAGCAGTACAAATTCATTTCCAAACCATCATTCATCTAAAGGCGAAGACCAAAGAAGCAAACTTTAAACCCACTCACACAAATGGCTTTACTTACTTTACTCCTTAAGATCAGAAAGAAGCAAGCTTTAATCGTACAGAACCATCTCCCTACGAAGCCGAGCAGCTATTTCCTCGTTACCCTTATCAAGGTGGCCGTGAATCAAAGCTTCGTAAACATCCTTCACAGGCCTCACACCGCGATCTTTCATAACCTTCAACACCCTCCCTGCTTCCTCTACTTTCCCACAGTCGCACAAGCTGCTGATAATGGAAGCGAAGCCCAATTCTCCTGGTGAAATAGCTCGATATTCCATCTCATAATACAGTTTCGCCACTTCCTCCACTTTACCATCTTTGGCATATGCAGCCATTAGCCGGGAGTAGGTGATCTCATTAGGAAAGAACCCCTTATCCATCATAGAAGTCAATATCTCATTAGCTTGATTTGTGTGAACCGGTTGTTCCATAACCTTAGCGAGCATCTCATTGAACACAGAAAGAGTCGGGAGATGGCCCATGCTCATCATCTCAGAACAATACTCGAGACTTTCTTCCACTCGTCCTGTCTTTGCACAACCGAGAATGATATGGTCGAACGTCTGGCTATATGGCTTCAACCCTGTGCTTTTCATTTCCCGGAGCAAGTTATTTGCATCCTCTACCCTTCCGGAGTGGCAGTAACCCTCGACGAACGAGGTATAACAGAATGAATTAGCATCGAACCCTCTCTTGAGCATTTCTTCATAAACCTCGTTTGCTGAACTCAGATCACCGAGCTTCACCTTGGCGTGAACGATCAACGAGAAAGCCACTGTATCTGTTATCATGTTCTTCTGCAACATCAATCTCAACAAACCCATTGCGACTTCGATTCTCCCTCCTTCTTCCTCCTCCAAAATCCTCAAAACCAAACCGGTACTAACAATCACCAACGGGGAGCAAGCCGCGCTTCTCTTGCCATGGATTTTATCCAACATTCCTATCATTTCCTGCAACTTCCCTTCTTTACATAACCCATGAATCATAGCTCGAATCCCAGCTTCATCAGGGTATATTCTCCTGGAAATCATCCGCTCATAAACTTTCCACAGCAGCTCAATCTCGTGAGATTTCAGAACAAAATGAAGCAGAGTATTGTAACTTATCAAGGTCAGAGAAAACCCACGGTCTTCCAAGTAACAACATACCTCGAACCCAATTTCCAGCATCCTCAGCTTCGCGTAGCCCTGAACCAGCAAATTGAACACGAGCGGATTCGAGACTGTAACCCTGTAACTATCGAGCAACGAGTCCACAACCTCAAATCTCGAGTCATGATCTGCTGCTCTACTCCTCTTCAGCACTGATTCGAGCAAAGCCCGTGCATCAGTAACCAGCCGGGCTCCAACGAGGATGTGAACCATGATGCAGTAGGAGTGAACCCCATGGACGGTGTTAATAACCCTCTGAGCCGACCAGTGGAAAAACCCTAATGCCCGTTTCGCCTCCGGTGGTTCCCTTAGTTCCAGTAAAATTCCCCTGACCAGTGAATCGGTGAGGCCGACGGAGCCGAATTTTTTAGTGAGGGAGTCCCAATTGCAGCTGGCTCTCACTGAATTGCAGATTGATTCCACGACATTTTGATTTTGCTGCACGGAGTGGAGGAAGGCTGGCCGTAGAGACGGCAGAGGACTGGGCAAAGATCGGGAGGTGGGGTTCCTGATTGCTGAGGATAGCATAGATGGGAGAAGTCTCCGGAGTGAACCCATTCTCTCCCACAACAGTCACGGCGCGTAATCATTAGCGTGGGTGAACCGGTGAAGAAAACCTGGATAAAGATACCCGCGGAGGATCGCTGCTGAAGAGCCGGAGCGGCAAACGGCGACGGAGCAGGTAGCTTCGCTCCTTAAAAGGCGAGAGATCCCAGCGATGGACAGATGGTACGAGGGCACGACTGGGTATGGTGGCAACGGCGGAAGGACGGCCGCCGGGCGACGATGGGAGGTCGGAGGCGGCAATCTAGTGCTCGTTTTCTTTTTTATAGTCCGATTCAATTTTCCTTTTTCCTTTTCTCTGATCTGATCCCTTGGTATGAAACGACGTAGTTTCAGGTTGAGAATTATCTTGTTTTGATCACCTTGAGTCCTGACCCAAATCGATTAAAAACCAAAACAGATTGGTAAATCGCAGTTCGATTTTTTTCGGTCGAACCAACAGAATTAGGGATTTATGAAGTGGAGAAGAAGAGAAGAGGATTAGACTGATGATATTTTCCAAATTGTTCGAATGATAATCAATATTATGTCGCAAAACTAATCGACCTAACATAATCAAATAGCTACTAACTGGTTTCTTAATTGTTTCATCACCCAACACTAAACCCTCTATCAGCAGCATAATCCACAAACCCATACAAAGGAAGAACAGCCTCACCATACTTCTCAAACCCACCCAACTCCTTCTTAGCCTCATCTCTCAGCTCCTCAGCCTTCTCCATTGCCCTGTCAACTCCATAAACACCAACATAGCTCTTCCCACCTCTCTCCTTCTCCACAGCTCCATCCCTCGATTCCGATTTCGCCTTCAGGATATCATCCACAACCTGATACAGCACCCCAACAGCTCTCCCGTACCTCCTCAGCCTCTCGACCTCCTCGTCCTCCGCCCCAGCCAGCAGCCCACCACAGACCGCGGAGCACTGAGCCAGCTCGCCGAACTTCTTCTCCTGGATGAACTCAATGGCGCTGCTGCTGTTGAGGTCGAGGAACTGGCCCGCTGCCATGCCTGTGGATCCCACGGTTCGAGCTATCTCTACCACCACACGGAGGATGCGTGCCTCTGGGACGAGGTTTTTGGGCGTGTTGTTGACAATGTGGTGGAATCCGAGTGGGAAGAGCGCGTCACCAGCGAGGATCGCCATGTCTACTCCGTGAACCGTGTGGTTCGAGGGCTGGCCTCTGCGTGATGGGGCGTCGTCCATGCAGGGGAGGTCGTCGTGGATCAGGGAGGCTGCGTGAACCTGTTAAGACAAGGAAATGAAGAGATGACATTGAACCAATTGATTGAGCAGGACAAACGTGGTTAAGCAATATCATTCATCAAACACAAAGAAACCAACTTTTCTGGATTTGGGGAATCATGGAACTGGTTCAACTACTGCGTAAATGCCAACAAATGCATTAACAAGCAAAGTACGTAAAAAAGAGGAAACTTGAGATGAAAAATAGAACAAGATTCACTCTTTCTATTCTTTCAATGACTCATGTAAAGTTACTATAACCAATTCATTCTGCATATTTTATCAGAGCTCACTAGAACAGTTCTGGCAACCCCAATTGGGGGTAATCAAACACATTGTATGACAGATTGTGTACAATTCAAGCTCATAGGCATATAAAGATTCATTCTTGCACGATCTCATCAACTCGACTTATCGAAACGAATTCGTCGTCCTACCCACGAACAGAACAAATACTGAATGCAAATTACACACATCTATAACCTAGCTTATTCTCCAATCGGACTGCACTAAACCAAATTAAACGCGGAGACAGTGAGTAAAAAAAGGGGATTGGGCATGCACACACCATTTCGAGGGCACAGGCGGTAGGGAAAGCGGCGAGGCGATTGAGGCCAAAGAGCTCACAGGCGGCGACGCACATGACCGGCGGGGCACGCTTGGCGCCTTCTGCGAGCGTGGAGTACCTCATGGCCTCGTAGATCTTCTCCGGGTACCGAATCGGGATCGCCTGGTCCAGCTTCTGGTTGATCTCCTTCCTCAGGGAGGTCCAATACGCCTGCAAATCGAACTGGGTCGAGTTGGATTCGATCGATACTGACGCCGAGGAGGAAATTGAGAACCGAATCGGAAGCTTCCGCCGCATTCCTGCCGCCGGCGACGGCCGCAACGATAAAGGTACCGAAATCATGGCGGAGAAAGGCTTTTTCTTTTCCACTCTTCAGGAGTTCATGGAGGAGAGGAGAGCTCCGAGAGAGGTTTCTCTTCAGTGGCAGCTGGCTGGGAAGTGGGAAGTTGGAGCGGGGAATTGGAAATGATGACGTGGCTGTCACTGGGATTAGCCCATCAGCTACGTGGCGGTGGGGGATTGGTGCGTGCGGGCTAATGATGGTAGGGAATTGTGGCGAGCTCGCCGTATTTGGATCCCTCTTATTGGGCCTAAGTGTCTGGGACTGTGATACCTCGTAAGCCTATTTAATATTGGGCTTTTCTTCGCCCGGCTCCTAAAACTTAAGTTTGGGCCTTCACTTATGTCTGTCTTGAACCAATAAGTTGATATCATTTCGGTAATTAGCATAAAACGGTCCCATATATTTAATATTTTTTTTTTGGTACCAAATGGCTCTACAAGATTTGATTTTGTGCAATTGGATGATACTAGTTTAAAATTATAACAAATTAATCACTTCCATTTCTTCCCATCAAAAAACTTCGACCAAATTTTATCTCGTGACTCGTGAGTATGTCATCTTGTCAAAGAAACTCATAAGAAACAGATACAATATCCAATCAAAGATTAATAACCGATAAATCGAAAACCAAATCGCGAGTGATTGACATAACTTAAATTTACGAAACATTAATAACCGATAAATCGAAAACCAAACAAGAGATGTCATTGATGACACAAATCACGAACCCATACAACAACAACAGGAAACTGAAACGAAACCCAAACCCTAAAACCCACACATGCATGATTGCTATTTATTATCAATCGACCCAAACCAAAAACCAAAACACCAGAACACATCAAATGGATTCCATTCAAGCTGGGAAGGCTTGAATGACCGACAGGACAGTCTCAATGGGAGTGACGACGACTCTGGTGAACCCAGCTTGATCAAGAATGAACCGCCACTCTTTGAGAGTCCTTTCCTTGCCCAACGTCGTGTGCGCCATCATCACCATGTCCAGCATCAGCCTCACGTGCTCCAGCTCCTTCTGCTTCTGCGATTTCCCATCTTCGTCATCACCATGATCGGCGACCACAGCATCGGCTATTATCACCTTCCCGTTCTCCCTTCCTGCTATGGCCTCTCTGCAGTTCTTCAGTATCCGGATGCAATCCTCGTCGTTCCAGTCATGGAGTACTAGCTGCATCCATGTAATGGCAAAGATGAAAGGTCAATCCTACCTAGCTAGCTAGCTCCCCTAAAGAAGTAAAAAAAAAAAAAAAGTACTCAAAGATATGGACAAATAGGTCGAATTGGACCGGGTGGGTTGGAGGGTTCACACATTTCAGGTAGTAGAGATGGCAATGGGACAAGATACGACGAGTATCTCAATATTCATATTCTGTCTTGCACTAAGTGCTGGTCAGATTGGATATGTAACACTGACACATATACAAGATGTGACAAGTCGATCAATTTTGTACATGTTATTTGAAGAAGAGAGACATTATACTTTGATTATTTAACGAGACGACAAAACAACGAGAACACTTCATATATAAATGAAAAACATAGATAATAGATTGAGCTATTGAGATCTGATTAAGGGGGAAGATGGAGTCTTGGCCTTATTAAAACTTCCATTAGTTTAGTTAGGCTTTAAAATATGATTTACAGATAGTCAAAAATGGAAAAACAAAAGTAGATATAGAGAGTGAGAAACGACAGGGATAGACAAACCAGAAATAGATATTTATGTCACGTCTTATATAATTATTATGAGTCAGGTAAACACTGTAAAACAGGTTACGACATGTCGGGTTGCACAAATCAGATTATTAATTTTCTATCTCTAATCTCAAGTAATTAACAGGTTGTTAATAAATAATAGAGACCACAAATAGGTCAGGTCAGGTCAGGTAAAACACTACGACAATAAGGAAAGCAAAGCACTAACCATGATGAACACAACGTCAGCCGCCGGAACCCTCTCAAACATGTCGCCGCCGACGTGTTCCACGCCAGGAGACTCAATCGCCACAGAGGCAACGTGTGGGAGATCGAAGTTAATCCCTTTGATCCAAGGAAACCGCTTCACCAGCACGCTCAAAGTCGTCCCGTTCCCGCCGCCGACGTCCACAACGGTTCCAACCCCGTCCATCAACTCCGGCAATGCTTCGAACATAGCCGGCAGAGTCCACCTCCCAACGCAGTTCATCGCGTCGTCGAAGAGCTTGCTGTGGCCCGGATTCGCTGCCGTGTACTCGAAGAGCGGTATGCCGTGAGCTTGCTCGAACGGTGGCGGCGGCGGCTTCTCGCCAGCCGGTGGTGACCGGGCGGCGGAGCTGAGGTAGTGCCACGGTGCTAGCATCACTGGAGTGCTTTCCATGAGAAGGATATCGGTCACGGACTTGCCTGCACAAATTCTTTCTTTGTATTATTAGTCTCAATAATTAGAGTGGTTCAGAGATATTCAACTATGAATAATATATTGAAGAAAGAGATCGATCGGTTACAGACTTGCCTACATATAATTATTATCATGACTCATGAGCAGATTAGTCCTCATAACTCGAGTGCTTAGTAGATGTTCTATTATGAATTATATATATATGCCACACATACTAATGCACACGCCCTAAAACGAAAGCCAAATACGAACAAGTCTTATTTCCTTAACTTGACTGAAGCATAGTAAGTAAAATATGTATAGAGATTTTACTTCATGTTTAAACTAATGATATGTCTAATACTATGTCGAAAGTCATGACATATATGAAATTAATTATTTTAAAAGAAGAAAATTTAAATTGACATTATCAATTTAATTCATCAAAATACAGATATTAAATATGTTATATGGATTTTATACACGCGCGTTTGGTATTGGAGTCTTCAAATAAACAGGAAAAAATATACTATCAATGATACAAAATTTTAAACACGTACGGCGTGGTGCATATTAAATGGACTATTTACTAACTAAAATCAGTAGTACAGAGAGGAGAAAGAAAAGTTGAGCTAGTTGACCAACTTAACTTACCATCCTGACGGAGAAGAAGCCGGCGAGAGAGGGCCGTCTGCGAGTAACCAACGTCGCCGGTGGCGGCGGGAACTTCCCGGAAAATGCGATGATGGACCAAGAACCGCATGATTCGGCCCAGGTGGGCAGGATCGCAGCCCAAAGCAGACGAGAGCTGGGCCAACGTCAAAGGCGACTCTCCTTTGTGGCCCTCGATGGCGTCGGCGATGCCGAGCTCCGCCGCGCACTTGACGACGGCCATCCTGGTGAAACCGAAGACGTAGCTCCATATCTCAACTCCCGCCTCGGCTTCTTCTTCTTCGCTTGCTGGCCTCGAATCACGATCGGCTTGTGATGCAGAACCCATCTCGAATCAAACCGAATCAGGATAAGGAGAGTGGGTTTGTGTGTACGTGTTTTGGTTGTGGTTTGGTACCAGTCGTTAGCTATACTTATATATATCGGAAAATGGATGGGAAGGATGGTGGGAATTAGAAAAATAATTCTGCGGGTTGATGTTCAGCGAACTAGAGCTATAAAAGAACGATGAACACAATTTTACCCTATTTTAAAATATGTAAACACATCATGGTTATTACCAGAAGATTACTTGTATTAAATTACTTAAATATTAAAAAAGTTAGGGCTAATACCAACAGAAATACCAACCTTTAGCGAAAGTGTCATTTATAATATGAAACTTTCGATATGCCATTTCTGTTATGCCGTTAGTGTTCTGTTAGTTTTTCCGTTATTGTTTGACCAAGAGCCAGGAAGGTTATGACGTGGTTGATGACATGACAAAAAATAAAAATAAAAGAATGCTTGACCCACAAAGCCCACCGTCTCCCCCCTTACCCCTCTCTGCCTTCTGCAATTAAACTACGCCCATCTCCCTCCCTCGACTTCTCCTTGCTCTCCCAGCCCTCCATTTTAACCACCTCCATCGGCCATCATCATCTATAGCCTCCCCCACCGTCGCCCTTCTTTGACTTCAATGATCCTCGACCGCAACCGTTGATTTCCTCCTGAATCGCTCTCAATGTTTGTCTTTCGCTGTGCCTCAACGATCCCATCTCCAAGCTTGGTAGCGGGTTTCAGAGGATAGAGAAACAGGCGGAGGAGAGGACGCAGGTTCGGCCATTCGGGCGACGGAGCAAAGCGAAGAGAGGGAGGAGAAGATGTGGAAATAGCTACTTCGAGAAAGTCGGCCAGTCGTCACCATCGATGGAGAAGGAAGGTGGCAACTACGGCGGGGAAAGTTTGGTCGTCGAAGGGCAAATTCACGGTGGGGGGTTAAAATTATTTTAATTTTGTAATATAATAATAATAAATAATAATAATTTCAAATTTTTTATTCTTTTTTTCCAACGTGGCATCCACTTGTCGCTTATGTGGACACAATGTTGGCCACCGTCAGGTCCACCGTCAATTCTAACGGTCAACAGAAAATCGCGTAACACAAATGACGCAGATCCCTAATAGGTTGGAATATTTTGTGTTTATTGAAAACTTGTAATATAAATAGCACTTTCGTTAAAGGATGGTATTTCCCGAAAAGTTATTATGTATTTTAATATTTATATTCGGACTGCCACTATCAGGATTCTGTCCCCCCCCCCCACCCCCCAAATTTATACTAACTCTGCCACTACCTGTGATTCTGCTTTTTTGCCAGATTTAGCACACATTATTTTTTTAATGGGAACCTGGCAGATTTAGTGTGTATTATTAGAATTATAAAGGAAATAACAATCGGATTTGCTTGTCGACTGATCTCATTGGTACCCCACAAATTAATTGCATAGAGAGTATGTTTTTAGGTGCGATTGATTCTTTTATTCGTGGTATTGTTTATTGTAATCGTTATTAATATTATCGACTTGTGTAGTTGTTCATCTTGATTTCGACAATAAATGGTTATTTAGTAATCATTCTCAATCTCTACACAATATTAGCGTGCTAAAGTGTGCTAAAGTATTAATATATATGAAATTCATACGACATTTTAAACTGTCATCATATTTGTTAAAGAACAAATGGTTGTTTATTAATAATTTTTAATCTCTAACACTCGATAAATGATATCAGAATCATTGATTGTAAAATCGTACAGGAAGTTGTATTGAAAAAATTAATAATAGAATATTTTGTCATGAAATTGTAGTTTAATAGTGGTTCAACCATTTGTACCACTAAAAATCGTCTATTATAAAATATTTTCTTATTGAACAACGGATAAGATATATTTTAAAAAAAAAGGCTTACAATTTGAAAATATATTCTTAATGACCACTCAAAAGCTCTTTATCTCCACTACATCTGTATTTAAGTGAGAGCCTCCACTTCTTAAACAACTTTATCTAATTTATCATTTCATCCCCTCAATTTTATGTCCTAAGCATATACTATCGATATTTTAATGGAAAAAAATGGAATTATATTATCTTTAGAAAAAAGCAATAAAGCATATTCAAATAGTTATTTCTTTATATAGGCCAACCACTGTGTCTCTTATCATTGTGTTTATATAGGGCTTAATGGCTTATGACGATGCTAGGAGTATAGCTAATAAAATACGATATTAGTATGTTAATGTATTAACATGTATGAATTTTAAAGAAAATTTTATACTAAGCATCATTTATCGATATTTTTGCATACTGCTAAATACTAGCGATGATATTTTTAATTATAATATTTATATTTATTAACTGGTAATTTATGTGATTGAGTGGTTTATATCACATTTATTGGATTCATTTCGTTATTCAAGCATCCGTCTTTCAAGATCGTTTACATTGATTTTAGATACTCGTATAACACTTGCTGTTTAAAAGTGAGGCCCTAATGGTTATAATCGAACATTCATCCATCAAGATCGTGCTACAATAATAATAAGTTAACAACAACAACCAAACAACAAAGTAGTTTCACACGATGTAAAAGACCAAATAACAAAGTAGTTTTCACATGATGTAAACGCAGGAAATGTGATCGAACCTCTCCATGAAAGCACCACCACCAACAAGCAAAACGCCTGAAGAAATCATTAATTAGTAATTAAGCACCAAATTACAACCAAAAACACTTAATTTATTCATGTATTCCAGTTTCAGGGGAAGGCTTGAATGACCGATTGAACCGCCTTGATGGCCGTCACAGTGAACCGGCTGAACCCGGCTTGATTCAGAACATACTCCCATTCCTTCAACGTTCTCTCTTTGCCACTGTTCGTATGAGCCATCATCACCATGTCAAACATCAGCCTAACGTGTTCAAGCTTCCCATCTCTCTCTTGATCCACCACACCTTCAGCTATGATCACTTTCCCCTGCTTGTTGCCCTCTGCAATGGCTGCTCTGCAATTCTTCAGTATCTGGATGCACTCTTCGTCGCTCCAATCGTGCAGAACTAGCTGCAAAATTTCAGCCCAAATGATAGGAATTAGTACAGTACTCAGTTCTTAATCCGATTAATCCGTAACCCGATTAACGAGACTGCATATATACTAACAATGAGGAAAGCAGCATCAGCTTTGGGAACACTCTGAAACATGTCGCCACCAACATGTGTCACACCTTCAGATTCAGGTGCCACAGAGACAACATGAGGGAGATCGAAGTTGATCCCATGAATCCAAGGGCAAGCTTCGACGAACAACCTCAGAGCGGTTCCATTCCCTCCCCCAACATCCACCATGGTCTCAACCCCATCAAGCAAGCCAGGGCAACCTTGCACAATGGCTGGCACAGCCAGCCGAGCATTACAAGCCATGGCATCGTCTATCAGCCTGCCGAGGCCAGGATTGGCCTCGGCGTGCTTCCACACGTCCTTTCCGTGCGCCTGCTCGAATGCAGGCGCGATGGAGCCATCGCGGACTCGAGAGCTCAGAAAGAGCCACGATTCCAGCATGACGCGACTTCCCTCCATGAGGAGCAAGTCGGCCAGGCTGTTGCTCCTGTCCCCCTCCCGTCGCCTGATCAGGCGACGGGAGAGGGGCGTCTGAACATAGCCCACCACCGTGCCATTGTCCGCTAGCTTCTCCTCGAAGATGCGGTGGTGGGTCAGGAACCGCATGATCCGTGACAGGGATACCTGGTCGCAGCCCAGGACGGACGAGAGTTGGCCCAGTGATAATGGGGAGTCTCCTGTATGGTCCTCGATCGCCTCGGCTATGCCGAGCTCGATGGCGCATTTCACCACTGCCATCTTCGTGAAACCAAAGACATAGCTCCATATCTCGACTCCAGCTGCTGCCTCTTCATCTAGCTCTTGCTCTACTTTCAGTTCTTTCATTTTTTTCTTTTTGGTTACTCTGTCTTTCCCCAAGTTTCCACTAGTTCAGGCTTTCCATTTTAAGAAATCCTCAACTTGTTGAGTGGAGGTGGTGGTTACAATTGTGCACGATGAAAAAAAGAAGGCATAACCACCAAATCCAATAATGGTTGTCGAATTAGGTGGTGTTTCCACTTGCCACAAGTAGTAGCTGTGGGATAAGGAGATAAAGGGCCAATAATATTTATTAGTTTGTCTTTTCCATTGCAATATAAGTGTGTATGTATGGGAAGAAGAAAGGTGCCAGAAGAGGGAACTAAAAAGAAAAGAAAGGGTGTTTATCTTTGTAATAACAAGTGTCAAAGTTAAGGCCTCGTTTGTTTGAGTGAGTTTGTAAGTTTGAGAGAAATCCAAATATTTTCTTTGCGTTGATCATAAATTCTACCACACTTTCGCTAATACCTAACAGTTCTTGGATTTGATTTGGATCCTAAATCATATCAGCCCACTGTTTTCTCTTCTCTTTACATTGAGGTGAATACTGAATCCCTTTAACTTACTGTTACCTGGATGGACTGCGGTTGTGTCTGGGGATAACTAGCTGGAAGGAATCCGTTTCTTAGCAAAAGCAGACTTCAGCTTCTCCACTACGGAGAGCAGAGAGGAGTTTGAATCACAGGCATCTGCAAGCATCTCGAATCTTTTCTTGAATCGACGGTTCTCATTGTTCTGATCATCATCCGGTGTCTCTGGCAAGGGAGATTTTGATGGGTAGTTATACTGTATCAGCTCCATCATCATAGCCTGTGCACAAGAGACCATGCAAAACATCGGTTTATAAAGATGTGTTTGTTGCTAGGAGCATAAAAAGGGCTTCTCTTTTAGCTGCTACATACATCAGCCACTCCATCGAAATCTTACGAGTAATTTGAGGGTCAAATGACATAAAGTGCAAGGAAACTATAAGGTCAATGACAAATATGTCATGGAACATTGATTTTTAATGAAGTTGGGATGGGATGAGATATGAGTCTATGAGTTTGGTTTGGATCGCATTGCAATATGTAACACCTAAGACACAAATCTGAAAATGATTGGTGAAGGGGTACTTCTAATGGTGTTATATTACAAGCTTCGGTAATTTGTTAAAAATCAAAGTTCAGTTGCTAGCAATAATGTTTTAGACCCAAAATTCAGTGATCATTTATTTGGCTTACCTCATGTTTTGGTTTCTGTGAGTAGTCACGGATGAGAGACTGAGCAAGCTTGTTCCTGAGAACTATATGATCCTTGGCACAAGGTAGGAAGATAAAAGATGAAAGATGGCGTAGAGCAAGAGCAAACACCATTAACCCCCTGGTTGCAGATCGATCTAGCGCACCAGAAACCCACGACTTCATATAACCTTGAAGAACAGCTTCATTGTTCTGCTGCAGAAGAACCCAAGCTGCAGATTACAACAGAACACATGACACAAGAAAATGAAACATGACACAAGCATTGCTGAGTATAGTCCAGGCAGCAAGTCTGACAGGAGTTTCGGTGCAAAGATGTAAATATGTAGCAAACTGTTGCCCAAAAACTACATCACCGTAAGAGTGTGAGGCACATACTTGTTAAGCACAGATGCAAGGAGATTCCATGAAAGGCCACGTTGTCCTGGTATCTGAAACGATCAAGAAAATGCAGGCAGGGTTAAGATATGTGAACACAGATAAGAAACACTGAAGTTTACCTCTGTATTCTCTCTCTTTTCCCCCTCCTTTTCCTTTTGAATAAATTCCATCACTTGAGATTGACATCCTATATTCTATTTAATAACAGAGCAAACAGGAGTATGCATTATCTTAACTAAACACACTTCTCGTCAAAAGCATGCATGAGCCAACAATTTGTAGCCCCTAATCATTGTAAACACATAGATAGTCATAGTAGCATTTAATTGGCCTTGGATTTATAAATTACCAAATATAACTAAAGCAAACAGTAAAGTTTATGGCAGGCATTGCTTTCATTCAGCATCATTAAGCCTAATACTTAACCTGCATTCCAAGAAACCGAAGACACTACTATCTTGGAAGAGTATCCGACCCATAAACATAAAAAAAGATATACAACAGTCACATTTACCAGTCTCAAAATCTACAGGGATGACATTCCCCTCCAAAGAAAATCTTACTCCCCTAGCAGCCTCCACTCTGTCACTCCAAGCATTCCATGAAGTACAGCTGCTAGGTGTTTCTGGATTTTCATTTTTCAGGTTATGATTTTTTTATCACATTAGGAATATCATTTGCTACACGTGAATGAGCACTTGAATCTTCGATTGATGGACCATTTGCAGGTTCTTTTTCTAGCGCCACATCTGATTCAGAAACATTCTGCTGCTTCAACTTCTGTTGACCTCTCTTTTTCAGTAAGTTCAGCAGTGAAGAATTCATCTTCTCCATTATCTCAGCCTGTGCTTCTGCAATCTCTTCGGCTGACATATTTTGTAACCGAGCACGATTCTCCACATCAATCTCACTCCCAAGCGACATAGACCTTTGCGCAACTCCAGTATCATTGATGATATGATCTCAACTTGGCCATTAAAACGATGGGAATTGATCGTTCATGAAGGCAATCTAAACACATTAGAAAATACTGATTTTTGTCTAAGTGTTTGTGACGATTTCAGGTACCCACTTTGGACGAGCATAATTCTCAATTGGTGTGATGGAAACTCGAGTTCTTTAGCTTGTGTTGAAGAAGAGGAACTGCTCTTTCAATCAGTAGGCTTTGGAGCTCAAGGAGAAGTCGAGAGGCTGAGTTTCCGAGGTGATCAAAATGCTAGCTCAACACTGGAGGAACTGCCAGATTTTTCTAAGTATAATTGCAGAGTTGGGAAAGGCTCTTTGAAGCTCGAGTTAAGGAAGATGGGAAAGAGTCGAGCCTCCACATTCACACCACATGAAAGCTGGTTTCTCCTAGTTTATCGACAAGGTATTGGCTGATCAAGGTGATGTCTACAAGGGCTCGAACGAGGGGGCTAAAGATCGCTTCGAGACTGAAAATTCTGCCTGGAAAATAAGTAATCCGAATCCTAGCCGGATTAGGATTAGTCGACAGTTTAGCTTAGTTGGTTTCCTTGTCTTGTTTTGCTTCCTTTTCCAAGTAGAATTGTAATTGAACTTATTCAGACGTTGTTAGGAATTGCTAGGTCTATTTAAGAGTAGTTGATTCAATGTAATATTCAGTTTTTCGATCAATCGAATACAAAGTTGAGCTTTGGTTCATCTCGCTAGTTGCGTGAGGAATTGAGTTGGATTGCTTGGACGATTCTAAGCAATCGTGAGCTTGTATCGATCAATTCAACACCTTGATCGTGGCCAAGCATCGACCTATCTATTTCGAGCCTTTCTCTGCGTGAAGGATTGCACGAAATTGACCGTTCCATCATTCGAACCATCCATAGTTGCTGAGTTTTGGATTGAGTCAAGCTCAATTCGTTTGCTGCGAGACTCTGATCATAAAGACCCTACCCAGGGCCTTATCAATTGAATATGAAACTAGGAGCTCCATTTGAAGTTCTCTGCTTCTGCTTCCTCAGCTTTTCTGAGATCACATTATTTTTCGTCTTCACTCTCCGAGGCTGCTCTGCAGTGAATTCAAGTTCAACATACATCGGCTCATCCACTTCAGTTTGGCGAACCGAAGAACTCATAACGGGCTCCAACTCCACTTCCATTAGAACGTCATTACCTACAGAGGACTTGTTATCAACATTGCCACCTCTTTTTCCATCCTTCGTCAGCGTCTTGGTCTTCTTTTCGCGCAGTGTACCTTACCCTCCTCCGACGAACTCTCACGCGCAAGCTCTTTCCAACGACTAACTTTCCAACCCTTCTTCACCTTCCTCTCTACCGAATTCGCAAAAGCCGAAACTGGATCATAATCCGTAGGGTCAATATCCTCCTCCTATTCTTCTTTTTCCATCATCATTTCTACTGTTCTCATTCCCTCCCTTCTTGTTGGTCATAGCATTCCAGTGCTGCAGAATTCAAAAACCTTACACCCTCAGTTCACCTTCCAATTCCTTCCTAAACTACAAAGGGAAGACCATAAAAAGCAGAGAGAATCCGGCTTACCGGCCCATGCGCGCGGTGGCGAGCGACTGGAAAGGGGATAACGGTGGGCCTGGGCGGCGGAATCGGCCGGAAAGGTTTGTTGAAGCCGTTTTCCGATATACCTTTCTCGACTAAGCTGCCAATGAAGCTCGAAGCTCCTTCGATCATGGCGTTCGCTCCAAGAACGCCAGCCGTGAACTTCTTTCTAGCTTTGCTCTGCGCTTCATTCTTCTTCGTGGTCTCCATTAGGGACTTCCAGAATCTACAGAGAGCTGCCAACAAATAGAAGAAGGCAAAGAACAAGCGTCGCTAGAGAGGGAAATTGAGAAAACACGAAACGAGAGGCGACGGAGAAGAAGCGCGACAATGTGAACGATGGCCCATGGGCTTATAGTTTTGGGCTTTAAGGCCCAATGAGCCCATACCATCTAGCGCGCGGATTTTTAATGAGCGGTTAAAAACCGTGGTTACCAGCCATGGGCGACTGAGAGGAAAAACAGAATTTGTTCGTCGCTCAAAGGCTCGAGCTTTTTTCTTCCCCCCCGTTTCAGCCATGGCGGACTGGTCTCAGCTACCCAGAGATCTCATTGAGAGAATCAGCAAAACCCTCGACACTGCCACCGAACTCCTCCGCTTCCGCTCCGTCTGCAATTCATGGCGGTCCTCCGCCTGCTCGAGGGAGCGCCGTCTGTCCAGCGGATTCCAAATCCTCCCCAACGGGATCACGAAGAGTTCGTTCGGATTCTGCCTGTCCAAGAGGGCCGTTTACCTCATCGGGTCGCCCGATTCGCAGCATCTCAGCCAATGGCTGGTGAAGCTCGAGGAGGTCATCCCAGATAGAAAGCGCCTCGTGAATCCCCTTTCGAGGAATCCTCTGAAATCCGAATCTCTCCCGGAGAATTTCCCTAGAATGCTTGACTTGAATGGGATTTCCGTGAAGGAATTAGGGCAGGCGTACGTATTGCGTCACGTTAGCTACAGGCCCAATTCGACTTCTTTCACCGACGCTGGGGATCTGTACATGGAGAAGGTGGTGATGATGTGGTTGGATTCGGAACCCAGCGAGTTCGTTCTGCTCACCATTCATCTCTCGGGGAAATTGGTGCTCTTCAGGAGCGGGGACAGGACATGGACGATCATAGGAGAAGGAATGGGGATGGATTCGCCTTACGATGACGTGATTGTTCACAAAGGGAAGTTGATTGGAGTTGACAACACTGGCAAAGTTGTGAGCGTTAGTAAAGATGCCGACTTGACTCTTGTAGCGAATCCTGTTTTCGGCGGGGACAAGAAGTATTTGATTCAGTCGTCGAGGGATCAATTGTTGCTGGTCGACATGTATCTGAGCATTGATACAGAAGAGGAGAATTTCGACATTGGGGAGGAGTTCATGGGGCATCTTGCTCAGTACATGAGAGAGAGGACGGTGAGGTTTAAGGTCTATAGGCTGGATGCAGGAGAGAAGGCTTGGGTGGAGTTGGGAAGCTTGGGGGATACGGTGTTGTTCATTGGTGATGACTCTTCGTTTGCTGCCTCGTCTTCTGATCTCTACGGCTGCAAGGGAAACTGTATATTCTTTGTGGACACCTATAATGCGAGGGAGCTTGGTGGATTGGGTAAGGAAGATGATGGGATGTGGGTTGAAGGTATATGTGTGTTTGAGCTGGAGAGTGGCAGTATGGGGCCGTTGGTGAATTATCCAGAATACCACAAGATCTTCTGGCCGCCTCCAAGATGGCTACTTTCACCTCCTTCAGAAGTAAGTGTTAGCTGCTGAATGTGTTATGTATCTGTATTTGTTGTTTCCCCTCTTTCACCATTGCTTGATTATTGGAGTTGTTGGTTCAGTGTAACTTAAAGAGATGGTTTCTCTGTTTCTCTGTGGATGGATTGATACTGTTTTTCTTGTTTTGTTTCTGTTCTCTTGACGGGTTCCGGTCTCATTGGCTCAATTCTCATTTGAATGATGAAACAGGTGGAACTTGCGAAGCAAGCTGAAGGGTTGTCCCTGTGAAGTTGAACTCAGCTTCAGTTGATCCCCGTCACCATCCTGGTGAATTCTTGGCAACCTGGTTGATCATGAACACCAATGACTTTCAGCAACCGGTAACTTTCCTATGATGGCCACATTCTCTGGATGAATTGACTCATAAGTCTGACATTGTCCTCAAAGCACTGGACTTCTCGTCGTTGATAGTTAGTTCCTCGTTTCCTTGATCGCTTGACCTTCTCTTTCAAAAGCTGAGTCTTCAGGAGTTCATATTAGTCGCTGCCTGTCGTGCTACATGTTTTGTACAGCAGAAACAGGCATTATACAGCCTTTTGATTGTTTCATCGCTTGACCTCGGTCTTTTCAAGATTTGTTTATTTCTCCCATGATAGATTAAATGCTTCTGTAGTTATTTATCTCTAACCGAGTTCTTCGTAATAAATCTGTACTGTACATACTTGTGGCAGCGTTCTGCTGGCAAATATAAACGAGAATGTTTCTGTATTTCTATGTCGATTTTGGTACTTGAATATGCTTGTGAATTTGCTTTAAGAGCTCGGGAGGCACTTGAGAAATTGGCCTGAAAAAGGCTCGATGGAGTAGGATAGAGTTATAAGTCAACAGTGATGGACAGAAGTAAGCCTATTCCTCAACTAGCAGTTGATAAGGGCATACCCAAAACTTTAATAAGGTTCTTCTATTGCTAAACCATATACAAGGTTAGATACTACCACCAATTCTACTACCAATCTACCAAGTCTTCTACTATAAACTATCTTCAAGGCGTCATGAGGAATGTGATTCGGCAGAACCTTCATATAATCTGAAAGTCGTCAATCTCTCTCCGGGGCATCTCCAGAAGATACCCTCCGTGCACTCAGGTTGCCGGTGTAAGACCATATCTTGTCATACTCCAACAGGAATGGCTTCCCTAGCTTCCGATCCTCGTTAATGATTCTGTTCAACACCTGATGTTGCCTTTCTGGGCTCCCAGCCAATGGGGTCGACGAGCAGAAAGTCGGAGTGGCAAATGGAGATGCAAAGGGGCTGTGTTGGATGGAGAAGGGGCTAGGTGACATTCGCTTCTGAATAGGGAGTCCGCCTAGACCGCCTCTGTTGAAGACGGAAGCAGCTGCAGCTTCTTCTGCCACACATTGCTTTGTGGCATCGTCCACAAAAACAACATCGTCGATCCTCGCCATGATGTTGAATGCCAAGCTCTCCATCACTCTCGAGTAACTTTCCAGAATTGACTGCCCTACATCCTGCAAAGAAAGAACATTAACAGACCGCTTTCAACGATTGAGCGTAGATACATGAATCCTTTCAAGAGAATAAGCTGGATGGAAGCCAAATATACCTTGTTATACTGAATTTTGTTCATGTCTAGAGCAGTCTGTGGGAGGCCCGGAAAACGTAGGTGCAAGCAGTGTAATAAGGTCTCTGCTCGTTGAGCCAAACAGTGCTTCTTCTCACCATTAGCAACAACAAGACCCTTCACCTTGCTTCCTAATGTCGAACGCCTATAATCGTGGATTCGAACCTTGGAACCATTCATCAAAACAGATGGATGATGCTTCTGACCTTTCGGAAGACCTTTATGGTGCTTCTTCTGGTCCTTACGCTTCCAAACATGCAATGCTGCTTCGATCTTGTTAGCGATTTCTGTGGCATGATGCTCCGTATTAATATCCAGGTGGTCGAGAAGAGCTTCCGGCGAGAAGTGCTCAGCCGTCACATATCGATAAATGAGATCACCCAAGCAAGCTCTGCCACTCTAGTTAAAACCAAAATTGACGTCAAAACCCATTGAGCATGAGCTTAAGAAACAGAGAAAGAAACTAACTTTAGCCAACTACCTTTGGCAAGGTTTCCAAGTATGCAGAAGGAATTTCCATCTCAGCAAGCACACTGCTATTGATCGCCATGGCAGCCTTCAATATCTGATTAGTGCAATCCCTATACTGCTGCAGCTTCTTCCTCGCATCTTCAGAAAGCCCTTTGGGAGGCACTTTGGGACAAGGCAGCCACCACTTCTCTTCCTGCCGAATTGAAGGCCGCCCACCGGAGAAACCAGGCGGATACAAACCCTCTTCATCCCGCTCCTCTGCCACAACGATACCTCGATCCACGTACCAGAACTCCGTCTCTCTGAACTCATCAAGCATCCCTATCAGCATCGCATCGAGCTTCTTCAATGCCGGAAGGTTCATGTAGAGATCCGACCTCGGTCTACTTGCCATGATCTCGTAAGTGCCTCCGCCGGGGAACTTCTGAATGGAAGGCACGAGCTCCACTATCGAATCGCTCACGCAGAGAAGCCACTCCATTTCTCTCCGCCACATTGATTTCTTCTGCGCCGCCAGAGGCTCCAGCCTCCATAGCTCGCCGAACACAGTAGCTGCTCGGGTAAAAAAAACAGAGAGGAAGAAGAAGAAGAAAAAAACACATCTTTAGAAAACAATGAACAAGAAGGCGAACTGGGTAAAAAGTAGAGAGAGTGGAGAGTTCGAACCAGAGAGATTGGTAATGGCGTTTGAAATGGCGAGCGCGGTGCAGACTCCTTTCCCACTTCCAGACATGTCCTCCCCCAATAGCAGCTTTGCAAATCTCTCCATCATCATCTCAACCTCTGCACACAAGAGTTTTTCCAGCCACAAATAAGATCCCCCATTACTCCTCTAACCTAACAATAGTACAGGAAACAAACTCAAAATCTCAAAACTGAAATCCCCTAAATTTTTCGCAGCTACCAAACAAATTAAACTACCACCGAAGAAAAAAAGAAGGGGGCGTTTTAGGTAGAGGGTAGTGCTCTTTCAAAAAAAGTACCAGACAAATCGCCATCCCCACGCTTCTGAACTTTCTCGTCCCAAACCAGATCCTTCCCACCGCCGCCGACGACAGGCAGCACCAACCCCGCCGGCGGGAAGCAGAAACTCTCACCTCGAGGAGACGGGGTCATGGAGCTGGAAGCACCCTCGACGCCGTCGAACCGGCGGCAGGAGAAGCTGCTACTGCTCTCTGACTCGCTGACGTCGGCGCTCAAGCTGTAGCTGCCGCACCTCTCCTCGCTCTGCTGCTCGTCGTCCGACGACATGCTCGCCATCAATCTCCAGCGAGCTTAAACAAAATACCCAAAACGAACAAAAGCAAAGATCTTCCTCTGCCTCCCACTCTCTCTTAAACCTCAGCCGCACAGCACATTCTCAAATTGTCTGCTGCTGTATGCAAGAATCGGGAAAGGAAACGAAGAAGGGAGAGAAGATGAAGAAAAAAAGGGAAATCCTCTGTTTCTCTTCCCTTCTGCCTTTCCTTTTTTTAGCCACTGAGTTCCTCTCTCTCTCTCTCTCTCTCTCTCTCTCGCCTGCGAATTTCTTTTATTTTATTTTATTATTTTATAAACAATTGTTTTTAGTTTTTACTGCCTCGGGGCAGGCTGTCTTTTCCTTTTCTCGTGGGACCCACCACCTTCCTCTTATTTTTTTTCTTCCCGCTTTTTCTCTTTCTTCTCGTCGGCTTTATTTTACTTATTATTGGACCACGTGGCCGGAGAAATGCTGACGTGGTTGTGGCGGGAGAGGGGGAGGGATAGGAAGGGGACGGGCTCAGGTTAATGAAGGATGGGCTCGGGTTACGAAGGGGTTTATAGAGTGTGATTAAGAGGTCTGACTTGAGTTGACTGGTTCAGCACTCCATATTTTTCAGTGCGCATTAATTAAACTGCTGGTATTAAGGTTAAAAACTACGATGATTAGTATGAAAACTAAAAAGCGAGTAGTCAGTCTTCCTGCATTTGAATTCTCCCAATCCTTATATAATTACATGTTCCTCGGTCGACGAATTAGTTTGGGAACTCGTAAGTTTTAATGGTTTGGACCTGAAAATCAAGTATTTTGGGAAAATCTAAGGTTTTTCATGATCAAATTATATTTGAAATTTTGAATTTATGGCAATTTTTTTAACTACTCAGATCAGTTGTGTTTATATTTGTACGTTCACATTTCATTTTCTTTTTATCGCACTACGTCATCACATATTTGTGTCAAGTTGTTAATACAACAAAAAGTGTTAAAATACACCACGGGGAGATTTGATGAAGATTATAGTTGTTAATATTGTGGGAAGAATTAGAAAGAATAACATAGTTTTATAATTTATCAAAGTTCAATATGAAAATTGTTTGAACTATTTTGAAAGTACAATTTAATTGTTTCAACAACGAAAAAAGTATGTGTGTTCAAATCCCAATGTTCTTTAGATATAATTTTTTCATAGTACACATCCACGATCGCAAATCACCTTACATATAATCCTATGATCTCGATCAACATTGGTACTTACTAACACCAATATGCATTACAACAATAATCGAATTACTATCCCGCTTAACTCTTTTTTTTTTTTTCTCATAGATATTCCCCTAAGAAAATTACTCTCCAACTTTTGCAAGACAAGACATCCAATCCACCCTTCTATTTCAATTTTCAATTGGTGCTGGCTGGTCATAATGCTGGTGAAGAAGGCATATCACAAATTCACATATATACTTAATTAAGTATCTGCAAATGGGAATGGGCAGAGCATGAGAATCTTGACCGTCGATATACACATTGCCGTATAAATGTAAGTGACGACGGTTGATGATGGAAGTTGAAGAGCGATTTGAGGGCCGGAAAAGACAAAAGATTCTCCAGCCTCGTGAAAAAGGTCTCCTCCCCCCCTCTTCTCCCTTGCGAGATCTGAGTTGGATACTCCACACGGTTTACCGTTTCTGTGATATGAATGAACGCTGATGCAAATCGCCTCGTTCTTCGCCGGATGTTCTTTCCGACGTAGACATTGTGTCATCGGTACCCTCGCCGGACCATGTAAAAATGATGGCACTGGAGCAAGCTTTTTGAAAACGATCTGAGGGGTGAAAAAAGGGGTCTCTATTATGTGGCGTGTTTTGTTGTAACAGCTTTTTGAATTATTTGTTGCTGATAATGGTGGAAAAAAGAAGGAAGAAGCAGGGGACCGGCTAGAGGCAGAGTAACAGCAGGAAAAAACAGGGGACTCGAGAGTGGTAGAGGGCAAAAGGGCAGAGCACCACGTGACGACAAAGCTGATGATCAGTTTGTACGTAGGAAAAAGTAAGGAGCAGGGGAATAGGTCGGCTGCTGGTTTCGGGCTTCTGCCATAGCTGGCTGCAGCAGTACAACTGGTAATGCAGAAAATCATCAGCAGCATGCAACAGCCACGTAACAGTAGGCAGTTGGCGTGCGAAGAATGATTTTGTGTTTCAATTTGTGAATTCATCGTGTGTTGTTTTGTTTCTTGTTTGCTAGCTTGTTATGTGAGCATTCTGGTTCTTCTAGACTTGTGTTGTATTTGTATACCACTCTGTTTGGCAACAAGGGGGGTGCAAATTGCAGGGGGGTGCAAGTTGAGGGGTAAATTGTTGGGGGGTACAAATTGCTGGGGGGTGTTAGTGGAGGGGTAAATTGTTGTTTGGATGAAAAAGTAGGGGGGTGCAAAATGATGTAAAAAAGGGTTTTAGATTATTATATATTAAGAGTAAATATAATAATATGAATGTTGTATTATACTTATGGTATCTTACTAGTGATAAAATAATAATTATCACTAATACGTATCTCATGAACACCAATCCTTTATGAATAATCATAATAATTATTATATAAAAAATAATTACTAATTATGTGACTTAATACAGGTAGCTAGCTCATGTCATGGATTTCAACATTGATTTGTCAACATAAGGGTTAAAATAACTTAAATAAAAATTAAATTCTTATTTATTATAATAGTTTCTAAATTTTTAGTTCATTTTATCCAACCATACTATAAATAAAAATATTTTTTACTTTTTTTCCCTACTTCCTCCCAGCCGATCTCCCCTTCCCTCCAATCCAACCCCTTTTCTCTCCCCGGTCCCACCCAAAACTTCCTTCTCCCCATTTACGCCCCAATTTGGGGGGCATGATCAAATAGTGAAATTGCACCTCTTTTCTACTCCCCCCTACTGTTCATAAAGATCCAAATGGGTGCAATTTTATTGGGACTCCCATTTACCCCCCAACAAATGCACCCCCTTACATTTACCCCTCTAAACAAACATAGTGTACATGTATAAGATCGATGCTGTCACTTATGGAATGGTTGGATAAGAGGAAGAAACAAGACAGATTAAGTTGTTTAGTGTGGATCCGATTCGAGCTTATGACGCAATTTAATAATATGTATTACGTTTCTGTCACTTAAATTTCTTCGATAACTATGACTCTAAGAAGATGATAAACGAAGCTTTTATGCGGTGTTTGTTAGCGCTTGGGTGTTTGTACTTTTGTTTTTTTAACACTTTGTATTTTTGTTACTCACTCAAGGAGAAACAACACACATGCAATTAATCTCAGATGTACAAAAGTTGTATGATTAACAAATCTTGTCTCTTAGATAGAAGTATTTCTCCGATTTCATCAGGTGGTGTGATGGAGTTGAGGTTGTAACGTTCAATCGCTATGGAAGAGTGCACGTTGTTCATTATTGTTGTACAATGTGATTGATCATGAAGTATTAACGATAATAATCGCGAAACCAGCAACCAAAAGAGTATTAGATGAACAATGATGGGGGATTAATTAAGTAACTTTCATACTGAATTTTACCAATTAAACAGGACAATTAGTGACATCCTGGTTTCATTAATGCAAAGAATATTATACTTGGACCACTCTATCCATATCCTTTTTTATTTTGTTCCTTTGCAGAAGTCCCTAACTCTACTACAAATGCCATAATTACCATTTACCACCTACAACTTTATTCCACTCCCATTATATCCCCACCACAACTCTCATGATTCTCTTCAGCCCCACTCCATTCCTCATATCACCAAGTCTGCATGTGTCAAATAACTCATTACCAGATAGTAAATGCATACTTTATAGTCCCTCGACCCCACTACACCAACCATTTTTTGTTCATACACAGGATTAGAGAAAATAAATTAAGCTCATAATTTTGACTTAAGCTGCGTGGGTGGGAGCTAATGATGCCCCACCTTTCTTAATTAACTGTGCGAATATGGGTTTATTTGTTTAATCTTTTCTGTTTTTTCTATTTGGAGAAAATGATTAGTGTCAACACGTCTCTATACATGGAGAGATATCATTATTAAGTAGTAACACTTTGTTTACATTTGGGTTGGCTGATCATTAGTGGGATGCTGAGGATGGTTTTGCTTGATTAAGGATGGGCTTCTGGAAGAAAAGGTGGGGAGGTTTTGATTAGGATGGTGTAACTACTAATTACTAGGATTAGGTTGGATAAGCAGCTAGACTAATGACTCTATTAGGCAAACTCTGGCACATGGGGTACTCAAGTAGTACAGCATGGACTTACTCACTTTCTATAAAATGGATTGTTCATGGCAATGTTAATCAGGGTGTAAATGTTAGGTTTACCACTGTAACTCGTCTCATATGCGAAGGGGTGGATGTCTGAGCGATTGGAAGAAGTTGACTTTCGTGTCGTAGAGATATAATTTGAATTGTACTAACATGTAGTAATTGGAGTCACACCGAAGTGCATCGTGCAGTTAATCTTACAGGTTTAGTTTAGTTATGATTTGGTAAATTTATATCATTGCATTAAAGAGGATCATGCTTAATTTGTACTTAAAAAATAACATATATGAGGATTGAAGTCGTATGAGATTGGAGTTTGATAGGTTTTGATCCAATCTCAAATACCCACCAGGATGAACTATCAACCACTGACAGACTAGATTGTTTTGTTTTGTTGGGTACATCACGAATTGGAATAGAAGACACCCCATATAGGTCACCTATTGCATAGCAAACTGCAAACACCTCTTTTGTTACGGTCCGGCAACGTTACAATGGACAATGACATTCAAAGTTGATCATCTTTCACACTCTTAAAATCTATGTCTTTTCTTCTACAAGAGTGTATGCTACATGATTAGCTTCCGTGAGAGAGTGATGCATGAACACATTACAATCCCCGATTGATTCAGAGGAACATCGATCGACGAAGTTGGCTCGATTCTTTTCTTTGTATTACTAGAATATTCACTATAGATGGTAGGTGACTTAGCTCCCATCATAAGTGACCACAGGAAGCAGTAAAATGCTTCATTACAAAACAATTTAATTTTCCATGAACATAAATCAAATTCTAACATAATTGATTGAAGGATGAGGCGAGCAACCATCTTCAAAACTTGGCTTGATTTTGTTTGTGTACTTGCTTGGTTAAAAATGTGTTGTTGCTTATAAAAATGATAATATCACAGGAGTGTTGTCGAGTACAGTAAAGCCCAATCGTTTATTGTAGGCCAAACCAAGCCCAATAGAAACAAACGAAAGTCAATCCAAACCAACCTACTCCTTCAGGCCCGTTTTCACAGTAGACTCACACAAATCCAACTAGAACCGGCGACGAATGACGCCGACTCCGTTTACGTTTATCTTCCCAATCGCCGAATTCTCAAAATTCTGAAGCATTCGATCGCCTGCGAATCAATCCCCGAAGAAATCTTGTTGATTCGTTTTGTTATCAGCGGCCAAAAGTTAGGCATCGCTCTGAATCGAAGAACCATGCCGAAGAAGATGGGGGTGAACAGCAAAGCCGAGGTGGCGAGGTCGCGGAAGAACGCGACGGAGAGCGAGAAGAAGGAGCGGGAGGCGAAGGAGAAGGAGGAGAAGTACTGGAAGGAAGCGGAGGGTCCTAAGTCTCGCGCGGCCAAGAAGCGGGAGGAGGAAGAAGAGAAGCGCGCGGAGGCGGCGGCGCGCAAGGCGGAGGCGAAGCGGCTGGCGGAGCAGGAGGAGAAGGATCTGGAGAAGTCGCTGAAGAAGGTGGACAAGAAGGCGACGCGTGTGGCGATTCCCGTCCCGAAGGTGACCGAGGCAGAGCTGAGGAGGAGGAGGGAGCAGGAGCAGGCGGCGCTGGAGAAGAAGTCCGAAGAGGCGAAGAAGAAGCAGACCAGGACGGCGGAGGAGGAAGAGTACGAGAGGCTGGTGCTGGTCGAGAACACGAATCGCGATGATTCGATCATTGAGGCCAGGACCGTGGAGGATGCTATTGCTCACTTGACTGTTGCGGAGAGCTTGCCCGTTGATCGGCATCCCGAGAGGAGGCTTAAAGCTTCGTTTAAGGTGTGTTTATTCTTCGTCATTTTGATTGAGAAGAGATTGATTATGCAATTGGGCAGTATGAAATTGGAGAATTATGATGATCATGGCCTGCTAAGCTTATGATGATAGCTGCGATTGAGGTGGATTCTATTACTGTGATTATAAGCTGGAGTGGTGCAGCTCGTGATTGAGGAGCTGATAGTGAAAGATGGAATTTTTTATTCCATTTTCTTTTAGTAGGGCCGAAGGGAGGGTTGGTTTTCAGGTTAGAATGAGGAGTGTGACATTTAGTTTAGATGGGAAAGTTTTCGGATGTATATCTGGCCCTGAATGCTTCCCATTACATTATTTGCTAATGGCATTGGTCTCCAACTGGGTAAGATGTGGATGGTATGCTGAAGTTAATAGATCAGTCCTTGGTGTATGATCAACTGGATAGTATCTTGAGCATTGAGGGCAGCATATTCAGATTTTGACGTAGGAAGTATATAAGAATAGCTAGCATGCTGTTAATACCTGATGACATTGGGTCAGTTCGAGTGCTCTCCGCTTGCTAGAAATGGTTACAGTAGCCTTGTTGCTCACATGCTTATTTCATAATGGTGGGCTCAATCATGATTCAGTTGCTTCGTATGATTTGTTATTCATTAGTGATGGTGCATTTTACCATCAACGTTGCAGTTTCTTTGTTTCTGTAGCTCCTTGGTTTGTCAATTCTTATAAAAAGTTTTACTCTTTATCATCGATTTGTTGGTCAATTATCTGTCTTGGGACTGTTTGAATATCCTGGGCGAATGACAAACTGTGATGAGCGAGCAGATTCATGTTAATTGGTGCTCGCCTCCCTTGTTGCAAATAGATGTGACATGACTGTCGGTTTGCTACCTTTTAGTTCTGCTAGACCGATATTGGTTTTGGTAACTTTTGAATGGATAATAGGATGCCGATTCTTGTGTTTCTTTGTGCATGCCTTGTTTGGTGTCCTGTTTGGGGGTAAAGTATTCAGCATGTTTCCTGTAACATAGGCTTCTTTGTTAACTGTTCTGTGCTCCATTCGGCATCCTTGCATGGTTACTTTTGTCTCGTAAAAGTATCTGCCTATTGTGGTTGGTTTTGGGATATATTGTTTTGATTCCTGTCATCTGTTAATTGTGTTATGTCTTTATTTTCAACCCGTAACAGGCTTTTGAAGAAGCTGAGCTCCCAAAGCTTAAGGAAGAGAAGCCAGGACTAACTCACAATCAATACAAGGACATGATTTGGAAGATGTGGAAGAAGTCTCCTGACAACCCTCTCAATCAGGTATGCACTTGGGATTGCCATCCACCTGGCGATTCTGATTCTTCTAAACCCTTTTTTCTTCCACCTTAGGATCATGGTTCTGAATCTGAATAATAATATCCCTCCCTGCACAACAAAATACAAGAGTGGAACGATATATGACTTTGAACTTTGAATTCTGTTTTGCAGATTAGTAGTGAGTAAGCCTGTGCCCCTGTCACAAAACAAAAAGTGGGCATGACTCGGTTTCATTCTGGCTTCACTGCTCGCAAGGAGCCTTCCTTCTTGTCTGTTGAAGGTGGTGTCAGAAGCTAGCGGCGTAGCCGAGATGAGGTGTGGGAGGATGATCTTCTTATATGGTTGAGTAACTGGTATATGGTGTAAATGGCATCTGCATAAACTGCTGCTGAGGACAGTAGAATCGTGTTCTTCAGTTCTTGGTTGGGAAGTTTAGAATGTGATTGAATCTTAGCTATGCTGCGTTATCCATTGTTATAAAGTTGTAGCCCAAATAAAAATGGGATGGTTGTGGGGGTAAGTTTGCTCTGTGTACCTGGGAAACAATGTGGTGGTTGTGTAAACAGTCTTCTTCGTCTTCTTCATCTCAGAACAATAAATTTCCCCATTTGTCAACTTTTGCCTGCTGGTCGATTACTATTGTCTTGCCAATTCCAAGTTTTCTGGTGTTAATGCAAATTTCAATTGAAGGGCTGGGGAGGGATGAAACAAGCAGGAATTCACCAGACAACTTAAGCTTTGGTATCGTTGGACTGTTTGTTAGTTCGAAGTATTTTCTTCTTTTTCGAAATTTAGCAACCAGTTTATTAGTGACCAATTTAACTGTTACACCTAGAGTCTCATCTGGTTGGCGGTTCATGTTGTACAACCAGGGAAAACGACGTCGTAGTAACCGTCTTCATCCTCGTTTCTCCCCAGGTGCGACTGGTTTCAGTCTTGTCTTTTCTGGGATCAAACATTTCGAACGCAGTCGACTTCTCGATCTGTTTGATCAATGGGTGTCGCCGGCAGGAAGGGAAAAGGTTACGCCTTCGCCGTATTCGCCGGCCTCAACGCTGCCTTCGCCGCCATTGCCGCCAAGTTCTTCTCTTTCTACGTAATTTCTCCCCTCTCCCTCCCTTTTACTCCCAGAGAGTTATACTGTTCAAACGTTCTACCAGACCGAATAATTCCTTTTTTCCATCATTGTGGTTTCACCAGTACCGCCATCTGAGCTCGTCTCTGTGTGCAATTAAACTCAACTCCACAGTTCCTTTTCCCCTGCATCGCTATGGCAGGTTAATTTATGACGTCTTGTTTTCCACCCACTTGATGCAGATTCTCCGATACGGCCTGGTGCTGCTGTTTAATGTGACGATGTGGGGTTGTTATGTTAATAGCCTCAAGGCTCTCTCGTCCCTACAAGCTACAGTTACGAACTTCGCCACCAACTTCATCTCCTCTGGCCTTGCTGGGTCCTTCCTGTTCAATGAAAGCTTGTCCAGTAAGGTAAAGTAGAGGGCTCAATTCATTAACTGACATTACCCTCTGAACAATTCATTGCTTCTTTCTGTTAGTTGAGCGCTAAAGTCGGCAACTTTTTTTGCTTAATGGCATTGTGTTGGTTATTTTTCTCCTTCCAGTGGTTTGCTGGTGCATTGCTCATTGTAGTTGGTGTGATCATACTCAGCAATTCGAGTGTCGAACAAAAGGAACGGGCTGATTGATGTGAATTGTGAATCGATTTCGGTATATGTTGTGCTCGTGTTTACGGTGGTACAAGAATAAGTGAAGCCTTGTCATTCTAGCTCTAGAAACTAGGTATGTTTTCTGTGGTTAGGCTGTGGAAGTTCATGCATGGTGGACCACTGTCAGATCAGATTCATTCTTGTATGAAGTGTTGAGTTTGTAATCTACACCTCGATTGTACGATGTCTCCAATCTGGTTGTGCTATGATATCCACATGTCAGGCTCTTGTGTTCCCATTGTGCATTAATGGTTGAGGATAACAAATCGGTTCTTTTATGTCTTTAATGATTAATCGGCGAGTTGATTCTGACTGTTAGTTTGATTCAGTGTCGCCTCAGGATATCGTCCAGTTTTGAGAAAGAGTTATCGTATGTTCTGTAGTTCAAAAGGAACGGATTTTGCTAGCATGACCCATCCTTAATGTGCTCCACGTTCTTACTGTAATATTCTTTCCAATGGTGAAAATGGTAGCTGCAGTCAGCTCAGGTCTTAATTCTGAGTGATCGGGAGAAGTTGGATGGTTATTGAATGAAAGATTAAGTTCCCATATAAAGTATTAGTTGTGGATGTGATTTGTCAGTAGTGACAAGACATTGTCAGCTGGGGAGTGGGGATGTTGAAGTTGCTTTGCTCAACTTTAAACACATTTTGATGAGCTTTGTCTCTGCATCTATGGCGTTCACCCAACTAACTCATTCTGGTGCCCATCATGTTCAATTCCCATTTATTACAAGGCCAACCTTTGTCTTGCTACTGGTTTCTAACCTATGAGCCGACAGTTGAGTTCAGTCAGTCATGTGGACGTGCAGATGTTCATTCACAAAAGATCTAACCAAGATTCTAGAAAAGTGATGGATGGTGGGTTTCCAGCCATGTATTGTTGAAGACTCCGGTATTGTGCTTACTCAAAGAATTAGCTTGGCTGGTTCCTTTTTTGGTTCTTAATGCTTTTTGACTTTTGCCCATTTATGTAACAGTGATGTGATGATCACTTTCGCTGGTCCAGTATAAGGCTTGTCCTTTCAGTTGACACATTATTAAAATTCTGGACCATTACCAGCTTCTGTTGTTTTCTCTAGCTGGGCCTGTTGGTAGATAGGAGGATGATGAATGCTGCATTTATTGTGGAATTTCGTTCCTGGCAAGATGTGGAAATCGCAGTCATTTATCCATTGTAAAACAAAGTTTAGCTTGTCAGGAAGTTCATAAGCTGCTCTGAGCTTCTCAGAACTGCAATCATTAGCATGTTATGCATAACCTGAAGAGTTTTGAGGCTGTCCTGATACGCAATAAAAAACGGCACCAGTAAACACATGGCATAAAAGAACAAACAAGATTGCATTCAAGGTAATTCATCTCTTTGCAGGCAATAAATATTTACTCCTTCTGATATTCTGTTGAGTTGTTGTTATGTGTATGATTTTGACCTTCTCTCTCAGGAATCAAATACCTTTAACAACCTACTCTTACTAAGTATGCTAGAGAGGAAGAACAGAACCTGGAGAGCGATGCACCCAGTTTGACAGAGAAGTGTTTAATTTCTTGAATGGGATTTTGTACTTGAGTATGAGGAATTTTTTTTGTTTATGATGATTGGGAGATCCAGCATTGAACATAAGTTTTTCTCTCTGCTGAGAGCAAAGGCACCGAAGCAGAAGAAAATTGTGGTTGGGTTGAAATCGGATACTCACAGCAGAGAAATGCTGCTGCGGGTTCTTCGTACTTTAGTGAATACTGGAGATATTGTGTTAGCTGTTCATGTTCAACAAGTTTCTAGTAGTTTCGATCCAAATACTTTCCACATGCATGCAGATCTCTGCAAGTCTAAGCAGGTAACTAAATTTCTGAGTTTCCAACTGGGCAAAAAGAGAGATGCAAATGATTTGTTGATGGACTAATCCATTGATTTTTGTTCATGGTATTTTTCCTCCATCAAGGTTGATTTCCTAGTTAAGGCATGTACTGAAGAAACCTACATTTCAGGATTAAGTAATCAAGTACGACTCAACTCTGCCACAATCCTCATTCTTGGTTGCAGCCTTCCATGGTATGGTACTAACCACTCTGAAAGCTTTTGAATCGTCCTCCCCATCTTCTGATACCACAATTTTCTGATTTTTTCCAGGCCTAATGAGTCGGTAGTCAAGGCTTTCTTAAGAAGGCTGCCACCCACCTGCAGCCTCCTGGTAATTAACAACGCCGGGAAAATAATATTCCAAAGCCAGGGAACCTCTCAACAAGGATCCACTTCTCCAGTTCTTAGACCATCTCCATCTGAAAACAGTTACTTTCACCAGCCAAAAGCTGAAGCGCATCGTCAGTTGCAAAAGTCTTTCACTGCACCATCCTCCTCAAAGGATAAACCTGTTTCCAAGACGATGTTTGAGGTTGCAGAGAAGAAATTTCTCGACAGGCTGGCATGCTTACAAGCCACACGGTCCTTAAGACGTTTCAAATGGCAAGAGCTCGACTTTGCTACTAATGGGTTTAGCCCTCAGCGGTTGATTGGAACAGGTGGTAATAGTAAGGTGTATCAGGCCACACTTGGGGGTAATGGTCAGGCTGTAGCTGTCAAAGTCCTGAAGAGCTCGGATTTAGAGGATCTTCTCCGTGAGGTTGAGGTTTTATCCGGGTTAAGGCATGAGAACATAGTGCAGATAATTGGTTTCTGTGACGGTAAGGAGATCCATGCAGTGGTCTATAATCTGTTGAAGGGGAGCTTGAAACAAAGTTTGAGACAACTGGATTGGAAAGAGCGAATGGGAGTTGCGATTGGAGTGGCCAAGGCGCTTGAGTACCTTCATTGTTCATTTACCCCTCCCATAGTTCATAGAGATGTGAAGTCATCCAATATTCTACTTTCTGAGAACATGCAGCCTCAAGTAAGTTACAAGTGAAATTGCTTACATAAGAATAAGTTGCTCATATTTTCTGGATACTCAGATGAGGATTTTATTTATTTACTTTTTTGGTTATGCAGCTCTCAGATTTTGGAGCAGCAATAAGACTGCTCAAGCTTGACCAGATCTCAGCAAACACAAAGCCGTTTAGTATTGTTGGGACATTTGGCTACTTGGCTCCCGAGTATGTGATGTATGGGAAGGTTGATGAGAAAGTAGATGTTTACTCTTATGGAGTTGTGCTCCTGGAACTCATCACAGGGAAAGAAGCCATTCAAACAAACCAGGCAAACTGCGAAAGCTTGGTATTATGGGTAATTAACTTTCAGAAAGGAAGCTTCTTTCTTCACCACGAAGCTTTCTATTCTTCTCTTTTGCTATCCTGGTTTTCTGAATCATAAAATTCGCAGGCAAGATCTCTGTTGAGTTCTGGCTTGTGTGACCGGTTGATTGATCCTCACCTTAATGGAATTTACAACAAGGAAGAGATGGAAATAGTAATGTTCCTTGCTCGGCTCTGCCTCATTCATTCTTCTCCTAGGAGACCATCCATGAAAATGGTAAGCTCTCTCCCTTTTTATTTTATTCTTTCCCCTTTGTGCATTCCATTTTCCTAAGAACTCAATTGTGTGCAAGTCAATCTGAGCAGGTATTGAGATTGTTCGAAGAGCCAGAACACTGGAGAAAGATGCTGAGGAACAAGGATGAATTCCTCCATGAGAGCGGTTCCAAAGCCGAAATGCAGTTGGATCCACTGGATGACCAGGCGGCTAACGGTATGCCTGATACTGAAGACTTGTATAATAAACTACTGTCACCTGAATCATCGGATTTGTAAGTGTTACAACTGAATCATCTGATATATAAAATTGAAAAAGCCTGTATACTGTAAGAAGCATGGCTACGACAGTTGATCGACTGCTTCTTCTTCCTACTTTATTCAACTTCTTTCTATCTGCTGAAAATCACGGATTTAGTGAATTTGTCCTGAACCCTGGAGCATGGTTCTCATATCACTCGACCTTTTGAAGTTGTTCAGCACAATGATTTCAAACAATTTTAAGTTACATGTCACTATGACTAGCTATTTTAACTTGGCATGCCTCTATTCATTAGCCATCATGGCTAATAGCTCCAATTCTAAGAGCTAAGAGAACTGGCTCATAGAGATATACAATGAATTAAGAATGTAAGAAATGGAAAGAGCTTAGGAAAATAAATGCAATGGGAAAACAGGAAGAGCATAGCTGCTCCACTTTTATTGAGTCATCTGATAAGTACTTTCTTGGGATAATCAAGCCTCAGCCAACTGCTTGAAGTTGATTGGTGCAACGAAGAAGGGTGGGCCAGAATAGAGTGTTACAGCAGCCAGCTGTGCAGCTTTCTGTGTAGGATGGAATAAGTCCCAGAACAAGTAATCATCCCTAATAGGGCAAAGACTAGCAGTTGGAGTGCATGGTGCTTGGGCATTCAGTGCTCCTTGCCCACAACATGCCCCTCCGCCATCTTTGAATCCTGGTATTTTTTTTCCGCACAGATGAATTTGCTCAGAATTAGGTGTAAAGAAAGAAGGAAAAAAAAAAACTGCTGATGAATTTGCATTGACGCGTGTATAGCTCACTTACCGAATCGATTAGGGTGGTTGATGACATTGATGGTCATTAGAAATGCATTCCCAATTGAAAACTTCATGTCATGATACTCTGAGCTGAGCTTATACATGAGCTGAGTAACTCTGGGATGGAAAGCCAGTGCAAGATCGTTCAACTCCTCCAAACAACCGAGGGTTCGATTGAAGAGCCTTTGAGATGGACAGCAGCCGATTGGTGCAACGGTAGCAATCCCAAACTTCCTTGCTCCAAGTTTCAGTAGGTTCTGCATATTTTTACATATACTTAGAAAGCTTATATATTTCTTACTTTCTAACACAGTTTCTTTCAGGTTTTGCCAGGAATTATGTTGCTTACCCTTAAGTGCTTCTCGTATGCTTGGACCAGAGAAGCTATGAACTTCTCCTTTGGTTGCTTGCTCTTTGAATGGTAATGAGTAAAGAGGTCATTGCCTCCAATGCTGATAAAGAACAAGGATTTGGAGAAAAGATCTCTGGTTCCTTTTTGCTTCCTTACACTGATAATTTTATGATAGACGTGTGAAAGTTGATGTATTTGTTCAGACAATGGGATAACATTCTTTCTGCTAATCGGCAAGCTGCTGGACGAATTGTTCGCCTCGTCAAAAGACTTGACAAAACTGACCTGCAATGAGAAGGAAGCAAGTTTTTTCACAACTGAGACTGAACACTCCATCTTCTGCAGTATCAGGAAAATGTTGGGTGAAAAGACGCAATATCCTTTACCGGAGTTTGTCCTGTGAGGTCGAGAATTCCTGATCCTCCTGAAGCAAAGTTGACACCTCTGAACTTAGGCTTGGTGAAGCCTCTTGGTTCCTTCCTGAGAAGGAAGAAAGTGTCTGGGCTTCTCCTGTGTCCCATCAATACAGCTGCAGATAACACAGTCTTATTAGCAACACACGGGGAAAACTCGGTTCCTTACTAATGTGGGTGATGATCGTTCAGGGAAAGTGTACGTACCGAGCTGGTCAGCACTGTTGAATCCATTGCTGAACCTTCCAGTTGGTCTGGAGTACGGGAAGTCAACCCCATTGCGAGGAAAATCTGCCCTGGCATTGCTTCCAGGCAAGAAATTGTTTGTTCCAACGTCTACCGTCGAGTCCCCCAAGATAAAGATGGCAGGAGGTGAAGCTGCAGCAGCAGCTATAGCTGAGTTTGTACTGAACACACCAATGCACGCTAGAAAAAACAGAACAAGAGCTTCAAAATTCTCCATTGAACTTCCTGTTCTTCTTCAGAAGCTATGTTCTTTGCTTATATCTTTTCTGGTAGAGATGAGAAGGGTATGGAGGCTACTTATACTGGTGGAAGCCGAAAGGCGAAACGAAAATGACATTGCTACAAGAAGGAAGACGCTACTGTCCATGTTTGGCACAGCTGGGGGAGCTGACCATTTCAGAAGGAGCATTGTTCTCAGGTACGCTTTGGGAACAAAGTAAAAAAAAAATCGACTTTCCGATGTTGCCTCGATGGGAACATAGCATGCTTCGACGTTATTGAAGACTTGGAGGAGGGCTACATTTGCCGGCGTGACGCATTGTTTGCATAGACATCACCTTTTTCCTTTCTTGTTTTGTCACGGCCTGCTTGGAACATAACATGGGCTCTTGGCTCAGCCGCTCTCAGCCTGTTTGGTTTGGTGTCATGTGTTTGATATGTAACGAACAACTTCGGAAGATATTGGCCAAAAGTATCTCAATTTCTTAGCAGATACTAATGTTGGTTTCCTGGAGCTAGGATTGCTACGGGTAGGGGCGTAGGGTGGACATCCGGTGCGGTTCAACCTTACCGAACCTGAGTAGAGCCAACCAAATCGGAATCAACTGGGTTCAGGTGGTGTTCCTGACTGCAACATATTGGTTTCAATGCAGTTCGGCTCAACTGAGTTCCGGTGTGCTTTTATAATACTGGTTGCCCATCCCTGTAACCAAGAAACCCGAACCAAAGTAACCACCACGATTCCTTCTATTTTTCGAGCCCGTTTCCCTTATGGTTTCGCAGCTTCAAACCCCACAATGTTTTGCATCAAACCGTAATGGATGGTTTGTGGACTGTGGTTCATTTCTTTTATATGATTTCAACTGAATGATCACTCCAACGTTACGGGAACCGAAGAGGAGGAAAAATCAGAAATGCATTGCTCAAGTACTTCGTAAAATCAGTAAGTTTATTTTTTTCTTTCCAAATATTGTAAAATAGAATGTGAAGAATATCGATCTTAGATGCTTATTGGATTTTCTTGTTCGGGAAGCAAAACAATGAAACAATGGGGATAATTTAGAAGGCGGCAGCCAACTGCTTGAAGTTGATGGGTGCCACAAAGGGTGGGCCGCCATAGTAGAGGTTCGAAGCAGCGAGCTTTGATGCAGCCTGGGTAGGGTGGTACATGTCCCAGAACAGCATCTCGTTCCGGTTCGTGCAAACGTTGGCGTCAGGAGTGCAGTAGAAATCCGCATTCAGCTTCCCAAGTCCACAGCATGCTGTGTCGATGATCTTGAATCCTAGGAGCAAAAGCAAAAGGTCCTCACTTCAGAACCAGCAGCAGAAAGATTGTTCCACAAGTATGTATCTTTCTTGTCAAACAAGTTATATATTCATAAACAGACTGGTCTTATTTTCAGCAGTTGTGTTACCATATGATGCAGGGCTCTTGATCAAATTCATGGTCATCGAGTAGGTATCCCCAATGGAGTATTGCATCCCATCGAATTCCGAGCTGAGTTGTACCATCATGGTTTTGACCTTGGCATTGAAGGAAACAGCTAAGTCGTTCAAGGGCTCCAAGCAGCCTGATGTCTGGTTGAATCTCCTCTGAGCTGGGCAGCAGCCAACTGGTCCGGCGGCAATGATCCCAATCTTCCTCACTCCAAACCCAAGCATCGTCTGCAGTATCCATAACACATCAAACAGAAAGTGGGGGGGAAAAAAGCTCCAATGTATCAGTGAGAAATAATGGTGTCAAATGTCGACCAATTTTGTACTCACCTTCAAATGTTGCTGGTATGTGGCCGTCAGTTGAGAGATGAACTGTTCCTTTGAGGAGCTGCTGCTGTTGTCATGGTAGTAGTGGAACATGTCATTGCTGCCGATGCTGATGATGAACACTGAAGTCGCGAGGTACTCCGCCGCAGTTTCAGCACCTTTGAAGCTGGCGAGCCTCGAGGAGATGGTGCTCAGTTGCTGAACCTGCTCGCTCAACGGGACTACAGTCTTTACTCCATCCTGTTGTTGATACATTCATCATAAGTCCGTGAAACAACCATCACATCCCAATAACATGAAACTCCTACAATTACAATTCGAGGAGGATTTTAAGATTGTACCGGGCTAAGTCCAGTTGTGTCAAGAATTCCAGACCCTCCAGAGGCAAAGTTAACACCTTTGAAGCTCGAGTTCTTCAGCGGAGCTGTGCCATTCCCAAGCGCGAAGAAAGGTGGTGGACTCATTTCCAATCCCAGCTGCTTAGCTGATATAAAAAGATCATACAATTTTAACAGTAACCCTTCAAAAACTTGGATCTTCTACCATTTTTTGCTACCATGCTTTCATTTTGAGGAGATGCATAACAACTCAAGTTACTGTCAAGAACCCATTTTTCGACATAATTTGCAGGATGTACAATGAACCAAAAAGAAAAAGAGAGGGAAGGGAAGGGAGCCACAAACCAAGAAAATCAGCAATGTTGTGGCCATTGCTGAACCTGCCAGTAGCTTTCGAGCCGGGGAAGTCGATCCCATTGTGAGGGAAATCAGCTCTGTCAACGCTTCCCGTCAGGAAATTGTTGGTTCCAACATCAACTGTGGAGTCTCCCAGCACAAACACAGCAGGCATTGTCGCTTCAGCCGAGCCTATCATCATCGCCATCACCATAGCTCCAATACCAGCAAGTGAAAGCACAAAGCTTCTTGTGGTGATCTCCATGGCAGTGTCTTTCTTAAACTCTTGGTGTCTGATGTAGTTAGGTGAAGGAATGAGTGGAATGCTGTGAAAACTGAGGTGGTGGTGTTGAAATACTTATATGGGAAGGAATTTGTGGGGGTTTTACAGTAGGAGATTTGAGAGGGGGAAATGGCAAGAAATAGTATCTGTATGTCGACAGACACTCTGTGTAGTATGAATGCTACTATTTGGAGTCACTCAGGTTGAAGATGACTAGAGTTTTGAGCTTCTGAGAAAGAAAGGAATCATCATGGAGTTATATTATTAGATGAAGATTACTAAAATTGGTGCTTCTGCCATTGGAGAGGGAGAATTAACTTTTTGGGAAAGTCCTGGTCTTTCATGTAAGCCTTTGGGCCTCCACATACCTAGCTCAACAGTCTTTGGCCCAAGCACTATCAGGCTTTAGGTCCTCTAGCACCCAACCAAAAAAAATTACACATCAAACTCAAGCGATCTGCTGGCTATTTGATCCCGGACTGTTTGGTTTTACCCGAAACCGGATCGTATAACCCGGATCGGGACCGGACTGCGACCGGATAGCAAACAATTTAATCTCATATTCGGGCTTAGATTTGAGATAAAAAACCGGATAAAGACCGGATAAGAGACCGCCAACACCTAAAATAAAGATCAAATTGGGACCGGACCGGGTCAAGACCGAACTGTATCCTTATATCCCCGAAAAGACCGGACTGGAACCAAATCAATTTAGTCTAATTTAACCGGACCGGACCGTAAAGCCACCCCACGATCTAGATTTAAACCCCAAAGGAGCTTATCAAGTTGACTTGAATCTTGAAATGTTTCAAACGGTTGCTTATCTCCAAATATCAATCCAAATAGGCGATAATTACTTGGAAATTAAAACGTAGAGAAAAAAAATCTAGATAAAATCTCCAAATACCAGACAGGAAAAATACAATAAATCGGCCTCTCAAGTTCCGATGGTTTCTCAAATAAAACAACCTAACTAAGATGAGAGTTACAGTTAATAGAAACACTCTTTGACTCTACCCTAACGATGATTAAGAAATAAGAACACGATTAACCGAAGGAATATATATAATTAAATTAAGATAAATCAGTATTGCAGTGTGAATCGAGATTTCTTGCTTGACATATACGACCTGATTAATTATCCTGACAATTTTTTTTTTTCTTCTTCCTGATGAACGCTAATCCCAGCAGTTTGCGGCGTAGAATAGGAAACTTAACGAACTTATTTGGGGCCGTTGGATGAGAAGGATGAGTTGGAAATCATAAAGTCGATGGAATCAGAACCGTCGGATGTGCGGAGGGAAAGTGGAGCGACCACGGAGGCTCCGTGCGCCGCCGTCCAGTGATCACGGGGATCATCATCCGCCGTTGGTTTGGTTAGGTTAGCTGGCTGTGGCGGGGACGACAGGATCAAAATGAAAATATAATTAGAAGAAAAAAAAAATTATGCCACGGAGTTTTCATTATTTTTTTTTTTACCATACTTATTTACTGTAATGCGATAGAAAAATCCCACATCAACAATATACAACAGAGGAGGACTAAATCAGTGCCATTATACATAAGGTTCTCATCCTTTTTTGGGTAATCGAATTTCGAATGCATATTATATAGAGCACTTCTACTATGCTATATAGTATTGATGCTTTAATGTACAACTCAAAATTGTACCATAACATTAAATGTATAAGTTTAGGTTGTACCATAAAGCAATTTGTATCACTATGTTACGGTACAACTTTACAACTTGAAGTTGTACCATCACATAAAGGTACAAGTTCAAATTGTACCGTAAAAGAATTTGCACAAAAAGTATAGGTACAATCTGAAGTTGTACCATAACGTAAATGTACAATTCTAAGTTGTACCATAAAGACAAAAACCTATAGCACCAATACTATATAGCATTGTAAAATTTCTCTATTATATATTCTAGTTTCATAATCATTGTCCGAATTTTTTTTTTTACTACGATATTAATTTTCCTATCGGTAGAACAAATAAAAAACCGTTTTCAATTTTTGGCCAACAACAATAATCCGAATATATGTCTATATATTCTATAAACAGCAATAGTCCAAATATTGGACAAGATATATCATCAAATGTGAAATCTTTTCATACTCTTATATATTAATCTTCATTTTTATTTTGATTTTTCCCAAACATAAAAAGAAATTTATACCCATTCTCAAACTCTCCCCTCTAAGATCCCCAACCTTGTTTGTTGTTTCCATAATTCCCTCACTTTAAATAAACTCGATCAGTTACTCCAAAACCAAAAACCCCCACGAAAACAATTTTCCCACCTCACTGTCTCATCTCCTCCATTTTATTATCAGCCGCCAGTCTCCTCAATCCTTCAAACTCCTTCAATCCCCTGTTTTCTTACTTCCTTCTTCTCTGATCGTAGAGAAGGAGGAGGGAAAAAGCTTGTTGAATCCCTCAAACTTTGATCATTTTCCAAGGAAGAAGGAGCAATGAGAACCAGGAGCTGCCAGCTTTTGCTACTTTCCGCCGCGGTGGCCTTGCTCTGTTCCGCCGCCGTTTTCGTCAGCGCCGGAAACCCCATCAGGAACTTCGACTGGACTGTCACTTACGGCGAAATCCAGCCGCTCGGCGTCAAGCAACGGGTAAAACCCATTTTCCGTCTCCTCATTTTCTCCAATGGGTCGGGTCCAAATTTTGTTCGAAATCAAAATTCAGTTCTGAAATCGGATACTTTTTTTCAGTTAACAGAGTCAAAAAGGTTCTGCTTTGATGTTGTGCAGGGGATTTTGATCAATGGGAAATTCCCGGGACCGACGATCCAAGCCGTCACCAACGACAATCTCATCATCAACGTCCACAATCATCTCGACGAACCTTTCCTAATCTCCTGGTTCGTAATTGTCTCTCTCAGAAAAAGAAAAAAAAAAACAGGGGAGTGAAAATATCATTTGGTTTGACTCTGTTTTTTGTGTGACTGTAATGTTTCTCAGGAGCGGGATTCAGAACAGGAAGAACTCGTACGTCGACGGAGTGTACGGAACGACTTGCCCGATCCCGCCGGGCCAGAACTACACTTACAAGCTCCAGGCGAAGGACCAAATCGGAACGTTCTACTACTTCCCTTCCCTCGCCTTCCACAAGGCCGCCGGTGGGTTCGGCGCCATCAATGTCCTCAGCAGGCCGATGATCCCCGTGCCGTTCGCTCCGCCGGCCGACGACATCAATTTCCTCGTCGGAGACTGGTACAGGACCGACCACAAGGCCCTGAGGGCCAAGCTCGATAGAGGTCACAAGATTGGTTTCCCCCACGGAGTTCTGATCAACGGCCATGGACCTCATTCCCCTCCCACTTTCACCTTCCAATCGGGTAAATAAATAAATAAATTCTGATTGTTATTTTTGTTCCGCTTTTACTTCAGGTAAAAATCCTTCTGTTACTATCGAATCTCGTGGATCTCGTAACAACTTCTAATTCGATCGAAAATTATGTCGAAATTTCGTTACTTACAGCCTACAGGTCTCAAATTTTCTTTCTTTCAGGAAAGACGTACAGGTTGAGGGTCACAAACGTCGGGCTACAGAATTCACTGAACTTCAGGATTCAAGGGCACAACCTGAAATTGGTAGAGGTGGAAGGAACTCACACGGTTCAAACGGTGTACTCGTCGCTCGACGTCCACGTAGGACAGTCCCTGTCAGTTCTAGTGACAGCAGATCAGCCTGCTAAGGACTACAAGATCGTCGTGTCGACTCGTTTCGCGAAGAAGGTCCTCACCTCCACCGCGACTCTGCACTACCAAAACTCCGATGGGCCCGCCTCGGGCGACATCCCCAACTCTCCGAAGAAGATTAGCTGGTCGATCAAACAGGCTCTGTCCATCAGGTAAATCGTACATTTCTCTCTGGACAAAAAAAATTTATCGAAAAAGGTCGCGAATTCGAACCTGACACGTCGAGTATTGTTTTTTTTTACTTCGTCGCGTGTCAGGACGAATTCTACTGCGAGTGCAGCGAGGCCGAATCCACAGGGATCGTACCACTACGGTCAGGTGAACATCACGAGGACGATAATCCTGCAGAGCGCGGCGGCTCAGGTCGACAGGAAGCAGAGATATGGGATCAATGGAGTGTCGTTTGTTCATCCTGATACTCCATTGAAGTTGGCAGATCATTTTAACATTCCTGGTGTGTTTCAAGTCGGCAGCATTCCTTATGCTCCTCCCACACAGCCGAGGAAGCTTCACTTGAATGCTTCGGTGATGGAAACCGATTACAGGACGTTTGTGGAGATTGTGTTTCAGAATCGTGAGAAGATTGTGCAGACTTATCATATCAATGGTCACTCTTTTTGGGTTGCAGGGTGAGTTTGATTGTGAAGATTTTGGATCTTGTTCTTTATCATTTTGTGCTGTTTTTTGTGTGTGTTTTTTTTGGTCGACATGGCTAAGTGAATGAACTTGGGTTTGGAATAGGATGGATTTGGGAGTATGGAAGCCTGAGAGCAGGAAGGGGTACAACCTCAACGATGCCGTGTCGCGATACACAGTACAAGTGAGTATGACTATTCACATAGTTTACGAATAATTCGACATTTACCCATCACTAACTAGGGTTCTTGAAAGAGATTTTAGTACGTAGAATTATTGTTGATATAAACTCAGTAGTTCATCGTCATAAATTTTCTACTAGAGATTTGACAATTCAATCAATGAGCATGATTGAAAGTCTAGTTTCTTCTGAACATGATTAACATTATTGTTGTTGATCAATGATGTGGTTTGGTAGGTATACCCGAGGTCGTGGACAGCCATCTTCGTGGCACTGGACAATGTTGGGATGTGGAATGTGAGGTCGGAGTACTGGCAGAGACAGTACCTCGGGGAGCAGTTCTATCTCAGGGTCTTCACCACATCGACCTCGCTCAGGGACGAGTACCAAATGCCTGAGGACTCTATCCTCTGCGGCAGGGCCAAGAACATGAAGCCCTAAATTTCCAGAGACGTAATTCTTGAGATTTGGGAGAGATTTTATTTTCCATTTTATATCATTTAAAACTCTTGTATCTTGGGATTGTGCTTTCTCTGGTTTGTTTTTCTCCTATGTTCTTCTCTTTGGGTTGGATTGTCATCGTGATGATGATGACTAGAAAGTTGAATGGGTCATATCTTTTAATCCAAATTTGTTTTCTTCCACCAAAATTCATTGTTACAGTTTATCTAAGTAGGCGATTAGTGAGTGAATATGCCCTTTGTTGCCCTATGTAATGTTGGATATTGCTACAGAAGAAATTTGGGATACTTTTGATGGGTCGGTGGTAGTGATTAGGGGTGTTCAAATGGTTACCGTGGTAATAACCAAACCAATTAAGCCTAAATTTCAATAACCATGGAATAAAATATCTTAACCAAACCGTCCAAATTAACACGAAAACCAAATTAACCAAACCAAAGTTTAATTGGTTTGGTTAATCGGATAATCGGATTAACCAAATAACATAACATTACATGAAAACAAACATAAACTATCATTTTATATAAGCAATAATAATAAGACTAACCATCCATAATTATCATCATCATTCGATTCGAGTTAATACATCATTCGTCCTCTCTGCAACTAATATAGGTAGCTTACAACAAACCCCTAAACATAAATACATACCAATACCCCTCATCATGAAGTTAAAGCTCCCCTACAAAACATTTAAACTATACATAGTTTGAGGTGGTTGTCATGGTATTGTACGTAATCCTAAAGTCTAGTAGTCGGCCAAAATGTTTTGGTTTAACAAATATAAGCAGGCCCATTTAATTTTTGATCCATAATGTTTTGGTTTGTTGTGCACATGGAAATAAAATAGGGAATCACAAAAGTTTGATTTGGTTGGTTGCATGGAAGTATAAATAATTTTGTATATTAGGTGTATCATTAATTGGTTTCATTGGTTAGCAGTGTTGAAACCAAACTAAACCAGCTAGACCAAATAAGCTAGATTGTTTAACCAAACCAAACCAATTATCCAAATTAACCAAACCAAATTAACCGAATACTACCGGTTAATATGGTTACCACGGTAACCAATCCGTTTGAACACCCCTAGTAGTGATGGCAATTTCAACCCGGCCCGCGGGTATTACCTGACCTGACCAGTGATGGGGCGGGTATTATCCGACCCGCAGTAGCGTGGGGCGGGGCATGTGTATCTACTTCCGACCCGTCATGCCCCGCCCCGCCTCGTTATAGACTCATTTTATCTCAATTTCTTACAATATCTATACATATTTTTCCTATTTTGACTTTTCTTCAACTAGTTAGAGTCGATCTTTCAACTTGTTAGGCTCAGTTATCCATTCTATTACTAGGCGCAAGGCAAAGGCTCAACGCCCGCCTTACGCCTAGCGCTTTTTTGAACCTTCTCTACAGTGAGCATAATTTTGTCTAAATTTTACATAAAAATAAAAAATATTTATAAATTAAAGTAAAAAGAAAAAATGGAAATAATTGAGGGTTTGGAGGTTGACATAAAATTGCCTGCGGCAGAAGCCTTGGGAATTTAAGGTTCTCAATTTTTAATTTTTGTTTCAATGATAATAATTTTTTAGAAATTATGTGGAATTTAGGATTTTTTTTAAGTTTGATGTGGCGGGCTGACCATTAGTGAACGGTCTCTACCGTCAAAACTAACGGTCAACTCTTGGATTTGGTCAAATTAGTAAAATGTAAGATTAGTTCGGGCCACAATGTTAAATACCAAATGAATTGATCAGTATGTTAAGATATATAAAAAAGGCCAGGCCAAATAAATATATTAACCCAATAAATAATCATCTATTCATTTTCTCTACTATGTGGCCTATAACCAACTTATTAATGTATGGCTTTTCAGGTATACCCCTCCACAAATTATACGGTGCTTTTGAGCTGCTGAATTGGCAAAAATCATATATACACATTCAGTGGCCTTCCAATAATCAAATCAAGGGGTGCGTTTGAGTTGCTGACTGTATAAATGTGTATGGGAGTTGGAATGTTAGGAGGATCAGCATCAATTTTTTGGTGTCTGTTTCTCTTAGCGGGCCTAATTATCCGGCCCAAGAACTGGCAAGATGAAGTTCTGATATAGTTATATATTTAGTTAAAAATACCCCTCCGCAAAATAGGGGCTGCTTCTCGGTGGCTGAGGTGGCAAAACTCTGATATGCACTCCTCTCTCTATATATGTTTTTTATCAATATTTTTCATTCTTAAAGTGTTATCCCTACATTTCATTGTAAAAGGTAAAATTTACTAGTATTTTTTTCGAACAACATGTAAGAGTGGGTCGACCCGTCCCGCCTCATACCTGCTCGGGTTTTACCCGTCCCGACCCGTAGTAGCATGGAGCTGGGCATGAGAATTGAGATACCAGCCCCACCCCATTGTCATCACTAGGAGCTCTGGGATGATGATCCATGAAGCCACGTATACACTAATCTGAGATGGGCTCAAACTCGTTATCCATTTCATCTAAGTCCAGTCCAAGTGTACTCCAGGCCCAAAACACATTGTTGAAATCAGTGTAGATTGTGTTTGATTATTAAATATCAAAATTTTCTTTTTCAAGAAAACAACCACATGCATTTGCCAATTATGTCCAATCCAAGTGAATTATTAAACTATAGATAATTCAAGATGGGATTCCCAGGTGAAGATCAAATCTTGCCCTTGATCTGTGGGGAAACCCCCACATTATTTAAAGAAGAAAAGCCCTCTATGAGAGACTTTAATCTAACATGTGAAAATTGAAATTATCCTTTCCCAAACACATCCTAGGATTTCTTTATAAATCCAATGTAGTAGATAGTATCATATTGAAATTAGCCTTTCCCAAACACATCCTAGGATTTCTTTATAAATCCAATGTAGTAGATCGTATTCACTATGAAGTTATTTAGTATCGCAGTTATTATCGTTTGATGTTCTGATTACACTATTCGATTTCACACACTTTTTGGCGGAATCTACGTGCTAACTAATCATTTGCCTAGTGTATTACCTTTTTTTAGTAGAATCCCTAGTATTTTGTATGGGAGACAAAGACGCTACGAAATTATAACGTAGATGTAATAGAAAAAGGTGTTAGTGTTGTGGTATATGATCCATGATTGAACTTCTCCCAACATCTTAGTTCTTGGGATCAACTGGGTTTTGACATGGTACAAAGCTTTCTGTAACTGAGAGGTCGAATCTATGTAACAAAAAATCGACCGAAAGGACTTATGTTCGATTCCCAGTAACCCTATTTGATAAGCACACACCTGTACAAACTCCAACTAAAAATCTTTTGACGTAGCAATCTCTGTAACAAAAAATCAGGAAAAAGGTCAAAAGCTGCCTCCATCTACTTTGTCATCTTCTTCAGTCTTCACTTTCAAAGTCTCAAAGAAGAAGAAAAAAACGTTTCTCCATCTTCAGAGATTTCCTTTACCGCCCATGTCTCTCTCTCTCTCCCTCTTACCACTGCAGTGGGCCCTCCTCCGCCATTGTCCTTCTCCTCCCGGAAGGTTCAGCAAACAAAAGAGAGAAAAAGCTTAACTCATCCATTTTTTAATGGGGCTGGCAAACAGTTGGATTCAACTCTCTCTGCTGCTTTCTTCCGCCATTGGTATTTAATGGCTGCCCCTGCAATCGTTTCATGTGTTTGTCCTGTCGCCCTTGCTGGGTTCGTTCACATGTCCTAAGATCTGCAGTCTCTCACTGCCTGGATCCATTATTTTAGTATACTTACTCTGATTTGCCGCCCCGGGTCGGGGGCTTTATTATCAAACACTTCAAAAGCTCGTTTCTTTCCTACTCGAACTCGCCCAAGTTCGCAAATGGGGAAGCTCTTCTGCTCTTCCTGCTGCCTTCTCTTCTTCTTATTGCTCTGCTTCGAACTGGGTTTGGCGGGGAACGTGACGTACGATGCCCGCTCTCTCATTGTCGACGGCCAGCGGAAGCTTCTCATCTCTGCTTCCATTCATTACCCGCGCAGTGTTCCCGCGGTACTTTTCCCCTCTTTTTCGCGCGCGACCCGTTTGATGAAATGCCTGAAAGAAGGTTTCTTTATGTCTTTTTTGTGTGTGTGTGTGTGTTTGAGGTTCTTGTTCTGAGTAATGTGGTGTCGTGTCGTGTGGCAGATGTGGCCGGGGCTAGTGCAGACGGCGAAGGAAGGAGGAGTGGATGTGATTGAGACGTATGTTTTCTGGAATGGCCATGAGATTGCTCCTTCAGTTGTGAGTAGAGTGAAAATGAAATGAAGCTACCTTCCTTCGTTCGTAATTGTTATCATCGACCTGGTGGAGATTTGCTCTGTTTTGGCTCTGTTGACGGTTTTCTTGTTTTGGGTAATGTAGTACAATTTTGAAGGAAGATTTGACCTGGTCAAATTTGTGAAGACTGTTCAGCAGGCTGGAATGTACTGTATTCTTCGTATCGGCCCTTTCGTTGCAGCTGAATGGAATTATGGGTATGCTTATCTATCACCAATGAACCTTTCCAATTACAGGAATGAATCTTCCTTGGTTTTCGTTTCTGTTTCACATGAATAATATGGACCCTTCTCTCCAATTTTAAATTGTGTAGAGGTGTGCCTGTTTGGTTGCACTACATACCTGGAACTGTCTTCAGAACAGATAATGAGAACTTCAAGGTATTGGAAATGACTCACTTGGATGCCTAATTTACTGGCAGGTCAGTTGTATCTTAAGTCTGGATGGTAAAGTGATAGTCTTTTGATGATCTGCTTTACTTGCTTGGGTTGCAGTTTTATATGCAGAGATTCATGACCTACATTGTGGATCTCATGAAGAAAGAGAAGCTTTTTGCTTCTCAGGGAGGTCCTATCATCTTGTCTCAGGCAAGTATATGCATGACTATCAATCTACCATCCAAGACGAGTAATTTTTCGTCATCCACGGTTGTTCATGACCGGACTTTGGTTATTTCCAATTGTAGGTGGAAAATGAATATGGATATTATGAGCAAGGCTATGGAGAAGGTGGGAAGAGATATGCCCAGTGGGCAGCTAAAATGGCTGTTGCTCAAAATACTGGCGTTCCCTGGATAATGTGCCAGCAGTATGATGCTCCTGACCCTGTGGTGAGAGGCTTTGGCATCCTAACTCCTAAGTATGTTTCAGATGTTCTGTAACTAGCTGAAACTTACAGTTATCATGTGAGTGCTGGGATTGTTATTCCATGAGATGCAGTAACTGGTTTCATTTTGGCTAATATTTGCAAGCATGTACTGCTTCTTCATTTTCTCTTTATTTTACTTGGTTTTTATCATGCAGATTGATACCTGTAATGGGTTTTACTGCGATGCATTCAAACCTACTGCTCCACACAGGCCGAAGATTTGGACCGAGAATTGGCCTGGATGGTAATTACTGATCCTCTTTTGTTTACCCATGTTATCAGTTAGCACCTGAGAGTTAATGTAAGAGTCATGAATTGGCCATTAGTTTCAAAAGTTTATCATGGCTCCTAATTATATTCCATATGTTCATTGCTTATAATGCCGTTACTACTTCCAGGTTTCAGTTATTTGGGGCCCCTAATCCTCACAGGCCAGCTGAAGATGTTTCTTTCGCTGTTGCTCGATTCTTCCAGAAAGGTGGCACTGTGAATAATTACTACATGGTAACTTCTTCTCAATCTTTCGACCTAGCTGTATATGATGATGTAGCTCAGTTGTTTAAACCAGTTAGTTTATGATTTTCAGTACCATGGAGGAACAAATTTTGGTCGCACTGCTGGTGGACCATTTATTACCACCAGCTATGATTATGAAGCCCCAATCGACGAGTATGGTGAGTGACCAATATGTTAAGTTTTCTCTTTGCATTTGTAGTTATGCAAACTGAGTACACATACCTAATGCCACCTATAGTCTAATACAAGCATCATGCCGGTGTTCTTGTGTTTGATAAGGTTTACCTAATCTTCCGAAATGGGGACACCTTAAAGAACTCCACAGAGCTATAAAACTATGTGAGAACTTGTTGCTAACCAGCAACCCGGTCAACATCTCCCTAGGCCCTTCTCAAGAGGTAACTTCTGCATCTTAGCCTGCAGAAATGTTGAATATTTTATGCTTTTTACTCTTCGTGCAATTTGGGCGACGTCCTGAACCATTTCCTATTTCAGGCTGATGTTTATGCTGATGCATCGGGGGGTTGTGCTGCCTTTCTAGCTAACACAGATGATAAAAATGACGTGACTGTCACATTCAGGAATGCATCATACCACTTACCGGCCTGGTCAGTCAGCATTCTTCCTGACTGCAAGACAGAAGTATACAATTCTGCAAAGGTACATCATCATGATATGCAACTGCATCGTGCATCACAGAGAAGCAACTCTTGAAACTTCCACACATAATTCATCTTGTTAAAAAAAAATATATAACAGGTAACATCCCAGGCCTCTGTGGTTGAAATGGTTCCAGAGGACTTGAAGCCCTCAGTACAGTCTTCAAAGGACTCCAAAACCCTTAACTGGGAAGTGTTTGTGGAGAAAGCCGGTATTTGGGCAGAAGCTGACCTTGTTAAAAGCAGCTTGGAGGATCACGTCAACATTACAAAAGATGCCAGTGACTACCTCTGGTACACAACAAGGTTGGTTCTTACACTCAAAAAGAGTCAGGCAGTGCTATTTTCTTATTTTGAAAATAATATAAACCCACTGGCCTACAACTTATAATTATTATATTTGTTGACAGCATTACTGTCAGTGAAGATGAAAAGTTCTTAAAGCAAGGACGGTCTCCAGTTCTAATGATTGACTCAAAGGGTCATGCTGTCCATGTCTTTGTCAATGGGCAACTTCAAGGTTTTTATTTCTTTTGGTTTCTTCAGAAGCAAGTCCACTCTTGATTCTGACCTCCTCGACTGAGAATAACTTTGATATGATATTCAGGTAGCGCATCTGGCAATGGCACAGTTTTCCCTTTCAAGTATAAGAAACCTATAGCTCTCAAGGCAGGGAAGAACGAAATTTCTCTGCTGGGAATTACTGTTGGCTTACCGGTAAGAGACTCTTGCATTATTGTTTTTGACAACATTGTTGCTCTGTATTCTCTATTCAACATTGCTATTTTCCTTCTGTTGTTAGACTGCTGGTCCTCGATACGAATGGATCCCAGCTGGACTTACAAGCGTTGTGATCAAGGGGCTTAACAATGGACCAGTAGACTTGTCAAAGAACACTTGGACTTATAAGGTACTTTCTCCTCTTGAGGAAAGCTTCTACTTTGAGTTATACGGAGGAGTGTTAAATTCTTTTACCTCTTCTGGCAGATTGGTCTTGAAGGAGAAAAGCTTGCTATATATACACCAGGTGGTATGAATCGCGTAAATTGGGTTGCAACTCCAAAAGTGCCTAAAATGCAGCCTTTGACTTGGTACAAGGTAATCATCTAGTTGAGTTAAATTGCTTTTTCTCCATGAAATGAACATAATACAGTAAAACCCATTTTTTCCACCTATGAAAAACTTAAAATATTCGACAGACCATCGTGGATCCACCAACTGGAGATGAGCCTGTAGGACTAGACATGCTGTACATGGGGAAAGGTCTTGCTTGGTTGAATGGAGAAGAAATAGGCAGATACTGGCCGAGGAAAAGCCCTAAAAATGGCAAATGTGTTGAACAATGTGATTACAGGGGCAAGTTCATGCCGGATAAGTGTCTCACCGGATGCGGGAAACCCACACAACGATGGTAAAAAAAACTAACCAAACAGCAGTTTCCATACATTTTCTTTGAATGTACCAACTCTTTAGGCTTCTGACTTAACAAAACCTGCTGTTTCTTGGGTGATAAGGTACCACGTCCCTCGGTCATGGTTCAAGCCGTCTGGCAACACTCTGGTGATCTTTGAAGAGCGAGGAGGTGAGCCCACAAAGATCAAGTTTTCGAAACGAAGAACCTCTGCAGTATGTGCCTCCACCAGTGAGGATTACCCCTCTGCCACCCTCCATCTCAAGTGCCCAGAAGACACCCACATCTCGAAGGTGAAATTCGCCAGCTATGGAACTCCGAGGGGAGCCTGTGGATCGTACCAGATGGGAGACTGCCATGATCCCAACTCCGTTTCAGCTGTCGAAAAGGTGAGCAAGCAAGCAGAACATGACCATAATCTCGTTTGGAATGTTAGTTTATGGTGATATAAAAGAAAGTCTTTTCTTTTTTGCCCCATTTTCATTGCAGGAATGTGCGAAGAGAAACGAGTGCAAGTTCCAAGTATCTGCACAAAAGTTCAGCAGCAAAGGGAATTGCTCAGCTGGGAGAATGAAGCTTGCTGTGGAGGTAATCTGCAGCAGCTGATCATGAAGCTGAGAATTTTCAACGGTTTAGTGTAGTGGTGATGATGAAGCTAGGAAGTGGAGGAATGGAGATGAATGAAAGCCTACGTTTTATTTTTCACTACGAGAAGCTGTAAGGCTACCCTGAGGTAAAGCCAGGAATTCACAAGTTTTGTTTGTTAGGGGAAAAAGAAAAGAGCAGGAGAGCAATGTAGGAGGAAGAAACCATTGATTTTTACCCCCAAATGTTTGTTATCATCCACCAACAGCAACATGCCGATGGAATACTGGCAAAAAGCACGAATTGCCTCGCAAAATCTAAAAAATAGAGGTAAAACGTGGAATTTATGATGGGTAATAAGTTAGAATATAAGAAAAATTCAAGTTCTTATTCAAAATATAAATAATGAGCAAACGAGGGCTAGCCTAGTTGGTGAGTGCGCACACTTTGCATTGTAAGGTTGTGTATTTGATTTCTTAGTGATGACACTTCCTCTTTCCCTCTAGTAGTACTATCTTGTAATAGGTTATTATAAATAAAAATAATTTGTTATTTTTCTATTAAAGTGATGTAGCTCACAATATATCTAGGAAAACATATTCCAAAGATGTCATTTTGAAGTATAGATTCAATATCGGGTGGGTGTGGTTCACATAGTTATGCATACAAAAAGAAAATATGATAAATTGTGCTTCGATAGTCATTTGGTTGCCCTTTCATTTTTCGGTTTGTACGAGTGAAACGTGTTAAACCATTTCTCAGTCAATTTCATTCCTTAGAATAATAGATGAAGAGTGACACAAGAGTGAAATAGATTTATTATTTTCTCGAGAAGATGAAACGAGGGATGGGAGATCGTCCTAATCCTACCCACTAAAGAGAGAACTTGATTCGCTGATTGGTTGGTGCTACCTAGTCGTTGATTCGAAGTCTTCCAAGTTGTTCTATAACTACATTGAAACCAATTTGTTTTTCTCCGAGTTTAGTTGGGTTTGGAGCCGCAAAGATTATTATATTTCTATAACGAAATTTAAGATGATATTGCATGTCAGATCGATATCTTTACATGTGACTGCACTATTCCTCCTATTTTTTGGGAACGATCACATGATATCAATCGATCACGTAGATCTCTATTATTATTATTATGATTTGGATTTATCTGTGTTCTAATCCATGTTCATCTTAATCATTGTACGCTTTTTGCAATTGATGATAAAAACGACAAAAAATGTGAATCACAATCCGCCTCACAATCGACAAGAATAATAATTATACAATGATTGTAAATGTGCATACCACATTAACTCTATTGTCGTTATATATTTGATTTTGGATCGATCTGTACTATAATTTCATGCTCATCTTGATCATCATTCGTCTTCCGCATTTGATAATAAAATGATAAAAATGCGTATCACAATTACCCGGCGAGCGATAAGAATGATAACTATACAATGATTGTAAATGTACATACCACATTGGCTGTTGGCACATTCACTATGGTATGAAACTTTAAGTTGACATTTCAGAGTGGGTAGATTCTGTTCCAACCTACAAATTAAGTCATAAATGAAATGTAAGGCGTTTTCTTGTCAGTTTGTTTCCATAGCTTTTTTGCATGAAACTACACTGCCATTTGTAAGAAATAATTATGACCAGATTCTCACCATGCACTATTTTTAGTCATTCACATTTATGAACAGTAAATTTTCTGATCCAAGTCATGAAAGAAGTAATTACTTTGTTACCTTAAAAGCGTTTGTCGATTTTCCTATATAAAGCACTACGAAATAAAGTATTTTCTCCATCCATTTTCTTCCCCATAGGTGCACTTCTTCTTTACATCCTTCTCCAAAAGCTTAACCATTCCTTCCCAAACGAAATCCTTTGATATGGCTTTCTTCGGTGGATCCAACTCGATATCATTCAATTCAACTCCCGAAAGTATCGCCCCGAACCAAGATTCGATCGATTCTTGTACCAATGACCCACTCCTTACCCTCGGACTCGCTTGTTCGAGCACTCCTACAACAATTCCGCTCGGCGAGAGAGAGCATTCGTGCACATTTATACCAGGTCAGTTCGGTGTCAACAAACGTGTCACAAAAGTCAAGAAAACGTATGTCACCGCATACAGACCCGGACCACACAATCACATGATTGCGCCGCCCGATATTCTCAACCAAAACTCTCTTCCTGAAGGTTTTGTCGTCACCAAAAAAATCGAGAAAACTGTCGAGTATTTCTTCCCGTCCCCTCCGATTTCAACTCACCACCATTTGCATTTCACCAATGCATCTCATCACCCTCAAACCTCTTCAACCCATGATTACAATTCTCCTCCTCCTCATCATCATGTCCAACCCCATCAACCTAACTACCCAAAAACTTCCATCAACACCACCCCCAACACCATGAACCATCCCTTCACATCATCCAAACATTTTGTGCCTCACACCGAAACCCACCCAACTCATCCCAACCAGTCCAAACCACACGGGAAGGACAGTGTTGTCATTCTCGACGTTGACGATGAATTCGTTCCTCTCATTTCAGACGACGACGATGTTAACTACTTCGATTCTGACGACGATTTCGCAGATTACATGGGCGAAAACGAGCACTCGATCGACGACGACGACGAGATGATACACCGATCTAACCCGGGGAGAACTCACAGTCTCCCTCACCGGAAACACGGGCCGTATGGATGCCCGAGGTGTAACGAAGTGCTCCCAACTCCACAAGCATTCGCTGCTCACGCCCGTGGTCATTACAAGAACGAGAGCAAAGAAGAGAGGGATGAGAGACTTGCTGCGAGGAAGAGGAGGAGCGGGTTTGCCTTCGTGGGCTCATCGTCGTCGTCTGGCGATGGACCGACGACGACGACGACGATGTTGCCTGCTGGAAAGTACATGGCGTGGAATGACTATGATCCTCATATTCCGCCGGTTATAAGGAACATAACGGGGAAAGAATGGAGGGAGATTCAGAGCATGGAGGGAGCTAGTTCGAGCCAGGCAGATGATCTTGATGAGCCGTAGAAGGGCAGAGGAGGAGGCAGAGGAGGTTGAATGAAAGGCATGTGTGTTTGTGTGGTTGAGTCAAAGATGAGAATAAATGTTGTTTGTTGCTTCTCGTTCCAAAGTTATGTGCTTTTGTAAGATCCATGTGTGTTGTTGTTTATGTACTTTTTTTTGTTTTTGTTTTTGTTTCAATGTAGTGTGGTAAATGGTAAATGGTAATGAATGATCTCTGGCCTCATTTCGAACGTTGTCTTTGATGAGATGGTGGTTAGAGGGTGGAAAGCATTCGATTCGGTCAGAACCGGGTCGAACTGAGACAAGACTGGATCAAAAGTAAAGAAAAAATGAGAGTAAAAGTTTGACTAGTAGCATGTTTTGTTCGTTTTGTTCAATTCTGTTCAATTCAAATTTAATTTCGGTCTACTTTTTCTCTATAAGTAAAATTCATAGGACTGATTTATCACTCATATTTGAGAGGATGTGAATGAAACGAAAAAGGATCCACGGCTAGTATTAAAGGAGGAAATTATGCAAATACACAAATTATACATCGGATTCGTTAGTCCTACATACGAATGTACATTGGATGTAGACATATATGGTAGTATATTATCAATTTTTTCCACATGTATAGTAATATCAATTAAAGGAATTGAACAAAATCTTACTCCATGAATTGATAGGATATAGTTTCCCAACTTAATTTTTGGGTCTATCAAATTCAACCCTTTATTTTGGACAATAACTAATCACAATACCATAACTTAATAATAAAAAATACACTGTACAACTATTAAGAAACATGTGCCACCTTATCATCTTAGTTTATAAGTAGAGAGCCTAAATATCAAATCATTCTCATCATACACTAGTAGATTCAAATCTTCTCTCTCGGATCTCATCATCTTCACCACGTGCTCTAAGGAAATACTAACAAGGATATCGAAATGGAGAAGACATCCATCAAACTCGTCTCGGTATTGGTTGCAGTACTCTTCCTCGTTGCTCAATGTGCGTTACAATGAGTTCGTCTCGAATTTTGATCTTATGCTTTTTTTGCTTTACTCTCTAACAGTTATTTCTCGTTTCTTTCATATAACACGAATCGGAAAACTATATTGCAGATGGGGGAGTGGAGGCCAGATCGACATTAACTCCATGCGAACAAGACGGGGATTGCGCAGCTGTTTGCCCAACTATCTGCACGGTTCATGAAACATGTGAATGTTACAACAAGATATGTAGATGTCTTGTGGATAAAGTCATTAATCCGGTTGTCATGGGGATAAAAAATCAATAACCGGTTATATGAGGAGGTTTTTTGTGAGTGTGTTTGATGTTGATGAAACCTTTTAGAAATTGAGGATGGTTGATTTCAATTTCGGCGAATTTATATGAATAAAGCAATTTTATTTCATAGGTGAAACAAAAAATAAGAATACACAACCCTTAAGTATGCACTCTACCACATACCACTTGGGGCAAGTAGCAACTAGTTATTAGTTTGGGTACCTCAATAATAATGACCCAAAGTTGAGGCACCAAAATGAAACTTATTAATCCTTCATTTTGATGAATAAAATCGTGAAAAGGGCGTGTCGATGATACACTCTTTTTTTTTTGTAAGAATTGATAATACACTCTTAATTTTAGGGTAATGGATATACTTAACATAAAACTAGATATTATCACAATTTAATTTTAATCACTGAGATTAATCTAATATGATATTTTAACCTAACTACACAATTTGTTCATGCATTTTATTGTTGGACAATGGACGCTTATATAATGCTTTAGCATTTATTCAGAAAAATATTATGAGTCTTGGAGATTTCAAAGTCATTATAATTTTATTTAGTATCGAACACCCACATATCATTACAATAGATCGTATCAGAACCAAAATCAAGAGAGTAACCTAGGTTAGCAAAAAAATGCAGCTTGATCATAAGATTATTTGTCCTTTAAATTGGTGTTTATAATTGAAATTAGATGATTTCTGAAGTTGTATAGAACAAGTTTTCGAATTATTGAAACTACGAGAGTAGGGCTATAATCCATCTAGTGCATAAAGCATTGCATTATTGGAAGAACGATACAAAATCATCGAAAATTTTATCACGTATCATTGATTCTGTCATTCAGACTATCTCACAAAAAAAATCATAAGAATTCTAATACATACTTATAAGTCCCCACCACCAAAACTCGGAAAGCAACTCAAATTCAAATTCAATTTGTGGTAAACATATCTAGGAAGGAGGTGGCACTTGGAAGGTTTCAAGAAAGGAAAACAAGAGATGAGAGCTAAAAAAAATAAAATAGAAAATAGAGTTTTGTTTTGGTTTCTAATTTTGGGTTTGTGCTTTCCCGAACCTCCTCTTTTGATCTTGAAATAACGAATCGGCTAATCACTGATACCACTCGATTTCTTACAATTCACTGCTTAGACATTGAGATTTGTACAAGTTGCTATTGAAAGAAGAAAAAACACACACCCTTGTAGGTACATAAAAGGTATGAATATATCATTTTTATAGATAATATCAATAAGATAAAGTCAGATACAAAGTATCTAACTTGTTGTATTACTATCAAATTTTTTCTCTCCAACTGTATAATAGTAATAACAACAATAATAGAAATTGCAAATCAAGATATTCAATGAATTAATAGATACGCATACGCTTAAGATTTGAGAATTTGGATTTACGTACCATATTCACCCCTTCTATTATGGGAGAATCATTAATCACGATACTATAACTAATAGAAAACAATACCCATACAACTATCAACAAACATTTCACCTTATCATCTCGTCGCTATAAATACCTCTCAACATAGCTTCGACGTGAAATCATTCCCACATCCTAGTAGATCGAAATCTCCCATCACCCGATCTCATCATAATCATCATCTCAAGTTGCTCTAAGAACTTCCGCTACGTTAACAAAAAAAAAATGGACAAGACATCCATCAAACTCGTCTCTTTCTTGCTCGTCCTCAGCTTCCTAGTCGCTCAATGTAACTAGCTTCTTCTTCTTCTTCTTAATCTCTTCTCGTTTCGTTTCGATCATATTTTAGCGTAAATAAGACATGTAGTTTGCGAATTATCGAGATCGATTATTTTTTTGCAGATGGCGGAGTTGATGCGAGGGCGTCCACGTTGTCTCAATGCAAGAAGACAAGGGATTGTGGTAGCATCTGCGCAGCTATCTGCAGCCCTGGAACTACGTGTGCATGTGTCGACAACTTCTGTAGCTGCAATCAGGCCGCCGCCAGTGTCGCCGGCGGTCGCCGTCAGACCAGCTCTATCACCGGAGCCGAGCTAATTAATTAATAATTAAGTTCAAGGAAAGATTGTACTTGGATGGTGAATTTGGGGATGATGTCGATTTCACTAGTTTGTGGTTCTAAAATGGTATTTTTTGTTTTTTTTGTTTAAGAGTTATTGCCAAAATAAAATTTGTTATTTTGGTTTGAATACCATAATAAATAAAAATGGTTATGACAACGAATCCTGATGGGTATTCCCATTATACAGACCATAAGCAACTTATGGGGATGGAGGGAAAGAGTGGTGAGTATGTATTAGTTTGAGGACTCCAATTAGTAAAAATAAAAATTTGAGGGCTGCAAAAGTTATTTCTAACCACACAGTTACAGCCTGTTTGGATAGACAAAAAACTCAGGAATTAGAATTCCATTTTCAATTCCAGTTCCATATTTTATGTTTGGAAGGATAAGAAGGTTGAGAAATGAATTCCATTTGGGCTAAGTTTTGGAAATTACAATTCCTATCAAAAGTGATAGGAATTGTGTTTATGAAGACGGAATTAGTGGGTCCCATAACTATTTATTATTATTTTATTAACCAACCATCACCCTACTCTCTTTCTCTATCATTCATATTTCATTTTCCAAGATAAAATAAATATATTCTATTATTAATTATTGTTAAAAGTGCAATTCATTTCTTTAGTTGAAGGAATTATACCAAACACTAAAATTGCAAATGGAATTCTATAAAAATAGGAATTGGAAATAGAATTCAATTTCCATTTTTTCTTGAATTGTATCCAAACAGGCTGTTAGTGCAATGCAGAATAACGTTTTACACTCAATAAATTAAAAAAAAAAAAAATAACACCCCTTCCTTGCTAACGGAAACCCAATGGGTAACAGTTTCATATGCGGGTTTGGACTTTCTAGTTGGGCCCAATATCCTTAACAGGCTCTTTTCCAGTGGGCCTGGTTAACACCTTAAAAGAAAGATCTATTTGACGGCCAGCGACGCAATCGGTAAAGAATTCCCCGTACACGCGAAATAAAAACCTACGCAGCCGCTCTTTTAAGTTTTAACTTTTAAGCCCGATCACGATCACGATCACGATCAGTTGCCGGGTTCTTCAATTTCCCGCCGCCCCCGCCACCGCCACCACTACGGCGGCACTACCTCCAGCGTCTCTAGCTACCCCGCATTGTTTGCTTACCGCCTCCTCCCCGTCGCCGATACAAGCTTGAAGGTGTCAATCCTGCTCTCTTACTTTAACTAATTCCGTTTCACGAATTTGGGCTCTGTACGCTTTCATGTCGGATTTCCCTTTTCCCAGTCCCGGTATTTCAATATCTCCGACGAAAGATTCAAGTTTTCCGAGTCTTAATGAAATCCCTCAATTGGGTTTTATCGATGATACGGTAGAGAGGGTTTTGGTCGGCCGAGAAACAATTTTTCGTTTTGTTGCAACTTCTGCGATTTAGGGGTTTATGCAGAATTAAGCGTTGTGGGTGTGTACTTGTTTCCGTTGTGTGTTTGACCAGGGAATTGTCCATCATGGTGGAAGATCAAGATGCAGGGATGTTCAATGTCAAACAGACAATCGGCACGGTGCTCTGCTGCAGATGCGGCATCAAAATGCAGCCGAACGCGGCCAACATGTGCGTGAGTTGCCTGCGATCGGAGGTGGATATCACCGAGGGTTTACAGAAGCATGTAGTTATCTCCCACTGTCCAAACTGCGACCGCTACCTGCAGCCACCCAAGAACTGGCTCAAAGCCCAGTGGGAGTCAAAGGAGCTCCTCACGTTCTGCGTCAAGCGGATGAAGAATCTCAACAAGGTGACATTGATCAACGCCGAGTTCGTGTGGACCGAGCCACACTCCAAACGGATCAAGGTCCGCCTGACAATCCAGAAGGAGTGCCTCGAGAAAGCTTACGTTGTTGAGTACGTCCAGCAGGACCATTTGTGCGAGTCTTGCTCGAGAGTCGCGGCCAATCCGGACCAGTGGGTTGCATCAGTGCAGCTCCGCCAGCATGTTTCTCATCGCAGGACCTTCTTCTACCTCGAGCAGCTGATACTGAAGCACGATGCTGCTTCCAAGGCTATCAAGATCAAGCAGATGCATCAGGGCATCGACTTTTTCTTTGGGAACCGTAGTCATGCTGTGAAATTCATGGAATTTCTAAGGAGCGTTGTCCCGACCAAGAGTCGTGATGATAAGCAGCTGGTTTCTCACGATGTCAAGAGCAGTAATTACAACTACAAGTACACTTTCTCGGTCCAGATCAGCCCGGTTTGTCGCGAGGATTTGATTTGCTTGCCTCGGAGGCTTTCTTCCAGCTTGGGCAACATTGGGCCTCTTGTTGTCTGCACCAAGGTGACCAATAGCATTGCGCTGCTCGATCCTTTCACATTGAGACACTGCCATCTGGACTCTGATCAGTATTGGAGGCATGGTTTCAAGTCCTTGATGATCAGTAGGCAGCTAGTGGAGTACATTGTGCTGAATATTGAAATCACCTCGCCACCAATGGAGGCGAAAATCGGTGGTGCCAGGTACCTATTGGCCGATGCAGAGGTGGCTCGATTGTCTGATTTAGGCCGCAACAACAACATCTTCTCCGTGAAGACTCATCTGGGACATCTCCTGAACACGGGCGATCATGCCCTTGGTTATGACCTCTGTGCAGCGAATAGCAACAATAGCGAGCTGGAGAAGTACAAGAGTAGTCTCGAGGTGCCGGAGGTGGTCCTGATAAAGAAGAGCTACGAAGAGGCGTGGCAGAGGAAACGAGGGAAGCCACGGAAGTACAAGCTCAAGCACCTGGAGATGGAAGTTGAAGACAGAGCCAGGGTCGACGAAGAGAAGGAGAGGTCGGATTACGAGCAGTTCCAGAGGGATATCGAGGAGAATCCCGAGCTGCGGTTCAATCTGTCTCTGTACCGTAACAAGGAGTACCAGGAGGAGTCAGAGGCCGGCTCAATGGCTGATGATGCTGCTGGCTGCAGCTCCGTTGGAGGAGCTGCTTGCTGACCTTGTGTTGCTTGATGAGAGGTGATGAGGAGGACGATGATTTTATTTTTTGTATGAAGTATCCGAAAACCGTTTATAGAAACCATTTATAAAAACCGACCTCTTTTGTTCGTAATGTTGTGTCCGCTCATTTGGGTTTTGGTTTATTAACCATTATTTCTTAGCGATCTTCGATGTTAGTCCAAGTAAAACCGATCATGAACTTATCGGCTTTTAACCAAAGCTCTATCTAGATGTTGTTCAACGAATGCCCACTTGTTCCTAACCGGTCTCACGCCCGGCTGAAGACCAACAACAATAGAGTTAAGCCGACAACCGGAGAACGAACATCGTTGAATGTGGTTCTTGTAGTAAGAGTTTTTTCGCACATACTAATGCAAACAATTTGAGAGAATCCGACTATGAGATAACAACAGTAGAACCTAACAGATAAATCAAATAAAAATACATGGGTGAAGAAGTTTTGGGTTCATGTGATTACTCGATTGAAGCCAACCCTCCTTGTACGATCCATCATAGCTGCCTCGTAATTTTTCATAGTTGGGAATTGGAGTAGGCCAGAGCTGCGGGAAAACCATGGAACCCAAGTCTTTAGCGAAGAACTTGAGCACCCTCGTCCTCAAGTTCAGAGAGTAGATTCGATCCTCCGCATCGGCAGTAAACGAGAATTGCAGGAACACAATTACTGATTTCTCAGGATGTTGACCGACTACACTGAAGCGTTTGATTCCCCGTCGTAATGGCACCTGATACTCTGCCCTCCAGCCTTGCCCGCCATGCCTGCTGAAAACACCCAAGACATCTCCGGATCTCCGAAACATGTAGAGAGCATCCTGTGAGGCGCAAAAGGACAAAAATTCAGATTGATCAGGGTCTGAAACTTCAGGGGGAAGGGATTCCACTTCCACTTCCAGCGAGAAAGGACTCCACCCAATAACTTGGCCGCCTGCCCTGTTTCTCCAGTACAACTTCCCGTTGACCGAAGCCAGGCTCCGATGATCCGGTTTCAATAGGCCGAGGGAAACCGCCGTCCATTCCCCGGATTCGGAACAGAACACATCTAGCTTAGAAGAAGCTGATTCCGATTTATGCATCAGCACCACGCGGAATCGGCATTCAAAGTGATGAGTGAATGCTTCTTCGTCCCCTGAATCCAACCTCGCGGAATCGCACACTAGGCTCGCCGTCCATGGATGAATGTAATGGGGGGTCGTTACGGTTCTATACGGCGCCAGAGGAAGGGCGACCCACTGCTTTGTGAACGGATTGCAGACGATGAACGTTCGGGCCAGTTCGACGCTGTTGGGCGAGATCGGGAACCCTAGCAAGAGCAAGTCCTTGAAGCAATCGAGTTCGAAGAAGTAGAGCTGGAATGGGGCGGGCATCGGCAGAAAGCTGAAGATCCTTGTATGAAGGGCTGAGAGACTCCGAATGGGTGGTGGCGGCCTTTCCCCAGCGGCGGATCGGTGCTTGTTGTGAGCGACGAATCGGCGGGAGAAGTAGTTGTCGGAGATAATGGAGTTCCACCGCTTGCAGACGGTTTTGCACCGGCAAGCGGATCTACAGTACCGAAGGCGAATAAGAACTCCCAGCAGGAGATCATCTGTGAGTTTGCTGAAAGGGGAACAAGGGTTGGTCTTTGGTTCTTTTCCGGTCGCCATGGCTGCAGGAAGACGGCTAGGCTTGGGAACATAAGCCAGCCCTATTCGAACTCGACCAATTGTTACTTACTTACTTTAAATATGATATTGAATCGGAGTGAAAAACAAAATAGTTGGGTGAGAGAGAAACGGAACAAGAATTCGAAAAAAACAAGGAAACAGATTGGAGCCTTGGCAGTTTGCCAAATTCGTGTGTGGGCCGGGCCAGTAAAAGAATTTTGAGTGGGCTGGGACGACGGCCCTTATATGCCCTTTACCTCTATAATTCCACGTCCGTACCCATTCCTACAAGCAACCCAAATCCCCTCTCCCTCCCTGGGCCTCAGCCCAATACCAACCTTGGCCCAACCTACTTCTATTCCTCCTGCCCCTTTTACCCGTCATCTTCTTCAAGTATCCCTGCCTGAGAGCTCTTGCTTTCTTCTCTCCGACTTTGAACTTCACCACAGAGTCTGTTAAGATTCTGTTGAGAGTTTGTTCGTTTCCCGCCAAAGCCAACAGACATTCTTATGTAGTTGTGTATATAAGAAATAGAGATGCTATTCTTCCTACTTATCCTCCAAACTTCTCCACTTGCAGAGAGGGAAAGAGAGAGCGTGAGAGAAAGAAACAGACATCCTTCATTCCCCTTTCTTCCTTCTTCTTCAACTTCTTTCTCATTTCTTGGAGAGGAAGAGAGAGAGAGCTTCAGTTCCCCAAATTCTGTCTTTCTTGCTCGTTTCTCTTCCCTGCCTCATCTATGGCAGCGAATCAGAACTCTCCTACTGGAGAGGCTGCTGGGAACGACGAAGAAGAAGCCAATAAAGGATCCCAGAACGGAGAAGAAGGAGAAGACATGGAAGACCAGCCAGAAGAAGTCATGAGTACACCATTCGATAAGCAGTACTATACCGCCGAAGAATTGGCGTATAGATGGAATCTCCAGAAGGACATAAAATCTGGAGAACTTAGCAACACAGAGATGATTGTAACGATGAGGGAGGTGTATTTTGTTGATCTTAACGTGCCCGCCAGGAAATTCGTGGATGTAGTCAACGAAGTGGTTCAGAATATTGGAGGAGGCAACATGGCGCCCGCTCGATTCGAATTGCCTTTAGCATTTGCTTGCTTCGATCTCAAAGAGTGGCAGCGTTCGGATGATAGGCTACTGCAGGAGGGATTCGGAAATGAGTATGGCAAAGACGTTAAGGAGATGATGAAGCAGTCGGCAGAAGGATATACCGAGGAGATGATGATCCACTTTCTGAAGAAAGCTGATTGGGAGGGTTTAGCTGCAAGGAATTTTGGATTTGGGGCTCGTTCGTTTGTGCAATGCAAAGCAAGATTCTGGTTTCGGTCTTGGGCGCTGTCAGAGAAGGGTTCCAGGACGTTGCGGGAGAGGAGGGGCGCAACAGAAGAGAAGCGAATGATGCGCTTGATTAAATGGCAAGGAGGGACAAACACTGACTGGCCCTTGATCGCAAAGGAACTGGGCGGAAATCGGACTCCCGATTGGTGCTTTGAAAGATTCGTCAGGTTGAAGAAAGATGCAGCAGCCGAGGCAGAGGCGGAGTCAATGAAGAAGAAGAAGAGGAGTCCTTGAAGAATGTTTTGTCATTGTCAGTCATATTCTTTTTGGAACTAAGAATCGCCATTGATTGATATCGAGCTTCGCGGGCTCAGAGTTTGGTGATTGCTGCGGCGGCTATGGCGCCTTTAGTCATTTTTGGTTCCTCAACTATCTGTTAATGCTAGTCAATTTTCATTTGATTCTTTTCTTTTGGTGAGAAAATGTAAGAATACGAGTATGGACCCATTAAAGAAAGACAAGAATGCAATAGAATGGTAAATTTGTCTGTATCCTCTGTCTTGTTCCGTTTCGGTTCCTTTCTTTCTTTCTTTCTTTCTTTCTCCAACCCTTCCAATTCCGAGACCATCTTTCTCGCATCCGCCAAAGCGAGTTCTTGAAGGCATTAGGTAGAACCAGAGAGCTTGAGCAGCGTCGGCCGTCAACAATGGCAGTATACCTAGTCGAGGAAGAGATCGACGGCAGCAGTACGAACCCTAGAATCGCTTCGCTTATTTTTGTTTGTGTTCCTGTCAATTTGGTTTCTCTTCGAGGTGCTGCTGGTGCGAAATTGAGACAACGGCGTTCCGGTGTGATGCCACAGACGCGGGGTATGAGCTACTGACTTCTCTACTGTCTCTGTGTGATTACTGTCGTTTTCATCAAATTGTAGATATAGCAATTTGGGAAGCTCTCGAGTATATGGATCGTGATTCGTTGTAGCTGGCTGTGATTCTTTAGTTTGGTAATGGTTGTTTAGCAGACAGGAAGGAATCCCATGGGGCTGTGGGGGGTGCTGCACTCTACATTGCTGCTTACGCTCATGGTTGAAAACCTTCTTCTGAAGATATTGTAAGTTCTACCTGCAGCTTTTGTGGATTCATGCCTGTTAATGTAGGATTTGGAAAGCTCTCCAGTATTAGGCTATTGATGCGGTTGCTGATCTGTATTAGTGCAGTGCAGGTTTTCCCTTTTCATCTTATATTAGTCACTGAATACTTACTTGGCAGTGAAAGAATATCTCTTTCTCGTTACAGGCAAGTGGGCAACCAACCGGAGAAGCAAGGTTTTTGAGAGGGACGGAAGAACGCTTAGTTGCACTGCAGTACTATTAGTCCATCCAAGGCTCAACAATAATCCTAGATTGAAGAAATGTAAGGTGTGGCCTTATTTTTCTCTATCTATGTGATGTTTCCTGCGATTATACATGTTTACGAATTCAGGGATATTGGTTCAGTTGTTGTTGATGATTCAAGTATAAGGTTATTTTCAGGAAAGATTATGTCTGTCATGTGTCCGTTTTCAAAGAAATCTTCCTGGTTATGATCCAAGTAGTACATGTCACACGCCCTTTATGCTTTGTTATACTTCGTCCTTAGGTCCGGTGGCTTGAAACCTGGACTCGTTTTTATTATTATTCGTTTGTGGGCGGATGGGTTTCATTTGTTTCCGCACTGGACTTGCTGTCTACCGGTGCATTTCTCAATTCTTTAAGAAGTTACTGTCTTGCTTGTCAGAAATTTTCATTTTCAATGGCTACTCTACACACATGGTACAACCTTATAAGCCAGTTCATGAAACATCCTGTTAGGGTCATTTTTACCATATACTGGGTGATCTATATAATGAGTGGTTAAAGTTGATCTCCTCATGCTTTTAATTTTAATCATTATTCAAACATGGTTAAAAAAGCTGCAGCCTTTATGATTCACACTGTTAACTGATGGAGACCTGCCACTTCGATTGTATGTTTACTCTTCAATGCCACTTCTTAGGTTGGGTTGTGTTCAACACTGGACTAAACAACTGCTTTGTAGATGAGAAAGGCGAGAGGTTGCTGTAATTAAAAGCCATGAAAGGCTCCAGCTTTTAGTAACAGAAGAGGAGGGTTTAGGTTCGTTCCATTAGGATGCGATGAGTTTCTGCTTTCTTTTTGGATATGAATTCTGAAGCTGTACCTCATTTTCTCAGTCTCATGAACTTGGTTCCTCAAACGAAGAGACAATGCTATGCAAACTAATCAAGGGTACGAGAGGATGAAACTGGAAGATGAGGAGGGCATCATTCTTTGATTCTTCACTTGTTACTCACAATCAGGTAGTTAGGTCCAGGGTGAGGTGACTGATGTATATCCACCTGTTATCATCTGTCTAATGGTTATGTTGCTGTATGCAGGTGCTCGAAGCTACACGACTTTGTAGGGAGAAATTTAGGTATTGTGCTCAGTGATTACTCTGTATAAAGTACTTGATCAATGTGCATTGTGTGTTCATCATGTACAACGCCGCTGCTTCTACCATGTAATGAATTACAGCAATGAAGCCATATCTGATTGTGATAAATTGAATATTCATTCTGATTAAAGTCATGTTGTATCCATCCATTTAAGCGTTCTTTGATTTGGTGAGTGCCAACTAATAGCTGAAGAGTAAGTTGAAGGTCTATACACAAGTTCCATTATGTCAGGTAAAGATCCAACATTTACCCTTTTCCTGTTGAACTGTGCGAGAAAAATTGAGTGTGAAAGTTTTAGCATGAGAAGAAAAATGGCTATCAGGGGAATCGGTTTTGATTTTTCAGTCCCTCTGCTGGGCACTCATTTGATTGTTCTCACTTTCCTTAGGAGATTCATTTGATTGTTCTCACTATCCTTAGGAGATTTCTTCAGTTTATTTCCATCCAGTATGTTTTTTTGCCATTAAACGGAAATGAATAAATAGCATACCATGGTGGGCCTTTGTGACCAGATTACTTCCCTTTTTTAGCATCGTACAATTGGAATGGTGAAATCTATATCTTAACCCTTTCTGTTGCTGTCTTTACCCACGTTAATCTCCCGAATCCTTACCTCCTCCATATTTGGTCTTGTTTTGGTGTGATCAGGCTGCTCCACAGTGACAGTAAGTCAGTGATGCACCTGAAAAGGTGGATGCAGCTTTTCGTGAGTCATTCAAAGCAATCACCACTGACATCCAACAGATTCGGTTAAATGGCCTATTGGTATGTTCTTCCCTGATCACAATCTCCTAGCTACTCTGCTTAACTGAATGTACTATGTGCCCTGAGTATGCCTCCCTCACATAGTATCAGTATTGTTTGCTCTGCTTCCAATTCTGGTGCTTATTTTTGCCAGTACCGACTCTCTTAGGATTACGCGCGTGTGTGTGTTGCTAAGGATAGGATCTTCCAGTTTTCTTATCAACTCAAAGAGATGTAAGAAAGTGTTTGGAAATTTGTTTTACCATCAGTGTGTGTGTTGCTAACTCTATGATCGATGATTCCGTTAAGTAGGCTCGTGTTCTTTGCTCTATTCCAGCTTCAACACTTGATCAAAATATGAGACGATTGAAAAAAATTGCTGGGGGAAATGTGTCAAATATATTGCACACAAGTATTTGTAGGATTTTTACTCGTATGGTGAGTTCCATTTCCTATTTTCTCTTTCCTTTAGGCTGGCTAACTTGCTTGCCCCAATTTTACTTGATTCTGATCTCCAAGTTGCTTCTGCTATTTTGTCCCGCCACGAGCAGCACTAGGGCACCACGCCACCACCTGATGTTGAACTCATTCTCAGGTTAACAGGTTGAGTTGTTTAACTGAATCCTCTGCTAAAAAAGGCTCATCATGATAACACACACGCATTGGACAACTTTGTTTGACTATGTCTGCCGGGTACTTCTGCATGAACGCATGCTTATTCCTTCCAACTTAAAAGTAATAATCAGGCTGTTTATGTTGCTGAATGCAGGTCCTCGACTGGGTATATTAGTATGCACATATGCTTGTGTCATGTGCACTTCCTCAGGCAAACAGTATGCACAGATAACCTACGGTGGGCAAATTGAACGCGTGAGTACCATCTTCATCAGCTTTGCATTTGCGAGGTCTCGAGTGCAGGGTCTGGTTCTTGGGTGTGGGAAAAGATATTAAGAACCAGAGGTGTGGTCACTGATGACCTACGGATGTGCCCCGAGGAAGGGTTGATAATGAAGAGGTTCGAACTCTTGTTCCTTTTCTCTCTCACCCAACTATTTTTAGTTTTTTCACTCCGATTCCATATCTCATATTAACTTAACACTTGGTCGAGTTCGATTAGGACTGGCAAAACCCAGGCATGTAAGTAAAACGAGGCTTATAAATTCATTGTTCCCAAACCTAGCCGTCTGTCTTCCTGCAGCCATGGCGACCGGAAAAGAACCAAAGACCAACCTTTCTTCTTCCCCTTTCAGGAAACTCACAGATGATCTCCTGATAGGAGTTCTTATTCGCCTTCGGTACTGTAGATCCGCTTGCCGGTGCAAAACCGTCTGCAAGCGGTGGAACTCCATCATCTCCGACCCCTACTTCTCCCGCCGATTCGTCGCTCACAACAAGAACCGATCCGCCGCCGGGGAAAAGCCACCACCACACCTTCGGAGTGCCCCAGCCGTTCATAGAAGGATCTTCACCTTTCTACCAATGCCTGTCCCATTCCCATCCATGCTCGGCTTTTTCCTTCTCGATTGCTTCAAGGACTTGCTCTTGCTAGGGTTCCCGTTCTCGCCCACCACCGTCGAACTGGCCCGAACCTTCATGGTCTGCAATCCGTTCACAGAGCAGTGGGTCGCCCTTCCTCTGGCGCCGCACAGACCCATGACGCTGCCCCATGACATTGTTCCATCGACGGCGGCGAGGTTAGTGTGCGATCCTTGTGTTTCCGCGAGGTTGGATTCAGGGGAAGAAGCATTCACTCATCACTTTGAATACCGATTCCGGGTGGTGCTGATGTATGAATCGGAATCAGCTTCTTCAAAGCTAGATGTGTTCTGTTCCGAATCCGGGGAATGGACGGCGGTTAACCTCGATCTTCGCGGCCGATTGAAACCGGATCGGAGCCTGGTTTCGGTGAACGGGAAGCTGTACTGGAGAAACAGGGCAGGCCAAGTGATTGGGTGGAATCCCTTCTCGCTTGACGTGGAAGTGGAATCCCTTCCCCCTGGCGTTTCAGACCCTGATCAATCTGAATTGTCCTTTTGCTTCTCACAGGATGCTCTCTACATGTTTCGGAGATCCGGAGATGTCTTGGGTGTTTTCAGCAGGCATGGCGGGCAAGGCTGGAGGGCAGAGTATCAGGTGCCATTACGACGGGGAATCAAACGCGTCAGTGTAGTCGGTCAGCATCCTGAGAAATCAGAAATTGTGTTCCTGCAATTCTCGTTTACCTCCGCCTATGCGAAGGATCGAATCTACTCTCTGAACTTGAGGACGAGGGTGCCGAAGTTCTTTGCTAAAGACTATAGCTTTCAATTGGGTTCCATGGTTTTCCCGCAGCTCTGGCCTACCCCAATTCCCAACTATGAAAAATTACGAGGCAGCTATGATGGATCGTACAAGGAGGGTTGGCTTCAATCGAGTAATCACATGAACCCAAAACTTCTTCACCCATGTATTTTTATTTGATTTATCTGTTAGATTCTACTGTTGTTATCTCATAGTCGGATTCTCTCAAATTGTTTGCATTAGACATTTCGTTCTCCGGTTGTCGGCTTAACTCTATGGTTGTTGGCCTTCAGCCGGGGGCGAGACCGGTTAATAGAGGTGCGCATTCGTTGAACAACATTTAGATACAGCTTTGGTTGAAAGCCGATAAGTTCCTGATCGGTTTTACTTGGACTAACTTCGAAGATCGCTAAGAAACAACGGTTAATAAACCAAAACCCACATGACCAGACACAACATTACGAACAAAAGAGGTTCGGTTTTTATAAATGGTTTTTATAAACGGTACTCGGATACTTCGTACAAAAAAAAACCTTTTAGGAATCCTTAGTTGTGTCGGTTAACCATACGTCTGTAACAGTTTTGGTTTTGTTGCATGGAAAACCTAGTTCTCAGTTTCCAATATTGTGATTAACAATTTGATCAACCGAACCAAACACCGTGTTACCACCATGATTGTCAACCCGAGGTCGAACCGAGAATCAATCAAGATTAACCTGAACCCGGTGGGAAAAACGAGCTCCAAACTTCTCCTAATCAACTCGGATTCCTGCATTATACCCTAATATTAACTATATTTTTTGTCTTTAAAATCTTAAATTATTACATCTATGAATATATCTTTTATGATGTGTAAAAATGGGCCACTGAGTTGAGCCTAATCCAACCAGTAGCCCTACAGGGTTCTTTGGTTTATATTTGGCCATTCTGTTAGAATGTTGTGTTTTGTTGCTTATTCATTAACCTTATCTGGTTTCTTGAACTTAGCTGTGTTGCTGCTCGAGTCGAAATAAGAATAGGAATTTAAGAGCCGAATCAAAAAATTCGAGTTGAATTCATAATATACGTGGCATGTGAGGTACCAATAGTTTCGTCGCTTATAACATACGACGACATATTAAGTAAATTGTTTCACTAACTCGATGTTACAGCTCTTACTAACGTTGTAACGTCTCTATTCCTTGTTATATTGTGAAAAATGTTTGCTAATCTTCAATAACGGGCGGTAGAAATTGAGCACTGTAACTTAAAATTCAATGTGAAACAAAGAAACGGCAAGGAAAACCTCTTTAAATTCAATGTGCAATGTTTATAATCCTTATGTCATTTGTTCAGCAAAAGAGGGAAAAATACCGGATTCCCCAAAATGCCCTCATCTTTTGACAATAGTACATCCGTCATCCGACGATAGCGATTAAATCCTTTATTTTCACTTCCTCACAAGACAAGAAAAAAATGAAGCTAGCTCTTTCTTTCATCCTGTTACTCCCATTCTTGTCGATTGTGGTAGCAGAAAATGTTACGTACGACGGCCGGTCGCTAATCATCAATGGCACTCGTCGCCTAATCGTCTCGACTACCATTCATTACACTCGAATCATGCCCGAGGTACAGTGAAAAAATATTTTTTTTAAAAAACAAGCGGTGAATTGATTTTTTTCTAAATGATCTTTGACTCAAAGATTCGAACGCAACACAAAATATTGATTAATTACAATTCACTTGGGATTTTATTTGTAAGATGTGGCCAGAGGCCATCCGATTAGCCAAAGAAGGAGGGGCGAATACGATCGACACGTACGTGTTCTGGAATATTCATGAAATCGAACCTGACATCGTGAGTAGTACTAGCGGGAAGCTCTCGTTTATAAAATACAAAAAAAAAATCCAATTATTTATACAATTTTTTTTTTTTTTGGTTTTTTAAGTATAATTTTGCAGGGAGAAATGATCTAGTGAGATTTGTGAAGCTAGTCCAGGAGGCTGGGCTGTTTCTGATGCTTCGTATTGGCCCATTTATTGGTGCCGAATGGAACTACGGGTTCTTATTTTTAACCCCTTTTCCTAAAAAATTAATTTCTGGTTTAATGAATTAAATTTATTTTTTGAAATAAATTTTGAAATTTAATTTTCTGTGTATTAATTGAAAAAAAAAGAGGATGAAATATATTTGTTAAATGATGCAGGGGTATACCAGTTTGGTTGCACTATATTCCAGGGACTGCCTTCAGAACAGAAAGTGCTAGCTTTAAGGTATCAATATCATACGAGTAACTTCATCAGCCATCAAATTCTCGATCGAATCGTCGAACGACGTCGTATCTGCATTCATAACAACTGTTTAATCGTGAATTTGTCCCTATAGTAAAATGAAAGAAAATACTTATTAGGCATGCAAAATTTGTGTTGCAGTACTATATGGAGAAATTCGTGACGTACATAGTGAACATGATGAAACGAGAGAAGTTCTTTGCATCACAGGGAGAGACGGGTCCCATTATCTTGGCTCAGGCAAGTATATACACATTGACTTTTTTGGGGTTAATCCCATTTTTTCGAAATTTAAGAGTTTTAGCATGGTCATGAGTCGAAAGAGTCCGAACGATGCAGATCGAAAACGAGTACGGGCACTTGCAAGGATTCTACGGGGTGGGGCATAACTACAGTGATTGGGCTGCACGAATGGTCGTCTCCAAGGACATCGGTGTGCCTTGGATCATGTGTCGAGAAGGGGATGCTCTAGACCCCGTGGTGAGTCTCTCAGAACACTCGTCGACGATCAAATCGTCTTATCGCGTTCAAATCTTCATGACTCCTCAATCCCCTATCTAACTTGCGTCTTGCTGATGGCAGATTGATACTGTTAACGACTTCTACGGTGACTATTACCACCCAAATTCTGTAAATAAGCCCAAAATCTGGACCGAAGCCTGGACTGGATGGTAATTTTACAACCCATATATGTGCATCACAAATTCACAATCCTGTTTTTCCATTTAAATTCCCCTCTCTAGTTAAATTGGCAATTCAAACTTACTTACCATGAGGTAATTAAAATTTACTTATGTTTGGTAAATAGGATACAAACACATTATGAACCGGTCTTCCATAGGCCAACTCAAGATCTTGCATTTGCTGCTGCTCGTTTCTTCCAGAAAGGCGGTAGTGTAATAAACTATTACATGGTAAGTTAATTTTTCTGTTGAGAGTTTTTGTAACGACGACTAAAAATGTACAAACGACAGATTATTTTGTTTCAAAATCACAACAGTATATAACGACACCAGACGTGTTTTTTTTTTTTTAGTGACACCAAACGTGCTTGTTAAAACGACATAATACAATAACTAGCTACATTTTTTCATTAACCCTTTTTTTTTCTTGTTCTAATGTATTTATGTCTTGGTGGGTTGGTCTGTCTGTGTTAGTTCTACGGCGGAACAAATTTTGGTCGAACCAGTGGTGGCACTAGCGCTAACAATTTTGCCGTAATAACGAGTTATGACTATGATGCTCCAGTTGATGAATATGGTAATAATACCTTTATGCTAATCTAGTTTTGCCAAATCCATAATTAGATTGAAGCTTTTCTCTTCATGTTATGGATTGAACTCTCTCTTGTGCATGCCATGTTAGGCTTGTTGAGGTATCCAAACTATGGGCACATTAAGGAATTCAATGAAGCTATCAAGCTATGTGAGAATCCCATCTTGACCGCCAAACCCACCCAAATCTCACTCGGTCCGCAACAAGAGGTAACTAATCAGACTCGCGTAAAATCGTGTGATTTTATGATTGATGGTTCAAGATTTTTGAAAATATAGAGACACATTTTTAATTCGATTTGCACTGAAATCAGGGCGCGGTCTGGAGCAATGTGGCGTCTGGAGAATGTGTTGCGTTCCTTGTCAATGTGGACGACAAGAAGGACGCGACTGTAGTATTTCGAAATGCCTCGTACCACCTCCCACCTTGGTCTGTCAGCATTCTTCCTGACTGCAAGAATGTGGTGTTCAATACCGCCAAGGTGACATATACGTAATTCGTGCTATTGAAACGAATTCGTTTCTAACCTACAGTGTCATTATGTCTTTTATTCTTACAATATTCAATATTAACGATTGATTTAAACACATTGATAACTGTAACGTCCTTGTTTCGCGATTGGCAGGTGAGTTCCCAGACTACTGTGCCTGAAATGGTGCCCGAGGATTTGAAGCCATCTCCAGAGCAATGCATGGAGGAGAACGATGCTGGTGGAGATTCTTCTTCGTCATTGAAGTGGCAGGTGTTTGAGGAGAAAGTTGGGATTTGGGGCGAACCTGATTTCGTCAAAAATGGTTTCATGGATCAACTCGCTGCCACTAGAGATACTACTGATTACCTCTGGTACACCACAAGGTAAATCTGGCCCCTGGCTACTCCATCAACCCGCCCAACCCGGTCAATTTGATTCATCCACAACTCGAGTTGATAAAAAGTTCGAACCTCAGTAACCCGCCTAACTCCTAACCCGACTGTTCATAACCAAACCCGGTCAAATCTGACAAACCCGTGACTCGATTCAACCGATACCCTAACCAACCTAAAACTGACATTAAATATTATTGCTTTGAACTGCAGCATTGATGTCAATGAAAATGAAGGATTCCTGAAGGATGGAAGCCAAGTAGCTCTTGAGCTGCAATTCCAGACCCACTGCCTCCATGCATTTGTCAATGGGGAGTTCAAAGGTTTTGCTTATTACTTCTCCTTCTTGACTCCTTTGATACACAGAGTTCTTATTTGTAGAAAGAACAATGGACCTCTTCTGACTTTTGCAACTGTTTATATTGCTGATCAGGTACTTCAACAGGTGATGCTACAATCCCTATAGTCCTGAAACCAGGGAGGAATGACATCTCCATATTGAACACAATCCTTGGGCTACCTGTTAGCACTCTAAACTAATTTCCATTGTTTAGCTTAATTAGTCTATTAATAATCATGTTTTAGCAAGTGGGTTTTGTCTAAATTCCCTGAAAAATCTTATCTTTTTGTTGTCAGTCTGTAGGCCCTTTCTTTGAGTGGAGAAGAGGTGGACCTATAAATGTGAAGCTTGCAGGTTTCAGAAATGGGACTGTAATAGACTTGTCTACAAGTAGCTGGAAGTACCAGGTGAGCAAAATTTTGGGGGGAAAAAAAGGGGGAACTACTTCTCTTTGCAATGTCACAATTCTTGCTTGCTTTTATAACTAATCGATTTCGATAAATATAACTAGTATCATGTCGTTCATATGCACGTTAACTTAAATGAATATCCTCCTAACTCGAACTTCCACTATAACATACCAGTTTGTCCTGATATTCGATTTATCGCGAGAAAATGTTCACAAAAATGAAATTTGTATTGTTATTGCAAGAGAAGTGTTTAAGATGCTCTTCTCGCAAAAACTCGAGCTATACGAATGAGTATCGATTCTTCTTATTGACTGAGAGATCTCAGTGTTCGAATCGCGCGTGTGTTCAACTTCTTGTTTGAGCTAGGAGCACTTAAGAGAAGATATGAAGTGCGTTTTAAAACATCTCTCAATAACCGGAGTTATCAGGAAGGGGATGGCGGTTCTCGCCTTCTCGACAGTTGCATGTGTTGGAACCCAATAGTAGTTGTAGTAGTATAGAGATAAAAAAAAAATTCCTTGATTTCCTTTTTGATTTCATGGTTTTGGTGCTAGATTGGTTTGGAAGGAGAACACCTAGGGATATACAAACCAGAAACCACCAACAATGGGACATGGAAGCTCCCTCCACAAGTACCCAAGATGAAGCCTCTCACATGGTACAAGGTAACACAATCATCAAGCTAAGCTGCACTAATATGGGTGAATTCATCTGTGGTTTTGATTGAATCATGAACTACTTATATAAATGTTGGTTTGATTTCTCTCTTTGATGAGCAAAATTTCATCAGGCTACTGTGGAGGAACCATCAGGGAATGATCCAATAGGGCTGGATATGATCAGCATGGGCAAAGGCTCTGCCTGGCTGAATGGACAGCAGATTGGGAGGTACTGGCTCAAGAGAAGCAACAGAGTTGGAACCTGTGTTGGCCATGTTGAAGAATGCGATTACAGAGGCCAATATGCTAGGGAGAGATGCACAACTGGTTGTGGTGAACCTGCTCAAAGATGGTAAGAGAAACTTGTAACTAAAAAAAAACCCCACACTAAGACCAAAACCCTAATGAAAAAGTAGTGTGTTTGAGTGGTTGCCCTAATTAACCTCTGGTTGCTCCTTCTTGTTGCCTTGGGGCTTAAGGTACCATATCCCGCGGTCGTGGTTCAAGCCCTGTGGCAACACCCTGGTGGTCTTCGAAGAGCAAGGAGGAGACCCGACTCGACTCAAGCTCTCGAAGCGTAGAATCTCGACCGTCTGCGCTTCTGTTGCTGAGGATTACCCTAACTTGCAAGGAAATGCCACCGTGCATCTCAAGTGTCCTAAAAATAGACACATCTCTCGTATTCGATTCGCCAGTTTCGGGACACCAACTGGGTTTTGTGGGTCGTTCAAGAAAGGAGATTATCATCATCCAGATTCGGCTTCCGTTGTCGAAAAGGTAACCCCCTCCCCCGGGTCAATTTAGATCGAGTCGTAGCAATTATGATGTTAGGTCGATCGAGATATGTACGTACAATCATCGTATGTATATCGTATTGCATGTCAAAACGGGTGGGACATTTGACAAAATGCTGATGAGGACTAAGTGATGCTAACTCACACTATGTGACAATTTTTTTCTTTCTAGGCTTGCTTGAACAAGAATGGATGTGCCATACAAGTTTCAGAAGAGAGCTTCAACAAAGGAATGCTTACTGGTGCTACCTCAGCCACAATGAGACTTGCAGTGGAGGCAACCTGTGGCTCAAGCAAAGGGAATTTAAGGTCTCAAATGACACAGACGAATTAAGGGCAATTCTAGATGAACCAAAGTATTATGTTGTAGTAGAACATTAACCATCATTTCCCAAATATTGGCCACGGAATTGCCCTTTTCACTTTTGTTTTTCCGGGTCAATTACATACACATGATCCCTCTGTCTCGATGTTGTTTTTGTTCTCTCAATAGAAGCATCTTACGGTTGAGAGTGCATATAACAATTCGAACCCGTTAATTTTAAACTCCGTCCAACCAACGATACATATGGTTAAACCAATGTACATTGTGGTTGTTTTCAGTCAATAAATTAGCTATTACAAGGTTGGTTTGTACGTCGTTTGATAATCTTAATAACTGAAAGTGAAAATTTACCCTACCAGTTGCAAAATTAAATGTTACATTATTAGTGGTTACATGAAAAGGAAATGTCTCTTCACAAAGCACAAAATTTCTACCACTGACAAAACAACTTCAAGACAATTAGTTTGACATCAAATTGAAAAGCTGGATTTACGAAATCACCCTCTGAAAACCTCTTTAAAATCCTCACCTTTGGTTATTTAGCCTCAAATTGTTACTTACCATTTACAACGCACTAAGAAGAAGAAGAATGAAGACAACTCTTTCGGTCTTCCTCTTACTCTCATTCTTGTTGTCGATGATGGTGGGGGTGTCGTCGAAAAATGTTACGTACGACGGTCGTTCACTGTTCATCAATGACCGTCGTCACCTTATCATCTCGGGCTCCATTCACTATCCTCGTAGCACTCCTGAGGTATGTACGTGTGTTATATATGTTCTTTTTTCTTATCAGTAGTTGGCTCAAATCGTTCAAACGAAAATCAACGTGAATCGGTCATTTATTCATGTGTTTATTGGAAAGATGTGGTCAGAGCTTGTACGTCTGGCCAAAGAAGGAGGGGCGAATACGATAAAAACATACGTGTTTTGGAATGGTCATGAAATCAAACCCGGCGTTGTGAGTATATTGGAGATCAGATTACCCTCTCGTCTATTTCTAAATATAAATAAATTCTCTACTCTTGTGTGTAATTTTTGTTCGTGCATTATCTTCTTGTTGTTTTTGTGTATAGTATAATTTTGAAGGGAGATTTGATCTGGTGAAATTCGTGCGGATAGTTCAGGAGGCAGGCATGTTTCTGATCCTTCGCATTGGCCCGTTTGTTGCTGGCGAATGGAATTTCGGGTGACCGTTTTGCACTTTTCCTCCACACGAAATATAAAACCCATTATTTGAGCTCGAATTTTTTATCATATTTCACGGGAAAAAAAATTATTTATCATGCAATAAGAAGGATTATAGGATCTTTTTTGTTTGTTGTGGATGTAGGGGTATACCAGTGTGGTTGCACTTTATTCCTGGGACTTCCTTTCGAACAGAAAACGATAATTTTAAGGTAGATATTATTGTAATCTGATACTATCGTGATACTTCATCCAACGACTCGATAGTTCTATTGCTCTGTCATCATCAAATCTATATTGCATGCAGTACTATATGGAAAAATTCATGACTTACATAGTGAACCTAATGAAGCAAGAGAAGCTCTTTGCATCCCAAGGAGAGAAAGGTCCCATTATCATGACTCAGGTAAGCATAGAAATTGGGATTTGCACTCCATTTCTTCACAACTATAGAAAATTGCTATTGGAATGTTCATCAATATTGGGCACGAGACTATCGTAGGTCGAGAATGAATTCGAGTACTTAGAGCAAATCTATCCCGAGGGGAAGAAATACGTTAACTGGGCCGGGGAAATGGCGATTTCTCAGCACACTGGTGTGCCCTGGATCATGTGTCGAGAGTCCGATGCTCCGGGTCCAGTGGTAAGTCTCTTCTGTCATGGAAAGTTCGCGTACGTTTATGAGATTCATTTTTCCAAACATTTTCACATAAATTGATCAGTTATCAAGTTGCTATATTCTTCTTTTATATAGATTGGTACTTGTAACGACTTTTACTGTGACGACTTTCAACTCGCATCTGACAAACCCAAAATATGGACCGAGAACTGGACTGGATGGTAACTGCTACATATTCATAAAAATCACCATTTCCTCATCACCCATTAGAAATTTCCCCTTTTGAGATAATTTGGTCATTTTTATGTAGGTTGCCAACATATTGGGCACCCAACTACCATAGGCCATCTGGAGATAGTGCATTTGCTGTTGCTCGTTTCTTCCAGAAAGGTGGCAGTGTAGTGAATTATTACATGGTAATTAATATTATCTAGCCCTTATTCTCTTTTCTCTTGTAAAACAAATCCATTTTTGCTTAAGGATTAATGTTCTCTGATTAACAAAATTGAACATTGTTTTGGTTTGTTAATTAGTACCATGGTGGAACAAACTTTGGTCGCACAGGAGGTGGTGGCTTTACAACAAGTTATGATTTTGATGGTCCAATCGACGAATACGGTATCAATTTACTGAGAGACAATTTCCTAAATTCATTATTTTCTTTCACCACTAGATAGCTCGATCGTCATGGAAAAAAAATAATGATATTAAAGGGATCTCAAGTTCGATCATCAAATGAGCCACCCGATTTGTCATCTTGACTGATAGAAGGTTTCACTACATCATGTAGGGTTAGTGAGGTTTCCAAAATGGGGACATCTTAAGGAACTCCACGAAGCTATAAAGTTGTGTGAGAATGTTATACTCAACACAGAACAACCAACCAACATCGCCATTGGTCCTTCCCAAGAGGTAACGTTAACTCGTGCGAAAATTAATATTCAGATATTAATTACTACAATCTTTTTCTTTCCCTTTGTTTACTTGGAACGTACGTTATGTTACTAGGGCACCGTTTGGGGCGATCCATCGTCAAAGAATTGTGTTGCATTCCTTGCTAACTACGACAACACGAACGACGCGACCGTGGTGTTTCAGAATGCCTCGTACGACATCCCAGCTTGGTCCGTCAGCATTCTTCCCGACTGCAAGAATGTGGTGTTCAATACGGCTAAGGTGGTGAAGAAATGCATAGAAAACCCTTCATTGCAACGAGTTTAAAGTGTGGTGGCTAATAAAGTCGTCCTTGATATTCATTGTAAATGTGGCAGGTGAGTTCCCAGAGTTCTGTGGTAGAAATGGTGCCCGAGGATTTGAAGCCATCTCCAGAGAAATGCGGGGAGGTGCAATTTGGAGGAGATTCTTCATCAAATAATCCTCTGAAGTGGGAAGTGTTTGTGGAGAAAACAGGGATTTGGGGTGAAGAGGCTGATTTGGTTTACAATGGTTTGGTGGATCAGCTGAACGTCACCAAAGATGCTTCTGATTACCTTTGGTACACAACAAGGTAAATAAGATGGTGCTTTCACAAAAATAAATGTTCATCTACGTCGATATCAGGTTCGATTCAATCCAGCAAGCTTTGGTTTAACTTCAACCCTTGTATCGAGTCTATAATCTGATTAACTCTTAGTCGACCTGAAACCTGATTTAGCCGTAACGCAATTAGCCAAGTTCAACTATGACCTGATCAATTCACTACCCGGCTGTCCCATATAATCGAATTTGACCCCGCTCCAACTAACCCAAGCCAATCACGGTTCAACCGCTTGCCCAACCCACCCTCTCATTCCACACAACCTCTATCCAAAAGGTATGCTTCCTGAACTCTGATTAAACTCTGTTGAATTGCTCTGAAACAACAGCATTGATGTCGATGCAAACGAAGAATTCATGAAGGATGGAAGCCAACTAGCTCTTGCAATCCAATTCCAGAGCCACCACCTCCATGCATTTGTAAATGGGGAACTTCTTAACAAAGGTTAAACATTATTCCCTCCTTCCTCTCCTTAATTTGATCAACAAATTGTCTTCATTAGTGACTAATTCTACCGGCTTCTGAAACCACATTAATCAGGTAATGCAGTTGGCGAGAATGCAACGCTGAGAATCCCTATCGCTCTCAAAGCAGGGAGGAATGAGATTTCTGTACTCAACTCCATCGTTGGTCTCCCGGTAATTAGGGTTAATTACTTGTTTAGCAAGTCTTTTACTCAATTGGGATTTGCTCATTTCTGATTATCTTGGTTTCCTCCTCTTTCTTGGGCTCTTCAGAGTGCAGGCGCATTCTTTGAATGGATAAATTATGGACCATCCAATGTCAAGCTTGAAGGGTTCAGCAATGGAACTGCAATGGACTTGTCCACAAGTAACTGGAGCTACAAGGTTAGTAACTTTGACACAATCTTCACTCTTCCCCTGTAATTTTACGCCATTAAGGTGTCGTTTGGATGTCGGATCGAAGAGATAATCAGCTCATTTCGATAAACCTGTGATGCGTTTCATTCGAATCATCCGGTTTTGCTGCTTTAGATTGGCATGGAAGGAGAAAAGCTCGAGATATACAAACCTGAAAGCACTGGCAATGTGACATGGAATGTACCTTCAGAAGTGCCCAAGATGCAGCCTGTCACATGGTACAAGGTAGGTTCGAACTAATCCTATAGACTCGAAGATTCGAACTTTGGGGTCAGCCATTGATCACCTACGAATAGAATTTCTATCGATTCGATTGTTTTCGACTAGGTTATTGTGGAGGAGCCATCGGGGGATGAACCGATAGGGCTGGACATGCTTAACATGGGGAAAGGCTCTGCCTGGTTGAATGGACAGCAGATTGGGAGGTACTGGCTGCAGAGGAGTGGTGAACATGAACAATGTGTCAGCCATGGTGAAGAAGGATGTGATTACAGGGGCTATATGTATCCTGAGAAGTGCAGAACTGGCTGTGGAGAACCCACTCAAAGATGGTACATTACCACAAAAGTAACTGTAGTACAAAGTTTAATCTGTAGAAACAACTTGCTCTACAACCTGGTTTTTGTTTATCTTTGTTGCCTTGGACCTTAAGGTACCACATTCCACGGTCGTGGTTCAAGCCGTGCGGCAATCTTCTGGTGATATTCGAAGAGGAAGGTGGAGACCCAACTGCGATTAACTTCTCGAAACGCAGGACCTCTCGTCTTTGTGCTTCTGTCGCCGAGGATCACCCGCCACTAGGGCAGGCCATGGTGCATCTCAGGTGCCCTGAAAACAGGAGCATAGATAACATCCTATTCGCCAGCTTTGGGACTCCAACAGGGAATTGTGGGTCATTCAAAGTGGGGGATTACCATGATGTGAATTCCCTTTCCGTGGTTGAAAAGGTAAAAGTCTCCTAATTGGGTTTGCTCGAGTTGAATTGGGTAACGTATCATTATCGATCATGTCATTATGAACTGCTTTTTGTAAGTAGTTTTAGATCGTATCGTAACAGATATAATGACTTGTTTCGAAATATACTTTATGCAAATCGGATTGACAGGTTTAGGCATGTCATATAAACATTTATCACCTCTATAACAATATCTTGCAGGCATGCTTGTGGAAAAACGAATGTGCCATACAAGTTTCAGAAGCAAACTTTAACAAGGGAGGGTTTACTGGATCAACCAAGATGAGACTTGCAGTAGAGGCAGCCTGTGGCTAGGGCAAGTGAGCATTGATGGTGGAGAAATTAATTGTGTCGTAATAAAACACTAATCGGTATTGCTCAAGTGTTGAAAAATGAATGTGTCGTGGCTGATTATCTTGTTTTGTCGGAAGTTAACTTTCAAGCAGACTTTTTATTATATGTGTGGGTTCGAGTTCCTAACTATTTTAATGTGTTATGAATGAATGCGACTTTGCAATCGAGTTTTTGTCAAGAGTGATGTGGGTGATATCCAACCTTCGGACCCCCAAGCCCTAACCGGCTAGCAGGCCGACCCAAAACCAAACCCAAACCGCACCATTCCTTTTCCCTCCTCACTTTGTTTGTCGTATCCTACCAATTAAATCCTCAACCACGGAATTGGATTAGATTTCTTATCCTCTCTCAATTTCACTCTCAATTCTCTATCTAATCAAAAATGGCGAACGAACTGCCTCCTCTGTTCTTCCACAACTCCCCTCCGCTCTCAGATTTCCAGCACTAACTCTACAGTCTACAATTTCCCGCCTCCATGGATTCCCTTTCCATCAGCCAACCCCTTTCCCGACTCAAGCTCTCCCCAAAATGCCCTCTCCTCCCCAACCATTCCAATCCCCTGTTTCTTCCCCACCACCAAACCCAAAAAGCTCGCACCTTTACCCTCTCCGCCGTCCAAGACCAGGAAACCCAGCAGCCAATCCAAGGCGGCGGCGGAGGGGACGACTACGGCGAGGTCGACAAGATAATCGGAAGCAGAGCCCTCGAAGGCGGCGCCGGGATGGAGTACCTAATCCAATGGAAAGACGGCCACGAACCCTCCTGGCTCCTCTCCGACTACATCGCTAAGGACGTCGTCGCCGAGTACGAATCCCCCTGGTGGACAGCCGCCAAGAAGGCCGACGCTTCCGCCCTCCAATCCATCCTCGAATCGGAACTCGGCGACGCCCGGGACGTCGACGCCGTCGACCAGGCCGGCCGTACGGCGCTCCACTTCGTCTCGGGCCTCGGCTCCGAGCAGTGCGTGAAGCTTCTAGCCGAATCCGGCGCGGACCTCGACCGCCAGGACAACGGTGGCGGCCTGACGCCGCTGCACATGGCGGCAGGGTATGTAAAACCGGGCGTGGCGAAAACCCTTTTGGACCTCGGCGCCGACCCGGAAATTGAGGACGACAGAGGGCTGACGCCGCTGGATCTGGCGAGGCAGATCCTGCAGGTGACTCCCAAAGGGAATCCGCTACAATTCGGGAGGAGATTGGGGCTCGAGGCAGTGATTAAAGTGGTGGAGGAAGGAATGTTCGAGTACGCGGAGGTGCAGGAGATAATTGAGAAGCGCGGGAAAGGAGACGGCGCGGAGTATTTGGTGCAGTGGAAGGACGGCGGCGATCGCGAGTGGGTGAAGAAGGCGCTGGTCGCGGAGGATCTGGTGAAGGACTTCGAGGCAGGGCTGGAGTACGCGGTGGCGGAGGCTGTGATGGGGAAGAGAGTGATCGACGGCGAGGAGGAGAAGAAGGAGTATCTGGTGAAATGGACGGATATCGATGATGCCACGTGGGAGCCCGAGGAGAATGTTGACCCTGATTTGATCGTGGAGTTCGAGGCTCGGGAAGGGGCCGGCTCGGCTCCTTGATTAGGTGGCCGTTTTGGGCCTTGGGCCCTGATTGTCTTTATAACCTAGATTTTACTTGGGCTTTTAACACATTTGAAACAAGGCCTATTGGACTTGGAACAATTGCTTGATTAATATTCCCCCCCGTCCTTAGGCCCATACATTGACGAAATCCATTACGCTAGCGGAAACTAATCAACAACATACATGAATAGTTGAACAATTTAGTTTTACTATTAGTGCTTGAAATCCATAAACACAAATAAATAAGTGTGGACTAAATAAACTTGATTCGCCCTGATTCGATATGGTCTCAGGCCCAATCCGAGTAACCCACGGACCACCGGCAAAAATATAAACAGCCAGCGGCGCGTTTGCAAAAAACAGAGTGATACTTAACTTTATCGGCAAGAAATCAAGAGTCTCGCCATAGCTGCAATGGCGAAGGATTCAATGGTTAGAGAAATCTGTAGTCCATGGGCTGATCTTCACCCGGAGCTGTTGAATTTAATCTACGAGAAACTGCCTCCCTCCCCCACCGCCCGAAGCTCAGGATTCAGTTCCGTATGCAAGCCCTGGCGCCGATTCCACGCCGCTGTTCCCCTGCCAACGCGGCATCCTTCCTACCGCCCGGGGCAATTCCTCCTCTGCACGACCGTCGACGCCATCCCGGACGCCAAGATTCGTCACCAATTGCAGGACGCCTACATCGCCTACAGCTGGCCGAGCAGCGGGTGGCTGATGCTGCGGCATTCACACAACGTTCAGATCTTCGGTTGCTTCAATCCCCTGCTCTCCTGGCCGCGGAACTACATCGCACTCCATGAAGATTCCAATTCGCCGTCGCCGCAGCAGATTAAGGCAGCTTTCTCGAGCGATCCTGCAGGCCCCGAGGACTGGACCATCCTCGTCGCGGGAGAGCAGGGGTACGGTTTCAGCACGTTCCGCCGCGGCGACACCGCCTGGAAGAACTACCGCCGCCGGTACCACTGGGCCATCATGTACGCAGGGGATTGCGTCGCTATCGGGTTCAGAGACGGCGAGTTCTTCTGCCTCTTCGGCAGCGGAGACGTCCTGGTTTTCGGAATTGGGGAAGGCGGCGAGCGGAGGGTGCTGGTGGCGGATCCCCTTCCGGCGGTGCTGGTGGAGAGGAGAAGGAAGGAAGAAGTCGAGAGAATGGTGGGAGCAATGGACAGAGAAAGGAGGTGGAATTTGGGAGCGGCGGTTATGGCTAGAGAACAACCTTACTGCGCGATCAGCACGAGTGCTTAGATCGGAATCCTCATGGTTGCAGTGGATCCAAATATGTCTGAAACCATTCATTCCAAGGTTGCAAGATGTTGTAGATGGGTTATGCATGCTTTATTGTTAAAAAAAATTAAGATACACATTGTAGATTGATTATGTGTTTGGATATGTGCGTTTCAATTGGATCATATCGGTATTATGATGGATCGTCTACTTAATCGCGTAAAATTGACCGACACGAGTTCTTTATAATGTTTGTACATCATAATGATCTAGTTGAATTGTGAATTTAGCAGTCCAACCAATCAACACAAATATGGTGAAGACTATTTAGTGGCCAATTGAAGATTTTTTTGAGAAGTGTGTCAGTTGATGAAAATAAAATGAATAATTCACAAAGTACAAAATTTTATTGTTTTTCAAAAAAACAAATTTTAATATTATGCGAGGTTTTCGAAATATCTTTATTGTTTAATTTGCAACTCAAATATTTTTCAATACATACAATACAACCCAACAATTATTGATAAATTGGTCGGTAATCTTATTCCGAATGTCATAGTATTAACTTCGTGTAAACCAGGCTTTACTTTTGGGCTTGGAGATAATTTGAAACCAAGCCCATTGGGCCTGAAACCATCAAACACGAATCAGAATAGAATCCCGCACAAGGACAATTGAGTGTTTATAGATAAATTTAAGGGTTATAGGTATAATATGCCCATCTACTATGATGTTTTATCAAACATGCCCCTCTACTATTTTTTAAATCAAACATGCCCCTGTACTTTGTAAAAATGATCAAACATGCTCTTTTGTTAAAATTTTCATAAAAAAACCGTTAACCAAGGCCGAACTTTAGTTTGGGCTACACAAATGACTAAAATATCCCTAATAAATTCACTTTAGAATTTTTTTGGTTCTTTTGTATATTCAAATCATTCAAATAATTTCACTTTGAAAATACCCAGGGAAATAAAACAGGGGACAAAACTGGCATTTTCCCTCCCATTTGCCGATGTCGGGTCGGTTAAATTTCAATTCAACCATGATTGACGATTTTTTCAATGAAAATTTTAACAGAAGGGCATGATTGATAATTTTTTCAAAGTACAGGGGCATGTAAAAAATAGTAAAGGGACATGTTTGATAAAACGTCATAGTAGAAGAGCATATTATACCTATAACCCTAAATTTAATCATAAGAAACAGAGATACGGAAAACAGAGGAGAGGAGGAACCCTAGACGATGGTTGGAGAAAACGGGAGGCCATGGGCTGATCTTTGCCCGGACCTGTTGAACCTGATCAACGACAAGCTGCCTCATTACGACGCCGTTCGTCACGCCGTGTTGGGATCGGTATGCAAGCCGTGGCGCCAAGTTCACCGCGCCGCTCGTCGCCAGCCGCCGTTGAGACCATGCCAGCGTTGCAGAGATCCGCGACCCGCCGGATACCGCCTTCACTCGAAAACACCGGAACTCGTCGAATCGACGACCGTCCCGGGTCGCGTTCGGGAAGAATTGTGCGGCCAAATCATCGCTTGCGCCTTGCCGAGCAGGTGGTGGCTTCTGAAGAAGAGTGCAGATTCCCCCGGCGGCGAAATCACTGGTTGCTTCAATCCCTTTCTCCCGTGGCCCCACAATCACAGCAAACTGCCCTTGCTCCCCGCTTCCCTCACCGACTCCTCACCCAGGGGTATCAGAGCCGGTTTCTCCGCGCCGCCGACGAGCGATCCGGCCGCCGGCGATTGGACCATCCTCGTGGCCGGCGCCGGCGGCGGGGCTACTTTTAGTACTTACCGGCGGGGTGGTCGTTTCTGGAAGAGATACAGCTGTGACTACTTGGAGGGGCAGCATTGCTTGGGAGTCGGGTTTCAGGGGAGAGATTTCTTTTGCCTGTTCGAGAGGGGAGATGTTGTGATATTCGGAATCGACGGCGGAGCGGGCACCAGAACGTTGTTAGCAGATGCTCCTCCTCCTCGCCCTCAACCTCCACTAATTTCTGATCTGACAGTTGTTGAGAGGGATGGAGAGCACGTGTTGATGAGTTGGGAGGAGAGAGGCTATGATGAAACAGGGGATTTTCGGCTTGCAGAGGCAGAGGATGCGGCAGAGGCGGAGGCGGAGGCAGGGGAAAACAGGGGAAGAGCGGTGGTTTTTGTTACAGAGCACGCGTGGAACTACATTGATCTGGACGCGTCCATCCCGTACAGGATTCGCCTCAAATTGGAGGATGAATCCATCGTCTACAAATGGCCGAGCAGCGGCTGGACGCTGCGGCAGGATTCGCACAGCTTTCAGATCGTCAGTTGCTTCAATCCCCTGCTCCCCTGGCCTCAGAATTACATAAGGCTCCCCGACCGTTCCAGAATGCTAACACGTCGCAATTCGCGGCGGCGGATCATCGCGGCCTTCTCGAGGGATCCCACGGCGGCGGCCGGAGACTGGACCATCCTCGTCGTCGGGGCGTGGCCGTGGAGTCTCAGCACGTTCCGCCGCGGGGACTGCTTCTGGAAGAATTACCACCATTACGACGGCCGCTCCTCCGGTGAAGATTACCGGAGCGAGACCGACTGCGTGGGGATTGGGTTCTGGAAGGGCAGATTCTTCTGCCTGTTCGAAAGCGGAGACGTTTTGATTTTCGGAACCCGCGATGGCTACCAGCGGAGGATGCTGGCACCGCTTCGTCCCCTTCAGCCTGGCCGCCTGTGCGATAATCCGCAAATCGTGGAGGTAGGAGGAGGCACAGATTGGGAATCTTGTGTGGTGGTGAGTTGGGAGCGAGTTTCGGATAGACACTGCGGCTGCGACGGCGGCGGAGGAACTGGAAGGAGATGGCGGCTTGCTAAAGTGGAGAGGAGAAGAAAGGAAGAAACGGAGAGAATGGTACAATTAGCGGACAAAGAAAGGATGGTTATCGTTAGGGGAAAACCCAACCACAGGATCATGAGAGGACTTAGCTTGAAAATGCATTGAAGATAGAAAAAAGAGTTTGGTTTAGCGGTTAAATTGTTGATTTATAATGTGGAGATGAATCTCGTCGAGAGCAAATATAAAAAAAATGCATGTATGTTTTTTTTTTTCGAATTTTTAATATAGTTCTCACCTCAATACTACGACATAGTATACGTGATCTAATGACATACATGACCCATTAGTATGTGATATTTCTCGTATTTCATTATTGGCATACCGTGCAATGAAGCTATGTTGTTAGGGTGTTATGTTAGCAATATATAATTAGTAGAATAAATAATTAATAGGGTTAGTTAAGTAGGGTTAGACGGCTAACCTAGGCCGATTAGGTTAGGATTAGTTCATTAGGGTTTTAGGTTTATTTCCTATAAATATGTACTTTGGGTTTACGTCATAATCAATCAAGAAAAGTATTCTCCTAAACCTAATTCCTCTAAACTCCTAATTTCTATTCTCTCCTAATTCAAGGCCTCGGCCGATTCCCCAATTCTATTATGTTCTATCTCATCTAAACCCCTAATCTCAAACCCTAAATCCCAATCTCGCGGGTGCTGAAGATCAATCCCTAAAATCCCTAGAAGCGGGGTTCTTTCATGTTACGACGTAACCTCTACCATGAGGTATTCCAAGTGTTTGCAAAAAGATTGTGTCAATGGGTGAATATAAACCATTATTCCATGATTTAATTCAAATATCGATTTAATCTTACACGATATATTAAATGAAAAACCAACAAAATTACATGATCAAAAATCGATTTAATCTTTCAGAATTGTCCTAAATTTTCGGAAATGTACCTCAAACAACCCACGTAACTCCTTATCCCAGAAAATCTCCTAATTCAAACAAAACACAAACAGAGCCAGAGCGTAGAGGGAATTGAGACCTTCATCAACAAGAAATCAAGAGTCTCGCTTCGCTGCAAAGGCGACAGAATGGTTATAGAATCAGGAAGAAGACCATGGGCCGATCTTCACCCGGAGCTACTGAGCTTGATCTACGACAATCTGCCTCCCTCCGCCGCCGCCCGCAGCTCGGGATTCGGCTCAGTGTGCAAGCCCTGGCATCACTTCCACGCCGCCGCTCCTCCCCTGCCTCCGCCACCGCCGTACCATCATCCTTTCCTCACAGGGCACCTCCTCGCTTGCCCGACCATCGACGACGCGGCCGTCCCCGACGAGATTCGCGACGAGCTGCATGCCGCGTCGATCGCTTACCGCTGGCAGAGCAGCAGCGGGTGGCTGCTGCTACGGCGTTCACACAACGGTCAGATCTTCAGCTGCTTCAATCCCCTGTTTTCCTGGCCGGAGAATTACATAGAACTCCCCTCCCGTCACGCCATCACACCTCTTCCCGTCACTGATCCCGAATCGCCGCCGCCGATTAAGGCCGCTTTCTCGAGTGACCCCGCCGGCCCTGACGACTGGACCATCTTCGTCATCGGAGCAATTCCGCGCGTCTTTAGCACTTTCCGGCGAGGGGAATTGAGCTGGAGGAATTACGAATGCTACCAAAACGGGACCGATCAGCCGGACCTGACCGATTGCGTGGCAATTGGGTTCAGGGAGGGGAAATTCCTCTGCGTGTTCGAAAGCGGAGACGTTTTGATTTTCGGAATCGGCGGCGGCGAGAGGCAGAGGAGGATGCTGAAGGCGTACTACCCTGTTCGGGCGACGGAGAGGCTGGTAGAACGGTACAATAATCTGCTGATCGTCGAAATCGGAGGGAGATCGGAGCGGGGATCGAGTGTGGTGGTGAGTTGGGAGCGAGTTGCAGATAGGCACGGCGGCGGAGGGCGACGGTTGCGGCTCCTGGGAGTGAAGAGAGGAAACGTGGAATTGGGGAGAATGGCGCCGGAATTAATGGAGGAAGGGAGGAGGTTGGATTTGGCGGTGATTTACGTTCGTGAGAATCCCGACTACGTCATCTCCAAGATTTGGAGCCGCAGCTTGACTAGGTGTGTTGGGTTGCTTTTGCTTGCCGGAAGTCTGGCCGTCAGTTTGTTTTTAATTGCAATACCAGCAACATATGCGGTTCCAAATGAATAGAGTTGAATGAAATTTGTTTGATTTGAGATTTAACTCTTTTGTTACTTTATTTCGCTCGTATTTGGCTCATTAAAAAGTTTAAGATTTCTAATAAAGTTGTGTTTATCAATCAGTTCACGAGTTGAACTTATTTGTATAGAATTGTTAAGCGAAATTTCTTAACGAGGGATTATGATAAAACTTTGGATTTTGAATATGAGAGATTATGTTGGATTTTGATTATGTTGGATTTTGAAACTTCCATGTTTGTTTGTAGGATTTGGTAATGGCTTTTAGTAGGTTGGAATTATGGCTTGATGGGGGAAATTACTTTCTTATCCTTAATGAACCACTTTTTACTTTACTTGTATTTTGAATGTTTTTGTATATACATGAAGAATTAGCATATGTAAAAATGGCAGCAACATCCATACTATTTGGTCATATTGTATACACGCAAGAAGCCATTAAAGTAAATTGAAACTCTCAACCCAAACCAATAATGTTGAAAGGAAAATCAAGGGTTTGGATTGGATTATAAAAAAAGAGGATGTAAGCATGAAATAATTAATTGTTGAGCTTCATATAAAAGGAAGACAAAACGACGATAGGCAGAGATGGAAAAGGTTGCCGGAGCTTTTTGCCGTGTTGCAATCCCTTGGCAACGAAGAGACAAAGTTGGTGAGATGAGAGTGTAGACAAAAGTCCTCAGTAGAGATAATAATAACCGAGGGCAAAATTGGATTACACAAAATGAGTGGGGGTAACACGGTCATTAAACATCATGGATTATATCTATCTTCCAAAATCCTAGCTATAGAGGTAAGATTTTATAATCCATGGGGCCCACGGATTTTAGCTCCAAATAATCCAATATTAGTGGACCCCACAGATTGAAACAAAATCCATTATATGCTAACAAACATGGATTCATTATAAAGTCCAACATATGTTGGATTTTGGACCAAAATCCAACACCAAAATACCAAAAGCAAACGACCTCTAAATATGGTAATGTTTGCATGTTATGTATTATACATGTGATCTATGAATGACAAAAATTCTAATCTCAAGATGAACTTCCCCTCATATCCTTTTTTATATTGAAAACATTACACCCTGTTATGGTATTCAACCAGGTTAGAAGAAAAAAAAAAACGTAGTCATGTACAAAGAATGGATGTTTCAAGTTTTTCACCGAATGGGATACCCTATTGCTTTTCAGACCTACAAATTGTACAAGAAGACCATTATGATTTGCCAACAAACAAATGACTTTCTAAAAAATGGCTCCATAGTAATTATCTTGTTTATCGATCTGGTTTATTTGATCTTTGACCATTTCTGGGTTTGTTGGTGATACTACTGCATCAATTAATCATACACTACAAAATATAACATTAAGATATACTATCAAGTTAACTAAAATATACAGGTGGTATCTTGAGCAATACTGTTGATCCGTCCAAACGTCAATTTGATCTGATTTAACTTGATGATTTCAGTTAAACCATACTGTATTAATTGGTGACTAAACAAAATACTATATCAGTTAAATAAATCCAAGAGTCTCCTTAGACCTTAGTTCGTTTTCTTGCACTCTTGCTGCAATTGTTTATAATAAGCGTGTGAATCCGGCCGCGTATCAGTCCCATCGGAAAATGAACCGGCGGGTGGCGGAGTGAGAAGCACGCCGTTACGGTGCCAGCCGAGCAGAAGGTGGGAAAGATTCAACAGCTGTTTGCTTACCGCTTTTGTCAAAGAAAGCAGAATGCAAGTTGACGCCAAATCGTAGTAAACTAGTAATGAATTCAGCTCGATTGGGAAACATGGTTTAAGAAATTCTTCTGTATCCGTCGATTTGATCGAAAATATCGATATTGGGTTTCAAATGGTAGACGACTGTTTTAACGGTACAAAATGGTTTGAATCACTATTTTAGTATAAAATAACTCATTGCTATCTTTTTCGTTATATCTTCCCGTACGGTTTTACAATCATTATTGGGAGATCGAGCCAGTTTGGGTAATTTACCGAGGGGGGGGGGGGGGGGTTCTTGTATGGGAATTGGGTCCGAGTTGTATAAGATCAAATCGAGATTTATAAATAGACAAATAAATTGGGTCTAGACTCTAGAATTGGATAAAAACCTCATTTGCTTAAGTTGTGAAGCTTAAGGACATTTGATGCAATTGAAAGTGAAAGAAAATCACGAATCAAGATTGGGCGGGGTTGACCAAACATGAACCCAACTTATTTAAAGTTGATTCAATCCAACCGCTAGACCCACCCAAATCCACTCGATTATAACCCACCCATTACATGTTTGGGTGGATGTGAATCATTTTTTCATCACCCACCATAACAATAAGTGAGTGGATTTTGCCCAAAAATCCACCCAACCCACCCATTACTCATCCCTACCAATTGGGATCGAATAATGGTTGCTTTGATCCAGTCATTATATCAGTTCATATACAAAATGAAAATAAATGCACAAATAATTTTATACCATAAAGTCTCCCATTTGATTCAATTAATTATTTTTAAATTATTATGGAAATAGAATCCAAAGTAAAACAAACACGAATTGATGTCAAATTACGTATCAATTCTAACCATAAATTTCAAATTAAAAATGTACTCGACTTGATTCATGCGGTACTTAATTGATTCATGCGACTTCACAAACCTTACTCGAATCAACAACACATCAATCATCAATCGTTTGGATCAATTAATGATACACACTCTCAAACTCGAATCAACGGCGACTCAAATCAATAACATGTTAACTCGCCATAGAGATATCAACCGATTCGGTTCGGTTCGATTTGATCCGTTCCGGTAGTCCCCACCCTTCACATTTGTTTCCCAAGTCAGCTTTACCATCACCGCGCGTGATCACTGATCTCTCTTCTTCTCTGTCTCCTTCCCTTCAGTGTCTCTGCCTCTCTGCTCTTTCCTTCCTTTCTCGTCCCATCACACCTTCCTCTCTCAGAGAAAAAAAAAACCCTTCCAATTCCTCTGTCTCTCTCTTCAATCACTCTGTTTCCTCCCCTGTTTCCCCCTGTTTTTCCTCCCTCAGCTCAAAGTTACCAAAACTCACTCAAATTCAAAAACCTTCCCCCAAAAATCCCCCCTGATTAAAAACAATGCACGCCAAGACCGATTCAGAAGGCACGAGCGTCGACACGACGTGGCCGCCTCGCTCTCCTCCCCGCCGGCCGGTCTACTACGTCCAGAGCCCGTCCAACCACGACGTCGAGAAGATGTCCTATGACGGCTCCAGCCCCGCCGGTTCCCCGCCCCACCATTTCTACCACTGCTCCCCAATCCACCACTCCCGCGAGTCCTCCACTTCCCGATTCTCCGCCTCGCTGAAAAACCCGCGCAGCCTCTCCGCCTGGAAGCACGTCCAGCTCAACGGCCACCGCCGCGCCGGCCTCGACGACGACGATGACGACGACGGAGACGAGTTCGTTGCCGGAGGCGTTCGTGGGTTCGGCTCGAGCCGGTACAATTCCGTCAGGGTTTATATCCTCGGGCTCTGTTTCTTCGTCCTGCTCTTCACTCTGTTCTGTTTGATCCTCTGGGGAGCGAGCAAGTCGTACGCCCCCAAAATTGCCGTCAAGGTAAACCGTCCCCTGCTTTTTCCTCCGTTAAAGTTCGAACCTTTCGAGCTAAACTGAGTCGTGGGAAATGGGAATGCCGTCGTTTGACTCGGAAGGGGTGCCGAAATTGCATAGCACTGGAAGGAAACTTCCTTGACCGAGTCAACTCGGCTCATTTCTCTATTGGGGAACGGAAATGCTCTGTTTCGGTAACTGGTTTCAATTAGTTAATCAATGCTGCAACTTCGGAAACGAAAGGGTGGAAGAAAGTTGGTCTCTTTTTGCTTTCTGAGTAATCTCGGTAACGTAATCTCGTGGGTTTAGGCCCTAATTAAAGACAATTAAATAGTGATTAGCTGAAAGGCATTGTGAAAAGTCGTGATTATGGGTTTTTTTTGTTGTTGCTGCTTTTCTTTATTCTCTGTGTGTGTGAAATGCAGAGCATGGTGTTCGAGAATTTTAATGTACAAGCAGGGAATGACGGATCAGGGGTGCCAACAGACATGCTCTCGTTGAACTCAACGGTCAAGATCCACTACAGGAACCCAGGAACCTTCTTCGCCGTACACGTCACATCCACTCCTCTCGAGCTCCACTACTTCCAGCTCAAGCTCGCTTCTGGCCAGGTAAAGTGAAAAAGATGGAATCTTTCGACTAATTATGACTGTTTATTGACTAATCACTGATGGGTAATCAGTACTTAGTTAATTACCCAATAGAACAAGCTTCCATGGGCAGGGGTAGGTTGGTCCAAACCCTTGGGTTCAGAGGGTCAAAGGAAACTTTTTTGGGTCTAGAGAGAGAGAGAGATAGAACATAGGGAAGTGGGGCAATGGGGGAGATTGCAGAAGATATTTGAATAGATAGATAGGGATGCTATCATGCTGTACATTAATAATAAGGAAAGCCTGCAAAGTGAAAAGGACCCTGCAATGTGAGGAAGAAAGGGTCTAGGTTTGGGTTCCTTGTTGGGAAATGTTATGAGATGAGGAGAGAGAGAGAGAGAGAGAGAGAGAGAGAGAGAGGGCACTTGAGGTTTGTAAGGGCAGTCTGTTTGGTGGGGTGGTGGTGGGTGCCCAATTTATTATTGTCTGTGTAGGGTTCAATTCATGAACCCATAAAGATAGAAGCTTTTCCTTTCCTGTGAAACTTGGTTATGGGCATTGGGCATTGCCAAATCTGGTTTTGATGATTGATTCTGTTGAAGCCCCAAGTTTGGGAAAGGGAGATGAAAATGGTGGGTTCATAGTTGCTTGCTTTTGTAGGGAAAGCCCTCTACTAGTAGGATTTGAGCTTCATGTCATCATCCACACTAATGCAACCAACATAATTATTTGATCCAGTCTAGGGAAAGTTTTTCAATGTTTTTTACATCCATTATTTGCATTAGGCTCGAGTGTCAACGATTGATGTTTCCCTATAAATAGTTAGGGTATAGTATGAATGCTTTATCATTCGCAATTATAAATTTTTTTGTGTAAGCTTTGAACATGAATCACACAACTTACCAAACAATTTCTTAGCATTCACATGAGTTACGGTTGACTATGCCTCTCATTTAGTCACGTGGAATGAGAACGTTCACATTGTATCTAATTTCAGACTCGATATGAAGCGTTAAATGTTCTTTCCTGATATCTTTGTTGCTAATGACACAAGCATGACCGCCTAATATGTTAGTTTGGTAAATGTTCAGTTTACCATTTTGAGTCCAGTACTTGCATAGTAGGGGCGGACAAACCGAACCGAAACCGAATTAATGCTATTCGGTTCGGAATTCGGAAGGAAAATATGGATAGTTCGGAAATCAGGGTTCTTTCAACGGAACCGAATTTCCGACCGAAATACTATAATTGCAAGCTCCAAATGGTGGATTTTTATGTTTGTAGTTGTTTTTATATTTAAATATTTTGAAATGTTTTATGACTTATGTCATGTGTTGAAAAGTTTGGTTTTATCATTGATGATGCATATAATTGATATTTATTGTTTATATTAGGGGTGAAAAATAATTTAAAAGTGAGAAAATACAAGTAGCTTCACAAATTCGGTTTTGTGTGAAAAACCGAACCGAACCAAATTATAATTCGATTTAAACCGACCGAACTGAATTATAATTTGGTTCGAATTCGGTTTGAGGTTTGGGCGAATTCGAACACCCAGTATTCATAATTTTGGTTCGGTCGAAATCGAACCGACCGAATGCCCACCCCTAATACAATGTCATCGCATGTTATATTGGGGAATTTTTTCACACCAATCAGTTCATATGAATGCCTAGTTTCGCAGTTACATAGAGATCCACTATAAATATTGAATATCTTTCTCATCATCAGTCTGATATAGGAGGATCTAGGGCTGAAAATTGGCCCGACCCGCTCCTGACCCTGTCTGGCCCGCTCCTGAAGGGTCAAGATGTATAACTGACCCGCCCCGACTCTGTTTCTTTCGTGACCCTGTCTGACCCTTTAGGGTCGGGGCGGGTCGGGTCAGTGGGTCGACCCTAATAAATAGACTACTTTTCTAAAAATTACAATTTGGTACCCAAATTTATTTTTTCTTACATTTTAGTACCTAAAATTTATTTTTTTTACAAATAAGTCCCTAAAATTTGATGGTAAAATTACGTTTTGGTACCCAATTTTTTTTTATTTTTACAATTTAGTACCTAAACTTTTAAAATTTTACAAATAGGTCCAACATGTTTGTATGATGTTAAGGGTCATAGGGTCAAAAAGTGACCCGACCCTAAATTGACCCGACCCTATCTGACCCTGACCCAACCCTAAGCTGACCCGACCCTAAATTGACCCTATAAACAAACTGACCCAGCCCGACCCTGAGGGTCGAGGCGGATCAGTGGGTTTTAAGGGTCAAACTTACACCCCTAGGAGGATCTTCTCAGTCTTTACTATCTATATCAAGACACGATATGAAACAATGAACGTTCCTAGTAACATTTTCCCTCTCTAGTGACAAGAACATCTCCCTCATCAACTAGTCTAAGCAAGAATTTAGCGTTTACATTCATATCGTCAAACATCAATTGTACCTCATATAATCAAATTATCATTACTAATGCGTTTGAAATGTCAAAATACACCATAAAGTCTCCAGTTTCTTGACAATTTGTCTTACATTGGGGAATTTTTTCCAACAGATGAAGAAGTTCTCTCAGCCGAGGAAGAGCGGCCGGACGGTGGTCACCGTCGTCAAGGCCCACCAAGTGCCGATGTACGGCGGGGTGCCGGTCCTGGCAAACGCCTACACCAACATGGGCAGAGTCGCCGTCCCTCTCAACCTGACCTTCACCGTGAGGTCCAGAGCTTACATTTTGGGGAGGCTGGTGAAGTCCAAGTTCTACACCAAGGTCCGGTGCCGGCTCACCCTCCATGGGAATCATCTTGGGACGCCACACAATTTGACTAATGCTTGCTTTTACGGTTGATGAACATATAGAAGTGTCATGTTAATGGTGCATTGCTATTGATGTTGATTTTTGTTGGGTAATGTAGATGTTGTTGCTTGTTGGTTGGTGTAAATTTGCAATTTTGGTATTGGGGTTTAGTGGAAGGTTTTGGTGGAAGTGGTAATGTGAACTTCTTGGTCACTCAAACCATCTCTCTTTACAGGAATTGGTTTATTCTTATTTAAACTTACAAGGGTAAGATGTCGATACGTGTTCTAAGTTGTTGTAAGTTGTCTGACTAAGTATTGAATGGTTGTGATTCATGCCATACGTGGCAACATGATCGCGATCTTTCAATTCTTGATCAGACAACCTCACTTGATAGCAAGGATGGAAAAACCGTATTTGCGGAGAAAATGTCCTGTTGGAGTCTAAACGGGCAAGTGATTTTTTAGACGTATCAAACCGTTGAATAATAATTTAATCACAATTTCAGTATAAATTACCCCACCACTAACTTTTTCTATATGATTTTTCAATCATGGCTTGGTAGCCACAAACTCCTCTCAAAGTTGCTAATAGAAAAGGATTGAAAGAAAGATTCCTAGTTGGGATGACTAATCAGTGATCACATTTGGCTACTAGTTGAGTTAGTAGAAGGGCTAGGCTTCTGTAGAGAAGAAATTGGGATCTCTCCATGGGCCTGCTACAGTTTGTGAAAGGGAATTTTCTGTGGGCCATTATGTTTCCTCAAATGGGCTACGGTCCATCTGTTGGATCCTTGCTGATTGAGTTACTTCTTTGAATCTCACTCCCCAAACCAAAGGAATGAAGGATGAAGCAGCAGTAAAAAAAGGCACATAGTCAAAACAAATTTTCACATTCAACGACTTACAAGATTACAGAGACCAGACAGTAAAAACATGGGGAAACTAAACTTCCTGAAATCAAAGTACTGAACTTTAAGATGAAAGCATTTTTAAACAAACACACATCTTCACAAATTTCAATAGGGAGATCAATCAATCCTCTTTTTTAGCTTCATGGTCTCCACCGTTCTTGTGGCTACCAGGAATCTTGTCCTTGATCTTGTCCAGGATCCCTTTCTCCGGCTGAGCAGCACCGCTTTCAATGTCGACATGATCTTCATCACCAGGTTTCTTCATCTCCTGCCCATACAAAGGGAGCTTGTCCATCATCTTCTCAATGAAACCTTTCTTCTCCTCCGAATCATCTTCGTGCATTTGTATCAGGGTAGCTTGATTAGCAGCGTCATTGGCCTTATCATCATCATCCCCAGTGATTATGATTTCTGGCTGCTCCTGCTGATGACCGAAGTGGTGGTCTTCTTCTTCCTTCTCACCAGACAGCTTCTTCTTGATCCTTTCCTTCATCCCTCTCTTCTTCCTCTTCTTCTCTCCTATTTCCCCTCCTTCCTCCTCTTCTTCACTCGACTGTTACAGTTCAAAGATTCAACCTTTGATACCAAAACTAGACGCACGGAGAAAGGTAAAAGCATGGAGTCGTTCAGGAACTTACCGAGCCGCCACAGTCAGAGCGGTGAAGCTGATCGGCGAGTGTGGGGTTGCCGCCGTGCTTCACCTCCTGATGTTCAATGTCAGCCATAGCGACATCACTTGGAGTCTGCTTATGTTCATCGTGGTGACCGCCGCCGCCGACTTTCTTCATCAGAAGTCCGCACAACCCGCCGGCGGTGGGTTCCTTTTCCTGCTCTGCTCCGCACCCATTTCCGGCACAGGCAGGGTGATGGTAAAGATTAGGATCCGCCATACTTCGCTTCCCTGAAACTGTTTGAAGAGTGATTGATGTGATAGTGAGAGATAATGGGATTGCAATGTGGTGTTTATCCAACCGGGATGTAGCAAATATTTATAGGAGAAAGCAAGCACTGAGAGATGCTGAAAATGGGGGAAAAAGACATTTAACTGTGGCAAGGGTAGCGTGACCATTGCCCGGCATTGTCGGCTGAGGACGGTTGAAAAAGTGGTAAAAATAAAGAAAGTAACTGACCTGAAAGGTCGGTCTGGACGGTGTGGTGAAACCGAGGATGTGCAGCAGCTTGCTGCTTTGTGTTTGGTGGTTGATGGCTTTGTGGGTAATAGTTTCGATGTCAAGGCATCAAATCAGCACTAATGGTGAATTAAAAAACCATTGATGTGGGAATCTCTATGCATTAGCATCAAAATGCTCGTAGGTTCCACGTGATTGGCTCAAGTCTAAACCATTCACTCCAACCCAAAACTAGTGCTGATTGGCTTTCATTTGGTTTCATAGGCATAGTCATGGAAAGAGTGAATCCACTTACCCAGCTCCAAATCCCCAATTTCAGCACAAGCTGGCAAGGCCGCCACCAAACAGATACAATGCTTTCTTACGCTTGCCACTTCGTGCATGCCCAGCGATGATAGTGGTCCACGAGACAACGTTTCTCTCGGGCATTTCATCAAACACCTTCCTCGCCGATCACAGTATTCCAAGTGGCAAACATTTCATCAAACACCCGACGGGCGCAATCCGTCCGGGATCCACCACCTGCCGTGGCGAACATGTTAACCAAGCTCGCTATTCACAAACACGTTGTTCAAGCAATGCCCAGTCGACAAAGCTCTCCCGTGAAGCTGCAGGCCTTCTGTCAAGGAACCAGACTTGGCGCAGGCGCTGAGAACAAAGGAATACGTGAACCCAATCATTTGATTGATGTTGTAGGGCTTGGAACTGGAGGCGGCCTGCGGGTTAGCGCCGGGAAGGGCAGAAATCATCCCCGTCGTGGCTCCTCCGCTTCCCTTGCCAGCAATTGCACGGCCACCGGCGGGCAAGAGGAGATGAATATGGGCTCCCGCCAACAGAATGATTAGAAATGGACCGTGGGCTTTTGATTTCTCATGGATCTGACTTTGAGGCCTGGTGAGTGCAGCAAGCCCATGTCATAGGAGAAATATGAATTTAGTTTACGAGATAATTATTTACATATTTTTTTTTATTTGTTTAGTATTGCTAAAAATTGTTCGATACACATAAGAACAAATTTAATGACAAGGAAAAAAATTATGAGTAAAAATGAATGGAGCATTTGTAATCCGATATATCATAATATTAACCAAATACGAACAAAAATGTACGCTAAACTCGTTAATCTTCCCATTTGCATACGGTTTACAGTCAAGAGGTAAAAATTAACAAAAATAGAGTGGTTAGTTTTACCATTTCCTCCAAAACTTTAATTGACCTAGCTATCACTACTATAAGCTACATAGTTCTACTCTACACTTAAAGTTTTCATTCTGGTTTGAAGAAATTGGCATGGAGGCCTTTGTCAGCCAAGCTCCAAACAGCTCCAACCACCAAAAGAACGCACAAAGCCATCCCCAAGCTACCAAGCAACAAATTCAAACCCCAAACCGCCACATCTCCACCACTTTTACAATCCGTGTTGGGTGCGGATTTCTTCACCTTCATCTTCATCGCAATCCACATCAGGCAAGGATAGGCCAGAGTCAGAGGCAGAGCCACGGCTCCTATCAATGGAGCCAGGCTAGGCAAGAACGGGAAAGTCACGGCGATGAAGAACGTCACCCCTCCGAAGAACAGCCTCGAGCAGGCTCGAACGAGCCTCGAGCACGGCTTGTTGTTCTTCTTTTGGGAGATGAGACTGAGCTCCAAGTTGTCGAAAACCGGCATGGCGTAGATCGGGTATGAGGTCAGGCAGTTGACTAGAAGTAGCAAGTAGATGAGGCCTTTCAGTGGCTTCGAAGTGCTCGAGCCGTGGAATGATGAGAATGCCTTCAGCATTCCTCCACTGGAAGGCACCTGCAGAGGAAATTTTCCAGGTTAGATGGCTCAAATTGGTGACTGAAATCATGAGGTTCGATGATTCTTTAGTCATGAAGCTTACCTTGTTTCCATAAGCCCAAAACCCTGCAATTGCTAGAGGGAACAAGATGATCATTACAATTGCATATGAAATCATCACAGCTCTCCACATTGTCTTCCTAGATTGAATCTTCTGTCCTGAAGGCAATGTCCCCTGCCATCAAAACCCAAAAATTCTTTGTTTTCAGCTTCATAATCTTAGTTAGTTGAAATCCTGAAAAGGGTTGATCTTCTTACCTGGATTTCAAGAATAAGATTGTGGCCTCTGAAAGAAAGCATGATGATCCCAATTCCATTCAGCACATCACTCATTCTCCCCATGCCAGATTCATTTGCTGATGATGGTGATCCATAATCAGCATCAGAAACCCTGCCTTTCGCGACGGGGAGTGCCCACAGGAAAGTGCAGTAGGCAATGCCTGTGATGGCTGCAACCAGCGAGAATCCAGCAACAGAATTGAGGTTTGGAGCTTGAGCCATCAGTATAGCCATGGCTGTGAACACCAAGAACCATTCTACCCCAGTCAGCGCGGAGCTGCTAGTCCCTCTGACCTCATTGAAGAAGAGCTCCATGGCTTTCCCGCCATTGATGATCAGCACCACGCAGGAAGCTCCTGACAGGTACATCACTGGAAACAGTGCCAGCAGTTTCCCCAACTTTGGACCTGTAGAGTAAGCAAATATTGTCACTTTTAGGTTTGCAGTTTTGGGAAAGTTTGGTTGAGAAATGAGAGGGATGGAGTCAGTCAGTACTAACCAAATGCAGCCATTGATAGCTGAAGGAATCTACTGTACCGAGTTCCGGGGACCGATTCATGGAGCTGGACTAGAACCCAGATGGTGTAGAGCTGCCATATGAAACCCAGTGACAAACATATGGTTCCCCATGCCCTGCACCCATTGAAGCCAAAGTCGTTACCTACTAGTTACTACCCATTGACGCTATTGGTTCAAAGTTTCTGACTTTGATACACTATTGCACCAGATCATGCCAAGAATTGAAGAAAATGTGTTCCTTTTTTCATTGAAAATGGTTGTTGTACTGATGGGAATCTGTTTTGTTTGTTTGTTTGCAGGTGATTTGGAATCTTGAATTTTCAAACCATGCAAACCATATTTAAATATTGGCAAGATGCACATATGAGACAATTGTATGTAGATCCAAAATTCCCTTTCTCCCACCTACCGTGGAACAACTACTGCACCAAAAAGACAGAAAATTGCAGAACTTGAAGCTCCTATATTGGGATCTTCTGACAGAGATACCATGAACACCAGAGGAAACCCAGGTTAATGTTCTTGCCTAAAGAACATATATCAGACATAAACAGTAAGTAGAGACCATTACCATCCAAGTGAAGCAAATGCAACAGGGAGCAAGAGAGCTTGAACTCCAATTCCAGAAGAAATCAAATGGAAGACACAAGTCCAGAGATTCCCCTCCCTGGATTCTGTTAAGGGCAGCCATGCCTCAATTGGGTTGGCACTGTTGGCCTCAGTGCTGCTCTCCTCTGGACTAATGGTGATGACATGTGGATGGGATTCATCATCTTCTATAGGAATCCTTGTATTGGGAGAAAAGCTGTTGATTGGGTAAACTTCAGCCATTGTTAAGGTGGGAAGGGGAAAGGGAAGAAATGGGTTCAGAGGTGATTGCATGGAAGAAATGGGGGAGTGAATTTGGGATCTTTTGTAGGCCTGAGAAATGACAATGGAGGTCAAGTGACATCATTCGTGACGCCACGTGGATTGCGTTGGGCATGTATCACCAAAGGACTGACATCATCATCCTTTGCCTTCTTCTTGTAGAGGGTATGAATTAAGAATTATTGCAGGCTGCTGATGATTAAAGAAAAGGAGGCAAAGGAGAAGTAGTTTTTTCTTTTGTAATTAATATGAATTAAGAAATGGGAGGGGGTTTGGTTAACTGTATATATTGGTGATCAGTTCATATATCCGTTGAATGTGAACCCTAATTAGGGTTAGTAGTGGTAATAACGTGTGATAAAGAAGCAGAGTTTGAAAGGGGAGGATACCAAATAAAATAATTGTGAGTCCAAAATGGTATGCTGTAGTATATGGTTAAGCTTACATTGCTGGTGGGAAGAACATGGTACAAATGTAGGAGGGGGGTTACAAGGACTCGAATAAACTATCGGATTATCGTTATATATCATTTTTTCGGATATTGATGAGTTATTTATCTTAATTGTAGTTGATATTTTAGCAGCGACCGATCGAGATCATTAAGGTAGAATCATAGTCTGGAAATGAACTACAAGTGGGTACGTTCTCGCTATTCACGAGTGTGACGCTTCTTTCGGGATAAATGCGCATCACAATGCTTTCGTAAATTATATTTTCTTTCATCAAAACTAGACACAATTGGTATCATTTAATAAATGCTTATCGTTTTATGATTGGGCCTGGAAAAGTCTAAGCCCATAGGCGGAAACACTGTAAAGCAGCTCACGTCTCCCAAACTCTCACTCACCAATTGGGCTTTGCTGTGAATGTATTGTGAAGTCAAAAGCCCAAGAAACTAAAAAAAAAAGGGAGCTAATTAAACAATACATTTCTTTCCATCCTTGTGAAGATCTCGAATTCGAGATTGGTAAAAGAGTACACACTACTCATTATTTTCACCCATACAAAACGAATAACAATCCCCTCTCTATATGCTCACAATTACACATACCTTCAACAAAGATTGGCAACCCCAAAGAAACAAACAAACCTTACCTCACCACTCATCCCAATTTCTAATCTAAACTAAGTAGGCTTGAAGAAGCTGAACTTAATTCCATTGTCAATCACAACATAAACCCCGGCAACAATCAACGCACCACTCAGGGCCAGCCCGAAAACCCCCAGCACCCAGTTCACGAGCCACGACTTGCTGAACCTGGTCGGCTTCCTGACCTTGAGCCACATGAAGCACGGGTATGCCAGTGTGATCGGCAGCGCGATCCCTCCCATGAGACCCGCCACGCTCCCCAGGAACGGCAGGGCCACCGCCGTGAAGAAGCACGAGAACGCGAACGTCACCCTCAGCGACGCCCTGACCCAGACGGGGCAGGGCCTCTTCAGCTTGGTCACCACGGACGACTCCATCTGGTCGAACATTGGCATCCCGTAGAGCTGGAACGAGCTCACCGCGTTCACCACCACGAAGAAGCTGGTCAGCCCCAGGATGAAGCGCGACGTGTCCTGACCGTGGAAGGCGAACAACGCTGTCAGCATCCCGCCCTGTGGGATCTGTCGATTGTGGTCAGAATGACGATTATGTTAGTTATCGATCGGTGGGACATGATTACAATTTTTTTTTTAGAGGGAGGGGGAGGGGGTTTAACTAATTACCAGTTGACCATAGGCCCAATATCCTCCAATGGCGAGGGGGAAAAGGCACATAGAGATTAGGGCATAAGCAACTTTGACACCTTTCCACATTGGCACTGTTGATGGATGCTTTTCACTTGAAGGCATTGTTGCCTGATATGTGTAGTCAACAAAAAATATAAATTAATCGTCATTAATTAATAAATTAATTGCATTAAGAATTATTAACCATTAATTAGAAGAAGAAAACTAGTCAAGAAACAAAAAGGGAGTTACATTCTTGTCAATATTGGAGGAACAACTATAGCACACAGAAATTCAGCACAAAGTATAGAGATATAATAATTAAATAATAATTCAAAGTTGTATAGTAGCAAACATAATATATATAATTCAAAGTTCAACCAAAGCCAGCCGAAGAAAACTTTTTTAATAGCATATTTGCCCAACATTTGACTCAAAGTTGCTAGGATTCATTTTTCTTTATAATTCAAGTGAATAGGCCAAAAAGTATTAAATTATCAACAATCACATACTAAAAACAATCATATTAAATGATATTAAGCCATTTCATACCGTTTGGAAAATGGTACAGAAAATTGTACTGAATAAGTTATCGAAATGATATTTTGTTTGTGAAAGAATTTATAGAATGTATATTAATAGGATATTATTATCAAAATATTACTAGCTAACACATTTCATTGGTAATTTATAGATTGTACCTTCCCGATGATCCGGCTTTTGATAAAAATTTGTGATCTTACCACAAATATAATACGGTATCACAAATCAGTTTCAAATGCTTTTTTAATATTATAGAAATTTCAACCGTCTTTTAAAATGATGTCACCCTAGCTTTACCCATAAAACTATCTTATGTGTAAAATTTTTACTTCTGATTTTAGTCGTCGATTTAATTAAACTCCACGAATTAATAATTTACCTGAATTTCGAGTACGAGATTATGTCCCCTGAAAGCAAACGCGATGATCCCAAGCGCGTTCAAGACGCTGAAAACCTTCTCAAGATCCGAACCCGGACGAACCGGGTTGTACGACACGCCGGGCATCCGCCCCTCGGCGACCGACACGGCCCATATGATTGTACAGTACCCGACCGCCGTGATGGCTCCGACGAGGGACACCCCGGCGATGGAGTTGAGGTTGGGGAGCTGCGACAGGAGCACCGCCGCGAAGGTAAAAATCAAGTACCACTCGACGGTGGTCGGGTCGTGTGACGAGCACGCGCCGCCGCATATGGTCTGGAACAACAGCTTGGACGTGGAGCCGCCGATGATGATCAACGCCACACACGTCCCGCCCGACAAGTACATTATCGGAAACATCGCCAACAATTTCGATACCCTCTCACCTACATATATAAAATAATTAACAAGTTACGTCAACGTTAAAAGATTCTGATACCACGTCAAGAATTTTTTTAACGACTGCGTTAATATAAAAGTGTACATACCGAAAGCTGCATTAGCGAGCTGAAGGTACCGACTGTAACGCACGCCGGTTTCGACCGATTCGTGGAGCTGGACGAGGATGTGGAGTGTGTAGAGCTGCCATATGAATGCTAGTGTCAAGCATATAACTCCCCACGCCCTGTTCAACATCAATTACAAATGATTAAACACGTCGATAAAAAAAATCGAGAAATCTTGTGTTTGAATTCAACTCATATTTTATCGTCTAGACAAATTATTAAATCAAAATTCAATAAAATCTTATTAAAATCGGCCTATTTTTTCACCATCGTGACTAATCTCATTTGACTAGAGCAAGTTAACAGTTGACCAAACGACGGAAGAGGGGAATAAAAACTAGTTGGGAAGAGATCACACTTACCAACCAAGGGCGGTGAAGGCGACGGGGAGGATGAGGGCCTGAATCCCGATGCCGGAGCAGAGCGTGTGAAACGCCGCGTAGACGGCGTTACCGTTCCTCGACTCCGTGATGGGGAGCCACGCGTCGTGCGGGTCCAGCTTCGTCATGTGGAGGGCCTTCCTCAGCGGGGAACCCAACGGCGTGATGAATCGCGGCGTCCGGAACCTCCCCGGCGTCCTGGCGCCGCTCCTTGGGGTCCGGCCGCCCATCGGGGTCCGGTTCGTGCTGACGGGGGCCGTCACGACGCGGTCGGGGGACATCATGAGGAGCGGCGACCGGGCGAGGGAGGGGGAGTGGAACTGCGACGGCGGGGCGGATATCGGCGGCGGCCGCGGGGTCATCGGATTGGAACCCGGCGCCAGCACTTGGTCCAGGGAGTAATGATCACCGTTGGCATCGTGGTGGTTCTGATCGTCCCCCATTTCGAGTCGCCGGATCACCGAACTTGAGTTTTTTCCCCCCTCTTTTTGAACGTTGTTGGTCTCAAGGTTCGAACTCAGAAGTTAATTAGTTCGCGGACTCGACTCGTTCGGGTTACGAATTTTTCGATGTTAGGAACAAAGGTTTTTGAATAATTTGATTGGTGTGTGTTTTGTGGTTTTGGTATGTGTGTATATATAGAGCTTAGGTGGAACTATAATGTGTAATTTTGTTTTTTTTTTAATAATTGAGGCATGTAGTGGTGGTAATAAAATAATTGATGTGGAACCATTTGATGGCCTAGTTGTTAGTATTTAAATCAATTAAACTAGTCGATAAGGTATAGCAGCCAGCAGCCAGCCATGTTTGTCAAAATATATGAGAAATTTGGGAATGATTTTTGGACTATGATGTTGGTTATTAACTTGTGTATTTTCGATAGAAGAATTATGTTGTTGATTCTCTTGTTTACTATTTGTAAAAAATATAGTATATGTATACAATTTCACTGGCCGTTTCCTCACACTCTACGTACCATTTTCAGGAAAAAAAAATATTGTTAGCGTGATAACCAGTGACGGAACTATAAATCTGAATGAGTCGCTTTTGATGGACTCTCCGAGTACGTATGCACTCGAAATAATTTTGTACGTATTCGCCAAGTTGCTCGTCATATGGATATAAATGAGAACTAGATTTATTTTTATCTTTGTTTGGTTTGGGAGAGCACCGGCGGCGGCGGTCCAACGAAGCCGCATGACAAAAATGGTGATGGATGTTATTTATACAGTAGTATTGATTATGGTCAGCGTTGGACGCCTGGGTTCGTCGTTCTCATCTAAGTTTGGGATTTTTTTATTTTAATTTCATTGTACTGTTTTCGTCCTTACTCTTGTCGTTGGTCTTTCGGGGCTTGCTTGGTGATTTCCAAGGTAAAGCCATGTTGCAAATTAAACATGCACATATATGCATTGGGAAGTTGGTGAGAAGAGGGGATGGTCAATTAAAAACGTTTTTCTTTTATCAATTAATGACAATTTGATATTATTGATATGAGATTGAATTGGAATAATTTGTCGTCGAATGAAAATTATAGGGTCTCAGCGAGTCGGGGTTTAGGGGCAAAATGTCTAGTTAGGAGGTTTGGAGAAATCTTGTTTCCCCGATAAGGTTTGGGGCCAACGCTCTCAATCCACTGTGTATGAGCTTATACATATATGGGTTTCTGTTCTGGACTCGACTCTCTTATCCGTGAACTAACTAACACATATTATGTTGATTAGTGAACCAGATAAATATATATTAATAAATAATACTGTAAAGTGTGCATCGCTTGCTCTCATAGATTTAATGATAGAAATTCGTAAATCGATGTATACGCCATAGTTCCTTGTCTAGGGGGAAAAACAGATGACGGTGGAGTGGATTATACATATATAGGCATGTGAAGAACAGTTAGATAGTTCATAAATGTGGAAGGAAATCAAGGAATTGTCGTGTACGTTAGTCATCACATGGTCATAGGTCAAGACTCATCAAGAGCCTCCCTTTGACAAAATAAACACCATTTCGTCTAAATTCCTTTCACCGATTGTAATTAATATTGAAATCGAATCGAATCCATGGAAACTATATTGAAAATAAATAAACACCATTTGGTGGCTAGAAAAACCCTTGCTTTGTATCCGGCTACAAGTCGTTATTTTGATTTCCAGGCCTGACTGTTATCCAGGATGTAATAGTTTTTGTTCCAATCAATATATATGATTATCTTTTATAAAAAAAAAAGACCAAAATTTCATCAAACGGGTATTTGGTTCTTTTTTATATTAGTTATTAAAAAAATTCTTGATATTAAAATCATATCACATCGATCTAATTTTATTTGTTTCAGTGCAAACCAACTGTGTCCTCTTTTCCACGGTAAAGGAAAGATAGCAACACATTATTTTTCATCTTAGTGAAGATCTCAAATTCGAGATTAGAAAACTACACTTTATTTTCACCGAATACAAAATGAATAGTACACCCTCTCTAAGCTCACAATTACACACTCTTTAAGTTTCAACAAAGGATTGGGTACCAAAAAAAAAAAAAAAAAAACCATCCACACAATTGGGCCATTTGATGGCCCATCCCAAATTCTTCTAAAACTAAACGGGCTTAAAGAGTATCACGTTAGGTCTTAGTGAAAAGAAAAGGTCGAAAAAACATGCATGCACTAAGTGTGTATGATATAATAATATACTTAACCAAAACAAAAGAGCTAATTATGAATTCATATATGCTATGATGGAAAAAAAATCATTGGCAATATAAACACAAGTTAATCATTGTTATTAGGATTCATTATTATTAACTAATTGTGATTTGGAAGGGGATCATGAAGACCGAAGACCAAATATATATGATTTTTTAGTCAAGTGATGCTCTTGATCACGTGACGAGAACGTGGTAATTCCTTCCCACCCTACAAACTTTGAGCTGTGTTGTTCACATGCACTGGCGCCAACTTATATACGTAAATGTTGCTAAATTGTCATTTGCATCGAAAGCATTTCGTTATATAAAATTTGACTTATTAAAATTTAGGATTATCTCTAAAATTTTTGAGTCATTAAAACGACATGGTTATTGAATCTGCATTATATATGTCAAAGTTTGTAACAATTTGTATCTAAATTTGTACAAACTTGAAACCAATTGAATTGTGTTAAATCGAAATTTAGATTAAACAGATAAATCAAAATCATTCTTAAAAATTTAATTTGAAACGTCAGATAACCCCAAAAAATTACCAAGAACGAAAACCAATAGATAAAAACCAAAATAACTCCTAGGCCGAAACTTTAACAAAAAAAAAAAGAAACGTATACATATGTTTCAATTATTATAGGCTCAACTTTAGCCGGAAAAGGACAATATGTCGATAATTAAGCTTAGATATAGCTTGATCTATAGACTACAAATATATATTCACCGCCCACATAATAAGAAGTTAACGTCGACATGTGTGTTTAGCTGTTTATATAAACTGATTGCAACTAAATGGCAAGTTTGAAAGAAGGTTTGATTAGTCTTAACTCTAATACCATTGGATGGTCGCATTTAGTTTATTTTAGCCATCTCAATCATATAGTTTTTTTTTCCCCATTAAGGGAGGCCAAAGCCAAGAAGGAGAGCAAACTACATCAAGAGAGAAGAGGGCAGAGAAGAAGACTATCTATCCGTTTGCACCACAACCCGGCGCTCAAAAGAGACTCCATGATTATCATCCTGCAGAATACGACACAGATCCCTGGGTGGGTCCACAAGTTCTCGCATACCGTAGGGATAGACGAGACTGTGCTTCGAGAGCCAGTCTGCGGCTCTATTCCCTTCTCGGTATGTGTAAACAATGTTGACCAACCAATCCTGAGCCATACGCCGCCGTATCGATATAAGCAGGCCGACGTAGGGGTGAATGGGGTCATGTCGATCCTTAATCAACTGGATAGCTAGTTGAGAATAAGATTCGATGATCAATTTCATGCACCTGTACCGCCAAGCAATATCCAAACCATGTCGAATTGCCCACAGCTCAGCAAGGGCTGCCGAGGCCTCCCCAATCTTAGCCACAAAACCAGCTATCCAACGACCCTGCTCATCTCTAATCAACCCGCCAGCTCCTGCAATTCCAGCATTACCGGCCGAGGCCCCATCTACATTAAGCTTCAGCCAACCCCTTGGGGGGCAAGCCACCTAATGCTCTCAATCCTTCTATCTTGGACCATATCTCAATCATATAGTTGTTATTATGCATTCATTTGTTTATGGTATCGATTAATTGTTACGTTCTCCAAAAAAAGATTAATTGTTACTGCTTGTTTACTGACATCGATTATTAAGTCTAATTTGTGGTATTCAGTAGTGGTCGTGACTTGGAACTAATATAGATCATCCGTCATACGCATAAGCCAATAATTACTTGATATCCTAAAATTTATAAGCTATGTGATTTCTAACATTGATTGTTTTCTTCAACTGATTCTCGTACATCTTTAAATTGGACTATGAACATACCATTAGATCATATAAATTCCAGAAAACCACATGAAGAAGTGGTTGTTTGAATGCAACCTTTTGGCTATGAACATATTGTAAGCATTCCAAGTTACACACATAGAAAACCGTGACCATTTCCAGCAGGATAGGTCTCTTGAATGTTGATCACAGCTCAATCATGCATATTCCAACATTCCATTCCCACAAGAAACTTCCAACAACATACATACACACATAAAACATAGATGCATGAGTGATCGATCCCATCCAAACTCTCCTAGCTAAGACTTCAAAAAAAAAAAAAAAAAAAAAGAGAAAGGGAAAAAAGACTACTACTTGAGAGACCTATAAAAACGTTAAGCAGGAAGTGCTTTTCAGAATACGAAAATATTAATTAGCACTCACCGTAGATTAGTCTCGTTCAATAAAAAAACGAGTATATCACGTAGAACTGTTGTGTTGTGTGGTTGTTTCAATTCCGGGTAATCAAAATTCTTCAGCACCATGGCGGTTCACATCTTTCCAGCTGCAGCAGCTCTTGTAGTAGGGCTACTCCTTGCGGGCGATTTGGGCGCCGGCGGCGTACAGTATTGCAGCCTAATCCCGGCCACCATCGATCCATTTTTCCCGACCTACGTTGACAGCCTTCTTGACGAGCTGGTTGTCAATACGCCGAACAAGGACGCGGACGCTTCTTCGGGCGACACGAGGTTCGCCTCGATGTTCCCGTTAATGGACGGTAACGGCGGCGCCAGGGGCGAAGCGACTTGTTACAGTGGCGTCACCGGAGATAGCTGCAAGCAATGTCTGACGGAAGCGCGACCGTACGTCAGTCAATGCAGAAACTACACCACCGGCGGAGCTAAGTACGACGGTCGATGCATCATTCAGTTCTGGGAGCTCTCGCCTTAATTATTAAATAATAATGTATCGATCGATGATCCCTATGAAGTGATGATCACTCTTCCTCGTGTATTAGTTCGTACTAGTGTTTGAGTACTATGCATGGATTTTAATTACTGCGTTGTTGTCGAATGTATAAGTTGAATAAGTAACCTAATAAAGGGAGAGATTTGGGAGTTGTGGAAAGTACAATGTGTGAGGGGCCTAAGGAGTTCATTAACCTATTTCAAAATAGATAATAATTATCGTATCGTCGTAGCTGATTTCGTGAAGTTGTGGAAGTTATGAAAGCGTTTTGTCTCAACTCGCCGTTATTCGATGGATTCTATGAAAAGAGTGGAAATAATCCATCTATTCAACAACCATCTGATGGAAAGACTAATTAATACACATTTGAAAAAAAATCATGATCTACATGTTGGGATGATGAGTTTCGTTCTCGCGCCACGCGAAGGAAGTCAGGGAAAGGAGGAGAGAGGCGAGGTACTGGTCTGGACTTGTCGTCGCGTCTGAATGGGTGATGGTGAACGTCGATGCAGCAACAATCTATTGAAAGAGAGGGTTCGGGATAAGGGTTGGTGGCGGGGGATTCCAATTTCCAACTATGTATATTGATTATACATGATACGTGCTAGCTAGCGGCGAAGGATTATTCCAATGGTGTAATGTCGATTAGCAGTCTAACGATACCAACCTATACTATATAATTTGATTAACAGTGATATGCTCGAGTCTCTATAAATTCTCCCATAAATATTGTACAACATCCAATATATATATATAAAATATCATTTAGGTGATATAATATGTGTTCCCCCATACTTCTAAGTTGCAAATCCATGGCAAATCATCATGGTCCATGAATTAGACAACACATCCACATTGGTTTTTTTTGGAGGTTGGACACATCTCTAGCCAACATATCAAAATCCTCATGTCTCCCAAAGGTACCAAAGCCCTACACGTACAACCACTCAATCAATCATCAACCATTATCTCCTTGTGTACGATTTTGCCAAACTTGGAACAACCCTATCAATTCAAGCTACAAACGCCATAACCAACTTACCCAACCTTCAATTGACCAATACATCGAACCCTTTACACAAAGTCCAACCCACCGATTTTGGGCCCAAAAATCTCCCTTCCACATACACACAATACCATCCCCAACATACGTACAATCATGGGTTCCTTTATTCCCTCACAACACCCAGACAACAAAGAAACAAACCCAATTTTTCCCATTACCAAATCCAATCAACACCCTCCACAACCTTATTCTCTTCAAAACCCATCAAACCCCTTTTTCCTTAGTATTTGTCTCAATTGCCATGTTATATGATCTTCCACACCACACGTATCCTTGCCCTTGCCAAACCCTACAACATTGTGACACTCAACCCAACCAATTGTCTCTCCCCCCAGCTCATGATTGACAAATGTCATCACAATGATCCACTCGTCCCCCTCATCTCCCCCCTCTATATAACACGACATACCAATTCAATCGAATTCTCCATCAAAACATCTCTCGAAACAAGTAACACTCAACCCTATGCAAAAAAACTCATCCTTTTGTTATGCTTTCCCCTTCACCGTCGCTTCTTTGTTGTCTCGTTAAGAACTTCTTATTACGTCACTATCTCGATATCAGTTTGTCTGAGTCACTTGTATAAAGAAAACCCATTTGAGATTTGGCTATTCTTCTTCTTCTTCTTCTTCAAGCAATCATGGTGGTGGTGAGCCCAATGAAGCTCCTCAAACTGGCCAAGAAGTGGAGGAAGCAAGCTTCCATGAACGGCGACAACATCATTATTTCACTACCGATCTTTAGAAGCAACAGTGGTAGGGCACGGTTGCTTCTCAAGGGCCATTTCGCCGTGTACACGGTGGAGGATCAGAAACGTTTCATGGTTCCAATGTGTTGCTTGGAGGATCAAGTGTTCAGGCAGCTGCTGGAGATGTCGGAGGAAGAGTTTGGGCTTCCCGGGAACGGGCCCATCAGATTGCCATGTGATGGGCTTTTCATGGAGGGCCTGGTTTCATGGATCAAACGGCGGGAAGCTGCCGACCGTGATCTGATCAGGAAGGCGCTGATTATTGCTTCTTGTGTTGGTAACGGCGGTCGGTTTGAGGTGTCGTGTCCGTCGCCGTTAGTGACGTCGGGTGATTATCGTCGCCGGGAACCTACCGGCGGCCAACAATTCATGGTCTCTAGTTATTGAATGCATATGAACTATATTAGTGTTATTCATTTTTGTTTTGTTTTGGGTAGATGAATAGATATCCCATTATGTAATGCGTTGATCATGTCGCAAATGTTAAATGGGCTAAGACGCGCGTGGCAGCTAGCAGAAGTGGCTAATTTGGTTGATAAATAAATGATATTTTATTTAAGCATTGTGATTCCTAATTCGTTACGATTTTTATGAGGATGAAATAATATTTTTCAAGAGAGTTTCATAGAATATTAGGGTTAAAACTGGAAATTTTATTTACGTAAATTCAACTTTAATTTTTAACCATCTGAACTGTAATTGTGTACACTATGTAATTTTTTGTTTGTTTGTTTGTGAGAATACACTATGTAATTGTAATTGATGACAAAGTAACATTCCAATATATTCTATGAAAGACAAAATATTGTCACTAAGTGTGACCACAAGTGTTGGCATCTACCATGCTAATTTAAGTAGTGTTGTGTAAAATCGTATTAGTAAACTTACCCATGAGGAATATATTGATAACAAAAGAAAGAACTCAACAATCAGGAACATAAATCCACCACTTGTTGTGACATGAAATGACAAACATCTAAAATATTATATAAATTTTTTCCTCCTTAAATGTGTAATCTATGCTGATGCTCAAAACGAGAGACCAAAAAAACTACAGTAGTTTGGAAACAAATCGAACTATCTATGTATCCCTCAAAAAAAAAAAATCGAACTATCTATGTAAGTCGTCTTCTACTCAAATATAAAGAGATTTTTAAGCCGAAAAGCCAGAGGAAATTAGATCAACTACTAAGATTCATATATGTATATATCAAACAACATGTGCTAATTAGAAAATGCTTAAGTAATATATATTTTCCACGCTTACACGTCATTTTCATACAATTCGACAAAATGTATTTTACTAATAATCTGTGATTATTATTAGATAAAAATTTATTGAGAATCGACTATTAGATAAAAATTTACAATAACACACATAGATATATTTTATTATTTTGAGATAAATAAAGCCCTCTATATAAGCTCCACATATATATGAAAAAAAATGTACAACCTCAAAGTACACACTGATAATTACTACATAATAATTCATAGACAACATACTCCCTCAAGAAAGAAAAAAACAAAATTGAACCTCCCAAAAGCCTCAAAACAATTACCATATACCAATAATCGTTGGGCTTCCAAACTCTTCTTAGTAAAACATATTGATATTAATATATTATACCATATAATCCGATCTTCAATCTAGGAAAGTAAGCTGCTCCTTGAACGAAACGCCTTCCGCCCTCCGGCGCCACGAACCGGCGAAGCGGTCGCTAAAGATCCCTTCTTCCCGTCGGTAATAACCCCATTTGCCCACGGATCATTAACATCTTTAGCGACGATATCCCCTGACTTTTGGATCCGCCAGACGACGTCTTCCAGGAAAGCGGCGTCGCAGGGGACCATGATGGGCCCGTCGCCGGAGACGCCGAACTCTTCCTCGGATCTCCGAAACAGGTCCTGGAAATTCCGGTCGCCGAGGTAAGATAGCGGGAGGACGAATCGCTTGAAGTCGTCGGTGTAGACGACGAAGTGTCCCCTGTTTGCGACAGGGGAGGAGTTGAACTTGCCGATGTCGAAGTCCACGCCTTCGTAGTTGGTCCTGGAGTTGAAGCTCATGCTCTTCTTCTGCCACTTCTTGGCCATCTTGATCAGCTTCTTTGGGCTTATCATGGTTAATTTGATTGATTGATGGTGATGATTGAGTGATTAGGGAGGGATTAGGGGGATGAGGGGAATTGGTTAGAGAGGGGGTGAAAGGAAATGGTGGATTTATAGACGATTTTGGGGGATGGGTGGTTTTTGGATTAGTTTATGGGATGTGGGTTTTGGATTTTGGGTGAATAGTTTTTGGGTAGGAATGGGGACAAATAATAGTATACAAAAGTTTTTGGCTTGTTAATAGAACCCGATCAGGACGATCGGTTAGACCAGTAGAATCGTCAATCAATTATAATTACTCGTCGATCTGTTTGTATGGATGGTTAGCCATGGAAAAGGTGATTGTTAGCGGTCGGATTTTGAACTAGTCAAATCGTGCTGATCTAGCTGACCGATGGTTCATTGGTTCAATGTTTCGAACTCGGAAATATGAAAGCCAACCATAATTAGATTTCTTCTTCTTCTTTCTACTACCTCTTTAATTCGGTTCTGGCGAGTCATTTCTATCAACTTGTTATTTATTTCCACCTTCTTACTCTTGATCCAAAGCTGCTTAATCTATTATATGAACTGTTATATGTAAATGATTCATTCACCAACAGGCGATGATGCGAGAATTAATCATTAAATCGTGAACTACTGCATTTTCTGGTTTGGTTTGATATTCAATCCGATTCTCAAAACATAAGTTTTTGAAGGGAAGGAGATGCGTCTGGTTTTCGAATCAGTTTTGGGGTTTTGTTAGCCTTATTTAATTGAGAGATTAGTGTCCTCGGTTACCCACTAAACTTTACCATTTGCCCTGCGGCATGATCCTGGCTTCTGGATACAATCCAAATCCAAATAGACTACTCCATAAGTTGACAAGAAGAGTTGGTGGTGCATGGTGGGTTTTGAAGAGGTCAATAAACATAGAAAAGATTTTGGATGGTTTGGGTGAAGTTCATGTTACCGCATGTTTGAATATGATCGAAACAATTTTCGCGATTCAATATGCATTAGAATTATGTTATTTTGGTGAACGAATGTTCGGTAATGTTGTAAAAAACAAGTGGATTGTCATCAAAACCAAAGAATTCATGAATGTATACATACATTTACTAATAACGATCGTCTTTGCTCGACCCGTAAGAGATCTCACCATCGATCATTTTCGTCCATTCAAACCACTAATTTTATACGAATCCATGAACAAAGAAATATGAAAAGATCGAGCGCTGCAGTTCGCGATATGAATTGTACTTGAATGAAATGTAAATGGTCGATGTGAAATGTACTTATTTGTTTAACAAACATTGGTTGGATTTTGGGCAGGGGAACTCAAAGAGTCTTTCAAGTACAAAATAGCAGCATAATGATTGTACTTTTATGGGATTGTTTTCATTATCCACAAGCCGTTAACATGGCAGCATATAGAGATTTCTGAACTCTCAAAGACCAGAGAGATCATGTCCTCCCTCTTGTCTGGTTTTGTCACGTTTGGACAATCTAGTACTATTTTTGCCACATGTCTCACAAACCAAACAGTAATTGTCAAAATCTTGTTTTGCCAAGGTACCAAAATTTGGTACTTTTCTCAACCATACCCTAAAACAGTAGAGTCCAAGTTCTCCATCTACTTTTTTTAACATTTACCCTAATCCAAAACACCTACCAAAAGCCAAAAATTGGGTCTAAAAGTTACCCTAATCTCCCTTATTCTACTATTTGACAGAGTCTTCTTTCAGAACCCATAGATGACAAACGGCTGGTGGGTTTGCTCCAAGCCACAAGATTGCCAACAGCTAGAGTTTCTTTCTGCTGAGATGCTCATCAGCAGAGCCTTTACCATGTCTTCTGGTATGGATCTATGGCTTTGGAACAAGCCGATGAGGTATTCGAGGAAGCTTGGGTGGCAAGGTAGGGTGATTGGTCCATCACTTGGCAATCCAAGCTGCTCTTCAGACAATCTCAAGAGCTCTCTGAATATGGTGTGGTTCAGAAACTCCAGTGGGATCACAAACCTTCTTCTGCTCCTTCCATCATCATGATCAGCTGTTGTGTAGACTGCAAAATGGCCCCTTTTCACTTCAGTCACCTCATCTTTTCTTCTGGGAAATGTGATCCTTGTCCCTTTCTTGTGGGTAGCTGCTGCCATTCTCTGCCACTTTCTTGCCAATTGGAGGAGCCTTCTTGGGTTGATCTTCATTTGGATGGATATAAGGGAAAGGGGAACAAGTTTCTGAGAGGGTTTGTTTTTGCCTGTGTTCTTGTTCTTCTTCTTGTTTGCTGTTGGATTATGGTAGCTTGATTACAGATGGGGCTTTCTTCATATATTTATATGTAGGTAAAGATATGATTGTGTGGACAGAATTTGGAGACAAGCAGCTTGGAGCTGTCTGGTGTTCTGTCTCCTGATGGCTGTGTTTGGTCATGTCCATGTGACTTTGTCATGGGAGCATTGAGCCATGACCAGTAGATATCACTTGGTTGAGTTTTGGTTCATTATGGTTGCTTGGTTTTGGAGATGATTTGATTGCACAATCAAAGCTGTTGAGTTGGCTATTGAGAAGAATTTTTTTAGTGCTCATTCAAAGTAGAACTCTTTCTATCAAGTCATCAGCATAATCGTAGTATCAAACTTCGAAAACAAAAATGTTTGATCTAGTCGGAACAGTTAGAGAACAACGAATTAACTTACTGCAGGGTGAATTGTAGTTTTATGGATGGAGAATGAGCTTCTGACGTAATAGTTAGAGAACGAGGCAATCGACCACCACCACCACGAGATATGGTTGTTAGAGGTTAAATAGTTGACAATGTAACATGTTTAGGTTAGACTGGACGTTGCTGCAGAAAGCATTTTGTGGTCTGCTGTGTTTTTCTGACAACTGGTTTTCGCATGGACAGGAATATGGGCCCAGAAGAAGGGAGTTAGTTGGGCGTTCAAAGTATGTGGAGGTGGATGGATCATATGCCCAAAATCTTTTATGGGCTGGTTAATGTTCATTGGAGGCTTTGTCAGCCGCCACCTAAACAGCAGTTTGGCCCAACCTCACCACGTTCTGTCTGAAAGACTCTTCTTCACCATTCAAAAAGGGATGAGAAATGAGAACATAAGCCGCCAAAAAACAGTTGTGTGTCTAAATAGAAGTTGTCTCCCAGAGAAGACATAAATTTCCCTTCCAATTTGTAGCCTCAAATAGTTCAAGGGTCACATCCTTCATACAGCTAAGTGTTTGATGGTTACCTACTTGCTATTAAGGCATTGTTTGTCCGGGTTCGTTATGGATGTTCGTACGAAGTGGTAAACAATTGGTTAGTTTATAGAGCGTGAATTCGTGATCATGTGGTTAGGTTAGGGACAATGTGATCAATACCCGCTTTCAAGAGTAAACGTGTTTGGTTCACTAAGATGATGAAAAATGAGAATTTTATGACACATTTGTTCTATCCTGACTGGATCTCGTTGGAAATAGTCAACTCTCACGAATATGGGTGTGGACATCTATCGATTCGATTCATAAATAGGTGGAATTAGGATATTAGTGCTCAAAAAATATGACTAGAACCGAATCTAAAGCTGATTTGGTTCAATTCTATGCAATCTAAATTCAATTTCAATCTACTTTTCTTCAAACTTAAGAAAATTCTCTAGGATTGAGACAAAAATAAACAATTTTTTATACAATCCGTTTCGATTCAAATATTGATTCGGGTAAATTTCCGATTGGAGTGGATCAAATCATTGCTCACTCCCACCCACCAATCTGCGTGGTGGACTGGTGGTAGTGTTTTGCATGGAGATTTACCAATACAACTGGGCCTTTGGGCCTGAAAGAATCCCCTTCGGACCAAACATTAAATCAACTAACAACGGGCCCATTACAAAAAAAGCCTGCAAAGTGCGGGCCCATTGAGGCATTCTTTCCACGCTCTCTGTTTGTTCGTCTGGTTATCTGCTAATAACGAATGAATTTGCAGTTGAAATTGAACATGTGGATGGGTGGCTAGAGCCTGGAAAACAGCTTATCTCCTTCTCCTTCATGTTTCAATCGAAAGTTTCCGACTTTACTTCCCAATTCCACAACACAAAGAGGGAAGTGAACTGTGCGTTCTTGTTTTAGTGAGCGAACGGCGATGGCTGGTCCTCCGAAACTGTGCAGCAGCATCCATGGCGGGAAATCCCTTTTCCCATTTCCCGCTTCTTCTTCAAGCTTGCTTGCCAAACCCATCTCCCCCCTGAAAACTTACAACGGTTCTGCTCTCCCCACTGGTAATAATTGCCCAATCTCGCGCTTAATTGGTACTAATTATGGCGACCCCATTAGCTAGCACACAAGCTGTTGTCCGATTGTTCCACTCTGAATCAATTGGCTGCTTACAGTCTGGGAAAATTGTGCAGGAGGATTGAGCTCCGGGCATGGCTTGTGGAGAAGAGCTACGGGATTGAAGTGTAGAGCGACAAGCACACCAGGTTTGTTGAGTTAATTATCTGAGGTATCCAACTTGGGGGTTGTACTTTGTAGTTTTCTTTCTTAAAGCATCCAATCTTCAGGTGGAAATGTTTCTTTTCAGCATCAGTACAGCCAGTGACTGATGGTGTGGTGGTGGAAGACAAGTCCAAGGAGAACTTGGTCAGTGGGGATTCCATACGCCGGAGGTTTATTGACTTCTATGCTTCCCGTGGCCATAAGGTTCTGCCAAGTTCTTCTCTTGTGCCTGATGATCCAACAGTACTTCTTACCATCGCAGGGATGCTTCAGTTTAAGCCCATATTCCTTGGGAAGGTAAATGCTTGCAATTCACTACGAGTTTTTGGTTTTGCTGGAATTAGAACACAAGATAGACTATTGAATGAGACAACTTTTAAGGGGTTTTCAAGCACTATTTGGTGCCATGAGTATTTTGTATTATCTGTTAAGGTAGTTTCTATATGAACAAGTTGTCCCATTCACCAGGCTCCAAGAGAGTTTCCTCGAGCAACAACTTCACAAAAGTGCATTCGTACAAATGACGTTGAGAATGTTGGTCGAACAAGTCGGCATCATACATTCTTTGAGATGCTTGGAAATTTTAGCTTTGGAGATTACTTCAAGCGAGAAGCGATTAAATGGGCATGGGAGCTTTCAATAGAGGAGTATGTAGAGATATAATGCTGCTGTTAGTCAAGCTCTGGCTCCTCATTCCATTTTCAATTTGCAAGGAGAATTTCCTTCATATTCTTTTCCGTTTTACTATTTCAGATTTGGGCTTCCAGCTGACAGTGTGTGGATTAGCATATATGAAGATGATGATGAAACTTTCAAAATATGGCATGAAGAGGTTAGTCGGCCTTCATCTCCTTGAATCTAACTGTCGCGCAGAGCAGTTTTCTTGGAATTCCATGTTAACAGAATTTCATATCAGGTTGGTGTTCCTGTTGAGCGAATAAAAAGAATGGGTGCAGAAGACAATTTTTGGACTAGTGGGCCAACAGGTCCTTGTGGTCCATGCACTGAGCTTTATTTTGATTTTCATCCTGAAAAGGGAAATGGTGAAGTGGTATGCATTTCTCTTATTCTGAAATCTTACTACTTATTTCACTGTTTACCTGGTAATACTGGTGTTGGTGGAACTTGTTTGCTGGTACCTTTCCATTTCTTATGGTTTCTCTTTCCATTGAATGTTGACTTGCAGGATCTTGGGGACGACAGTAGGTTTATAGAGTTCTACAACCTAGTGTTCATGCAGTACAACAGAAAGGATGATGGATCACTTGAGCCTTTGAAGCAGCAAAACATAGATACTGGGCTTGGTCTAGAGCGGTTAGCTCGCATACTCCAAAAGGTAACCTTCAAACTTCCGTTTGACAAAATCTATACTAAAGCTTAATGGTGCTTTATAACAATAAATTTTGCTGCTTATAGAATTGATTTTGCTTCAAATGCAAAATCTTGCGACCTTTGCTATTTGTTTTGAGTTCTTTCGTCTGTCCTGCAGGTTCCCAACAATTATGAGACCGATTTGATCTATCCAATCATCCAAAAGGCCTCGGAGTTGGCAAATGTTCCGTACCATGGTGCTGATGATAAGAAGAAAATGCAACTTAAAGTACGTCGAGTCCTGAATATTTGTTTTCTCAAGTTTGCTCCACTATAACACCTCCACACTATATAAATTTTTGCAGATTATAGGAGATCATATGCGTGCAATTGTATACCTATTATCAGATGGAGTCCTCCCTTCAAATGTTGGCAGGGGCTATGTGGCTCGTCGCCTTATAAGAAGGGCTGTTCGAACGGGAAGGTTGCTTGGGATAAAGGGGGATTGTAAAGGTAACATTGAAGGAGCATTTTTGCCAGCCATTGCTGAAACAGTTATTGAAATGAGCACTTCCATTGATCCTGAAGTAAAAGTGAGGGCATCCCGTATTATTGGTGAGTTGCAAAGGGAAGAGCTTCGTTTTGTACTGACTCTTGAGAGGGGAGAAAAGTTGCTTGAACAAATGTTATCTGAAGCACTATCAAGTGCCAAAAAAATTGGAAGATCGCCATGCTTGTCTGGAAATGATTTGTTTCTTTTATACGACACGTACGGATTTCCAGTTGAGATCACAACCGAAGTTGCTGAAGAAAAAGGGGTAGAGATAGACATGGAAGGTTTCTATGTTGAGATGGAGAACCAAAGGCGTCAATCTCAGGCCGCACACAATGTTGTTAAGCTTGATGTTGAAAATGGTGGAGATCTTGCTGAAATGGTTGCAGATACAGAATTTCTGGGATATGACACCCTTTCTACGAAGGCATTAGTCCAAAGCCTATTACTGAATGGGAAACCAGTGTTGCAGGTTTCTGAAGGAAACGAAGTAGAAGTTTTGTTGAACAAGACACCGTTTTATGCCGAGTCAGGTGGTCAAATTGGGGATCGGGGTTATCTCTATATAACAGAAGATGAAAGTGAACGGACAGCTGTTGTGCAGATACAAGATGTTAAAAAGTCTCTCGGCAGTGTGTTTGTTCACAAGGGAACCATTAAAGAAGGAGTCTTGGAGGTTGGCAAAGAAGTGGAAGCCAATGTAGATCCAAAGTTGAGGCAACGAGCTAAGGTCTGTGTTTAATTATGTTCCTTAAAATTTGCAGACATTAAATGCATTCGTAAGAATGACTGAACTGAAAACAGCAATTATAAAGGCAGTGAAGTTTCTCTTGATGCATTTGAGAGTCCGTCAACTATAGATTATCCACTTAATAAAATGTATGAATTTTACAGGTCCACCATACTGCCACTCATTTGCTACAGTCTGCACTCAAGAAAGTTATCGGTGAGGAAACATCACAAGCTGGTTCATTGGTGGCTTTTGATCGTCTCAGATTTGATTTCAACTTTCATCGGCCACTTGTCGATAACGAGCTGGATGAAATTGAAAGATTGATAAACGGATGGATAGGTGATGCAACACTACTTCACACTAAAGTTTTGCCCTTGACTGATGCTAAAAAGGCAGGAGCTATTGCCATGTTTGGAGAAAAATATGGAGAGGAGGTAAAAGCTTTTCCTCGTGTTAGAAATTTATGAGTGATTGGGTGCTTTACCTTGTGGGATAAGCCATTTTGCACTCCTAACCTTAAAGTTGTCACTTCTGTTGTCAATGTGTTGTAGGTACGCGTCGTGGAGGTTCCTGGTGTATCCATGGAACTTTGTGGTGGAACCCATGTCAACAATACTTCTGAAATTCGTGCATTCAAGATAATATCAGAGCAGGGGATTGCATCTGGAATCAGGCGAATCGAGGCTGTTGCAGGTGAAGCATACATCGAGTATATTAACGGAAGAGATTCCCAATTGAGACGACTCTGTTCCACTCTCAAAGTAAGTTTTGCTAACTATTCAAAATTATAACCCTTCATTGATGTTTCATATATATGCCAGTTCCATTTTTGGCAAGACTCAGTTCTCAAGTAGCTGGAATGTTGCTCCGCAGAAAAGTATAAGTTGAAATGAAGTAATTTGCTTCATATTTAGGGGATAGTAAACTGATTTAGTGGTGAAGTATCTCGAGTAATGATTTCCTCCAGAATAACTCTGTATTATTAATTCATGATGTGTTTTGAAGGTCAAAGCGGAAGAGGTTACAACCAGGGTAGATAACTTATTAGAAGAGCTACGAGCAGCAAGAAATGAAGTATCAACATTGCGTGCAAAGGCTGCAGTGTACAAAGCATCTATAATTGCCAGCAAAGTGATCTCTATAGAAGCTTCAAGTCCAATTAGGTAAGCAATTTTCAATCACAATCTCGTTAAACTGCATAGTTGTTCAATAGATAAATGCTTCTGGTTTCTCATAGACGATCTCCATTTCTCTTATATCAGGGTCCTAGTCGAGAACATGGATGATGTGGATGCCGAGTCACTCAAAAGTGCAGCGGAGTATTTAGTGGACTCACTGCAAGATCCAGCAGCTGTTGTCTTGGGGTCCGCTCCGGATGAAGGGAAGGTGAGCCTTGTGGCAGCGTTTTCTCCAGGAGTTGTCAAATTGGGTGTTCAGGCAGGGAAGTTCATAGGGCCTATAGCCAAATTATGTGGAGGAGGAGGCGGTGGAAGGCCGAACTTTGCTCAGGCTGGTGGTAGGCAGCCCGAGAACCTGTCCAGCGCATTGGAAAAAGCTCGAACAGATCTTTTATCAGTTCTTACTGAAAAGTCCAGTCAATAATCAACTTATATAACTCTAGTAGATCTCTGCAGAAGAATCAGTCATCAACAACTGCTAGGCTCTACCATGCACATAAATATTTGCCGTTTTGACAAAGAAAGCAAGGAGCTACATCCTTACCTTGGACTGTTCTTCAGCATTTCCAGCGCGAGGAACTGGGTACTTCCCTTATTCGTGTTCTGGATAAAGCCACAACCAGCATCTGTCAATCATGAAATGTGATATAGAAACTGGTGATTTTTCCCCCATCTTCTTGCTGCAGATAATTGTCGATGGCGATCGTGCAGTTGCAGTTCCAGCAACGGTTGTGCTGATCATTAGTGGGGAAGATCTTTGTGATTGTTTCTGGCTTTCTGCATGCATTATTGTAATGTAGGATGATGAAAGCTTAATGCTAACCATCCAGAAGCAGGATGGGCTGTCAAAGTTGTGTGTTTGAATAGAATGAGACATACTTGATTTAGGTAAAGATTCTAGTAATGTTTTGTGTACATACATTATGAACACATATCAAATATACTTTCTGCAATTCGAAATGAAGCATTTGTGTACATACATTATGAACACATATCGAATATACTTTCTGCAATTCGAAATGAAGCATTTGTATGCATATTAGTAGTTTTTTTTCAAGTTGAAAGGTTAAATGCAAAATGAAACAACAGATTCTAATCCGAGACTTTTCCTAGTCCTAGTTAGGGTGTCATCTGAATTCAAGGCCAAACACTTAAAGCTACATAACTAGGCGGCCAAGGTTTTGTGCCAAGGTTGGAAGAATCAACCAGAATCCGACAAAATATATGTTTTTAAATCTACAGACGTATAAGTTACAATATATTATATTCCAATTCTCAAAGGATGAAAAGAAAAACTTAAAGCTATATCAGGACTATCATTCTTCATTGTCCTAGACTCCTAGTAGGATTTTGTATTATGTTTCTTGCCATAAAAGTAACGGGTGCAAAAGGTTAACTTGGAGGGAACGGAGATAGGTGTTTTGGGTTTTCCTAAGTTATAAATAAATATTATTACTAAAACAACTAATATTAGAGCAGGTAACAAGCGTCGAAGATCTTGCGGCGACACAAATCACAATGAAGGCGACGGAGAACTTGGTCAGTGGGGATTCGATACGCCGGAGGTTCATTGATTTCTATGCTTCCCGTGGCCATAAGGTTCTGCCAAGTTCTTCCCTTGTTTCCGATGATCCTACAGTACTTCTTACGATCGCAGGGATGCTTCAGTTTAAGCCCATATTCCTGGGAAAGGTAAACGCCTGCAATTCACAGTGATCATTGTGTTTGTTGTTTTGGCTGCAAGTAGAAGGCTTTATAGACTGTTGAATGAGACGAGTTTTAAGGGTTTTTTCAAGCATTAAGTTGGTGAGGTTGTTTCATGGTGATTCCACTTTCTATGTTAGGTTCCAAGAGAGGTCCCTCGAGCAACAACTGCACAGAAGTGCATTCGCACAAACGACGTCGAGAATGTTGGACGAACGAGCCGGCATCATACGTTCTTCGAGATGCTTGGGAACTTCAGCTTTGGAGATTACTTCAAGCGAGAAGCGATTAGATGGGCATGGGAGCTTTCAATAGAGGAGTATGTAGAGATAGAATGTTCTGCTGTTAGTCAAGCGCGCTGGCTCTTGTTTCCATTTGCAAAGAGAACTTCATTGATATCGTTTTGCGCTTTGTTCTTTTCCGTTTCTCTGCTGCAGATTTGGGCTTCCAGCTGACAGAGTGTGGATTAGCGTATATGAGGAGGATGATGAAGCTTTCAAGATATGGCATGAAGAGGTAGGTGGTGTTCTTGACCTCCTTGAACACTAGATGTTTTATAGAGCAGTTTTCTTCGAGTTCGATGCTGACAGAAAGAAATTCACTTCAGGTGGGCGTTCCTGTTGAGAGAATAAAAAGGATGGGTGAAGAAGACAACTTTTGGACCAGTGGAGCTACAGGTCCTTGTGGACCATGTTCTGAGCTTTACTATGATTTCCATCCTGAAAGGGGTGTCGACGAAGCGGTATGTATGGCTTTCTGTACTCCTGGAAACCTGAAGCTTTTTTCACTCCTTACCTGCTAAGGATGCGGTTTATTACTGGAACTTCAAGTTGGATAAGGTGAACTTTCATGCTCATGGTTTTTCTTTCAATTGGATGATTGACTGGCAGGATCTCGAGGATGACAGTAGGTTCTTAGAGTTCTACAATCTAGTGTTCATGCAGTACAACAGAAAGGATGATGGATCACTTGAACCTTTGAAGCAGCAAAACATAGATACTGGGCTTGGTCTAGAGCGGTTAGCTCGCATACTCCAAAAGGTATCCTTCAGAATTCCATTAGGAAAAGCTGATGCTAAAGCTTAATCTTCCCTAAAACAGAAAGCATTCCAAATGCAGAATCTTGAGAACTTTGATATGTATTTTGAGTTCTTTCTTCAATGGATGTTCTCTCTTGCAGGTTCCCAACAATTATGAGACTGATTTGGTCTATCCAATCATCCAAAAGGCCTCAGAATTGGCAGCTGTTTCGTACCATGATGCAGACGATAAGAAGAAAGTGCAACTTAAAGTATGTTGGGAATTTAGTTGATTCCTAAATATTTGTTTCTTCAAGTTTGCTTCCACTGTAATGCCTCCACACTTAAATCTCTTTGTCATGTCTGCAGATCATAGGAGATCATACACGTGCAATCGTGTACCTATTATCAGATGGAGTTCTTCCTTCAAATGTTGGCAGGGGCTATGTCGTTCGACAACTTATACGAAGGGCAGTTCGAACTGGATGGTTACTTGGTATAAAGGGGAATTGTAAAGGTAACATCGAAGGAGCATTCTTACCAACCATTGCTCAAACAGTTATAGAAATGAGCACTGCTATTGATCCTGAAGTGAAGGCGAGGGCATCTCGTATTATTGGCGAGTTGCAAAGGGAAGAGCTTCGTTTTGTACAGACTCTAGAGAGAGGAGAGAAGTTGCTTGAACTAAAGTTAGCAGAAGCACTATCATGTGCCAAACAAAGTGAAAGATCCCCCTGCTTGTTGGGAAATGACGTGTTTCTCCTATATGCCACATATGGATATCCAGTTGAGATCACAACTGAAGTTGCTATAGAAAAAGGGGTAGAGATAGACAGGGAAGGTTTCGATGTTGAGATGGAGGAGCACAGGCGTCAATCTCAGGCGAATCACAACATTGTTAAACTTGATGTTGAAAATGGTGGGGATCTTGCTGAAAAGGTTGCTGATACAGAATTTTTGGGATATGATACCCTTTCAACGAAGGCAATGGTCCAAAGCCTATTCGTAAATGGGAAACCAGTGTTGCAGGTTTCTGAAGGAAATGAAGTAGAAATCTTGCTGGACAAGACACCGTTTTATGCCGAGTCAGGTGGTCAAATCGGAGATCAGGGCTATCTCTATGTTACAGGAGACCAAAGCGAATGGACAGCAGTTGTGCAGATCCAAGATGTTAAAAAATCTCTCGGCAGTGTGTTTGTTCACAAGGGCACCATTAAAGAAGGAGTCTTGGAGGTTGGCAAAGAAGTGGAAGCCACTGTAGATCCAAAGTTGAGGCAGCGAGCTAAGGTCTGTGTTAGTTATGTTCTTTCCTTACAATTTGCGGACATTAAATGCATTCATACGATGACTGAACTGAAAACAGCCATTATGAAGGTGGTGAAGTTTGTCTTGGTGCATCTGCTTAAAAATGTATTTAATTATACAGGTTCACCATACTGCCACTCACTTGCTACAATCTGCACTCAAGAAGGTTATTGGTGAGGAGACATCACAAGCTGGTTCATTGGTGGCTTTTGATCGTCTCCGATTTGATTTCCACTTTCACCGGCCACTGGTTAATGGTGAGCTGGACGAAATCGAAAGATTGATAAACGGATGGATTGGTGATGCAATACTACTTCAAACTAAGGTCTTGCCCATGACTGATGCTAAAATGGCAGGGGCCATTGCCATGTTTGGAGAAAAATACGGAGAGGAGGTAAAGCTTTCCATCACGTTAGAAGTTGGAGAATTACTACGTGCATCACATATCAAATAAGCCATTTGTGAACCTTCATTTTGCATTCTGAACTCGTGTAAGTTTTCACTTCTGCTGTTAATGTGTTGTAGGTGCGTGTTGTGGAGGTTCCTGGTGTATCAATGGAACTTTGTGGTGGAACCCATGTCAACAGTACTTCTGAAATTCGTGCATTCAAGATAATATCAGAGCAAGGGATTGCATCTGGAATCAGGCGAATCGAGGCTGTTGCAGGTGAAGCATACATCGAGTATACTAATGGAAGAGATTCCCAATTGAGACGACTCGGTTCCACTCTCAACGTAAGTTTGCCACCTATTCAAAATCAAAACCATCCATTGATGTTTCATATATCTGCAAGTTCCATTTTGGCCAGACTCGATTCTCAAATAGCTGGAATGTTACTCTTCAGAAAAGTTTATAGTGGTGAAGTAACTCGAGTAATAATTTATGCATTGTCAATTCATGGGGTCTTTTGAAGGTGAAAGCGGATGATGTTACAACCAGGGTAGATAAATTGTTAAAGGAGCTACAAGCAGCAAGAAATGAAGTATCAGCATTGCGTGTAAAAGCTGCACTGTATCAAGCATCCGTAGTTTCCAGCAATGTGGTCTCTATAGAAGCTTCAACTCCAATTAGGTAAGCAAGTTTCAATCACGATATTGCGAAACTGTATGTCAGCCCAGTTGAGAAATGCTAATCTCCAAATCTCTTATATCAGGGTTCTAGTCGAGAACATGGATGATGTGGATGCAGACTCGCTCAAAGTTGCAGCAGAATATTTAGTGGAAAAGCTGCAAGATCCAGCAGCTGTGGTTCTGGGGTCTGCTCCGGATGAAGGGAAGGTGAGCCTGGTGGCTGCATTCTCTCCAGGAGTTGTCAAATTGGGTGTTCAGGCAGGGAAGTTCATAGGGCCTATGGCAAAACTATGTGGTGGTGGAGGAGGTGGACGGCCTAACTTTGCTCAGGCTGGAGGGAGGAAGCCCGAGAATCTGTCGAGTGCATTGGAGAAATCTCGAACAGATCTTCTGTCAGTTCTTACAGAAAAGGCAGGTCAATAATTTTAACTTTTAAGTCATCAGGCTGATAGATTCCCTGATAGAGAACTCAGCAGAAGAATCACTCATCAACACATTGCTAGGTTGATGTTAGAAACCGAATTATATCGGGTTTCTATATTTATTATTATAATCATTATTAGGGTAATTCTTATTATGGTTAGTAGTCTTCTAGTAGAATTAGGTTTATTCTTAGGGTTTTCTAGTATTTCTCTATATATATGTACTTTGGGTCATTCGTCATATTAAGCAGAAGTTAATAAAGAATTATCTCCCTAAGTTCCTATCCCAATCCTATCAATTCTTGACCTCAATCCCTCCAAAGGCTTAGGCCGATTCTCTTCTGTTCTTCCCCAAATTCTCTTCTCAAATCCCTAAATCCCCAATTCTATTCTATAAACCATAAATTCTCAATCTCTAGATCTGATCTAGAGACCCGTTAGAAACTTGTTTCTGACATAGGTTCTACCATGTACATAAATACTTGATCTTTTAACAAAGAAAGTAAGGAGCTTCTTGGTAATGCTCATGACAAGCATATCGCCATGGTGAAATACAATATGTGAATCTGTTATTTTTCCACCTGCTCTCTGTGTAGATAATTGTCAATGGCAATTGTTCAGCTGCAGTTCCAACTTCCAACCATGGTTGTGCTGGTCTTTATTGAGAAAGATCTCTGTGATTTTTTCCATTTTCCACATGAATTATTGATGCAGGAAGATGGAAGCTTAATGCTAAACCATCTAGACAGAATCAATAAGATGGGCTGTCAAAGCTGCTGTGTGTTTCAATAGAATGAAACATAGTTGATTCAGGTAGAGATTCTAGTACTGTTTTTTGTACATAATATTATGAATACAATTCTGAATACACTGAACAATCTTCACAAGATGTAGTGGGCTGTATGTTATTTATTCCTCTGACATATTTTCCTTCACATGGCCTAATTGAGCCTAGGATCTCCTGCAAATCTCTCAAGAGTACCTGTACTTTCTGCAAAATAAAATGATTTGTATGCACTATTAGATCTTTTAGAAGGTGAAACGAAATGTCGTGTTCGAAAGATATATTGGTGAAATAGTAAATTCGAATATGTGTCCTCACTCGACTACGTCTGATGAAAAGGAAAAAAAGAAGTGGCAGTTTGGTATGGTGGAGATCCAATGGATGATATGGTAGAATGTGCTTTAGAAAGGAAAGGAAGGCCCACTGAGAGTTTACTACTCCTTGAAGAAAAGGCAGTGGCATGGTAGGTTTAGGATGGCAAAGTGGTGGAAATGGAAGACAGAAGGAATTCCATTTAAATTATAGACTGCCTAATAAAACCAAAGGTAGGAGAATTAACACTTGAATCATGACAATCATACAAAAACATACCACTTTTGTATCTACTTTGCTATCACGCTTTAATCAGAGGGCAGAGGCAGAGGTTAACGTGAACCGACATTATTTATGTATTAATATATTCACGATCTCTATTGTAGAATTCAGATGTTCGCCTATAACAATAAAGATGTCATTGCATATATTCAACATTGACTCAGATGTTAGTCATATAATTTGTCGGTATCCGTTTGTGTCGACGCCTACCCTTATCAGCCTATACGAGAAAATTGATGGGTGGGGGACAAATGACAATGCTTGCTGGAACCAAACGTTGTCGTTTTGTTCTTACTTCTTTTGTTCTTCTTTTTTCAACCCTTACCCACTTAGGTTTTGTCACAAATCTTCTTCTGGCAGTCTAGAGGGGACCATTAATAATCAAATATAGCATCTAATTATTGGGGTTGCTAGCTCTTTGTATTGTTATTATCCACAACTAATCGGTGGCTCTAGTTAATTAGTAGCCATCTTAATCACATCTTTTTAACTAACTAAAAATCATTATTGTTATTATTGGACTCTTCAACCACTCCACCCTCCAGCTATCGGTTCACTGTACTCCAAATCTAAAACAAAGCTTTTGGGATGATTTATTTAACAACAATGTTCACCAATTAATTATTATTGAGCTCAATCAACGATTTTTTTTTAATATATATTCATATGGATTCGCTTACAATTTCATCAATCAGTCGATACAAACGTTAAAATTATTATCATAATTGTTATTATATTATAATAGTGCATGCTCTGAATTTCAAGATTCTTTCCACTCCGATACATATATAAAATTCGCGCCTTAATATCTAATGTTCGTACTTATAGAACAGGGGCTATCTTCAGCTCTCTTCTCCGAAATTTACGTTTAATTGTAGAAAAAGGCTACATCGTGTTATTTTCTGCCCTCGCTCTCACTTTAAATCTTGACTTCGCCACAGTTAGCTGATGAAAAGGGGCATGAATGGTGGGCTATATATTAAGCATATGATCCTTTTCTCATTCTAAAACTCTGAATTTTACTAGTAATTATTTTCACGAACAATCATAACACACGAGGATTGTTATCATCATCTATTTGTGGGAACGGACTGTGTACAGCTGCGGATGTGGGTTTTGACTAGCAAGATATATAGGAAGATCGCCATCCAGTGTACAAACAGTCGGCACAATTCCAGCTCACTCGACAGCCAACCAAAAACTATATATGATGCCAGTTGCCAGTATACGGTTCGGTCCGGTTCAATTGGCCCAAATTGATCCAGTCCAGTCCCGTTTTTTTGAAAATATAAGGATCAAAGATTGGATTGGATACAGTCCGGTCTTGATCCGGTCCGGTCCCAACTCGGTCTTTGATTTTATATTGAGCTTGTGGGGATTTGAGTGGCCTAAGGCCTGAAAGGGTGAGGAGTTGGTTAAGTTTTGTACTAAGTGCAATGGTTTGTGACCGTTTATGCAAATTACCCATAAGTTTTGGGTGTTGAGCTCTCTTATCCGGTCTTTATCCAGTTTACGATCCGGTCTCGAACGGTTTTTTTACCTCAAATCTAAGCCAAAAATTGGATTGGATTGTTTACTATTAGGTCCCGATCCGGTCTCGGTCCGAATTATACGGTCCGATTTCGGATTAAACCAAAAAACCCGGACCAAATAGCCAGCCCTAGCCAGCCTGCATGCTGTGACAAAAGATATGGGCGATTCTGTTATGGCTATTACGTGGGAAAATGACACCATTGGCTGCCATGCAAATGGGCTATAAGAGAAAGAATGACCTGTGTTCCTTGTTTATGTGCAGATATGAATATGATCTGTAGTCAGCTAGATTAGATAGAGAGAAAGGGAAGCAAGGAAAGCGTGAACAAAGAGAGAAAGGGAAACAAGGAAGGAAGGTAGAAGAAGAAAGAAGAAGAACAAGTGAGGACTTGGAAGTCCAACATCTTCTCATTCATGAATCATAAATCATCCCAGTAATCAAAATAGTACCGAATATTTTTACCTGTGTACGCGGTTTGGGGAGAAAATCTTATTTGCGTTCGGACAGTCGAATGTAAAGTTCTTTATATAACCAGAGGTCGAATCGTGGTTCGGACGACCTGGCCTCGTCGAAGCGCAAGGGGAAATGTCAGTTTTTGACCCTTCATTTTATTTCTATAGGTCTCGCTAAAGTGAAATTGTTATGGGTATCGAGCTATACAAAAGAAATAATAATAAAAAAATTACAGTGGAATTATTTTAAGAACGGACATTTTTATCGCTCAAACCGAGGTTCGACTGTGATTCACGATATTTGGATGCAAAATTTAACAAAAAATAATAATAAGAAGAAATTGATACTTAATAATTTTTTTTCTTTGAAGTAGAAACTAGAAAGTCATGATTGATGTAAAAAAGTTTTTAAGGAAATACATGTTTGAATATTATACTTATATATGTTATAAACCTAACTTGAATGATCATGTTTGTAAGTACCGAGATGAAATCTAATCTCACATTGGTAAAGACTGAAAAAAAAAACGGTACAATCGAGATTCTCTGCCATGATCAAAAGTCGATCCACGAATTCTAGTGCCCCAAACCCAAAAAGCTAATATTAAAGCTTACCGACTTAGTCACCCCAAGAACAATAAAGTAAAGTGGAGAGTGAGTGAGTGAGTGTAAGTGCCGACGTATTTACGCGTGGTGGAATTATGGGCTGCCTGGTGGCTGCCTCTCACTCTGTTTCTGCTCTCTGTTTTTCTCACTCGGCAAAACAGAGTCGGTGAGAAAGTGCTGTTGGAGGCTCTGCTCTGCTCTGCTCTCTCTCCACTCAACACAAACCACTTTCCTCGATTCCTCTTTACATTCTCTCGCCGCGTTTGTGTCACATTCTTGTCGGTTTCACTTTCAATTGTTTATTGTGATTGACTAAATTATATATTCAAGCCTTTTTAAGTTCATGGAATGGAAATATTCTTGATGTGATATTAGAGTTGTTTTTGTTAAAATGAATTCGTATATGATGGACAGATTAGTCATGGGTTTTGAAAGATTAGTAATGGGTCGTGACTGATAAGGTAATTAATTGATGAAATGAGTTGTAAATGATAATTTACGGAATATGTTACGTTGATGATGGGTGGGGTTGATAGATGTAAAAACTTATGGGTAAAAAAAATGAATATTTTGATAAATTTATGGGGATATACATAATCGACGAAATTGAAGTACCTAGATCAAATTTTTGTGAAAAAGTGTTAGAATCTTGTAAATATCTTTAATTGTATTATATAAAGCCTAACGATCGACTAATAGTTTCCATAGGCTGATGAATTCTAGGAAACGATTAGAGATAAATAGTAAATGAATGTAAAACGGCGGGTATGCAAGAAAGTTTCTTTCTTGATAACTATTTGGCGTAAACTTAATCTACAAATCATTTTTTTACAGTTTTTCCATGACAATGGGATACAATTTTATGTGTGGAATTCAGCAAGTCTTGTGCTATTACTATGGTGAATTCGTGTGGATTTTAACATTTTATTCAATGAAGGTACTCTCATTCGAAAGACCAATAGAAAAGGGATAATGTGAGATTTTTAATTTGCTCTTATCTCAAGAGAGAGATCAACTGTTATACAAACCACCACAAAAGTGATTGATCTTTTCGCATTATTTTGCTTTCCTGAAATCAATGCTTCACATCTCTCTGTCTCTCTCTAACCCCCCCACCCTGCCAACTTTCTCTCTCTATCCAGCTCATTCCCTTACGTGTTGTCATCTTCTTCCCTATATAAACCAAATTCCTCTGCCTTCCATTTAACCTTCACCACAACTTGACTTCTCCTCTCAGCCTTTGAAAGAAATCCTCCCACAGCAAAAGAACAGAAATCCAAACATGCCGCCGTTGTCATTACTCCCCTTTCTGCTGATCTCGCTTGTCTCCTCCGCAACCGCCTGCGACCGCTGCCTCCACTCCACCAAAGTCGCCTACTTCTCCAAGGCATCCGCGCTTTCAAGTAAATCCCCTGTTTTTTGCTTCCTCCCTCCCCTGTTTTTTCTTCTTCGCTTCTTTTCAATCCCGTTCTTCCCTTTTCGTTGATCAAAATGAAGTTTTGGACAAGACCCTGTTAATTTTTTGCGGAGACCAATGATGGGTATTGATTTTTATCTCGTTTGCCGCAGATGGTGCTTGTGGGTATGGATCCATGGCGATCGGTTTCAACACCGGACAACTCGCAGCAGCTGCCCCTTCTATCTACAAAAATGGAGCTGGTTGCGGCGCTTGTTTCCAGGTACAATAATCTCTCTGAACTCGAAAAAAAGCTTCCTTCTTTGCCACAAATACGTCTAACAATCGTCACGTTACCACTAGTCCAATTGTAACTGTCAGATACTAAATTGCCTGAAAAAAAACGTTTTGGGTTCCTTTCTTGAAATAGATTAGATGCAAGAACCCAGGGCTATGCAGCAGCAGGGGAACCACAGTCATGGTGACCGACCTCAACACCAGCAACACCACCGATTTCGTCCTCAGCAGCAGAGCTTTCATGGCCATGGCCAGCGAAGGCAAAGCCTCCGACGTTCTCAAGCTCGGGATCGCCGACGTCGAATACAAAAGGTATATAGTCAAAATTACCATATAAATAATATGCAAATCAGTCCATTAACTGGTCCTGCTGACAATGGTATCACAATATTAGAATTAAAAAACGAGACCATTTTTCAGTATATTATAATTAGCAGACAGGAAACCGGTTCGAGCCAGAAACCCACCATTAAATGCCCATTAACGGTCAAATTGAAAGAAAAAATTCTTTCTTTGCTCTTGTTGCAGGGTGCCATGTGAGTTCAAGACCAAGAATTTAGCGGTGAGGGTGGAGGAGTCGAGCCAGAAGCCGCATTACTTGGCGGTCAAGGTCCTGTACCAGGGCGGTCAGACCGAGATCGTCGGGATGGACGTGGCTCGACTCGGTTCGTCGAACTGGGCCTTCCTGAGCCGGAACCACGGGGCGGTCTGGGACACGAGCCGGGTACCCGAGGGCCCCCTGCAGTTCCGGTTCGTCGTGACGGGCGGGTTCGACGGGAAGTGGGTTTGGGCCCAGAAGGCCGTGCTGCCGGGAGACTGGAAGCCCGGGATGGTTTACGATACTGGGCTTCAGATTACTGATATAGCCCAGGAGCCTTGCTCGCCTTGTGATGATTCCACCTGGAAGTGAAGCTGAAGAAGGAAAATATAAGTGGAGAATGGAGATGTTATTTTTAATATTTTATACTTTTTCATGCAAAAGCAAGAGAAGTTGTGAATATTACGGTTAATAAAATGTGGTGAAAAAGTTTATGTTTCGTATTTTTGTACTTTTATGTAGCTGAAATCAATAATTAATGGATTTTTGGAAAGATCTCCTCATACATATATGACTGCAGTTCATTTTGCATTTGGGCCGAGAGTGCTGGTTTTGGAGAATGGAGCCCTTGGGAATGTTTGGGTAATACTGGGCCTTACATTGCTGAACTTTTGGGCTTCACAGTTCACAGGATGTATACATTGCTGCTGTGGTGGCATTCAATGGGATTTGTGAATGGGCCGTGACTTTACCTTCACATTGATGCCATTGCCATACCATTCATTTCGTTTGGATCACACTGCCCGATAAGCCCACAGAAGAGGCCCAATAGAGATCAGAGATGTGGTTTGGACTTTGAAGAGAAGGGAGTAGGGACCATTTGTGGAAAGGGTAGTTGGACCATTTGTATTTTGAATCATGAGATCTTAAAGAGTATAAATTTCACTATGTAATCAGTTATTTATCATTTTACCTAAATCACTACCTGATCGTGAGAGGTTTAGTTTTTCTAAAATTCTATGAATGTGTAGAAGAAAATGATTATTCTCATGTTGTAGTCAAGATATACGTTCGCGATCACTTGGAGAGCACAATACAAAAGGGAGTTGCATGTTGTCTTTTAAGGAGGATGCTTATCTATTTTCGAACTAACTTCTTCTCACATAATCTAAACGCTTATCATAACTTTCGTTATGCAGGCTTATCCCCATTGGTGTTTAAAATATGTCTGATCCAAACATTCTAGCTCTATTTATTCCGATGAAACCAACCATTTCTTTTCCCATCAAATTTTATTAAATAGTTGTTTATCACTCTGTACCATATATCACCCAAAAAACTCGAATTCTTCTTACTCAAGTCGCCCTCATCTCAGAATCTAAGAGGTCGTTTGTTTGTTGGATTTGGGTCATGGATTTGGTACCCAAATCCCAAGGTTGATGGATTTAACATAAGTCCATAGTTTGTTGAAGGGTGCTAAATCCGTGAGGTCCACGAATTTTGTCTTTATTTTGAAACCAAATCCGTGGACCCCACGGACTTGTAAATCCCACATATTGATTTGGGATTTGCAAATCTTTGATGGTTAGTTATTTATTTAACAAATCCATCACAAATTTATCATCAAATCTATCATGCAAACATTAGACTCATCAAATCCATAATCCAATAAATCCAACATAAATCCCAAAATTTTATTGGCTAAAACCCTCATTTTTCAAATCCAACAAGCAAACGAAACCTAAACTCAACTAAATATGTCCTCTCTCCTTCTTCATCGTCCAAAAATAATCATTAGTGCTGTAAGCCTGTAACTTTTAACTACCCAAAACCCCATTGCTAAAAACGAGAAGTTGCAGATTGATCACCACTGATATGATATCTGAAATCTCATCATCATGCATAAAATAAAAGCTTTTCTTCCCTTCTTGAAGAAACCCCCACCACCCTCTAAGCCTCCAACCGTAATAAGATAGCCTGCCAAGAAATCGTCTAGAGCACATAATTGGCAACAAAAGAAAAGTTTCTGACGATCGACCTGGGAAATCCCGACTGGATCAGGATTTGGGACTGCTGCTAAGCCAAGTGGCACGCCTCCATTGGCTGCCGAACATGGCGATCGCCGCCTATGGGCAAAGGCGGGATAAAATGTGGCCATGCGTGCAAGCAAAGCAAAGGCTGAACTCCAATAATGTGTAGTTAGTTTGTAGAGCTGTAGCTTCGTTTTCTTTTCCAGTTTTCAGGTTATGGGGATATGCAAACTCTTCTTCTTCTTCTTCTTCTTCTTCCTCCTTTCTTTTCCTGACATTTCCTTTCCACTTTTCTGGATGTTCACTCAGATCAAGTTAAAGGCATGACGTGATGGTGGGTTATTGATCTACTCAGTCATCTTGTTCGTAATAAAAGGTTCATGCAAGGTTGTCAAACCGATTTAAGTCATTGAGCCGGTCAAGTAATGGGTTTGGGGTATAATCACTTTTCTAAATATATATACAATATACGATAGTAGTTAAAGATTTAATGACTGAAATGAAATTTATCTTACAGGTATCTATTAAAAATTTATTTTTTCACGAAATAAATCTACCTAAACTCCATGGCCCACCAACCATCTCCATTCCTTCGTTCCTCTTTCTCTCTTCCTTCCCCCTCTTCTTCTCTTCCTTTAGGGGTTAGGTCATACCGGGGGGCTTTCTGAGGCCATTTCAAAGCCTGACTAAGGTCCAACCGAGTCCAACCATCAATATGTATTTGTATTCGAATGACAATATAAACACTATTATAGCTTTAAAATATTCATTTGCTTACTTATTATGTACCATCTTCCATACAATTTTACAATCATCAATATGTATTTGTATTCGAATTTTCGTGTTTTACTACAGAGGAATATTACTAACTAGTAGTTTGGAAAGTATGTAATTAGCGTTATCACACCAAGAGTTTTGTAAAGTAGTTAATATTTAATGTTATGTCCACAATCCACATACATGAACAAACTGAGAAGGATAGGCTAACCGAAGGAAAATGAACCTACCTGTCGTGCGTTTATTTCTCTGTTTGCTAGTCTATTAATAATGTATGAGTTGACGGCGGCCATTCATTTGGGAATCTTAAATTCTCAAGCATTATTGCATGCATAGCAAAACGGTATCTAAGTGGGATCACTCATAGCGTTAAATTATGTTTAAATGTAGACCTGTCATATATAGAACATTATCGTAAAACAGATATGAAGCAAGACAACTCGATCGTTGAACGTATACGAAGTGTGATATCAATGTGACGTCTCAATCGAAAGATGGTCAAGTACGTGGGGCATGAACTTTTTTTGTCCAGACTTCCGAGTTTTTTTAACGATGCTACGACTCGGGCGAGAGCCGTCGGAAAAAATGACCGCCGGGCATTGCAATGTCATAGAGATGCGACATTACAACTTGGTGATAAAGACGGCAGCATTAGATGCTAATTAATTAATAACGTGATGTAATGGAGAGGGAGAGATTAGACGGCGCAATGATTATCGACACAGCTAGCACCGGCGCTGTACTCTACTTCGAGCAAAGAAATAAGATGTGGTACTGGTGGAAGAAGAAGAAAGAGATGGATGTGAATCAATGAAGTGATGTGTGCAACTATTACGTCTCGTTTGGAAGTTGCGATTGTTTTGTTGAGATTGTCATTATGCATGTATTGTTTATAAGGCATCGTTTTTTTGTTTTTTTAGCTGAAAGCCTGAAACAATACATGAATTGTTTCTGTGATGTGACAGAAACTATCACTCATTTTGAGTGATAGTTATATCTCAACTTTTAGTTGTGATTGTTGAGATAGTTGAGTTGAGATTGTTTTGTCTCGGCTTTTAGCTGATGCGACATACACAATCACACATACCAAACGTTGTATTCTACAATGCATCAAATTCGACAATACATGTATAATATTATACATGCATTCTCAACAATACATCTATTTAACAATCGCAATTTCCAAACGACCCTACATTGCAAAATGGCTCATAAAAATAATTCTTTGAACTCGAAAAAAGGATAACAGAGGCATATAGGATACCACATGATTTAATATAGGCAAAATATACTTGTATAACCATAACTATTCGCTCGTTGTGACAATAATAACCACATTTTGAAAAAATACACATATATAGCTATTTTTTTTCAAATTTGTTTGGAAAGTATAGTCATTTTCGTTACAAACTTTAACATCGTCACCGACTCGCCGTAAATAACATCTATGCATGAAATTCAAACAAGTCATATTAAACTACTATCCTTCCTAGTTCCTGCTGATACAACTGGATCAATGATTGGTCGACGTGTGAAATTTTCGTTTGAGAAATAACATAAAATGATTGTTGTTCACCAGTAACGTGTTCATGCATATTTTACGCATGCATGGTACCGACAAGAGCTAATAAATTTTAGCATGCTCCAGCTAATTAAATAGTTGTTTAGCAGCTTATTAAATCCCGGGGGCCCGGTTGCTTGTTGGTACAGACAAAATAGACGGACCAAAAAGGCCCAGAACCCAGCTAATAGGTTACGGCGGCCCAACCCTAGATTCCAAATAAATTGGGCTGAATACAAATCTCTCCATTATTATTATGGTATCTTTTTTCTTTTGTAGAATATTATGGTATCTTTGAATCGAGAGTTTAATTAGAGGTGACATTAGGTAGGGCTGGTTATTTGGTCCCGGACTGTTTGGTTTTACCCGAAACCGGATCGTATAATCCGGACCGGGACCGGACTGGGACCGGATAGCAAACAATGCAATCTCATATTCGGGTTTAGATTTGAGGTAAAAAAACTGGATAAACACCGGATAAGAGACCCCCAACACCTAAAATCAAGATAAAATTGGGACCGGACCGGATCAAGACCGGACTGTATCCAATCTTTGGTCCTTATATTCCCGAAAAGACCGAACTGAGACCGGATCAATTTGGTCCAATTTAACCGGACCGGACCGTATAGCCACCCCTAACATTAGGGGCAGAAAGAGAGGCCTTGTCGTCATTAATACTCGTTTCCAAATGAAGAAAGGAAGAGCATAGAAATCCATCTTACATCTCCTCCTCCCAGCAGCCTTCCATTTTTGGTGATTTTGCCATCTTGCAAAAAATGTGAAAAGAATAATGAATGCTAACCACCCCATGTTATCATAAATGGCAATTTTCATGGAGGGAACAAAAATGGGCCTAGGAAATTTAAAGAGGATGATAATTGCAGAGAGAGATTGGGATGGAGTAGAGTTCAAATGGTTGTCCGATACTCCCGATTCTATGGTTATTGTCGCGTTATTGGTTCGGACGTTGATGATATAGAGAGATACAGATTGAGAACACGTTCGGTTGGTCATATACTTCTCGTTTGGTTAAGGTACTTATAAGACTCGTACGAAGAAAGTTTTGAATATTAATCCATTCGTTAATCCATTTGACTGTTCACAATCGATTTTGTGTATTGAATACTATTGATCCATCTTTTCCTCAACCCGCCCAAGAAAAGCCAAGCCCACAATGATGATGTCCGCACCACATAAAAACCCGTTCTGTTCATCACATAAATCCAGGAAAGAAAAAGACACAGAAAAGAAGAAAACAAAAGGCAGTACAGTACAGCAGAATATTTTAATTGTTTATTCTTTTATTAATCGTATAATAAATAAATAAATAAATGGGGGCAGTCAGCCAGTCACAGGCAGCAGCACAAAACCTTGATGCCCTCCGTCCCTCATCTCCCGCCACGTGTAAGAATCGACGGATGGGGATCCATCCTTTCCCTCCAAAAATTTCTCTGTCTCACTCCACTCCGGCACTCCGTCGCCATAAAAACTTTTCCTTTCTCTCTTTCATTCTCAATTCTTCTCCGTGTAGCGCCCTGTTCGGCCAGACTATAAATAGAGCGAGCCAGTGCTGTTGAAGCAGTCACTGTGTCACACTCGCTCACTCACTATTCTTCTGCTCCCTCCTCCTCCTGCTCTCACTCCTATCCAACCACGCGCTCACATAAACAACATATATAATAAGTGGAAGAATAGAAAACGATTTCATCCTTCCTCGGAAAGAATGAACATGGAAGAATCGGCGGCGTTGGCGGCGGCGGGGAGTGACAGCAGTGGTAATAATGGGGTGGTGAAATCGCGGTTCAAGAGGGTCTGTGTTTTCTGCGGGAGCAGTGTTGGGAAGAGAAACTGCTACAAGGATGCCGCCATTGATCTTGCTGAGGAGCTGGTAATTTACAAAAAAAAAAAAAAAAAAAATTTGAATTTTCGTTTTGGGTTGTGGGTTTTGTTTCTGGTTTTGGTTTTAACTTGGTTGTTGAGAGTATTCTGGTTTTGGGTTGTCGGATGAAGGTGGCGAGGAGGTTGGATCTCGTCTATGGCGGCGGGAGTATTGGGCTGATGGGGTTGGTTTCTCAAGCTGTGCACCGCGGTGGAGGCAATGTTCTCGGGTAATGGGGTTGTTTATGCTCGTTTTTTCTTCGTCCATAAGGTGTTTGTGGTTTGGCCTCTGAGAAAAACTAGTGGGTGATTCTTTTCTGACGTTTGTGGTTTTGTGGTGTGACAGGATCATACCCAGGACCTTGATGTGCAAGGAGGTGAGATTTTTTCGGTTGGGATTTGGGTTCTGAGCTCGATAAAAGCAAAATCTTTTTCGTGTGATTTTTTTTTACTTGGAGTTTTGATTTTTGGTTCCTTCTTTGATTCAATGGTGGAGCCACAGATCACTGGTGAAACAGTTGGAGAGGTGAGGCCAGTAGCCGACATGCATCAAAGGAAAGCAGAAATGGCCCGCCAATCTGATTGTTTCATCGCCCTACCAGGTCCTCCCTCGGTCATTGTTATTTCCCCTCTTTACTGTTCTCTTCAATAGGTTATATGCACAAAATCCCCCCCCCCCCCCCCCCCCCCCCCCCTTTTTGTTCCCGTTTGTAATCAATGGCGGTCTCCTTCTTTGTTCTTTGGCATCATGATAATCAGGTGGGTACGGGACCCTGGAAGAGGTGCTGGAAGTAATCACTTGGGCTCAGCTTGGGATCCATGACAAGCCAGTAAAGCCTTCACCTTTTCCATTGTCTCCATCTCTCTTTCAATATTAATCTGTTTTCTTTTTGGTTTTTGTACCTAAACAAAGAATGGTAATTTGTGGCTGCAGGTGGGTTTGCTAAATGTGGATGGCTACTACGACAACCTCCTTACCTTCATTGACAAAGCTGTGGACGATGGCTTCATCCAGCCATTTCAGAGGAACATATTTGTCTCAGCTCCTAATGCCAAGGAGCTAGTTCAGAAGCTTGAGGTGAGAAAATAGAACGATGTAAATATTATTATGCAGCACATATATGGAAAAGACAGTATGGGTGTTTCCATAAAGGATCATCATCAAATTTCCATCTTGGTGATGAATCATCCTTTTCGATACTTTGTTCATTTTATATTAGCATGTGGGAGTTGTTTAGTTACCCTGTTGATGATAACACTGTTTTCTTTTTTCTCTCTCGAGTAGGAGTACGTGCCAGTGAAAGATGGAGTCATTGCCAAGGAAAGGTGGGAAGTTGAGCTGCAGCAGCAACCACCACAACAGCAACAACAGGTGGGGTTCAATGCTACTTCTACTCCTGCTACCACCATCACTACTACCACTTTGCAGCAGACCGAGATAGCTCTATGAATGCAAAAGGAAGGGCAGGTTTAGGGGGGACGGAATTAATGGATGGAAAGAAATGAATAGTTAGGGGGAAAGGTGGGGGTTAGGCCTTTTTCTCTTTTGCTTTCTAGTCTGATTTTGGGGTCAGAGTTGAGACCACCCATTATGGGTATGGTGGTGTGGTTTGAACTTTTGATTGAATGACTTGGCTAAAAGAAAAAGTGAAGACTTTCTGTTTTTTTTCTTCTTCATTTTAGTACATGTACTGGCTAATGATGGAAGAATAGGAATATGGTTAACTACAATGATCCAAGGATTACCTCAGATTAAGCTCTCTTTTGTAATTGGAAAGTTCCTTTTGGGTGGTATCAATATGTACAAAACATAAGTGTTTTATTGTCATTATTATAATGTAGGATTCATGAAAAAGCCATAACCTAGAACTCCTTTGTCTTTTGCCTTTATTTTTTTGTTTCTGCTGTAGTGCCAGGAACCGTTATTTGATTGGTGCAAAGCTTGGAGAGAACATTAGTGGTAAATAATTAGAAGCTACTAGAGGTGAGAACGAGGCATTGGTCATTTTACCTCTTTGGTGAATGTATGACAGAAAGGGCAGCCTGGTTTTGTTTTTGGGATGATATTTTGATCAGCCTGCCTGGTAGTGTACTGTTACAGCTCATTTGCAGGGACAATGGCCATGGCAGGTCTTTTTTTGTTGTTAGTTTGAACTTTGAACTGTAGCTGGCCTGGGGGCAGATTACCCCTTGAGGCTGTTTTATATTTGTGCTTTCCCTGTTAAAAGCACTGTACATAGTGCAGAGAGAGAGAGAGAGAGAGAGAGAGAGAGAGAGAGAAGAGGAGGAGAGAGAGAGAGAGAGAGAATGAATGATGAATGGTCTGGTGACAAAAAGAAAGAAAAGGGAGGGGCTGGGTGACTCATCATGGTGATGACCTTACCTAACACAAAAAGAGAGAGAAAATCAAGCCTGGTGTTTTTTCAAGAATTTGCCATACTTGAAGCCTGAAGGGTTACTTGTCCATCTTCACCCACCTCCACTATGGATCTTCATCTTCCACCACTGAGCTTCTTCTGGGCCTCTCTTCCCTCCATTTGGGAAATATTGATAATGGGTTTTCATGCATGTCTATCCCTAATTTGCTGGAAGTTGTATGTAGGGTATGTTGATACTAGTATATATTATCCATCCAAGGTGGAAATCAAAATGTGGTAGATTCTCCTTGGCCTAAATCAGCTGTGCAAAACTCCTAACTAGGGTTGGGGATGTGAATTGTTTGCTAGCACTACTTCGAGTTTCTTTTCAAGCCAACTCCATTGATCAGGCCGTTACAATTTGTATGCACTAACAGATCGATCTGTAAATTGTGAATTGATATAGAATGGTCACACCTCGTATCATCACCATCTGCTTTCTCACACAAAATATCTAGATCAGCATGTCAGTTCGTCAAAATTGTTAACACAAGATCACGCACAATACACAATTATGGTATGGAGACAAAGGGTGGTTGTTAGAGCGTTCTGAACAAAGTTGGACCGGGATTGGGTATGAGTATGAGTGAAAATAGTTTGGCCATGTGGTCTACATATCGTTATTATTAATTTGGTTGAGTTGACACGTTAACAGGAGCATCCCTACCATCTACGCAACTGGCAAAAGTCCCTCATCATTCTATCTTCTTCCTCCAACATGTGATGACCCTTGGTCCAAGAACTACTATGCATGTAAGAACAAACCCATGGAGGGTTATGACTTATGAGAGAGCCAAAAGGGAAGCACCCAACTTGGGGCATGTTTTGCAAGGAAGGAGTTTTGGGGCAATGTGACTTGTTCTTATCAACTAGCCATTTTGCTTTGCTGCTCCTGTGCTGGATGTAAGAGTTTGAAAGCTCTCTCTCTCTCTCTCTCTCTCTCTCTCTCTCTCTCTCTCTCTCTCTCTCTCTCTCTCTCTCTCTCTCTCTCTAAGTTTTCATGGTCCCTTACCTTAGCCACAGATGGGACGATGGTTCCAGAGAAAATATGCAGTGCCTGCACTGTACAACTAGAAGCTGCACCACACTTTTCTCTTGTCTAATGAAAAAGAGGGACCATTTTCTTTTTGGTGGGCATATAATGCTCTGTGTTAACCCCACAAACAAAAGGGTTGGAACTTTGGGAACAATTGTCTTTAGGGCAAGAAAGAAACGTTTGTTTAGTTGGCAAACAACCCCATTGTACGAGCCAAACTTCTTTTGGAAGTGGAGGTAATGAAATTCAGAACCCAAATTTGGTGAGCAATTGCACTATCATGTACATCATCTCTAGCTCTTTGCCTTGAGAGGAGAAGTCCGAGTGAACTTCTGGTTGTGGGTTGGGTTGTGCTATGCCCTTTGATCTTTCTAAATTCACCATCACTTTCATTCGGGTCCACATGCATGTGATCATCGTGGTCTAGTTCGAATCGAAGTTGATTAGTCCGGGAAAGTATAAAAAAAAAAACTCGATAGCGAAATATATTTGATTGGGATGGGAAGCAAGCTTTTGTGAAGAACTTTGTCTCTTGCCAACTTTTAAGTACAATCCTCCTACGTTGGATGCCAATCCATCACCCAAGTAATTAGGATGCACATTCGACGTTCGGACGGTCAGAAAATGCATGCAAATCACTATCTTTCTCACAGTTATTGTCGTGCGCTTCTGACAGGGACAGAACGGGTGATGTTCGATTCGATAACCGTAAATTGCAAATAAGACGCCCTAAAACCTAACCGGATCGATAGTAGCAATGGGAATGTGTAACTTGTTTTCAATGAGGGCAGAAGTCTGGATCATCTGATGTGAGAGTTGTTGCTAGCTAGTTATCCTTAGGAGAAGAAGTAAGGTTTTTAGCCTACTATTCTTCCATCACTTGAATGCTCTCATATCTCATCAACTTGTTCCTGACAATACGCCCTTCTTGCCTCTTTGCCCTCTCCAACGGTTGGACCCACCCAACCCAAACCATAACTAGCTAGCCTGCTAGTGCTCAGAATGTCATTGGCGGTTGGGGATGAGATGTAAATACTAAATACTGAAGTGACCGGTTTTAATATTTTGCTATAAGTAGAAACCCGGCCAAAACCGGGCTTTAATAAAAGCTCAACTCCGCGCAGGCCACCAAAATGAATGGGCTTTTAGCCCAATAGTTTTCCGTTTGTGAAGCCCTAGAATCGGAGGACCTTTCCCAAATATTGCCGACCAAAAAAGAAGGGAAAGTTTCCGGTGGCACGATTAAATTATTACAAACCCGGGACCCCGTACTATCGGCTATTTACATAGGTTTGAAGTTTTTGTAATCCGAAAATGAAATTGTTGATGTTCGCACAAAATACATCTCGGTTGTAAAAAGGTATGATAACATATTAAATTTTAATTTACTATAATAACTCAAATTGTTGGGAGGTGTTCGATAATGTATCTTATATCATACATTAACAACATCTTGGCGTTGTTTGTGAATAGATCAACATGCTTCATCTGCGAATCAACTATCCTCATTAGAGTTTCATCGCACTTGAAGCCGTCGAGGGAACGAAACGGCAATGTATACAATTGTATAGATAGATCAACCTCCATTTTTTTTTCTTTCTTCCCAATGAACCAATTCGTAATGTATGTTAACCAGTAACCAGTATCCGTGAAACCTTAACAGTCCAACCAAGAAAACTTCACATCAAAACCTAAATCGGCAGACAGTCTTCAGCGATATGAAACGATCGAACCATAATTTTAATTTTACAACTCAAAACACATTTTTCGTTTTTTTTTCCCGACACAACCTCCGATACGATTTTACAATCCTTCCCCCACCCCACGCTCACCCCATTGATTGGAATCAATAAAGCTAATTAGATATACTAGAGGTCAAGCTTGACTTACAATGCTAGGGGAGAAGAAATAAAACACCCCCTATCTCAAAAATCAGTTCTACCCTTAATCACGCTCGCTCTCTCTCTCTCTCCCTCCCCTATCAATAACGACACTTCCATTTACGTGGAGGGAAAGGGAATAGTGAATCCTAATTAAAGAAGAACAGGAACCCTAGCTCCAGCCAGCCCAATAACCAGCCATCTCCGCCGTGGACTCTGAAAACTGGACGAGCAATAAATAAATAAACAACAAACGTTCTCTCCCTCCTCAAATCTCCCTCTCCTCTCGCACGTGTTTTTTTTTTTTTTTTTTGGCAGGCTGGCTGGCTATATTTTCCCAACACAATGAAACTGAAGAGCTTGTTAAAGATCTTGCTCGTACTTATCATATACATGGGCATCACCATCGCCGTCTGGTTCGGCCTCGGCTTCGCGGTCGCCGTCGTTGTCCGGCACGGCGGCTTCTTTGTGGTGGACGTTGGCAAGTTGGAGTGGGCGAGGGATGTCACCGTCTGGCTTACGGTGGCGGGCGCCCTGCCCGCGTTCTGTTTGACTCGCATCATCGCTAGGAAGAAGAAGGAGATCGTGGAGAAGATGAAGAAGGAGAAGGAGACCTCGGCTGGTTCGACAGAGCCAGCTGCTGCTTTCTGGCTGGTCACGCTGTCCGTCCCTGGACAGACCACTTCTTTAGTAATTTTCCCTCAGAATCTGTGATGATGTGATGGAAAGTCGGTTCTTCTTTGATTAATATATATATATATATATATATATATAGAGGATGGTAATAGTGGGTACTTGCAAAATTACCACATTGGGAGTTTACAAAGCAACTGAGGTGAATATATTGGTCTTTCTACTTTAAAAACAAATGTTTTTTGATGTGGTGAATATTGTTTGTAAGTGTTTAAGCAAACAATAAAAAAACAATAATATCCACCTCTTCTTCTGGTTTTTAAGTTTTAAGTGTTGATATGAATCATATGTATTAAACCCTTCACAATTTGACAACCCTTAGCCAGTTAGAAGTTCCATCAAACAACTACCCAATTATTATTATAGAAATACAAAGCAAATATATAAGGGCCCAAATTAATTCCTAAATCCTAACTAATCTGTAGCATCCAAGTCAATTAAAATTTAATTAAATCTTCTTCTCCTCTTCGGAGAATGAAAACTCTATCACCAATAAAAAGATAGCTCTCGGGCCTGACTTCCAATAATCCCAACTAGATTGCCGCCCCGACCAATTGGTTGGGTAATTTTATTTTCTGTTAATAACGTATTCACATCTTTATAATAATGTATTAAAAAATTTCATTATCATTATATAATATTAATAAAATTTGTGAATTCATTAAAAATTGTGAAATATTGCACGTATTATTTTGTGTATGTCCAAACTACCGTCAACAGAAATGTACATTTCCCAATTTTTTGCGAGAACCCTTCCTTCCCCTTCTATCGCCGACAGCTCATGAAATTTGTCAAGAACGATTTTTGAAATCCGATGGGGGGACTAATTTATGAATGACTGTCTAGTTACATTCAGTGAAAAAGGTGTGAGTCGCAACATTAGTGATGTATGTATTATAGAAACTTTTCAGAATATGAAAACACGCCGTGGTTCGCTTTGAGAAACGATATTCGGTGTACTTTATCAATTAAAATTTATTTTTATTATTTATTTTTGTGAATACCCTTGGTAAAATTTCTGGGTCCATCATTGATGCAAACCAACCTTGATGTGGTACACTTTGCGTTGCATAGTTTCCACGAACACGATTCCATGGTTGATGGTTGCACAGATCAAGAAAAGCAAAGCAAGTACTCCTCCATGGAAAGTGAATGGCAATCCGTCTCTTTCTTTCTCTGTTTTCCTGTAGAGAGGACGAATGAACGTGTGTGTCGTTCTCATGTAGCCAGACAAAAAATATGAACCATGGCCCAGCCATGAAATTTCTATGTATGTGTATTTGTATTGACGCGTTCCTGGAATTTGCCGGAGGCATGCATGCACGACAATGAAAGTACTTAATAAGTAGGGCTTTGAAAGAAAAAAAAAACAGAGCCTGAATTAGACAAAATGATAACTATTTGATTTTAATTAGGAATATATTAGGCAAGGATTTCACAATTTGGTCTTTTGAAGTCTAGGGTTCTTCGGAGACTTCAAGGTCATCGTCGTCAAGCCAAGAATTAATGGTTTATTTGTGTATTAATACTCTAGGTAGGGTTGGTGGGTTAGAGACTATTGTGCTTGATTAATTAGTTGTCTACTTTGTTTATGTAAAGTAATATTAGCATTAACTAGTACACGCGTATGTAATTAAAAGTTCCTTCAACTTCATGATCGATCACATGAAAGTCCAATATTTTGGTAGTTTGGTCTAGTAGCTAGCTGGTCAGTCAGAAAGGAGAAAATGTTGAACAATGAAAAATCGGATGATGTATTGTACGTAGTAGGTATCGACTCGTAAGATGTATAGTATCGTTTGCATATTTGATGAAATAAAACTCTTGGGTCGCATACTATAACATGTCATAAATAGGAGATGGTTATCATATGCTCGTTATATTAAGAATTTGCAACGTAATTAACATTGAGAAAGTAAAGAAGAGTAGGGAAAAATTAGACTTAACAAACTGGACCCGTCCGCCCGTGGTATAAGATACAAAATTTAATTTTTGTCTCCAGCTAAAATGCTCAAAGCAACCGGTTCTTGAAAATGAAATATCAAAATTTGCTTCTTTCTTGTTAGATGGAGTTCTAAATGTAGAATAGTAGAAAGTGGAATTGAAAGGCTGAAAAGTGGCATCAATCTCCCAAAGATGGAAAGTGGTCGAAAAGACTCGTTCTAGTCTTCCTAATTGGTGAGCTCTTGATGTGGGAGATCCTGAGTTCGATTCCCAGTGGCGCCACTTGAGCGTTTTCGGCGGCACCCTTTGTATCGGAGGCGGCGCCTCCCCAATGTTAATAACAGAAAACCCCGATTAGTATACATGTACCCCAATGGTTTAGTAAATCCCGCTGTCGCTCAAGCGGCACGTGAAGCTGAGTTTCCCTAGATTATAAAAAAGTCTTCCTAATTGGGGAGACTTCGACGTCAAACTGCAAGAATAAAAGAGAATCTTAATAATTCGTTAACTTTCAGGCCAATTATGTCGTAATGGTTCGTAGACAACAACTCTGGGCCAGTTCTTCAATCTGGGCTTGGGCCTCTTAATCATACCCAAGAAGAACGCGTCTTCAAATGAAAATATCAAATTATTATTGGAATTAGCTCAATAAAACTTCCACTCAAGGAATTATTAATTAATTACTAGTTGCTGAATTGGTTTCTCATTAAATAACTCTTTGTATGAGGAACACAATACAGGCAGACTGTCAAGGAGACAGCTAGCTAATGCTAATTAATTGATCATCTTTGTTAATTCAATCTTTCGTTAGCAAATTCTGTTGAATAACAATGTTCATACTAGTGATATTCAGTTTGATTTTTATTCTTTCTCCTGTGGCGGCAGGTATTGCTTGTTTGAAGGATAAGTTAATAACTTACTAATACGCGACTCGTTCGAACAACAAACTAACAACGTGCAAAGTCTATATATTATTGTTATTGATGTCGTAGGTTTCATTTTTAGTTTTTCATATAGGCGGTTGACAACATTTTTACGACCGGTTTAATGGGTAGCAACATCATTGTTTTGGGAGTTGTATGGACTTCCTATCTCTTTCTTATTTCGACCCCGACCGAACTGATCGACAACTGGGGTAATAGAAGATTTGATATTTTCATTTGGAAACTAATCTTGTGGTTACCAAGTAGAGGAATGTTCCAAGGTTGATTGTTTTACATACCTTTTTTCTTGTTCTTCCAAAGGTTGGCCAAAGTAGTGAAGATAGTATTCAACATTTGTTGTTTTTTGTCATAAACCAGTTGGTCCCAATAACTCGAGTTGTTGAGAGAAGGGTTATGCTGGATCTTATACAGGCCCTACACGCCCCCTCAAACGAAAGCCAACTCATGGGCTTGAAGTTTGCACAGGCCCGCCATACCATGTGTGTTTGATATTTTCATTTGGAAACTAATCTTGTGGTTACCAAGTAGAGGAATGTTCCAAGGTTGATTGTTTTACATACCTTTTTTCTTGTTCTTCCAAAGGTTGGCCAAAGTAGTGAAGATAGTATTCAACATTTGTTGTTTTTTGTCATAAACCAGTTGGTCCCAATAACTCGAGTTGTTGAGAGAAGGGTTATGCTGGATCTTATACAGGCCCTACACGCCCCCTCAAACGAAAGCCAACTCATGGGCTTGAAGTTTGCACAGGCCCGCCATACCATGTGCGTGAAAGACAACGGTCAATATTGGGGGTCGTGAGGACTTGAACACGTGACCTCAAGAACAAATCAGCTCTGATACCACGTCATAAACCAGTTGGTCCCAATAACTCGAGTTGTTGAGAGAAGGGTTATGCTGGATCTTATACAGGCCCGTGTATGGTGCTTAACCACTTCCTTACATTTTTAAGCCACTTTTTTTTTTTGGTAGGAATAAGCCACTTTTTTTATTGTAACCTTGGTGGGGTGTATTCATTATGACCCTCTAGAGGGGGAGGAATCACTTTATCATTTGGGCTTATAGTGAACATGTGGACAGAGGACCAATTCAACGATTTTCACAAGACCATGGAATCTGAATTTCACCTCTCCATTGCTCCTTGTGCAAGTTTCAAAGCCAAAACTCACAAATCTTTGAAATGAGAGGTACACCAAAAAGACCCAAGAATCCACACAAACTTAGAAAAAACAAGTCAATCGATTGGGGCCAAAAAGACCTATCAATTCCATTCCATTACAATTCCAAGACTCCTCTCCTCTTCTTCTTTTCCTCTGTGTTTGCTCTAAAACCGTGTGGGTTCCACTTTTAGACAACTTCACCTTCCTTCCTTTGTCTCTGCTTCTCTTAAATTCCTTCTCACTAAACCATCATCATCAATCATCAATCTTATGCAAAATTTTTCTCTCTTCCTTTTTGCTACACATATGATTCCTAATTTTCCTTCAAATCTGGTTCGACCTGATTAAGCCACTCACAATTCGACTCAAACCATATGGCTAGCGCTCATGACATGTCGTTTATGTAACCCGACCAGTTCACAACTCGTTTGACCTACAATTCGATCGATCATATCAATTTGTGACCTGCTAGATACGTGATTCGATCAATGAATTGAAGCTGACATGTCCGAAGCATAGGATACCTTTAAAGTATCCATAACTTTCTCGGTGAACCATGAAATCTTATCGTGAACACATATCTAATACTTGATTTGCAACCGGACCATCCATTGAGTTAGTGAGCCGGTCGTGATGAGCTAATTTTACTTGTAATCCGATCATCCGCTTCATTCACAACTCGATCAAGCAACCTGTCCGTAGCTTGAGAGCCAAATTTTTTTTCTTCTTCTGACTATCTATAAGCCTTCCCAATCAGTACGCAACTAACCTGCAAACAATAAGCTTATATCCCGATTAATATGCAACACTACGGACAATTAACCCAATTAATCAATAACCTTATTAAGTTGTAAGCCAAACAAAACTAAACTAAGTCCGACTCGATCCAACCCAACCCATCCTTACATTAGTTAACCCCACCACCATCACACTACTACACAATCTCCTCGGATGACTTGGTCATTCAATTCATTCCCAATAGTTAGTCTCTTCCTCCCAAAAGAAAAAAATTTCCACACAACAAAACATCCAATCACTACCCCATTTCCCTATATAAATCTTGTGCCTTTTGTTCCATGCACAACCAACCAACCCACAACCTAGAACAGCACAACAGAATCATTCCTCCACCTTCTCCATCATACATTCAAACACTGAATAGTGAATACTACTACTACTACTACCACTGACAAGCAAACATACTCTGTTTTCTAATCCTGTATTCATGGCTGACACTAATGAAATGAGCTCTGAACAACAGCAACAACAGCGATTCGGCCTGCCCGGGTTCCGGTTCCACCCGACGGAGGAAGAGCTGGTCGAATTCTACCTCAAGAACATGATCTTCGGCAAGAAGCTCAGCCTCGACGTCATCGGCTACCTCAACATCTACCGCTACGATCCCAGAGAACTCCCCAGTACGTTTATTATAATATATCACCCACTTCTCTCTGTTTTCCCCTGCTTCCTGTTGAACCAGTTAACCAATTCCGGCCATGAACTAATGTTTGTGGGGTTCTAATTTTGACAGGATTGGCGAAGACAGATGGGGAGAGGGAGTGGTATTTCTACGTCCCGAGGGACAGGAAGCACGGCAGCAACGGGCGGCCCAACCGGACGACGGAGAGAGGGTTCTGGAAAGCAACCGGGTCGGACCGGAAGATATGGCGGCTGTCGGAGCCCAAGAGGCAAATTGGCCTGAGGAAGACTCTGGTTTTCTATCAGGGCAGAGCTCCTAGAGGAACCAAGACCGATTGGGTCATGAACGAGTACCGCCTCCCTGATTCCTCTCCTCTTCCCAAGGTAAGACTCCCCTGTCGTTTGATTATCGTTTAATCGTATGATTCTATGTCGAAGGATATCAAACGCGACGCGCAATTGGAAAAACATAAACATAACGACTAACGACGATATTAGTGACAGTCACAAAGTCAATCTGCATAGAACAAAAGAAAGTAACTATCTTTTTTAGATATTTTGTTTGCTTTTTCTAGTAGTGTGAACTAACTCTTGTGTATGAAAGTGCCAAAGAAAGTCAAAAATGGCAATTTCCTAGGAAATTTACACATTTGCTCCGTCTCCATAATTTTGCAGGACATAGTGTTGTGCAAGATCTACAGAAAGGCAACTCCTTTGAGAGTCTTGGAACAGAGGGCAGGAATGGAAGAACAGCAACAGCGATTCTTAATGAATGAGACAATTTCAGTCATGGCTGACACTAAGAACTACAACACCAATTATAATAATAATCATACTCCATTATCATCATCATCATCCCCTTCAATGGACACAGCCACCACCACCATGTCCATGTCGCCAGACCCATGGGCCATCACATCCGGCCCACACCAGGACGGCCCACTTCACGAGATCCTTGGGCCGCCGCCGGCGGTCGGCCTAAACGGATACATGCCCTTCATGATGAAGACGGAAGAAGCTGCTGATCTTGCCACTAACTATAATGATGGTGGTAATTACTTTGGTGATGATGGGATTGGGGACTACAAAACGGTGCCGTCTGCTGCGGACGTGGTTTCGGCTTCTTGCACATTGCTGCAGCAGTTCCCGCCGGCGGCGGCCGCGGCTGAGGGGAAGGTGATGAACCATTGCAAGTTGCCGGAGCTTCAAGTGCCGAACAAGCTGAGCACAACATTAATAGGGGATTGGAGCCAGGACCCTTTCTGCTTGATCAGTCCTTGGCTTCATCAGAATTTGACCCCTTTGGCTACTCTCTTGAACTTGTAGATTAAGTATTTCCCTAGCTTAGAAGTTATTATCCTTAATTATGCTGATTACATAAAAATGTAATATGGGACCTAAGCCCATATCTCCAAGATCCAACAGAAATGCAGCATCTCAGTTCTTAGCTGAATATAATTAAAAGAATCAATAATTATGATCATCAACAAGCATGGTGCATGGATTAAGAGAGTTGCTGCACTAATGGAGGACAAGATCCACTAATCTGGCTTCCTCCAACATGTTTTAGCCCTTAATAAATGCTGGAAATTGGAGGGGAAATCGTGTTAATGATCTTTTAACATTATTAATTTGGGACTTGTCAGTGTCCCCATGTGATGCAATTTGATATTCATCAGCTTTTAATCATAGAACTTGAGGTTAATTAACCTACCTGTAATGATCCAATAAACCCTTTTCACTGTTAAGCTTTGTCCCATATGCAGAAAGGTAAAAAGAGAGACAGAAATTTAGTAGGAAACTGGAGACCATGTATATTAATGGACTTGAGTATCATAATCTTTTTGTCTTTCTATACAGATTAATTCATATACAAGTATCAAGTATGACTTTGATCTAGTTACAGATGGTGAATATTGAGAATGGAAGCTCTTGTTTTGATCAAACGCCTGAAGAGGCATTCAACTCCTTCCTCGAAGTCTTGAATGCATGGCTGCAAGTTCTTGAGATGAACTTGAACCTCTTCACTAGATTTGTTCATCTTCAAGGCAGCATCCACATCTGAGAATTCGTTCTCGCCTGCTACTGCTGCAACCCTTTTTAGCTTGGAAACTAGTGACCAGCTGGTTGGCTTGGATGTTGATTGAGAAATGAATGAAAGCAGGCACTCCAAAACCTCAACAGCAGCAGATTCAGCTTCCTTCAACATGGAGGCGGTCTCGATGTTGTTTGATGAAGTGGATTTCTTGCTGATCATAGCTTTCAAGACCTTCTGGATCGCTTTGATCACAGTCTTCCTAGATTTCAGGTATCTTCTGGTTTCTCCTTGCAGACCATCTTGCCTTCTGCGAATAGCGGACTGAAGGTCAGAAACAGACTCTTTCATTTGAGACAAGGCATCCTTGGCAGTATTGCACAAGTCCAAGAGCCTGAGGGAGCCATCCAATAGCGCATTGAAGCACTGTTGGTCATTGATCAAGGCTTGTTGGGTTGTTGGAAGTTGTAGCAACTGGTCAACACAATCATACACATCCTGAAGACCATTTAGATTTCGGCTTATGGATGATGATGATGTGGAAGCAGCTTGAGATTGCCTTAACCTGCAGACCTGCTCATCGATTTCTGAAACTAGAGGGTGTGATCTTGTAGGCAAACTGTTTGACCTTGCATGGAAGGAGAGAGCTGCCATTTTTTCTTGGTAAATATGAGAATAAAGATGTGGGAAAGAGTTTTGAAGTTCAAGAGAACAGTTGAGACTTGAGAGAGATGTTTTGCAATGCCTTCCTTGATGTGCAGAGTATGTTTATATAGATGGTTAGAGAAATGAGGCAGCTCAATGGACAGCAAAGAGACAGGAGGAATCAAAGCATTTCAACTCATCCATGTGCATCTGGTTTATGATTTGGATCTACCACATTATCAGGAATTGTGTCTATGAAATGTCCCTTGCCTACTAAGTAATCCAACTCATTGGCAACCATGGATGGGTTAAGGCATAGCTGACAGCTCTGAATTGCAGTGTTGAGTAATGAGGGAGGCAAAGATCCATGCATTCTGCTTCATCACTTAATAATATGGACATTATCATACTTATACTTCCTTTCAAAACAATGTTAAACAGCACACTCGTGCATCAACCAATGTTTTCCCATAGGAGACAGGCGCTGGAAACTGACTCAGCCTCGTGAGCTGGAGAGTGGTTGTTGCCAGGAGACAGTGCACAGACACAGCTGAGATAGTTGTTCAGATCCAAATCACACACAATTTCCCATCTCATTCATTCAATATGTATATATTGATGACAACGAGATTCCTTGTGTCTCCTTTTGCCATCTGCCATATATAGTCAATGAGATGACAAGCAAAGCCTGCAACTTCCTTAACTCCAATGAAGGCAGCAACTACCATATGCAGCAGGCTACAAGACATTCAAGAAGCCTGCCTCAACGTGTCTGAATCGTCGTTCTCGTTCGATCTACAGACCAAAAACAAGAACCAGTTGCCGTTGATACTTCATTGCTGGTTTCTTTGAGCTGGGAAAAGCCATAACAAAGTGGCAAAGTAGAGACGAACTTGCAAGAGCAGATGCTGCACGGGCATTGAGAGAAAGGCCATGAAGGGGAATTCAGCGCAACTCTGAAACTATAACCAGCTTAGCCAATTCTTGTTCTTATAGATGGAAAACCAAAGAGAACAGTTTTGAAGTAAGATCAAAAGCCCAATTACTGAAAAAACAAATTAGTTGGACTGTTATTGGTGGGGTGCGCCAGGCCCAAGCAGTAGTGCAACGCTCGGACGACACGCGAGAAGGCCCCTGAAGCAAGCTCCAGTAGTGGGCTTTCTCCCCCTAAAAAAATTAATTTAATATCGTGTGGGCCATTGGCCCACGTATCAGATATTAAACTGATAAGAACAGATACTACACTTGATCTTAGCCAAAAGGCCGAGAAAGGTATGAATTGGGCCGAGGCCAGAGCTTGCCTCTTATTCCAAGCCCTTCGCTTCCTTGCGTTGGTTCAAACGATGTGGTACAAAGAACCATCATATTGCAAGCTCAGACGCCAGCTGAAGTGTCTCTTGTGCCTAATCCACTGATTAACTGATTAGATAGCTTAATCCACGTCTGATTATTTAACTTAATTTCAGAATCTTGGGGGTCAGTTGGAATGATACACATGATTATGAACTTCTTGGGGAAATCCATTAGATTGGTTGCATTTAGAATCTGATCTCATTAACTTATTAGCCTCCACCAAGATCAATTATAGACCATCTGAACATGAATGAATCTCTGACAACGAGTTCATCGCTACAAGCAGAAGAACCAGTTGAATCCTGCTGCATGTTCTGTTAAAACTGATGCAATAACAGCACTGATTAACACGGCTGCTGTACTAATGGATAGAAATTGGAACCAAGCGTGTTAATGATCCCAACAAACGATTAACGAAGATGAGGCATCGTAGCTTTCAGTACATTGAAGATTGAACGTGTTAACCACTGATTTCTGGCATTCATTTATGCTTTAAAGCAAGCGTAACTGGACAATTCTATACACAAAGAAACAATGGTAAGTTACTCAGAAGAATTTGCTTAGATTGGGAGAAAGAGCTTGATACGCCAGGATTCGAGACGCGGTTTCAGTTGGATGGAAACTATCCCAGAACAAGTACTTGGTGGCATCAGTGCAAGTCCCTGGCAGAACACAGAGCCCAGCAGTTTCTATGTTCCCTGTGCCGCAGCATCCTCTTGCAACCTCTTCGAACCCTTTTAGCACACATTGTCACAAAACAAACATATAAGACCACAGTTCAAAGAAAGTAGAAACCAGAGTTGAGAGTGCCGTTGTAATTGGATTTACCATATGGAGCTGGGTTTTGGACGAGGGAAAGCACAGGACTGTAGACGTCAAACAGTACAAACTTGGCTCCTGGAAGCTCCTGGTTCATCTTGTCAACAGCGGAAGACAGCTTGGAGTTGAACAGCCTGATGCGTCTGTTAAGGCTCTCCGAACAGGCTCTCTCTCCTCCTCCTGTCAGAACTCTTAGCGCTGGCGCACACCCCGTTGGAGGCAAGTTCAGCAGCCCAATTCTCCTTGCTCCAATGGCATGCAGTTTCTGGAAGAAGTCTGTGGCCAAATTGATCATTAGATCAGTGTAGGAATCTTCACTGTACAAAGCCTTGACCACTGGGTAAATGTTGGTGACATCGTTGCTTCCCATGAAGATCATGTATGCACTCCTGGATGTAATTTCTTTCACTCTTTCTTCACCGACTGTGGCGTTCATCTTCCTGATGTACTCTTTCATCATGTTCAACTGACTCGTAATCGGTATCGCGCTCTTCTCAAATAGAAAAGAAAAAAAAAAGGGTTGGAGAAGATGGGTTCAAGAGATGAAGAACTGTAAACAAAATAGGCTTTAGATATAGTGTTGGGGAATTGGTTGTCTTACAGCTAATTTCGATGTACGAGGGTCATAACCAGCACCAGAAGAAGCAAAACAAACACCAGTAAGGAGCTGTTGGAGTTCCAGATTTGGATCCAGATATGGTGGCAGCAGCTCTTTCACTCCTAGAATTTCAGCTGACAAAACATTAAACCAGATAAGTTAGTGAAAAGTGCCAAGAGAAATTGAAGTGAAACCCTTGCCTGGTTCTTTTTTACCTATGAAGTCAGAGACGCCTCTGCCATTGCTGAACCTTCCGGTTGGTCTTTTGCCCGGGAAGTCTCTCCCATAAGGAGGGAAGTTGCTCTTGGCAATGGTGGGGATGTAGTTGTTGTTCCCTGTGTCAACTAGAGAGTCCCCAAACACAAAAACCGCTGCCACTTGATTATTTCCACCATTACTGTTCTCTGCTGCATTGATGTTAGCTGCAGCACTGACTAGGACAATGAGACCCACAAACAGAATGTGCAGAAACGCCATGGGAGATGATGAAGAGTTCCCAGAACCAAACTTCACTATATGATCATACCAAGGACTAGTTGACATTTGCTTATATAATAAGAGGTAGTATCTGGAACTGGGATCCAACAGCTCATACGACAGCTGGGTTCTGCAATTACTTGCTTCAGTTTGAAGAGAGTACAGAGCTGCAGTCAACATAACGTGTATGTAATCGTCCATGATATTTGGGAGGAGTGGCAAAGTCATGGGCACAACTTTGTTCATATTTATTTCCATTCAATTATGGCGTTTGGTCTAGTTGGATGTGACTAATGCATGTACATAAAGAACAGAGAAGAGAGTTGTCACCTAAATATGGCGTCGAGTACGGCTTCGGTGCAGGGTGTAAATGCCGTGATTAATGCCCTGAGGTGGGAAGAAGATGAAGGACGAGTTCTGGCGGGAACGGCCATTGCTGACGGAGATGGAGCTCTAAGCTTTGGCGGGGTTTTCCTTTTCCAACTGAAGAAGAGGTTGGGCCTCGGCGGGAGTAAAGGAAAAGGGCCCCGGTGGAGGGGAGATGGATTCGTTTCAACAAAGCCCATTATGAAATGTTAACTGTTGTGGATAATGGGCTCGGGCTGTATTATGTTTCTTTTATGGCCCATCTTTTACTAGTTAAATCTTTTTTCCTGTTTACATTTACACTTTCTAACAATTTGTGTGAGCAAGACTACACAAATGGATGTCAAATCAAATAAATTATCCTTATTTGCTAAATAATTCAAATCTATTTTTATTTCTATTTGTAAATTATAAAATCATATACGTATTGAATTGTTCACAAAATTATTATGGTCCCTAATCCATAATTTTAATGTAGGCTTATGAGAAATAATTCAATGTATGCAATTTTTCCAAACACACTAAATATTTAGTTACTTTTTTTTATTATAGTTTTTTAGCACACAATACATTCAACTTGTAGTTGAATAATTTGACTCATGGATAAATTGCATTCAACTTGTAGTCGAATAATTTGACTCATGGATAAATCTTGAGTAGGCCAATATTAAAATTTCTCTTATATGGTCAGTTTCTCTAATATAACTCATGCCTGGTGGATTTTCTTAACTAAGAATAATAAATTACTTTGAAATTGTAAAATTTAAAATGTCGTATAGATGGCATATTAACGTAATTGTATATAATAATGAAAACAAACAATATAATGCCCAAAAACACTTGGATGAGATAAACCAAGTAGGTTGGAATGACGAGAATTGGCTTGCAATCAATTGCCCTCATAGCTCTATTTTATTTCAAGCCCTTTGATTTTACTGTGATTTCGATAACGATGTGGTACGTACATAACGAAGTGAGAGTCTTCACTCTTCACATTAGTGCAAGTAAGGGTAGTAGAACTGAAGAACCAGTCTGAAAAATATAACCGAAACGCAGACTTGGAAAAAAATCTCGTCTTCTCGAATGATCGAAGTCGTCGTTGACTAAATTCTCGCACGACAGTTACGATCTCTAATAAGCAATTTGTTTCCCTTTGATCCCAATAGAGGAAAGCCTTAAATGTTTACTGAAGAAAGGGCCATTGGTAAGGCCATGATGGAAAATGCAGTTAAGGACTGCAAACTCTGATACTACAAGCAACCCATATGCATCGGGCTCCAAGATCACTCGTGAAACTCGTTTTCGTTGATCTCGAGTTCAAATACGAAGATCAATGGCTTGGCTGTTGGGAACAAGCTAAATCTGGATAAAAGGGGCAAGTTCACAAGCAGATTCTGATGTGACGAGTGAATTTGCAAGTGTACTTGATGCAGCTCTGTAGCTGTCAGACAACGAACCGCGAGAAAGTCAGGTGATCTCGCTCGTCGTATGAAGGCCGGTCTCTTGAAAGAGGGTGTTGATTTCTGCATTTGAAATTTGCAGAGGGTCGACTTCTGCAGCAGGCAATTACTTGATCAAAGGTTAGAGGCATTTCTGGAAAAAAAAAAGGCTGCTTGATAAGGCCATGAGAAGAACTTGTACGCTGAGGAACTCAACTCCGAAGCACTAGATCTTACGTTAGTAGCAGACTGCAAACCTGTAAGAGAGTTCAAATTGTTTCACAGTTCCAAATTCCAATGCCACAAAATAATAAGAAAACTGAAAAGTGAAAATGCAATTGTAACAATGGGCCGTCAGCAAATTGGCATTATGGGCCGAATACGAAATCAAAGGATCTTGTACTCGTATTGGTGGGGTGCGAGGGCCCAAGCAGTAGTGCAACGCTCGAGCGACACGCGAGAAGGCCCCTGAAGCAAGCTCCAGTAGTGGGCTTTCTCCCCCTATAAAAATAAATTTAATATCGTGTGGGCCAGTGGCCCACGTATCAGATATTAAACTGATAAGAACAGATACTACACTTGATCTTAGCCAAAAGGCCGAGAAAGGTATGAATTGTGCAGAGTCCAGAGCTTGCTTCTTATTCCAAGCCTTCTGCTTTCACTTGCTAGTTAAGCGATGTGGTAGATAGGTGTCTTCTTCACAGTACAGTAGCCGCTTCACAGTAGAAGATCTTGAATGCAGAACAGCAATAGAAAAGAGAGAGAAATAAACAAAAAAGTGAGACATAAATTTCCAGGAGACCATGTATATTATGTATTGAGTATCAAGATTGTCTTTACAGCTGATTTATGTACAAGTATGACTTTGACGATATAGTAATTACAGATTGTGGATATTGAGAATGGAGGCTCTTGTTTTGATCAAACGCCTAAACAAACACTCACCTCCTTCCTGGAGATCTTGAATGCGTGGCTGCAAGCTCTTCAGATGAACTTGAACCTCCTCAGTAGATTTGTTCATCTTCAAAGAGGCATCCACGTCTGTGAATTCATTCTCATTTACTGGAGACACCCTTTTCAACTTGGTAATCAATGACCAGCTGCTTGGCTTTGAGCTCGATTGACAAATGAATGTCAGCAAGCACTCCAAAAACTCAATAACAGCAGATTCAACTTCCTTTAGCATGGCGATCGTCTCGATGTTGTTGGATGCAGTGGATTTCTTGTTTTCCATACCCTTCAAGACCTTCTGGACGGCTTTGATCACAGTCTTCCGGGATTTCAGATATTTTCTGGTTTCTCCTTCCAAACCACCTTGCTTTCTGCGAATAGCGGATTGAAGTTCAGCCACAGACTCTTTCATCTGGGACAAGGCATCTCTGGCCGTGTTGCACAAATCCAAGAGCCTGAGGGATCCATCTAGTAGCTCGTTGAAGCATTTCTGGTCATTGATCAAGGCTTCTTGAGTTGTCGACAGCTGGAACAACTGGTCAACACAATCATACACAACCTGAAGGCTATTCAAGCTGTGGCCTATGGATGATGATGAAGTGGAAGCAGCTTGACATTGTCTCAACCTGCAAACCTGCTCGTCGATCTCCGAAACTAGAGGGTGTGATCCTGCAGGCAAACTGCTGGAGCGAGCATGGAAAGAAGCTGCTGCCATTTTTCTAATTGGTGAAGATGAGAAGATGTTGGGAGGCTTTTTGAAAGCTGATAGAGATGATTTTCTGTGCCTTCCTTTGCATCCAGAGTTTGTTTATATAGATGGTGAGAAGAGTTAGGCAGGCCAAAGGGACACAAAAAGAGACAAGAGGAATCAAAGCCATTATCTTTCCATGTGCATATTCTTCTTATCATAAGACATGTCCAAAATGCACTGTTACTATGTGATATTTATTCAGCCTAAGCTTTCATATTTGGATCCACCACACTTACCAGCATTGTGTCCCTGCAATGTCCCTTGCCTACCAAGTCACCCAAATCATTAGGGATGGAGCTCTGAAGCAGTAGATGAGTCGTAGGGTGGCAAAGATCCATACTTTCTGCTTCTTCCATTTAAAATCTTCATAGCCCATCTCTCTTCTATGTCAGCAGAGCCTGGTGTTCACCTTGTAAGCAGAATAGGGCACAAAGGCATCTCTAATGAGCTGCCACATTACTTCTTCCTTATCGACTCCCTGCAGAATAAGACAGACCAGCAATTTCTTAATCGTAGACTTTGCATTTACATATGTACGTGGCTCTGTTTGCATACATGCAATATACAAAGAAAAATACAGCATGGAGGAGACGTGGGGGAGGCAGAAGGTTTCTCATGATTAATGATTGGCTATTGTAATCTGAGTAGTTGCAATCCCCACTCAAAGAACATGCAAATTTGATGACAACCTTTCAAGAAATGACAACCAAGGACAAGTTGAAATGGTGAAAGTGAATTCACAGTGCCAGTGGTAGTAGATTGAGGTTCTGGTTTAAATGAAATCGAAGTTCCTACAAAAGTCATACCAAAGACAAACAGTCTACTCTTGCATTACAGACTTTCCTTGAACGAGATGATTAGAAGATTAAGGCATAATAGGTAATGAGCTGGATAATTGCATAGACATGCTGAGATCAGATGGCTTGTTTTTTTTATCAAACCCAGCCATATTTCCATCTCATTCACTGATATTCATTCTGTCTCCCATGTGATTATGACTCCCCTTTAGTTTTCATCAGCTCTTACTTAACTTACCTGAACTATCTAAAATGATCCCAGAAGCTACTTTGACTGTTATTTTTGTACTATAAGCAAATGGCAATTAAAATGGACAGAAAGTGCGGGTTGGTAGAAAGAGCAATGGAACGAAAGAGACATAAGTTTCCAGGAACTTGAGGACCATGTATATTTATAGATTTGAGTATCAAAATTTTCTATACAACTTGTACAAGTAGTGTTTTGAGGATGTAACTACAGATTGTGGATATTGAGAATTGAGGCTCTTGTTTTGATCAAACGCCTGAAGAGGTACTCAACTCCTTCCTCGAGATCTTGAATGCATGGCTGCAGATTCTTCAGATGAAGTTGGATCTCCTCACTAGATTTGTTTGTCTTCAAAGAGGCATCCACATCCGAAAATTCGTTCTCACTGGAAGCTGCTGAAACCCTTTTCAGCTTGGAAACAAATGACCAGCTGCTTGGAGTGGAGCTTGATTGAGAAATGAATGACAGCAAGCACTCCAAAACCTCAACAACAGCAGATTCAGCTTCCTTTAATGTGGAGATCGTCTCGACGTTGTTTGATGAGGTGGACTTCTTGCTATCCATACCCTTCAAGGCCTTTTGGATGGCTTTCATCACAGTCTTCCTATATTTCAAATATCTTCTGGTTTCACCTTCAAAACCTCCTTGTCTTCTACGAATTGCAGATTGAAATTCGGCAACAGACTCTTTCATTTGAGACAAGGCATCTTTGGCAGTACTGCACAAGTCCAAAAGCCTCAAGGATCCATCCAACAACTCATTGAAGCATTTCTGGTCATTGATCAATGCTTGCTGTGTTGTTGGCAGTTGGAACAACTGGTCAACACAATCATACACAACCCAAAGGCTATTAAGATTGTGGCCTATGGATGATGAAGATGTGGAAGCAGCTTGAGATTCTCTCAACCTGCAAACCTGCTCATCGATTTCTAAGACTAAAGGGTGTGATCCTGTAGGCAAACTGTTGGAGCGAGCATGGAAAGAAATAGCTGCCATTTTTTTGTTTTCTGTTGGTGAATATGAGAGAAGGAATGAAAGAGATGGGATTGAGTTGATCTGCAATGCCTTCTGTGGCTGCTACTGCAAGTTTATATAGAAAGATGAGAAGAAAGAAACAGGTGGAGGAAGGAACAACAGAGAGACAAGATGAATCAAATAATCATATATTATCTCCATGTGCAACCAGAATTGATCCATATGATTTTGGATTCAGATCTAAAACAATCCCAACAGTGTGTCTCTGCAATGTCCCTTGCCCACCAATACCTCCAACTCATTGGCTATGCCACAATTGTTTGATTAAGGGCAGTGAATGAATGATGAAGGTAGGAAAAGATCCATACTTTTCGCTTACCCCAATTTGTAAATGTTCATTGCCAATCTATCTTCTCTGTTAGCAGAAGCCTTAGTTAATTATTTCAGCAGACACATTGTTTCCTTCCACGGGAGCTGCAGAATAAGTTCAGAGTTCTTTAATGTGCAGTGATTCATTCCTCTCTGCAATCGTGGGGGTTGATTAATGTAATCATGGTGATTAGGCTGTAAGCACTATTCTTGGGCCAAAAGTCTTTTTGGGCTCTCCGTTGGGCTTACTTGGACATCAGGCCCAGGCTTTGCTGTTGCGTTCACAGACCAACAGAAGCCGTTTGAGAAACAGCATTTCGCGGGAGTTCTTCCCTTTCCTTTCCCTTTACATCAGCTCCATTTCTAGGCTAGGGTTTCAGATTTCTCTGCGGGCAAGGGTTGAACAAAGCTACAATCGGACCTTGACACTTGCGCTGAGCATGAAAACCATACCACACTGAGCTAAATACAAACGGGAGCTGCTTTCTCACCCTCCGTGCTTCCATTGAAGTCCTGCATCGTTTCTTTTGCCGCTGCAGCTGCTCGATCCTTCGTTCTAGTTTAAGCACCTCGTCAGTCTCCCTCCCCAGCGGCAAAGATGCCTCTCCACCAGTTCCATTTGACCGCCTCTATCTCTTCTTCTTCATCGCCTTTCCTCGCTCCTCCCTCTGCCTTCAACTCCTTCTCCTCCAGGTATCCCCGCTTTCTTCTCCTATGATGAAAGATGACGCTTCGTGTTCCCTTTTCCTTTTCTCTCATGCTATTTTCAAGTCTGCTTTATCGCCGCAGGCACAAGAACTTTTCTCTTCCGCCGCGAGACTTGGGGATTTGTAGGTGTGTTGCGACTCCTCAGGAAGCGAAGACCCCAACTGGTGCTTCTATTCTCCCTGTTGAAAGTCCCCCTCTTTTTCTCTCCTTTTTGGCATTATGCAAATGGGATTTGGTGATGAAATTCTGGGTCTGTGTTTGTTTGTGCTGTTGTGTGAAGCTTACAAAACGAATGTTTCTCGCAATGCCAACATGGGGAAGCTTCAAGCTGGTTACTTGTTTCCCGAGGTATGTAAACGAGGCTCCCCTGAATACAGTTGTTCCATTTTTTCGACAATATCTTATAGAGTGTAAGATTTTAAGTGGTTTTAGAAAGTGCCTCATGTAGCCTATTGAAGATTTATGCGGAAGTCCTTGTATGATCGCACTCATTTGAACTTTTGTCTAAATTGATTGATTGCATTCGTCTTCTAGATACAAGCATCTGTCAGTGCTTGGCGCGCCTGTTAATTGTCTGATTACTTCTACTAGCCTGCCACTTGCATCCTCCAACTGCAAATCATTTGCTGAAACTTGTGCACCAGCTTGATCTTTATTCTCATCATCCTATTGCTCTGTAGGCTTCTGAAGCACTTTTCCACATCAAAATCTGTGTGCTCTGTTCTTTTATTCATATTTGTTAAAGTTGAGTTAAATTAGTCTCATCTTGAGATATTGTGTGAAATGACTGCTGGCCAGGCCAAGAAAGATCTCGTCGTGCAGTGTATGGAGATGAATCTTCTTTTCTGTTTGCTGCATCATTGATAGTTATAGACTTTGTTACTGACAGGCATAACATTGTTTTCTCTTATTTTATTATGTTGTCTAAGATATTTGGACCTTGATATAATCCATGTCACTTCATTGTCTGACTCAAAACAGGTTGCTAGGAGAAGGAATGCCCATAAGGAGAAGTACCCTGATGCTCAAGTGATAAGCCTTGGAATAGGAGACACCACTGAGCCCATTCCAGATGTGATAACATCTTCAATGTCGAAAGTACTGCCCCTCCTGTTAGACATGACTCTATTACTAGTACTAAGTCCGAGTGATCTTTGTTATATGATTCTTAACAGTAGTAGTATAGCTCTATTACATTGAAGTTTAAATCAGTTAATTAATTTAGTTGTTTCTTCGGAATGTTTTGAAGGATATAGCTCATGTTGTAGTCAGCTGCTGAGAAAACCTTTTCATTTTAGATTGAACATTTTTACTACGTGTGCATATATCTGATATTTTTTTCGTATATGATATTTGAAATGTTTTGAAATGTCTAGTACTTATTATCTAAATTACATTTTTTCAGAAATGCCAAGCATTGTCTACTCTTGAAGGTTACAGCGGCTATGGGGCTGAGCAAGGTGAAAAGGTATGTTACTCTTTGGAACCAGTTCTCTCATTCTGTAAATTTGCAGAAATTTGTCAGCCTTTATCCACGATTATGTTTTGCTTTCCTTGGCGTTCCTTAAAAAAATCAACTGTTGTCTCTTTAAGTGATCTTGGAGTTTTCTATACCTAACAAGAAGGCCAATTGGTATTCTACATGTCACAATTTTGTTAACTTCTGATAATATAGTTGTGAAATGTAATTGCAAGTGCTATCTGTCTATCTCCTGTTGATAATGTTATCTTTTGATCTTAAACTCCATTTCCGAAGCTACTATACCCTTGGAACAATGGAACTGGCTTAATGTTAACTAAAATGAGAAAAGGCTCACCTTTTCATTATATATTTTTTGAGGTTTTTGGTTATCGACCGGTTAACCTGTCATGTTACTCTATGTAGTCATTGAGAGCTGCGATTCGGTCTACTTTCTATGCTGATCTTGGTATCAATGATGATGATATATTTGTGTCTGATGGTGCCAAATGTGACATATCACGCCTTCAGGTTTGTTGATGAACACTTCACTGTTTTGCTTATCGTTTTATGTGGCTTCTTTCCATTTTCTCATTTATTTTCATGCCTATGTAAAATTTTCTCTTGCCTCCATCATTTGACAGGTTGTTTTTGGCTCTAATGTCACAATGGCAGTGCAAGATCCTTCATATCCGGTAACTTCTTTTGTTTCGTTTTGTGAAACTCTTAAGTTTTTGGGGAATATCAGGAATCTTTCACTTCACTTTGAACTTGCTATAACATAAATTGAACTCACTTGATATCTAATATAATGTCAAGAAGGCCCTGTAATACACTAAGACTGTTGTAGCCTTTCTCTAATTTCTTAGTTTCCACGCTTTGCAGGCTTATGTTGACTCTAGTGTCATAATGGGTCAGACTGGGCAGTTCCAAACGGATGTCGAGAAGTATGCCAACATTGAATACATGAATTGCACTCCGGAGAATGGTTTCTTTCCTGATTTATCCAAGTCCCCTCGAACAGACATAATATTTTTTTGTTCCCCTAACAACCCCACTGGAGCTGCTGCAACAAGGGAGCAACTGACCCGCTTAGTGCAGTTTGCCAAGGACAATGGATCCATTATTGTCTATGATTCGGCATATGCATTGTATATGTCTGATGACAATCCTAGGTCCATTTTTGAAATTCCTGGAGCGAGAGAGGTAAAGGTTCAGTTGATACTTTGTCTCGTTTCGGTTGCTGTTTTTTTGGGCAGGCTAACTACCTATGTTAATTTTCACATCTTTCCCTTCCTGTGTTTGTACCTTGATTTCTTGGGCCTTTAGGCTGACGCTTTTGACGGTTTCCCCTTGGTTTCTTATGGCCTTGGTGTTATGATAGCTCATACTCGATGTTTTTGGGTGATCTCAGGTAGCAATTGAGACTTCATCTTTCAGCAAGTATGCTGGGTTCACTGGAGTTCGGCTAGGTTGGACTGTGGTTCCAAAGGAGCTTCTTTTCTCTGATGGGTTCCCTGTGGCCAGGGACTTCAACCGAGTTGTCTGCACTTGCTTCAACGGTGCTTCCACTGTCGCTCAGGCGGGTGGCCTGGCTTGCCTGTCACCAGAAGGCCTCAAGGTTCCCCTCTTCTTATTCTCGTGTTCTTCAGTTCCTTATTGTGTTCTTCAAGTTTGTCTTGCGAATGCATACTCCACAGATAAATAGCTGTACTCCGTCTATCTCACAGGCAATGCACGAAGTAATTGGATTCTACAAAGGAAACACAGAGATTATAATGGATACCTTTAACTCACTCGGGTTCAAAGTCTATGGCGGGAGGAATGCTCCATACGTGTGGGTACACTTCCCTGGCCGGAGCTCATGGGATGTGTTTGCCGAGATTCTGGAGAAGACCCATGTAGTAACCACACCTGGTAGTGGTTTTGGCCCTGGTGGTGAAGGTTTTGTCAGAGTGAGTGCCTTTGGTCACAGAGGGAATGTTTTGGAAGCCTGCAAGAGGTTCAGGCAGCTTTACAAGTGAGAGATTACAGATTATCTTGTTTGGGTTATACATGCCCCTAATCAGTGAGATGATAAATCATAAAAGACATCTGCTTCAGTTTTTTATTTTTATTTTCCTGTGTACTGGGTGTTGGTATTGGAGAATAATTGAAGAGATCAAAGTTGAAGTGGAAAAATAATCTGTCGGGAGTTCAAATGCAATTTTCTGCCATCTCTGTTTTAGACGATTGTATTCTTCCAGGTAAAGAATTAGAATTTATATCAAGTTCTGTCTGGTGTCTATAAAGTATCAAGTATAAACCCATCACTATACCAAGTGGTGGTAGTCTTTGTTCTACAGGCAAAATTAGCAACCTCTACGTAAACTATATGCTCATTCATTGGTGCTCTTGTTTTAAAGAGACGCCAAAAGTGGCAGCCAACTCCTTCCTGGCCTTGAATACCTTGGCTGCAAAATTTCAGATGAACTTGGACCTCTTCTCCAGATTTGTTTGTCTTCAAAGAGGCGTCCACTTCTGTGGATTCATTCTCTTCACTTGCTGCTGCAACCCTCATCGGCTTCGAAACAAATGACCAGCTGCCTGGAAGTTGAAGAGAAGAGCTGAAAGAAATTATTTGCATTGGCTTCCTTGGCATCCCGAGTTTGTTTATATAGATGGCTTCTATGGACTGCTGCAGAAATTTACAGCCGTTGTCTCTTGTGAGCAAACAGCCAAACACTTGATGGCTTCCTAATGGTGTCAAAATGCTTTACTATGACCTCGTCAGCCACATAGTTCAAACAAGGCCTCGAAAGCCAAATGTATGCCTCCTATTATCACAGTCGAGAGCAACTTAATAATGAAGTTTACACAGATATTCTTGTTATGTTTCCTCTACCCCTTGTTCTTCATCCTGGCTCATGCTGGTGCACGCAGCAGAAAATACTGTCATAAAAGGTTGACGTGCATCTCCTCTCCGACTATTGCGAAAATATCATCTATCCTGAGATTTTGGAAACAAAAAGCAAGTTAGTGACCCAATGTGTAGTCTGAACAAACTCAAAAGTGTTGTTCTGTTCAATGATCTTAGACGCTAGGAGGGAAGTTACACCAGGTTCAAGTCAATAGCACCAAAAGTAACAAGTTTTTTTACCTGTTGCAGTCCATATTCACCTCGCAGAGCCATGTTGTCAAATAGACCTTCACACAGAAAAACGAACCAACTTTTTTGGTGATCATTTGCTACAATGGAGCTTTCAACACACATGAATCTTTTTAAGTGACTAACTTTACCTGCAAAGTCTCCAAGTTGTTTGGTTGACCCTCATATTGTATTTTGGAATTGGTGAAGGTGGATTTCAACTCTATCAATCTCGGTCGAATTGGTTGTTGATCAGTTTCATCAGAGGGGTACAGGTTGCATAACCTTAGTTGTTCAAATTCTCCGGGGTAAAGCTCATTCGACCAGCACCATACTTCCTCGCCTTTGGGGGCTTCGCTACTGACACTACTAAGTAGCTCTACAACAATCAGGCGCTGTTGATGCAAAAACGCAACAAATGCATAAACTGAAGGAGACGACCATTTAAGCAGAGAGTCCAGTAGACAGTACAACAGAGGCGGAAGTAGATTTTACCTTGATCATCAGTTCAGATATGAACATCTGAACAAGCTCATCTGCCAAGTGCTCTGCCACCCACACCATTTAAGCAGCAGCAGGTCACAAAAACTCGATTCGAATACACAATTCGAAATAACCATGAAGTAGATGGATAAAATGGTTACATACCGAAAAGTGAGACTGACCAAAACAAGAACACTGGGATCTCACCACCATCTCCCCTGTCATCGTTATCCATGGAGCTGTTGGTGGAAAATTGTACAATTGAACTACTACTACTTGCTGTATTCGAATAGCATCTCATGGATTTACTGGTCGCTACCATTTGAGCTGTTACTCCCAGCTGCCAGAGACAGACGGATCACGCAAAACGAATTCGAACCGAAGTGAAAAAGAAAAGGCAGAAGGGAATAGATATCCGCAAGTTACCAGAAGTTTGTAGGATGACAAAAGTTTGGTTCGGTGAAGCTCCTGATAAAGAGAATGTCAAAATCAAAGCCAATGCTGTGTTTATGGAGCTAAGTAAAGGGAAAATATCAACCCATACCACCAACCTGCTGTTTAGACAGCTTGGAAGAGGCTTTCTCTCGAATAGCTGGCATGTCACTGACAACTCCGAGCTCCATCGATGGCATGTATCTGAAACCAAACCCAAAATTCAATCTTTGGGTTCTCCAAAACAACCCCAGATTAAGCGAAAAGCACTTGCTTTTAGCTCGATTCATGGAAACCCAGTCAGGCAAAAGAATGTCGGAATAAGAAAGCTGGGAAAGGGGAAGGAAAGAAACATACTTTCGAGAGAGATGTGCGTTGACAAGTGAGGTGGCGTGCGATCTCCCGGCGGAGGAAGACGTCACCCATTCTGAGCGGCAGGAAGCCAGCTTCGACCATTGGTTCCTCAGGTTCCGTTGCGCCGCTGGTCTCCAAAGGCGCAAAATGGACGACGGCGGCGGCAGCGGCGAGGAGCTGGTGACGGTAGGGTTTCGCGATTGAGAGGAGGAAGACGATGAATTGCGTTGCGGCGTTTCCATCGGAGACTTGACGCAGCGGAAGCCGGCGCCAGGCAGGGAAGGAAGGAAGAGCGACGGTCGGTTGGGGGTGACGGCGGGAACAACCCGTTTGGTTGAAACTTCAAACCCTAAGATTTTTAAAAGGAGGCAAAAGGGGATTGATTACGTCACGGTCGGAGAAATTACAAAGTGCCCCTCAAAGATTATAAAATAACCGCTTATTTGCAGCTCTTGCCTTGCCTTGCTTCAGAAGGATGCCTGCCTTGCCTTGCTGCCACTGAAGGAAGGAACTTTAGCTTCTGGTTTGCTATCATTGCTTAACTCACAAGAAATAGCAGACCCAAGGACAAGTTGAAATGGTGAAAAAGTGAAATCACAGTGGGAGTAGATCATTGTTCTGGTGTAAATGAAATCACAGTTACTTGAATGACAAACAACCTAAATCAGGTGGGACAAGGATGATTGCAAATTGGTATGATTGTTATCATGAAGACATCAACCACCTTTTCACTTGCATCCCAAGGAACTGCAACCTTTCAACCTCCACCAACACCCTCTCTCTCTCCTCCCCCCTTTGTCATTCTCCTCTAATCTAAAGGGTCATGGCAACTACTCTTCTTGGATCAGCTCAAAATCCAACAACATGGCTAATAATCCCTCTTCTTCCAAGCTGCAACAGCAGCTTCTTACTTGCTCACTCTGCTTCCTCTTGATGGTCAACCTCTCCCACAAAATCGTGCAGTCTGCTGAGGCTGCCCCTGATAAAGATGGATGGACGACATCGTTGAACGAAAGCAGCAGCACGAGATCGTCAGAGCTTTGCAGCAGCAGCAGCAGCATTGACACCGCCACATTTCTTCCTCCGCCATATTCCAACATCACCATGGCCTGTACCCCTCTCTGGAACGACTTCGTCCTCAGGGTAATGATCAAGTCTTTCAATTTACAACTTATTACGATTATAGAACAACTATTAATTTGTTAGATGGTGTTATGGTTTGGCAATGGCAGTACCACAAGGGAGAAGACAATGTGATGACATTTGTGCTATCTGTGGTGTACACGAGCGGATGGGTGGGGATGGGATTCTCCAAGAACGGGCTGATGGTGGGATCCAGCGCGGTGGTTGGGTGGGTGACCAAGAAAGGAACTCCAATGGTGAAGCAATACTACCTTCAAGGGTCCAAACAGTCACAGGTAGTGGCAGATGCAGGGGAACTTGACCTCAACCACATTCCCCCGGCGGCCGTCCTCCATCCCCCGCACATTTACTTGGCGTTTCAGGCCAAGTTCGACAGGCCTCTTCTCAAGCAGCCCATCATTCTGGCTTTTGGGACCAAATACCCGGGCCACCACCATTATCGCTTGTCACACCACGACGACAAGACCACCATTTTGTTCGACTTCTCTGCAGGTCCAGAATCAGCGGTGGTGATTGATGCGGGGGAAATGAAGAGAAACCATGGGGTATTGGCGACATTGGGATGGGGAGTTCTGTTACCAGCTGGAGCCATTGTTGCCAGATACCTGAGGGAGAAAGATCCATTGTGGTTCTATCTCCATTCCATCATCCAATTCCTTGGGTTTCTCTTGGGGCTTGCTGCTGTAGTCCTGGGACAGAAGCTGTACATGGAGACCAATAACGCCCAACTACTGCCACACAGAGGGATCGGGATCTTCATTCTCACCCTCGCCATTCTTCAGGTAAAACCAAAAGATGGAAACTTTATTCTGATGAATGATGTTTTGATAGATTCTGAGTGGTTGGTTTGTGGATCTGCAGATACTGGCGTTTTTCTTGAGACCAAACAAGGAGTCCAAGATCAGGAGGTACTGGAACTGGTACCACGCCTGGATAGGGAGAGCTGCTCTTTTCTTTGCAGCGGTCAACGTTGTGCTGGGGATCCATATGGGACATGCTGGGACTGCTTGGAAGGTTATGTATGCCTTGATTCTAACAACCATCCTGGTCACAGTCATAACTCTTGAAGCATTGCAACGATTGAGGTGGAGACCGGAGAAGAACACTGATGATATCAACAACCATCATCCTCATGCATCCAACTTACAGATGAACTCCAATGCAATACTATAATTTTTATGATTACCATGTCTAGTACATTGTAAAATTTGCATAGATTAGCATGATTGTTGTACCAATGGAAGGCAAGATCCACCTAATATGGTTTCTCAAGGTGATCATTATTGCCTTTGGAGGTGTGATGATTACTCATTTCTGCAATAATGCATCTGGTTTGGTCAGTCTTCCATGTGATTATGATTCCTTTTCAATTTTGATCAGATCTTATTTACCTTACCAATCTGATATGATCCCAGAAGCTACTTTCAATGTTATTTCACCCCTACAAGCAGATGGTAATCTAAAATGGACAGAAATGCAGGTTGGTAGATAGAGCAATGAATCGAACGAGACATGAATTTCCAGAAACTTAGGGACCATGTATATATATATATAGATTTGAGTGTCAAAATTTTCTATACAACTTGTACAAGTATTTTTCTGAGGATGTCACTACAGATTGTGAATATTGAGAATTGAGGCTCTTGTTTTGATCAAACGCCTGAAGAGGCATTCAACTCCCTCCACGAGCTCTCCAATGCATGTCTGCAGATTCTTAAGGTGAAGTTGGATCTGCTTGCTGGATTTGTTAGCCTTCAAAGAGGCATCGACATCGGCAAATTCATTCTCGCTGGAAGCTGCTGCAACCCTTTTCAGCTTGGAAACAAATGACCAGCTGCTTGCCTTTGAGGTTGATTGAGAAATGAATGACAGCAAGCACTCCAAAACCTCAACAATAGCAGATTCCGCTTCCTTCAATGTGGAGATCGTCTCAACGTTGTTTGATGAGGTGGACTTCTTGCTATCCATGCCCTTCAAGACCTTTTGGATGGCTTTCATCACAGTCTTCCTAGATTTCAAGTATCTACTGGTTTCACCTTCAAAACCTTCTTGCCTTCTACGAATGGCAGATTGAAGCTCAGCAACAGACTCTCTCATTTGAGACAAGGCATCTTTGGCAGTATTGCACAAGTCCAAAAGCCTCAAAGATCCGTCCAACAACTCATTGAAGCACTTCTGGTCATTGATCAAGGCTTGTTGGGTTGTTGGCAGTTGGAACAACTGGTCAACACAATCATACACAACCTGAAGGCTGTCAAGGTTGTGGCCTATGGATGATGAAGATGTGGAAGCAGCTTGAGATTGTCTCAACCTGCAAACCTGCTCATTGATTTCTGAGACTAGAGGGTGTGATTGTGTAGGCAAACTGTTGGAGCGAGCATGGAAAGAAATAGCTGCCATTTTTGGTAATCTTGGTGAATATGAGAGAAGGATTGAAAGACAGAGAGAGATATGACTGGAGATGATTTGCAATGCCTTCTTTGGCACCTATTGCAAGTTTATATAGAAGATGCGAGAAAAGAGGCAGTCGGAGGAAGAAACGACAGAGAGACAAGAGGAATAGGAGCATCTTGTTTCTCCCATGTGCAAACACAATTCAATCCACCTCATTATCAGCATTGTGTCTATGAAATGTCCCTTCCCTACCAAGTAATCCAACTCATTGGCCTCCATCATCGAGGTAGGCAAGATCCATGCATCCTGCTTCTCCTGCAGCGTCATTCAATAGTGAAGATTATCATATCTCTAGTGCCTTGAAAACAAAGTCAAACAGCTCACTCGTGCATGGTGCATCAACTTCTACAGGGGAGACAGACGTTGAAAACGGACTCTGTACCATGAGAGTTGGAGAGTAGTGGTAGGCAAGAGACAATGCACTGACATCGCTGACATGGTTGGCTGGCTGGTTTCCAAATCAAAATCACATTTCCATCTCTAGTAGGTGAGATATGCAAGACAATGAGATTCCTTGTGTCTCCTCTTGCATCCAACCATATATAGTCAATAAGATGGCAACCAAAGTCTGCAACTTTCCTTCGACTTCACCACAAGAATGATGATTTCCAACCCCAGATGAAGGAAAAGTGTTCATCATCTGCAATCAGTTTTAAGGCGATGAAAGAATGGTGCTCATGAACTCAAGTCTTGCAATTGAGGTTAGGAAAAGTATTTAGCTCCAATGGAAGGCAGTAAACAAGGGCTACTCTACTCATTGCTGTGAGAATTCATAGCTGGTTAGTTTCTAAGCTGGAAAAAGAGCCACAAACAAAGTGGGAAGTAATCACAGATGAACATTCAAGAGCAGAAGGAGAAGATACTTACATCATTTTGCGAATTGCATCAGAAGACAACAGTTGAAGCAAGCCAGGTAAATCCCGTACCTGTGAAAGGGTTCGCAAAATAGTTTCTTTCGAAGGGTATCGACTTGTGCATTGCATTCGATATTTGTCTGCAATCCCTCTCCCGCGTCTGCAATCCCTCTCCCGCAGTAGGAAACACGAAACGTCGGGAAGAACCGCAAAAGGAAACGATGAAACATATTGTTTATCCTCTTACAGCCACATACCAACAGGCTCTGCCTTTCTCCTTTTTCCATTTAGGAACAGGGGAAGTATAAGTATTTCAATCCCATCTCGTCATCTTTACCGACCACCTTGGTTGTATATATACAACTAGTGCTATATTGGAAGACATTTTTGCTGCCAGGCTTTAGAGACAAATAAAAGAGAGATTCTTTTTCATTAGATCAAATGGTAGATTCTTTTCTGCAAATAGTTCATGCACCAGTATTACATTTACAGTATACATATCTAGGTATAATCAAACCGGAGTTGAAAAGGTAACAAACAGAAGAGGGAAAAAGATGACAACTTTACAAACAGCTTCCAGCAAAACTCAATTCGGCATGCACGTACTTCACCGGTTCACAGAGTGAAGGGATTGGAGGGCGTGTAAACAGTTGGAACCTTAGACATGGTTATGTTTCCTGCTAGTACATTATGTGCTACGGTATCTTCAATGGTGACTGGGTTCAGCTGCACCACTCTCTCCGGTATAACCTTCTGGCCGTCAACTTTGGCCAGCACCTCGAAATGCATCCTTACTGACTCTGGCTTGGTCCTCCAGTCTGCAAACCCCTCTAGAACAATTCCATCTCCTTCTTTCAGTTTCTTCTCTACACCGAAACCTATCTTCACATAGGTCTGTGCCGAAACATCAGCCTTCAACAGCTTGAAGGAACCCTTCTCATTGGCCTTGGCACCCAGCACAGAGGCGAGCAGTTTCTCAAAGCCAACTAAATTAGCGTGGGAACCATTCAATGAAGCGAGAGGCCACATTGTGGAGAAATGTTTGGGAGTCAAAACAGTGGTAGCAGCTTCTTCAAGATCATCTGTAGATAGAGCATTGAACATCATGGGAGACGATAACTCCACTAGGCCTGGGCCGAGCCGCTTGAGCTTGAGCTTGTTACTAGATGATGGTGTAGTGGAGGTTGGGGATTCCAAGTTGGTGGGACCTACAATTCGCAGAGAAAGGAGAGGAGCACCCTCAGCTCGGGATGTCTGCCGTAGCTGCTCTGCAAGAGAAAGAAGACCCGCAGCAAAACCATTCTCAGTCCTGTTGAGGGGCAGTGGTAGATCAATCGGGTGGCGTAAGCTAACTGATCTTGCACCCTTCACTGTGACAACAGCACCATCTGCTAATATTACTTTCTTCAACACTCCAGCATCCACATCATGCTGGGGAAAACACACACACACACAGAGACAATTCAGACACCCATCATAGCAAACTCCCGGAGCCCATAATTTGAATCCCAAGACCTAATCTTTCACATTCCATGTTGAGTTTCGAAACCAATAAACCTTTTTTCCTTCATTCTAAAAGATCCAGGAAACCTTACCGGTAAAGAGAGGCGCATATCCTTGGCATCCTGAATCCAAATCTCCATGGGACCAGCAAGCTGGAACGGGGCCAATACCGGCAAAGGGTTCCCATTTCTTTTCTCTGCCACGGCATTCTCATCTTCCTCCATCCTAAACATAGGCAAGTCGACGTACTCCCACCGATTCACATCTTCCAACAGCTTGAACGGGATCGCTTGGCTGTCAATCTCGACGTCGAATTCGTAAGCCACGGAGTGCCCCACAAGCGCATCCTTCAAATCGAACCCCGAGATCTTGAAATCGTCGGCGTGTAACCCTAACCCTTTCACCACCGCATCTTTCAAATCCTATTACGTAATGCATCGTCAATAACTTCATTACATTTATCCGATATGTTATACAAAATTCGCAGAAATTAAAACAGAAAGAAAATAAATGGAGAAGAATCGGACATACGGAGATGGGTTTCGGATACTGAGGGCGATGGAATTCCGGAGAAGAGGAGGAGGCGGCGGAGAAGAGCGACAGAAGAATCGTGAGTAGAGCGAGGACAGGCAGAGCCTTCTGAGCCATAATCGCGAAACGGGAAAGAACGGCAGACCAGCGCCGTCGTCGGCGAGAGAGAAGCAACCAGCTACGCGAGAGATCAAGGAGGAGATTGGGTGTAGTGAGGTTAATTTGTTTCTCTCTTTTTTTTTTCAAGGTTAAGATTATCTTTCTCCCTGTTGTTCGCTAGGGAAATAGGGGTGCGAGCGAGGAAGAGATCAATTAAACGTGCGGCATATGAGGGAGGGAAGTTTCTGGATTGGCGGAGGAGTACCGTGGGAGGATGACGTGTCTCCAATGAACCAATGGGCGGGTAGATAATGATGTGGAACAAGCTTTGATTGGTTTGATTTGTTGGTCGCCGAGGAACTTTTAAAAAGAGGTTTGATATTCTTGGTAATTAAAGCTAGCTTCCAGGCTTCGAGCCCGGCCCATTAGGCATTAGCCGATTGTGAGCTAAGGCCTAAGAGTAGCTTTTAGTTGGGCTTTTTAAAAGACTGTTTGATATTCTTGGTATCTAAAGATAGCTTCGAGCCCGGCCCGCTGGACGATTGTGAAGTAAAGAGTAGCTTTTAGTTTTGGGTTTTTTTTTTTTGATAATTTAGTTTTGGTTTTGATTAAGCAAAGATACATTGATTTGGATTTAAAGAGGAAGTTAAAAACACTTGGTCTTTTGCCCTTGGACTTGCCTTACATGAAAGTTACATCCCATGTTGTACCCTCTACAAAGGAGAATGAAGACCGATAACTCCATGCGTTCCTAATACGAATTCGTGCCTACAACCCTATTAATCGACGGTTAGAAATGACGACCAAATGAATCAACACGGAAAAGAGCATCGGAAGATGCACCCATGCAGCTCTTTCATTGAAAGTCATGACAAGCAACCCAGTCAAACATCACATCTGAGCTTCCTTAAACGTGTTTGGAAGATTAAACCTGAATAGGTAATGATCTGGATAGTTGCATGGACATGTTCAGATGGCTTTGTTTTTAGATAAAAAAAACTCAGCCATATTTCCACCTCATTCACTGATATATTGTACATTGTAAAACTTGATTCCTTTTGTCTCCTCCCTCTGACATATAGGTTTTAGATTACTGTATATGATTAAAGATTCATACCAACCTGCATAGATTAGCGTGATTGTTGTACCAATGGAAGGCAAGATCCACCTGATAAGGTTTCTGAACGTGTTCATTATTGCATTTAAACGTGTGATGATTACTCATTTCTGCATTAATTAATCTGGTTTGGTCAGTCTTTCATGTGATTATGATCCCAGAAGCTTATTTACTTTACCAATCTGAAATGATCCCAGAAGCTGCTTTCACTGTTATTCTTCTCCTACAAGCTTATGGTAATTAAAATGGACAGAAAGTGCAGGTTGGTAGATAGAGCAATGAATCGAAAAGGACATGAATTTCCAGGAACTTGGGGACCTTGTATATTTATAGATTTGAGTGTCAAAATTTTCTATACAACTTGTACAAGTACTGTTTTGAGGATGTAACTACAGATTTTGGATATTGAGAATTGAGGCTCTTGTTTTGATCAAACGCCTGAAGAGGCACTCAACTCCTTCCTCGAGATCTTGAATGCATGGCTGCAGATTCTTCAGATGAAGTTGAATCTCCTCGCTAGATCTGGCTGCCTTCAAAGAGGCATCCACATCGGTAAATTCATTCTCACTGGAAGCTGCTGCAACCCTTTTCAGCTTGGAGACAAATGACCAGCTGGTTGGCTTCGAGGTTGATTGAGAAATGAATGACAGCAAGCACTCCAAAACATCAACAACAGCAGATTCAACTCCCTTCAATGTAGAGATCGTCTCAACGTTGCTTGATGAGGTGGACTTCTTGCTATCCATACCCTTCAAGACCTTTTGGATGGCTTTCATCACAGTCTTCCTAGATTTCAAGTATCTTCTGGTTTCACCTTCCAAACCACCTTGCCTTCTGCGAATAGCGGATTGAAGTTCAGCCACAGACTCTTTCATCTCAGACAAGGCATCTTTGGCGGTATTGCACAAGTCCAAAAGCCTCAAAGATCCATCCAACAACTCATTGAAGCACTTCTGGTCATTGATCAAGGCTTGTTGGGTTGTTGGCAGTTGGAACAACTGGTCAACACAATCATACACAACCTGAAGGCTATCAAGGTTGTGGCCTATGGATGATGACGATGTTGAAGCAGCTTGAGATTGTCTCAACCTACAAACCTGCTCTTCGATTTCTGAGATTAGAGGGTGTGATTGTGTAGGCAAACTGTTGGAGCGGGCATGGAAAGAAATAGCTGCCATTTTTTGTTATCTTGGTGAATATGAGAGAAGGAATGGAAGACTTGAGAGAGATGTGGCTGGAGATGATTTGCAATGCCTTCTTTGGCACCTAGGGCAAGTTTATATAGAAGATGAGAGAAAAGAGGAAGGTGGGGGAAGGACAGCAGAGAGACAAGAGGAATCAAAGCATCAAATTTCTTCCATGTGCAAACACAAATCCATCCACCTCAGTAGCATTGTGTCTGTGAAATGTCCCTTGCCTACCAAGTAATCCAACTCATTAGCCTCCATCATCAAGGTAGGCAAGATCCATGCATACTGCTGCTCCTGCAGCATCATTGAATAATGGAGAGTCATATTCCTAGTGCCTTGAAAATGATGTCAAACAGCTCACTCGTGCATCACCTTCTGCAGGAGACAGACGTTGAAATCTTACTGTAAGTCTATAACCATGAGAGTTGGAGAGTGGTGGAAGGCAAAGAGACAATGCACAGACATTGCTGAGATGGTTTGGTTGGTTGTTTAGATCCAAATCACACACACATTTCCATCTCATCTCATTCATTCATTAGTTGATTTATATATATGCCAAGGCAATGAGATTCCTTGTGTCTCCTCTTCCATCCAACCATATATAGTCAATGAGATGCCTACCACCAAAGTCTGCAACTTTCTCTTCCAACTTTCGTTTCTTTGATCCCCCAGATGAAGGGAATGCTAACGTTCATGATCTGCAATCAGTTTTTAGGAGATCGAAGGAACGGAGTTCATAACGAACTTAAGCCTGACGATTGAAACAGGACAGTCCCAATTGCTGTGTGAAACGCCAAATGCGACAAGACAGACAAACGAAACGGAGAAACGCGATACGTTTCGTTACCCGCGATATATTTGGCTTGCGGTGGGGATAAGTGGCTGTAGCGTACTTAGTTTTCCCGGTGGGGTTGGATTTTGTCCAGAAAATGGCCCGAGAACGCAGCACTTCTTCTTCTTCTTTTGTGGTTTGCCGAAGAAATGGCGTTATCTGGCGTAGCAGCGGCGACCTTCCCATTTAGGATACAGCAGGTAGGTAACTCATTCTTCCTTCTGCCTTGAAGTTAGTTGGCTACCGTTAATTTCATCGAGCATCTGACGCTGGAAGTCTGCCACCAATTTGTTCTGATGAAGGAGCTTGACAATCTCCAACGAATACCCACTCTCAGTCTCAGGACTCCCAAATGGGTTTCCCGCCACTGCCGCTGGCGCGCAACAATTCCCCAAGATGGGAATTCTTCTTCTGTTGAAACTGCTGAAATCCGGTTTCCTGCTGATTATGGGGAGCTTCTTGATCAAGTGAGTGGGTCTGCCTTCGATTAATGAAAAGTTGTGTATTGGGTTGCTTCTGTTTTGAGGAAAGAATTCAGCGTTCTACTATTGTGAACAGGCCAAATCTGCTGCAGAACAGGCTCTGAGTGCTGGGATAAAGCTCATGGTTAGTCTTTTTGTGATTGAGCTAACTGAGTGGATGGGATTTTCATGTGTTGTTGGGGGAAATGATTGTGGATGGAGGGACTCTGTGATTGTTTGATCTCTAACTGATGGAAAGATTGCTGCTTTAAAAAATACACAGGAGATTGAATTCCCAACAGCTGGGCTTGAGTCTGTACCAGGTGATGGTGAAGGGGGGATAGAAATGACTGACAGCATGCTCTTGATTCGTCAGTTTTGCGACCGGTTGGTTAGTCCTCAGAAAGCTTCAAGAACCAGAATTGTGGGTCTAGTCTGCCTCTCTTTGCTTTGATCGTTGCAGCAACATATATCCCTTTTCCTTCTTACAAGGGATGCATGCATGACTCCATTCGAATGATATGTGCATTTAAGCTTGTTAGCTATTCAGACTTGTTTACAAGCCGTTCTATTTATTTATGATCCAGTTCTTCCCAGAGGCAAATGAGGTTACGTTTGCTAGGGAGACTGCATTTGGAGGGTCATCCCTGAGGCTGGACTACTTGACGAAGCCATCGTTTTTCGAGGATTTTGGCTTTACTGAGAAGATCAGAATGTCAGACCGTGTAAAGCCAGAGGACGAATTGTTCCTAGTCGGCTATCCATACTTCAATGTGAATGGTAGTAGTTGATCAATCCTGTCTCCTCGTCTTTGAAGAGAAGTTGATTGATACTAAGTTTGTCACACTCCTATTACCACTTGTTTTCTGTTCCAGAAATGCTTGTGGTGGAGGAGCTTTACAAGGAAGCTGTTGCAGACACAAATCGTCAATTGATTATATTCAATGGAGAGCTTGACCGAATAAGATCTGGATGTATCCTTTTTCAAGAATAACAGCAGTTTCTTTGGAGACCTTGTCCATAAACAACAGTAACATGGTATTTGATCATTCTGCTTCACTCAAATGTTGTGTCCTTGAACGAGCTGTAGACTATCCGCCCTTCTTCTACCCCAAGCTGGCCTCGCTGTCCAAAACGTTCTTCCCATTGATGGAGACGGTGTACTACATTCATAATTTCAAAGGACGCAATGGGGGTGTTCTTTTCAGGTTTGCTGCAATTCCATCAGTGAATGCGTTCCACTCGTGGCTTAACATATATATAAGACGATTTCTTTTGCCATCTTCCCTGCCCGTGCTGGTTTTCATTATCGATACGAATGGTGTACTGTGCTCTGCAGGTGTTATCCAGGCCCGTGGAAGGTCCTTCGAAAAGCGAGGAATTCTTCTTCTTATGTTTGCCTGCATCAACAGCAAACCATGCCGTCCCTCAAGGAAGTTGCTCTGGACATTCTTCCTGCAGCCTGAGAAACTCAAATAGTTATAGTTCATTCACTCTGCTTCTCGGTTCATGGGATCTGCAAATTAATGTTTGGGTAAAACATTTAGAAAGTTGTACATCTCTTCTTTTTGACAAATGATACATTGGTGGTTTTCTCCCAACTCAAATGGGCTCAATCAGTAACAGAAAATTGGACTAAAATTGGTGGGGTGCGCCAGGCCCAAGCAATAGTGCAACGCTCGGGCGACACGCAAGAAGGCCCCTGAAGCAAGCTCCAGTAGTGGGCTTTCTCCCCCTATAAAAATTAATTTAATATCGTGTGGGCCATTGGCCCACGTATCAGATATTAAACTGATAAGAACAGATACTACACTTGATCTTAGCCAAAAGGCCGAGAAAGGTATGAAATGGGCTGTGTCCAGAGCTTGCCTCTTATTCCAAGCCCTTCGCTTCCTCAAGTTGGTTTAAGCGATGTGGTAAAAAATTGGCTTTCTCACTCACAGAAGCCACTTCACAGTAGACAAAAAGAGAGGAGATGTGTTAAATTTAAAACTGCTTTTATTTAGTGAGATTAGTTGAAGATTAAGGTTGAATAATAACAGGTAATGAATTGAACAGTACTACAGGCAAGCAGGAGACATAAGCATGAAGCATAGCTGTGATAGTTGCTGTATTAGCCACTTGTACAATGAAGGAACGTGTAAATGATTCAACTGAGCCTTTTGACAGGAAACAAGCCATCACATTCTGCAGTGCCCATGAACTGTTTGTTTGCTTACTCGCTGATCTCTGGCATCATGAGTTGTTATGTTTTTTGCCAGGCTCCCATGTGATGTGAATGCCCTCCAATTGAAGGTTTCTTTTTCTTACATTTCAAAGAATTGAAGGTTAATGGAAGCTATGTATTGTTCTCTCGACTGTCTGTAATGATCCTAGAACCTGTTTTCCACTGTCATTCATGTTTGTACTACATGTATTGTGATAGAAGATAGAGCAATAAATGAAAAGTGAGACATAATTTTCCAGGAGACCATGTATATTTACGGATTTGAGTATAAAAATTTTCTATACAACTTGTACAAGTATTGTTCCGATGATGTAATAATAACTACAGATGGTGGATATTGAGAATGGAGGCTCTTGTTTTGATCAAACGCCTGAACAGGCACTCAACTCCTTCCTCAAGATCTTGAATGCATGGCTGCAAGTTCTTGAGTTGAACTTGAACCTCTTCACTAGATTTGTTCATCTTCAAGGCCGCAGCCACCTCTGCAAACTCATTCTCACTTGCTGATCCTGCTGCCGCCCTTTTAAACAATGACCAGCTGCCTGGTTTTGAGCTTGTTTGAGAAATGAATGACAACAAGCACTCTAGAACCTCAGCAACAACAGATTGAGCTTCCTTCAACATGGAGATAGTCTCACTGTTGTCTGATGACGCAGACTTCTTGTTGTTAATACCCTTCAAGACCTTCTGGATTTCTTTCCTCACAATGTTTATAGACTTGAGGTATCTTCTGGTTTCACCTTCCAATCCTCCTTGCCTTCTGCGAATAGCAGATTGAAGCTCGCCAACAGACTCTTTCATCTGGGACAAGCCATCCTTGGCTGCGTTGCACAAATCCAAGAGCCTCAGCGACCCATCCAATAGCTCATTGAAGCACTTCTGGTCATTGATGAAGGCTTGTTGGGTTGTGGACAGTTGGAACAACTGGTCAACACAATCATACACAACCTGGAGGCCATTTAGATTCCGGCCTATGGATGATGATGATGCTGATGCAGCTTGAGATTGTCTCAACCTGCAAACTTGCTCATCGATTTCGGAAACTAGAGGGTGTGGCCTTGCAGCAGGAAAACTGTTGGAGCGAGCATGGAAAGAAACAGCTGCCATTTCTTTTCTTGGTTTTGTTTTCTTGGTGTTTATGAGAGAGATGGTTAGAGATGATTTGCAATGCCTTCTATGTCAGTCAGAACTTGTTTATATAGTCAATGAGAAACTGAAGCAGGTAGAGAGGAGCACATGGGCAGACAAGAGGAATCAAGCACACTTCATTTTCCTATGTGCATATGTGGTTTTATGCATATGGTATTGGATTTGAATCCCCTAACAGTATACTGTCTATGAAATGTCCCTTGCCCACCAAGTAATCCAGCTCATTGGCCTCATCATCCATCATTGATTGATCAAGCCATGGAGCTCTGAAGGGTGGCAAAGATCCATACTTATTGCTTTCCCCCACGTTATCTTCTTTGATCAGCAGAACCCTTTAGTATATGAATTGGTTAATGTGGATGAGACGTGAGGAAGACAAAAGGAACCTCATCAGAAGGAGGAGTTCATCATTAATTAATGATGATTATGGATTGCAGATCCAATATTTTATATCGTATATCACATGAGGAGGTTTAGCTTATTGTTTTGAGTTAGTTGCATGGTTATCTAACCCAATAACATAAGCATTCATGACATTGTCATTCATGTGGCTTCCTCTCTGCAACCGTGGGGGTGGATTAGTTAATTGTCAATTAGGCGTATGAGTTGGCTAGCCAGTAGGCAAGAGACATTGCTGCATAAACATTGCTGACATAGTTTTTTAGATCCAAATCTCAACGTTATTGATGCTTATCTATCACTGACTTTTCTTAAATCATGTCAAACAACCCACTCGTGGAGCCATTAAACTATCTTGGCATATGAGCTGGGCAAGCCAGAAGGCGACAGACAGTGCACAAACAGTGCTGTTATAGTTGTTTAGATCCAGATCATCTCTTCAAAATTTCCCAAGTCAATGAAGATGAAGATTCCTTCTGTCTCTCTTCCATCTCCCACCATATATAGTCCATGCCATACCGAGGTTTTTCCATCACAATTTTCTGCTCCAACTCAACACCAAAGTTCTCAACTTTCAATATACCATAAACCATCCATTTTTCTATCAATGGCAGTCACATCTCTCCACGTTCGATCCAACAGCTTGCCATCGAGGCCACACCCTCTAGTTTCAGAAGTTGAAGACAACATCAGCAGATTGAGAAGCTCACAATCTGCCTCTTCATCTTCGTCTTCGGTATCCAACAAGCTGAATAGCCTGCAGGACTTACAAGATTGTGTTGAGAAGCTGTTGGCCCTGCCACTTAACCAACAAACTTTGGTCCAGGACGAGAAGTTCCTGAACCAGATGTTGGATGGATCCCTGAGGCTTCTGGACTTCTGCAACACTACCAAGGATGCCTTGTCTCTGATGAAGGAATCTGTATTTGAACTTCAATCAGTTCTTCGGAGAAGGGTACAAGGCGGTCTACATCTTAATGATGTGAAGCAATACATAACCTGCAGGAAGACCGTCAAGAAGGCCATCCAGAAAGCCATGAAGAATCTGAAGGCAGTTGAGTGTAGCAGCAATGAGAGTCCTGAGATCGTTGCGGTGTTGAGAGATGTTGAAGCCATTACTCGCGATGTGTTTGAGTCGTTGGTCTCATTCATCTCTCAACAAAGAAGGCCAAGTGGATGGTCATTGGTTTCCAAACTGATGTATCGAAGTACGGTGACCAGTGAGCAAGAAGAAGAGAAGAAAACAAATGAATTCGCTTTGGTGGATGCATCACTGGAAGCTATCTTGGGAAGCAAGACAAACAAGTATGAGAAAGTTCAGAGCGAACTGAAGGATCTGGAGATGTGCATTGAAGATCTTGAAGAAGGAACTGAGTGCCTCTATAGAAGGATGATCAAAACTAGAGTCACCCTTCTTAACATCTTCATCTAGATTAATAGAACATGTAAAAAGTATACTCTTGTATATGTACAATCTTCTTGGGAGACTTCTTTATGGAACAAAGATTCAGAATGAATAGATTATACTGAACAACTTTGCCAAGTACATTCTGTGTGCTGTTTACTTTCTTTCACTTTCATCTCAGTTTCGACAAGGAGAAACCCCGGTTGAGCCTAATTAACCCTGAAATGCAAGAATTACAACTACCCAGATGAAAAAGTTTCGAACTTTGTTGCTGTTGTGACTCTATTACTGGTAAACTCGAGATTGTCAACGTTCATGAAAGGTGAGCTGTCAGGATTCCAAGGCATTGGTAGCTGAGCTGGTGTGTCCCTTGGTTAGGGACTCGATGGAATCTTTTGCACGCTTAGCTTGCTGATGCATAGTTTTATTCAAATGGCACTATGAAATTACAAAGCTATTAGCTAAGAATGTGGATCTTGCCTGTCTGTAGAGAAGCAGCCATGTCAGAAACCTTGGGTTATCATCATGTGGTGATTCACAGTTAGATTAGAAGAACCATATAGATAGATCTAAAGTCATTTGATCAAATGACCTCCTGGGAAACATTAACAAACTCATCTATTACTTTCTATCCCAAAACTGATCTCACCAAATTGCAATGGTGGGAAAGAATGTGACCACTTATAAGCCATGCTGCTGCAAACTGATGGGACCTGAGGCAAGTAAATAGAAAGAACAGGCTAACATATTCCCAGTAATATCAATGGCTTTGATTGGATTGGAAAATAGACTTAGTAAAGGTGGTAGGTAAGATTATAAAAGATCCTAATCATCAAAACCCATCTCTGCATCATCCATAGTTTGATCTTTTCATATCCTTCCAAACACAGCCCACTCGTGTAACAGGATTAAACTAAGTTGGAAAATGAGTTGGAGAGCTGGGTTGGCAGGAGACACTGCATTAAATACAGCTGAGAAGATATACAGTTGGTTAGATCCAAGTCCACTCGTGCAATTGAGGTCATGAAAGACTAGACTAAACCTGTGGGAATGAGCTGGAGATAATAGTAGGCAAGGCAAAATTGCATGAATATTGCCCGAGAGATATGGTTGTTTTAATCAACTAGATCCTTTTCATTTGGACTTCTCATTAATATTCATCCTTGGCTCCTCCATTCCTTTAAAGAATTTGTAAATATTATTTTGGCACCAAACTTGGAATAAAATCCTTTTGTTAACTTTGTACTCATCTTGAACCAATTTATCGGGACAACTCGAACTATTGTGAGGGGTCCAAGCATGGATCTTATGTCATATTCACTTGAGCATTCCCTCAACACAGAAAGAAATCTTTTGCGCTGATAGGTTGTCGTACTATGTGCTAAAATCAACAGAGTTTTGATGTGACTCTTTTCATAAATACTTTGATCCTATGTGAAATATCAATTCCCATCGATGACGAGAGTTGTTGGGAAAGAGACAAGTGTGTATAAGAATAGAACCAGATTGTGTTGCCTGCTAATTGTTACATTTTGTTATAAACCTGTTCATCTTTGCTAAAACTTTCAAGTTCTGAAGAACTAACCTATGTCTGCTGCTTAGCAACCAGCTCCACTCATCACACAGTTTCTTACTTATGGAAATGTATACCTTTTGCACATAAGTAGATTCATAATTTAAAGCATGCCAACTCAACAAGAAGCCTTATTAGTAATTACCACAAGGGAGGTGTTAATACTAATCCAATCAACCCTTTCACTCAAGACAAATCACCACTTTGTGTCGTTGCTGTTAAGGTGTGATTATTGATCTGATCATTATTTGGTGTCCTGGCCTTGTATGTGAATGTCATCTAAGTTTTCATCGATAGAAAATCATAAGAGTAAAGGGTGTATATCACCTTAACTATCCCTAATCACGAGGCTTAAAATTGGACATGAAAGAAGCAAAATGGAGACTTAATTTTTCCATGGAATGATCATGTGACATGTTCTTTTCATGTATTGAGTATCAAAATGTACAAAAAAATGTGCAACATATGTACTGTAATGTGTATACAAGTATGTTTTTCACATATTATGAGCATTCAGAATGAAAGCTCTTGTTTTGATGAGATGCCTAAACAAGCACTCAACTCCCTCTTCAAGATCCTCAATGCAAAGTTCCAAGCTTTTCAGCTGTGCTCGAACTTCGTCCGAAGGTTTGTTCATCTTTAGTGAAGCATCCACATCTGCAAACTCATTCTCTCCTCCACAAGCTCCTTTCTGGTTTGTCATCAGCTTGGAAACTAATGACCAGCTGCTTGGCTTGGAGCTTGACTGAGAAATGAATGACAACAAGCACCTCAATACCTCAACAACAATGGACTCGGCTTCCTTTAACATGTTGATTGTCTCATTGTCATTGGATGAAGAGGATTTCTTGCTATCCATACCCTTCAAGGCCTTCTGAATTGCTTTCTTTACAATGTTTCTCGACTTCAGGTATCTTCTGGTTTCTCCTTCCAAATCATTTTGCCTTCTACGGATAGCGGATTGAAGTTCAGCCACCGCCTCTTTAATCTGTGACAAGGCATCCTTGGCTGTGTTGCACAAGTCCAAGAGCCTCAAAGATCCATCCAACAACTCATTGAAGCATTTCTGGTCATCGGCTAAGGCTTGTTGGGTTGTTGACAGCTGCAGCAACTTGTCAACACAATCATACAAATCCTGGAGGCCACTCAGCTTGTGGGAAATGGAAGATGATGGGGTAGAAGCAGCTTGAGATTGTCTCAACCTGCAGACTTGCTCATCAATCTCTGAAACCAGAGGGTGGGATTCTGCAGGCAAACTGTTGGACCTAGCATGGAAAGAGAGAGCTGCCATTTTTGTGGGTTTTCTTTTGGGTGAGTATTAGAAGATGGGAAAGTTTATATCTTTTTGCTAGTTCAAGAGAGAAGATGATGAATGAAGAAACTGATATTGCCTTCCATTGCCATCCACAGCAAGTTTATATAGATTGGAGAGGAAATGGGATGTTATCTTCCTTTCGGTGCCATGATTATCTGCATATGGGCATTTGGATTTTTGGATCCAACAGTATCCCAACATTGTGTCCCCATTGTCCCTATCTCCAGCTCAATTCCTGCATCAATGATTCAGTAGGTGTGGCTGATAACAGCAACAAATTCATTCACTAATAATGGCACCATGCAATTTTCAACTCCCCCACGGATGGCTTGTTTTTGTTTTCTTCCCCTTCTGTATCGATCTGGTGCATGAACCAAATATAGGCAAAATCCTTGAATATTGCTGTCTTCATTGATGATCACCGCCCCCTCTTACTGTCATTGAAGGAAGCTTGGTTCTAGGACAAGAATGTACATCCTTTGGTACTATCATATCTGGTTATGATTTTCTACCTGATATTGGTTTCATTATGAGTATCTTAATGTAGATTTGTTGCTTTTGGTTCATGTATATGGTCATTATGATTTAGGACCCTTATAATTGCAATACCTAGTTGATTTGACCAAGATAACCTCAAGCTTCATTGTGGCAATGACAATCATAGAGGAGCGTTAAGAAATCATATTAAATCAATGTTAAAATATCTTTGACAGCTCTAATGGACGAGACAAATTGGTTCCAGTCCATATAGATCCGGTTGCAACACTTTCTTGGAAGTACAGAAATGCTCGAGTTTTCAACATTTTCCGAAGGCTTTTGAGGGAGAAAGATAATCAACACCACGTGAAATGAATGGAAATGTGATCTCTCATAAACAATAGCTCATTTCAATTCTGTGGAGAACAAGATCGACTAATACAAACTGAATTGAGGGTTCAAACAGCAAGCATGAGACGGAGCTACTACTGACATTTAACTAGAAAAAATTTGTAATCAATCCCTGCCCTATTCAGCAAAAGAAGATCTGGCTTGTCGACGTGCTTGGCTCAAGTGTATGCTGAAGTTTTGACTTTGCAATGTGCTCGATGCTCCAAGTGACTGCAACAGAAACTCACAAACGGATGACATGATGTGTAACCGTCATCAATCAATCAGAGGGAACAGCGGTTGCAGCTGCATCATCGGCAGCATGATATCGGTCAATAGATTCTTCCAAGCCATCCAAAAGGGAAGAGAGGTACTCCAACTTGTCGAAGCAGATTTCATTCGATATCCTCGAGCTGTAGTCACACTTCTCAAAAGGACGGTACTCGCACGTACTTTTGATTTCATTCCGCAAAGTGAACTGGATGTCCTGCGTACCATTATCACCATCAACAACAAATTGACTCCGGTCAGAAACTAAGTGTGGAACTAAGTACTACTGTTAGATTCTACCTTCTCTTTAACAATACAAGAAAACTTTGTTTAACCCCGACAGAAAATCAATGAATACCCCTCGAGCAATCCTTGAATTACGCTATCCATAGCCGAGTATTATCTTAAAGTTATATGCTTGATAGAAAGAGAAATCAATCAGTGCACCTTGATCATTTGCATGAACTCACGGCAATGGTTATTGATGAATTCCTTTCTGGGCCCCATGGGATTCGCCAGTTCATCCATAACTCCTCCGGCGAGCTCCAAAACCTTGACAACGGTCTGGGAAAATCCCGAATCAATCATGTAAGACAATGTACGTGGATAAACATGTTACTTGGCGAAGAAAGTTCTGCGGACTTCAACTAAAAGACGAAACTTAACAACAAAAACCAATCTCAAGCTGAAAGAAGAAGCAGAACCTTCAGCAAATTGATTACCTTTTCCACATGCTGAAGACGGTGCAATGAGGTATTCTGGGTCTGGGACTCCATTACACGGTTCCCTCCTTCCTTTGTTCGCTTTCAATCGGTCTCGCCTACCCTGAAACCAGCGAAGGAACCCCTAAGCTCACGTACTTCAATTCCAGAACAGCAGTGAAGCATTCACATAAGTGATTACTCCGTTATCTGAGCATTCTGATCACTGAAGCTTAGCTGAAAATGGAAGCCATTGGTAGGGATCTCATCCATCAAATGAAGGACTCCCGACAGAAAAAGATAACGATACGAACCTGATAGCGCACTTGCTTGGATCACGAAAGCACAGATTATACTCTGAGCAACTTGTTGGATTTGCAATGGACAAATTGTTCAAAAAAACGAGATTCAACCGCCACTCTGATCAAACTTCGCCGGAAATTGGGTGTTCGGAACCCTAGAAATCGAGCTGAGATGAAAGGAAGGGAATCTCGGAGATGAATTTTCGTTTCCCGCGAATGCCGATCAACTTCTGTTTCTCAACTAACAAAACGGCGATGCTTGGGCCAAATATTAGTAAGCCCATCGGTGACTTATATGTCCTTGGCCCAAAAATACATCAGGCCCAATTTGGAAACAAGCCGTGATTGGGGAAAAAACAACACCATTTCAATTTTCAAGCATTTTTTCACCCTTTATTACTACATAATTTTACCTTATAAATCAAGCTCCGTCAAAACAATTTTTTGTAAAAATTTACCAGGGTTTAAGGTTCATAATAGCATGGGGAAGGAATAGCTGAGAAGGAATCCGAATCGAACTAGGAAAACTTACAGTGCGGTCACCGCAAAAGGTTTAGCATACATACAACACTATGTACATACAGATAACTCTAATTAACGAGCTAAACCGGACTGGTCAAACACAGATGAACACAGTTTCTTAAAGTACATGGTTCCCTACTGCAAGAGTTAATGAATGCTGGGGCCAAGTTGTCGTTGCTGATAAAAATGCGGAGCAGCCTCCGGTAGCCATGAGGGTTCGATGGTTATCACATTCTGCATGTATTGACGATCGGTCGACACTAGAGAATGGTAAACAACCCACTTCGGGTTCACTCTGCAGAGCCAGAAACAAAGTGTCTGTTAGCTGGAACACTAACAAATATAACTACAGATGTGCATTGATCGAACAAGAGCTTAGATGAACGCAAAACGTGCGTAATTAGCTTAGTAAACTGACCTGAACAACACGGAGGAGGGATGGATATAAACTTCTTGAGAGCCTCTAACAGTCTTGTACATCCCATTGTGGCCATATGCCTACAGCGGAAAAGAATGACCAAAAATGGATATGATGTGTCATACTGAAGTACTCTATGCAAATCTAGTTGTAATGGATAAATCAATTCATACTCACTTCTAAGCGGCATGCATTGGCAAAGAATCCGACCGTTACTGCTTTACGCAATACCTATTAGAGATGACAAGAAAATGAATTAGCTATATGGTCATTTCAGTCTGTAAAGAATACTGTAAAGAGGTGTGGTTCAAAGCAAGTACTAACAATCATATCTGATTCACATGACTTAAGGACTATGCCCAATCTCTGTGCTATTCTCTTGAGTTGTGCTCTTATTTCGATAACCTTTTTCTGGAGAAGAATGAAAGAAGGAAAAAAAACACAAAGTTTAAAGCATGGCATCCTGGAATAAAGCAGGAGAGATCCTCAGAAAAGTAACAAAACTTTGTTTACTGCTCACTAAGCACGGGTGCATACCATTGCATGAGCATTTACGAAATTCCTGCGACACCAATCTGAAGATTTACCCGACTGGAGAAAACCCTTGTAAACATTTAGGAATGTAACATGGTCTCCCTGCAAGGTCAGATTTCCAATTTGTTATTGTTTCATAATAGCAACTTATTTGTTTGATCCAATACTGTGGATCAGGGTGAACATAAGACGAAGATACCTCTGCTGCTGCAAATCTCAACTTTGCTTCGTCTAGCTCCTTTTGCATTCCTCGACCAGAGACCCAAATAGACTGCCAAAAGGAATTCCCCATTTAATGCAATCAATGCCGAGTTCTAATATTACGATGAATGCATTGAGGCCTCCAGGAAATCCCCGTTTATGACCAAATCCAGCTAATTGAAACATATGCAATGACAGAAGTATTAAGGTTAGAGAAAATTTACCTGGATGGATAGAGCTGCAGCAATTGTAAGGATCTCCTCAGCACATCCCAGTTGGTCTGAAGCTAATATCATCTTTGAGATCATTGGATCCTACAGAATTAGTAGCAGCATCGTTAGCTTCTATTCAGTACAACTTGGAAGCAAAAGAACGGGAAACGGAAAACTTTGCATAAGAAGAATAAACTAAAAATTGTTCCCTCAAAAACAAAAAAGAATAAACTAATAAAAGCAATGAATGAGGGAACCCAAAACTGTAAGGGAATATACCAGAGGAATTTCTGCCACTTGAAATCCAACTGGTGAAGTGAGTTTAGCATCATCATCCAGAACTCCTAAAGAATAAAGAACTTCAAGTGCCCGGATCATTGCTTCAGATGATGGCGATGCTGGCCACTTAAATCCAAGTATGTTATCTATTCCCAAGGCTTTTAACTGAGACGTAAGAAGGCAAGAGTCAGTTCCGTTATTGAAAGGAGACATCCCTCTTACAGTTACAGAGTGCAAGAGTAAAGCTTCAAACACTTGGGGAAACAGTCTGTAGTAGGCTAATTACTTACGGATTAAAGAATATACAGGCACAAACCTGAATCACACAGGAAACCAACTTTGACCTCTGTATCTCTGGGATTCCCTCAGAAGACATTTGCTTCACAAAATATTCCTCTGTGTACAACCTGGTCACAAGAAACAATGTCATAATATGGTCAAACCAGTGGGGTACCCATTAAAGACCTTTGTCAGAAAAGTCTATTGTCCCTTCGCAAGGAGGTCACTAAGTGCATGGCCAAGTATCACAATGAATATGAAGATTTTCATCCTTGTAAAGCACAATAAGCAATGATAACAAGTTTGCTAAATATTGTTTGGCATGCAACATTGGAAGAGGTATCAGAGTGTCAAACTACCAACAGAGATTACTAACTTCTCTAAAAAACAAGTACGAGAGGGAAAACTAGCATTTGCCAAAACACACCTGTAGCATTTTCCAGGTCGAACTCTTCCAGCCCTACCGGCTCTTTGTCTAGCAGATGCCTTAGATATTGGTGCCACAACCAGATTCTCGATATCAGAAATCTGCAGGAAATTAAAAGCAGTAAGAATTAACTGAAGAAGCATATGCACATACAAAATCAAGTATCATGGTCATGTCTCATGCAAACAACTTAAAATATAAGTTCTAAAAGTAGGTACTTGAACTATCACCCATGTTACTCCTAAAGAAATATGACAAAACCAGATGAAGAGTCCTATTTCTGTAACTATATGTTCTACTGTTTAAATGTAGCATTTCCACAAATCTTTTGGTAGAGCAGTAAATCATACTTATCACAACTACAGCTAGATAAAGTGGCTGAAAAATAATCATCAATATAAGCAAAAAAAGTAGTAATCAAATACCGGATTATAGAACCGCTGTTTTGAGAATCCACTATCAACAACATAGACAACGCCCTGCAGGAATGAGGTAATGCTTAATGACTCATTTTTCATATTGCAAGCTGATACTGCTTTGACGAAGTGCTGTGCTAGAGCAGTGGAATGTTACCTCCATAGTCAATGATGTCTCAGCTATATTGGTCGATATAACAACTTTCCTCTTCCCTCTAGGAGTGGGAGAAAATACTAGATCCTTCACAAGAAAGGCCAAGGAATAATGAGTAAGGATTATTTATAAATTTGCACTATCTGTCAGCGACACCAAAATATGCTTGCTGACTACCTGATCCGCACGTGGAAGACCAGAAAACAGAGGCAAAATAATCAACCCTGAAAACAAGAATAGCTCAATTTATAATCCATCAGAAACTGGACACGTTGAAATTAAGCATAATAAAGGAAACCCAGTAATATATATGATGTTTCCAGCAGAATACATTGGAAGCACTTGCTCCGCCTAAATTAACTGAAGGAGTATAATTGAGCTACTTTTAGAGAATCTCCATAACATGACTGTTTGTTTGTTTGTACTAAATTATGTTAACACTCTATCATACTTGACATAGCAAGTAGCAACAAGTCTTTAGTCAAAACCAAGAACCACCTCAAAACACGGTATAGCAAATGCATGGTCAAAGATCCCCTCCATATCATTTCACATGCAATACATATATGATGTTGATAATACAGCATGCCATGGAAATCCAAAGCATTTAAGTTGTACTATGTCGTAAATTGCATACTAATGTATACAGCCAGCATCATATCGATAATTTACCAAGGGATTTTTTTCCATGAGATTGAACTTCTTCAGTAAGCAACCTAACAGAAGCATCAATGTCATCCTGACCCGTTAGAAACACTAAAATATCACCGGCAGGTTCCTGAACAAGAAATGAAAAAGTCAGGATAAGACATAAGTAGATCGTTTTGTAGCCAAAGAACTCTTCATTGATGTAACAAAAGCCTTTGTACATAAACTCAACCGCAGACAACATGGTCAAGCTAGCCAACATTCTCAACTTGTAGAAATGACGTCCATTTTAGAGCAGGATAAGAACTTGTCATCAAGAATTTGGATCCCAAATCCGAACCACTATTCATACGAACAGAGGTTTTGCTAAGCAGTTCGATCAACCTCGAATCAAAAGAGAGTGAACTGTATCATCCCTCTACTGGACAGCAGTATCAGTGTTGAACATAAACTGGTTACATCAAAGGAGCTAAGCAGTCTAAGGCCCTTGGTCTGAATTTGGTTTAAGATTCATATTTTATTGATTTTTCGGTGCCACCCATTTGTCTTGTCAGATATCTAATAATCGTTTAATTATGATACAAAGAGCACACATACATAATACATTTATCAACAGGAATCTCAACTCATTGAGTGATTTTCCTCAACTTGAAAACCATAAAATTCATCTTGTAGACTTTGTGAATATTACCATGTTGTACTGACACCATAAACGAGAAAGGAACAGTCATGCAACATAAGTTCTAGAACCAAGAAAATTATTTAAGAAATTTCATATTTTGTAGCCATAAGATCACCTGATCATGAATCAGAAGCACTGTAGATACTGCAGCCTGGACGTAATCAGGGACAGGCTCTTCCACATAATGAATTTCTACATTGAACCCCCTGCCCTGAAACATATACCAAAGAAGTGAAATCTCAATTATTGAAAGGAGTCTTTAGAAAACGTATATTGTGTATGATGAATAGCCATCTGAAGGAACTATTGAGTACTAAACACAGCTAGCTTGGAACAGACCTCAACTGAGAGAATAGCTGGCTCTTTGGATGGACCAAGATCAGTTGCCCCAGCTTCCTGATGCCTCTTGCTGGGAGACATCAATTAAAACCACAAGATTAGTACTATGGCTTGAGCAACAATAAGTAAATCATGATTAAAATGTAAAGCATTGTTGCACAATTCGAACTTGAAAGAGAAACAAAAACTGTTTGGTCAAAAAGGGGTAGGCCCAGCTTTGCCCTAACGCTAATTGAAATACCTGCTTCTGAAGAAAGAAGCCATAGACTTTGCCTCAATCGTAGCCGAAGAGATTATCAGGCGCAAGTCAGGTCGACGGCGTTGGATCTGGATCCAAAAAATTATTAAAACAAACAGAAGCACTCAAAACCAATTAAGAACTTATTCAAATTACCTTTCTGAGGAGGCCTAGCAAAATATCAGTTGAAATAGATCTTTCATGAGCTTCATCCACCATTATAACACTGAGATGAAAGATTTGGAAAAGTGTTATTGTCGGTTCAGGGGATAAGCGAGAAGGAAACAAAAGACTAATCACTTGTCAACATATCCACACAGAATAGTGAAAATCTAATATGGCTGTGTTCCTTGGGCGATGTCATATACGATTCAACTTCTAGAAGAAAAAAAAAATGGTTTTCATAAACAGGTCGACAAATTAAATTAGTACGACCTGAAAGGAATGTTCGACGAAACAAACACATTCTTATGAGAATGGAAGGTTGCAAACTGAAACTGGAATAAGCAGTCAGTGAACCACCTCCTGCAATTACCTATATTTGCTCAAAAGTGGATCATCCATCATTTCTCTCAGTAAGACTCCATCTGTGAGAAATTTTACCACTGTTTTATCCTGTATCAAGAGAAAGTACTGTCAGCTCTGTGAGGAGTGAGAAACACAGCAGCCCATAAGGCTTATCAGATAGCTCAATTCGATCAGCAACATAACATTGTATACAATAGTTTCTCAGTAAGAAATACCCCCAAACAAATTCGGACTCTACAAAGAGAAGCTGTCTAACCGTATTCGTAACATCCTCAAATCTAATGGTGTAGCCAACTTCCTCTCCCAGCTTTACCCCCATCTCTTCAGCCACCCTTGAAGCAACAGCCTGCAATTTGGAATTAATAAACCACCATTGTCTTGTTTCTTCTAGCAACTTAACTAGAGAGCACGATACTGGAAAAACAAGTTTACAGGAGCACCTGCACAGCCAGCCTTCTCGGTTGGGTGCAAGCAATTACTCTTCCACCATCAGCCCAACCTGCTTCATTAAGGAACTGAAATGAAAACCATCACTGTCTGAACTAGTCATCTACTCCAACAGTTGAGACCAACTAACCAACATTATCCATCACAAATTGTAAAATGCAGCTTCTGGCAAAGCACATTCACAAATTATAATCTCCATTCTCTCAAAACAAAACTACAACACCGCCATTCTTGATTGCTTTCATAAATTCCCAACAGATGCCAAGCACGCATTCAAACCTGAGGAATTTGAGTGGTCTTGCCACTACCAGTCTCGCCGACGATTATAGTAGTAGCGCGAGTCTCCACCAGATAGAGAATGGCCGTCCGGTACTTGTACACGGGCAACCTCTGCCTCAGCTTGTCAATGCTGCCATAGCCGAAGCTGCAACACGAATTTGAAGAAAATCAACAAGTTCACCAGATGATGATTAGTCTTTGCTGGAACAATTGAAGGCTGCCGCCGCCCCCGCCGCGAGCGAAGCTGCTGGTTATTTTAAGAGGTAAAAATTGATTAGCAATACCCTGAGGAGGAAGAAGAGGACGAGGCTGAGGGAGAGAAAAACAGTACGCCTCCCTCTCCGTCATCAAGAAGTTGCGGCCGCTCGCCTCCGGGCTTCCAGAACTGCGACATCCGGTAGAGAAGAAAGTGGGCGACGGCGAGGGTGAAGAGACGGTCACCGACGAGGTTCCGACAATGAGGGATGAGAGAGCAAAGGGTCGTACCTTTTGGGCTTGGTAAATGGAAATTATGTATTCAATTCAATGGGCAAGCGCCTGAGAGCCCATTAGTAAATGAAGTTACCTTAGGTTGAGGCCCAACTAAGTCAGACAAACGTGATTTGAGCCCATATACTTAAATCAATGTGTGTTCAAAGCCTAATATGCATAATGCATGGGCATTCGCGAGTCCATGATTATGGGTCATGAAGCAATGACGTGGAGGAACGATTTGATCGTTTCTTTTGTGATGCTAATGAGTTGAGTTGAGTCGGCAGACTAGATTCGTTTGTAAGGAATTCGAACTCGAGCTTAGCTTAGCTCGTTTATTAAAGAGCAAAGTCGAGTTGTATTTGAATCGACTCATTTATTAAAATTCTATCTCATCATTAAGATTATCGGTTTGGCTCGAGCTCAACTCATTTATTCTAAATAGTTGAGCTCTAAAACTAATTTCTAAGTTCATGTATAAATTAAATACTCTAATATTTTTATGTCATGAACGATACATGTGATTGATTTGCCCCATGTAAAATACTTTGTTCGTATCGTATTATTTAGTCCATATCATGTTATTTTATAGTAATTAGTATCAGTGGCAGATCCGTTGGCTCCAGGAAGGGCTATAGCCTCCCTCTTCAACTTTCAAATCTAGGCAAATTTTAAAAATTGTACCAAATTTGAGAAATAGACTAGTTGGTAAGGCTCTAGCCCCCCCCCCCCCCCCCCCCCCCCCCCCCCCCCCCCCCCTTCTCCAATGACCATATTCAAATCCTCCAAACGAATTTTTTTAGCTCTCCCTCGTTTAGATTTCTGACTCCATCACTAATTTGTATCTAAATAATTTATAATACCTAATTTATCTTTTAAATTATAATAAGACATATTTGCTCGTATACTCAAAATCTCAACACCGTTATATATAATGAATTTCACAACAAAATTTTACTGTAACTGTATGATTCTCAACATGCTATTTCTGTTATCCTTTTTATAAATCGCCCTTCCTATTGACCGAGAGAACCGCTCACTAATTACCGCAACTCTCTCCTCCTTATTAGAAGATTTTGTTACATTGGATCTACCTATTTAAGCAAGTATAGTGAAGTAGCCTATGTTTTACTAGTTGCAAAATCACCTCACTATCGTCAATTAACCCATATCTCACTTGAGAAAGAACAACGAAAAGAGTAAAAAACCAACCAACAATGAGAAGCTCATCAGGCACCTTCGTTTTTCTTCTCCTGTTGGTTTGCCTCCTTTCTGGTATGGTTGTCGACGACATACGTATCTTTTTTCGATAGCGTGCATGATGTGTGGTGTATTAATTTTCTTTTGTTGGTGTTTGTTTATATCAAAATAGGGAATGAAGTCACGGCACAACACCATGCGGATCTCTGCAAATTCACAGAACTTGGAAGCGACCCCGAGTATGTGGTTATCAGGCACAGGAGATGCAACGACAGATGCCAGAAGAAATATGGATATTTCGTTCTCGGATGGGTGGAGGATGGAGCAAGTATTTGCTCATGTTTCAAGCGTTGTCACCTGCATTAAGTGAAGAGATGCATGACCGGTATTCTCTTTCGATTACAATTCGTTTTTTGGGAGCAACGTTCATGGGGACCGGATCATATAGCTAGATAAGAAAGAGTATAGGTCTAGTAATAAAGATAAATAGACGTAGAGAGTTACGTTGGTTTTTTTTTTTTTACCATTATAGCTGTCGATTTTTTCTTTTACCCATATAGCTACAATGTAATAATGAAGTAATTTGAGAGGTACTTTTGGTGTTCCCATCAATATTCGATTCATGAATAATATTACTATACATCAGGGATGACAATTGGAACCCATAATATTGGTATTACCCAGCCCAAAGTATCGTGGGGCGGACATGAATTACTACTTCCGACCTGTTTCATCTCACAGTCTCTCTGGACCTGTCCTATCTTAAAAAAATTTAATATGTATTTGTAATTCTCCTATTTCAATATTAGTTTCACCCAATGAAACTTTTAATAGGTGCACGACTTGACCTTTCATTTATTTACGCTCAATTATTCATTATGTTATAACTCCTCTTCCTTCGTAAAATACCCTCCTTTGTTTCATCATAAAAAAAAATTGTTATGTTTATGTTTCTCCAAATAATAGGAGAAAATGGACAGTCCCACCCTGCCCGTACCCGCACTTGTATTACTTGATCTTACCCGCACTCAGCGCAGAGCAAATATGAGTATCGACGTACCATGCGTGCCACGCCGCTCGCACCAGCCATACCTAACTATACTTACCATCAGCATACAAATGTGACAATACTTTGAAATGTAGAATACTAGCTATATACTGGAACAGGAGACATTGCTGTAAACCCCAATTAACTCATACTTTTTACTTAACTCATGATCGACTAGAAAGCAAGATCCTCTTTATGAACATTATTCTAACCAGGTACATATGATCAATTTAACGAATATCAATTATCAGCCACAAGGCTTGTAGCAGAAGCAAATGACCATCCAATCACACCACCCAAGAACAAATTGCCCAAATCTCTCTTGGCATGCGTCGTTGCATGATCGGCGAGTGCACTCGTTCAGGCTGGTCTCTTTGACATAAGTAAAATGGCAGAGCTTCGTATAACTTTCTGCCACGACCTGCCCGTTCCCTGTGGTTACGAATTCAACAAAGAGCATCAAATCATCAAATGCTAAGTACGTAATTAACATTAAACAAAGAAAAAGATGGCAGACAGTAATTAAATTAATCACCGTGGATGAGACAAATGAGTAGGAGAACTAAGGCGAATGCGAATGATGAGCTTCTCATGGTTGATAATTGTTCACCCTTAAAAAAAAAAAAAATCAAGTGTGTATGATGTTGATCAAAACTCAAATATATAAAGAGATTAGTTAACGAGTAGTATGGGAGGGATAAGGACGAAGTTCTTACAATAGAATTTTTTTCATTGCGTAAACCGTATTGTTCGTATTACAGTCTGTAACTTTTGGCGCCTCTGACTTGAGTGAGGACTTTTTAAGATAATACAATACATTTATTATCGCTCGGTCGCACTACCGCGCAACTTTCTCGCCTACTTGTTAGAAGATTTTGTTATACGTAGACTTACTTTATTGCTCTCCATTCGCTTTAAGGATGTTTTACAAGAAATTTTTACTGTAACCATATGAGTATTTTACAGTCCGTAATTATTGGTCTTTTAATTAATATTAATAGTTTCAGTAAGCACTTTCAAGGTAATACTATATCATCTGATCGCGTTACCGATGATACGATCCCAAATGGATCAAAGTACAAGTGGAAATTGTTGGGTCAACTGGTCAAGAACCCAATTCAACTTACTGGAAAAACCTGAATTTTTGGTTAAGTGTAGAAGCTGTTTTGGGTAGCTCTCTTTGCAGGTATTGTTCTCTCGATTGGGTGGATGAAAATGGGATTTTAAGGGTTTGTTTTGTAGGTGGCAACTCCCTTTGCAGCTTGGAGTGTCTGGGAGCTCGAGGCAATGCTGGGAAGAGTGACTTTCGAGCTCAACAAAAGTCTATGACAACACAGTCAAACTGCCAGGTTTAGCCTAAGGCATGGGACAGTTTCGGGAAGGCCACTTTGAAGCTCAAGACACGACGAATGGCTGGGAATCGAGCTTCAATGTTTAGTCCACATGAAAGTTCGCATTTTCTAGTACAGAAACAAGGTATTGGGTGATTCAAGCGGGCTCGGGAGGAGGGGGAACGAGGGTCTCCAAGTTGACATCAACATCAGCTGGTTACTTGCATTTTAAGTTTACGTTTTGTATTAGAATTGGGATTGTATTGCTTACCTTGTTTGTTTCGGTTTCTTTTGCTTTCTAGACTATCTGTAATCTCTATTTAAGGCCTACCAGCGTATTGTAAAGTAGTTTTGGAGTTGAATACATAAATCAAGAACCCTAAACTAAGTCTCGTCGCTAGTTTTTGGTTGAAGAGCTTTGGCCGAGAAAACCAAGCTCGAACTTGCTCTTGTATCGATCAATACCGCCTTGATCGTGGGCGAGCTTGGACATAAACTCTGTGAGCCTTCCTCCAGGTGTAGGATTGCACAAGAGTTCCATTCGGTTTCGTTTTAAATTGTCGTTGGCGGCTTGTCTTCGTCGACGAGTTGCTAAACTCGGCTTTTCAAGCTCGAATTGTGAACTCAACACCTAGCTGGGTGTTATCAACCGAGACTTTTTCCTACTAGTTACAAGATTTTGTTACACGCAGGCTTACTTTCTTGCTATTCATTTTTTTAAAGGAAAACAAGGAATTTTTTATCGTCGTATGTTTATGTATATAACAGTTCGTAACTTGTTCGGTGGGAACTTCCATGATAAATACCGATAATATTATAGAGGCATTTTAGTGTGCTTTATAGTATTGGTACTATAAAACATTTACAGCCATTAGATCATGTCCAAACTATATCAACCATTAGATTTCATTTAAATTATTAATTTATTATTTTATTTGTGTGTTGATGACCGGTACAACCGGTTTTCTGAAACCAATTACACTCTTCTTCCTTCGAAACCAATTACACTCTTCTTCTCACCGCCGAAACCCCTCTTTCTTCGATCCTCTTCCTTCCTTCGATCCTCTCCACGCAGCTAGCGAGCAGTGAAGACGGCGATCCTCTCCACGCAGTGGGTGACGACGAGTGAAGACGGCGAGCAGTGGGTGACGACGAATAGAAGGCGGCAGTGAAGGCGGCGATTCGGATTCCGGATTCCGACGACGACAGTGAAGGCGGCGAGCAAGGGACGACGAGAGTGAGCATCTCTTCGTCGATTGCAAACGAAGACCGCCGGCGTCAAACCCACGCCCACCTCAGCCGCTTCTCTTTTCCCAGCTCGCCTTTCTTCCACATTCTCAAGGCCAATTGCTCAGCTGGGTGCTATTTAATCGCTTCTCCCGCTTCACTCCCCGCCGTGTCGGCATCGATTCCACCAGCTCGCGGTCGCTGTCTCAGGGTATGCTCTGCAGTGCGAACCCAGGAGTTTGATAAATCTCTCCCAAATCATTTGTTTGTTGGTTATCTGTAAGCAACTTTTTACTCTTGAATTCTATTCCATGTATCGTTTACTTCGTTCTAGTTTTTGACAGCAGTTCAATTGAATCTCTGTGCTTCCAATTTTCCCCCTCCTACTAACTTAGTGCTGGATAGGAAATGCCACGAACCAGAACAATTGACTAGTGAATTCCCATCGATAGCTAACGAAGACTCTGCACAAAACCCCTCTTCCCATCGATAGCTAACGAAGACTCTGCACAAAACCCCTCCTCCACCGCAACTTTTTTCGGTTAGTACTATCTTCTTTGTGTTTAGCTTGATAATTAGCTGCAATGGCGGTTCCTGTTGTTCCTTCACTTGTTTTGAAGGAGAATTTGCAGCATTTACCTTCTCTTCACCTTGTTTTTGCTGTTGAGGTTGTGCTTGATTTGTCTCCGTTTCAGCAACATCCTTAGCAGGCTCTTGTTGTTGTTGTTGTTGTTGTTGTTGTTGTTGTTCCTCAATCTTCTTCTGTTGAGGAGGAGCATTGGGTTCTTCTGTTGTTAGGGTAGAAGAATTCGAGTCTGAAGAATTCACAGCAGTTGTGGTTGTTGTTGTTGTGGTTGCGGTTGTGGTTGTTGATGATGCTTCCTTTGGTGAGGAAGCTTTGGATGGATGTTGTTGTTGTAGTTCTTCCATCTTCTTCGTGGGAGGATTGATATGATATGATATGGTAGATAGAAAGGCCGTGTTCACTGAGAAAGTTGGGAATTTTTCTCTATTTAGCCAATTGATGAATGTAGTTAAGTTTGAAGACCATGATTTGTTTGATTGATTTAAGTCTCTTTGCTATGGTTAGTGGCTCCAAGCATGCGATTAACCAACAGAAATTGGTGCTTATCTTAACTGTTCACTTCATAGTATGAGTTTTCTGTTTGTGGAGTTATCGGATGTATCCGAAGGGACTGTCTGTGGAGTTAGAATTGTGTATATAATGTAGAAAAGAAGTTTAGTGCAGTGGGTAAAAGAGCTTCCATGAATGATGAGACATTAAGGTCAAACTTAGTTAGGATATTTAGAGCATGGTTGTTGGCCTTAGAATATACGGCAGCTTGGGAGTTACTCCCAGTTTTAGTCTTTATTGTACATTCCGTGCCTCGATCTCATTTTATATGACTGATCAATTCTAGAATCTTTAGCAAGCGTTGGTATCGTGGTGGAACATTTGATACAATCAGTAGACCTCATTGTAACGCATAACAGCATCTTTTTCTTGCCTACTTCATACTGCTCCAAATTGTTAGAAGCTCGTGTATTTGTTATGTTTTCAGAGCTACTGATTATGCTGCTTCTAATGAAGGTGGTGATCGTATGTTGGTTAACGAATTGAGGAAAATGAAATGTTAAAGTTCCATGATGCTTTATCAATACTACTGTTCTGCTGCATCTTGTCCCCAACCTAGGAAATGGCGGGTAGAAGGTTACAAATGTTCAGTGGCTTTTGTTTTATTTGCAAGATATTTTGGATTTTTAGTTCATCTAAAGACTTGGGAAGAAATAAAGATGGATTTTCAATATTGTCCCATTGAAGTCGTTCTTCTTGGTAACTACTTAGCCAAGTCTAGACTTACGGAAGGTGTTGATGTGATTTTGGAAGAAGAATAGAAGTTTAGCTCTGCACCTGCTTTACTTGCTAAATGATGTTTATTCTTTTTGGACAACCTTTTAGCTGCTTTCTTCACGGTTGGGGGTCGGGTTCAAGTAGAAAAGAGGAAGTAAATAGGGTGTTTCCAATTTGAGGGTTCCATCTCACGGTTTTTGTCCCGGGCGTGATATAACCCGTGAAACCTCCTGGAACTTACATTTTTTGAAAAAACATTCTAACGGCACATCTCCCGGCCGTGAGTTTTAAGTTGTGAGGCGTGTTTTTTGGGTTTCAGCTGTGACCATCTCACGGGTTGATCTCACGCCCGTGAGATTAACAGATGAGCCGTGAGAAGTCCAGCATTTCAATTACACAAACACGGCTCATCTCACGGCCGTGATACTGTCGAACCCAACCCGTGAAACCCCCTGGAATTCCCCCTTTTTTAAAAAAAATCTAACGGTTCATCTCCCGGCCGTGAGATTTTCAGATGTGAGGCGTGTTTTTGAGTTTCAGTTGTGCCCATATCACGGGTTAATCTCACGCCCGTGATATTTAAAGATGAGCCGTGAGAAGTCCATTTTTACATACAAGGTGTTTTTAGTTTCACGCCTTATTTTAACGTCCGTGATTTTTGTAGCCAAAGCCGTGAGATTGTCTGGGATATAAAAACTACTCTTTGCTTCTCACGGGTCATGTCACGGCCGTGAGAATTTGCATTTTGGGTGAAATTTAATGGAAGTTGGGTGTTTTGGGTGAAATTTATATATGCCAATGGCGGATTTCATGGTTAATTAGTGTACTCAGGTGTTGATGTAGGGGGTTTTCAGTTCTTCTGGTAGTTAGAACTTGATATCGAGGCAAGTGTGCTTGTGAGCTCTGGTATAGTCTTGCATTTGTTCAATATTGATAAAAGCCATATATTGAAAACCAGGATTGAACTCATTACCTGGAGAATGTGTTTACCGAATGATTAAATGATCCTTTTCTCGAATGAAACTTTGTCATAACCACGTTTTCTCGAATGTGTTTAAGTGTGAAAACTGAAAGTTGCTTCTTTAGATCAGTGGTGGACGACTCTGGCTTTGTGTATTTTGTTAGTACTCTTCGGCATGCTTATAATTCGTGTTTCAAGGCATGCTTATAATTTTTTTGTTGTTTTAATTTTGCAGTTTGCTAAAATTGTTCTATAATGAAGACGAAGAGTCATGAAATTTTTAGCACCCGCTGTTCTCCTAGGAAAGTATTCTCAGTAGTCTCAAATTTACAGGCTTGTCAATCAGAGGCCATTAAGAGATGTGGCTTTGGTCGTATGCTTGAAGTCAAAGGAAGAATGCTCCAACGTGAGTTGTTGGAGATCCTTTTGAAGAGCTTTAATGTGGAAGAAAGCTCAATTCAGGCTTATGGGTTGAAAGTCCATATTTCGGCCAAAGATTTCGAGCGAATTATGGGCGTGCCTGAGGGAGGTACTGATATCATCTTGAATGGTGAAGAAGTGGGACGAAGATCCGAGGAATTGAATCCATTTAGAGTGTATTCGACAGTTGATTGTGCCCGACAGGCGATTTCGACAAGCTTAATGCGGAAGGCTTTGTCGGAGATGAAAGATAGCGGTGATCTATTTCTTCAAACGTTTATTTTGTACGTAATGGGGGTGCTATTAGTACCAACTAGAAGAGATGACTTTTCGTTATCTTCGGTATACGCTGTCCTCGATGTTGCCGATATTCCGAAGAAGAATTGGGCATCGTTTTGCTTCAATGAATTGGTCAAATGCATCTGCGACCATAATGCTGAGGGGAGAAAGTATATACCGGGTTGCTTGCTGTTCTTGGAGGTAAATAATTGCTAATCCCTACTTTCTACATATTTGTAATGATTAATCATCATGTTGATTATAGTATTTTTTTTTTTTGTAGTTAATATTCTTGGAGCATGCAAATGGTATTTTCGAAACTATTGATAGGAGTTTGGATTTGTTGAGCTGGGGGAGCAGAGACGTGGAGTTATTGTTAACAGAAGTGGTAAGACTGATAGTATATTTGATTCTTTTGACGAGTTGGAGCATGCTAATGGTACATTTGGTTCCCTTTTTAATTAATTTGTAGGTTTCCAGCAGTTCGGGTAAAAGATCAGCTGAGGATGTAGGTTTGAAATCACCTGCAAGAAAACGGGAAAAAAGAGATGGGAAACGGCAAAAACCCGACGGTGATGAGCTGCTTCTCTGTGAGCGTATTGACGCTCGGTTTACTACCATGGAGGGTAGAATTGACAACTTTAGGCAAGAATTTAGAGTTGCAATGGGTGATGCTGCTTCCAGAGAGAATGAGCTAATGAGTCGGGTTGTGATATGGAGAACGAATTTCGGGCTTTTAGAGACGAAATTGGTAGTCAAGTGAAGTCCATTATAGAGGCAGTGAAAGCAACTATAGGTGATCCGTTGTCAAGGGAGCAGCCTACTGAGTTGAAAAAGAACGATCAGAAGGATGAGGCTGATAATGTGAAAGCTTCTGCAGCTGTTTTGTTGTCAACGGAGCAGCTTATCAGAGGGGAAAAGGGCAATCAGAAGGCTGAGGTTGAAAAACCAAGTGAACCCATTTCTCCTACCTCCGAATCTGTCAAGACTCAAGGGTTAGGTGTTAAGAATTGGGGAGAAGCTGAGGGGGAAATTGGAGATGACTGCGGTTCTGAATCTCCTTCTGTCAAAGTTGTGAAAAAGTCTCCTTGCAAGCAGGCGAAAGCGTCTAAAGTTGAGAAATTCATATTGTTGAGTGATGAAAGTGTTGCTGCTAATGATGGTTGTGCCAAGACTGTGAAGGTATTACACTTTATTAAGTTTTCTAATTATTTGTACTTATGGTGTGGTTACTAATGAACTTGTTTTGTTTTTATGTTTTTGAACAATAAAGGGGCGAAAGGGAGGTGGACTACGTAGTGTATCTAAATTGAAGCCTAGTTTGTATGTGGTCTCTCCATTCGAACGTGCAAATCCCAGAGCTAAGAAAGGACAACCTTTGTACCGTGCTCCTCCCTTTGTTGTTCAGACACCATTGACTCTGGAGGCAGTAAAGATGATTCAATTTGCTTTTAGTAGTTCGCTTCCCGAAAGGTACCTCCCGAAATCATTACAAGTAAGATTGGATCATATCTGTAGGAAATTTTTGGTATTTGCCTTATTCTAATGTTGTGGTGTTTGAACTTGGTCTTGTATAACAGGGACGTATTGGTTCGTCTTGATGGCGGGGCTCTTGAGTTGTTACGTGAAGATTTGGTCGAGTTTTTGCCCAGGACCAAAATTTCAACAAGGGTGAGTTCCTTTATGTGTGTAATTTAGTAGATTAAACTTGTATTGCTGACTTTGGTATATGTGATGATGATGCATTAGATTATAGAAATGGCATGTCTGTGCAAGACACTAGAAGAACGAAGTTGCGGTCGCAGTGGTGGAGTGTCTTGGTTCTTTCCACCTTCAGTTTCGGTACAGTTGTCTGCTTTGTCTATTCTTGTCATGAAATTAATCTATTTGTTTGTTACATGTAGCTTGTGTGGGTAACTGTGTTTTATTTTTCTAGGATCGTGCGTATCATTGCAAAAACGAGGAGCAATTTATGGAAAACATGCGGTCATATAAGATACTTGAGCGATACCGTATAAGTGAGCTACTTTACTGCAGTAAGGTATGTTGTAATGTTGTTTTCTAAAAGGAAATGGCTTCACACTCCTATGTTAAATTGATAATTATTGTTTGTTTGTGCATTATTTCAGATTCATGTCCCAATTTTCAACCTCACGGTGTCCCACTTCTATCTGGCGGTCTTTAACATGGAAGCCAAAGAAATTGAAATCTGGGACTCAATACCAGGAATTCATAACCTAGAATATGATGCAAGGATGCATAAACTGGTTTGCTTCTTGTTCTTCAAGTTTTAAAACTTGACTTATTGCTTAGTTGTTAGTCGTTTTTCATTTTGTCGTTAAATATCGATGAGGGGGATGTTTTCATTTGCAGAAATTGGGTCTAGACTGGTTGCTTAAGGATGATATCTGCGGGACGTTTTCATTTGTGGACTTTGTGGTTAGATATCGCCGGGATGTTGCTTGCCAACCAAATGGGTACCCTTTGTTGTTGTTCAATCGTGCACTGTTCTAATTAAGTTCGATAATTATTTGTTCGCATCATGACCATGGTAATTATTTGTTATATTACAGGTTTGATTGTGGACTATTTGTCTCCAATTACTTGCTGGATCCAGATCGATATTCCAATAAGCTTGACCAGTTCGACAGTGACTATGAACGGGCACAACTTACAATGTACTTGCTCACGACGCATTTGAATGAGGTGAAAGCTACAATTACGACACAATCAGAAGAATATTTTGACAGTCATGTGAGACCTGCCCAAATTGAGACTGAGAAGGTGAATTTCAAGACGAACTTACTCAATCGAGGAAGAAAGCCGTTGCACGCGCATGGGGAGAAAAAGGGTAGAAAGTCTAAGAAGCATTGAGAGTTGTGATGTTAATGTAGAGTTTAGTTAATGTGGATGTTTTTTTTGAAGTTTAGGAAAATGTAGATGTTGAATGAATTTTACTGAATGTAGATGCTGATTGAAGTTTAGGAAACTGTTGAAATTACAATGAAGTTATGAATGAAGCATTATTCAGTGATGTTATGTTTTCTCTATATTATGTTTAATGTGTCCACAAGGAAGAAGTTATGAATGATCATATAACGAAAAATGGTTGAAAATGGACCTTATTCACCCTGCCAGCAGGCTTTTTCACGGCCTCAATAATTCATTTTCACGGCCGTGAGATGGTAATTTCTCAATGTCTCTGATGCAGGATGAATCTTTCACGCCCGTGAGACTGGGACGTGAGATGGGATTTCTGTGACACCTTAATGATGGCAATCTCACGCCCGTGAGACTGGGCCGTGAGAATCAACAAATCATTCCCTAATGTCCAGAGAACCTCACGGTCTTGAGAGAACAATCTCACACCCGTGAGATTGTGGGCTGCTGTGAGTTAGTGAAAAAAACGTCATTTGGAAGGTTCGAACCCGAGCACTTGGCATAATAATTCAGCTCACTAACCAGTCAGACTACTTAACATATTTTGTAAAGTTGATTGTCCGTTTCCCTTTTAGTACATATGGTTGAATGAGCGTTTGATTATCGGTTTTTGGTTCAACCCATGTAATTGTAAACCGATGTGAGATTGAGTTTAGGTATATGGTTGAATGAGCGTTTGATTATCGGTTTTGGGTTCAACCCATGTAATTGTGGCCCGATGTGAGATTGATGTTAGGTATATGGTTGAATGAGCGTTTGGTTATCAATTTTGGGTTGAACCCATGTAATTGTGAACCGATGTGAGATTGATGTTAGGTATATGGTTGAATGAGCGTTTGATTATCGGTTTTGGGTACAACCCCTGTAATTGTGAACTGATGTGAGATTGATGTTAGGTATATGGTTGAATGAGTGTTTGGTTATCGGTTTTGGGTTGAACCCATGTAATTGTGGCCCGATGTGAGATTGATGTTAGGTATATGGTTGAATGAGTGTTTGATTATCGGTTTTGGGTTCAACCCATGTAATTGTAAACCGATGTGAGATTGATGTTTGGTATATGGTTGAATGAGCGTTTGGTTATCGGTTTTGGGTTGAACCCATGTAATTGTGGCCCAATGTGAGATTGATGTTAGGTATATGGTTGAATGAGTGTTTGATTATCGGTTTTGGGTTCAACCCCTGTAATTGTGAACCGATGTGAGATTGAGGTTATGTATATGGTTGAATGAGCGTTTGGTTATCAGTTTTGGGTTGAACCCATGTAATTGTGAACCGATGTGAGATTGAGGTTATGTATATGGTTGAATGAGTGTTTGATTATCGGTTTTGGGTTCAACCCCTGTAATTGTAAACCGATGTGAGATTGAGGTTATGTATATGGTTGAATGAGTGTTTGATTATCGGTTTTGGGTTCAACCCCTGTAATTGTAAACCGATGTGAGATTGAGGTTAGGTATATGGTTGATTGAGCGTTTGGTTATCGGTTTTGGGTTGAACCCATGTAATTGTGGCCCGATGTGAGATTGGTTGATGATATATGGTTTAGTGAGTGTTTGATTACGGTTATTGGGTTGAACCCCATGTAATTGTAAACCGATGTGAGATTGAGGTTAGGTATATGGTTGAATGAGTGTTTGGTTATCAGTTTTGGGTTGAACCCATGTAATTGTAAACCGATGTGAGATTGGTTGATGATATATGGTTTAGTGAGTGTTTGATTACGGTTTTAGGGTTGAACCCCATGTAATTGTGAACCGATGTGAGATTGGTTGATGATATATGGTTTAGTGAGTGTTTGATTACGGTTTTAGGGTTGAACCCCATGTAATTGTGAACCGATGTGAGATTGGTTGATGATATATGGTTTAGTGAGTGTTTGATTACGGTTTTTGGGTTGAACTCCATGTAATTGTGAACCGATGTGAGATTGGTTGATGATATATGGTTTAGTGAGTGTTTGATTACGGTTTTTGGGTTGAACTCCATGTAATTGTGAACCGATGTGAGATTGGTTGGTGATATATGGTTGAATGAGTGTTTGATTATCGGTTTTGGGTTCAACCCCTGTAATTGTAAACCGATGTGAGATTGAGGTTAGGTATATGGTTGAATGAGCGTTTGGTTATCAGTTTTGGGTTGAACCCATGTAATTGTAAACCGATGGTTTAGTGAGATTGGTTGGTGATATATGGTTTAGTGAGTATTTGATTATGGTTATTGGGTTCAACCCATGTAATTGTAAACCGATGAATTTTTGGGTCGGTCATAATGAAGAAATTCCTAGTTCCTAAACCCTCACCGTCGTGATGCCGTTTCTTCCTTCTCCTCCTTCGTCGGCGCCAGAGGACTGATCCTCGGTTCCTCCCTGTCGACTTCTTCCTTCCTTCTCCTCCTTATTACGAAACCATCGATTTCTTCCTTCCTGCTTCCCTCCCTGTCTATTTCTTCCTTCCTGCTTCCTATCTCCCTTCCTTCGTCTTCCCTTCTCTACGCAACCATCGATTTTCCATTCTCCTTTATTCGCCCATCCTTCGTCAGCCGCCGAAGACCCGCAGACCGCTCTCCATCACTCTCCGTCGAGTACGATAACCTCTTATCCTGCTTTACCTGTGTGTTTTGCGCTTCTAGTAACCTCAGATTTGTGCGGATTTAGGGTTCCACGGGGTTTTTTGGGAAATTGTTGGTTTTCGTCCAGATTTGTGCGGTTCTAGTTGCTTCATTTTCGATTTCTATTTGCACTCACGGGTTCTCTTGGGAAACTTATGGGTTTCGCCGGACTTTGGGTTCTTTTGAGAAATCAGGGACTTATGGGTTCTTCTTGGTATGGAGTACGGTTTAGGCTATGGTTTCTTTCATTTGTGAATGTTTGGTTTGTCGCAGAAGTGAAGGGGAAACTATGGTTGCTTAACTCGGTCTTGCCTCGTGTTTGTTTCAATTCATTCGGTCGGTTGTGGGTGGTGAATATGTGGATTTCAATTGTCTCTAAACTTCATTTTGTTGCTTGTTTTCAGTTGATCAACTATGGAAGGGTTGATGGATGATATGAGCACAGGCAAGGACACGGGAATTGACTTGAATGTTGGTTTAGATTGGGGAATGGATTATGGAGATGATACCGGTGGTGTTAGAGATAGTGACGATATGGAGGACAATGTCGACACCACCGATAGTGATTCTGAGGATGATAATAACACTAACTTTGGTGATGTACAGTTACTAGAGAACATTGTGAATGGATCTATGTAATGCTCGTGTCAAGGTTTAGAGAACATTATGAATCATCTTTTTCATAAGTTTGAAGTTCTGGAAAAAAGTCCATTCTGTTTGAAACACCATTATAATAAGTACACGGGATAGTTCAACAGGTGAAAGTCTCCTACTGGAAATCTGACACCTTATACTGGTAATCTCACGACCGTAAAATACTCAAGTTAGATGTAAAAACCAGTGCTTCATTCCTCAGGCAAATATCACGGCCGTGAGATGTCCCGTGAGATGCAAAGAGCAGTTCTCACTATCCCAGGAAATTTAATAAATCCCTTTATGGTACAACCCAAAATTGTACCTATACTAATGGTACAACTTTTATGGTACAACCCAAACTTGTACCTATACCATGGTACAACTTTAAGTTGTACCTACACTTTCTAACAAATCCCTTTATGGTACAACTAAAAATTGTACCTATACTAATGGTACAACCTTAAGTTGTACCTACACTTTCTAATAAATCCTTTTATGGTACAACCCAAACTTGTACCTATACGAATGGTACAACTTTAATTTGTACCTACACTTTCTAAAAATCCTTCTATGGTACAACCCAAACTTGTACTTATACTATGGTACAACTTTAAGTTGTACCTACACTTTCTAATAAATCCCTTTATGGTACAACCCAAAATTGTACCTATACTAATGGTACAACCTTAAGTTGTACCTACACTTTCTCCAAATCCAGCTATGGTACAACCCAAACTTGTACCTATACCATGGTACAACTTTAAGTTGTACCTACACTTTCTAACAAATCTCTTTATGGTACAACTAAAAATTGTACCTATACTAATGGTACAACCTTAAGTTGTACCTACACTTTCTAACAAATCCCTTTATGGTACAACTAAAAATTGTACCTATACTAACGGTACAACCTTATGTTGTACCTACACTTTCTCAAAATTCTTTTATGGTACAACCCAAACTTGTACCTATACCATGGTACAACTTTAAGTTGTACCTACACTTTCTAACAAATCCCTTTATGGTACAACTCAAAATTGTACCTATACTAATGGTACAACTTTAAATTGTACCTACACTTTCTAATAAATCTCTTTATGGTACAACTCAAATTTGTACCTATACTAATGGTACAACCTTAAGTTGTACCTACACTTTCTCAAAATCCTTCTATGGTACAACCTAAACTTGTACCTATACTATGGTACAACTTTAAGCTGTACCTACACTTCCTAAAAATTCTTCTATGGTACAACCCAAACTTGTACCTATACCATGGTACAACTTTAAGTTGTACCTACACTTTCTAACAAATCCCTTTATGGTACAACTCAAAATTGTACCTATACTAATGGTACAACCTTAAGTTGTACCTACACTTTTTCAAAATTCTTTTATGGTACAACCCGAACTTGTACCTATACCATGGTACAACTTTAAGTTGTACCTACACTTTCTAACAAATCCCTTTATGGTACAACTAAAAATTGTACCTATACTAATGGTACAACTTTAAGTTGTACCTACACTTTGTGAAACAAATTCTTCAATGGTACAGCTGAAACTTGTACCTATACTATATGGTACAACTCTAATTTGTACCTACACTTGTATACATTGATTCATTATTTACAAGATTGCCATTAATGATGTGGGACCAGTCATTTAGTGGGTTACCTCCTCAACAGGTCACCTTTTTTTTTTGTTTTTTATAGCATGGGTGCTATAGAGCACACTAGAAGGGCTCTAATATTATATGCTTGTTATACCACTGAATCGTTGCCACTAGTTTCTTGCCTATTGTCATGCAGACGCACTTTCTTGCTTTTTATTTTATTTTAAGAAAAACATATAGGTAGATGTTCTATATGAAAGCTCAAAGTCATTACAATTTGACAACTTTATTGATGGATCAACACAAACACCATAATTAGGTCGATCTTAGTCACAATCCATGTTACTGTATCAACTTCAACTCCACACCCTGATTTCAACCCACCACAATCTGCTAATTACTTATCACTACATGAGCTGAAAGCTCTCAACCAAACTACCCGTTAGACTTAAATGCAAACAAACACAACCAATGAACTAAGGGGTCGTTTGGAAAACAAGATTTGGATCGTGGATTTATTGAATCCATAGATTTAGCAAAATGTGATGTTTTTTTGCTACTTTTTGTATCGTGGATTGTAACTTCAGAGATTTTAAATCTCTAAAATCTAGAGATATAAAATCTCTCATAATTAGAGAGATTCTACATCTTGATTTTGGAGATTTTCTCCCTCCTATTATATCTCTTGTTTTTTTTCATTTATCCCACTAAATACCCTTACCAATAAATTCTCAATATTTTCGAGCCAATCTAATTATTTTGGTTAAGGATAAACATGTTATGTGATAAAAAAATAGAATTTCGTTTTTCATTGGATGTTAACAATCATAGTTACCAAACAATGAACATTTTCAAATCTTTTTTCAACAATCCAAAGAGTTAAAATCTTTGGATTGTCTAGAATCTAGAGATTTAGACTCCAATTCTCCAAACGAGCCCTAACAACAATGTAATACTGCATACGATACAATATCACTTATTTGAACAAAACAACATTGCTTCACCAAGTTAAGACTTAATTTGAACTTCTGGGTTTGGCACCACTCCAATCCTTTTCCGCAGAGGATACGGATTCCTCAGTCTCCCAGGCTTCTTCCACTTCTTGATCCAACACTATTCAATACAAAGTCACCACAAACACGGATCGAACCGTAAACTGTGGGTTGGACCACTTGATCCAGCCGGTCACAACTTTCTTCTCTGCAGCATCATCGGTACTAGAACCCTTGCTCTCAAACCTGACCTTGAATTCCTTGGTCTCCCCGATCTCGGAGAAGCGCAGCACCTTGGGGAACACCTTCACGGCAACAGCTTCTGCGTCGTCGACCCCAACAGACACCTTGTAGACCCAGTAGGTGCCTTGCCCGGCCAGCGCAACATTGGTCAAGCGCCGCGGGATGGTCCTGGTCGCCCGGCCCACCCGGCGGCTCAACCCGACCGAGATCGACGGGTAGTTCAGCGAAGATATAGCGTCTGGGTTGGCACCCCCGGCTGGGCAGCAGAAGCTCGGTGAGGCGGTCCTTGACATGGCCCTGACCGTTGTGGTGTTGTAGCCTCGGTAGCAGAGGAAGTGGAGGAATTCTTCCGTCGTGGTCTCGTAGACGAGACCGGGGCTCACCGCTCCGGCCGGGTGGACCAGCCCAGCTCCCATGTCGTATGGCCCCGCCAAGTCTCCCTCGTCGGTGGTGATCGGGCCCCGCGCATTGTTGGTCGAAAATGCTGACGACCATCATCACGCAGTTACAAATTTCATTAATGCTGGAAATTAACACCAACTATAGCTAAGCTAGCTAGCGAAACTATATGGTCCGACGATCGAACTTAATTACCTGTTGTCATTATCGCCGATTTCACGCCCGTGGGGCTGAGAAACGGCATCGCCGACTTTACATTGGCCGCCACGCCGGAGACGTGTGGGCAGGCCATCGATGTGCCGGTTTCTACTGTGTAGGAGTAGTCGTTGCTGGCCCACGCGGCAAGAATGTTGACCCCCGGCGCCATTATGTCAGGCTACAAAAAAAAAAAAATATTAGCATATACGTACGTGTCACTATAATAATAAGAATTAAATGAACCAACATTTCAATTAAAAATTACATGGGAAATATTTATTATATTTTTTATAACAAAAGGAAAGAAAATTGCATGCCTTGATAATATTGGCAGTAACATTGGACGGTCCCCTAGACGATTCGATGTACACTTGTGGAGCTGGCTTGTACCCGACGACTGTTACGCTGGGAAGAAAAGTTGCCACGGGTTTTCTGGATTTGATTAAAATTAAGCAATAAAAATTAAGTGTTAATGATCAAGGTTATGCGTTACGAAATCTAGATGCTAAAAAAAAAAACCCATGATGTTATCACTTCTAATACGAATCTTATCGCGCATCTCACCTCGTATTATTTTAATTAATTAATTACCTTGTAGATTTTAAGTAAGCCTTCAACTTAAAACTTTCTTGTGAACTTATCACGGTCGTAGGGTAGTCTTCCCTGAAGTTTGTCACTCTCCTTCTGATGTCATCCACCGTAATGACTCCAACCCCGCCCTTATCAGGCACTTCAACGTCTTGTTGGGCCACATCGGTAATTCCACCCACGCTGTTCTCACAAAAGACAATTTTCCCTTTGATTTTCGACGCCCGCAGCGTCCCAACCCGACAATTCCTGTAATTAGAAAGAGACTACAAATTGTTAATTACGGGGACGATTAACGACTAACAGGGGATCTTCTTTGTGGACAAGCACGATAAAAAAAAATCATTGTTGGATTAGCTGATTGAAAGAAAAAAAAAAGAGAAAGACCAAATTGACTAAAGAGACCCACCTTGCGGCTTCACTGGTTACGTTCCGTTCCTTGGCTGCCTCGCCGGACGTCAATGGGTAGACAGCCGACCGGTTGAAGACCTTGGGAATCCCGAGCGCTTCACCCTGCAAGAAACTTGAGTTGATTAATGACCGGCAGAGAAAAATACATGAAATCGATGACGATTAAGTAGTTTGCGTACGTACGTACGTACCTTAATGATTGTGCCTCCACCGAGCATGATGTGGTTCTGAATTTCTCTATCTGTCGTCGAGCTCGCCACCGTCACAATCCACGGCGCGTCGTTGCCGATAGTGCCCGGATGCGGGCCAAAGTTGCCGCCGGCGCAGACAACCGTGATCCCTCTTTCCACGGCATGGAAGGCCCCGATCGAGATTCCATCCTCGACCAAGAAATCGTGGAGGCCCTCCTTGTCCTCATCATCGTCACCTTCCTCGCCCATGGAGATAGATATCACCTTCACGCCATCGGAGATGGCATCGTCAAAAGCGCTCAGTATTGCTGCGTTACCGCACCCCAAATGGGGGTCACAGACATTGTAAACAGCAATCCTCGACCTCTCTGACCCGCCTCTGGCCGTCCCGGCGGCGAGGCCTTCGTATGATGTCTTCACCTTCATTCCGGCGGCAATGGAGGCGACATGGGTACCATGCCCAAAAATGTCTCTTGCGCTCCCATCCACCATGTAGAATCTTGCCCCCACAATTTTCCTAGTACCGGCCGGAGAAGAAGAAGGGAACAAAAAAACGACTTGGTTGTTATTATTTCCAACAAAAAAAAATTGTAACGTTATTATTGTTGTATTGTTTTCTCATGCACATACCCGTTACATGCCGACTTATTGAAATCTTTCGATGTCTCGCATGTTCCGTTCCAGCCTGCTGGTGGGGGGATTCTCCACGCCTTGTCGCCTCCAAAGCTTGGCGACTCTGGCCAGATTCCGGTGTCGATGATGCCGATCACTATGTCAGAGGAGGAGTAGACCACGTCGCTGTCATTGTGGCCGGTGGATGGAACAGCTGGTCCGGCTGCGGTTGCATCTTCCCCCAAGCTTTGCAGAAAATCCCAAGACCGAGTAGTCAGGGGTTTGTAGTAGGTGTCCCTGAAGACGGACAAGACCCCAGGCTGCGCCGAGATGGCCTTGGCCTCCTCCGGCGACATTCGTGCAGCAAAGCCGGCCAGCCCGTGCTGGTAGGTCCTCACCACGTCCAGCTCCCTCCTCCCGCTGCCGCTCAAGATTCAAAAACGAAAGAAAAGATGCATTAATCACCACGTACATACAAAATACACCATCTTAGCCAAAATGAATCTATTTACAACAAAATTTGTCGAAATCCAAAGATGTGATCACCTCGTCTGCAGTGATGTGAGGACAGCCCCCTTCGCCGCCAAATTTTCCGTCGTTGCGGAACCGAGGTAGACGATGTATATATCAGAGTTAGAGGAGGCAGCGGCTTCCAAAGTTGACACGGCAAAGAATGTCCACATAAGGATCACGGAGAAGATACTCAATGGTGACATTTTGGGTTGTGTTTTATGGTATTTGGAGCAAGTATTTTTTGTTGGGAAGAGAGTGATGATATGATGAGGAACGAGAAGAAAAGGAATTGTGCGCATATGGGATGTGAGTGTAATGGAAACATTTGCCCATAATTTTATAGTAGTAGTACGTGCAAATTGGTCACACGGATTGAGCTTTGCCTATAGATTAGGTAGTTGGGTGAGTTGTGGGTGAGTTCATGCAAATGGGATGAATAGATTAGGTAGTTTGTTGAGTTGGGTGAGCTCATGCAAATGGGATGATGTGATGAAAGAAGAAAGACGAAGAATGAGCCAAAAGGGAGTAACGTTGCTAAAGTACCTCTCAAGTCTCAAATTAGTTTCAGATGGCGAACCTGCAGCCGAGGCAAAGGAGAGGGACAAACATAATTACAAGTAGCAGCAACGTAACCGTCGCCATTTCTTTCTGCGGGCAACTGATCTTTTGGGCCGTTTGGGAATGGACGTCTTATATATAAAATTTGGTTTGTTAGGGTGTTTTTTCTGTGTGTATTTACAGAGACGGACTTGATCAGAAGGTGATTGGGGAAGGAAAGCTTTTCCTTGGGGCGAATTACAAAAATGGTCACTAATCTCTGGAGCCATGCACTAGGGAATAATAATTAACTAGGGTCGGTCTAGATTGAACTCGGTCAGGATGGAGGGTTGTTTAGAGTTTTTATGAATTTTGTGTACAAGTGATTTGGTTAGCCTAGGAAAATGAATCATTATTGCATCTCTCCATTCCTAGGCATTTATGATGAACACGAGAGTAACTATCATGAAATTTAAATGGTCAATCACTAAAATTTTTTGATGGTAACACCAAAAGTACCTCTCAAATTACTTCATTATTACATGGTAGCTATAAGGGTAAAAGAAAAAAATAGTCAGCTATAATGGTAAAAAGGTAAAACCAACGTAACTCTCAACGTCTATTTATCTTTGTTATTAGACCTACACGCTTTCTTATCTAGCTATATGATCCGGTCCCATGAACGTTGCTCCCAACAAACGACTTGTAATCGAGAGAGAACACCGGGCATGCATCTCTTCACTTAATGTAGGTGACAACGCTTGAAACATGAGCAAATACTTGCTCCATCCTCCACCCATCCGAGAACGAAATATCCATATTTCTTCTGGCATCTGTCGTTGCATCTCCTGTGCCTGATAACCACATACTCGGGCTCGCTTCCAAGTTCTGTGAATTTGCAGAGATCTGCGTGGTGTTGTGCCGTGACTTCATTCCCTATTTTGATATAACCAAACACCAACAAATTAAAGAAAATTAATACACCACATCATACACGCGACCAAAAAAAGATATGTATGTCGTCAACAACCATACCGGAAAGGAGGCAAACCAATAGGAGAAGAAAAACGAAGGTGGCTAATGAGCTTCTCATTGTTGGTTGGTTTTTTACTCTTTTCGTTGTTCTTTCTCAAGTGCGATATGTGTTAATTGATGATAGTGTGGTGATTTTGCAACTAGTAAAACATAGACTACTTCACTATACTTGCTTAAATAGGTAAATCCAATGTAACAAAATCTTCTAATAAGGAGGAGAGAGTTGCGGTAATTAATGAGTGGTTCTCTCGGTCAATAGAAAGGGCGATTTATAAAAAGGATAACAAAAATAGCATGTTGAGAATCATACAATTACAGTAAAATTTTGTTGTGAATTCATTATATACAACCCCGCAGATGTTGTTAAGATTTTAAGTATACGAGCAAATATGTCTTTTTATAATTTAAAAGATAAATTAAGTATTATAAATTATTTAGATTCAAATTAGTGACGGAGTCAGAAATCGAAACGAGGGATAGCTAAAAAATTTCGTTTGGAGGATTTGAATATGGCCATTGGAGAAGGGGGCTAGAGCCTTACCAACTAGTCTATTTCTCAAATTTGGTACAATTTTTACATGTAAATTTGCCTAGATTTGAAAGTTGAAGAGGGAGGCTAAAGCCCCTCCTGGAGCCAACGTGGCTCCGCCACTGATACTAATTACTATAAAATAACATGATATGGACTAAATAATACGATAAGAACAAAGTATTTTACATGAGGCAAGTCAATCACATGTATCGTTCATGACATAAAAATATTAGAGTATTTAATTTATACATGAACTTGGAAATTAGTTTAAGAGCTCAACTATTTAAAATAAATGAGTTGAGCTCGAGTCAAACCGGTGATCTTCATGATGAGATAGAATTTTAATAAATGAGTCGATTCAAATACGACTCGACTTTGCTCTTTGATAAACGAGCTAAGTTGAGCTCGAGTTCGAATTCCTTAGGAACGAATCTAATCTGCCGATTCAACTCAACTCATTGAAAGCACAAGAGAACGTATATAACGATCAAATCGTTCCTCGACGGCATTGCTTCATGATCCATAATCATGGACTCGCGAAGCCCATGCACCATGCATATTAGGCTTTGAACACACATTGATTTAAGTATATGGGCTCAAATCACGTTTGTCTGACTTAGTTGGGCCTCAACCTAAGGTAACTTCATTTACTAATTCCATTAAATTGAATACATAATTTCCATTAACCAAGCCCAAAAGGCTCGACCCTTTGCTCGCTCATCCCTCATTGTCGGAACCTCGTCGGTGACCGTCTCTTCACCCTCGCCGTCGCCCACTTTCTTCTCCACCGGATGTCGCAGTTCTGGAAGCCCGGAGGCGAGCGGCCGCAACTTCTTGATGACGGAGAGGGAGGCGTACTGTTTTTCTCTCCCTCAGCCTCGTCCTCTTCTTCCTCCTCAGGTTTGAGAGCAAGGGTTGTAGTACCGATGATGATGCTGCAGAGAAGAAAGTTGTGACCGGCTGGATCAAGTGGTCCAACCCACATTTTACGGTTCGATCCGTGTTTGTGGTGACTTTGTATTCAATAGTGTTGGATCAAGAAGTGGAAGAAGACTGAGGAATCCGTATCATATGCGGAGTTGTTGTTTGTTTATTGGTTGTGTTAGTTTGCATTTAAGTCCAACGGGTAGTTTGGTTGAGAGCTTTCAGCTAATGTAGTGATAAGTAATTAGCAGATTGTGGTGGGTTGAAATTAGTGTGTGGAATTAAAGTTGTTGATATAGTAACATGGATTTGTGACGAAGATCAACCTAATTATGGTGTTCGTGTTGATCTATCAATAAAGTTGTCAGATTGTAATGACTTTGAGCTTTCATATAGAACATCTATCTATCTGTTTTTCTTAGAATAAAAATAAAAAGCAAGAAAGTTTGTCTGCATGTAACAAAATCTCGTAACAATAGGCAAGAAACTTGTGATAACGATTCAGTGGTATAACAAGCATATAATATTATCAGTATTTATCTCGGAAGTTCCCACCGAACAAGTTACAAACTGTAATATACACAAACATATGACGATAATAAATTCCTTGTTTTCCTTAAAAAAAATGAATAGCAAGAAAGTAAGCCTGCGTGTAACAAAATATTGTAACTAGTAGGAAAAAGTCTCGGTAACGCGATCGGATGATAACAAACATATAGTATTACCTTGAAAGTGCTTACTGAAACTATTAATATTAATTAAAAGACCAATAATTACGGACGGTAAAATACTCATACGGTTACCGTAAAAATTTCTTGTAAAACATCCTTAATGCGAATGGAGAGCAATAAAGTAAGTCTACATGTAACAAAATCTTCTAACAAGTAGGCGAGAAAGTTGCGCGGTAGTGCGACCGAGCGATAATAAATGTATTGTATTATCTTAAAAAGTCCTCACTCAAGTCAGAGGCGCCAAAAGTTACAGACTGTAATACGAACAATACGGTTTACGCGATGAAAAAAATTCTATTGTAAGAACTTCGTCCTTATCCCTCCCATACTACTCGTTAACTAATCTCTTTATATATTTGAGTTTTGATCAACATCATACACACTTGATTTTTTTTTTTTTAAGGGTGAACAATTATCAACCATGAGAAGCTCATCATTCGCATTCGCCTTAGTTCTCCTACTCATTTGTCTCATCCACGGTGATTAATTTAATTACTGTCTGCCATCTTTTTCTTTGTTTAATGTTAATTACGTACTTAGCATTTGATGATTTGATGCTCTTTGTTGAATTCGTAACCACAGGGAACGGGCAGGTCGTGGCAGAAAGTTATACGAAGCTCTGCCATTTTACTTATGTCAAAGAGACCAGCCTGAACGAGTGCACTCGCCGATCATGCAACGACGCATGCCAAGAGAGATTTGGGCAATTTGTTCTTGGGTGGTGTGATTGGATGGTCATTTGCTTCTGCTACAAGCCTTGTGGCTGATAATTGATATTCGTTAAATTGATCATATGTACCTGGTTAGAATAATGTTCATAAAGAGGATCTTGCTTTCTAGTCGATCATGAGTTAAGTAAAAAGTATGAGTTAATTGGGGTTTACAGCAATGTCTCCTGTTCCAGTATATAGCTAGTATTCTACATTTCAAAGTATTGTCACATTTGTATGCTGATGGTAAGTATAGTTAGGTATGGCTGGTGCGAGCGGCGTGGCACGCATGGTACGTCGATACTCATATTTGCTCTGTGCTGAGTGCGGGTAAGATCAAGTAATACAAGTGCGGGTACGGGCAGGGTGGGACCGTACATTATCATCGAGAAACATAAACGTAACAAAAAAAAAAAATTATGATGAAACAAATGAGGGTATTTTATGAATGAAGAAGAGTTATAACATAATGAATAATTGAGCGTAGATAATTGAAAGGTCAAGTCGCGCACCTATTAAAAGTTTCATTTGGTGAAACTAGTACTAGAATAGAAGAAATAGAAATACATATTAAAGAATTTGAGATAGGACATGTCCAGAGAGACTACGAGATGAAACAGGTCGAAAGTAGCAATCCATGTCCGCCCATGATACTTCGGGCCGGGTAATACCAACATAGTGGGTTCCAACAGTCATCCCTGATGTATAGTATATTGATGAATCAAATATTTAGGAATTAATAAAATAAGTATTATAGTATTTTTTATATACATGAAAGTATTTTTTATATACATTAAAGTATCATAGTAGTTGAAGGGTATATGTATAATGAATTAATTAATGCGTCGAAAGGCCAGTAAAATAATTTTTTTGGACAAGGGTGTTAGTACTTTATTATCAACCCCCTAATAAAGTTAACTTCATAATTATATTATATTATTTACGATTTGTTCACCTCCCCCACAGACCAAACTGGTTTCTGCAACAACGAGCCCTCATCTTCCATCAGTATGGGCCTGTGTAGCAATTAGCCCAATTATCATTGTTGGCCCATCCTCCAACCTTTTACTATTCAGCCCATCACTTCCGTTCTCTCCTCACCGTTAGCGAACGACCGACTTTCCTAATTTAGAGGACTGCAAGGAACTTCCACAACCAACTTCCCGCGCTTCCCTTCCCTTTCTTCATTAGAAACAGTAATGTAAATTCCCTCTGTCAGCCTTCTTCTTCTTCCCTGTCCGCCATTATTCCCTTCCCCAAAATCCACCTTCCTTCCTTTCCTTAATTCCATTCCTATATCCCGCCAAGCTAAACTCCAGCACTTGCCATTAACATTCATTCATACTATAGATTCTTTCGGAGCAACTAATTGTGGTAGCAAAAATCTTCCACATCCAGCAATTCATTTACTGCACTAAAGAATATAAGCAAGCCCAGGAATTTAAGGAACGAAAGACTAGATAAGGTAAAAAGAAGGGACGACTCTGTTTTTATAAGCAAAGCCACAATTCAGTCACTTACTGCCTGATCATCTCGTTACAAAAAAGGACTCTGTTTTTTTTTTCTTCCTTTGTTCCGATCTGAAGTTCTAAGCAAAAGCACAATGTCTTTGTCTTTTCGATACTTGATCAACCCGAACTACCCATCCGTTTCTACGGAAGACCCAGCTCCGGATTTCTCGATCTCGATGAAGTCGAGGATTCGTAACTGTTTGAAGAAGGTGAAGCAGCTCGTTTCGACCCGTTCGAGTTTCGTCTCGTCTCTGTTCGGACGCGGGAAAGGAAGGGAATTTGTATCTCCCGCCGTTGAGACCAGCGAGTCCTCAAAGGGGCAGGCTTCGCCGGAATCCGTTGAATTGGAGACGCAGCGTTTCAGCTTTGATTTTGTTCCAGCTGGCGAGGCCGAGGAGTTTTCGTCACCGTCGGGATGCGACGTCGTTGGAAGTGATGCGTCCGATTATATTCCCGCTTCTGGGTCAAGTTCGGCCGCCGACGTCGATTCCGCCACGTTGTCGCTGCCGTTGGCGAGTCTTTTCTTCTTTGACGACATGAACTCGCCGTCTGACGTGGAGAGTCCCCGAGGAGGCGGGATGGAAAAGACGGTTCGTTTCACGGTCAGCACTCCAAAATGGACCGGAGAATCCGCGAAGCTTGGGCCCGAGTTCCCTCCCTCGAGGAAGAGACACGTCGTCGTCGATGAACAAGATTGCAAGGTGGAGCAGCGAGTCTGGGAAAGCGGCGCCCGCATAGAGGAGGAAACAGAGTTCTTCAGGTACTATCTTAACAAGGTTTACAAGGAGCCAGAGGCTATGATGGCGGCGTTCCCTGATGGCCGTCTTGCTGAATGGAACAGGATTCTCGCTAGTTCGAAGAAGACTGACGAGATGCAACCGAGAAGAGGAAGGGATTGCAGATATGGCGGTGGACGAAGAACCTATGCTTTCTGTTTTAGTTTACATGTTCAGGAATGAGAAACTGTGTTACATAAGTACATTCGGTGCTTTTTCATGGTTGTTCACTCTTGTAAGTTGCCAAGCAGATTTGTTATGAAACTATGAACCTTTTTTTAGGTCTGTTTTAGCTAAGAATTGCAATGAATGGAAATGCATGAGCAGTTCTGAAAGAAAACCAGGATTCTATTTAAACAGCATTGAGCCCAAATATAAGAATTATGCCTCAGTTTTGCTCTACACTAGTCGTATAGTTTTGTGCTTAATCATCAATTGAGCAATGTAAGGCCTCTTTGTCACTGGTGAATGTGATCCGGGTTGTTCCCCACTCGACGATGAAGCTTATCCCCCATCGTCTAACTGGCTGACCTTGCAGTCTTAGACAATCTAGAGCAACACAGCAGTAGATCATCGATAGGCCAAAATCCGAGTGCGCTTCAGGATTGGTACGACTGTCGCGACATGTTGCTGCAATTGACCCAACGAGCCTTGATTCATGACCAGGAATCCTCCATTGAGCTACTGGATGGATCTCTGAAGCTCAAAATTATGCAGTAGGGTCAAGGATGGATTGTCGCAGATGAAGGACATACGTTGCTGAGCTTCAAGCCACTCTTGAAAGAAGAAAAGGTGCATTTTTGGAAACAGAAACCAGAAGGTAACTGAATTCAAGGAAGCTTGTGAAGAAAGCAATCCAGAGGTCTAGAAGGGCAGTATTGAAAGCAGAAAACTCTCTACCTCACATCGAATGATCCAGACATCGTCACGATGTTGAGAGAAGCTGAATCCGTCGGTGTTGAAGCGTTGCAATCCCTGTTGGCATTCATTTCTGGATCAAGCACTGCTGCCAGAAAAGGGCTGCAGCAGTATCTGAAGCTGAATTTGGTTGTGCCTCCTTGAAGATTAGTGAGGAGTTCGAGGTTCATTTGAAGTAGCAGCCATGCATTGAATATCTTCAGGAAGGTATTGAATCCTTGTTTAGACAGATGATACTAATGAGAGCTGCAATTCTGAACCTTTACAGTATGCCAAGAAAACAATACTTCTAGATCACTATAGACATCCAAACACTCATCTGTACTCCTGTACCCAGTAGCCAGTACATAAATTACATAAAGAAAATTTACATCCCTGCCTTGTGTTAACTCAGTTTATTGCTTTCCTCCCAAGACTTCAGATCTCCATCGCACCTGTGAAAGCAACTTCACTTTCTATATAGCAGCTCTCTTACAGCCTAATGAACCCCACAATTGCAGAGGAAGCTAAGCTAATCTCATATGGATCCTGTCTCCCAATTGTTTTCCCTGTATTATAATCAAAACTACACGTTCATTTGGGTTTGTTAAACCCCTCGTGCGGTGTAATATAATAATGGATCTGCAATCCACAACAGTAATTTATGATGAGATTCTTTCTGCCTCCCCCCCCGTCTTCTCCATAATAAAACTACTACAGTCTGTATTTCCCTTTTTAAATTGCATCTATGTGATATAGAGCCACGTACATGTAAATGCAAAGGCTACAACAATTGTCTTGTTCTGCAGCAGTCCCCAATGTGGCAGCTTATTAGAGATGCCTTGTGCCCTATACTGCTGACACAGCGAACAAGAAGCTCTGCTAACAATAGAAGAGAGATGGGCAATGAACATTTTAAATGGGAGAACCGAAAAGTATGGATCTTTGCCACACCATGACTCATCCACTGCTTCAGAGCTCCATCCCTCAATCAATGAGTTGGGTGACTTGGTAGGCAAGGGACACTGCAAAGACACAATGCCGGTAAGTATGGCAGATCCATATTTGAAACCTTAAGCTGAATAATATCACATATGCACATGAAAAGATAATGGCTTTGATTCCTCTTGTCTCTTTTGTGTCCCTTTGGCCTGCCTCATTTCTATCACCATCTATATAAACAAACTCTGGATGCCAAGGAAGGCATTGCAAATCATCTCTCTCAACCTTCTCTTCAACTTCAAAACCCTTCCCCAAGTCTGCTCAATTTCACCCAAAAAAATGGCAGCAGCTTCTTTCCATGCTCGCTCCAACAGTTTGCCTGCTAGATCACACCCACTGATCTCAGAAATCGATGAGCAAATTTGCAGGTTGAGACAATCTCAAGCTGCTTCCACATCGTCGTCATCATCCATAGGCCACAACTTGAATAGCCTTCAGGTTGTGTATGATTGTGTTGACCAGTTGTTCCAACTGCCATCAACTCAACAAGCCTTGATCAATGACCAGAAGTGCTTCAACGAGCTGCTAGACGGATCCCTCAGGCTCTTGGATTTGTGCAACACTGCCAAGGATGCCTTGTCCCAGATGAAAGAGTCCGTGGCTGAACTGCAATCTGCTATTCGCAGAAGGCAAGGTGGTGTGGAAGGAGAAACCAGAAGATACCTGAAATCACGGAAGACTGTGATCAAAGCAATCCAAAAGGTCTTGAAGGGTATGGAAAACAAGAAATCAACGTCATCAAACAACATCGAGACACTATCCATGTTGAAGGAAGCTGAATCTGCTATTGTTGAGGTTTTGGAGTGCTTGCTGGCGTTCATTTCTCAAACAAGCTCAAAGCCAAGCAGCTGGTCAGTGTTTAAAAGGGTTGCATCAGCTTCAAGTGAAAACGAATTTGCAGATGTGGATGCCTCTCTAAAGACAAACAAATCTAATGAGGAGGTCCAACTTCACTTGAAGAACTTGCAGCCATGCATTCAAGATCTCGAGGAAGGAGTTGAGAGCCTGTTCAGGCGTTTGATCAAAACAAGAGCCTCCATTCTCAATATCCACAATCTGTAACTATTACATCATCAAAAGAATACTTGTACAAGTTGTATATAAAATTTTGATACTCTATCCATAAATATACATGGTCTCCAAGTTCCTGCAACATTAAGTCTCATGCTGTTCATTGCTCTATCTTTTAGCCTGCACTTTATTTCCATCCATTTTAATTGCCTTTTACACACAAGAAATAAATCGCAGTTAACAAAAATATAATCTCAGATAAGTTAGCTAAATAAGAGCATGACTCCAAATCACATTGAAGACTGTCAAAGGAAATAATGAACCATATTAGGCAGATCTTGCCTTCCATTGATACAGCAGTAGCAGCTTGGTATGAGTAATTAATCATACACACTAGTCTAAAACTTAGTCAGAGCAGACATAAGGAATCGAATTTTACAATCTATATATCAACGAATGAGATGGAATATGGCTATGATTTCGATTTGGTAAACAACCATCCCAGCAATGTCTATGCAATGTTCTATTGCTTACCAGCACTGTCCAGCTCATTTACCTATTCATCCTTCATCCTCTCCTAATCTCATTTAGCAGAAAGTCAGATTTAATGCAGGGAGTGGGTTGCTTGGCCTGATTTCCAACGATCTCTGATATCATTTGAATCAGTCCAAACCATAATCTACTCCCACTGGATTTGGCTTTCACCATTTCTACATGTCCTTTAGTTAAGCTGTTTCTTCTGAGACAAAACAATGGTTTTAAACTGGGAAAGAGCTGGAGACATTCAAGAACTGCAAACATACAAGAACTGGAGATAGCTGCCAAGAATCTTCTTGTCTTGCTCCCAAAAAGGCATAGTTTTTTCTTATATATATATAAGGGCGACGAGAATTTATTAATGAAAAAAAAAAAGGAGTGTACAATCTACAAGCTAAGCCTGGGATCAAACCTTCAGCCTCGCCGGTCCCAAATCGTTCTTCTCCCAGCTCACAGAGTCAACCCTTGGGTTCATCCATCGAAAGCCCGGAGCTTTTCACCGCCCTGCTTTCCCTCCTCTGCACAGGGAATATCCCTTCCAGGCTAAAGCTTTCGACATCGATGATTTGGCCGAAGAAGGCCGACTCGCTCGCTTGATCAAGAAGCCCCCTTTGATCAGCCGGGAAGGGGATTTCAGCAGTTGCAACAGACGACGACGAATCCCCATTTTGGAACTACTCATTGTTGCTGCTGTTGGGCACTCTGTTTATGCTTTCTTTGCTGTGTTACATTACACGAACCAGCTCTCTGTTTATAGAGGCTTTCAAACCGCCATTAGGAAAGGCTCCAGTGGGCATTGATTTCAGTCGGTTGTACCGAGCAAATTGGAGCTTAGCTATATTCAATTTTTAGTTACACAACGCAGAGATAAGGATGGATCACAGACTTGGCCGACTAAAAGAAATTCTCCATGTCGGTAGCTTATTGGCTGGCTGACACTCAGCAACCACGTTAGCACTTAGCAGATCATATATCGTTTCGTTTTGCGTTTCTTTTCGACGTTTCGCGTTTCCTTCTCCTGCGCAGGCAAAATGGCGAATGCACAAGTCGATACCCTTTGAAAGTAAAGAAGACCACTTTGCGAACCCCTTCAGACGAACGGAGTGACCAGACTTGCTTCTGATGCTGCAGTAGTAAGCATCTTCTGCTCTTGAAAGTTCATCTGTACTCACTTGCCCACAGCAGTAAGCATCTTCTTTTTCCAGCCTAGAAACTAGATAGCAATGACTTTTCCACAGCAGTTGGAAGAGAACCCTGTGTTGCTTGACTTGAGTTTTTCGTTCATGAAGGCCATTCCTTCAGCTCATACGCATTCCTTCACCTGGGGGATCAAAGAAACCGAAATGGTAATCGGAAATAGTCACTGCTAGTGGAACTTGGAAGAGAAAGTTGCAGACTTTGGTGGCTGGCAATTGGCATCTTATGACTATATATGGCTGGATGGCAAAGGAGACACAAGGAATCTCATTGTGTTTCATATATATCAACGACTGAAGATGAAATTTTGATTTTGATATTGATTTAGATCTAACCAGCCAGCTAACCATGTCAGCGATGCATGTGCATTGTCTGTTGCCTGCCACTACTCTCCAACTCTCATGGTTACTGAGTCATGCATATTATCTAGCCTACCTCGATAATGGAGGCCAATGAGTTGGATTACTTGGTAGGCAAGGGACATTTCATAGACACAATGCTGATAATGTGGTGGATCAATTTGTGTTTTCACATGGGAGAAACAAGAGGCTTTGATTCCTCTCGTCTCTCTGTTGTTTCTTCCTTCACCTGCCTCTTTGCTCTCATCTTTCTATATAAACTTGCCATAGGTGCCAAAGAAGGCATTGCAAATCATCTCTAGCTACATCTCTCTCAGTCTTGAATTCCTTCTCTCAAATTCCACCAAGATAACCAAAAATGGCAGCTATTTCTTTCCATGCTCGCTCCAACAGTTTGCCTGCAGGATCACACCCTCTAGTCTCAGAAATCGAAGAGCAGGTTTGCAGGTTGAGACAATCTCAAGCTGCTTCCACATCCTCATCATCCATAAGCCACAACCTTAATGGCCTTCAGGTTGTGTATGATTGTGTTGACCAGTTGTTCCAACTGCCAACGACCCAACAAGCCTTGATCAATGACCAGAAGTGCTTCAATGAGCTATTGGATGGATCCTTGAGGCTTTTGGACTTGTGCAATACTGCCAAGGATGCCTTGTCTGTGATGAAAGAGTCTGTGGCTGAACTTCAATCCGCTATTCGCAGAAGGCAAGGTGGTTTAGAAGGAGAAACCAGAAGGTACATGAAATCTAAGAAGACTGTGATCAAAACAATCCAGAAGGTCTTAAAGGGCATGGAAAACAAGAAGTCCACCTCATCCAACAACGTTGAGACAGTATCTATGTTGAAGGAAGCTGAATCTTCTGTTGCTGAGGCTTTGGAGTGCTTGTTATCATTCGTTTCTCAAACAAGCTCAAAGCCAAGCAGCTCGTCATTCTTTAAAAGGGTTGCAGCTGCAGAAGCTTCAGGTGAGAATGAATTTGTAGAGGTGGATGCATCTTTGAAGATTAACAAATCCAGTGAGGAGATTCAACTTCATCTCAAGAATCTGCAGCCATGCATTCAAGATCTTGAGGAAGGAGTTGAGAACCTCTACAGGCGTTTGATCAAAACAAGAGTCTCCATTCTCAATATCCACAATCTGTAGTTACATCAACAGAACAATACTTGTACAAGTTGTATAGAAAATTTTGACACTCGAATCCATCAATATACATGGTATCCAAGCTCCTGCAAACTGCGTCTTTTTGTTCGTTCCTCTATCTATTACCCTGTGTTAGTGTTGTGGTATATGATCCAAGATTGAACCTCTCCCAACAACTCGAGTTATTGGGATAAACTGGTTCTTGACATGGTATCAGAGCGGGTTTGTCCTTGAGGTCACGTGTTCAAGTCCTCACGACCCCCAATATTAACCGTTGTCTTCAAGCACATGGTATGGCGGGCCTGTGCAAACTTCAAGCCCATGGGTTGGCTTTCGTTTGAGGGGGGCGTGTAAAGAAGTGGTTAAGTACCATACACGGGCCTGTATAAGATCCAACATAACCTTCTCCCAACAACTCGAGTTATTGGGATCAACTGGTTCATGACATGGTATCAGAGCCTTCTGTGACCGAGAGGTCTTGTGTTCGATTCCCCGTGACCCTCATTTGTTAAGCACATGGTATTCTTGTCTTCAAACCTGTGCAAACTTCAAGCCCTTGTGAGTGGCTTTTGTTTGAGGGGGCGTGTTAGTGTTGTGGTATATGATCTAAGATTGAACCTCTCCCAACAACTCGAGTTATTGGGATAAACTGGTTCTTGACACCCTGCATGTTTCTTACATTTCCATTTTAATTACCTTTTGCCTACAATAGAAAAATGACAGTGAAAACAAGGATAATTTCAGATTGCTAAGGTAAACAAGAGGTGATGGAAACTAAGAGGAATCATAGTCACATGGAAGACTGACTAATCCAGATTAATTATTGCAGAAATGAGTAATTACCACACGTCCAAATGCAATAATGAAACCACGTTGAGAAACCACATTAGATGGATCTTGCCTTCCATTTGTACAGCAATCATGCTAATCAATGCAACTTGACATCATTTCTTAATCATATAACATTAGGCTAATCTGTATGAGAGGAGACATAAGGAATCAAAAGTTTTCATATATCAATGAATGAGATGGCTATGTGGCTATTATTTCAACCAAAGAAAACAACCCATCTCACCAACATCTATGCAATGTTCCTTGATTAGGCCACTTTCATTAACCAACTTCCTTGGAGATGGCATAGATTAAGCCAGATGTAATGCAGGAGTGGGCTGTTTGGGGTGATTTTGGACGAACTGTGATATCATTTAAACCAGAACAACCATAATCTACTATCACTGTGATTCACTTTCACCATTTCTACTTATCCTTGGAGGTAAGCAATGATTTTAAACCAGGAAGCTAAAGTTCCTTCAGTTACAACAAGACACCCTGTTGAGTTCATGCTGCAGAACACAATTAAATTGCTAACCCCCTCAAGAGGTGTAATATAATATTGGATCTGCAATCCACAACAATCATTAATGGTGAGATTCCTTCAATTTGAGTTATCCAGATGAATTGGTTCTGGATGAGTAAAAGTGAAAATGATTATATTCCTAGTTTGGTGCCAAACCAGATTTACAACTTTATTTAAAAGGATGGAGAAGCCAAGGATGAATATTAATGTGGAGCTAGTTAAAACAACCATATATCTCCAGCTCATTCCCTCAGGGCTCAGTTTTAGTTTAATCTTTCATGGATCTTCAATGCACGAGTGGATTTGGATCTAACCAACTGTATATCTTCTCAGCAGTATTTAATGCAGTGTCCCTTGCCAACCTAGCAGGCCAACTCATTTTGCCAACTTAGTTTAATCCTCTTGCACGAGTGGGTTGTGTTTGGAATGATATGAAAATATCAAATATGGATCAAACAGAAATGGGGTTTGGCGATTAGGATATTTTCTAATCTAACTGACCATTGACATTAATGTCTCACTCTCAGTATATTGCTCTATCATCTTCTACCACAGTGCATACAATTTCCGGCCTGTTCATTTCAGTTGCCTTCTGCTGTTCTGCATAGAGGAGAAAAATGACAGTGGAAAACAGGTTCTGGGATTATTACAGATGGTTGAACTGGATTGACAAATAGGTTATTCCTAATCTTCATTCAGTATGGGTAAATTGCATAAAGTTTTTACAGCTTTTAACGGACCTAAGAAACTTACCGGTCTTTTGGATTGGGCCAACTGTTACCCAATGTAATGTGCGGGCCTATAGCCCATCATACGAGTTCCAAGTTCCAACCTCTAATTACATTTCTCAAGTTCTCGCCTCGTAGTAGCTCGACATTCTTCCTTTACACTTTACAGTTTACATTACATGCTTGTTTGTTTCTCTCAGTTCGTGGGTGGTGGGTGGCAACTGGCAAGAATCAAACCTTCATTCATGCAAACAGAAACAGGTGACCTCAGTCAGCCAAAAGCTTCCTCCCTTCCCATAGGTTATTTGGTGGTAATGATTTTGCTTCCCACTCCTCTCGTTTGTCAGACAGCAGCCTTGTTTTCTTCTCCTAGTCCTAGGTCAACCTCGAATAAGTTCCTTCTTCACCCTTAGAATTTGGAGCTTTTGCAGGGTGTTTAGGGATTGAATCTAATCTTTGCTTACCCTTTTGAGAAAGTTCACTGCTTTTTGTAGGATGGGAGGAGAGATGAGAATGGTGGAAATTTTGGAAGCCTTTTTTTTTTGCTGTTCTTTTCAGTAGGTTGTGAATTGGGAGATTTATGATTTTAGTTGTGAATTTCTTAGGAATTTATGATTTTCATTCTCATAGAATCGAGCTAAGATTGATATGGATGGTTCAAGCATAGGTGGTAGGTTTATGTTAGGATCAATTGGCGGGAGCTTGGACCTAGAAGCTCCTCCGATGCATCGAAACCAACATAGCCAGATGGGTAATCCCTCAGTAGTACCATCCCATCATCACCACCACCACCACAACCAGATGAACTCAACTGGTGGGATTGATTACAATAGGCAGCCGATGGGGCTGATGGAGTCTATAGGTCTGGCACCAAAGGGGCGTCCGACTAGTTATGGGAAAGCAAATGACGATGATCTTAGTGAAGAAGATGATCCAAGCTTGATGGAAGATGGCCAGGTATCCCACGGTTCGAAGGGTACAAAGTTATCTCCATGGCACCGGATGAAATGGACGGATAATGTGGTGAGGCTTCTAATTGCTGTTGTTGCTTATGTGGACGATGATGGTACAGAAGGTGGTGAGAGCCACAAGAGGAAATCTGGGGTTCTGCAGAAGAAGGGCAAGTGGAAGACTGTTTCCAAGGTCATGATCGGCAAAGGCTGCCACGTTTCGCCCCAGCAATGTGAGGATAAGTTCAATGATTTGAACAAGAGGTACAAGAAGTTGAATGATATTCTTGGGAGGGGAACAAGTTGCCAAGTGGTGGAGAACCCTGGCTTGATGGAATCGATTCCTCATCTTTCGTCCAAGGCCAAGGATGAAGTTAAGAAGATACTGAGCTCGAAACACTTGTTCTACCAGGAGATTTGTGCTTACCATAATGGACAAAAAATCCCCAACTGCCCTGATGTTGATCTCCAAGGCTGCTCATTACCCATGAAGGGACACTGGAGAGAGAATGATGGTTCTGAGGAGGATGAGGAAAATGATGATAGCGAAGATGATGGCTCGGAGAATGAAGATGAAAATGTAGATATGAATGCTGAGAGGACTAGAAGAAATGAAGAAGGAAATAGCTATGAGGTCAAAATGGCTGCATTGTTTCAAGACCCGAATGTGACATCTGGGGAGAGGAAGCAGTGGGTCAAGAACCAGATGCTTCAGCTACAGGAGCAACGAGTCAGCATTGCGGCTCAATCCCTTCAGCTCGAGAAGCAACGCCTCAAGTGGTTGAAATACAGAAGTAAGAAAGACATGGAGTTCGAGAGATTGAAGATTGAGAATGAGAGACTGAGGCTAGAAAATGAGCAAAGCATGGCACGGATGAAGCTGAAGCAACTGGAAGTTGATCTTGGACATTCTGATGCATCGGTAGATCCAGTTACTCTCGGAACTCAACGACCACAAGGAAAAGAGTCGATTGATCTGAGTAGGCCACATTGTAGAATTTCTGACGCTTGACTTCTGGTATCTTGTATCATCCTCTGCAATAAAACTTGTAAAGTTTATTGTTTTGGATCCTTGTTGTTCTTACATTCGCCCTGCGGGGAACCATAATTTAATGATATGAACTATGAATCAGTTATCTACTTCCATATATTTCTTGCTTCCTATACTGTTTTTCATGCCTCACTTGGTGGCTTTTGGTTATTGAAGTTAGTTGTTATTCTAATGAAATGTCATAAAGTTCAGTAACAGCACAACCATAAACATTGTAAAGCTCCCAAGATCTGAATAGGCTTCAGGATCTGTATGATTATGTTGACCAGTTGCTAGAACTGCCAACAACCCAACAAGCCTAGATCAATGACAAAAAATGCTTTAATGAGCTACAAGATGGATCTTTGAAGCTCTTGGATTTGTGCAACATTGCCAAGGATGTCTTGTCACAGATGAAAGATTCTGTGGCCGAACTTCAATCTGCTATTTGTAGAAGACAGGATGGTTTGGAAGGAGAAACCAGAAGCTACATCAAGTCCATGAATACGGTTAAGAAAGCAATCCTACAGTAAACAAGACAACTGAATCTGCTGTTGTTGAGGTGTCTGAGTGCTTATTGACATTCATTTCTTCTCAGTCAACCTCCACACCAAGCAGCTGATAAATTTTTTCGAAGCTGGAAACGGTTGCAAGTGAGAATGAATTCTCAGAGGTGGGTGCCTCTTTGAAGAGGAACAAGTCTAATGACGAGGTCCAAGCTCATCCGAAGAACTTGCAGCCATGCATTCAAGCTCTTGAAGCAACAGCGAAAATAGTTTCTGCGATCATTACAGATAATCAAGCTAGTAATATCTAGCTGGATAGCCTTCCATTTCATGACAGAGTTATGATTAAGAACACACAAGCCGAAATCAAAGGCCAGCACACGGTAAGTTGATTCAAGAAAACAATGAATGTCGGAGAAATCAGTGATCAGAAGTTCAGCGGACCTTCCACCTCCATTACTGCAGCAACCGTGCAGAACATAGAGCAGGCTTCAAGCCGTGCTGCTCAAGAGATTGAAATAATATCTAATCCTGTAAAGTGGTCACTACCTTTCTCGGCCTTTTGGCTAAGATCAAGTGTAGTATCTGTTCTTATCAGTTTAATATCTGATACGTGGGCCAATGGCCCACACGATATTAAATTAATTTTTATAGGGGGAGAAAGCCCACTACTGAAGCTTGCTTTAGGGGCCTTCTCGCGTGTCGCCTAAACGTTGCACTACTGCTTGGGCCGGGCGCACTCCACCAATTCTAGTCCAATTTCTTTATTTCTTCTGAATTGGCCCTGTTGCTTATTTTGAACTGATTCTACTCATACTTCCGTGTCTGATTCTACTCATCCTTCTCCACGTCTTTCTCATATCCACCAAGAAAACCAGAAAAAAATGGCAGCTCTCTCTTTCCATGCTAGGTCCAACAGTTTGCCTACAAGATCACACCCTCTAGTTACAGAAATCGAAGAGCAGGTCTGCAGGTTGAGACAATCTCAAGCTGCTTCCACATCATCATCATCATCCTTAGGCCGAAATCTAAACGGTCTCCAGGATGTGTATGACTGTGTTGACCAGTTGCTCCAACTTCCAACAACCCAACAAGCCTTGATCCATGACCAAAATTGCTTCAACGAGCTATTGGATGGATCTTTGAGGATCTTGGATTTGTGCAACACGGCCAAGGATGCCTTGTCCCAAATGAAAGAGTCGGTCTCTGAGCTTCAATCCGCTATTCGCAGAAGGCAAGATGGTCTGGAAGGAGAAACCAGAAGATACCTAAAATCTAGGAAGAATGTTATCAAAGCAATCCAAAAGGTCTTGAAGGGTATGGTTTGCAAGAAGTCTACTTCATCAAACAACGTTGAGTCCATATCCATGTTGAAGGAAGCTGAATCTGCTGTTGTCGAGGTTTTGGGGTGCTTGCTCTCATTCATTTCTCAAACTAGCTCCAAGCCAAGCAGCTGGTCATTGTTTAAAAGGGTTGCAGCAGTAGCAGCAACCGATAATGAATTCTCAGATGTCGATGCCGCCTTGAAGATGAACAACTCCAGTGAAGAGGTTCAAGTTCAACCCAAGAACTTGCAACCATGCATTCAAGATCTTGAGGAAGGAGTTGAGAGCCTCTTCAGGCGTTTGATTAAAACAAGAGCCTCCATTCTCAATATCCACAATCTGTAGTTACATCATTGAAACAATACTTGTACAAGTTGTATAGAAAATTTTGATACTGAAATCCATAAATATTGCAATCTATGATCTAACTCGTAGTTAGGAGAGTGTAGGTTTAAGAATTTTTTTTTTCCATTAGATCACTCTTCAGAAGAGAAAATCGTTTAGATACATGGGGACTAAAAGGGTTATATTCCCCTAGAACAAAGCCAAGAACAGAAGTCGAACCTCGCAAACAATTGAAGCGACAAAAGCAGAGCATGACGGGAGCCGCTCTGTTACGAATTCTACCAATGAACTGAATATCAACCACATCCATCCCATCCAAGAGTAAAAATATCTCCTGCAACAGGGCACCAATCTTGTTGTCCGCTGCATCTCTTGCCACACATTTGTCAATGATTAATTTCGCATCTCCACAATCCCGTGATCGGTCAGCATTTTATTTTGGGCTTCATATTAAGGGAGAAGGAATACCCAACATGTCTCCTCCATGGGCTTTTTTTCCATACTCCCGCCAACGGCCCAACCTCATTCTCCAGATGGAAAAGGAAAACCCCGCGCCGGGAAACTAACTAGAAAAAAGCGAAGCTAAACCTCACTCTCCGGCAGCAATGGCCGCTCCGGTCAGAACTCTTTCAAACCATGTTCTCGGTTCTTCACATTCTTCTGACCTCCGGCCACTGATCACCGCCATCACATCCTGCATCAAAGCCATAAATCCCAGAAACCTCAACTACAATACAACCAATCCGGCCCCTCTGAACCAATTCTCACCGTACCTCGACGACGGCTTGGTCCTCCAAGTAATCAAGTCCGAGCAACTGCAATCGAACCCTTACCACGCCCTCCTCTTCTTCAACTGGGCCTCGAACCCTCGCCCGAACCCTAACCACTACGCCCACAGCCACAGATGCTACGCCGCCATCGTCGACCTTCTCCTCTCCCACTCCCTCTTCGCCGCCGCTTCCTCCCTCCTCGAAGCCTCCGACAAGGTCTCCGATCTCACGCTCAGCAAGTTCATCTCGTCGAATGGCCGTCTGGGCAACGTGAAAGCCGCCGTCTTTTGGTTTCACAGAGCGAGAACCACGGTTGGGGTGAATGGGGATTGTTTGTTCTCGTGCAACGCCATTTTGGGTGCTCTGGTGAGGAACAACCGGATCGATTTGGCTCGATCGTTTTTCGATCAGATTGTGCAGGATGGTAGAATGAACCCTGATGTCTCGACTTACACCACGATGATCACAGGGTATTGCAAATTGGGCATGGTCGACAAAGCACGGAAGGTGTTCGATGAAATGCCTTGCCAGCCGAACAAAGTAACGTATAACGCCCTGGTTAATGGTTATTGCAAGGCGGGAGATATGGACTCCGCGAAGTTCATTTTCTTGAGAATGATTGGTGGTGGCTCAGGCTGTTCCCCTGATACGATAACTTACTCTATTCTGATCGATGGTTATTGTAAGAGAGGCGAGTTTGATGAGGCGGAGAGATGGCTGAATGAGATGGTGAATCGCGGTTGCATTCCCAACCTTTTGACCTACAATGCGATAATCTACAGCTTGTGTTTGAGAGGGGAAGTTGATGAAGCCAAGAAGTACCTCACAAAGATGAGGCTGAATGGAGTGAGGGAAAATCTCGCTACTCACATGAGCATCATGAAGGGCGTTTCTGTTGCAGGAAAGTCGGGCGAAGTAGTGCAATATTTCAGAGAGGGGCTCCGAGAAGGGAAGATAAAGAATCCCGGCTCGAAAGTCTATGCAATCTTAGTGAGGGAGTACTGCAAGATGAGGAAACCAGACGAAGCGATCTCCGTATTAAAGGAAATGTGCAATAAGAGGATCAACCCAACTGTTTCGAGCTTCAACTCAGTGTTCAGGGCTCTCTTGGAGGTCGGGAAGCCAGACGCAGCTGCCTTGCTGATGAAGCAGATGAAGAAAATGAGGTGCAAGCCAAATTTCATATCGTACAGCACAGTGGTATCAGGCCTTTGTACAGCTGCCGATAGCCATGGGATGAATGAGGTGGAGGAGATTGTGAACGATATGATCAAGGATGGCATCTCGATGGATGCAGGGTTGTACAGTTGCTTGGTTTTGGGGTATTGCAGAGAACGCAATGTCGAAATGGCGAGGAAGTTTCTCGGCGAAGCGATTAGTAACAGCTATATAGTGAGCTTGGAGGCTTTTACAGCTTTCCTGGAATGCGTGATGGGTGAGAAGGGGGAAGTGAGTGACGGTGAGAAGCTGTTAGCAGAGATGCGTAAGAGATGTGCTGTCCTCGATCCAGCTAGCTATATGCAAGCTCTGGATCGAATTGTTATCCGGTAGAGCCAGCATAAGAAGAAGAAGAAACTATGTAGAAGAAGAAAACAAACAACTCTGTTTCTAAAATGAATGGTTGGATTTCAATAATCATGATTAGTAAACAATTCAGGGTAAGCATTTAACTATGTCTCTCTGCACACATATATACGCGATCTGTACAGAGAAAGCATCTAACTATCAACTTGCGTTTGTAAAGGTAAAGCATTTCTGAGAACAGGGCAAGTGAAGCTTTTCCATCAACGAAGCTTCTCACAGTCAGAAATCCATTCCGATCGCCTTTCGAAGAGCTTCCCATTGCTCTTCCTCGCATAAGGCTGGACCGCAATGATCAGCATCAGAAGAAAAAGAAGGAGCACTACGTTCTATCCATTGCCGTAGCTGTTTGATCTGGGGATCAAAATCCGGAGGAGAAGCCGCGAAAGCAGCAGATCCAACACTAGAAGCAGGGGAAGCTGCCGGAGCACCAGCACCCCCGACTGGCGACAGCCACCGTTGTTCTTGTTGCTTCGACGAATTCGATTCGCCACCACGGGCTGCTATTATTTCCTTCAACTCTTCCTTCACTTCATCATCATCCTCCTCGTCGATTTCGAGATAGTACACTTTGGTCTTCCCCTGCGCGGCCTTCCGCTTCTTCTCATTCTTCCGGATCCTGCATAGCGCGTAGCGGTCGAACGACGACTCGTCCAGCCCCAGCCACGGAGCCGGTTTATGGAGGCTGTACTCGTGCATAATCCACCCGTCCTGATTCTTCGCCGCGGCATTACCCCTGCTGCCGTCGCTCTTGTACTTGAACCTCTTGTTGATCCAGCAAATCTGGCGGTCGGAGGACCAAGAAACCTTGCCGGCGTCCTCCCCGTGCCAATACCCTCCACCCGTTCCCACTCTCCGGTCGTGCCTAGACCCGCCGATACTTCTCTTCCTCAGAGGAGTGAAAACGTAGAGATCGCCCTCGTCGTCTTCGCACCAGAATCGGGACCGGGAGGAAGGGTGGACGCGGAATTTCTCACAAATTTCCCACGGCTCCTGGCCATAAACGTCGCAGTCCTTCACGTATTCGTCGGAGGGAAGCGGCTTGCCTCGAAGCTTGCTCAGCAAGTAACCCAGCACCAATTCGTCGTCGGTCGGATCGAATTTGAACCCGACGTCTCGCTGCTCACTCCGGCTGTTCTCCATCCTTCAAGCAACCAAGAATCAATCTCTCCGACGCCGATCAAAAGAAAAAAATCTCCTAAACCAGAGAGGAGACGGAGCAGTATTCCGAGAGAATGAGTAGAAGCTGTTGATTGTGGTGCAAGAATTTGGGGACAAGATAGCGCTCAGAATCCTTATTTATAATAGTTTAGGACTGCAGTACCGACGACTACCGACTTCCAGTTTATTTTTTCCCGCCCTTTTCTTTTCCTTCCTAGAGTAGGAAAGTGGCTCTTGGGCTTAGGCCTTTTTATGTCTTTATTGAGCCCAATGGGCTATGAGAAATTTGATGCCCTTTATGTCAAGCAATTATAAGGGGACGGGCCCAATCATATATAATTAATTTATTATTTCAATAAACACACGAGGTGACAGAGGATGTTTTTTATTAATGAGAAATCTTGGGAAAATACGTAATTAAGCAAAGATTAAACACCTACTAAAATAAAAATTGAGAGATCCTGACAATTTGGAGACTCAAGATTGACATTGGAGGTTGATACAAAAAGAAACTACAATTTGACAATAATGAATAACTAATAAGTTAATTACAGACCAATCCATCCAATTAAGTATTCTCCTATTCTACATCCCCTTTCTTTCTTTCCCTCCCTCATCTCTCTTATAATCAATCAACAAATTCAATCCTCAGCTTCACCATTTTACAACAACACACTTGAAGATGGATCTTTCCCCCTTTTTATTGCTTACAAACAGATTTCTTAATCTTCTCATGAACCCTTCCCTCCTACCCTCTGCTTCTTTTCTTCTAGCGATGCAGCTTCATTCAGCATGTCGGCTGCATCGGTGTGCATGTTCAACTTGGCCAGAGCAACGGACTGAATGTAGAATGCAGTTGGCCAATCTGGATAAACGCATTGCGCTTGCATTCCATCTCGAAGGGCAGCGTCCGGTTGATCGCACAGCAGATAGCAAAGACTACGTCTTGCGAAAACAGTGGGCGAAACAATAGTTCCTACGTCTATGAACTGCAGCAGAAAGAATGGAAGTTAGGAGACTGCCTAATTAGACAGCTATGCCGGTTGGGAGAGCTAGAGATGGTAAAACCTGGGAGTAACAATCGATGGCGGTTTTGAAATCTTTGTCCCGGAATGCAAAGTCACCTCTCTTTCTAGACTCCAGCATATCCCTCATTTGTTGTGTCCACTCTTGGAAAGATAGCTGAAACAAATTATGGTTAGAGTGATTGACAACAGGAATACACATATTGGTGACAAATGTGCAAGGTTGTAGATTCCTGTTTAAGCCAAGTACCTCGTTTGTTCCCTCGTCATCTTTGTAGTGTGTCATTACCAATATTTGGTGAATGGCTGTGAGGTCCATTCGTGAACAGGCTTCTCCCATCGGCGAGCGAGGACGCTGTGGTGTCGGAGGTGCCTCCTCGTGTTTGGGTATTCCAAGCATCACGTCTGATGGAGCCTGCAACATCAGGAAACATGAGCAGTTTCTCAACTTGAGCGGCATGGACAGAAACAGTAAAGGAACTGAATTGCTGCTTCAAGATCTATTAGCGAGTAAATTGAACAAGTAACACTCAAGTAATATCCAACTTGAAGCTGGAAAGAAAGACTAGAAGTATTATGAAGTCCAAATATATGGACTTGAAGAAAGAAGTTTCAATCTCCAAAAGAAAATTGTAGAAAGGTTGATCGGATCCAACATGAGTAGAATGGGAACGGACATAATTCCATAAAAATCACGGGAAACTTTTTGAGATATTTAAACGTCTTATTGTGCTATTAGTAGTGGGGGGAGTACTGCTTTATTCAGAAAACAATGTTGCTAGTTAATAGGTTGCTTAACTTCCTACTTCCTAAGTGATATGCCTTGTTTCAAAACTGATCATGACCTAGTAGTTTTCTAAGATAGGATTCAAGAGATAGATTGTCCTTTGCCCGCAAACAAGAAAATTGATGGTTCAATTTCAAGTAAAATAGTCAAGAAGAATGAATTCCCTTACATCAGGCTTTGGTTGTAGAGGAGAAAGTGTAGCAACAAGTTCCTTTGTGCTAGGCCTTTCCCTAGGTTCATACTGCAAGCACTGGGAGGCAAGACCAACAACAGTGGTAGCTTCTTCTGTAGAGAAGTTCCCTTCCAAATGAGAATCCATCAAGAGAATTATGTTTCTTCCTCTTATCATGTCAAGAGCCTGTATGCATGTACAATCATAAAACTCTTGAAGTACAATAAGTATGGAAGTGCCCAGTTACTCCTATATGAACTAGAAATTTGAATGCACCATTGCTTTCTTAAATTATGCTGCAAGAAATATTGCAGGAGTTCTTTCCTGATGAAATAAACTATAAATCCGAGCAGTCATATCGAGTAGCAAGTTCTAATTTGAGGTCATGTATAATGCAAAGTGCAACCTTGTGATGACATGCAAGAGAACACGCGTCATATCAAACTTCCAAACACACACTTCAATGTAAGCCACTTACATGACTTGGAGGAATGTGCTTTCCACTGAGTAAATCAAGGAGGACAGTGCCGTAACTGTAAGTAACACTTTCTGGAGTAACCCTTCCTGAAAATTTTAGACGGTGAATGCAGATGACGATCTCAAAGTGAAGCACAGCAATACACATGGGCATTTTCTGAAACAGTAGGATCGTTATTACCATTCTTTAGATATTCAGGAGGGGTGTATGCCAGATTTGTACTATAGCTCTTCCCATCCCTACTATTTTTCATCAAGCCAAAACATGAAAGACGTGGATCTCCATCCTACAAAACTCATATCATGAAATGATAAAACTCAATCATCATACAACAAGCTCATAAACCAAAGGAAAAGGAGGCTATAAAAGGAATAGGGTGATGTTCAAGTTTCATCAAGAGAAATGAATACCTCATCGAAGAGTACCCTATATGCATTCATATCATGGTACAAAGGACGACCCTCGGTGCTGCAATAGTCTAGTGCTTCAGCTATGTAGAGGGCAACCCTTAAGCGCATGGCCCATTCTATGGTTTGATTTTCCCCTGTGAAGAAATAATAGAAACCCAATATGAGACCCGGGTATGTATCCTTCATTCCTAAGAGCAAGTAAAGTGAAAGATTCAAGTTGATCCTTTCCAGATGTGCCTCTAATTCAACTCACTCTCTCTAATCTCAAAAGAACAGACGGTGTAAAAACGCTACACCTTTTTCCTCTTAGCGATCAACACAATTTCCCTACTCATCAGGCAATCATAGTGCTTAGTTAATCTTAGCTTAGCAATTTCAACACATCTTGTAAGCAGAAGGCAGACTGATCCTAGCGTTCCATTGTACATTTTCCACCAAAAGTAAGAAAACATCAACATTCCACACAAATTCCACAAAATGGCAGCTCATTAACTATAAACATAGGAGCTATCTAGCATTGTGCAACACATAGTGGACAGAGAAAAAAACCTTCAATCAATCGCAATGAAAATGAATGCAGATAAGCAAGCAATTCATAGTCACATACAATGGAACAAGTGTTTGGCAAGCGTATCATTCGGCATATACTCAGCAACAAGCAGCCTTTCATCCCCATCACAGCAATACCCTATCAAATTCGCCAGCCTCTTATGCCTCAACTTCCCAACTCCCCAAGCTTCCTCCTACAAACATAAAACCCCGCACAAAAATCAGCTCATAACAAATGATCACTCCTTTCACAAAATAGAACACAACCAATTACTACAGAAGAGTACCGCAAACTGCTTAGGATCGGGCCAAGCCATCTTGGTAAACTTCTTCACGGCGATCCACCGCCGGTTGGAGAGGCGGCCTTTGTAGACAAGATTGGGCGCCTTCTCCCCGCTCTCGGAGACTATGTTGTCGGAGCTGAAGTTGTTGGTGGCAGCTTTTAGGTCGGAGAAGGAGAATTCCGAGAAAGAAGGGACTCCTCCTCCTCCCCCGCTGCCGACACCGGCGGCGGGAGAATCGATGACAGCCGACGGAGGAGGAGGGTGGAGGACTTGGGGCTTGTTAAGATGGTCCTTTTCTGGGTGGGTTTCTGATAGAAAGGAGGAAGCACAGCAGCCCATGATGAAGTCCTCTGAGAGTATATTCTCCCTTTCCTCTTCTTTTTTTCGAGCTGCTTCTTTTTCCGATGCTGGCGATGAAGTTGGAAGCTTTGGCGAAGTTGGGGAAGAGGGGTTGTGAGAGAAGTGGAGAAAAGATTTGGTAAAGTGAAGAAGAAGAAGAAGAAGAAGAGGAAGAAGGTGAAAGGGGGAATGGGGGGAAATGGCTTTCTTTCTACAGTACTCTTCTTATTTTTTGTGCTTTGTGACATGCCTCTCTGTTTTGTTCCTTCAGACCATTCATCTGTTTTTTCCTTTTCCCCCATTCTTTCACTATCCTTTTTCCTCTGTTTTTTACAGTATATAGTGATTCAATTGCACTGATTAAATGGCACATCAAATATAATATCTTTGACAAAAAAATGGCACATCAAATATCAAGAGGAATTTTAAAAATAAATATCAAGAGGAAAATAATAATTTCATATAAAAATGGCTGTCTAGTTAGTATACTATTGATTTCGAATGCACGTTGTATATTCAATCAGTTAGAGTAATTTAGCTCGTTTCAAATTGATTTCAATACAACTTCATGAATTCATTAGTGATCATGGTAAAGACAAAATTATAAGTAAAAATCGAATTAGTTCATTGTAATTGTGTGACTAAAATTTCAAATTTGATGATTATAGTCTAATTTTAGGACAGATAATTTACATAAAATCAAGGATGTACCTATAAAAAAAATTCACACTTTAATAGTTGTTGTCTTTGTAATGCGAACATCATTTGCACAAGTTACTCAGTATAAACTATTGTTTAATCTCTCATCCATGACGAATCACATAAAAGTAAAACTATGGCATCTTAATAAAGAATATAACTCTCTACTAAATTATTTATTTATAGTTGTCTCGTAATAACCACTAAGTTAGTACTTTTTAAATTTTAGAACAAAAAATATATGTTCCCTCTATATTTGTCCATCTTCTATCATTTTAAAGTGAGCAAATGTTGATGGAAAATACAAGGTTGAAGGAGAGATGATGATAGATTCTTTTACCATTCGATATTGGCAGAAAAATGTAAAATATGGTTTCTTTTTCCCCACATAATGAAAGATATCAAAAGTTATTTGAAGGTAAAGAACAAAACCACTAAACCCCAATAACCATAACATTCTAAGAATTATTGACACTTTTGTTTGTTTTTGAAATTAGAATTCTAGTGTGTTTTTCTGCCTAGACAAAACTGGAACTTGGAATTCTTTGAAACTAGCTTTTGCAAAAGTCAAATACCACTTATGCTCTCATTTGGGAAATTAGGAAATTTCAAGTGTAGGTTCTGAGAAAGTGAGAATCAGTTAAGTAGTTTTAAAACCAACCATTAGTTTCTATCATTTGTGAACATGTATCTAAAGTGTTGAATTTTAAGGGAAAAAGGGTATTGTTTCTTTTCGGAGATTTTTAGCAAATGTTTTTACCGAAGTGTTAATTGTCGTTGAAGAGAACACATGATTTTATTGAATGACGTTTTCCACCTCTTACATCTCGAAGAGATAATTGTTTTTAGGGTTAATAGCATTTTGTACCCTCTCTACTTTAGTAAATTAACAAACGTACCCCTCTACTAAATTTTTGCACAAACATACCCTTGTAATAATAAATCGTAACAAGTTTACCCTTCCATCTAATCATCCGTTAAGTGACCGTTAAATGGGCTGAGAAACGACCAAATTGCCCCTCAAGTAATACTAATTCCAGTTTTAATTATTTTGTTATTTATGTCCTCGTTGCCTGCATCTCACTCTTTGCCAGACCCTATTCACACCACCACTGCGATACCCAAGCTGGGCACGGATTCGACCAACCCGGAGTCACGGTACGACCCCTGGATGCTAGTTTAGCGTCAGACACGTAGACGGGCAAACACCAAGCACAGCGAACGCCGCTCGTTGAACACCGCCGATCACCCAACCCGAGAACAGTTCGACATAGCCAACAACTGAAAACACATCGAGCACAAGATCTAATCAGCAACAGGTTCTAATTAATTAATCTTGTAAATAAATAATAAAATAATTGAAATTGAAATTAGGAATAGATGAGGGCAATTGGATCATTTCCCAATCCATTTAACGGTCACTTACATATTATTAGATGGAAGGGTAAATTTGTTACGATTTAATATTAAAAGAGAACGTTTGTACAACAAATTAGTAAATCACTTACATATTATTAGATGGAAGGGTAAATTTATTACGATTTAATATTAAAAGAGAACGTTTGTACAACAAATTAGTAAAGGGGTACGTTTGTTAACTTAAGGGGTACAAAATGCTATTAAGTATTAACCCTTGTTTTTAAAAGTTTGGTGAATGATAATTATAAATAAAAAGAAGTTTGGTGAAAGATAAGTATTAATACCATGAAAATCGAATTTGCAATCAGCACAATCTGAAAGACAAGTATTTTTCAATTCTCTCTCCTCTCTTCTTCTTCTTCTTCTTCTTCTTCTTCTTCTTCTTCTCCTACTCCTCTCTGAATCCCTTATAATTCCCCATTCTTGTTCTTCCTCAAATTCTCCCCCCAATTCTTCATATCAATCCCTATATCTTTCAATTCTGCTTCTCATATCCTCATCACATATACGTAGAAACTCAAGTTTCTATCAACAAACACCCTGAAAAACATACCACACCATTCACCTAAAATTGACAAGTTACCATCCACAATTTCAACATCATCAACCCACCTCTCTTCCTCACAAAAGCCATTTCATTATGAGCATCACTTTTTACAGTCATTTCCCCAAAGGTCCAAACAAGGCTTGGGAGAGAGACAGAGATGAGAGGGGAAGATGCATGCAAAGATCCTCTGGCCTACCAAGACCTCTCTCACAAACCAAATACAAAAAAATAGAAAGCTGTTGTTTTCATTTCAGCTGTGTTTGTTGTGCATCTTCTTTTCAGCTGTCACAAAAAGGCATAAAAAAGGTCCTGGAAAACTCGATTCATTTCACACCATCATAACCCTCCTAATACTGAAAAAGCTAAACCACCTTCAACTTCCCACAATTATTGCTAACAGATAATCATTAAAAACAAAAAACAAAAAGAGTTTAGCCCTATCTTTGCCCATCTCCAATCAGTGATGTGAGCTGTTGTTGTATCCCAAAGCCAGAAGATCTTTTGTCATCATAGTTGCAATCACTCAAAGCAAAACTCTTCCAAGCTAATAATAGTATATTAGAGTACATGATTAGTAGAAAACAAACTGTGTCCTAATCAAAACCCACACCAGCTAATCATTCCCAGAGTACAGCAAAGACATGTATGAATGATATGTTAAATCATCTAATTCTCTGCTTCAATTGCCATTCCAACAAGATTACAATGGTACATTCCCCTTCCTAGTCTCCCTAGTTCAGTGGTAATACAGGGATTCGAATTATACGAAGAACACGAGACGATGGATGTTAAGAACCCTCTAACTAGAGCCTCATACAGAGACTCTCTGCTATGATAAGAGCTATCAGGGAGAAGAAAAGAGAACTATACAGAATTTAATGTAATAAATATTCCGAAGAAGTACCAGAAGAAAAACAAAGTTAAGTTATTTACCATATATATATCTGATCTGTGGGCATTTTCCAAGACTTGCGCCATTCTGGGGCAGCCCACTGAACCTATAACTCAACCAGATATCCTCGGTTCAAAATTGAATCTAATTCTGCACTTCCACAGGTTTGCATCTTAGGCATTGTTTTTTCCCCCCGAGAGCGAACCTTGTGTATGACCTTCCCAGCTGTGTAAATGCTCGATGCGATGCATCGACAGCGCTACAGGAGCTATATGGTCTATGCCAATTCTGATCCGGCAGAAAAAGGAATTGGCACTTACAGAGCATGTCCGATAGCCCGGCTCAGTTTTCCAATCAGCAGCCTGAGCTTCAAACCCCCATCAAACCTAGGTGGCCCACATGGAACAACTGCCACCGTCCCATGATCATCTTTCACAGAGGAGTTTCAGCAGCAGAAGGGGCAAGGCATATTTCACCACAAACTTGCATGACAAGGTGGCGAAGCCTTCTGCTTTAAGCAAAGTTTGCAGAAAGCTGTCTGTGGTTGAACCATGTGATGATTAAGAAGCTGTTCCATGTTCTCCAGCTCTGCTTTCTTCTTCACTGCGTTGCACAAGGTCCTCATAAGCTTTCACGGACTCCGCTGTAAACTTCTCCATGGCCTCGAAAATCCTCTGCAGGCTACCTTGCAGACTGCCATTGCTAGTATCACTCTGATACACAACATTTCCAGTAACAGACAAGCCATCACCTCCATCTCCAGAAACCAAAACAATTTTTTTGTCCAGTGCTTGGATCTCCTTCTGTATCTTCTGGTCCTCTCTGTCCAAGTTCCTAACTTTCCTCTCCAAATCCTTGTTTGTCATCATTCTGCTTCGCATCTCTTCCTTATCGTGTTCCCACAGTTTAAACACCGTCGATGCAAAGAGGCGCATAGAATCCACCACTTCCTTCTCAGATATTCTATCAATAGCTTGTGCCCACTGATTACAGATCACAAACACGGGAGGTGCACCCATTCTTCCAGGTGAGAAAGGGGCCACGCCATCAGGCGTTTCTTCTGGTTCATAGAGGAGGCATTTTACAAGCCAATTATTTAGGGCTTTTACATAACCCTTCTGAGCTCCAACCCAACTGGTGAAACCAGAAGTCCAATTAAGCAGCTGATGCTCAAGTTGCAATGTAGCTTGGAGATGATCATCACTGAGCTTCTTAGCGGATCCCATAGGACCAAATCCTTTGGCTTCCTTTATTGCTTGGCACTGGATTTCGTGGCACTGAAGCATGTTTTTCCACATTCTACTCAACCTGCAGATGCAAATGGCAGTTAGGAACGCATGAATTGAATACTTACTAAGGACAACTTTTTTCTAGAAACCAAGTATATAATGAGGAAAGTGATGCATTAAAACCGAGGATTGCTCGGACTCATTGCTAGGTCCGCGTTGTAAGCCTACAAACTACCAACCTAACTAGTTAGGTAACAAGATGGCAAGGTATTAACAGGCTGAATACAAACATATAGCAATTGTAATGTATACATTCATCACGCAAACGAAGAAGGGATGAAGCTATCAAATCTTCTGGGGGAGTATACACTGAAGAGTTCAGATTGAACCCCACAAGTCATGCAAGAAACATACAAAAAGAGGACCTGAGAACGTTAATATACCCGAGAATCAAATCATTCAGTTGCGGCCAAAGCTCTTCATCTCTAATCTTGTTTATTGTGACAGAGATCTTGTCCACAACCTGAATCGCAATTCTTATTTTGGTCGACAGACTCCTTATCAAAGTTCGTGTAGCATCTATTTTGTGAGCTTCCGCGCCCCTCTCATCCAGACGTTTCAGCTTCCGGCATTTCCTGTCATGAACTACCCGCATTTTCTCCTCTGCCTGAAAAAGAAGAGAAGAAAATGAGCTGGCACAGCTTAAAGAGATCAACTTGCAGGACATGTGTGAGGGATAAAAATGAATCTGACAGATTGTCGGAATAGAACAATTCTATGCCAACCAAGCTAATGAAATAAAGAATAAGCAAACATACTTTCACTTCAGTATATAGCTTCTTCTCCCAAAGATACAGTTTTTGCAAGGTAGAGGAAAGATTCTTTGATCTGACAGCCAGATCTTCATCCATCTCCAGGAAAGATGGAAGAGCATTATCATTGGAGGATGAAGCCTCCAAGCTATTGGAAGCAGGTGGCTGTGAAGCTATCAACGATAATGATGATGGAGTCACACCATGCAACTTCTTTGAAACTGCGCACAAAAAGTAACCAACTTCCAGTCAAAACAGACTGCTAAACTTATTCAATAGCACAAAAGACACTCCACACATATGGCAGAAAGTTCAACAGAAAGAATTAGAGACAGTAAGTAAACTCCATAAGTATGATTAGGCGTGGTACCATGTTTACGCTGGTAAGGGAGCTTCCCCACTTCGAGCATCTTAGCCATTTCATTCCCATACTCAGAAGCCCTCTCGAACTGAATCTTGATCTCAATAGCGACTTGAGACACATCCCGCCACCCTCCTCGGCCCTTTGACCCGGCGCCATTGCCATGCTCATCAGGCTTCTCCTTACCAACAACCTTCTTTTCCACTACGTGCACCTCATACTCAGGTCCATCAGTCTCCATTGACACACCACTAGCCCTGGTTTGGTAGAGCGATGCCTCTGCTTCACCACCACCACCACCACCACTGGTACTGGGCTTAGCTTCCATCTCATCATCATCAATCATCGCTGATTTCGTATAATTACTGTGACCAACATCACCACTACTGCCACTACTTTCAGCTGCATATTTGGGGTCTCCGTGTACTTCTTTAACAACTTCGTGTTGATAATCCTCGTCCTCCAAATCAGGAATCCCTTCTTCCTCCCTCACTTCTCTGGAATCTCTGCTGGGAGTGTAAGATGGATAGAACGTCTCACCACTCTCAAACGGATTCAAGAAATCCCAAGCTGATGCTCTGGGTGGTGATGGCGGAGCTGGCGGCGGCTTCGACGAGGAAGCCCCCTGTATCTGGGGAGGCGGAGATGAAGATCCATAAGCAGGCGGAGCGCCGTAGTAGCCAGCCGCTCCACTGGTACTGCCGCCGGTATAATTAGGGTACCCGAAATACGAATAAGCGCTCGAATTGTCAACAGGGTAAGGAGGATTGTTATTAGCCTGCGAATAATAAGACGAAGACGAAGAAGATTCACCGAAACGAACGGTCTCCGCAGCCGCCGGCCTCTGCTGATAAACCACCGACGCTGTCCCCTTTTTCTTCATATAATTCATTTGGAAAAACCCGCCCCCGCCGCCCGGATACCCGCCGCCAGTAGCCGGATATCCACCGCCGCCGCCCGGATACCCACCTCCGCCACCCGGATACACACCGCCACTACCCGGATATCCGGCGCCGCCACCCGGGTACCCGACTCCACCTCCCGGGTACCCGACTCCACCACCGGGATACCCGCCACCGGGAAAAGAGCTTTGATCCACAGACATAGGCATATACTCAGAACCCATATACTCCACATGCTTCCCACCACCACCGCCGGCGGCGGCGGCGTGACTGTGCAAGGGAGACGAGTGATCAGAGAGATGAAGATGCGAATCCGAATCATCATCGTCGTCCTCATCCTCCTCGTCCGAATCCGGTATAAAATGAAGATGCGAGCCGGAGTGAGAGTGAGAGTGAGAGTGAGAATGACCATGCCCCCGGCCACCACCACTAACTTTCTTGGGCGAATTCCCACCATCCTCCACACTCACACCTTTCCCCTTCGGCGGCAAATTGAGCTTCGGAGACCCCAACCCACCACCACCGCCAGCACCGAAATCCTGCTCCATGAAATGATGCAAGGAGTCGGCCACTCCCCGGAGCGAGTACACGTACCCGAGATGAGCCTCCGCCAACAGAAACCGCTGGGTGATGGCTTCGTTGAGGAAGGTACACCGCTCGCGGCAAAGCGCCACCGCCGGGAGATCGTCCAGCTTGGAGCTGGCGCACCCCATCGGAGAAACACCCAGAAAAAAAAATCCCGAATTGGAATTAAAGGGGGGAAATTGGGGGTTGGGTTTTAGTTTATTATTTAGGTTTAAGTGGGAATGAAGGAAGGTAGTGAGAGAGAGAGAGAGAGGTGGGGGATTAAAAATAGTGGGTTAGGTGAGAGAGGAGAGGAAGTGAAGAAGAACGGGAAGAAAGAAGAAGCATGATTTGATTGTGATTGAGCTGGATTGAAGGAAGGAGAAGCAGGAGGAGGAAGAGGAAGAGGGAGAAGGGGGGGGAGTGTTTGTTTCTCGGGAAAATTTAATCTGATTTAATTTTCTTTCTAGGGTTGGGGGAGGAATCTTTTGCCAGCGCGGAGAGGTGTGTCGTTTGTCTGGAGAGGGAGAAAAAAGGGAGGGAAAAGGGAAACGGAAGGAAACAACAAAAATACACCGCAGAGAGAGAGAGAGAGGGGAAGGAAGTGTTCTTTCTTCTCTAGTTCTGGACAAATTTCTTCGTCGGTGTTATTTCTTCCTTTTTTTCTCCTTTAAATTTTTGGGCTATTATGTCTTTCTTTTTTTTGCCTTTTCCTTTGTTTCTTTTCTCCCTTTTGAGTTTCACCTAGATTTGGTTTTGAGTGGTTTGGGTGATCATGGATTGTATTGATTTTTTTCTGGTTTATTTTGATATTGATATTATAGTTTCTGAATTTGGTTTTGTATAATAGAATAATTCGACAACACGAATTATGCAATATTATTGTGTTCTCTCATATATAAAATGTAATGCTGAAGAGCTCATCCAACTATGTAAAGAAGATCTATATCACGGTTCATGCAAATCAAGCATCGAATTTTCGCATTACATGAGTTTTTACAAACTCGTCCTCGAAATATGCGCGACACCGTCATCTTCAAACTCATATATATATTATTCTAACTCTGCAATAGTTGCCTGGTAAATGACTTCCAACATATGAGGACAAAAGGTCGAGATTGTTGGACATGCTCAAATCAGAACAGAAGCGTATCATCAGAAAAATATGATTACAGAGAACAGAGGACATAGAAAAAATAGTGATAGTAATAATTATAACGCTTACGTTTCAACAGAGTTCGTTATTGTAACTGGTCAGGTCAAAAATCGTCATCTAAAAAATTCGTAGCAAAGAAGATACTAGTTTTAGTTTGGGAAAAAGGAAATGGGGAAAAAAAAGGTAAAAGAAGGGGTGGAAGTTCGAAGCGGTTAGTTTTTCTTCCGTTTAAGGTTTAACTGACTCAAGTGGTTAGTTAAGTTTGGAAGGATGAGGAAAAGCGTGAAGAGAGAGAGAGAGACTGAGAATCGGGAAGTGGGAAGTGGGAGACGGAGACTTTGACGGCCGTTGGGATGCATGACGTCAAATGGTCAGCCTTATCTCTTCTTATATTTACGGAAATACCCTCCTCTCTCTCTCTCTCTTCCGCCCGTCTTTACTTCTCCGGCGTCTCTTTTTGAAGCTTTGACCTTTCCTTTTCCAGAATGCGGAAGGCGGAGGAAGAGGAGCGTCAAAGCCAAACCCTTGAATACGGTCAAACGGCGGCGACCTGAAAGCAACGGTGGGAGAAAAGGAACGGCTAGAGAGGAGAAGAGTAGACGGCAGAAACTTATTACGGGGAAATTGCGAGGAATGTAACGGTGAGATTAGTAATATTGGTTAATTATGATAGTGGAATTAATTAATACGGCTTCATTGCTAGCTCCTGAAATTTATTCCTCCTTTAATTTCCCTCATAAAGTTGAGGAATCTAACATTAATGATTTTGTTTTTTTTTGCTAGAAACGTTTGATTGATGGGCTACCAAGAAGGGATGGTTCATATTAGGGGCGATATATCCGATGTTACGTTCGATTATGTGTAGAGTTTAAGGATTAGGTAGTTGGTTAACGGAACGAAACTTTTTGATTTTTACGATCTCGGATTTTCATGGCAGCCAACTTTAGAATTCATTACGATTCAAACAATTTTGTGTGGTTTTGTAGTGCATATATGTGATGTTGATCAACAAATTAACAAGATAGAATCCTCACGTGGGTCGTCGTAATAGGATATGGCGTCTACGAGTGATTGTCTGTTTATAGAGAGTAAGTTGCGTACGGTCTTCATAATCCTTCCAAACACAAAGCCACGTGAATGACACAAGCTCAATTGACTATATGCAATATGCTAATATCCTATTATTACTGCCGCCCAACAACAAAACTTGATTGGATTTCCCGTTACAAAACGATCAATGATCGCCTCTGTTTGATCAACGATCAGTCTGTATTCGAAACTGTTTTGACACTTCATCGCTTGATCTCGAGAGGAGAGGATTGGTACAAGTTAGTGTAAAATGCCAAGCCAATGTCAAAATCAAAGAGATATTTGCTATTGTTGTGTGATATTTGATCAAACCATTATAGAAAATATGAAAGGAAAAGATTAATAATAAAAGGGAGTAAAGAGAGAGACGTGTTAAAATTGGGGACCTCCTTCTTCTTCAATAGTTGCCCCGTTACGTCATTCTTGATACATGATTTTGGCGCCATTTCCCCCCTATCTCATACTCTCCTCTCCACAACCCAACAAACCGCCTTCCATTTTTGTTCATCACCCATCCAAACTCCTTCCATCAAGCTTTCACTAAAATGTCAGTTCGTCTTCTAAATTCTTAATCCCTTTCGCTCGAACTACAACAACCCACTCGAATTTCTTGTTTTTATATCCGAAATGGAGTAGGGAATTGATATAAGCGTCTACGTTGGAGATATACGGCTTTGTGTAGTTCAATATTTGTTGACATTTTCAACTATTACAATATCTGTTCGGATAACTAATTGAAACACATCATATGAAAAGTTTGCACAAAATCAAATCTCACTAGACACATCCTTAAAGGAAAGAAGCACTATATATAGAAGATCGGTAGGAGGCTTGGAGTTCATCAGCAGGGAACCAAAAGTCTGAATGAGGGAATTTGAATTGTAGTAATCGGGGAGGGGGTTAAGACATAATCGACTACTCTATTTGCTAAATTTGTTACGAATTTTACATGTAATTATATATATATTTCAAAATTTAGGAGGCAATAGCCCCTCCGACTTCTACCTGGCTCCGCCACTGCTTTTCACCTTTTTTTAATCATGCCTTGTGGGATGAAATCCGTCAAATACGATAAACATCGACTCTAATGAACACTCGACAGAATCAAAAATGATTTAAATGGTTGCAATCAATCTTACCAGCGAACACCCACAATATAATGCAAAAATGGTGGCCGATAAAATTACTCGGGGAAAAAAAACGAAAATCAAACGCACGAATCGATTTTTCCCCTCTGTATTCAAGGGTTTTGAATATTCTCCACCTCCTAGAGATCGCACACGCATGGAAGTGTGAAGATGACCATTTCATACGGTAGAGATTAGGCTAATTATTGTACGATTAAGTCACCCTTTAGAAAAGTAGATGGTTGGTTATTAAAAAACACTTGACCAACTAATGAATTTGATACATATACAAGTCTACAATTAGGACCTCTGACCAAATTAGGTAAAGATTATGAAATTTTAAAGCATTAAAGCCATACCACCACGAGCAACGAACGCCTTTTTTCTCTCTAATGACGTGGGAGAGAATATATATGATGCCTACCTTCATTAGTTTATTACTCGACCTTAGTAGTTTAAGTGATCTATCAAATCACCAATTTAACCACAAATATCATATTATTAAGCCCGTGCTATCTACTCATGATTTATAATACTAATATATGATCTTTAGTGTATATCACTATATCTTCAAGTGATTTACACCGACTCTTATGAATGTTTGGGAAATAAACAAGAACAGGCAATTCGAGCATATAATTTGGTCCATAGAATGAGCTATGTATATGTGGGTTAAGACTGCTATACTTTTGGAGTACCCAATTCTAGTGAGATATCTCTATTTTTACTATAAATTAAAACGAGTTTGGAATATAATACTATACCCTAATATCTAATCGAAACCTCGAGCCTCAACTCAAACCCGAATATCAATTTAATAAAAATAATAAACGATTGTTTTTACTTGGAGTATGGTACACCAATCTCTGGACAAATTTATTTATTTATTTTTGCTGTTTTGGCATGGGTTGCATCAATTATGTCGCCATTCTAGCTAGGGTTGCATTTTGAGAAGGGAAGAGAAGAAGAGTGAAGAAAGAAAATTGCCAACTTTGGGATGTTCCTTGCATGACATTCTTTGCCCCTTCCTTTTTAACTTTTCATGACTTCAATCTATAAGTGACAAAATGGATGTTCACGAAATTTATTACAAGATTCATTGGGAGCTGACTAAAAGCAATAAGAAAACATATGTTTTGATCATATATATTTTGTTCATATATAACAAAAAAAAACGATCGGATCTTTCATAAAATACGATAAAATTATATGTATCTGACTATTTGTACAATGCTGGAGCTAGCTATAGATTAGTTTTCCTCCCGAATTTGAGATCGTAGCACTACGAGTGAGTTGAGCCAATCCATATTACATAAACTTAGTCTTTTATAAGGATCGATGAAAGATATTTGATCAGGAGGACGAGAGCGATAGAGGATACCAAAGATTGAATCATTGATCACTTGGTTGAGTGTAATGACTCACAACCACACATACACAATGGAAACTTGGCAGGAGGATGAATATAGTCAAGATCAATGCTAATATCATTGGTTTCACAAAGTTCAATACTAACATGATTGCTGGATTATGTTATTGTAGAATTACCCTAGGGCAATTGACATCGATTCCATCATTACCATGAAGACTTTCCTAAAATTTAACCCCATTCTTAGTCCTATGCATGCATCATGCCATGCCAACAAGTGGGTACGAAAAAATAAATTATCACCTCCTCGGAAAGTTAGGTCATTGTGGAAGGTGAATTCTTCAAGAGATAGCTTTATCAATCAAGAGAAGGGAGTTTGGTTACGATGCTAACATTGGGAACGATCGGCACATCCTAACATTGTTGGATAGCTTTCTTCACATTCGTTCTCAATTGTTCGATTAGACATACAATGGGATGTGACTAGAATCGGATAGATGAGAGAAGCCTATTAGTAGCTATGTAGTAGCTCTATGCTAGATGGGAGGCACTCTTTCATTTTGGTCACCTGAGGAGTCATTTGATTGATACATTATGTTTTTGTTTGATTACATTTATGCCAATTACATCACTATTTGGAGCCATGTTGAATGGTTGAATTGAATTGAATCTTTTTTTTTTTCTCTAGGGTCCCCTACAATACAACACATGAGGGGTCAAAAGGGATGATTGCTTACAGTACCAGCCTAAAAGAATTGAATGCCCATAACTATATACTATTACATGTCCTTTTCACCTTTCCCCTTGGCCTCCATTTTTTTTTACTGCAAAACTTCCCCCATTTGATATATGTAACATGGTAGAATTCAACAGCTATAGTTCCACCAGGAAACCCTAATTTCAATTAACAACTATTCAATCAAGAGGCTTCTAATTCTCTAATCGTGATCGTAGTGATGTATCCTCTTCAAAACGTAAGTATTGACTATCACTTATAAAAGAAGTCACTAATTTCCTAGACAGGGTGAGTGTCGTGATGTAACGTGTTGGTCTGTGTTAACAAGGTCGATAGTAGCTGGAGAAGCCCATATGGTTTATTGGTCGAGTACCCACGCCACCATGATGTACATCAATGGTTCAATTACCATCTCCACCCTCGTCGTCCTTATGAAATAAAAGGGTACCAGTGTGTAACACCTTAGGCAAGTTCCACATCGACATATCACGGGAGAGATCCACGGTTCATAAGTAGGAAACCGACCTTAACTGATAAGACGCGTTTTGGGGTGAAATGAAGGAGTTCTTGTGAGAACTCCGAAGTTAAACGTGCTCGGTGTGGAGTACAACAAGGATCGGTGACCTTATGGAAAGTCACCTTGAATTGCACCCCAAATCGAAAACCGTGAGGGTCGAGGCCCAAAGCGGACAATATCTTCGTCGGGAAAAGGTTCGGTATGTTACACAGTGTCCATAAACTCAACTTCCAATTTTAAAAATGCAACCGAGTTATATGAAAAAACCCTCATACGTCCATGGACCCCTGCAGCTGTCAAAAGAGCCTACCAAAAGTCGAGAATCGCACTTAGTAACAAATGATCGACTCCACAAAATGCTAGTATGCATATATCTACAGCAAACTCAACCTAAGTACTGTGTAGTAATATGCATATGATAGGATGTGTAGTAGTGAACCGATCGATGGAGATGGCCTTTCTTTGTTACTAGTGGTGAAGCACAACCAACAAGTGGCTAAAGGTGGCATTCATTGCAGACAATTATAGCCCACAGAGGTATCAAAATCGATATTCGATTCATGGATGGAGTGGTGTTATAATGTTGGTTAGGTCTTAGTTTGCCAAAACAGCCAAAAAGAAAAGGAGGAAAGGAAAATGCATTATTCATTCATCTGAGTTTTTTTTTTTTTTTTTACAGTGCTTCATTCATCTGAGTTAGAAGAGAAAAATATTGAGAACCTTTAGGAGAAAAGGTTGTAGTACTGGTCGTATGCTCCATCATTTCTTTAGCAAGTACTA